GTTCTGAGATCTTTACTGTAGCTCCCTTACTTTTCCACGTAGTGCAGTTTCTGTAACATTAAACTCACAACACTCAAAGAGGGGAAATCTTAAGGGGAAACCCACAAGAGTCTGATGACGCACAGAGGAATCACTGAATCACTGATAGACATTTATCAGTTCAGAGTGTGTCTGTTGTCTGGTGGATGTAAAAGTAAGCCAATTACAACAACAACAAAAGTCTGTGTAGGATCTCATTCATCCAGGTCATGGTTATCCAAATCCTCAATGAAAGAGAAACTGGACTTGTTTAAGGAAGAGGCCTTTAGGGGGAGAGACAAAATGTCTTCAAAAACCTCAATCAAGTCCAGTTGCCCTTTCAATTAAGAATTGAACACCTAAAAGCTCCCTATTTCAAACAAGTGGTAGTAAAAAAAAGAAAAAGTCTGCCATAAACCATGCTTCATACAGAGATCAGACAAAACCTCCAAAAGTCATCACTGAAAGATTCAAACACAAGCACAACAAAAACTCTGAGACAAAAAAACTGCACATTCACATACACAGTTGAAATACCAAGGACTGTATGACTCAAGCCGTTCACCTCTGGGTAAGCCATGTGACCTCTGTGATAACCTGTCTTTCCTTTCATGTGTGCAGGTGACATAGTAACGGCAATATTTACACTCTGCTGCGTCACAGACAACGAAACAAGCTTCAACTGTAGCATTATTTAACGGTCAGAAGAGGAAACTGCGAGCAAACAGGTCTTCAGCATGTCTTACCTTTCTCAGAAAACTCTGGACTCCTCATGACCCGCTCACAGACGGACTGGATGACCACGGCTGAGGATGACCTGCTGACCCTGAGATGAAGAGTCCCACAGAACATCACCATCCACCTGAGGAGGAAACACAGAGTCAGGGTTACTTTAGCATTAGCAGATATTGTCATAAAATGTCCAAGTTAAAATCAACACTTGAATTTAACTTCACATCTCTGTAATGTGTGTCTTGGTTAATTTACTCCTCAGTTTCACTGAAGTTCATTCAAGCTCTCACAACAAAAGACTGAATCATTTTCCTCAAAGTTAGAGGGTAACTTATTCCTCAGCAAACTACAATATATCCAGTTTTGTTGTCTCTGTTCCTAGTGTGTCTTTGCTGTGCTCTCGTTCCCCATGTAGGGGGACCTGCCCCTTTATAAATATAAAGACTCATTATAAAGAAACACTGACTAAACCATTCTTATATTCAGGTGACTGTACAAGCATTTAAACAGACTTGTGAATATTAGATTCACTTTCTACCAAGTTTGTTCTGATAAATGACATCAAATACCACACACTGCACCTTTAACTGAATTTAAAACTTTTAAGAAAAGTTGTAAGAAACTTAATTTTACATTTTTTTTGTAAAAATTCAATCTAAATGCATTTGACTGTTTATTTATCCTACATTTGTGAACAACTGCAACTCCTCACATCAGCGTGCACACTGACAAAAAATTCATTTTCTCGAACCATAAAACATAGTTGACATACATCTTGTAATGAGTAGTGAAACAATAAATTTAAATCAAAATACACTTCCTATGACTGAGTTATGTATTGTTAAAAACAAAATATCAAATATGCGTATACTAAAAATTCTTGGAGTTATCTTTTTTAAAGTTCCCAAAAAACCTCACCTCCTTGAAAAACATATTGAATGAATGAAAAGTCTGTATTGGGCTTTAGAATTGATCAAAACTTGCAATGACACATAATTCTCCTTTTAAATAAATAGTGCATTAAAATGCACTTGTGTTCGCATAGAACTATGTAACAATGTTGAAAACTATACAGTAAACATTCATATAGCATCTTAACGTTCTCTCTTGTCAAGTTCATATGAGGAAAAAGAGGAAAAAACTTACCTCTTCTTTAAAAAAAGGATAAACTTTTGAAGGTCTGAATCTGATTTTAAAATCTCAAAACCTTTTTGTAACTTCTAGACTCTCTGAGCTAAAAGTTTTGTAAACTCTGAGGCTAAGTTCAGAGTTGAGCAGCTGCCGCAGTGACAGCACAACACAAGTAAAAAGTTCCTCTTTTCTCTAAAGAATGCTGTCGGGTTGGTTTTTTCATTTACAGGAAGAGAAAAAGTCACAAAGCTGTCCTTTCAGAGAGGGAGAGCTTCACAACGGGGTCACACAAACCAAAATAGAGCTGGGGGCCAAAACTCCACGGAGCATGTGCATGAAAAAACACATTACACATTTATTTAAAAACGCAGAGCTCTCCTGTTCTCTCTACGGGAACAGATGCAACATTTAAATGAGTTTTTCAGGGTTAAAAAGTTGGCGTATACTGGGAGACGGCTGTGACCCATGTCAAATACACTGCAGGAGTAGATGTGGTGGTCATGGAGGAAAAGTTCAAAGTAAAAGCAAGGAGTCGTAAAGCTAACTGTGATGCCCCGGGCAGCTCCAGCAGTCCCCTACACAGATCCTCATTGTCCTGCCTTGTGACTCTGCTGCTGTATCTTCTCTTTTTCTGCTGCTTTCACACCAGTGTTCCCTCAGAGAGACACAAACACCAAAAACACAGAGTGCAGAACCGGAGAGTCACAAGACCTGAATGGGGCATGGCATAAAATTCCCCCAAAAAAGCATCATACCAAAGGATAATCCTGAAAAGTGTGTGAATGGAGCTGCTCTGTACTCAGTGACATAAGATACTCCAGCCTGTAACCCAGACTTAACTCTCACCTGGAGTGTGTCAGTTGGAGTTCGTTGGAGGCGGGTGGAGGTGGAGACGAGTGGGAAGCTGCAGTGATTTCCCTAAACAAACAGACACAGGAGAGCACCTGGAATTCAAATACAGGCTGCCATGTAAAGTAAACCTACATTTGACTGTATTTAAATGGAAGGACGGCACTCCAAAATGCGCTGTGAGTCGCTTTTATCATCAACAAAAAGTGAAAATATGGTGTCTCAGTTCATCAGTGAGTCAGTTGACTTCCTATCATCATGTACAGTCAGCATGTGTGATGAGCCGCTTACATTTACTGTAAACAGGAGGTGGTTCAGCTGGTTTCACTCTTGCAATGTTTGCTCCCTGCAGCAGAAAAAGCCTGCCCCCATGTGGACACAGGAGGCAGTATCTGAGGAAAAACAGAAGTATTACACAGCATGAAACAAGAAATAAAGGTCAGACAGTAGGGGAAGTGTTGTGATTGCTATTTGGTTTTTGGTTTGTAGTAATGACTTTAAACCAGCTTCTGTAGAACTTACAAAACATCATCCTGAACGGCCCTCTTTGTGTTTGAAATTCACTGGTCTGCCTGCCCTGACACACCTCTGGAGTTCAACAGAAAGGCTGCAACGTGGCTTCCTAATTATAGTAAAATTCAAAATCACCATTATTTATATTGATGCTGAGCTTACGATTCTTAAATATGACTACTCATTTACAACATCAGCATAATATATTTTCACTGAACTCAAACAAACTCAACTCCTTAATATTTCCCAAACTCTGATAAATGACAATAAAAAGGCGACAACCTGCAATAATGTCAACTTTTTTTTAGTTAAAGTCCATTTGACCATCATCCTCTGCCTGTCTATTTACGCTCTTTCCTCAAGCTTTTCTGACACACACACACACACACACACTCCTGCTCCTCTTCTTGGCAGTGATACACAGCAGTTACCTGCAGAATACATTTTTCAGCAGCTTTTTGGAAAACTTTGCACATTGATCTGAGCTCCTAATGATGATGCATGATAGCCTAGATTTTCTGCTCTCTAAAAGACGACAAAAAGCTGATCAATTATGTCTATCATGAGTTGAGTCTTGTATGATTAAAGACAGGAAAGCAGGCTCACAGCCAGTAACAATGTTACATGGTAGGCCTAAGTGATCTGATTTGCAGACTTGGCTCAACTTTTTAATCCCAATGGTTGTCATTTTTGACTCTTAAATGTAAGCACTATTGTAAAACACTACATGGAATTGGATTCATCAATAATTTAAATGCAAAAGTTTGCTGTTTTATTTAGAAAACCTCCAGTTTACTTTTTGTGTTTGTTTACTGGCGAGGGCCTGCCACTACCAATATGGCGGACATACTATGGCGTCTATAAAATTTGCAATTTTTGACTTCCTCACCATGTGCATGGTATTAATCCACCGAGTTAAAGTATTTCCAGTAGACCTCTGATAAAATTAGTTGCAATCAAGGATACATTTGGTTAAACCTGTATGGACAATGTAATAGTGGACAAAACGCCCAAACTTACCAGAGGCAGTCGGCAAATCCACAAAATTTGCAATATGTCATTTTCATTGACGTTCATGATTCTCGTTTTTGTTTGAACGTTTACTGAAATAAATTCACTAGTAGTTCATCGGCCATTACAGTTTCAGGTGTGATACTCGAAATTTGTCGAGTACGGGAAAGAGTTTGCAGCATGTCTGAAGGATAGCGTGTCACTGAAGTGTCTTGGTCACAAAATTGTTCGTAACACCTTTGTTTTGGTGGGTGGGCATGTTTTTTATAACGTAAAATTCAGCACAAGTAGGTTCATGCAGACATTTTACCGCCTAGTTTGCAACTATTGCTGACTGTTTGCTTCAAACATCTTTTCTTTAAGGTAGATTAGTTTAATAAACTCTCTCTGACACTTTTACCCCCTCCTGTCCTGTCTTCCTTCGTCTCCCCCCAGCGAGCATCCCTAACGTCATGACTCTATCCCCTGCTCTCATTGGTCATTTTCACTGCACCTGCTCGACCCTTCCGCCAATCACGCGCTGCACTCCGTATGCTCCAAGATGGCGGCTTCCAGTGCTCGCATCAAACTCCGTAGCGTTTGAAAGCTTGATAAAACACCCTCCCCGGCGGTCCGAACCCGTGAGGAGGCAGAACAGGAGGAGCTAAGCGGGGCCAGGACACCGACAGTGAAACGCGGAAACGGATTCCCCATGGTCTGCTCGAGCCGGGAGCCGGTGTCGGTGTGACGGAGGCTGTTATCCGAGTATGGCCACCGACAACAGGATCAATTTTTGGAGGAGAAACGTAAAGGTTCCCGGAAGGTGGGTGACCGTGAAAAAGAGGGGAAACGGTTCTGTAGCGAGAGTGAGATGCACCCTGTAGGCTGAATGTTGTTGTAAATACCACCAACGATCAGTAGGTTTGATGTTCATTTACTGTATACAGAGTGTGTCAGCTAAATCCAGTTTATAAAGAGGAATATTCGGGGGTAGAGGGCTTACAATGACCCGTGTATCTAAGCGAAATGTATACACTGTGGCTGTAAACAGCCCAGCAGCAGTCATGGGTCTCCTGGATCGTGGATGTTGTTTTTGGGTGGGTGACTCTGTGGGACTCCTCTGTCCTCGTTCTGTTTGTGTTTTTAATGGCCTCCATCAGAGACCTGCAGACCTACCTCTGTCCTCTCTGAGGTGTCAGCTGTCTCAGTCCCAGTGTGTGTGTGTGTGTGTGTGTGTGTGTGTGTGTGTGTGTGTGTGTGTGTGTGTGTGTGTGTGTGTGTGTGTGTGTGTGTGTGTGTGTGCGCGCGCGCGCGCGCGCGCCGACCTTACAAAAAAAAGAGACACTGACTGTGAGGAAGACTGCTCTGAATGATGAAGACCACTGCAGGAAACTTTGAGTACTTTAATCAAATCAGTCAAGAGGGGAAAGATCACAGAAATCCCCCTCTGGTCAGGTCATAGTTTATCTTTAATAACTGGGGCGGGGGCAGTAGAAATGACCCACCAGAGACTGTGTGAGGATGAAAATAGTTCCTACAGTGTTAGAGAGCATTTATATTTTATCAGTCAAGGGCATAACAACAGCAGGATCCTAGAATTTGGCACACAAACATAACTTTTAGGACTACCACTATGAGCCACAGTGTTAGCAAGAATTTATATCCTTAATAACATGAACCTCCTTTAATAACAGATATTTTAAGGATGATTTCCAAAGTTGTAAATTACTCTTGTATGCCATCGCGCTTGCATTCAAGCATTTACTTCCCCCTTTTGTTTCAAAAAAGTTGAAAATAAAAGTACAAAACCATTGTTGAACAACTTCAGCCATATAAACGTGGTGTGTTTTGTGGTCTTATATACAATTAATATGAAATATTCTCACTCGCATAATTTTTGACAACAAATCTAATAACCATTTTTTTTACCACATGATGTGCCTTGATACCATTTTTTCAGGACTGATACCAACAATCAGCATTTGGAAACGACATGCACTGACTGTAAAAATCCAAATAGATATTTGGTCTGCCCCTAATGATATAGATCAGTGTTATAGTATCATTAGAGAGTGTGGTAAATCACATTTTGAAAGAGTGCTCATTAGCTTACAATAATTCAGAGTATTACCTATCTGCTGTTCATGGTTGAACATTGTATTTGCAGCATGTTTCTCTTGAATTGCAGGTGCATCAAAAGGCTTTTTTAATGTAAAATTATTATCAGTTACCGTGAGGTGAGCTGACAGCTGAGTAAAACTTCATCTGTTTGCATGCATGTGGTGTAAAAACATGACCATAATGCTCAACTGTACATGCAGAGAGTTGAGTAACACGTGTATTTGCATACACTGAATAATTTCCTCTTGATTGTGATTAATAAATAATGTTTAGATGTGATTATGATTGATGTGAAATAATTGCGTCGTGGTATCAGTACATTTGCAGTTATTGTGCAGCCCTAATTGAAATATTATTCGTCCTGAATATACAGACAAATACAACAGCACATGTGTTATGTCTTATTCATCACAGTCATCAGTGTTTTTATTGCGGTGTATCATAATTTAATGAGGCATACACTGAAACAACTTAATTAGGTTTACTAGAAAAGTGTGAAATGATGAAAAACAACAGCCTTTGAGATGATAAAAGTGTTTATTTTGGTTGACCTAATCAGAGTGGTATTCATTTATATCCCTGACTCATTGAGGTTGTAGTTTGTGATGGTGTTTAAGTTGTGCTCGTAACTCTTTCTCCCATCACGTTAAGATGAGAGAGGGGAATAATGGAAGTGACTTTAATAAGGAGGGTCTGATGTAGCATCACCACCTAATGTGAAGACAAACAAATGAAAGTGAAGATGAACAATTCAAACCTTTCTGATGAGCTGATAACCTGATAAACTGATGAATGAATTAGTGGGTCAGTAAAGATCTGTGGTTCTTGTCCAGCAGCTGTATTTGTTTTGATCAGAGTCACAGCATGTTATACGGGGAACAAAATGTGCCTGTTTTCAAAACAGAACATCTCCTCATCCGGTTGTGTGAAAGAGTCTTTAGAGATTAAGAAAGTGCTGTTAAACATTTGTAGCTCAGTAGCTGTTTGTCAGACACTCAGCTGCTTACTGCTGTCACCACCTGATTGTAAATATACAAACAGGAGCTGAGCTAGTCCCAGCCTGTCCCTCTTTCTCAATCTGCATCACGTTGGGTTATAATGGGCTCTGAGGACCTGGAGGTATTCTCATCAGGCCCTGTTTTAGAGTCTTATCTCTGCATACTTCTGGAAAAACCCGATCAGAGTTATCTGATAAGACCTCTGTGACTTGCTTATGCTTCATATCTTTAGACTTTTATTGGCCTGTTTGGTGTAAAGACAGTGAAGCCTCTGAGTTGGTGGGTCCCTGAAACTGCCAGGCAGAGCGGGTGGAGTAGAGAGAGCGTTTGGGAAATCTTAGGAGAGGATCTCTGAGGAGAGGGTGTTTCTATCTCTGTCACTCTGATCTGCAGCGGTTTAAACGCTGGAAACACAAACAGATGTTTGAACAGGAAGGAGCTGCTCGCCTCGCTGTCGTCCTTGAGCCGCTCTGATAAAACATGACGAGGCTCTGCTGGCAGCAGATAATCAGCCGACCCAGTTCTCACAGCCCGACTGCTGGTTTGCTCATGCAAAAGACGTGAAGTAGTCTGATATCTTTCAGCTTCAGGCTGGAGAGGCCACAGTTTGACAAGATCCTCATACTGAAGGTGATATTTGATACCCAGAAGAATCCTCTCAGTGACTCTGAATGAAGAGCTGAACGCGGGTTTAACTTCACTTCAGCAGCTCTGACAGACTCCTGTTTGGTTCAATACTAACATTAGATAGTGTTTTAGAGGGAAACGGACTAATCAGTGGAAAATCTCTTTTGCTTCCTGTCATCTCAGAGAGAAGACCTCTCAGACTGCTTCAGTCTTCTGTTGGCCATGAACACAGGCTGCTCTCCTGGACTATTAATCATAACTAAGACTTGTGAAATCTTTCAACAGAAGAAAAGAGAGATGGAAACAGCTGAGGAGTGTAATATTGTCATATTACAGTGTTGTATACACCAGGGCCAGTCTTTCACAAATTATAATGGTAACACTGAAAATACAAATTATATCAATTTGTTTAATTCCTTTTTTTTTATTCCAACTTCAGCAGGGGTTGCACAACAGCAGTGTACTTTTTTTTTTAAATTCAGATAAAGTGGACCATGTAGTGCAAGTTGTAGTGCATGCAATCTCTACTGGTTTTTAGGACTGTGTCGGTCAGTCTGCATGCTAAGCAAACATATTCTGTATTCAATATTAAAAGTAAGATTAAAAGGCTAAAAACTTCTGCTGTATCTGATTAAAAAAAACCTCCAGCACTGTGTGACAGATGGGACTTTGAGCAGTTTTGTGGCTCTTTCTCTTGTTTTCTCCGGTCTAGATCTTTGCCTCTGTGGTTCTTATGCTTAGATAAACATCCCAATGGACTTTAAAGCATTTGCTTAATGAAATTGTTAGATTATAATATTGCAGAATAGATAATGATAGAAAATATATTTTGGGATAGAGCATCCATCTGTCCATCTGTTCAGTTACTTATGCTCATCCAACTCTTTCCAGCTTTTCCTGGGAGACTCTGAGTTGTTCCCTGGCAAGATGGGATATATGATCCCTGCAGTTCATCTGGGTCCACCCCAGGGTCCTCCCAGTTATGATCCCATTGGGAGGCACCTGAACCACCCTGTCTTACCCTTTTAGATGTACAGGAGAAATAGCTCTCTGAACTTAGGCTCACCCCAGCCACTCTTTAGAGGGAAATCTTTTGACTGTATGTTTCTGTTAACTCATTCTTCCAGTCACTACCCACAGCTCTTGACCATAGGTGAGGGTTGGAACGTGGATCAGTCAGTAAATTTAGAGCTTTGCCTTCAGGCTCAGCTCCCCTTTTCATCACAGCATTACTTTGCACCAGATACCTAAAATCCCTTGCGTGAGGTAAAGACTCACTTCACTCCTAGAGGGGACAATCTGTTTTCCAACAAGGTGCCACCCTGGCATCCCAGCTGCTAAGCACTTGCCTGCTGGAAGTCCAAGTCAAGCCTGAAGAACCACATTATGCAAAAAAACAGAGATAATATTCTGAAACTGGCTTCGGACAGAAATTGCTGCCAAAATGCTGATGTTAGTTAATCCTATTGTCTGCATATATAAATTGTTAAAAACAGCAATAACGTCATATCAAGTCTTTATTTTGACATAATATAATATCATTTGTCAGCTAGTCATCCCAACTGCCAGCAAACAGGGAAGAAGTGCTGTTGTTTGTAATCGTGGGTCTAGCTCAGATCCCAACCCACCACTCCTAACTGAGTCAGCTTCAGGTCACAGAGAGTTGGAAAGAAGCGGAGAATGAAGATTGTCACATCCGTTGAGCATACTGTTCACCACGGGGTGGTGACGAACACGGGGGCTGTGCAATCTGTCCGCTAGTTCAATTCAACACAAACTAAAAACAGAGCGATCCAAATAACACCGTGTGAGGGGGAGGAGCTGAGCCAGCAGTGGAGACAAAGTGAGAGTCTGTGTTTTAGACAACGACACATTATGTAGAGCGATCCCAAATTAACACTGTAGAACAATCCTCCCTGAAAGCTTGTCCTCTACTCTCAGTACTCTCCTACTGAAATATCACATCTTTGCAAACCACACGTGTTGTTTCTGCACCATGTTCCAATCTCCAGAAGAGCTTGTGTGTTTGTTTTTCGACATGTAGTGTCTTTTGTAGAAGTTCTCACAAATTAAAAATTACTTATTCAACAGAACAATGTGCAATTACATAACATAAATGTGTAGTTTGTGGGTCATGCACATTTCTGCTTTTAGTTACTGAACAAAGATCTTTGAGGTGCACACGTTGCACTGTTGATAATATTTTGGGGAGAGATAACTTAGCTGTGAGAGCAAACAGACTTTGATTTTCTTCTTTTGCTGTTTTCCTCGTGCGTCTGTTTGAGATGTGCAACTTGTCTCTGAATATGAATAATTCAGGACTGACTGGATATGGCTGCTATAGCTCTATCAGGCTTCATGGCTTAAGAGTTCCTGCTGCGTCGTATCAGTTATTCTACATGTCGTTTGCAGGAAACACACCCGGCGCTTGTTTGTGTTGCTTGTTAAACTCCTTTTTGTTTCTTCACTGGATTAAGTTTGCCTTTAAACACAGTAAATCTCTGTGATGGGTTAGCTCCCTGAGTGTTATTACAGTTCACTCTGAGACTGATGATAAGATGAGTTTGTTTTCTCACACAAAGGTGACAGTATCTCACCTATCATCTTCTGCAGTGTTCAACCAGTTTATGGAGCACAACACCCCCCTCTTGATCCGCGATTACGTCGCACGTAAGTGCTGAGCTTGCCTGAACTGCATGGCCCCGTGTTTACCCACCTGGGTAAATTTGATAAGTGTGTGTCTTTTTATTTCAGTGTTGTTTTGCAGCAGATTTTAACATGCTTTAAGTCTGTGAGTGTGCACCAGTACTCTAACAGTGTGATCAAATGATTTGATGTCCTTTGTTTCTTTGAGTTTTTTTTGTTTGACTTCCGCTTTCGATATTTCTTTATTCATTGGTGGCATCATCTCCTAAATGTTTGTGTGTTTTTACTGCCAGAGCTGCTGATCATCTGCCAGTCTGAACTCTGTGTCTGTTGCTCTGCAGGTATCCCAAAGAAACAAAACCCAAATTCAACAATCTCAAGACGAAAAAGGCGTCCAGCTTCCATGAGTTTGCTCGCAGCACCAATGATGCCTGGGACATTGACGATGAGGAGGACGAAGACTTTCTCGCTCCAGCTTCGTCCCTACCCTCAGGCCTGCACTCTGCGTCCTCACAGAACCAGGTAGATACATCACACCTGTCTCACTGAGCAGCTCTGGCTGTGAGCTGATCTGAAATTAAAGGAGATACTCTCTCATGTTTCTCTCTGCAGCCGCAGCAGAATGAGGTCAGTGACTCAGAGACGGGGGTGTCACACAGACCGGCCCCTCACATGACAGAAGCTCAGACTCTGCAGGAGGAAGAGGAGGATGACGACAATGAAATATGTGAGCACATCAACGGCAAGGTGGTCAAATCGAGCAGCGACGCCCACCTCAGCACGTCCTCAGGTATGTGAGTGACACGCTGCAGCAGCTTTAGCAGAGCAGCTTATCAGGTGATTCACTGAAGCCCGACACAGACCGTGTGTGTGTGTGTGTGTGTCAGGGGGCTAACACTGCAGTCAGGGATTATACCAGGTCAGGCCTGCAGCTTGTGCTTGCCTACAGGCCTCATATAATCCCCATGATGTGTTTTCAGTGACTCAGCCCACAGCTGTATGAAGCTCTGACTGGCAGAAAGCATGGTGTTCAAATATCACAGTTACCCCCAGTTGTGGGTTCGGAGCATGTCATACTGATGCATGAGCTTTAGGATGCAAAAGATAGGTGGAGGAGGACATTAAATTATTCAAAATATGTTTAACTAAACAGAAGAAAGAGACAGAGGGTGACTGCATTTACCAGAAGGCGCCTCTTGTTCACTTGTCTGTGAGGAAAACCTCTAAATCTCTCCTATTTTATAGTGAGATGATTTTCCAACACATTATTTTTGAAGCATCTAAACAGATAAACAAAACCGTTTAGAAAAGGTATATCCAGAGAGGAGGATCACCTGTTTTCATTTCTGATAGCTTATTTGATGATCTTACCTGCTGATTTCATCAATAGTGTTGATGTAGAACAGTGGTTCTCAAGTCCAGTCCTCGAGGCCCACACCTGATTCAAATGATCAGCTCGTTATTAAGCCATTACAGAGCTTGATAACGAGCTGATCATTTGAATCAGGTGTGTTGGAGCAGGGAAACATCCAAAACATGCAGGACAGTGGGCCTTGAGGACTGAACTTGAGAACCACTGATGTCGAAGTGTCTGTAAGAAGAGTCTGATCATCACTTTTAAAGGAGGCACCAGTATTGAGTGGATAAACCGACATAAATATCTCAATATTTTGATTGATGATGGTATTTTATAGTTTTGTTTGAAACTTTGATGTTAAATTTTAGGAAAATATGCTTTTTTTCTATGGGAAGAGGTTTTGTTTTTCACTGCTCTGTAGAAATCTCCTGGGCTGGACTGTTGAGGCGTGTTGTACAGACATGCTTTGGTTGCAACCAAAAAATGCTAGATGCTGTCTTTCTTTCTGCACTTTTGTTTCATACATATAAATTTTACAAAAAAACCCTCATTGTGTCTCAGATGTGTGATTTGCATACTTACCTGCTCATTTGTAAAACTGTTATCTCGATGCTACAGTTGCATTTCCTCCTTGCTAGTCTCCTTTACACTCACTCTAAAAGCTCTTTTACGCTCCAGGTTTTTAGAGCTTCATTTAAGCTTCATTCAGAGCTTTAAGATCACGCAGTTCTCTGTTTCGTGCTTATTTTTCTGCTCAAAGATTTGTAGCTACATTGTCAATGTGTTTCTGTCTCTACAGTTCGCTCTACCTTGCAAAAGCAACAGTCTCTCCCAGTCCGTCCCATCATCCCACTAGTTGCCCGGATCTCAGACCAGAACGCATCAGGAGCTCCTCCCATGACGGTGCGAGAGAAAAGCCGTCTGGACAAATTCAAGCAGCTGCTGGGGAGTCCCAACACGGACCTGGGTATGAGAAATTAAAAAAAACAGAGTCAGAGTCTCACAGAGTAGATAAGGAGGCGTTTTCTGTCTGTTTTGTCTCTGCTGTTCACTTGTACTGTGAAATGTGCGGATGATGTGTTTTTACTTCACTGTGTGCTTCTACAGAGGAGCTCAGGAAGCACAGCTGGTCAGGAATACCAAGAGAGGTCCGACCAATCACATGGAGACTCCTCTCTGTGAGTGACCTTCAGCTTTGAAGCAGCCCGTGTGATTTCTTTGGAGCTGAAACAATCTCCGTTTATATCAAAATACTTCTCTTATCTGAAGCATCTGTTTTGTTCCTGACTCGTACTTTATCTCACATTCTCTGCTCTCTGTCGTCTCTCCGTCAGGGTTACCTACCGGCCAATAAGGAGCGCAGAGAGCAGGTGCTACAGAGGAAGAGAGAAGAGTACTTTGGCTTCATCGAGCAGTATTATCACTCCAGAACAGACGAGCACTATAAAGACACATACAGACAGGTAAACACACAACTCCACTGTCAAAAAACATCATCATAAATCATCAATTACTCCCTCGTCAAGAGTCAGAAAGCTATGTAAGATGTTCATAAAAAACTAGAATTTAAAGCCTATATTAAATTGGAAATCCTGCAAAAACAAGCTACCTGATATTAAAATTAAAAAATGATACTGTTTTTTGAAAAATATCTGCTCATTTTAAATTTAGTATCTGCAACATGTTGTTAGAGGAACAACAAAACATGATTTGCAAACCATTCAAGTTCATTTTTACACATTCAACACAGGGTTTGATTAATGTGTAATTCCTTTTTCTTCCTGTTAGATCCACATTGACATTCCTAGAACCAACCCTCTGATCCCGCTGTTCCAGCAGCCAGTAGTGCAAGAGGTGAGACTTGATCCAGAGCTTTCCCCACGTTCGCTTTTAACTGAAAGATTAAAAAAACTAAACTATTTTTATTGAATCAGTGAAATATAAATGAAACATTTCAGATTCTTTCCTCGAGGCACTTTTACCCGACTTGTAAGAACTCTGAAAAAAATCACAAGCTTGCATTAATTCAAGTTGAATTGAGACTAATCAAACCAGCGACACTTCATGAAAGGATTTTGTGCTGTAACTGCTGACTAGCCTCGGAGGAGGAACCTGCATCAGATTTCTTCACCACAGAGGAACTTGGCTGTACTGACAGTTCCTCTTATGTGGTGAATTTGCTTTTGTGCTCAGATTTAAGAGAACCTTGGTTTAGCCATCATTTTAACCATCTCAGAGTGAATTGACCTTTTATCTAAAAAAATACAGTATATTATCTTTAACCCTGTGTCTCTTTGGGTCAGTCAGTGCATTTACATGGTGTTAATGAAATCTATTTGATGCAGAAGTCCAACTTGGACTAAACTTTGAAAATACATGTGAACCAAAATCACTATAATTCAATTTTTTTGTGTATTTGTACTTACATATCTTGATAATACAGCTGAGGACTGATTTCCTCTCACATGCACTCACCTTGAACCGCTCTGAACTGGCCGAAGCGTTCTGAGCATGCTCCATGGTTCACATGCTGAATAAAAGATATGCTGTCATGAATAGTGTTTCTTCACATGGGCAGCTCTTAGATGTATGAAATCCTGAACAGCGTCCGTGTTAGCAGCAGGTTAAGACACTGATGTAACAGTGGTGTCTTTGCGTTTCTGTCTTCAGGTGTTTGAGCGAATCCTTTTCATCTGGGCGATCCGTCATCCAGCCAGCGGATACGTTCAGGGGATCAATGATCTGGTCACACCTTTCTTTGTCGTCTTCCTGTCTGAGTTTGTCAGTGAGTAATCCCTACATACACATTTTACATTTAAACAAAGTTAATGTAGAAAAAAAAGACATTTAAGGTTTTAAAAGGTATTTTGTTTGTGCATCAGTGGTCCAAGTAGAAACTTAAATCTGTACTCAAGAGGATTTTGGCTGTATGCATGTAGTCCAGTCTGTATATCATAAGCTGTCCTTAAACGCATCCTTTCCCAATCTATGTTAATTTAGTAAACCTTCATATCTCTGGAATACGCCCCTGTGTGAACAAATGACAAAAACCTTTGTGTATCTCATTTTACTAGCTCCTTATTATATGTGATGTAAAATAAAATCCAGAGACGGATAAAAATGTGAATCCTGCTCATATTATTTTGAAATGAGTATAAAATGTCAGCAGACCACAGAGAGTCATCCCGCTGAGCTGCTGGAGACAGATTCACAGAGGATGACAGCAGAGCAGGCTTTACCTCCAACTGTCAGAAAGGTTAAACTGCTTTCGTAACCAGACATCAGCAGAGCAGAGAGCATCAGAATAAAATTCCTCCTGCTCTGTTTCCATCAGTCAGTTAAGAGGTTTTGTTGTCTAGAGACTCAGCTCACAGTCTGCAGTCTCTCTGTAAAATAAAGCAGCTAGAAAACCTAAAGTCTGTTGATTTAACAGCCAACATGCAGGTTGACTCTGAGGCTGCAGCCGTGGCTCTTTTAGGCCGTGAACATTTCTCCAACTATTCCAATTAAAATTCAGAAAATATAAGCAATACCTGTGTGGGCTTCATAAGTCTCAATTGGTCCTGTCTGTCATTACAGCGGAGGACGTGGAGAACTTTGAGATGGCGGCTCTTCCTCTGGACACACAGAGAAACATCGAGGCTGACAGCTTCTGGTGCATGAGCAAGCTGCTAGACGGGATACAGGTCTGCTGACAGACACACAAACACAAATTTCACAGGCTGTATAAAGACATGGATGACCTGATCGCTCACCAAACAGTGAAGCCAAAACATTGCTGCTGACTTCTCATTGTGCTGATTTATGTCCTATTTTAGTTTTAGTTTGGATTAGTTATTTGATGCTATAAGAAGGGCTGTGACATCATGATTGACAGCTCTGTTAACCATTGAGGCTCCTGAAGTGCTGTATGTAGCAGATTATTAAAGAGAGAGGGAGAGTCATTGACATGGACTAGACCAGTGGTTCCCAAGTCCAGTCCTCGAGCCCCCACTGTCCTGCATGTTTTGGATTTTCCCCTGCTCCAACACACCTGATTCAAATGATCAGCTCGTTATCAAGCTCTGTGATGGCTTCATAACGAGCTGATCATTTGAATCAGGTGTGTTGGAGCAGGGAAACATCCAAAACATGCAGGACAGTAGGAGGCTCCAGGACTGGATTGAGAACCACTGGACTAGACCCACCTGCGGGATTTTAACCAACAAGTTAAAGTGGGTTTGGTCAGTGAAAGGGGCGGGCTTTAATACCATATCCACCAGACTCAAACTGCAAATGTTCAAGATGTCTTTACCTGTAGCAGCTTTCCTTTTGTGGAGTATGAATAGAGGGAGACATGTCATCAATCTTTATATACAGTCAGTGATTCACTGTCATCTCAATATAAATGTCTGAAGCTGTAAATGAGAAATTTCACAGGACATGAATGTTTTTTTAGGATAACTACACCTTTGCTCAGCCGGGAATCCAGAACAAAGTGAAAGCTTTAGAGGAGCTGGTCAGCAGGATAGACGGTGAGTTTAATGTCTGACTCTTGGTGTCGTGTTTATGAAAGTTCAAGTTTACAGGCATCACAGCTGATTCCAGACAAAGTAACATTTTAACATCTGTTTCAGAGGATATCCACAATCATTTCAAGAGGTACGAGGTGGAGTATCTGCAGTTTGCTTTCCGCTGGATGAACAATCTGCTGATGAGAGAGCTTCCTCTCAGGTGTACCATCCGTCTGTGGGACACCTACCAGGTACAGTCTTCTGTCTTCCCCCCACAGGTGTTTTTCCAAACTGGCTTCTGGTTTCTTAGTGCTCAGGAAAACTTCAGTTTCAACCCCAACCTGCTGACAATAGAATCAGGATCTGTTCAAATTCACCAGAGAGACTCTGACATAAACAAAAAAGTTTCTCATTCTTGGTCGGTTTGTTTTCACAGTTTTGCATTTGTCACCAGGTAAAACTTGCTCAATTGACTTAATGATTGAGTGTCTCACTTTTGCTTGTTTGCACTTAACGACAGTTGGTTAAACACATTCTGAATAATTTTATTGGAATAGGCCCAAACTGTTAGTCATGTGTTATGTCCAAGTCACCCTCCAAAAGCTGGTGCTGTAGCTCTGGTATATGTCTGCTTCCATCATGCAATGATGCTCTGCTATCCAGATATAAACGAAGGGTTTGTCAGTATTTTGATCTAGAAAATGGAGACGGAGTTTTATTAAAGCTGTGTCTAATAAAACTGGTATATATAACCATCCAAACAGAGCAATGAGTAACCAGTACAGGCATGTGGATGTGAACTTTTACATAATTTAGGCTCAGTTTTCATTTTTTTTTTCTGCGTGTTTTCTTACCTTCAGTCTAGTCATCTCGTCAGAATTTAAATTTCTGTTGAGATAACCGGGAAATGAGTCACTCTTATCCAGAACATCCTATACCCTGATGATGATACATTAGTGCTGACACTTCATGGATACATTTGACAAAGTTTTCTTATCATTAAACTTTCTCAAATGTTAGTTATTGTGTGAGTGCTGCACAAACTCACTGTTCTGTTTTGTTTCTCCTCAGGCTGAAGCAGAAGGTTTCTCTCACTTCCACCTCTACGTCTGTGCAGCTTTCCTCATTGAGTGGCGAAAAGAAATCCTCTCCATGGTCGACTTTCAGGTAAAAATACTGTATGTCTGCTGCCATCTCCAGCTAACAGAGTTAGCACTAAGCAGCAATCCCAGCACTAGCAGACAGAGACACAACTCTGACAAAGACATGAAGGCTTAAAGGAAAGTGATCATTTGAACTGATTGACAGTAACTCCAGCGTTCACAAATCTGATGATTCTTCATTTTCAGCTTTTTAAGATAAGAAATTGAGTTTAGCTTGAACGTGGTCTTTGAAAGATGTCTGATGAACAATTTTCTGCTCACTTATAAAACATGAAAAGATCCTGTCTGTCTTCTCTAACGCAGTCTACATGTCTAAAATGAGTATCTGTTCCTCCTCAGGGTCTTCTTATGCTCCTGCAGAACCTTCCCACAATCCACTGGGGGAACGAGGAAGTGGGTCTGCTGCTGGCTGAAGCTTACAGACTGAAGTACATGTTTGCAGACGCTCCTAGCCACTATAAGAGATAAAAACTGACTCACAGCACAAACAGACTTTTACATTTCAAGCTGATTTGGGACCTGGCGGAGACTCTGAGGTAAACCTGGAGAGTCAGGAGCCGTGAGTCCACCTGTAAGACATTTTCTCCTCTGACCTCTGTGGACAAAAACAAAAAAAAAAAGTCCAGTGAAGGCCTCACTGGTGTTGTGTTCATGGTGCACACACAGAGCTCAGAATACACAAGACTCTTCTTTTAAATGGACTGTTACAGTCTGAAAAACCACAGCTGGATTCCTTTTGTTGTTTTGGCTCATAAACACTGATTGTACGCTCAGAAGAACACACTGTCAGGGGAGGGATGGGGAATGTCTGTGAGATCATCCTTTCCTTTTATTAGATTATGTTTTTGTTTTTGCAGATTTGAAAATAACATGTTTTATGAGGGAACATTTGAGGTTATTTTTAACCACCTAGTTGAACACTGTAAACAACCCTGATAAGGGAATCTTCACTAACAATGTCTCTTTTAGGGTCACCAAACCTGCTCCGTACAATCAGCATTAGCTTCATTTGGACTTGAATCCGTCAGTTTGACTCGCCTCTCTCGTGATATTTTGGGTCATTTTCAGTTTAAACCTAATTCTAAAAAAAATGGGATGCTGAGGAATAGTGAGGAAAAATCTCAAGCAGCTAATTGATAAAAAGGGCATATTGACACAGAACACAAATCTTTTATTCTCATGGAACCTCAAATACTTAGACCTTGAAGTGTTTTAAAGGAAGTATTAAAGTAGTACTAAAGTACTAAATTATACTTTTTTAAAGTTTACTCCATGTTCCAACTTTTCTGGAATCAAGGTTGCACCCACCGACTTAACTTAAAGATGGATGACTAATCCCCACCCTCTCATGTGATACATGAATGAAGCCAGAGTACCCTGAATGAGGGGAGCTGATGTCTCACTGACTGGCCACCAGATTCAGCTCATTAGACATCACAAAGTACTTTTGTGTTTTGAAATGTTCAATTGCCTTTGACTGCAGGTCATTTCAGATGGACTGTTACACCCAAAAGGGGGCGGGACCACAGTACCAGGATGGGTTCCTGTCATTTGAACCCTTTCCTAGAGCATCAAACCACTAATTAGAAGTAACCTGGTCACTGTGATGTAAATCAGCATGATCAGAAGTGACTATATCGACAAGAACTATATTTGAGGAATATTTAGGAAGGTGGGTTTTATGACCTTGACTGCAGACAGTCAGCAGAGGGGGCTCTAAATGTTTTGGCTTCACTTTGGGGAGCTGTGATGTCCATCTTTCTGTACAGTCTACAGTATCAAATTTGACTTTCAGCCCCTGAATGTACCAAAAATGTGATCTGGCTGGTTAACATACATTTTAGATTTCCTCTTTGTGAGCGACACTGCTGAGCTTAAATTTCAGTCGTGTTAAAGAGAAATCTTAAATTTATTTAAATCAAGACAGCTGAAATAAAACAAGTTGTAGATTTAGGTGTAATCCAACACTCCTGCAGCTCTAAACTTGAATGAACTTGAGTGATGAGCGAAGTCTTCTTGAAAATGATTCCATGATGATCTGTGAAGTTTTTCATTTGTACTGAAGAGGGTAAGAGACGCTGAAAACAACTTTTGAGGGTGTCTGAAACCTTCCTAATTCTGACTTTTATTCTTCAGAACTCTGAATTCACAAGTTAAAAGTCAGAATTTCAACTTTTTTTAGTGAGAATTCTCACATTAATCTCAAAACCCAATAAAAAAAATGGAAAAAAAACAACATTTTTTAAGGGATATCAAGTTTTAATCTGAATTCTTGCTTTTTTTATGTTGCTCACGTTGAAGTCAGAGTTGTGATTTATTAAATCGAAATTTTATTTTATCTCAGAATGCTGAGTGAAGGTCGCAAAACTTCTTTATTTCCTAAATCTTCAGGGTTTTTTTAAGTAGAATCTTTGGTTCATGAGATCAAAGCCTTATTTTCAACTTTTTTGTCATGGTTGTAACTTTAAAATTCTAAAACAAAAGTCAGAATTTACTTTTTTTTGTCCCAAAGTTGCTGAAAAAATCTGATACTCTGATTTCAATTTGAGTTTAATATCAGAATTGTAACTCAGAGAAATCTGACTTTTTCTTTCCGAATTCTACCCATGATTCTTTAACCTTAGAATCAGTTTTATGTCTGAATTCTCACATTTGTCTTAAAGTTTAAAGTCTTATATCTCAAAGTTTTATCTCATTGTAATTTCAGAACCCTGAGAAAAACGTCAGACATCTGATATAGAATTTGAAGATTCCTAGAAAAACTCTGATTTGAAAAAAAAATTACACCTCAAAATGTTCGTTTTTCAGTCGTCCTAACCCTCCTGCGTATGCAAGATTCCTGTGGTGACTGTAAAAAATCAGTAGTTGAATATATTTGACAGATGGGAGTGGAGCCTCTGTCAGTGTTTGTCGATACTCCGTCTTACTTGAGACAGTCCTGTGGACGCTGTGCAGCTCAGAGGGGTGACGATGCCTTTGTTTGTGTGTTTTTTTTGTTTTTGTCTTTTTTTTTGAGTGTGACCTGGATAACTTCCTGTGTGTTTAATTTCCCTTACCTTCAGATTAGACATGATGATGACCATGTGTGTGTTAGGACTCATCTACCTTCATTACCAGTGATAATTATAACACATTGTGTGTTATGGGACGTATGACAATCATTAGCTGTGGTACTTTGATTTTTAGGACATTTCTTTGATTGGAGGTTTTTTTTTCTTTTTTGTTTTTATAGCGTTTAAAATCAGGATTAAAAGTAAGCTCACTCTGGCTTTTACCCTTATGGAAAATAACATAATTTAGAAACCTGTTGTGTGAAGAATTAGTCGTAAATAAATTCAGGAACATTTCAGTCCATCTGAATGTGCAGTTTAACCTTAGCTGTAGTCCTCACAGCGTTATACTCAGCCTAGTGCTTCTAAAGATTCTGTTGCTCTTCAGTAGAATCTGTAAAAAAACTCGATATTTTCTGTTGTTTTTATGCAGAAATCAGACACTGCGTTTCTGCACTCCTGTGTTGAATGTGTCTGTGTTCATGTTTTTTCGCCTTTAGCCTTAAACAGTTTTCTTCATTCAGGTGAGCAGACTGATTGTGTCTGGACCATGCAGGTGTTTTGATTTCACTCCATGCTGTTTCCTGTCCTCAGATCACGATGGTGGTTTTGACTGGCGGCTGTGTGTTCATGCTGTTTCAACAATAATATGCCAAACCTGTTTTAGAGTGTGTCGTTAGTCAGAGCTTCGGCCTAATGAAGAGTTATTAAATTATTACAGTTCCTGCTGTATATTAACTTTTGGTTTATATTAAACGATTGTAATTCTTCATGGTGCCGTCTCTTTCTGTGCGTGTGTCTGTTGGTGTGTGTGTGTGTGTGTGTGCAGGGGTAAGCGGATGACTGCCTTTCAGGGTCAGGGTCTTCTGCAGTGACTGATTCCTAACATTGTTTTTCAGATTCTTGAAAGGTCTTTGACTGAGACTCAGACTGAGAGAGAAAGGATCTGATGCAGCAGGAGGGAAGTGAGGAAACTTAATGGGTAGTTACATGAAATGAATCATTACTAACTGGTAACCTGGTCATTGGTCTCTTATTCCTGTCTCATTGGTTGGCTAAGATCTGACTGTAATGTTTCTGTCTTCTATAGAGCAAACTAACAGGAGAACTGCTGGTATGGTAGAGATTTAGTACTGATTAACTATCCATTACCATGCCTCAGTTTACTAAAGGGTACACAAAATAAGAGACCAATGGTAATGTAATGAGCAAGTACTGGACTATGACTGAGCGACAACCTGGTGTGTTGTCTCACCTATTCGTACTGCAGTAGTCTACAGAATTTCTACCCATTAATTAATGCTTAACTAGCATTTGGTTACTCATTAATTATCAGAAAGTGCAAGATTTATAAAACTTAGCTATCAGTTAACTTTTAAACTTGTAGATAACTGGTAGTAAGTCAGGTATTTACATGCAAAACATATACACCTTAACAACGGAAAGAAAACTTGTATGTGTATGCTACCACATGTGTATTTTATCATTATATAAGTATGTTAATCATCATTTACAGAAACTCACTTGGTGTGAATGCTTGCAGAGTCATATCTGTTTCTTTTTAATGAGCATGGGAAAGGAGAAGTATGGCCTTGGAGTTGGGAATGATACTTTTCCGCTGAAGCCATGAAACTAGATGAATGCTATAATTTTACTCACAGGTTGTTTTCCCAACAGTGTGACATTGAACTGATAAGCAGGAACCTGATGATGAACTAAACTGTCTTTGTTCTCCCAGTACAGACTACAGCTGCAACCTGTACCCTATTTGGATACTGTTGTAATGTCATGCCACTTGTAAGATGGTGTTAGTGGGTGTGGACGTCTGTTTCTTGACTGCATGAAGGATGTGTAAAAATCTGAATTCCTCAGTCAGAGGAAGCTGCCTTTGTCGTAAGCTGCTGACTCCTTGCAAGTAAAAGATATCCAAGAAAAAGAAGTCCACTATCTCTGTCGTTCTTTTCAGCTGGCAGCAAGTCAGATGCAGTTTAATTTTTCTGACAACAACCTACAAACTTCTCTACAAGTTGTAAGTTACTAATTTATGACCCTTTAATTGTGCACAAATTATGCATTTTTTACTTATTCTTTTTTTTTACTTATTCTTTAACTAAAGGCTGTAACTATGAAAAAATGTATTTACCGTAACTACCTTTTGCGTAATTATAAATTAATTTTTAACTAGTCATTAGTTAAATATCAATTAACCTGTAACAATTCAAATTTTATAACTGATGTACCTGAAAACTTTCCATCACTAAACAATTAGCTAGTAAGTAACATTTTTGTTATTTGTACCTAGGATACGGAAACGCACAATTTGTCTACCTTAATTAAGACAAATTTACCGCTTTATTTATATAGCACATTTTAAAAAACATTCAAGTCTACCAAAGTGCTGCACAATAAAGTTAAAAGAACAGACAATGCTGAAAACATCAAAATGAAATAAATAAAAGCAGGTACAAAAACATTTAAAATGAAATAAAATAAATGAATTAAAAACACAAAAGCATTAAAGAAATAAAAGTGATAAAAGGACCATAAAGGACATAAAAGGACAGAGATCACACAACTCTCATGCTGAGCTAAAAGCTAAGAAATAAAATGAGTTTTAAGATGTGATTTAAAAGTAGAAAGAGTGGGGGATGTTTCGATCTCAAGTGGCAAACTTAACCTTAATTTTGTTGTAACTATTAACTTATGGTTTACTATTTGTTGGTTACACATTTGTTACCCAGAAACAATGCATGTCTTCCATACTATATTTTTGAGGCTAAATTATTATTTACTTATGGTGAGTAACTTATGTAAACTGTTGTTAGTTAATGTTTATAATCAGCATCATTCTCTCCTTTTCTATCACTGTCATAAAGTTTATGTTCATTATAGAACTTTTTGATTCATTCTGCTTTAATCGTCTTGATTCCAAACCCCCATTATTGACCTCAACTTCATCAATATGAACCTCTGTCCCACTGCGCTAATTTCTCATAAATCAAACTCAGATCAGTCTGTTTTTATTGTCCTGCTTTTTTTTTAAAATAGTTCACATACTTGCTCCCTTATCTCTGACACAGTAACCAAACATCTGTCATTTTTCTCTGTCTAATCTCTCTCTTTCCTCATCTCTCTCTGTCAGTTAGTCTCTTTTCTGTCTGTCTCTCTCTTTCTCCATCTCCCTCCCTATCCTCTCTACACCCAGCTAAGTGTCAGTTGACTGTCTAACAGGGCCAAACAGGGTCAACATTTCACCATAACTGTCAGCCTCCTTTTCAAAAAATATGTAACAAAAACAGCAATGACTATAAATCATTTGGAAATTCTAAAAAGATCAGTTTAAAGGCAATCTGAGATAGAAACATTTATTTTATTTTAATTTTGTATTTTAATTTTATTTATTGGTTCAAAAGATCAGAGCATGATATTAGAAATAGAAAAATAATGCTTTAAAAGAGCCAATACATGAAGAGAATGTTGAAATCAGGTTTAAAAGGTGAAAATATGACTTAAAATTTAAATTTGGACTCTAAAGTATAAAAATGACACAAATCTAAATTCTGAGTTGAACAAAATCAAAGCATGAAATAAAAAATCCAATCATGTTTGCCTTGTAATCTTAAAATGCAAAATGGAAAACATGAAATCAAACACCAAATATGTTCCCCCCACATTAGTGACTATTTATCAAATCTTCTTTACTCTTTAATTTCCAAGATTTTTGTGGCTTATTATGGACATTTTAAATAATGGTGCTGAAGTTTACATTATTATACTGAAGGAAATCTGCTGACTTCATACTGGTAGGCCTATAATAAAACAAATATGTTATGATCTTGTGGGCCAGATAAAATTGTTCCACAGGCCAGATTTGGCCCCCGAGCCTTGAGTTTGACACCTGTGGTCTAACATGAGTCTGATTCTGCTCCAGGTTTCTGCCTGTTAAAGAAAGTTCTTCCTCTCCTGTGCTGTGCAGTGTTTCACTCATGTGACTGAAGATGGGATTGGAGAGGGTCTGGTCTAACAAGATGGGGCTCAGTCTGATCCCATCTATACATGAGTTCTTTGTAAATGTGTCACCTGTTGTGAGCTGGTGCTTTTTAAATAAAGATTGGTTGAATTGTGGTTGAGGTAAATAAGAGGAAAATACTTTTTTTCCACAGTTGTGTCGTTTTAAGTCGAAGAAAATGGAGAAACAGAAAAGCTTATAAAAGAAATATTCATCTGCCGTGTTTATTTCTGACAGACAGACCGTTCAAAAGTGGGCGTGGCGTATCGGAAGTGACGTGTTCGGGTGAGAGAAGTATTCCCCTCAAACTTTCAGTCTTGCAGCCATGCCACAGAGGACTTCTTCAAGTCCACCGAGATACAACTGCACCCAGAGCCTGGGTTCTGCAGGGGGGAGATAAACCTTCACACGGAGAGAGGGAGAGTTAGCCGAGGTGAGCTCTTCCGGTTACAAGACCTCTTTAAATACCAGTTAGCTCTGTTAGCTACATGCTACCGTTAGCAAACATGGAGCTAACCTGCTCACGCGCAGTAATCCTGCAGCTGGTTAGTTTGGACTGTTAACCTTTAACTGACCAGCTGGGAATAGAGATGACTCAGAGGCAGACATAACCTGAAGGTGTAGTGAGTTGGAGCAGGACAGAGGTCCGAGTTTGACTGAATGTGTCAGGGGTCAGCTGTAGGGGATGGTTTCAGGGTCTGGATCAGTCCTGAAGGAGCCTGAGAGTCCACTTTTAAAACTGTCAGAGAGGGCCTGAACTGAGCTTTGGTTAGTGTGTGTGTGCGCGTGTCTATGTGGTCTCTCCCTCTCTGTGACTCTCTCTCTCTCTCTCTCTCTCTTCTCCAGCAGCCCCTCGGTGAGGAGGATGGATGGAGTCAGCTGGAGCACCACACGGCCCCCTGAGTCCTTCACTCGCTCCAAGACATCCACCGACACCCTGTCCCGCCTCGCCAACTTCATCGCCCGAGCCGACTCCAAGCACCAACGACACCAGCGCCCACAGACGTCCCACCTGGCCCCATACGCCTGTCAAGAATGTGATCAGAACTTCAGTCATGCTGCAGATCTGCTGAACCACCAGGACCTGAAACACACCCTCCCCAAGCCTCACCGCTGCCCGACCTGCGGCCAGGAGTTCTCGCTGAGGTCGTCCTTGCAGCTGCATAAATGTGAGCGAGACTCCACCCCCTGTGAGCGTTGTCATGGAGAGTCCCGGCTTGGGGTGCAATGTGCGACATGCACGGGTAGGACCTCCGACTCCATCAGGCTGCAGGACAAGTCTCCTCACCTCCAGCCCCACCTTCTTGACAGCAGCCCCTACACGTGTGCCCCTTGTGGGCGGGGCTTCAATCAGAAACAGGCTCTGCTGCACCACCAGCAGGCCGGCTGCAGCGAGCCTCCGTCACCGTTAAGTTTGATGGATGCCAGCGGCCTTCCTGACGATTCTCCGCCTGTCTCTGAGGCTGACTCCACCCGCTCTGACTCTTCAGACAGCACAGAGCTGGGCGGCAGAATGCTAAGCGAGTGCGAGGTCTGCTCCAGAACCTTTCGCACGGAGGCGGGACTGGAACGCCATAAACAGACCAATCACACCGAGGAACATTTGACAGCCTCAGAGGAGCCACAGACCAAAGAGGCAGGCTCAGGTGGAGCGAGCATTGGGGTTAACAGAGGTCTGATCAAAAGGTCAAAGTCCACAAGCAAAGTCCTGAGCTGTCGGTCATGTGACCTGGTCTTCAGGAGCACCTCGAAGCTGTATCTTCACAGGAAGGAGAAACACCGCAGAGAGAAGATCGTGGCGAGAGAGTACAGGCCTGTCACTGTTAAACGCAGGAGGGCGGGAGCGTATCCCTGTCAGGTCTGCGGGAAAGTCTTCCTCCATCACCTGTCACTGAGGGCGCATCACAAACAGCACGCTGGCCAGAGCCTCGCCATCGCCAAAGACCGGAGAAACACGGTGACGTCAAACTCAGCGGGTAACAAGACTGTCAGAGCTGGACCAGGACGGCCCGGGAGGGAACCGAGAGGAGTGAGAACTGTTACTGATCCAGGAAATTCAAGAGAAGTGCCTGAAGAGAGGGAGCAAGAGAAGGAGGAAGAGGAGGAAGAGCAGGTGGAGGAAGAGGAGGAGGAGGAGGAGCAGGTCGAGGAAAAGAAGCAGGAGGAAGATGAGGTGGAAGAGGAAGAGGAGGAAGAAGAAGAAGAGGGGGATGAAAGGGAGTTCCCCTGCCCGTCCTGTGTGGAGGTCTTCTCCACTCAGTCTCAGCTCAGGGAGCACGTGGAGCTGCACCAGTCGTCCGTGAGGAGGCGGCGCTGCAGCGTGTGCTCGCAGGAAATGGACACGTGTACGTGGCAACGCTCAAAGAGACACAGACTATACCACTGCGTCCCCTGTCAGCAGGGCTTCTCCACCCTGGACTCCTTCCTGGAACACTGTCAGGAGCACCTGAGGGCCCGGGTGGAGGAGGACAGCATCGCTGAGGGCTACACCCTGCAGGCCGCCAAGACCTGAGAGTCGGAGAAAGACAGACGCCAACATGCCTTTGAAGAGTTGAAGAGGGGGGTGTTAAATTGTCATTGATGAAGCAGTTCATTGGTCGAGCATCCACACTTAAAGGGTTGTGATTGGTTTAATGTAATCATGATACACTTATGGATAATTAAAGGATCATGCCGGGTTTTTTTTTTTCAGGTTTATTTAACCACTTTAACCAGAAATCACAACTAAATGCTGACCGGGTGATGAATCAGTTTTATCAGCTCATTTGGAGCAAAGTTTCAGAGTATGATTTAAATATGAATGCATGAGTATGAGTGTCTTATGAGTGTCTTAGCTCGAATTATAGCAGTTTCTGTGGTCGACAGTAAGGTCACACCTCTCTTCAAGCTCTCTCTTACCTGAAGGGAGATATTTCTTGTGAGTAGACCAGTCTGTTTTTCTTTTTTGCCTTGGCGTGTCTCAGCTACAACAAACTTCCTGCGCTCTTTCTCAGAGGAAGTGATTTTAGGACATTTGTCAGCTGATCCAGAAGTTTGATCCTCTTACATGAAAGAAGAGGACCAGACCCCTGTTGTCTGACAGTCTCAGGACATAATCCCAGGTCTCTGATGGCTTGGAGGCCCTTAAGCCAGTTTAAGTCTGGCTCCCTGACGTCCTCTGCCTCCCTACATCCAGCATTGGTATCTGTCGCGTTCTGCATTTTCAGAGTCAGTGGAGGGTTTTCTCTCTTGCAGTGGTCTGAGACAGCTGAGTTTTTGGTTTTGTTGCCCGTATGCACACTCCAGATGTTTCCTTCTCACATTTTTTCCTCACTCAAAGGAAAAATTCGGCATATTTCTTTTGAGTTATTGTTCTTCAATCAGATTACATGTGGGGGTGGTGTGAGTACCTGCACAGAGTCCTGTTGCATTTTCAGCTTCCTCTTTTTAAACATTTTACTGCGTCAGTCGCTGTTCAGTGTGAAGCTTCCGGTCAAAAGTCTGCAGATCTTAGCTATTAGAAAACAAGAAAGCGAGCAGAGAGGTTGCTGTCTCTCTCCTCTGCTCTTAGCCTATCTACAAAAGACGTGAATGTAACATGTGCATCATCATGAGAGTTTAATAAAACATCATGACCTTATCTGTGAATCAGGGCATAGTGTCAGGGTTTTCTGAGAGCTGCACATGCAACAGAGAGCAGAACAGCAGCGATGAAGCGTGCAGGAGAAATTGCATGAACAGTTTCTTCTTTAGAAGTTTGAAAGTAACCGCTGTGACAGATAAAGTCGTATCTCTCAGATTTTACTCTTTACTCTTTTCTCCTCCTTTCTTTTTAGTTCAGTTGAACACTCTCTCGCTCACAGCAGACTCTGAAGAATTTCACAGCTTGTGGCTTTAAAAGCATCAATGTTGTTGACAACCTTACACCAGACATATTATTGCATTGTGCTTCTTTACTTCTCAAAGTTTTCACATCTGTGTTGCTGTGGTTCAGATTTCCTCTGTTACCCGCTGTCCACACTGAAGTTTGAGAAAAGTCTGGGGGAATAAAAGCAACAACACGACAAATTAAATCCACTATTTCAAACCATGACAGCTCAGGGGGAGAAGAGAGTGACTGTGAAGTTACTGAAGACAAGAGCAGACTGAGAACTTAAGTAAGAAAATAAAAGCAGCTAATGTTTGCAGGAAAATAATTAAAAAGACATTAACTGGATTATGTTCAGTCCAAACCTTAAAGCTGTTGTTCAAACTGTTTTTAAAGCTTTTCCAAAGTTTCCTACATACTGGAGGACAACTTCAGCATAAAGTACACTGAAAAATTGTAGTGTTTTCATGGGCTGGTTGAACTTTCTGTCACTTCAGGTTTTAATCATTTACACAGCAGCTTCAGCAGGCAGTGCTTGTATTTCGAAATCAAACAGCAACACGAGGGAATCACTCAGTAGTTGTTGTGGATGATGTTTGAATAAAGACATTAAAATCAGAGAACCAACAGGTATTTGCAAGGACAAGTAATGACAAGGCATCTGTAACAGTCTGTGTTAGTTTGTACATAACAGAAAGTGAACTGCTGTTTAAACTTCAGTCTGTAGAATGGTTTCATACTTTCATCAAGTACATTTGAGTCTACAAAAGTATGAATGTTTGCTAAAGATAAACTCAACCTTTACTGCTCTGAGGACGTCTTAGAAACCACTGAAGCTTCAGCGCTGACACAGATATTTTCGTTTACTGAAGTCATTTTTTACAGCTAAGTTCTGCAGAGCTGCAGTTTTCAGATGGATAATCAATTATTTTTGATATACTTTTGGCAATAATTAGTGAAGTGAGCTCTGGTGTGTTGATTATCACAGATGGAGTTGTTTTCCTGCAGGTTTCATCCCATGTGATACTTGAGGTCTCTGTTATACTTAAAGGATAAGAAACACTCAGAACTCTTCATGCTCTGCAGTGATGTTAACTGGCTATGCAAACACGCTGATGGTTGTGTGAATGTGTGTGTGTGTGTGTGATGCTCGATGAATGAACTCAGGTGAATCAACACAAGATTTTTTTTTTTTTTACTGAGTTTTCAGCTACTGTTTTCAGAAATGCTACTGTGAAAATGTAGGAGATATTTAAAAGGTTTTGGAGCTTCTACTTTTTCAGTCTTTTTGGAGACAAGTTCATAGATGATGTGATTAAAAGTTCATCATTCTCATGAAACATTTTGTCTGTTTTATTCCTGATACCTTTTTTATAATTTAAAGCTCCTGTCAGTTTTTCCATAGACTGTATATAAAATGGACAGCGTCTGCCTCCTCGCTGAGTGAAGCCACTGCGAGAACAGCACCCTCTGTTGATGGGCTGCAGTATAGGTCATAAATCCTGCCTCCACCAGCAAAGCTTATGGAGCTGTGGACAAACTTAAGAAAATTATTACACAGAACATGTTTTTCTCCCCCCCGCTTGTGGTGTTGACGCATAGTGACTGTAAGACTGGTTTGTGCTGAAGTCCTCTTTTTTCTGTGAAGCTCAGTTTTTAAAAGTTAGGGGGTTCATGTTTTCTATGATTGACAGCCTATTGGCGTTCAGGGATTGCGTAGCTCACCTGGTAGGCTGGGAGCCAGGTACACCCCACGCGCTGTTTTTTTGCTACCCTTTTTTTCACTATTATTTCTTTTTATCTTATACCTTGGGCCATAACAAGTTCATACTGACCGCCCCCAACTCAGCCCTGTTTGGCCCCAGTGGCCAAAAAACTTTATTTTTGGGAAAAGCTTCTGGCGAAATAATGTAATTGCAAATATTAGGGTGCTGCAACTGCATAAATGGTTAAAAGAGTCTGAAATTTTGCATGGTGTATCCTAACACATAGGAGGAACTACCAGAATAATAATCTGGGTTTACTACCATTCTATTGCCAAATATCACCCTCTGAATACCCCAAAAGACCAAAAAATGTCTGTCCGCCTGACAAATTGTCATCAAAAGTGATCATTTTAAAGTATTTTCTTATACATTTCACTGCCTACCATGGATATGGAAAACTTCCCACATTTATAAGCTTCAATTTAAGTCCAAGCTGACCTTTCTATCTGGAAAAAAACAGGTGCTATGACCAAAGAACTTCACTGTAACCCAACAGCTGGATCAGCATGTAGGACGCAGCACGGGGTGTGTGTGAGTGAGAGGGGGTCAAGGTGGACTCTAAAAAGCACGAGCCTCTCAACAGATGCACACCCTGCTGACTCAGGTTCAATTGTAAAGTCATACTCTGCAAGACTGACAGGAAACTTACCGTCTTTAACTTTCTCCCCCTCTAAATCTTCTTTTACATCTAATAAGATAAAGTAAATATTAATAAGATACTCACCTGTCTCACCTTAACCAGCTACAGTGAAGTATGTCGCCACAATCAAGAGTGATGCTTTGCCTGATGCACTTTTACAACAAGATAAAATGTGTGCAATTTCGGTCGAAATTGGCCGTCGAAATCAAGTCATCTGGAGGTTACAGACAGTAAGTTTCCTGTCAGTCTTGCAGAGTATGACTTTACAATTGAACCTGAGTCAGCAGGGTGTGCATCTGTTGAGAGGCTCGTGCTTTTTAGAGTCCACCTTGACCCCCTCTCACTCACACACACCCCGTGCGGCGTCCTACATGCTGATCCAGCTGTTCCCCCCGTGCGTAAATGGAAAGCTTTTACGCACCGAGCGTGTTTACTCCACATGGGGTTTAATTGTTGTTTTTTGCATTGTCACACGCCTCGCCTGCTGCATAAGTATGCCTCAAACACTGGGGATGAGCTGTGGAGATGAAGAGATGCGGTATTATCTCACTACATAATAAAGGGTGTCTGTGTGTTGGGCTGGGGTGGGGGGGTAAAAGGCAAGGCGTGCGTCCGGACGCTCAACGCCAACGAAACAAGAGGGACTCAGACATCAATAACATCTCACTCATCAATAAGAAATTCTGAGGGGTCAGCACTCAGTTATAATAAGATTCATAATTCAAGCTCAAAATTTTCGTGTTTTCTTTAATTTTGTAGAATATTTTGGACCTTTTAGCCGAGCCCTACATCTTCCTCCCTGTACTATGTCTTCCCGGCCATGTGGCGGCGCTGTGCCGGATGCAGCAACCCCCTTTTACCCCGGGTTTCACCGGAACATGACCCGTCCTCTCCCGGTCGTTGTCTACACGTTTGTATTCCGCGGTTTGTGAAACTAAACTCACCGTGAGCGTTTTTATTTCTGCGTTTGTGAACTTCAGACAGAATGAGTAAAGCACACCCACCCGAGCTGAAGAAGTGAGTGTTTGTAGAAACCTGAAGTATCAGTCTTTGATCCGTTTACTGTGTTAGTGATGAAGCTGCTGACCTGACTTTGTTCATCGGAAGACATGCTAACAGCAGCAGCTAGCATGTGTGTTTGCTCATGTATGATTTATTTTCATGTTTTTCTCTTTTTCTCTCCAGGTTCATGGATAAAAAGCTTTCATGTAAGTAAAGCTGACAATTATATGTTTATGTTTTTACTAAAGTCTCCTCAGTTCAGCCTTTTACTGATTCATGAATGTATAAGTGGAGGTGTTTTTCTCGTGTTTTTACTGTAGAATTAAAGTTTATCATGATTTAGATGCAAATGTAATAAAAGACATTCTCAGTTACTGAATTTCACCTCCAGGCTTAATAAAGTCTAAAAAGGTGAAAAAATAGTCATAAAATAAAGAGACAAAGATATAAATAATCAAACTGAAGTATTAAAGAGCTCAGACTGCAAATGTGAAATAAAACTTTCAGATTAACATTCAGATTTAATCACATGAACAGTTTCTGAACCGAACCAGGACTGTCTTTAAAGTGGACCAGCTCACATATATTCTTTATTTTGCAGTGAAGCTGAACGGAGGCCGACATGTACAGGGCATCCTGCGAGGGTTCGATCCCTTTATGAACCTGGTGGTGGACGACTCCATCGAGATGGGTCCTGGAGGACAACAGAACAGCATTGGCATGGTGGTCAGTGTCTTTACAGGAGATGTTACTCAGGAGATTAATAATAATATAATAATAATAACTTTATTTGTATAGCACTTTTAAAAACAGATGTTTACAAAGTGCTTTGACATCTAGTCATAGAGCACATGGAAAAACACAGATAAAAACAAAAAGCTCAGTTAAAACAGAGTTGAAGGCCATTTTCATGTCATAAGGAACCCAGACAATACAGGAACCATGCAACATAAAAGGAGACCATGAGGACCAAAATAAAAACATAAAATAGTTAATAAAAAAGAAAATGCAATTAAAAGGAAGGGCAAAAGCGGAAACAGGATAGTAAAAATAAAATCAATAACAAGAATGTTAATAAAATAACAGGTAATCCTGATAATAATAGTAATGATAAAATAGAGCAACAGAACAATAAAAGGCCTAAAAGGTTAATTAAGAAAAGAGTACAAGTTTAACAGAAGCTAAATAGACAGTAAAGCCGAAATAAGATAAAGGGAAAAGAGATAAGAGATGACAGATGACAGATAAAAGATATAAGATAAAAGACGGTATCACGTAATTGCAAGTCTGTAAAAGTGAGTTTTTAAACATGACTTAAAAGAAGTGACTGTCTCTGCAGGCCTAATCTCCTCTGGCAGGTCGTTCCAAAGTTGAGGAGCTCTGATGGAGAAAGCTCTGTCACCTTTAGTTTTGAGTCTCGACTTTGGAACGACCAGGAGGCCTTCGCCAGAGGATCTGAGGCTGCGAGTTGGCTCATAGGGTATTAAAAGCTCTGAAATGTAGTTTGGAGCAAGTCCTTTGAGTGCTACAAAAGTAATCAATAAAATCTTAATATTGTCACTTATTTTTATTTTTATATATTTTAGACTTATTTCTGTTTGTTTTATATAAATATACCACAAACAGGAAGAGACAGCAAGAGTGAGAAGATGTGTTTTACATCATTTACAGAGTTTTATGTTTATAAAAGTGGAGGAAAGACAGAAAGGAATGGGTTACTGAGCAGTCAAACCATCCTTTTTAGTGCCTCACTGAGTGAAACAACTTGAAATCTCAGAGTGTCAGCCATGATAGGAGCTGTTTAAATCCGTCTAATGATAGGGAAAGGTGCCTCATTGCTTCCTTTATTACGTCTTTCAGTATAGGCTAGACTGGACCATCCTTTAGGAAAAGGGGAAGAAGGAAAATGACCCATTAGGCTCTAATACCATCTACATTTAAAGTAAAACTCCTTTAAACATGAATAAGAACAAATCATCAGTATAACAGCTGCAGCAGCTCAAACCAAATTCACTGAATTAAATATATTTTTTTACCAAATCAAACTGATGATTCATGAGATAACATTTGACATACATTTTACATTAACCTTTGGAAACTCATATTTTTTTGTCAAATTCCATTTTTTCATCATTGGTTTCATGTCAAAGAGAAAAAGTCGTTGAGTCAGTTTACTGGATTATTTCTCTCTATTCTCTGCGCAGTCTGCAGCATTTCTGACAAAGAGCAGCTGTACCTGCAAACATACTAAAGAGTCCACATCTACAACTAATTTCCATCATTCAATGAAAATATGTCACAACAGAAAAAATCAGCATGTGCTTGTCACAATCCACCAAATTCTTTGTACATCAAGCCCAACAACTGCAATTTCTACCTCCAGGTTGTTCAGCAATGCTTTTAATTTTCCCAGTGAAACAGTTCATGCGGCTTCAGCCCTCTCTGTAGTTCATTCTGAGAGGAGGGAGCAACACGTTTTAGCTCCTTTTTACCGTCTCAGTTCTAACTTGAAGGACAAACACAAAGAAAAGCTTTTGAGATGGAAGAGTTTAAATTCCTGTACTCTTCGGTTTAATGTAGGTAAAGAGGTATAAAGGAAGAAGACCTTCCCCAATGTTTGAGTCTACCCAATAACTAAATCAGTTAGGGTTATTTAAAAAGCACTTTTTTATCACATGTTAAGTCAGTGTGCTTTACACTGGGTTAGAAACCTACAACAACGTGAAAAATTGCTTTCACTGGTATGAATAAGATACAGAAATCAAATCAAAGCATGCACCCAGGGTATATCAAACTGCAGATTTACTTGTGTGTGATTAATGTGTGTCTTTGTCTCTTGCAGGTCATCAGGGGAAACAGCATCATCATGTTGGAGGCTTTAGAGAGAGTTTGACGGAGAAGAACCAGCCGCACATTTTTACTTCATGTTTTCCTTTTAGATTTTTTGTTTTCCTGTCTGAAAAATGCAGAGGCTTGAGCTGTAAGACTTATTTCTGTTTGAACATGTTTTGTTAAATCTTGTGAATAAATCTTTTTTCCTTTGTATTTTGTCTCTATTCAGTCATGAATGTTTGTGATCAGGTCATAATTTATCAAGTTTGAGGTTACAGTTGGGTCAACGTAAGAAATAAACAGTGATTACTGTGTTTATGTCGAATCTTTCAAGCACAGATACAGCCAGAGATACACAGCAACAGTTCATGCCAAGTTTAAGTCTGAAAATATGATAGGAAGTAAAAATGTGCTGCGCTCAAAACAACCCTTTATGTATGAAAAAGAAAATTCAGGTTAAATCTGATTAAAAGACTTCAGATGATCTGTGTTTGGCTCTATTAAGCAGATTAACAACATTTAAAATGAAGGTTTGTTGAAATAAGCTGTTGAGGTAAATCACTTTGACTTCCTCCCTTCTATGAGCTCAGCTGAGAGCAACACAGTAACTTTAAAAAATGAGGTTATATTTTTTAACTCATTTAATATCAAGTAAAAATATAGTACTGTTCACACACTCCTAATAACATTTTTAATAAACTTTGTTTAAATGTAACTTTTTCATGTTAAAAGGGTTCAAAGTAGATTTTAAGGCCCCTTTTTTAGCAAAAAATATGAACTCAGCATTAAAAAACTGATCACCTAAATAGTGATAATCTATTGACACATGGTACTTCAATTCACCAATACTGTAAAGGTTTCTCCTCAGAATGACTCAAACCTTCAGGTGAACTAGAAAATGCAGCTTAAATCTGTAGCCTTAAACTGCTGTAGTTTACTGTTACAGCTATTTCTTTTTTTGTTACATTTCGGTGTATATAAAAGTATCATGCACCATCTGTAAAACCGCAGTATAGTGGAACCAAATCACTGCTACAGATACCTGATCTACAGAGTCTATTTATACACCTGCTCAAACTGCAGAGGTCAGATCTGTGAACTACTTTATTGAAATGAATGAACAACAAAATTTTAGCAATATTGAACTGGGGTATCAGGTTTATAACATGCAGGTGTCTTCACTTAAGATACTGAGGAGACACGAACAGAGAGCTGTTTGTAGCAAACAGACTTCATATAAAATATTTTATGTTTATTTCTTAAAAAAAAAAAAAAAAACCTGGTTCTTCACAGTGAACGCCCTCAACAGCAGGGGCGCTCTTCGCGCAACATCCGCTCCATATTCTCTGAACTTTATTTTGAAAGGCTGCTGACGTAATCGGGAACACGTTCCTTTACGTTTCCTGACGTTTCTTTACGTCTGTGTGTCGTCGCCCTCTGACGGTATGTGGAAAGTAGCAATGTCGGAGGAGGTTGGAAAGGCGCTGCAGTCGGTGGTTGATCGGGTGAACCAGGCGGCGACACGCCGGCCCAAGGTAACCAGAGCCCGGCAGAACCCTGCTCAGGAGCCCCGTTAACCAAGCTCCTCAGCCGGGTCCAGATAATGTCTCTGCGGCGGCACGACGCGTTATGTAAGGCTGCCAAACACCTCAACCTTTGGATGGGAGGCAGAGAGCTGCTGGCAGCACTTTCATAACAGCATGCATGCTTCGTGCGTGGTGTGCGTGATGTGCGGGGGGGCAAGAGGAGTCTGCATGCAGAGAAACACCGAGATTATAATGTCGTGATGTGCATGTTTGAAGGTTTTTTATCCACATTTGGATTAGCCTGTCTTCACCTGAGCACTGACAGCCATGAATGTAAACAGGTCGTTATCACGCACACATCCTGCGTGATGCTGCTTCGTGAAGGTTGATATGTAGGTCAGAGGACGAACCCCAGCTCTGATATCAGGAAACATCAGTTTGAACCTGACAGGCTGATCTCACACTGATGTGTTCACTGATGGAGATAATGTGTGTGTGTGTGTGTGTGTGTGTGTGTGTGTGTGTGTGTGTGTGTGTGTGTGTGTGTGTGTCCTCCCTCAGACTCTTCCTGCTGTGTCTCCTCGCCTCGTTGCTGTCAGTAAGACCAAACCTCCGGACATGGTGGTGGAGGCGTACAGACAGGGTCAGAGGAACTTTGGGGAAAACTATGTGAGTAAAAACAGGTGAATGAACAGCATGAATGATAAACTCTGACAGGTATAGAGGGATCAGTCTCACCTGTGTGTCCTCTCCAGGTGAATGAGCTGGTGGACAAGGCTTCAGACCCTCTGGTATGTTTACAGATTTATGAAATAGACTCTATTCTCTCTTTCAAGCTCTCATAAACTTTCCTTCTCGTCCTCCAGATTTTGGCCTCCTGTCCGGACATTAAGTGGCACTTCATTGGTCACCTACAGAAGAACAACGTCAACAAACTCTTGGGTAAGTCACACCTGCTGCACCTGATCCATGTGCATGTTTTCAAATCTCACATTTACCCTCCCTATCCTCAGGTGTGCCAAACCTCTTCCTGGTGGAGACGGTGGACTCAGTGAAACTGGCCGATAGGGTGAACAGCTCGTGGCAGCGTCTGAGAGGAGCCAGCATGCAGAGGCTAAAGATCATGGTGCAGATCAACACCAGTGGAGAGCAGAGTGAGTGTTGATTCCTGTGTGTCTGCAAACACACACAGACCCTCGGGTGTTTTCAAACTGTCACCTGGTCTCTGCAGGTAAACACGGCCTTCCTCCAGAGGACACAGTGAACACAGTGAAGCACATCGTGTCTCAGTGCTCCGCCCTGCACTTCTTAGGACTCATGACTATCGGACGCTATGGCTACGACCTCAGCCTGGGCCCCAACCCTGACTTTCAGGTACACAAGCTGGACTTAGAACATGATGAGGATCAGGAGGCGGCGCATGGAGAGCGGTTTGATCCAGAGACGTAGTTAATGTCATCTCAGGGAGCCCCTCATTAAGAGCACCTCCATACTGTACTCTGTTTCATTACTTAGATCATTTTCCGGTTTTAATGTACAAATTTCCATCATTCATACTGTTGCGTCCCCTCACTGGCACCCTTGCTGTATTAAACAGGATTTTTAAAATTTGCTGATCACTCAAAGTGTAGAAATGCAGACCCTGAATGAGCAATCTTGTAAGTTTGGGTCCTTGTGTGGGGCTTCGAACCTGTCAAACATACGATACCACAGCCTCAGTCCTTCTTCTTCTGCTGTGGAGGGTTTGACTATTACCTTTCTTAGCTACGCATTTATGCTGTTCAATTTCTGGGTTAAAGCCTGATGTGCAAACTGTGGAGCACACTCAGAACACTCAGGCCAGTTTCAGTCCTATCATAAATGCATCTGTAGAGCTACATGATGTAGAAGTCAGATTCAGAGTGATTTCAGATAGACTAACATTTCTCTTTGTGTTGTGATAGTCAGGGTTGGAGTTAAGGTCAGACATGAGAGTGTGGTCCTTGCAGGATCCAGTGCATAAGATGGTGGAATTGCAGTTCCTAAATCTGCACCCTCTGGATCTGCAGACTTATGCTACTCAGATGGTTGGAGAAGAATAAAGATTAACTCAACGAATCAACTAGGAGTAATTTAACTTTCTGTTAATTGATCCTAGTGTTTTATGAAAGCCTTCAGTTTGGTGTAAAGAAGCTGTTTTTATTTCTTGTGCAGTAATTCATCTCTAATCTCTAAACTAAAACTAAACCGTCTCAAACTGCAGGGTTCTGAAAATCAAACTAGTCCAACACTGAAAGCAAACAGATCAGCTGACGGAGTTATGTGAGGTGGGATTGGTTGGGTTATAATCCTGTTCATGTGTCCCCCCTGCAGATGCTCCTGAGTCGGAGGCAGGAAGTGTGTGACAATCTGAAGCTTCCCATGGAGGAGGTGGAACTCAGTATGGGCATGTCCACAGACTTCGAACATGCGGTGAGTTTCAGTCTTCTGTTGGCATTTACATGGAGTTGCTTTGACCAATCAGGAGTCAGCAGGAAAAACTGTCTGTATGGAGAGCAAAAACAGGAGGAACACAATCCATATACTAAAAATATAAATAGTATTCTAAAAATAGTGAAAGCGAGGTTTGGTTTCATGTAAAATATTATGATTGTGATCTAATTATGGTTTGTTTCCAGTTGTCATAGAGATGTGGAGGCAGACAGGAAAGTGCAGATGGAAAAAGCACAAATGCAGCTGAGATTTGTGAATCTTTAGAAGCCTGTTTGTCATTCAGATCCTCATGCAGAACTGTATTAAAAATAGACAGGACTCTGCAGTGGAAATCCCCTTATGTGCCCCGAATCTCTTAATAAGAATACTGTCTGTGAACACAGTTCATTAGGCATCCACAAATCAGGTTCAAACTGAACCATTCAAATAGGAATCTAGCTAGAAACATGAAGCAGAAACACCAGAGACTTCTCTGGACCTGAGCCCGTATAAGGTGGATATTTTCCCTCTTCATTTTTTACACTAACTTCAGTGCCTACAACAGGTTCTTGAACAGGTGCTTTTCCTTTTTTATCCACACATACACCAATAATGGAACCAAATCAGAAACCACATTTGAAGTATTCTTTATCATCGTTTTAACATGTTTCCTCCTCCTGTGTCACAGATTGAGGTTGGCTCCACTAACGTGAGGGTGGGCAGCGTCATATTCGGTAACAGAGAGTATCCCAACAGTGCAGCTAACACTCCAAACCCAAGTCCAGGTCCCAGCCCAGCCCCCAGCCCTGAAAAAACCTCCAAGACGGTGTCAGAGGAGGCGGCCAAGAAGATGCAGCACCTGACTGTGTCTGGACAGTAGAAGAAGAAGTGCTCCTCTTCCTCTGAATATTCAAGAAAAACTCTTCTCGATGAGCTCGGTGAGCAGGAAAAGAGGTCATCTCCACAGGGCAAGCGGGACCCTGATTTGGGCCTCATTTTAACGTGTATTTGATTAACCCTCTCCAGTCTCTGTGTGCCCGCCTGCTCTCAGAGCAGCGTTCAGACAGAGCTAGTCTGATCTTTTTTAACAGTAACGTGTCACTAACCTGTAGCTCTCATGGAAACCCTCCTGCAGTAACTGGATAAAGTCAGATAGAAACTACTGAACACTCTGAGGACGTTTGGCGTGATAGTGAGGATTTGTGTCATGTGATATTTTCTACCTTCTGACCCGACATGTGACCGTGCAGAAACGTGACGTCTAACTGAACAATGTGCCACTTCTGTTGTACGACAGAGACTCTGTTTAATAAACCATTGATCCCTTTATAACGACACACAGTTTGCGTGTTTGGTATTGTTTTGGTACGATGTGTGTGTGTGCGTGTCAGATCTTTATTCTTGATATGAACAGAGTACGTGTTTCTGTGTCTGTGCTGTGATTGGTGGAAATAAGCGAGGATGTTGTGGATCTATGCAAAGTGTTGACTTTGTGTTGCTGGGGCTTTTTAAGTCTGTGTTTCTGTGGTTTCACTGAAGCTCTCTGCGGGTCTCTGTGTCTCTAAAAACCTGAGCTTGGACATGTGGATGCTGTGTTTGCAGCCGGAGCCAAGCAATAAATCTGACTGTGTTAAATATCGGCTGTGTGTTTCTTCAAAAACAACCTCAGAGGTGAGCGGAAGGTTTAAATAAGACTCTTTATTCAGCACATGAAGGTGGTGTGATAATAACAACTCAAAAACATGACCTACCACAGTCTGCAGCTGGACAACTGAACTGATAATACTAATAATGCTAATCCACTTTTCTCTGTCTAACAATAAAAACTCATCTCCCATCATGAATCAGAATATTTATCCATGAGTGTAAACTTGGCCGAGGCTCTGCAGCAGAATAAATACGTTTTTGGACACTGATGACAGGAACAGTCACAAACTTCATTCAGTGTAAAAAGTTTTAGAAAATGAACAGCTGCACGTTTTATTTACAACAAAGATAATTCTGTTATCACAAACTGTATCTACAGAACAGCCCTAACGAAAATGTGCGGGAAAATCAAGCTAAAAACTATTTACATTCAGCAGAAAGTGACACCACTGTAATTCAGCGTCAATAAGCCAAATATAAACTGGTAAAAAGTGATTATGACCATAAATACTGAATAACTTTAGAGTTTATGAACCATGAAATAATCTGTAACTGGAGTTTTAGCTGTAAATACATGAGTGAATTATGATATCAAGTATTTATGACTGAGTGAATAGTGTGTATTTATATTGTATTTATGTGTTCACTCTTCCTTAACCTTCATCACTGCTGAGCGTGCTCCATTAGGTAATGAAGACTACAGCGTGAGGCGACTTTCTGTATCTGAATATTGTTACACAAAATATTTGGATGAATTTAATCAAAGAATCAAATCAAAAACATATTTGACCTCCTATTGCAATCAAATTGAGAACCACTACATCCATTGAGCAGCATATCAAATAATCCCAAATGATGTTGAAAATTTCCTGACCTCCAAATGGTGCAAGTTTATACTTTATGCTTTGAGGAGAAGGTGAACATTAAAGGCGTATGACCTGTTAGCAAAGGCTAAATATGAGGTTAAAGTGAGGCAGTTCTACAGAGGCATGAAGATTTAGTGTGACTTTAGTTGACTGAGACCTCAGATATCTTTAGGGGTTATTAAACTATGAAACAAACTATGACAGAATCATAAAAACATATTTTTTACAGAAGCTCTAAGCAGACATGCTTCCACATTTTTTATTTAATCAGTTGTCCTGTGAGAAAGAGATTATTTTGGTTGTTTTATCATGATCTGCCCTGAAGATGAACATATTTGAGAGCTGGTTTTTAGCGGACAGGTGAGGTGAGTCATGTAAAGAGGCAATTGCCGAGACTGCTTTGTTTTCTAGATGACCAGAAAATGATCCTGTTATCATGAGAGAACAAGCTCTTCCATCTCAGGATACTAAGGAGTAAATAAGCCCAAATCTCAAGAGAACCACAGAAATGAAATCTTCATCTTAATAAAATGTATGACGCATGTCTGCTCAGGGTGTGGTGTTTCTCAGGATCAGCCACTGGGTTATTAGCTCAAAAATAATCACTAGTTTATTCCTGTGTGACAATAAAATCAAACCTCAGGTCACTCATGTCTCTAGTGGTTCAGCACAGGAGGGTAAAAGCAGGAGAACAAAGAGAGATAACTGGTGTCGCTAACGGAAAAAGAATCAAACTCTAAAACTTGTAGAGGGAGACCTGGTCACCCAGGACCGATACCTGCTGCCGTGATCGGCTCAGTGTACCGTTTATGGCTGATAATCGGACCTCACGCCTCTTCCTGGTCATCTGCAGTGTCTGTGAACTTGAGCTAACGTGGTCTCCTGATGTTAAACCAGTTTCTTGGCCTCAAAGAAGCTCTTCAGGTGCTTCATCTGCCAGATTCCCGTGACGATGAGGATGAGTGTCTGAGCGATGGACCACCAGAGGACGCGCTGGTTGGTGCTCTCGCTCGTCATACGGAAACGCTCCTCGCGGTACTGCAGAGGAAACAGCACACAGTCACCTCTCTGATTAAACAGAACCAGTACCTGAAAGACCTGGGAGAGTGTTACTGACCCGCTGGTAATTCTGCTCCTTCTGGATCTGCTCCACCTGGTCCAGCAGCTGTCGCACCCTCAGCTGCAGCTCCGTCAGTTTGTCCTTGGCTGCGATCTCGGGGTAGTTATTAGTATGTTCTCCCACCTGGATATCCAGGTGAACTCTCTGAAACACACAGAAACAGGCAGGTTAAAAACGATCAGGGTTAAAGATTAAACAGTCTGATTGAGTGAGTGAAACTGAGTCTAAAAGTAATCCAGCCAGGACCAGGTTAGTCACAAACATCCTTAAAGTAAGCCTGATGTTCTGAGTGAGTCTGGTTTAACAGGTTATCCTGCTGCATCAAACTGCCCCCAGTTTCATCAAACATACTCGTGTTAAACAGTTAATCAGTCAGCTAGTTAAAAAACAATGACTGTGCAGGTACCAGTTTTCCTCCTGCAAACAGAGCCATCTTGGTGGAGTTAGAGTGCAGACAGATCTGATGCTCTCCTGGAGTATGAGAGGTGAAGGTGAAGCGCCCGTCTGAGCCGTACTGACGGGACAGGATGATCTGAGGAGACAAACATCTTCAGGTTCTGTCCACAAGCAAAAAGGTGTGTGTTTTTTTTCTCGAACAGATCGTCTACTGTTCTCACCTTAGTGTCTGGATCTTTAATCTCCACGTGCATCCCGAGGCCGGGCGTCGACGGGAGGAAGGAGCCGCTCTGTTTGTCCCACAACTGAGTGCGATACTTCCCTACATTATGAAGAGGAGAGAAACTTGGCAGTAAATAACAAAGAAGACAGAAAAGAAGAAAAGAATAAATAAATGATGAAGACATGATTCTTTTTCTCTATGGTCTGATCTTGTTCTTGTTTAAGGTCAGCATGTCGGGTCAGTTTCACTTCGATATCGATTTTGTCTCACAGGAAAAAACATGGAGTCATGATGTTAATTCTTCTGAGTAACACTTTACAGTATCAACCTTCAAACAGTTTAAGTTAAGCAGGGATAAAAGGTGTTCAATCCAAGGTTGCTATTTCTCCATTTATACTTGCTCTACAACACTACAGCCTAAAGTAGCTGATGGACTTCAGACATTTATAATCTGCTTCCTGCTAAGAAATAGAAACATTTATCAATGAATGACTGGTAGAGGTTAATATATTAGATAATGCAGATGAATAAACACTCACACGTCTGAAAACACGATTCGGTTCCACAGGTCGTAAACATCAGTTTAGGTGATGTTAAATTTGAATCACACAAGTGTCAGCTTTGTGTTTAAATTTAGCATCGGTTCAAATTCAGAAACCTAAAAACTGTTAAACAAAGGCAAGAGTACAGAGCCTGTTGGTAACACTTTATTTGACGCCTATCTCTATAACGCTTTATAAATACATGTATAGTGCGTTATTAATGTTATAGCACTGTATAACTATAGTTATAAACACTCATAAATGATCATAATGCTTTATAGCAATACTCATAACACATTATAAAGCATTTTATCATGACTTACAAGGTCAGGTATTAAAATGTGTTATGCTTATTGTTATAAAGCCTTGTGATAATTAATGAGCGTTTATAATGACAGTGATACAAGTTTATAAGCAAATTATAACACATCATGAATATACATATAATGCTTTATCTATGTGGGCATTGTCGGTGAGTTGTTAACAGTTATAACACATTACAATACCTGACCTTGTAAGTCATGATTAAATGCTTTATAATGTGTTATGAGTATTGCTATAAAGCATTATAATCATTTCTGAGTGTTTATAACTGTAGTAATACAGTGATTATAACGCATTATACATATATTTCTAATGCATTATGGAGACAGGCGTCAAGTAAAGTGTTACCAATTTGTCTTTAAAACATGTGTTCAAAGGTACATTTGGGTTCACTTTCACATGAATAATATAAGTATAATTGTTGTGATTATATTTTAACATAATTATTCCTAATGTAGTATTCATTAATAATACTAATACTACTATTAATCATCATCATCATCATCATTAGAGAAACTGCAGTCCAATAAAGGGTCACATTGAGAAAGAAAAACATGATTTGAAGAATAAAGTAATAATATCACAAAGGTTAGGTCTTAGTATTGTGAGATTTAAATCGAAATAATCGAATAATCGCCAAGTATCTGTCGAACAATATTTCTGGTCTGGTGCCTCTAACAGGTGCAGACTCGAGGATTTTAGGGGGGCGTATTAAAAGTGTGTTTCTGTCTCCGGTCAGACCTGTTCTCAGATCTGAACTAACAGCTGTTTGATGGGGGGACCGGTTCACCTTTCGACTAATGCTTAAGGGATAAATGAAGGAAAACAGCAGCAGAGGTCTGGATCAGGGGGCTCTGAGGGCCTGGTCCCTGATGATCCTGAGAGATGATCGGACCCTGACTGTTAACCCTAATTATAATCAGGGTATAAATGTAAAGACACCAAACACTGGAGACGCTGTGTTTGAAACACTGATAATGATTAATCTGTTTGTTGGTCTCCGTGAAGTCAGACTGAAACTCCCTGCAGCATCCCTGACGGAAACAGCTGTTCGCCTGTTAGCTTAGCTCATCCTAACGCCTTTCCTCGTCTTACCGATCACCATGGTCTCATCCGGGATCTCCTCTATGAAGCATTTCTTCTCCGTCTCTCCGATATGGAAGTAAAGTGTCTGAGCCTGGTGGACCCAGGCTAATGTTAGGAGCAGAGCAGCAGAGACCGAGAGCATCATGGAGGAGCCTCCTTCACACACCGAGGGACGAGCCGTGATGCTGCAGCCCGGTGACGTCACCACGCACTGCGGAAGAAGGAAGGGGATTTCCTGGAAGGCAGAGGTAAGTGTGCCCTGGGTCCAGACTGGCAGGCAACACGTACCTCTGTGTTTGTTTGTTTTAGATCAGAAGCAAATAAATAAACAAACAAAATAATTATTATTTGCACGAACTGCTTGTGGATATCAGTTTAGGAACAGCACTCAGTTACCTCTGAAACCACTCCAAATGCTTAAGTCCAATCACCTTTTTTCTTTTAATACTTTAATACTTAAATACTTTTTATAGTTTTGGTATATTCCATCGTTTTGTACAATAACCCTGAAGGTCAATGGAACATTTTTTAAGGAAAGTGCTGAAAATATTTCATGAACTACAAAAATATTTCATTAAATGCAAAAAAACATTCTATAATACCCCAAAAACAACAAAACATAAAAATATTTTAGCAACACAAAGGGCCTACATTTTGTAAACTAAAAACTTCGGATATTCTGGAGCAAATTGTCACACTTTCCATCAAAATATCAATTTTCTATGTCTAACATTCACTTCTCAAAACAATATTGACCAGCAGTCAATTGAATGATGAATTCCTACTGGAGAAAACATTACTCACTCAGAGTACCTCCGCAACCTGTACCCCTTGGGTTTTTACTTAAGTCCTTGTTTACATACTGACAGAATGGGCAAAAGGGATAAAACAAATAAACAAAAAAATTAACAATAAATAAACAAAATAAGATTAATCTTATTTCATTATCTAAAATGTGATTTTAGTTAAGTGTGTTGTAGTCCACCATCTAATGAGGAGGGTTTATTCCCCTGACAGACTGAACTCAGGGCAGTGGAGATTAGAGCGTTTCCTGAGCTAACAACAGTCTCCTGACTAGGCTCTGACAGGTAAACCCAGAACACCTGAAACGGGCTCAAAGAGAGGGGGGATAACTGAATAAAGAGCGGCGAAATGTCTCTCAGAAGATCCACAGCTCGTTGATGTTGGTTTTTATATCTGTCAGCGAAAACGGGCCTCAGTTTATCACCGATTAGCTACATTCAGCAGCTAGCTCTGAAGCTAACTCGCTAGCTGAACCAAACTAGTCCCTTTTTTTGGCGTCAGTGTAACAACTGAGAGACAGGTGTGCTACCTGATAATCCGGACTAAAACCCCGAGGAATATAGACAGGTAGGTCAGGTTCTCTTCTCTTTTGTGTATCGTTAGCTGTGTGCTGGGGTCAGATTGTATCCTGTCTGTAAACACGTCAGCGCCGATATTAAAAAAACGTGTTTATTATCGAACATATCTGCTGTTTTAAGGCTCAGGTGGAGGTTTGATCGTCTGCTGTAACAGAATATCCACAGAAACTAGAAAATGCAATTTCTGAAGAAATTGCGAGTGGGATTGCTTCAGTCGAAATTGCTAGCGCTAAGCTGCTATTGCGAATGGCTGAATTTTAAAATATGTGAAAGGTCAAAAGGTATGAAGAATCAGGAAGATTTGAATCAATTGGAATAAACTCAATTGAATGAATTGAATAATGCATGAATAACAATTTTAGAAAATTCAACATCTGAAAATTAAAATGATTAAAAACCCTGAAGTATGGGAAAGGCTTGAAGAACCAATAAGTTTTGAATCAGTTTAAATGAGTTGGAATTTGTTTGAAAGAACTGAATAATGTATAAAGAGTAAAAAATATTTAAAACTGGAGAATTAAAAGGTTACAAATCTGGAAGAAAAAGAGGTTTGAAGAATCAAAACGGTTTAAATCAGTTTGAAGGAAATAAATTAGTTTGAAGAACTAAATTATGCATTTTCAATGAATGATTGAAAAATGGGGACAATGTAAATGAAAAAAAATCCTGATTTGACCCCATAATGTCCTCAATTTCTGTAGCTCAAGGTTTGTGCGAAGAGATAGATGACAAAGTTCGTCAAATAACTCTATTGAAGGGTTTTAAATGTAACCCCCAGTACTCTGTGTACTGAGCCTGGCTTCATGTGTCTCATATGGCTGTTAGAAGCAGCTTTCCAGCCAGCTGTGTGTCTCCAGGTGCTCTTATTGGTTGCCATGGTGACTGCAGATGCTTAACAACAGCAGGAGAAAGGAGGCTTGAGGCTGAGAACGTAATGCCCAAACAACGTCATATTTCTCATCCTCTGTAACTGCTATCTTCATGATCAGGAGCTTGTGAGTACCACAAGGCCCGGCTGAACACGTTGATACAACTTCTGTGTTTGTGGAGCCAAAAATGCCTTCGCTACGACAAGTTAAAAACATGTCCAGTTTGTGTTTCCTCTGAAAATCCTCCTCTCAGGTTTACATTGGAGTCAATGGAGAAAGCTGGGGGATGTCTGCGGCAGTTGGTGTCTGCCCAGGCCACTGTTTGTGTCCTACAGCTTTGATTTTTTGGATGAAGAGTGACAGCGAGTTTTGCCATCACTGTACCAAATTTTATCTGTGTAGAGCGAAGTGAGTTGCCACAATCCTTTTGTAAAGACAAAGTTTTGAGGTTAAATTTTCAGCCCCTCTCACTCTAGCTGTGAGGTCACCCACTCTAGCGGCCAACATTCCGTGCAATACACACTAATGTTAAAACCTGAACCGGTCAGAAAATCTTTGGACTTTTTGAACTGTCACTGTGAGAAAAGTATGAATGCCATGAAGATGGTGAATGAATGAGTGAATGTCTGAAGATGTGTGAATATTTTAAAGTTTGAATGAAGTTTCTAGGTGAAAGTATGAATGAATGAGAAGAGGTTGAAGTTGACTACGTCTGAAGCCCTTTTCCCATTGAATCCCATTATAACGAAGTTTTAAACAAATCTTAATATTTTGAAAAGTACAAATGGGATTAAAAATGTTGAAGATGTGGAATAATGCTGACGAATTTGTGAATATTTTGGTTTTTGAATGAAGTTTCTACGTGGAAGTATAGAGTAGTTGAAGGCTTTTGAAGATGTGTGAAGAAAATGTGAGAAAAGGGACAATTTGAACATTCCGTAATGCATTTCCAATGGGAGAAATCGGTCGGAAAACCTGGAATATCTCGGAAAGTATGAATGTTAGGAAATTTTTGAATACAAGCCGGAATCTCCTGAATGAGACGAATCTTTTGAAGTTTGAATGGTTTGAATACGTTGAAGTATGTGGAAGGAGAAGCGGTCCAAAAAACGGCGGAATAATAATAATAACTAGAAAATGCAATTTCTGAAGAAATTGCGAGTGGGATTGCTTCAGTTGAAATTGCTAGCGCTACGCTGCTATTGCGAGTGGCTGAATTTTAAAATATGTGAAAGGTCAAAAGGTATGAAGTATCAGGAAGATTTGAATCAGTTTGAATAAACTCTGTTGAATGAATTGAATAATGCATGAATAATAATTTTAAAAATTCAACATGTGAAAATTAAAATGATTAAAAACCCTGAAGTATGGGAAAGGCTTGAAGAATCAATAAGGTTTGAATCAGTTCAAATGAGTTGGAATTTGTTTGAAAGAACTGAATCATGTATTAAGAGTAAAAAATATTTAAAACTGGAAAATTAAAAGGTTACAAATCTGGAAGAAAAAGAGGTTTGAAGAATCAAAACGGTTTAAATCAGTTTGAAGAACTAAATTATGCATTTTCAATGAATGATTGAAAAATGGGGACAATGTAAATGAATAAAAATCCTTATTAGACCCCATAAGGTTTTAAATGTTACCCCCCGTACTCTGTGTACTGAGCCTGGCTTCATGTGTCTCATATGGCTGTTAGAAGCAGCTTTCCAGCCAGCTATGTGTCTCCAGGTGCTCTTATTGGTTGCCATGGTGACGATAGATGCTTAACAACAGCAGGAGAAAGGAGGCTTGAGGCTGAGAACGTAATGCCCAAACAACGTCATATTTCTCATCCTCTGTAACTGCTATCTTCATGATCAGGAGCTTGTGAGTACCACAAGGCCCGGCTGAACACGTTGATACAACTTCTGTGTTTGTGGAGCCAAAAATGCCTTGACTACGACAAGTTAAAAACATGTCCAGTTTGTGTTTCCTCTGAAAATCCTCCTCTCAGGTTTACATTGGAGTCAATGGAGAAAGCTGGAGAAATCTGGGGGATGTCTGTGGCAGTTGGTGTCTGCCCAGGCCACTGTGTGTGTCCTATGGCTTTGATTTTTTAGATGAAGAGTGACAGCAAGTTTTGCCATCACTGTACCAAATTTCATCTGTGTAGAGCGAAGTGAGTTGCCACAATCCTTTTGTAAAGACAAAGTTTTGAGGATCAATTTTCAGCCTGTCCCACTCTAGCTGTGAGGTCACCCACTCTAGCGGCCAACATTCCGTGCAATACACACTAATGTCAAAACCTGAAGAGGTCAGAAAATCCTGTGAATTTTTGAACTGTCACTGTGAGAAAAGTATGAATGCCATGAAGATGGTGAATGAATGAGTGAATGTCTGAAGATGTGTGAAAATTTTAAAGTTTGAATGAAGTTTCTAGGTGAAAGTATGAATGAATGAGAAGAGGTTGAAGTTGACTATGTCTGAAAGCCTTTTCCCATTGAATCCCATTATAACGAAGTTTTAAACAAATCTTAATATTTTGAAAAGTACGAATGGGATTAAAAATGTTGAAGATGTGGAATAATGCTGAAGAATTTGTGAATATTTTGGTTTTTGAATGAAGTTTCTACGTGGAAGCATAGAGGAGTTGAAGGCTTTTGAAGTTGTGCGAAGAAAATGTGAGAAAAGGGCCAATTTGAACATTCCGTAATGCATTTCTAATGGGAGAAATCGGTCGGAAAACCTGGAATATCTCGGAAAGTATGAATGTTTGGAAATTTTTGAATACAAGCCGGAATCTCCTGAATGCGAGGAATCTTTTGAAGTTTGAATGGTTTGAATATGTTGAAGTATGTGGAAGGAGTAGCGGTCCAAAAAACGGTGGAAGAATAATAATAATAATAATAATAATAAAGATATGAATAACATATAGTGGGAATGCTCTGCAATCCCACTCAATAAAGATATGAATAACATATAGTGGGAATGCTTCGCAATCCCACTCAATGAAGGTTCGAGCTGACTTCAGATCTGTGCCTCATGGTGCCGGGGTAATGACGTCATGTTTCCCCCCGTCCATACTCACCTGAACTCAGATTACACACACAGGGACAGTTACATGATACTAAAGGTGATATAAACTCATCTGATGAACAGATCAGAGCCTGTGGTGGGTTGGGTGAAGAAGACCCCTCACATGAAGAGGATAAAGGTTTTTATGGAGGACTAAACTGAAAGTGAAAGGTGTGTGAGGCTCTGTGCCATGTGTTTGTTATGAGCTGACCCACCGGGTTCCTGCTTTCAATCGTCTCTGTCTCTTTATGAACGTGTAAGAGAGCATGGGAGCTGATGGCTGACACATGATGTTTATGTATTTTTTATTTTATTATTATTTTATTGTTATTATTATTTAATAATCAACAATCAGACTGATTAATGAATAAACAACTATGCCGGACTAAAATGAAAATTTTTTCAAACAAAGACAGAAAAATATTTCGTCAGGTTTTCTGTAATAATTCAAAACAAAGAACAACAAAACATAAAAAGTCATACTTTCACTGGTCCATGCACATTACTGCCTAATATACATTGACGGTCTCTTCTAGAAACACCTGAAGCTTCTGGTTGATCCTGAGATGGCTTAGAATGGACCATAGACTGTATATACTATGGACAACCTTGTTCCGCCTCCCCCCTGTATATGGATTTGAAGCCAAAAAGCTCTCGGTATTTGGATTATCAAAACGCTATGTGTCTTTCAGATTAAACACGGTACAAAAGTCAAGCAAAACAGGATTATAAGAATGATTTTGGTATTTTGAAGGATACCTATCAAGCCACTCATCCATAACCATGTTATAATCGCCATCAAAAATAAGGTTTTTGGTAGGATACCTTTGGTAGAGATCCTTGACTGACTGTGTGATTTCAGAAATTAAGATTGTTGTATCCATAAATGTTTCCTAGAATTAGAAAATCCTCATTTGCTTAAAAAAAACAACTAATTATCCAGTGACCTGATGGGTCTCTGTGGTCAAAATTTTCCCAGGGAAGTTGTCTAAGAGTACAGCCACACCTGCTGATCTGTTTGTGCCGTGACTAAATATAATTTTGTCACCCCATTGATTTGACCAGAATTTTTCATCAGTGTCATTCGAATGAGTTTCTTGTAGGAGAAGACATTGTGCTTTTTCATTTTTGCAGAATAAGAAGGTTGATTTTCTTTTAATAGAGTCTCTAAGGCCCCGAGCATTAAGAGAAATAAAGGAGAATTTAGAATTGAAAAAAGGCATAAAAAAGGTATGCATTTAACTGGGAAGTGTGGACTTTGCTTAAGATTAAACACTCGAGTATTGCCCCTATCTAACACTTTTTGAAGTAATAAAAATTTGTAACACAATTTTGTCCTTCAATATTTATATCAGCGATGAAAAGGATGTTGATACTAATGTAAACTTTGAGAAAACAAGAGCAAAGTCAGGCACATATGTACCTGAAGCTGTGAAGCAAAACCTTCAAGCTTAGTTTAAGGAAAAGTGCACCAACCATTTATGACCTATACTGCAGCCTGTCAACAGAGGGTGCTGTTCTCGGAGTGGCTTCACCCAGCGAGGAGGCAGACTCTGTCCATTCTACATACAGTCTATAGAATGGACGTTAGAGCCTCTCTATGTGCTCTGGATCTACAGGCCGAGGACGTGGGCGTTAAGAAGATACAGCAGACTGTTTCTAAAATAACACTGAGCTAATGATCTGCATGTTTATCTCTGCAGGTATGGTGCAGCCTCAACCTGACGGCCCCATGCAGTGGGAAATGTCTGGAGAGGACAGTGGGGGGGCCCTCAGGGTCCCCCCGGAGCTTGCTGCCAACGAAGTGGTGACCAGATTACTGGGAGACAACCAGCAGCTCAGAGGTACAAGAACTAATCATCAAGTTTTAATAAGAAAACGGAACACATGCAAAAAAATTATCAATGTTTACAAGATGCAATTTATGAAAATGGTTTTAACCAAAACACAACAGAAAAGTAGAGATGTTTTATATCGGGGCGCACCAGTGTATTGGTGGAACATCTGCAAATATGGTCCCTGTTGAGGGACATCAACACAATGTCAGCTGATGTTCGTCTGTGTCTTTATCTTTGTCACACAAATCTAAAGCTATCATCCCTTTCTGCAATTAGGAGAAGATTTTATTGAGCAGCGGAAGTCACCTGTAGGACAAACCGATTTATTTTTATGTTCAAAATGTGTCTGCAGTTAGGGAATAATAGAACACAATCTTCAAGCAAGATCAGCAACATGCAGCTTGTGAGACATGTTTCAGAGACATTTTTGAGGGAGTTTTAAGATTAAACTAGCCGCTTCCCTCATCTTATTGTTCTCATAAAAATCAGGCACAAAAAAATACACAGAAGTCGTGCAAAAAGCATCAATGCTGGATATCAACATCTGCTAAATAGATATAGTAAACACCAGTCTATTTTTTATTTACCACTTTTTTCATCGAGGTAAAACAATCACTGAAGTTCAAAGGGATTTCCGCAAAATAAGAAAAATATTTTTATCAGAAAATTAAACTGATTGATTGTGTTAATTACATTAGATTAAACCGTTTCAAAAGTAAAATAGTTTTGCAGGGTAGAAAAGATGATCATAAGCTTCATTTATGGCTCACTGCATCAAGACTGACGATGTTAATTATTAAATATCTCATTTTATTTTGTTCTGCTGATTCTTGCCTCGTCCTTCTGTGTGTCTGCTCAAGAGGCCATACGGGGGTGCAAAGAGCATTTCTGTCAGTCTACTGGTTATTTGTTAACTGAATCGGTCATGCAAATGTCTCATGTTGGTAAATGTAAATGTACTGTAGGTTCTGGGTAGACTGCTAACACCACGTTGCCTCTTTGAATAACTGAAGCTGCCTGGATCTGAATAGAATAAACATCACTAGATCTAGTTTGTTTGAAATCACAAAGTTTTCTCTGTCCAAATGGAAAGTAGAGAAAGACTCTGTGAGCAGAAATCTGCACGTAGGGAGTTAAAATGTCACTTTGGTCCTGTAGTCACACATGAGCGTTGACTTCTATTAATATTGACCATGTGGTTAATTCACCATTACAGCTCATAAAGAGACTCTTTGTAGCTCTCTGTCTCATAGTGTCTAGAAGTCACAGCATCTGTCTGCTGAGTCAGAATACTCCTCTATATTTAGCTTCTTATCACAGTTTTACTTTCCTCATTGTTTGCTTTCATCCCTTCATCCTCTAGAGGCGTTAAGGCGGAGCAACCTGGCCCTGCGTCAACGCTGCGAGGAGATGGAAGGATGGCAGCGGAGGACGAGAGAGGAGCGAGAGTTTCTCAGCTGTCGCTTCCAGGAGGCCAGGGCGCTGGTGGAGCGGCTGGCCCAGGAGAACCACTCCTTACAGGGGTTAGTGAACGGACCGGCCTCCTCCTCCTCCACGTCCAATCACTGCTGCAGCTCCAGTCAGACTGAGGAGCTGCAGGGACGCTTGGCCAAGAACGGACCGCTGGACGGACCAAAGGTCAGCTGGTTCACACGCATGTGCCTCTTTAATGTCATGCATTCACAGCTGTTTTTACATGTACACACACTGCATGGCTCCCACTGAGGCTGTGGAGGATTATGGTGTCCAGAGATCATCTGTATTTTAACCTCTTGTTTTACTTGCTTGTTGTTCCCTTTTGGCTCAATTTTATGGGTTTTGATGCTTTCATTGTAAATTCTCACAGCGTTAACATGTCTGCTGAAACAAATTACTGGCATGTGCCTTCACACACTTGAGATGATCTTATCGTAGAAATGGTGTCATTAAACCGTTTGTCCAGCAGAGAGCGCTCTGACTCTGTAATTCAGAAATCCTCTCAACATTGTCTGCAGCACATGTAGCAGAATACACAGCTGAGTTGACCTTAGTTTATTCTGAGATTAGTCAGCATGCTAATATTAAATATTCTAGGATAAATTTAAAGGTTACAGTGCAAAAGAAGTGTAAAAAGGTCTACACAAATGTGTGTATCTGCCAGTATGTGTCTCAGAAATCTTGTATCTTTCAGGATCTCGAATTCAAATTTTTCCCCAAAAGAAAGTGATATATTTTAGAGGTGTAGCTGAAAATTCAAGATTGTGTCTTTAAAGTATTGTTAGCTGGGTTATTCTTTTATAAAGCAGCAATTTTTCCACTCGGACGTGTCGTCACGTTGGTGATCCTCTTATTGTTTTTTGCTGCATTTCTCTGATTTCAGCAAAGTTGTTACTGCAGCTAGCATGTCTTGTTTATCCGTGATCTCTGCACTCCTATCAGAGTTCTTTGTTCCTACTTCTCCCTGAGGTTTCTCAGGTCTGTATTCTCCTCTTTTCCCATCTTTGTGTCAGCTTTTTCCAGAAGTTTCCTATTCTCTGTTTCTGAACATATGACGTACTCATGTCCTCTCTTTAGTCACAGTAATCTGGCTGCATGTTGCGATGTAGTGTTGAATATAAAACCTGAAGGCTGCCAGTGAGTGCATATCATCCACTCATCAGAAACTCTACTAACTCTAATGTCTATGAATGAGACTGAATCAGCATGTCTCTGTTTTGTTTCAGACTCTGGATCAGCGAGACAAGAAGAGAGTGGAGGAGACAGATCGGCACACACAGACCACGCCCCCTCGTAGCCTGGTACGGTGATGGTTCAGATGTTGTAATATCAGTTGTGATGCGTTTGCTAATTTTGACGTCTAACCTGTCTGTTCGTGTGTTTAGGGCGATGCCAGTGTGCTTAGCTCCCTGAGTAGTGCCCTCCTGTCTCCCCCCTCCTCTCTGTCAGAGGCGTGGGGGGAGATAATGGGCAGGGAGAATGGCCAGGTGAGCCTGCTCGTTCTACCTGCTGTCCACCAATCAGATCCCTGGCACTTAATCTGTGGGCGTCTAACTTTGGTTTAATGCTTCACCCCCCCCACCCCCACCTTCCCTCACCTTTAACTGGATTCAGGCCGAGGTTTAAAATCCTGACTTCCTGCTCGGAGAAACAGTTTCAAACAGCCTGTGCGGTTTAAGCTTTGATGATAAACCTGGCTCTGATCATCTCTCAGCAAAAGTTTAACAGTTCCTCTGTGTGTATTCGAGCAGGAAAACTGGATTTAATCACAGACAGACACCAGACATGTCCTTGTGTTTAGCTTTGAATGGAGCACAGCTTTGACCCACAGCTCTAATCGACCACCACACCTCCTCCCTTTAATCGGCACTTTTTATCCTTAATTTTTGTTCTTTTCTTCCTTGGTGCACTGTTGATTTTCGCTTCTGTCCCTGCACTACAACAGGGTGACCATGATTTGCCTCACCTGTCCTCCTCCCCTCCTGTCATCCCATCATCCGTTAATCCCTGATTCTTTCTGTTTTCAACTGTTTTTCTGCAGCCTGTTGAAGGTGCAAACGATTTCCTGCAGCTGCTGAAGAGCCACAAAGAAAAGCTGGAGGAAGGGATGAGAGAGCTGAGGAAGAGGAACGAAGAGCTGGAAAGAGAGAAAGAGGAGGGAGAGAAAGAGAGAGAGCGAATGAGGCGCTGCATCGACCAGCTACGAGCAAAACTGGCCCAGGCACATGTAAGAAACAGGGGGGAACAACCCACCAAAAACGCTATTATCGCCAACAAATGTCTGCTCCAACTCAGTGTCTAACTCACAAAGCAAACAGAACTTATGATCTTCAAAGTATGACAGTTTGATCCATTTTTGGGTTTTGTCGTGACTGAGGAGAGCCACAAACATCTCCTCTCTCTGCTGCTCGGAGCTGCACTGTGCGCTCTAATCCTGACAGAGTTGACCTCTGATATGCTGGAGTGGTTTCACAACAGATGCGACTCAGATTTCACGATATGTAACCATCTTACACCCTTAAGCAAGCTTACAAAAAGCAGCTTTATCAAATGTGGAAAACACTCTCACATGCATGGTAGCATGAATGTGCAGGAATTGACGCGGACACAGCATGAGACCAATTTAATTGCTTATAATTCTAAAAATACTGATATCAGAGTCAGATGAATAGACTTAATATTGTTGTTATGTCACACCATTCACAAATGCTCCACTGTTAATACTACCCCAGCTAACAGTAAGTATGTCACACTAGTTGTACATGACTGTTAATGTCTCAGCCTTATTGCACAAAGATGGTATTTGCTCTGCAGTGCGGTCTGTGCAGCATTCAACCCTGTACATGCTCTCTGCTTTAAAAGAAAACGCACAAGATACAGTCAAACCCACATTAGCAGTATCAAAGACATATAAAATCAGATATGGGTGCAGGTTTTCAACACATGAAACAGTTATTTCTGCTGTGATATCCTAGAATAAGTTCATTTTTAAGACCTTTGCTGTTGTCTCTGAGGAGGTTTCAGAAAACACTGGATATCAAGTGAAACGTGCTCCTGTAAATAACACCACACTTCTCCTCTGCGGTTAAAAAGCTCCTTTGCTGACATGTTGGAGTTCCAGCTTTACAGGTCCGTGCAGGAAATGTAGAAGTCCAGCCCTCAGCACTTAACTCTTTAATATTTTCCCTACTTTAAACTTCATACTAAACCTGCTTTTGATTTCTACCCACTGGTACACATGACATGACATTCAGATGATTGTGAAGACACGAGTCTTAACTTTCTAGTCTGCCATCTAAAACACTTGTTCAAATGTTTTCCAGGCGAATAACATCACCGAGGAGGTGGTAACTCATCGCTCTGAGGCTAAGCACTCCTCTGACTGGTATGAACTGTTTATAACCCTGGTATTAAACATCCAAGTGCACTGACTGAAACTAATCCAGTGAACTGATGCTATGTTTTTGACTGCTGTCCAATTAATCAAAAAGGGAAAGTTCAGTGTTTCTGCTGTGTGGTTGTATGAGGTTGAATTCAATAGTTAGGTGTATTAATCACAGGGAAACACGGTCAGCTCTGCCGCTTTGTTTTGGAACCTGACAGAAAACACGAGAGTAGAGCCAAAACAAACAGGCTTTCTGGCAGCGTATTGCCCTGAATAGAGCGAGAACAGAGCTTCGCTTGTAGTTTATTAAAGGATCATAATGAGGTTGTAAGAGTTAGCTTGTGGAGTGGTGGTGTGATCAGGGGAAAAAAAGGCACAAAACACTTAACTTGGGACTTCACGGCTGCTTCTCTTTCATCAATTGAAACACAATGTTAGCTTTGTCATACACGACAAGGCGGTGTTACGGTACTCACTGTTAACTGAGTTGTGAATCAAAGAAAAAGAAATGACAGGAACTCAATAATGGCGTCCACTCATCGTGTACTTGTCTTCTCAACGGACCACAACAAAGGCGCCACTCAATGACGACCCGGTTGATAGTCTAGCTTCTGTCCAGACCGAGATCCTCTGTTGTTAATACACTGACTGTCGAAGAGCGACTCATACAACCACGCTTCAAAAAACACTGAACTATCCCTTTAGCTAAACTACATTTCTGCTGTAATCCTCCTGTACTGGAGGAGTCTGGCATGCTTTTAATTCCCGTGTTCTTCTGCCTATTAAAATCCTCACCTCTGAGATATCTTCCTCCCCCTTTTCCTCCTTCCTCCTTTCTCCCCTGCCTCCTCCTCCTCCCTCCTTGTTCCTGTTTCCAGCTCTAGCCTGGCTAAACTCACAGAGCAGCTTCAGGCCACACAGGGCAGGTGAGCCCTCACCTGTGTGTGGCTTCTCTTCGTCACAGTCTGCATGCTTATTGCTCTTCAGTCCCGTCTCTTATTTAAACTCTTACTCTGATTCTGACGCTTCATGCCTGTCTCTCATTTCTCTTCATTTTTAAATGTTGCTTGATTTGTTTTTGTCTCTTAAATAAGACACCTTTTGGTTTGTTTTCACCCTGTTTTATTTATATGTCTGTGATTTATGCTGTTTATATTTTCACCCTTTCATTATTTCGTCTATAAAAGAACAATCTGAGGTCCTTAAAGCCTGCTCTGTCTGTCTGTACATGACGAGATGAAAAGCCCTCTTCTCAGAAAATAATTTTAGTCTTTTTATTCAGCAGAATGAAAGAAATAATGTGTGATTATTGAAAGGTATTTGTGGCTAACACTGCTTTAAACATAAAGCGCACCAAAAATATCACAGACTGTCTGAAGTACAAGAATAGACTGAAACAATTGTACTGGTTGTTGTCAAGACCCAGCCAGGATTTAACTTTGTTTTGAGACACTTAACAGAAAAGTTAAGGTTTCAATCTCTCTCACTTTATGATGTAGTTTTAGTGATGCACAACCTCAATTGCAAATAAGTGAGTAAGCTGTGAAAAATCATAGTAAAACCAATTTGATGGGTTCAGATTCTCTCAAGTCTATACTTGACTGAAATTAGTGCAAAGACAGCATATTAGCAGTCAAAACTAACAAGTTATTGTTATTGAAAGAATGAGTGGATTTCATCATCTACAGAATATTATATCATTAAAAGATTTAGAGAATCTGGAGAAATCTCTGAACAAAAGGGACAAGAACCAAAAACCAAGACTGGATGGTCCTGATCTTCAGGCCCTCAGGCAGCATTGCATTTAACAACAGGCAGGAATCTGGAGTGGAAATAAGCGCATGAGTTCATAATCTCTTCATAAAACCATTGTCTGTGAACACAGTTCATCAGTGCTTCCACAAATGAGGTTCAAACTGAACTATGCAAAGAAGAAACATGTTTCAGAAACCTCTCTGGACCTGGGTCTGTTTACGGTGGACTGAGGGGAACTGTCCTGTGGTCTAATTGAGTCATATGAAACTTTGATAAAAGTTTGTGATTTTGTAGTGTGTATAAATCTCAGTGAAGTTATGTACGGGGTCTGTCTATAGGTATCGTGAGCTGGAGGAGAAGCTGGATTATCTGCAGAAGAGTTCAGCTCAGCGGGACAGAACTGAAGCTCTGCTCAAACAGAAGGACAAAGATTGTGCACAGGTTGGAATTTCAACTAAAAACTTCAGAATCTCTTATTTTATGAAGTTTCAAAGGTGGTCGATGTAGCTTTAAACTTGTTTTTGCACAGCTGGCGAAGGACTGCGAGGCTCTGAAAGCTCAGGCGACGTCTCTGCTGGCAGAGCTAAACGAGAGGCAGAGCTGTTTGGACAAAAGTGAGCACGAACGCAAAGTGATGGAGGAAAAGTGAGTCATAACATCTCATCTCATCATACCTCATATAGAAAATATGTCCAGGGGTGTGTGTGCGTGTGCTCACCTGGTGTGTTTCTCTCGGTCTGTTCAGGCTGTGCAGTAAGATGAAGGTGCTGCAGGTGGCCGAGCGCGATCAGGAGCAGCAAAGAAAGCAGCATCAGGTGGCCATGGACAAACTGCTGCTGCAGACCCAGAGCCTGGAGCAGGCCCTGAAGACGGAGAGGCATGTGGTCACAGAGGAAAAGTGGGTTCAACTCACACACACACGTACACAGACATCCTCCCAGCTGATTATTTAAAAGGTAAAACCTTACAGAGGTGTTGGCTTGACTGGTCTGTAAATCTTCTTTCTGTTCAGGAAGAAACTGACCCAGCTGCAGCACGCCTACACCTGTCTGTTCAGAGACTATGATGCCAAACTGAAGAGTGAGGTAAACACAGATCTTCATCTTTATCCACCCTCGTTATTTAAGCTCAGACACACTCTTTGACTCTCATGAGTTTGTCTCTCAGGGAGGAGACCTGTGCAGCCGTCTGGAGGAGGCAGAGAGAGCTCTGGCTCTGAAACAAGACCTGATCGATAAACTGAAGGAGGAGGTGGAGCAGCAGAAAGGCTCTCTAGAGACTGTCCCCGTTCTCACTGCTCAGGTACGCTCACACAGCTGATGGATGAATTCATCTGAAGCTGTTTTCAGAGAAGCTAAAAGTTCCTAGAAAATTTCAGCGGCTCTGACCTGACCCACGCAGGCACGAACGCAGGCATGCACACACGGTGTCAAGTCTCCCCTCGCAGATGGAAGTGTGGGTTTTTTCAGGAGACCAATCATGATGTTAAATAGACACTGCGTTAAGTTTGATAGTGGTTTCCAAGATTAAAACTTCTGATCATTTAATTTACTCTTCAGTATATTTTGATTTACTTTCAGGCTTATTCTTTATTTTTGTTTCCTTCTCAGCTCGTGGTTGTGTTTTTAATTTTATCATCATGCACAGTATTTTCCACTGTCCTTAGACAAAGCAAACAGTCATGTATGTGACTGGGTCTTATCTAGGCCAAGGCTACGTCTTATCAAATTAAGCTATGTGCTACTAGAGCGTAAAAACAGAACAGGTAAGTCATGAACTCTCATAAGCTTCTTAAAAAAAAAAGTTTTTCTTTAAAATTACAGGCCATTAATTCTAAATTTGCATCTCTCTATAATTTAACTCCAACAACCGGAACACCTCTCCTTTAAAACATTTCAGAGCTTTTTGAACCCTAAACTTACAAACACACTCTGATTCCCCTGAACTGAGAAGAACTTCAGTACAGAGTCTGGAGGTGACTTTGCCTTTAGTTAAACCTTCTTTCCTTGTATCCTCTGATCGCTCAGGCTGACATCTACAAAGCGGATTTCCTGGCGGAGCGAGAAGCGAGAGAAAAGCTGAATCAGAAGAAGGAGGAGCTGCAGGAACAGCTGACTCAGGCCCGAGCTGAGATCGAACGGCTCAAACAGGAGGCCACATCACGGTAAAAATAAAGTCTAACTCAAACCCAGATCTGTGGTGATAATCATTTAGATGTTCATGCACCGATCATAGAGTCCTCTGGGATTTCTGATCTTGGTCTTCTCAGTCCTGAGCATCCCCATCTGTAGTTTGCTTACAGCTGTTCCTAAAGGCTGCTGACACTCTCGATATCTAAAATCAGGCCTGTGTTCACTTAAATCCTGAGAGTTTAACAAATACAATATGTAAATGTTTTTCTGTCTCCAGAGCACGTATGGAACAAATGAAGCTGAGACACCTGGAAGACTTCCCAACACGAGCCCCACACATTCCCCCTCCACAAGGTACACACACACACACACACATACACACACTTTTAACATCGTTTTGAAGCCTCTCGTGCGCCAATAAATGTCAGTTATTGTATTAGGAGGTCAATTTCAGTGAACGGAAACTCACATAAAAAAAGTCTCCAGTTTTAACCACAGAGAAACAGATCAGAGCTTCCTTCACTAACCCTTCTGTGCTGTACTTAATGGCCTCATCAAACACAGTAATATCATGGTCAGCAAACTGGTTTCTGCTAGTGTGCTGTAGGCAGGTTCCAGGTCTTGCTCGAATAGGAAACCTGTATCTCCATAAAGCTTCTCAGCAGATAAAGGTCTCTAGAATCTCCTGCAAGACTTTGGGCTACTTTAAAAAAACACAGTAGACCAGCAGCTGCAGATGACATGGCCTCCCAAATCATCACCTTGGATTCTGGTCCTCTCTGATCTTCCTCCAGATTCTGGGTCCTTGATTTCCAAATGAGATGCTGAATTGACTTTCATCTAAAAACAGGACTTTTGACCTCTGAGCACTAGTCCAGTTCTTTTTCTTCTTAGGTGAGACAGAGGCTGTGTCCAAAATGGATCTCTAACCCCTATATAAGTGACTATATGGGAATTAGCACCATTTTGAGGGGTGTCCAAAACCTGAGTGATCAATTCCAATGTCCCATATAGGCGACTCAAAATTTCCAATAAAGCATTGCAAATGTAGAGACCATCCGATGGTCACTCCCCAGTGGTGGGCATCCCGTCATGCATTGCGTCTTGCCATGTAGCATCCGAAACCTCCGGCGATTAAGTTCACTACATAGTCAGCTATAACCCCTAATCCCTAACCCCTAACCCCACATGAGGGTTAGGGGTTAGGGATTGAGTGATTTATTTCGGACACAGCCAAAGATGACGCTGTCTCTGGTTCAGGAGGGTCTTGATAGTCCACTTCCTGGACTCGTCTATGTGTGGAGGCTCTTGATGCTCTGACTCCAGCCTCAGTCCAGTCCTTTTTTTAATGATTAATTTTTTTAAATTATTTTTATCTACACTATATTTTACTGAATTTTCTGACCTGTCTACCCTGTTTTTGTGATGCAGCAACAACAGAATTTTCTTTCCATGCATCACAAAATTATTATCCTATCAGCTTCATTTTCAACAACAAAGGTTACCACTTGGTAAAACAACACATATTTGATATTTGTGTTTCATAAGTTACTAAACTTACTGCGTTGTAATCAGAGTGTGTGCCTTTTTAACCAGATAATCAACAAACTGCTGCAGCTTTAGATGGAGAGTAGTAACAGTGGCAGCCAGGACTCTCCCTGCTCTGTAGAAACATATTTTCCTCCATCATTAACTGGAGTTCTGTGACTCTTTCTTCTCCCTCCTCTTCCTCAGGGGTGTTTCCAGGTGCAGCCTTCAACACAGTGCCCCCCGCCCCCTCGTACCGTAATCAGGGTCTGTTACCTGTGGGTGATCCGGGGGCAGCAGGGGCCGAGGAGTTGCCAGATTTATGTTGTCCTAAGTGCCAGTACCAGGCTCCAGACATGGACACGCTGCAGATACATGTGATGGACTGTATACAGTAATATATGTGCCATACATACAGAATATTGACATGTTTGTTCAGTGTCTGCCCACAGCTCCACCTACAGCCACGAGAAACATGTGTGATAGCTGCACCTTACTCTGTCTGACACACACACACACACACACACACACACACACACACATCATATCATGTTAAGAATAAAGACGAGTGACTATCAGACGACAGCGTGTTGACAGACAGATAATCGGCGTGTTATTGTTTTCTAACATCTGCTCCATCATTTAAACTCTGCTGTAGCTCTTCATCCCATAATGCATTTCTTCTGTTTGTTTTTTCCTGCACCTGCTCATTTATTTCCCATCAGCCCACCTTCCTGCAGTATTTATACATGTATCCTCCCCACCTCCTGTCATACACGTCAGTAACTTTCGGGCCTAAGGAGAAAAATAGTGAGAGTTCAGAGGGTAGAAAAAGATGAATGTGAATAATTTAGTGAGCTTTAAATAAATAAAGAATATTCAATATGTTCTGGTCATAAGTGTTGCTGTCTGCATTACCTCAAACATGTATTATTATGATTATTATTATTACTCTGTATTAGAGATGGATGTATTTCAGCCAGTCTCTGTGTTCTGTGCCTGTGTAAACCTTTGAATGCACCACTGCTTTACCCGATACTAAACTTGCCCCTGAACGCAGCGTAGCTCCTGTTTGTGTCCCTGTTTGGTCTCCTTTTTACCTGTGGCACCTGGTTGTGTATCTGCAGGTGAGCGCAGAGAGGGTCCCTCACAGTTTGTGTAATTATCGTCTGTAATTCAAAATCATTTGGTGCAAAAAAATAAATAAAAGTTTCAGACTGTCAAAGATTTACCAAATAAATCAGTTATCCAGCAGCTCTTTGTGTCCCGTGTTGTTTTGAATATTAAAGAGCCGTTTGAAATAAAATGACCCTTAAGTGAAGTTTGGAGCAAAAAAAAAAAAATCATATTAAATAATTCATATAAAACCACTGATCATGATATTTTCATTAAATATAATCCAAAAAACATCTGAAGTACTGAGAGCAGTGTGGGTTTTTGTTTTGTAACAAACAAGAAAACTACAAATCAATGAATCTGTCTTATTTAAGATCAGAGCAGTTTGTGTCAAACATATTTACTAATCTCACATTTTCAAAGATGCTGAGAACAGCTTTACCCTGAGCTCAAAGTACAGACACACTGTTTAGTGTTTTGGTTGGGAAGAGGAATCCATTTTTGTCCAGACTTATTGAGTAGAGAAGAACTGTCAAATCTGAGTCTGGTCAAAATGATAAACTAAGACTATTTCAGTGTGGTGTCCTGTGAAAGTGATGATTTAGAAACCTCTGTCAGTGATGTGTTTGGCTCCAGAGAATATCACGGGTTTGCTCGTGCTTAGATTGGGATTGAGAAACTGTTTCAGATTGAACAGTTTTGGTCCAAAGATGTTTGGAGGATTTCAGATTCTGAATGTGTTATTAAGGTCAGCAAACAACAGAGGAAGAGTGTGTTTCTTCTTTTATTTAGATAAATACACAAACAATCAACACATATTTACAGACATATACACACAGTGCAAGCTGTTTTAAAATATTTTTTGGTTAAGTGTTGTTTCACTGATATGGAGCTTTAAAATGTAACAAATCTGAAGGTAAACACTGGAAAGTTTGATGCCTTTTTCGTCATACTTATAGGACATTTTGTTAATAACTTCTTTATTTCCAAAGCATAAGAAGGACTTGAAATGAGATGAGCGCTGGTATTTCATGAGGTATTTGTCCTTTAACTGAACACAGCTTTCTGTCAGGATTTTTTTTTAACTATATACTAGTCAAATGTAAATACATCATGTTGTTTTTCTATCAGTCAATTTAAGATGTGCTTCCAGACAGAAGTAAGCAGCTGATCATGACACTATGGATGATTGTTGTATTTTATGAAATCCAGGAGGATAAAACCTGAATCCTGAACAACATTCACTCTGAAGTGTCCAAAAAAGTATCAGGACCTGAGAAAAGAAGAGATTTATTTTAAACATATTTGTAAAGAAATGTCAGAGTTTATCCCTGTCAGTCAACATTTTAATTAAAAACTCTAGTGTCTCACCATCATTGCGTTTATGGTCTGTGAAGCCACCTCTCTGCAAGTAGTTTTCATTTAAACGGTTTTGCACCTTCAGAAGAAATGTTTGTGGGTGAGTAAACTCATTCTACCACTGAACAATGAAATGAACTGAGAGCACAGAAAGTTTAAAACATACCACATCTGCTCCTCTGTTGTTTCTGCTCCTTCGTTTTCTCCTGAAATTAAAGGTCAGCAATGAATAAAAACTAAGTGATATGACAGAGACATTCAATCAATTTAAAAATAAAAGATCCTGTTTATATTGTCACAGCTTAAAACTTTACCTGGGGGTAAATATTCCCCTATCTTCTGTCGGCAGCACCACACTCCAAGTGCAGATAAAACAAACAAATAAAACACAACAAGTACAACTACACAGACTATCACTGTAGTCCTGTATAAATGGTGTGGTTCACACTGAGCATCAGCTGACTCAGTTCCTGGTTTCAGCAGCCGCCACAGGCCTTCACATCTGTAAAGATAGAGGGACATTTCTTAGAGGAACATCTGGAGGATCTGATGAATTCTCTGCTGCTGGAAGAAGAATTCAGGACTGTGTGCAGTCATCATGAACTCGACCTCCTGTTTCAAACCAAACCAAATAAAGAAGATGGCTTCATTAAATTTCTGTGAATAAGTTCAAACATGACAGTTTGTTCAGATAATCATGTGACTTTATGTTTGAACTACTTAAGCAAAGAGCCTCCTGGCAGGATTTCAGTGTTTTCAGCATCAATTAAAAACCTTTAAGGATAAGAATCTGTGATAGTTTCTGTCACGACACAGGGATCAATAAAAACCTGAAAACTGTTTTAGGACCACACATTATAGAAATGATAAACAGAACAGATTAAACTTGATGCTCAATCTAAGAGTCCAGGTTTTGGAGGTTTTTCAGACTTTGATCTGAGGGCCAGTTTTTGATAAAGTCTGTTAAAGCTGAAGTGAGCAGGAGGACTGAGATCTGAACCTGTAATGAACAGTAATCCTCAGTGGAAGTCAGTGATGAAGGGATGATTGAAGGATTGACCTTTTGACATGAAGCTGAACATTAAAGCTACAGACTGAACTGACCAACACAGAAACAAAGACCTCAGAGAGACAGACGTTCATGATGAGGACTCAAAGAAGACTTTCCAACATGAGCTCAAAGACTGAAACATTTCCTCTGTCAGTTTAACCCTGAATTTAACTTCCCCTTTAACTGATCAGGTAGATCTCACCTGGTGGACACTTAGGACAGCATCTGGATCCAACCTGATACTGGTCTGGACCACATGGGAGAGTCTGACCACGGAGGACCTACAGCAGGAGTATCTGAGGAGACAGGGACACAGATTTAGGTCGCAGTGAAGATCTCATGAAGTTTGATATCCAAACTGATGAAAAGATATTCAGAGATTTCTGTAAGAAGATATTTTACCAGCACTGCTGCAGCTGATCCAGGTTTGACTCTCATCTTTAATGTGCAGGTTCACAGTTTCCTCTGGATGAAGATGAAATCTCACTGAGATCAAAGAGACAACTTCATCTGGAGAGAAAAAAGAGCAAATATCCATGCAGAGGTTACACAAAACTACTCAGTATATTAATCCAGATTAAAGAGTCCACATATGACCTGGTTTAGATAAGCTTGAAAGCAGTTTGGTCTCAAAGTGACGGGAAAGTTTGTCTGTGTTTTATGGCCCTTAATCAAAGCTCAGCCTCACTCACTCAGAGGAGAAAAAGCTCAAAGTTCAGACATTTGATCTTGATACCAGCTGAGGTGAACTCATTATATTATAAAACGGTTTTCTTATCCTCACCATGCAGATGAAGTTACAGTTGTGACCTTATGACTCCAGTGCAAATCAAAGCCGAGCTGGACTCTGCTACTTTTCGTGTTTCCTGTATGACAAGTTCCTCCCTGACTCCAACATGGTTTCAGTGACTAATTACCACCATTCACATCCATCCAAAACCCAAAGTTTTGTTCTGTACACGTATTAACTTCAGGTCAACAAAACCTTTTCTCCTTCTGAACAAATCATCTCAAGACCTGTAAAGTCCTTTTGGTGGCAGAGTCTGAAAGTCTGCTCAGAGGTTTGTTAATAAAATCTAACAAAGAAAGAATAACTGATGAAAAGAACAAAAACAAAATAAAACAAAAAACAACCACCACAGACATCAGATCAGGACCAGGAGTTAAAGCAGGATCACAAAACCCTCTTTACTTTGAGTCCTTTTAAAGTGGTCCAATGTGGAGTTGATAAAGTCAGCACTTCACCGTCTAACACACTCTGACTTTAACAAAGAGACAGCTGAATCAGAGAGCAGCCAAACCTCCTCTCACTCCTCAGACACTAACATACATGCACATACACAGACCAGAAGAGAAACAGGACGTCTGAATTTCTGCAGAGCAAACTGAAACTTTGTTGTTATAATCAGTCATCTTACCAGTGATCTGGTCTTCTTCTCAATGTTGATGAGGGGATCATAGGATGACAGGATTAAATCCAAGGAAAAAAACTCATTCAGAAAACAGTTTGATTTCAGTCACCAGAGATTTGATAAAGTTTGACAAAAAAAACTGACTTTAAACCTGGTGTAAAGTCTTCACACAGAGACCTGCTACAAAAGTGAAACGAAGAGGCTGAGGTGTTGTTGATCAGGAGTGAGAAATTTGGACTTTGACTCTATAAAACATTATCAATGAGATTTTATCATACATGATAAAAACGTCTGACTGCAGTGGTGATATGTGCTTATAGCAGAGAGTTTGATGTGTTTGTCTAATGACTGTAACTATAAACCAGTTTATAAGCAGGTCACAGAGGTTTCTTATCTTAGTTCCTGGTTGTGGACAGTGTCTCTGTCTGATGGAGGCTTACTGTCAAACAAAGACACTTATTTTCCCTGTAATCATGGAGTCATATTAGTAAAAGATAAATGAATAAACAGGATCTTAGGAAGGAGCCGAAAAACAGAAGTCCAAATCCAAATCATTAGTACGGATGTATCTGCATGAATTAACTCACATCACCGAAATAAGAACACATTATAGATATAAAGATACAAATCGTTATACATGCAAATTTATAACAAATCATATCAAGATTAAATGCATCTTCCATTTTGAATCTAACACCACAGATAAGAGTTTATTAAACACAACTTTCTAAAGACTGTAGCCTGAATAAAGTATCAACCACTGACGTAGCCATCAGTTGAACCTGTAAAGGTAATTTTTTTTTTACCTCCGGTAAGTCACAAAGACAAATTGATACTGTCATATTGATGACTGCATCTGTGCTTTAGTCTGTGCTGACTGTATCCACATCAATATCAGCAGCATGAGCTCATGCAGGAATATTTTGACTTAAGTTTATTTATTAGTTATTTTCTAGTTTACACAGAAACTTCTTCTCCAGACTGGGGAAAGAAAACATGCAAAAGTGTTTGGTAGAAACAGCGCTGAAACTAAACTTACAGCCTCTCCTCAATAGGTGAACCACCTGCTCCGGGCTTATCATCCAGCTTTTATGATCAGAGATGTAGAAAAACACATGATTTCATTTCCCCGTGGAGCCTTGCATTTTTTAAATCCATGTTTATCTTTGTCTCAATTGGTATTCAGTTTTGTTTCTAGGTCATAGATCTATTTCATTCATCACAGGACAATATCCAGTCCATTTGAAGAGTGAAAATGTTTTAATTAATAAAACTTTCATGATGAAATGCATCAGTGTTCTTAGTTTTATTTCAATTAAGAAAACCAGCAGATAATCAAAAAAAAAAAATAATGATGCGGCGGGTTCAAACATAAGACCTCTGTTGAGACAGATTTCTCACAGAGCTGATGAGGAGGAGCAGGTGAGACGGCTGATAAACTCTTGTGTGTCTATAATGATGGATAAAAAGTTTCTCTTTAAATTTGATCTCCTTCAGGTTTTGATGATCAATTCTTGAACATGTTGACATTTTCTGTGTACACTGTGAGGTAAATGTTCTCCAGGATCCAGTTCTAATCCTGCTGGATTCTGGCACATTATCTTTGCAGTGTTCATAAAAAACATGAGTGTGAGCTGAACTGCTGAGCTGCAGGTCCTCAGTCTGGATCATGGACTCATGAAACACATCAGACTACAGGAAATAAAGGGCTGATCCAAAGAGTTTACAATGGAGGATCCTCTATATTACTATATAACTCTCTGTACGCTCTCACCTCCTCAGGTCCAGGTCAAGGACTGATTTAGTGGACTTTGATGATTTAAGATATTTCTACATTCCCAGAGTGTTAGTTTACACTTATGAAAATTAAAATAGAAAAATACTTGAAATATTTTAGTCTTGAATATTAACTTTTAACTGTCTTCAAAAACTGACACAAACTAGTTGCTGTGGTGTTCTGGTCTTTTTAGACGCTCCTGTTTATCATCAGTGTTTATTACCATCAGCACTGTGACTGTGACTGTGAACCAGAGTCTCAGATTCAGTCTGGAGTCACCCTGACTCTTTCTCTGCTCCCTGTGCTCTCAGATCCATCTTTCCTCTGGAATAAATATTTTATTTTTCTGGACCTTTTAAATGTCGAGAGTCACTTTCTGCTGTGATGATCAGTTTTCCCTCTTCAGAGTAAGTGTCTGTCTCTCTGAATGTCTGGTGTTGGAATAATGTCTTCTTTATTCACCACTTGTAGGCGCTGTGGACAGCTCTCTGAAAGCACTTATCTGAAGTACTTACAGGCCCAAGTGTTGACACAGAAAGAGCTCCACAGTTTCTGACCAAGTGGACGCAGCAGTCTGATCATTGGAGTTAATTTTTGTTTATTTCTTCTTCTTTTGTTCACTCACACATAAACGGAGCGACATTTCCTGCTTTGATATTTTGGACTCAAATCCAGGAGTTACCTCTGTTCAGATAATACGTTCAATAGAGATACCAGCCTCAGAAATCACAAATGTGGAATTTTCCAAAGACAAAAAATACTGCAAAACACAGATCTTTACGCTGTAACATATTTTATTTGAACAAACACAAAGTTAACGAAATGGACTCTCAGTAGAATGATGTGGATAATAAATCATGTAACAAATCCATGAATCTGTCCTCTTGTTCAGGTGTTTGTACCAGGTGATAACAGATCAAGTCCAGGTTCAGACGTCCAGCTGTGAACAGAGCCTAAAACTGGTACTAACTCAGATACCTGCTGCAGCTCACTGTCTTGGTTCAAGGCTGACTTCAGCTTCCATGCAGACATTAAAGATCACAGGGGGATGCAGAGGTGGAATGGGGCAAAAAAATTGGCCCTGGATTTTTTTGGTCCAGACCAACAACAATCTGTGTGCAGATATTGTGCCAACTCGCCCCGTTGATGTACATACAAACACGCAATAACACCACAATATTAAACAATATCCCTTTATATTCTGAGGCCTTGAATTAAATGTGATAACTACACAGTGTGTCGCTCACTTGCCACTGTATGAAAGCTACCTTCTAATGCTGCCATCCTCGCAGCGGAAAACTTTCTGCCATTTGGGGTTCTTTGTAGTTTTTAGGATGGGTGAAATAATCTATGGGTGGGCTCACTGGGGTGCTTGAGGTCTCTGGTGAGATCATCTCTACAGAAGATGATAGAATAGAATAACAGAATATTTTTTTTGTGGATCACAAAAGTGTTATCCTATCAGCTTCATTTTCAACACGAAAGGTTACCACTCAGACAAAACAACACATATTTGATATTTGTGTTTCATAAGTTACTAAACTTACTGCGTTGTAATCAGAGTGTGTAACCAGGTAATCAACAAACTGCTGCAGCTTTAGATGGAGAGTAGTAACAGTGGCAGCCAGGACTCTCCCTGCTCTGTAGAAACATATTTTCCTCCATCATTAACTGGAGTTTTATGACTCTTTCTTCTCCCTCCTCTTCCTCAGGTGTGTTTCCAGGTGCAGCCTTCAACACAGTGCCCCCCCGCCCCCTCGTACCGTAATCAGGGTCTGTTACCTGTGGGTGATCCGGGGGCAGCAGGGGCTGAGGAGCTGCCAGATTTATGTTGTCCTAAGTGCCAGTACCAGGCTCCAGACATGGAAGTTGGAAGTTGTCAATGAATTGAAGTCATTTGTTTTTTGGGGGGTAAAACAGTAAATACAGCTGAAATCAGACCAGACACATGCACAGGAGCAGCATACTGTGCACTTTGAACCACCTGTAAATAAAGACCACTTGTTCTGTATCTCCTTACTTTTGTATTGTATATCATACCTCTGGTATTTTAGGTTGTTAATTAACTAACCGAGCCGAACTGAGGAGAAAGCATGAATAGAGTGTTCACTTATTTCATATATTAATAATTACAGGTGTGAAAAGTTATGTAAGAGCATTTTCATTGAATAGACGCCTTTTGATATATAGGAATAGAAAGCTTGTGTGAATAATTATAATGCGGAACATCACACTACAGGGAGTTTGAGTAGGAAGTTTTAGTGCGTCACCTTAGGCTACTTTTATTTACTTTCCTTCAGATGTGGATGTCTCAGTGAGCTCTTGCTGGTTAAATAAAGGCTTGAAAGGCAACGACACAAACAGCACAGTATGGCAGGTAAAAAGCTGTAAGCTACTGGTTTAACTGGTCCTCAAAAAGAAGACTGGAGATGTTGATCTGTTCAACTTGAATATGGAGTTTAGACAGACGCGCTTCTACAAGCGTCAAGTCTCCAAAAAGACGATATCTATCCGGAAATATCATATTCTACCTTCAGAATAAAAGATTTAAGCATATATTTCTTAAATCTCCACCTTCACCAATGTTGAAAACGAACTGAATAAATATGTGCTAGTTAATTTGTCAAATTCATATTTATTCGGTATCACAAGGAAGCACAGTAACTTTGTGTGTCGCGCAGATTGACAAAGTGTAAGTGCTTACACTGAAAGTCCTGACAGGAAGTCGTACTTCTTGTGTTTTGATGAGCTTTGCATCACTCTGTTGTCTGAAGCTGCTCTCCGGACTCACGCTCCGATTATCTTTGTCTTTTGTAACCGGCTCCCGCGTGTGGAGGTGTCTGTTTAAAGTGCTCTGAAGGTCGGTATGTCAGGCTCCACTCCCCCGCCCACCTCTGCGGAGGCTGCGGGGACGGAAGGATGCTTCCCCCCAGGTTACAAACCTTTCAAACCCGAGGAGCACGGCCTGGAGCGCGGGTTCCGGCTCACAGCCTACTCGGACCTGAAGGGATGAGGCTGCAAGGTCCCGCAGGAGGCTCTGCTCAAACTCCTAGCGGGACTGGAGGCGGACCGGACCGACGGGACCGGGAAGGCCGGGGACCAAGGATCAGAGTTCGGCCAGCAGTTGTCCGGCCCCCGCCTCGGTAACGTCAGCAGAGCGAGTGTTCCGGTCCCAAACGCGCTGTCCGCGTGACGGGGAACGTCAGTTAGCATAGCCGCCGCTAGCATGCTAGCTTATGTTCATTGACGACAGCTCACTTGACAGATGTGCACTTCAAGGCGAATATTAAATTAATAATAGGCTAATATGATCTTATTCTTGGTCATAACTACTTCCTCTGCTTAAAACTGTGCTTAAATAACATGACTTACTAAAAGTGAAAAGTTCTCAGTGAGCTGAATGGATCTGAATAATAACAATATTAATAGTACACTGAATTATAACTGAATAGTAACAGTAGACTGGATGATAACAGTAGTCTGAATAATAGCAGTAGTCTAAATAATAATAACAGTAGTCTGTCTTGATTCTGTCAACTCATGGATGATTCAGCAGAAATGTTTGAGGAGCTTTAGGATCAAAGTTCAACCTGTTGGTCAGTTATTCCTCCTGTTAAGAAGTTTCACAATCATTAGTGGAAGTGTGTTTACTTCCTGTGGTGTTTGAAAAGAATTCACTCAGACTGAGTGACTGTCAAATTAAATTATAATTATTTCTCTGTTGAAACTTTAGAGCAAACACTAACATATCTGGTATAAATAGATAATGACCCTTATTACCACAAGTCTTAACTCAGCCATCTAAAAAGTACTCCCAATAAAGCAGTCATTGTAAGATAGATGATATATTCCTGGTCCCCCTCCTCACGGCTGTGTTTGTCTGCAGGTGTTGGGATGGACTGCTGTGTAATCCCTCTGAGACATGGTGGGCTCTCTTTAGTCCAGACCACAGACTTCTTCTACCCTCTGGTGGAGGACCCCTACATGATGGTGAGTCACATACGGCGGTATCTCTAAATGAGGCTCCAACACACAGTCTGCTTCTGCCACAAACTATTAAAGCACACATCTACACACAACTGCATTAAGAAAAAAAACCCTATGGACAATATTCACAGGTGCAAAAATGAATATGGGTCAATGATGTGACAGTTAAAAAGGCTAAAATTCAAAAATAAACTATAAACTCACCTTGGACACATTATCTTTTTGAAGACCTTGTCTAAAACTTCCAGATTTTATCCATTTTGAGAGAATATTAAGGGAATAATGGGAAATATGTCAATGTGCTGTAACGATAAAAACAAAAAATGTAATATTTGAGAAAATGCATGGGGAATGGAATGTACTCCTCTACTGCGGTGCACTTACATATATCTTAACAGTTTCTGTGTGATTTGTCAAATGTTATTTGGAAAATGCCCGCTGTTTTCAGCATTTCTCCTGCTCTATATTGCAAAAATGCATCTAATTTGTTTGTAAAAAAAAAAAAACCCTAACAAAATTTACTTTCAACTGATATATTATGATTAAGTCACTTTTTGTAAAAGTACACTTGCATACACTATAGGTGGAAATAAGTATTAAATATTTCCCCTTTTGTTGTGGTTACACCACTTGACATTTTCAAGGGAAATACATCATTCATTTTGTAAAAAAAAAAAGGTTTAAATGCCATTTGAAATTATATGAAACCAACAGAGATACAAAATATACATCTTTGCAAACCTAATGCAAACTTTTAAAACAATTTATTAAAACATTTTTGTGTTACTCATGATGCAAACCCTTATTTGTAACTGACCCATCTACTTCCATAACATTATGAACACCTCTGGTATAAGGAGCACTGTCAAATGTGTCAGTATAGTGCACTCCAGCACCCCACAAAGCCCCACAGCAGTGTAGCATTAAATTTAAGGAGCAGTTATCACCTGTCTGATCATGTCAACAAAAACTGGAAATGTAGATGCTATCTGTGTTAAACTACTTCATTTCACCTGTGCATTCATAATGTTATATTTAGTATAATGCAGAGATTATAGTTTTCTGTGACTGTGCTCTAAAGGTGTATATCTCCACATTATCAGCTTATATGTTTGCCCATATATGTGTAGTAATGTCTATTGTAAATACTTTTAAAGATGGCTATCTCTTATTTGATTACTGGTCTCAACTGTCATCTCACTGTGAGCAAAAAAACCTCTTTTTTAAAAAAAATTATACCATGACAAACATCACATGAAAAAAGTTAACAAGCAAAATCTTTTTTACCTGTTCCTAAACATATCAGAGTCTCACGTCTGTGAAATGATTACTGATCCAACATAGATTTGATTGTCATGTCCCAGCATGCATTGGTAGTAATATTACTGTATCTTTTGGAGTGTGGACCTGCCAGTGTCTGTGTGTTTATCTTCTTTTTGTTTTTCTGTAGAGGTGATCAATAACATTCAAACTGAAATAAATAAATAACCTGATAAATCTTGTTTTTCTCTCTCTCTGTATGTGATCAGTCTGGCAGAGTAACAGAATAGAGGATAACACGTAGACTTTGTACACACAGATTTATGTAATTTAAAAAAAAAAGAAAATCACAATAATAATACCAAAGGTCAGGATGTTTAAAGGCCAGTTTAGAGATGAGCTGCAGAAAAGTCTGATTTCCCCCTAAACTTCCTCCTGAATCCTGGGTTTTAGCTTGTGATCATCGGAAGTAAACCCTCGCTTTTGTCTGTCTTTCAGGGGAGGATAGCATGTGCTAACGTCCTCAGTGACCTGTATGCCATGGGGATCACAGAGTGTGACAACATGCTGATGCTGCTGAGTGTCAGCCAGAAAATGAACGAGAAGGTAACGCTCAGTCAAACCTGACTGTGAAACATCTTTGACAGTTTGTTGACTTTGCTCTTAATATTGTGAGAGCTCAGCACATACAACACACAATGCATGTTACAGTGAGAGTATCATGTCTGTCTAACAGTGCAGTGACTATGGAATTTGCATGTACGTTCATTTGAAGTCCATTTTGTTCCTCTGAAAACTTCATTTACTTGTATTTTATTTATGTTTGACACAGGACCGTGAGCGTGTGATGCCACTGATGATTCGAGGCTTTCGTGATGCAGCAGAGGAAGGCGGGACTTCAGTGACAGGTGGTCAGACGGTGATCAACCCCTGGATCATCGTTGGAGGAGTCGCTTCAGTCGTGTGTCAGCCAAACGAGTTCATCATGTGAGTCTGTTCAGACTGTTAATGTGTGGGTTCAATCCTGTCCTGCCTTTTACAGTCTACATATCTGATTGGTGAAGTCTCAGTTTTTAAATCCCCTTCTCTCTTGTAGTTCAGCTCCAGATTTCCCAGAATGCATTTCATCATTCTCTAACAGGGTATGCCTGACCTTGTTGTTTTAGCCAGCAGGGGTGCGTAGAGATGATCATATCCTGCTAATGAGCCGGTTCGTTAGCTGTGGCTGTGTTGCTGCAGACAGCTGCTTCAGCACAGACCTCAGACCTCTAATATGTTCCTCTGGCAGTTTTATTGTTAACATGAATCGTCTCATTCCTGACTGTTATAACAGAGCTGCTGTCTGATGTCAGAGGGTTGACCTCTGCTCTGTGTTTTCTCAGGCTGCATTTGTTTCTCTTATCTCCAAGACAAAGTGTTTTTTTTTTAAACAGTGATCAGATCAGATTCATCTGTCTGGACATCACCAACCAAATCTGCAGTGATTGATTTAAAATGTTGCCGTTATTTAAAGAGCAGATATCTTACCTCACATTGTATTGATTGGGCTGCAAAAGAAATTCTGACAATCAGGTATTCGAGTGGGAGTTATTTCACTTTACAATTGAAACAATCTGCTAATGTGGCTGGAATCTAAACTGCAAAAATCACAATCCCTGTCCTTTTTTCTGCTATCATTTGTTGTTTTATATACATCACAAACAAAGATAAATGATTGAGGGATGAACCAGTGAACAAAAAACGGCAGCTGGATTTCCAGTGAGGCAGTTCTGTCCCTCCTTGTTTTGACTTGAACCATCATTCTGAAAAGTCAGCCGCTTTAAACATTTGTTCATGACTGCCTCGTGAAAACCATTCATCTCCCACCTGTCCTTTTCTGAGAGACTAGAGCTGTTTTCCACTAAACCTTGGAAAATTCTCATTTAAATAAAAGTTTGACCTAAAGTTGGGTGAGCACGGTCAGTGATAGTAAGGTAACCTCAACGTGAAAGAAGGTGTGGAGCCATGATGTTTACAGCTTGTAAGCGGTGTGGTCTTGCTGCTCATGATGAAGCAGCTTCATCTATTTTTCTGCCCTCAGCATGTTCTGTTTCACTCAGTCAATGATACTTTCTGTCCATTTAAATATTACTTTATTGACTTTTTCTATCAGGTTTAGAGAAAATAGTCATTTTGGACTTTTTGAACACACCTTGTGAATGTGTTCATAAATGGTGGCATGTCCTTTCTGCCAGTGGAGACATCACACTGTGAGGAGTTTTTTTGAAGAACCGTTTTGAATAAAGGTCAGAGAAGGCTGTCCTGAAATCTTCAAGAGGGCATGATTAAAAAAGGAATAGAAAAAAATTAGCATTCTGTTTGATACAGAAACAGGTGAACTGTATTGGTCATTTATACGTGGATTTGGCTTTCTTTCTATAGGATTATTTGGTCAAACTAGATCTTTAAATCTTCTATATTTCATGTTTTTTTTTCCAGGCCGGATGGTGCCGTGCCTGGGGACGTCCTGGTTCTGACCAAACCACTTGGGACACAGGTGGCTGTGAACGCTCACCAGTGGCTCGATCAGGTCGATTCTGCTCACATCAGTTTTACTAAGTATAAATTCTGATTTGATATAGATTAAAATGAATGTGTCTGCACTCACACGTTCTGTCTCTGTGTTTTAATTTAACAGCCTGAAAGGTGGAATAAAATCAAGCTGGTCATCACCAAAGAGGAAGTCAAAGAGGCCTATCAGGAAGCCATGTTCTCCATGGCTATGCTAAACCGCACAGGTAAACTCTAAAATAAACATCATACTGACTGAGCGTGCTCTGTCCTGGAGCTTTGATCTCCTTGTTTCAGCTCGCTCAAACATTTGACTCTGAATCTTTATGTTTATGTTTCCAGCGGCTGGCCTGATGCACAAGTTCCAGGCTCACGCTGCCACAGATGTGACGGGTTTCGGGTTGTTGGGACACGCCAACAACCTGGCAGCACAGCAACGCAACGAGGTGGCCTTCGTCATCCACAACCTGCCAATTATAGCCAAGATGGCTGCTGTTAGTAAAGCCTGCGGGAACCTGTTCAACCTGGTTCAGGGCACGTCAGCAGAGACTTCAGGTAGGAAAACAGAGGAGGAAACACCAAGAGGTGTCTGTCTCTTAAACGGATATTCCGGCATAAAATTATTTTGGGTCAAACTCACCGTAACACCGAGTTAGATACCCTGTCAAGAGATGATTGAATGAATGAATAGGAGAAATGTCAGTTCTTACTTAAAGCATCATGGCTGAAAAAAGTATGAATGAATGAAAACCAGTTCTTCTGGATCTGTTAGTGATTTATAGTCGTAACTTTTTATCATAGTCATAACTTTTTATCTGTCCCTCTCTACTCTAGGTGGCCTGCTGGTTTGTCTGCCCAGAGAGCAGGCAGCCAAGTTCTGCTCAGAGATGAAGAGTCAGAGCTGTGGGGCCGGAGGTCAGGGCGCAGCGGGTGGAGCCTGGATCATTGGGATCGTAGAGAAAGGCGACCGCCGTGCTCGCATCATCGACAAGCCTCGCATTATCGAGGTCCCTCCACGAGGAAGTCAGGCAGCAAATCAGGACAACAGCCCCGCCCCCAGCCCCAACCTGTCATAGACGCTGCCTCCCTGCAGTGTGTGTGTGTGTGTGAGTGTGTGTGTGAGTGAGTGTGTGTGCTGATGTTGCCTTCTGTCTCGTCTCTTCTTCAGTTAAAACCTCTGCACACTCAGCGACAACCTTTCCAGCAGGTGAATGAATGCACTGATTTATTATGATTATCTTGGGACGGAGCTGCTGAAAGAAGATCGATTTCAACCATTTAGGATTTAAATTGAATTCAGAAAAGTTTGATACACCCACTCACCTCCTCCCTCTTTATTTAGGCTTGCCTTCATTCTATGAATCATTGCAGACACAAGTAACGTCTTATAATTTATTTAAAGATCATTTTTGGACTAAATAGTTGGACCTCTTCAGAGAAAACATTCCAAAATGCCTCTTAAAGTGTTAATTTAAGTTAAAATGTGTGTGAGAGACTATTTTATCATTGTGGGGTGCTGGGCTGTGGGGAGGTGGATGGTGTTCACGTCTCATGTTGGTGAATGTAACTCACTGAAAAGAATCAATCGGTCTTGGTTCCACCCACTGAGACCAGAGGAAGGCTTGAGCAGCTTTCTCTGGACCGGCTGGGTGGAGTTCAGACTGTCCATCTTTCAGCTTATTGGCTGTCCAGCACAGAGTCCCTCCTTCTTTTCCCTGTTTATGAAGCTCCACCATGTAAACCCCAGCAGGTGGGGACAGGTGGAGTGGATGTTTGCCTTTGGACTGGGGTGGGACTTTCACTGCTGGGAGACTTAAGCTGTCTCTGTAGATTTCTGCTTTTCACAATCAATAAAGACATCATCAACTCAGACTGACACACTGGCTGTGATGTTTTTGTTATATGAACTATTAAAGTAGACTATCAGTAATCACCAAGAAATATTCGATGAAGAACATTAATTTATAAAGACATATGTTTTTCTTGTTTAGCTCATGTTCCATTGCAAAAAGAAGAGTTGAGTCATCTGAGTGAGCGTGTGTCTGGCAGTTACCCGATTTGTAATTTATCTCTTAACCACCAGGGGGTAGCAGATGATAGATTACAAAATTCAACCTGAGAAGAAGAAGAAACGCGGAAGTGACTGAGATGTAAACAGTCCAGTCATCAGCCCACCAAAACACTGGCCTTTTTAACGGTAATGTCTTCGTATTGAAACCGTGATATTATGAGCCACTACAGGTGGAACTGTTTTTCAAGTTCCAAGATAATAAATATGTTGTCGTGTCAGGGTACAACTGTTACTCTTTGACACATTTGAACGTTAAAAGCCTCGTTGGTCTAAATTTTCACTACACTGACTCGTGAGTTGTCATTGCCTTTTACTGATCTATTTTAAATGAAGAAAATAATGTACTTACTTTATATTTAGGGCCAAAACCGATTTAGCTGAGTGCGGAGTCTCTGCGAACAGTCTGCGGTCATAGTCCGGGCTTCATACCGGCATCATGCCGTATCTAGGCGGTGAGGACGCGGTGCGGGAGCTCAGGAGAACTCTGTCCAACCCAAACGTTCAGGCTGACCAGCTGCGCTACAGAAACACCATCCTCAAAGTCATCAGGTGAGTGGCAGGTGACGAACCGACTGCTGTTCATCAGATTTGTTTACAGGAGGAGTGGTGACACATGAATTGTGCGATTATGCACCCGTTGACTCTCATAGGCTATCTATCATTAAACACTTAAAGGGTGGAATTGCACGGTTTAGAGGTGGCATAGTATGAGGTAGCTGGCAGGGGTAAGGTAATTACCCACCACAGGGATGACAGTCAGTATGGCCTGTTATTGTCAAACAAGCTGGAGTGTTGGTATGACAGCCAGACTACATACTTCAGTAATTTGTGTACCACTTAATTTCCAGCAAAACCAAGCTTATTACCAGTGTCATGGTTAGATTACACAATATCGAGAAAATTTCAGGACTTTGTAGTCAAGAAAGCTTGACTGTATTAGTACTTTTGGCAGATACAGCACATAGGGGAGAGTGGGGTAAGTTGAGCCACCCCCTGTTGCTTGGAAATGGTAAAAAAAAAAAGATCATGTGACCACATATTTAGGAGATGGGCTATGGTAGTAGGGATATGGCTCAAGTTACCCCGCTCCTATGGTCAACTTACCCCATACATGGGGTAAGTTGACTATAGCAGACCACTTTTTTTGGCATGTTATATTATCAAGACAGTTATGTTTACACTCATTATGTTGGTTTGCAGGGATGTACAACATCTTGAAATATATGCAAATACACTAGTTAGAGACTAAACTACGATTGCCTTGATGTAGTGATCTGAAATATAAAAAATGCCTCATATTACCTCACTGTCCCCTTCATGTTGCTCTGAATACCAACTAGAAACTGTAGCAGGCCTGGTGTGTGCCAGTAAAAACCATCCTTCTCACCCCTGAAGGCCAGAAAAGAGCCCTGAAATGCAAAGACCTGAGAGACAGTATTCTATCTTAATGCCCAAAAAGCTTTACTCTCTCTCTTGTTCTCTCCTCTCTCCCCCCTCCGTCTGTCTCAGGTCGATGTCACAGGGTGTGGATGTGTCGGGTCTGTTTAGTGAGATGGTCAAAGCGTGTGCCACAGTCGACATAGTCCAGAAGAAACTGGTCTACGTCTTCCTTTGTTCTTATGCTGCTTTGAACCCAGAACTGTCACTGCTGGTCATCAACACACTGAGGAAGGACTGTCAGGACCCCAACCCAATGGTCCGCAGCCTGGCCCTGAGGAACATGACCAACCTCAGGTGATGCACTGCACTCATTGTTTGTGTACCAATTGCCTCATCAGCCTGTGAGTGTTATATTAATGAGGTTTATGTCTGTGTGTCTCAGGTTACCCTCTCTGGTAGAGTACGTGGAGCAGCCTCTCACAGCTGGACTCAGAGACAGAGCGGCCTGTGTGAGACGAGTAGCCGTCCTCGGCTGGGCCAAACTGCACAACCTTCAACCAAACTCAGAGATTGGTACAGATGCATTTCTCTCTTCGCCTCTATTTTCACACTCAGTCTTAAAGGGATATTCCGGGGTAAAATAAATTTAGGGTCAAACACACCGCAACACAGAGTTAGAAACCCCCTTGAGAGATGAATGTTGCTGACCGCTTGCTTCTCTAGTTATACCAACTTTAGTAACGACCACATGATAGCAATACACAGTGGTCTGAGGAGCCATAAACAAACCTCAACCAAAATGCCACTCTATAGTCACAAATAATACTCAGAACAGCACCTAATTTCATCAACTGTACATATAGGGTCCTAGCCACAGCACTAGCACCCAGACTTCTTTTTAGCTTTGCCTGATTTCTTTAGCAAAGAGACTAAACACAACTCACCTACTCTCTTACAGCAGCCGCTTGTTTGTAGCGAGACCTCAGGCCAGTCCATTACGAACTACAGCGGGGTGATGCAGCTCAAGAAAGAACATTTATGATCATTTCTTCATGGAAATGTAATCAGACCGAGACGCGAAGGCAGAAGAACTACTGCGTCTGCAGTGCAAAATGGTTAATATGATGATTATTACACCCAAGAGGTGTAGAAAGAGAAGTTGTCTCCCCATTCACTGTTTATAAGTCTCATTGCTTTCTTGGATATTTTAAATGAGACCTAATGTAATCTTTTTCACCTTTCATTCTGCAGGGCTAGGTCACCTATAGAGTAGGTTAGCGTGATCAGCAACTCCAAAACCTCCTTCTTTATCTCATGCTGGCATCTGTGAGAACCTTAATTTCAGCTCTATTCAGCATCTGACTGACACTTTTCAATAAGCTGCTTTTACTCTGACAGAAATTTAGACACAGCTGAAGGATGTGAGTTTTGTCTGTGGCCAACTGCTATTTTGACAGTCTTTGTTTTCATGCAGTTTGTTGACATGTTTTTCAGATGCATCTGTGGTGAACGAGTTGTACAGCCTGCTGAGGGACCCTGACCCTGTGGTGATGGTGAACTGCCTCCGAGCTCTGGAGGAGATCCTGAAGGAGGAGGGAGGAGTGGCAATAAACAAACCCATCACACACCACTTGCTCAACAGGTGAGGCCGTGAAAACCAGGAAGGATGGTGCTGGATGTCAGAGTAACAGGATATTTCTCTTATTTTTGCCGTGCTGCAGCAGTTTCAATCTTGGACTCTCTTATTCGTGCTGTAAGCAGCCCTGTTTGATTTTTAAAGCTTGTGTTTGTTAAAACCGTGTTTAAAGTCTACTGAGAGGTTAAACTGTAGCCGCAGCGTGTCTATGTTTTTGTATTCTTTCTATGTGTAACAGAAGCATTAATCTGCAGCACTCAGCCTCTGTCGCTCTGTCTTCATCTCTATCTTTCAACAGTCATCCATTTATCTGCAGACACTTAATCCAATCAGCTGGCCCATTAGCTTCCCAGCTCTTCCTGACAGATTTCTCTGTTGAAGTTACCAGGAAACCTTGATACAACCGCAGAGATCAAAGACTGTCTGTGGGCTCCAAACCTGCTGCATATCAAACACACAAATCTTTACAATCTGAAAACAAGGACAAAGTTTACACATATACATTCTTCTGATAAATTAGTTACTCCAGCCAACACATTCATAAGCACTTGTGAACACATTATGAACAGTAACAATATTTCTTTGGGTCATTTTCTTAAAATTTAAAAAACCTGGATTCATTAATTCACCGTAATACACAGAAAAGCAAAAGATAAAAAGCCTCAGAGCTCAAAATCAACCACCTCAAGGCCACACAGATATGACACGCCCGCCTTCCAGTTAAATCAGCTGTGCCCCTTACTATACCAACATTTCTGCATAGAAAAATTCACCTCTCTAAAAACGTGTTTGAGAAAGTAAATGATCTTCATAACAAAACTGTTGTTTACTCAAAGATATTTATCTCTGCTGTGAAGTCGGACAACTGAGCACAGGGTCTGGAGGGGCCTCTAGTGGACATTTGAGGAACGGCAGATCTTTGGAGTTGCGTGTTTGCTGCATAATTTTGCACATGAGAATGACACTTGAATCTAACCTAAATATCTTTTCAAAGACGGTGTGCAACTCAAGCAGTTCAAGTGCTCAATCAACATGTTGAGGCTTCAGTCCTTGTCACAGCAGTTGCTTGTTTGACTCCCAGCTTTGGCTTCTTCTCCCCGTCTTCCTTGGCTCTCCACCCCTCACAGTCCTTCTGATTTTCTCCTCTCAGGCTGAAGGAGTGTGACGTATGGGGTCAGTGTGAGGTCCTCAGAGTCCTCCAGCGGTACAAACCTCAGACAGAGGACGAGCTCTTTGACATCCTGTCCCTGCTGGACGCCTCCCTGGTCAGCCCTCACCCTCCGGTCATGGCCGCCACCTTCAGCCTCTTTCTCCACCTCTGCTCCAGACTCCCCGCCGTCGGCCAGGCGGCTCTGGAGCGAGTACGAGGACCCTTGCTGGCTGCCTGTGGTAGTACGTCCAGAGAGATGAGGTTCGCCGCGCTCTGCCACATACAGGTCAGTGTGAGGGTCAGCATGAGTGGAGCCAGCATGTGTGTCTTTGAGCACGACTTCAAAAACAGCATAAGACAAAAGACACAGAGGACATTGTGAAAAAGACACAGTGTCAGTCTGTAAACATGCTTTGTTTATCTGTCAGAGATCATTTTACTCTAGCTATTTACATATGTTTGTCTGTTTTTATTTGTTTATCAGGGTTGTCAGTCTCTCTGTAGTCCTGCAGTTTGATCCTGAGTTTGTGTTGCTCTCTACTTCCAGCTGCTGTTGTGTTCTCTTCCTGGCCTCTTGGGGGCGCACTACAAAAGGTTCTTCTGTGGCTATGCTGAGCCAGCTTACATCAAGCAGAGGAAGATGCAGGTGAATCCTTTTTAACTCTGTGTTTCGTTTACTTTTTTGGCCAGTATGACTTTAATACAACTGTTTCTGATGTTCATACCCCCTTCTGTAAATATCTAGATGAATGTTACTTAGTCTTACTGAAAGATCCTGTTCTGCAGCACTGGGCAATGGGATTAAAATACCGTGACATGCAAAACACACAGCTCACTAAGCACAAATGTAGATAGTGACAGAACACTAACCTTAACTGATTCAGTGACTGGCATGCTGCTTTCAAGACTATTAAAGATAGAGAAAAGTATGAAAGAGAAGAGTTTTTCAGACTTTAAAAAACATTTACAGACTCCTGAAAAGTTATGAGGTCTGTTTATCTGCTACTTCATCTTAACTGATGAGCTCTAGATCTACCAGCTTCAAGGATTTACCAGTAAATCTCCTTTAATGCACAGCCATGTCCCCAGATTCTCATACTTTGAGCAGTGACACAACTGTGCTTTACACCATGTTGTGTTTGCAGTAACAGTACTGTATTTTAAATTGTGTTGTTTGCAGTGACAGTTCTGTTTTTTAAATTGTTGTGTTGACAGTAACAGTACTGTATTTTCAATTGTGTTGTGTTTGCAGTGCCAGTACTGTATCTCACACCCTGTTTTGTGCAGGTCCTGGTTGAGCTGGTAAACGATGAGAATGTGGTCATGTTACTTGATGAGCTAAAAGGATACTGCACTGATGTCAACACAGATACCGCCCAGGCTGCAATCTCTGCCATAGGTAAACACACCTGTCCTTTTATTGTTCAGATCTCAACCACACACTTCTGCTTCCTGTTGTTCAGGAGACTATTGATGTGTTACTAAAGGGTTAGAGGGAAAAAATGCTGCACCCTCAGTTTGTACATTAAGATTTGATTTGAGTGCTGGAGAAATCACATTAGTATCTCTGGCTGGTGTTGGGACAGTAGGACTTAAAATATCTACTGACATGTTTCCACCAAAATGCCTGGAAATTTTGGTATCAGGAACTGTTTCTCACTGACCTTAAAGGTTCCTTATGCCTGATTTTCTTGTGCTTTGCTGGAGTGTAAAGACATGCAAATATCCAGATGATTGGTGTGTTGTACATGTAATTTTGTATGTTGGAACTTGAGTCAAAAACAGAGACACTCTAAATTTAGTTCCTGACAGACATCGAATAAGGACTGAATTCAGTTCTGGTTTTCTGTGACTGTGTTGATCAGTTAAATTATGATATAAGTAAAAACAAACATTCTGGTTTTGCCAAAAAAAGGGGGAATAAATTCAATGCTAATTTTCAGCCAGTGAGAAATGTTCAGAGCTGAGCTCACTGTAAGGGTCCTCAGCCCTGAGCAAAGTTCCCGCTGTTAAGCATGGTTCTTATCTCCTTGTGCTTCCATGTCTCCTGTGTGATTGGTGCAGGTAGGATTGGGCGGAGCTACAGCGACAAATGTCTGGAGATCCTAACAGGACTACTAGGACTCAAGCAGGATCACATCACCTCCGGTAAAAAAAATCTACAGGTTTCTACACAAACCACAGAGTGTGGACTTTGGTTTTAACATTTTCATTAATGCAAAAGGAAACAAAAATCAGCCATACTTCTTTATTTCTGATTTAGGATCCTACATTTCCTTGAAAAAGTGTGTTATTTATGATGCTTAAAATATCTCTTAGATGGGCCAACAAGGCCACAAAAACTCAAACTAAAGGTGACTGATCCTTGGTTTTTGTAGCTCACAGACTCTGGAGCTCACTCCCACCTGCCAATTAGTCTGCTCTCTGACCCAAAAACCTCTTTAGGACCACTTTTCCTAAACTTGGCATTTCAATAATGTTTCACCTCTTTCTCAGAGTATGTGGGTCTAAGTATGCCAATTGTTCTTGTCTGTGGATGAAGATTCGACAGCCACAACAGACAAATAGATCAAGTTTTCTGAGAGCTGATGTGAGGATCCTTTGTTTGCTCCTCAGCGGTGGTGCAGACGATGCGTGACCTGGTGTGGGTGTGTCCTCAGTGCAGCGACATTGTGTGTGAGGCTCTGGAGGGCTGTGAGGACATGCTGCAGGACAGCCAGGTCAGTCACACACACAAACTAACACATACAGACACCACTGCACAGCAGATGGAATATAAAGCATCATAATGAAGAGACAGATATGAAGAACATGAAGAAAAACTGCACTTAAGCAGGAAGCACTTACCTTCCAATTCCATAGGAGTTGAGACGCTGCATTGAGTGATGATGGAAACAAAATCTGCTGATTTTCAAATCAAATAAGGTTTATATTGAACTTGAATTATAATCCAAAGACACACTATTAGATATAGAAAATAAAAACTGTTTTTGTTTAATGAAAAATCTTTGCACATTTTAAATGTGATGCAGGAACGTGCTTGTAAAAAGTTCTTATAGAGGAAGACCACCGTTTATCACTGTTTCCACAAATGCAGGTTAAAACTGAACCATGTCAAGAGCAAACCGCCTCTTATGTTAGCTTATGTTTAGTCTTTAGAGTTTTTTCAGAAATGATTGCAATACTTTCTGACTCAATTAAAAGCTATTGTACACTATTTCAAAACAGCTTTCAATCAAAGTCAAAATAGTAACTGAAAGAATAACAGGTGAAATACTAAAAATGTACAATTAAGGTGAAGAGTCTCCTTTGTAATATCTTTATTCACATTGATGGTCTTCTATATTCAGTAGTGTGTATTGTCAGTAATAAGCAGGAGGGTTTGATGTGAACTCAGGGTTTTGGTTGTTTATCAGCAGACATTTCTGTTTGTAGTGTTTTGTTTTTGCTCTATTAGATGCTGGAAAAGAAGGAGGGTTTCACTTTAAAGGTTTGCAGTCTCTGTGGCGGTTCTACGTTGTGAACACAAACACCTGCAGATCCACGATTTAGTCATGAAACATTGTTCAGACCTTTGTTTACTGAAAACAGACCTTTTCCCTTGTTTTGTGACTAGAAGCCACCTGGGTTATGTGTAAAGCACATTTATTCTTGATTGGCCTGTGAACACTGTGTGTAAATCTGAGTGTTGTTGTCACACCTGTTTTCTTATCCTTACTTAACCAGCACTTTCAGACTAGCTGACTCCAGAAAATCCAGGTGAACACACCTCTGTAAACATGACTCCTGAATGGCCTGAGATTCTAATAAGGGAGAAACACAAATGAGATGCAAACTATGACTCCAGGCTCCAAACACCTGTCACCTGCCTGAGTCTGAAAGCATCACATCTGTTTGAGTCGCTGTGACTGAACCCTGCAGCAGGTGATTATTACGAGTGAATAATGACTGCTGTGATTTGACACTACATAGATAGACTGAGTGGTTGGTTATAGATATTTTTACCACAGAAAATGGAGACCCTCTATCAGCTGATTTGTGTCTAAACTAATAATGTTTAGTTCCTGCTGAAAAGACATGTGAGGGTTTACCTTTGACCCCTTACCTTTGATTCCTCACTCAGTACACTATAGCGGTTATACATTAACACGCTGAAAAATGAATGACTAAACGTAAATGAAGTGCACCACAGAAGGCTAGGTCAGTTTGTTTTAAAGCACTGCTCAAACACAGAAAAAAGTGAAATGAAAACCTTAAAATTCAGGAGTGTTAAAGAGAAGTGACAAAATAACAAAATAAGTCGCAAAATAACAAAATATCCTCTTGAGGGTTTATATTTTTTTAGAGCTGTTTGTATAAAGAGAAGAGAAAGTATTATGGCTGATATTTGCCGTTTGACTGATTATCTGTATTGGTCTTTTATTTTACAGCTGATCAAACTTTGCACCTCATTGGCTCCACTGTCAGTGTCTTTCTCTCTGGGTTTGTTTTCTTGCACCTCTCTGTCTTGCTCACCCACAACACAATCTAATTGGCTAGACGTCAAATGACCATGACTGGTTAACTGGTTACCAGTTAACTCCTCTGAATGATGTTGAAAGTTTAGTTTTGAAAAAAAAAAAAAAAATTGCGAAAGGCTTTTCAAGCTCCTGTGAGTAACTTTCACTTTGTGTCTGTTATGGCGCCACCCTGTGGAGGAAGTAGTCTTTGTCCACATGATCGCAAAAATCACCAGTCTTGTCAATGATGGCCTTGCTTGCTTTTGAAAAAGACAATGCAAATCTGTAAACATGATTTCTGTCAGACAGCACTTCACATGTTATTTGCATGTGCGTGTGTGTGTGCGTTAGCTAAAAATGCTGAATATTATTGTGTCATAATAAAGCAGGCCAGTGGGGGTAACTGCATTTCTCATGGTCCTGAAACGTCATGTTGCGGCTTCATGATCATATGTGAACCATGATCCAAAAATGACGTTTGCACCTCATGATCTCACTGTTTGCTTCAGAACCGTTGGTCCCATTTCTGATGTTTATATTTGTACAAAGCTCGATTATGTTCCCTCCTGTGCAGGAGGTCAAAATAGTGTCATGTGAACACACCGGCTGTCATGATTTCACAGTTGAAACTTTAAAATGTTTATATCTCTACGTATTTACTTTATAAATGTGTCTCCTCAGGGTTCACTCTTAAATTTCTATTGCATGACCCTGCAGCACAGTTCCTGGTGAGTCAGTCCCTCCTGGACTAAGAGCTTCCATTGTTCAGTGGTTCCCAGAGACAGCGGTTTAGAAAAGCTCCTTTTCCTGGTTTGTTTGCCCTGTAACTTACTCCGTGGTTGAGTTCCCTTGTTTTAGGATTTTTTTTGTATATCTGTCTGGCACATGACATTTGGTGACCTGATGAATCTCAAAGGACTTTGAGAATAACTGAAGGTTTCTGGTATGACCATGACAGAGAGCAATGTATAACTTTTTGAACATTTCAAAAAGAAGTTTCTGAAATTCAGGATCATGGAGTTAAAGTTTCAGTCAGTTCAGGTCTTGAGGTCAAGTCTGACCCTCTGTTCATCCATCAGGGCAGGCAGGCGTTGCTGTGGCTGCTGGGTGTGTACGGGGAGCGGGTCTCTAGCGCCCCCTACACACTGGAGGTGTTCATTGACGGCGTGAGGAGTGAGGCATCTGTGGGAGTGAAGCTGGAGCTGCTGACGACTGCCATGAGGCTGTTTCTTTGCCGACCTGCAGAGACTCAGGACATGCTGGGACGACTGCTGCACTTCTGCATAGGTCTGTGTGTGTGTCTGTGTTTGTGTGTGTGTGTGTGTGTGTAAAAGACACAGAAATTGTGACTTAGACCCTTTATTTTTCAGAGGAGGAGACAGACATGTGTGTGCGTGACCTGGCTCTTCTCTACTATCGTCTGTTGCATTGTGGGATTGAGGAAACTCGAAAGGTCCTTCAGGGTCGGAGGTCAGACCCTTCGCTGGGTGTCCTGATTGGCCGTCCTGCAGAGCCCATCAGCCAATGGGCATCCAGCTTTAACACTCTAGATCCTCTGAAGCAGGTCACCCTGGAGACAGAGACCTCCAGCAGAGGAAGTCCCGAACATGTGACCTTTGACCCCAAACCTAAGAATGACCTGTCAGACACTCTGAGCTGCAGCAGAGTCGACGAGGTTCATCCAGGTGAGTTCAAGTCTTTCCTTAAACTTGAATAAAAAAAGGTGAAAAGTTGAGAGAGGGTTGGAGTCAGTATTTTACCCAGTCAGGGACTGAGAGTAAAATAAACAGACCCTCTAGAAGTTTAACATTCCTATATCTAAAATCTTTTCATGATTGAGTTTAGGAAATATTCTCATCATGTACAAATCATCAAAAATAAAATAAGAGAAGACTGGATGTTTTCACTTTACACACCATAAATATAAGACTATCTAAAATCAACATTTTTAAAGTAAAGAATGAAAAAAGAGCTGTTTTTACTCTGTCATTATCACCTGACAGAGCTTAGGGGAGTTTGCCTGTTAGAAAAAAAACGTTTAATCAGCTCATTGGTGGAACTTTTAGAGGGTTAGACCGAAAAGTAATGAATCTCTCTGATATTGATACCCAGTAATTAATCCTCCTGTAAACAACAGGATTTCCTCTCAGTGGTTTTATTTCCAGTTTGTTTGTTGTTAAAGATAAAAGCCTAACTTTTGTGGCATTAAAGACTCACCCAGGTGAACCCAGGTGAAACTCAGAGGGCTTTATTTGAAATGATACATAGAGCAAAACTCAAGAATAGATGGAACTGAAGTAGACTTCTTTGTCTCTGTCTGAATACAGAGGCTATTGTTCTTTGGTTTCAGTAGATCGCTAAATCTGAAAATCATGTGCAAGTCTTCCAAGAGACACAATCTGATATCTTGTTATGAAAAAATGACATCTGATATTTGCCGTCTTACTCTTTCACAGTTTCAGGTTGGTTGCACTGCATGTTGCAGGGAATGTGTAAGGCTTTCAACAGGCACTTTCAAGGCTGCATTAGATGCGATAATCAGACCTCCTTAAACAGCTCTTGCATTTTTAAGTTGTTGTTATGCTGCAGACAGATCCTTTCAAGCTGGAATTCAGGTTTTTATTTATTTTATTTTTTTTACAAACTTGTATCCTGATTGGGTTATTTGAGTATCCTTCCAGCCTGACTGTCTAAAGAGCAATGTAACATCTGTTCACTCTGGATTTAAGATACTGTGGTAGGATGAATGTCAGCGGAATTTATTGTGACTTGTGAAAATAAGACTCAGCACAGACTGATGGAGTTATAGTAAAACTAAGACTCAGTCAGTACAGACTGATGGATTTACAGTGAAACTGAGACTCGGCACAGACTGTTGAATTTACAGTGAAATTGAGACTCAGTACAGACTGATGGATTTACAGTGAAACTGAGACTCGACACAGACTGGTGAAGTTACAGTAAAACTGAGACTCTGCGCAGACTGATGAATTTACAGAGAAACTGAGACTCAGCACAGACTGATGGAGTTACAGTAAAACTAAGACTCAGTACAAACTGATGGATTTACAGTGAAACTGAATTCGGTACAGACTGGTGAAGTAACAGTAAAACTTAGACTCAGCACAGACTGATAAATTTACAGAGAAACTGAGACTCAGTCAGTACAGACTGATGGATTTACAGTGAAACTGAGACTCGGCACAGACTGTTGAATTTACAGTAAAACTGAGACTCTGCCCAGACTGATGAATTTACAGAGAAACTGAGACTCAGCACAGACTGATGGATTTACAGTGAAACTGAGACTCGGCACAGACTGGTGAAGTAACAGTAAAACTAAGACTCAGTACAGACTGATGGATTTACAGTGAAACTGAGTTTGGTTCAGACTGGTAAAGTAACAGTTAAACTAAGACTCAGTACAGACGGATGAATTTACAGAGAAACTGAGACTTGGTAGACCGATTAACTGGTGCTTCATGGCTGAAACAGAGCACCAATAGTTGTGTCCTATAGAGAACTCCTGGTCCTGATTCTAGCTATGAGATTATTGAACTGGGTCCTGGGTGCTGGAAAGCAGGAAAGTTCATCACTCACGGTTCATGTAGGAGGAGGGGAGACTAACCAGCTAAGAGTGAGTCCAGGTGATGATGAAGTCTGAATTTCTGACTGATCTGAAAGAAACTGAACCACCATCTGCAGTTTTATTTCCAGTAAGCTCAACATTTCTGTCAGTAGACTGAATTACTGCCCTTTTTATATGATGTTCATCCTCTGTAGCATCACTGTTGAGTTTTCAGGTTTTGGCAGTTTTACTTAAATGTATTTTAAAGAGGAGACTAATTGAGATTAAGAGTCTCTAACAAGAGCGTCCTGACCGAGATTAGCAGCAGCACATTTTACCAAAATCACAGATGTTAAAACACATAATTTGAGAAAAACATGCCGACAAATCCTGAATCACATGACAGAAAGTCATCAGAGCATTCACAGCCGTGTGCATCGTCCTCCAACACCTTCAGTCTGTCTGAAAAGCAAAAAAAGTCTCTCTGTCCTGCACTCTGCTCTTTTCTGATAAGCTGAAAAAGGAGGCTTATCCGAAACCAGTGGATGTTCAGTTAGATTTATTGACAGCACTTCTTTCTCAGAGTCGGTTTTAAGAGGTGGAGCAGAATAGACCAGACAGCATTCCAACTACAGGCTTGTTGGACAGCCTGGGCGGCAATACACAAGACATTTTTTAAGTCATTGCTCAAGTTGTCAAATATAAATTTAAAGTTTGCACTTCTGGACAAGAGACTGTGTAAAGTTGCTTTAACTCCTCTGGATGAATGTAGTAGATGCCTTTAGACCTCTGGGTGTCCTGTAGTCTGGTCCTGCTCTCTGCAGCTTTGTTTAAACCTCATGTGTCAGACTGATGATGTCTCATGCTATCTGGTTTTACAGATCATGGAAAGTTGAACTGTAGGAGGTACATTTCCTGATTCAGTGGTTTCTTTGGGAGCTGTTGGTATTTAGGGTTTCTATAACCTGTTTTTCGAGAATGTTGTTTTTCTACTGACATGTTGGCCACACCTGCAGGAATGTAATCAGGCGAGTCTCTGATTTAAAAGGCTGAAGATGTTGAGAGGTGAAATATAAAGGCCAACCCTGAAAAAGTCAACACTGTCTGGATGGCAGCATGTGTTGCTCCTAAACCTGTATCTCCATCCCTATACCAACAGTGATGCTGGTGGTATGGGTAACCACAAAAAATAGTTTCTGAAAGTGATTTTGAGTCCATGCAGTGTCTTCCATGTAGTGATTTGAATTTATATTAAAAATCTTAAGATTAATTTTTGACGATAATCTTAAATTATGACATTAATGCACTCATTAAAAGGGGCTCCACCCACCTTTAACAGTAGGAATAAAGAGTTTAATCCAGAAATCAAACATTAAGTCAATCTTTAATCAATTTTAAATCAATCTCATATCTCAAGCTTGAATTCTCATTTCAGGGACTCCACTTTTGGAAGAACATTAACAGACAAGAACTTAGAAAAATAACCAGTCTGTTTATTACAGGATAAATGATGGTACAACATACATACAAAAAATGAGGATAAGATAATAGGGATAAATAATGATTGGTAAATGAAAGATTCTGAGTCAGACTATGATTACGGAAGTTATTGATAGTGAGTGAATATGCTCTAAGATATTAACCTACATGAACTTTGGTGAAGAGATAAATTTGGATGTGGCTTTAGATGAATTTAGAATATGAATAATGAACACATGAGACAGCATCAGCCCTGTTTGATATCACATGTCTCTTTTTTTTTTAAAGATATTTTTTGCTTTTAATGGATAAGACAGAGTGGAAATGTGAGAGATAGATAGAGATGGGGGGTGGGGGATGACTTGCAGCACATGGTCAGGCTGGACTCGAACCTGCGAATGATACAGGGACCATAATCCCCATATGTGGGGCACACTTTAACCTGCTAGGCTATCTATGCACCCCAAACATCTCATTTTAACACATATTTCATGTTAAAACAGATTACTAAATAGCTGAAAGCATCAGACATCATTATCAGTCATTTGTATTTTTTCACCAAAGGGATGCTGTTTTTAGCAGCATATGGCTAATCAGGGTTTCAGGACAGAGGTCTGGATGTCAGTGTCCTGCTCCTCAGAACTCCTCTGGGATTCCATGGATTCACACTCTTCAGACAGTGAATCTCAAATAGGAGACCTGGGTTGAGGCATTAATGTTTATTTAGATGGTCAGAGATGGAGTCAGTTTGAAAAGTAATAAAAACTTTGTCTCTTTTCTTTAAATTGACTAATTGAGAAGAGCCAATGACCCAACCTGAGGTTTAGGTCAACCTCAGGTTGTCTTTGTGTAAGCTGAAAGTCCAAACAGGTCTAGAGAGATTTATATGATCCTGTGTCCTGGGACCAGATAAGGAACCTTTCCTTTAAGGAATGTGTGAGTTTCACTCACAGGGTTGTCTTGATGCTACACCCATGACAGATTCCTGCCTGTTGTTAAATGCAGTGCTGCCTGAGAGCCGGAAGATCAGGACCAGCCAGTCTTGGTTTTGGTCCTTGTCCCTTTCGTACAGAGATTTCTCCAGATTCTCTGAATCTTTTAATGACATGATGAACTGCAGATGATGAAATCCACTCATTCTTTCACATTTGACTCTCAGGAACTTACTAAAAGTTGCTCTGACCACTGAAAAACATGTTGCTGCCATCAAAATTGAAGAGATTTTTTAGTTTTAACATCTAAATCATTGTCTTTTCACTGCTTTTCAATCGAATTTGGCTTGAAATAATTTGCAAATTGTAAAATTGTGTTTTTATTGACATTTAACATTAGTCCAGACTGGTTGTATTAAGTGATACTTGAGTTAAATTAAAATCTTTTCCGTGGAAACATTTTTAATCTCTATCTACCCTGGATCAGTCACAGACTTCAGTGTGGGGTCAGCAGAGAGGACTTTCGGCAGCTCTCTCTTGTTTGTTGTGGTCCCTCTGAGAGGCTCTCTGAAAGCTCCCAGTGTTTTAAATCTCCTCTGGGATTTCACTGGTATAAAAAGATTTGTTATTCAGACTGAGAAGATTTTTCCCAAGGTTAAGGTCCATTTCTGGGAATGCAGAACCATTTTAATCACAAATCTGCCCCCTTGGCACTCATCCAATTCTCTTGTCACCCCCTAATTCATCCTCACCTCCCTCTCCTTTCCCCCGTTCTGCTGCCTCCCCCCCTTTCCTTTTCTTCTCTCTGACTGTCCTCATCCCCTCAGACTCAGATGGTGTTGGTCAGTTTGCAGACTCTTCTGCAGACGTCCCGTCTCCCCTCAGTCTGTCCCTGTCCCCAGCTCTCAGCCCGGAGGAGTTTGAGCGTCTGTGGCTGCAGGGACGAGCTGTGCATGCTGAGCGAGGTAATTCAATAGATAAAGATTCTTTTATTCTGAAAGCTCTCTGCTCCAGGGACAGGAAGACAGTTTGACAGGAAGAAGAGGACACAAACTGTAAAAGAAAAGTGAAATCTGCAGACTGGAGTTCATCCAAAATCGTTCACTCAGCTCCAGATTTCACCAGCTCAGACTTGATGTGAGGGAAATTTCTCTGAGTTTGCTGCTCTTTTTTCATCTGCAGGTTCAGAGGAAACAGTAGAGAAGGACATAGAGTGTCTGGTGGAACATGTTCGATGCCCTGCCGTCCCTCACTGTTCACCTCAGAGCCTTCAGGCCGCCATGCAGCTGCTCAACATCCAGACGTTAGCCTTCACACCACCACACACACTCCCCTGGAGGGTCTACCTGTACACACACACTCAGCACACACTCTCTGTTAACAGTACGCTCATACTGGGAGAGCTGCTGTACACAGGGAGGGACAAAGAGGTGAAGAAGGAGGAGGAGGAGGAGGAAGAAAAGGAGGAGGGAGAGGAAACAACAGGTGACAAAGAGGAGGAGGTTAAAGTGACTCTTCAGCAGCAGCCGAGAGACAAAGAAGCTCTGAGAGGGTTCCTGTCCATCCTCACCTCTGTGCTGCACACACTGTCTGCAGAGCCTGAATAAACACACACACTCACACACACACACGTCATATCACATGATCCTCTGTATAACCAGTCAAACATGCACTTTGACCAATTTGCCGTCAATGCAAAATAAAGAAGCTCTGACAAACTCTTATGCAAAGTTTTGTCTCATTGAAAATCTTCAGAAACCAAAGCTCAGCTCATGTTCAGCGAAGATTATTCAGTGAGATAAAAACAACATGTAACATGTTTATAATGTGCACGAACACCAGATTTTGTTTACAACAGAAATTATACAAAGTCGAAGAGGATGTATGTAGGAGCAAGGTTGTTAGGAATGCAAATACAAAGTTAAGAGGAAATGGAAATACATCTACAGTTACCTACAGTTCCCTTTTCACTGTTCAGGTTGTGTTTGTGAGAGTTCAGACTTTAGATGAGTAAAAGTGACTAAAGGAGAGGGAGCCAAGTGTCTTTAACCTTCTCAGACCCAGAAACAAACTTTGATCTTATAAGACTTAAAGGGTGAGCTGTCGTAAAGAAGTCGATTAAAGAGCAATTAGGGAGAGGTCAGAGTTTGATCTGATGGGGGCAGTATAGAGAATAATGGAGGAAACCGATGTGGAGGCTGCTCAGCTACAGGAAGTCTGAGAGTAGAGCTGGGATGGATGTTTGAAATGATGTCTGAGGCAGAGAGGCTCCTTTAAGTCTGACTGTAATCTGACAGTGAGGAGATGTTCAAGGCCCAATCAGCTCGAGGAGAGAAGCCCCACCCTATGAGGCAAGAGAGAGAGCTGGTGTGTCCAGCTTTTATTAATTACAATTCAGTTTCTTTAATCCTCCACTAACTCTTCATTTCCTTTTTAAGGGTCAGTGTAGAAATGGGGATATTTAGTGATTGTCAGCAGTCAGATTCTGGATTGAAATGCTCCCTTGCTCACCCCTTCTATTGAGGTGGATCTTTGTCTATAGTCTCTTGAATAATAAAGCAATTTCTCACTGAATAATTAAAATAATATCTGAATTACTGCCTTTCACCACTCATCAGATGGAAGAAATCATTCCTCCATCTGTCTCTGCACATTTTCCATCTCTCTTTCTGTCCTGTTTGAGTAAAGACACAAAGCCCAGAGAGCAATCTTAAAAACAGTGAGTAAAAAATGACTTTTCTGTTATTATAAACTTGTTATTTGATCCATAGTGTAAACAAAGTAGACATGCAGTAAAATATCTTTATAGAATTACTTTGTCTTTTAAAAACCCCTTACTGGAGCTTTAAGAGTTAACACAGCTTGGAGTATTATTATCCTGTCATACATATATTTATATGCCCAGCTCACATGAGCTTACATGACACCATCAGTTCATACAGTCCAGGTTCAGAGAGCAACAGGCTGAGAAAGCTAAACCAAACACACGCTGATTCAAAAACATTTACTCATTCAAGAGGTCTTCTTTTTCAAGCTTTGAGACCAAGTTAGCAGCTTAAACTCATTAAACCCTAACAGCCAATACACTTTTTGCTTGTCTTATTTCAGAGACACTGTATAAAACAATTGTTTTGCATAAAGGTCATGTGTTTTTTGACAGTATTTTATATTATTCTAGTTTGAATATCATCATCTGAGTGATATTATATTGGCAACTTCTGCGTCAAATATAATTCAGAGACTGTTATGAAGCGGAGCCAAAGGATCTGATCACTGAAAAGAAACAGATTTCCCATCAATGACACGTTAATACGGACAGGCTGAGTTTAGGTAAACACAAATAGCTGATCTGACTTTATAAACTAACGCCCCCGAGGGTGTGTGTGCATATGTGTGTGCTGTGTGACGACCCACCTGGACCATATAAAGCCGGTGCACCTGGTGCTCACTCACACACACACACACACACACACAGAGAGAGAGAGAGAGAGAGAGAGAGAGAGAGAGAGACGCAGTCGGAGCGCATGCAGGAGTAGAAGTGGGATGTGGAAACTGTTGTCGGGATCATGTTCAGCACTTTGAACCGGACAGTGATCGTTTCGGCCCCGGTGAGCCCTCCGAGTTTCCGGCCCTTATAAGTCCCTGACACACCGGAGCAGAGCCCGCTGACCGACGGAGCGCCAGCCGTAGAGGGGAGCAGGAACACCGGCTGAAGGAGGTGAGAGGACCCGGGGGAGGGAACCACGGAGGGTACCGTGATAGAAGCAGACCGTCATTTGTTTCCTGTGTCAACATCACTTTAGTTTGATATGGTCTCTCTCGGAGCTGAGGGCGGAACCAATACGGCTCCAAACCTTCGGGTCAATAAATTCTAATACTGGTTTGACTGAGAGGCTGATCCTGCTTTAATAACAGGTTTATTCACAGAGATACACCCGAGCTGAGTTTATAACCCGCTGATTCACATACAACAGAGACATAATGTCTGAGTTACAGAATGACTCTGGTTTATTCAGACTGGACCGCTAATGTCCGGACGGTACTTCCTCATTTTAACGACAAAACACGAATGGAATTATGATTACCATCACAGTGAAATGTTACAGAGTGTGTTACTAAATCAGAAAATCCTGAAAAGTTTGAATCCAAATGAAAGTTTATGTACACAGTGTCTAGATCAAAGAATGAGTCAGTGTAACAGGTGTGTCTGTATGGAACTGACACACACCTGTGCTGTCACTCAGGTGTGTGTGTGTGTGTGTGTGTGTGTGTGTGTGTGTGTGTGTGTGTGTGTGTGTGTGTGTGTGTGTGTGTGTAAAGCTCGTTGGAGGTGGAGCTGAGGGTAAAGATACTGACCAGATACACTCTAGAGATACAAGGGGGTCTATTTTTAGAACCAGAGCAGCAGATACATGTTTACTGTACATTGTGTGTGTGTGTGTGTGTGTGTGTGTGTGTGTGTGTGTGTGTGTGTGTGTGTGTGTGTGTGTGTGTGTGTGTGAAGGGGAATGAGGGTCGTTTTGTGTGAACAGTGAGGGGAAGTTTCTGGAAGGAGGGTCCTTCAGGTTATTTTTAGCTCAGACTGTGAACTGTTCACACCCACAGACTCTCAGACTGACTGTTATTATATTTTCTGTAGCCTACTGTCTTAGTGCCCAAAGCACCTGTGCGCACACACACACAAACCTACAATCTGTCCAGAAGTTAATATCTGGACGGATAATAAAACCTTATTAATCATTGATTGCAGGTGTCATTTATCATTATTCAGTAAAATCATTCATATATCCACTCGCATGTGATAAAGAAGTCCTATACAGGTGATTAAATTAAATGTTATGCACATTTCATAATCTGCAAAAGAATAAAATATTTCAGTAACAAAGTATTTCACTAAATTCATTTAGAGAGAAACATTTTTGAAAAATGCAACAGAAACATTTAAACATTTTTTTATGAAGGGTAAAAACTTTAAACCAAAAAAAATAACTTCACTTTTTTTTTTAAATGGTTTTTAAGATTTTTAAGTTTATTGAAAACTACTTCTGTTATTAAGTATTTTGGATTTGATTTGAAATACTCTAAATATTATAAATATATTTAATTTTGAATTTTTTATGAGCTCCAGCATTTGACAATTGATTTTGGGATAACATTAAATATTTTTTGCATTTTGAAAAGTATATTTTTTTCCATCAATAAATTGTTTTTAGGGGTTTAATGTTTAATATTGGTGAATATTGGTGCAGTCTACCTTCAGGGCCACCGTACAAAAACAGCAACTTCAGATTATTGCATTTACCCATACAGTTCATCACTGCATCTACAAACGGCTGCTGTCAGACAGAAAGCTCATGTATTTTTGTAGAGCAGCTCAACACTGTTTGTGGTTCAGCTCTAAGCTGTCTTCCCTTTTTGAGCGTACTTTTTTAGGTATTTTTACTGACAGGAAATGTGGGCAGAGAGAGAGGAGAAGATGAGGCAGCAGTAACTACTTTTTACTGGTAGCAGTTAAGAAACTAATGGATCAGATGACTGATTGTGTTGTAAAAAAAAAAAATCAGTGTTGAAATATGGAAATAGGGGCTTTCTACCTGACCTTAATAAAAGGAAGTTAAATCTGAACCATCAAAGAGGAAACAGGTTAGTTCAAAGATCTTCCTGCAGCTGTATTTTTGACCTTACCAGACTTTTTTAGTGTGTTATCTTTGCACTCTTTTTTATCAGAATATGTGATTTAAATCAAAATTGTGTTTGATCATTGTGAGTCTTTGCGTGTCGCCGTGCACATAGAGGTATTTTATTCTGCTCTGAGAGAGCTGCTGCTAAAACTGAAACTCACTGTGAGTGACAGTGAAAATAAATCTGTCACTGTGAGAGTCTGGGATTGGATTTTTATAATTGTGTTTATGCTTTTTACACCACAAACCCAACAGCTCAAAAGACCCTGACATTCACACACAAAGACCAAACAAAAATATCTCACAAATACAGAAAATATTCAGCTGTTACTGCTTTCAGGAGGTGTCTCAGATTCCTCCCTGTACTTTAATGAGTAGCAGTCTCTTGTCCACTGGTGTGATGCTAACTTTCTCACCATAAATGTGAAGAAAACCGAGGAGATGGTGCTTGACCCTCGCTCAGTTGGTGAACATACCCCTCTGTTCATCCATGATGAAAAAATGTTTGCTGTTGATCAGAAGATCATATTATGTTTTATCAGGCTGTTTTGGAGAGCATTATCCAGCATGGGATGTCAGCCTTGTACGGTAATCTCTCTGTCCAGTTAAAATCTTAACTTACTCGTCTGGTGCAGACTGCCATGAAAGTTGTAGGGAGGACTGAAAACTCTTTCCTGCAGTCCATGTATGAACAGTCTGTTCTCAGGCAAGCTCAGTGAGCTTTAGCCGGTCCTTCTCACATCCTTTACCCAGTGTATGAACTCCTACCATCTGGTAGGCGATACAGAGTCCCCAAATGTAGACTCAACCATTTTAAAAACTCATTTGTACCCACTTCAATTAGGTTTTTAAATAGTGTTTCCTAAAATATTGCCGGATTGTGCAACAAAGTCATGGTGTTATCTTGTTATCTTATCATTTTCTTTTTGGTCTTGTTGGCCTTGTCTCACCTTGCTGTGTCTTGTTCTCTATCATTGTCGTCTATTGTCGCTGTGTTTCTTTTGACCATTTCTGTGGGATTCTTGTGCAATATGGGTAGGTGCAATGTGTGTATGTCCAATGTACGCGGTTTGTGTGACTGTGTCTTTGTTAGGTCTAGTGCTTTGTGTCATCAGTTGGCCGCTAAATCTGTGCAGCTCTTGGAGTCCAAGACAAATTTTCCTAATGGGACAATAAAGTGTATTGTATTGTATTGTATCGTATCTTGTGTATTGTATTGTATCTTGCGTATCGTATTGTATCTACAGTGTTGTCAGACAGGTCCTGGGCTGGTAACGAAGAGTTCACCTTAGAGAAAAATCTATCATAATTAACTATTAAAGTTTGAGAGTTTACTCTCTGCTGACTGACACACTGACCTGATTATTACGTCTGAATAATCATGACAGAATATTTCACAATGATGCAGAAAAGTGTGGTGTGTGTGTGTGTGAAGGTCCTACCTGACCCTCTGAAACATTCATTAACAGTTTGCTAAATTATTTACTGTTGTACTGACTGAGTTACACACCAGCATAATGGGGGATTGTGTGTGTGTGTGTGTGTGTGTGTGTGTGTGTGTGTGTGTGTGTGCGCGTGTGTTTGTTTGCGTGACAGGAAATGCGACGACATTCAAAGAAGAAGAATGTGGTCTTAGCTCTGCTGCTCCTCGCTGGTGGATTTTATTTCATTAACCACTCAGACTTCCTCAATGCTGTGAGTAGACGTGACCTCACACACACACACACACACACACACACACACACACACACACACACATGGTCGATGTTTGAGAACCATCACCTGCTGCTGAACCTCAGGTTTTCACTTCTATACAATTTTTAATGCGTGTGCGTCTGTGTGTGTGCGTATATATGTGTGTGTGTGCATATTTCAGGGCCTGAGGAGGATAAGCGAGCCTCCCCCACGGGAACTGACCTGGGAAGCGGAGCGTCTGGTCCTCAAGGACTCATGGGTGGAGCAGGGGGACTTCCTGCCTCTAAACGTGTCCTATCAGCTGCTGGCCGGAGCTCCAAACCCTCAGCAGAGTCAGTCTCTCTCTCTCTCTCTCTGTTTTCCTGTCCTCCCTCACTCATAGAAATGTTTCCTACAGACTCTCTAGCCTTCAGAGTTTCCACTGTTACCTGTTCACCCTCCACCTCACCCACCAGGAAAAGATTAGTCTCAGTGTGCGACATATGATGACAAATTCAGGCTGTGAAAACCACAGAGGAACATTACCGAGGTTGACGCAGCAAAGCTAACACTATGATGACTGTTTATACAAAAACTCTATATTTGGGACAAATGCAGGAAACTTGGTTTCACGGTGTGTTGAGAGAAACTGATTTATACTCTGTTCTGGTTAGACTTTCAAAATAAAAGCCGAACTCAGAGATTATTGAGTTAAAAATATTTGCAGTGAAAAGCAGGACTTCAACGGAGATCTCTGGTGACTGTTCTTGTCACTGAAAAGCAGACTGAGACTCAGCATCAGATGATGATGTTGGGGTTTCAGACACAGTGGACGTCTCTTTCCCCTGTCATTTACCTCAGTGCTGTGTGCACAGACGAGTGTGTGCAGACATCCTCTCTCTCTCATCTGAAAATGATTCTCCTTTCTCAGCATATTGTTTGAGTCATCCTGTTTACGGCGCTCCTTTGAGTTGCACAAGACAAACACCATCATTCCACCCACTGACTCTTAAAGGAGGAATTTTCCTTAATACCTCCTGCTACGTTCCCACTGTGGTTCACCTGACTTACAGTGAACATTTCACCTGTCAGCTGGCAGGAACAAGTGGGGAAACTTTTTTTTACACAGCCTGAAATTTTTAGGGAGTTGTACAGGGTTTTGAGTATGAACACAGTTTCAGCCTGTTTTTGTGTAACTCTGCAGTCATGAGTGCGAACTTGCATAATGTTCATGCTGAAGGGTTTATTTAACACAAACTGAGGATTTGAGCCACATGCTCCTCCTCAGATGTGCAAAAACATTAATAAGTCTGCATTTTATAACTATTCAGACATTCAATCTCAGCTGCAACTCATGCAGCTCTAATAAGTCATCAACCTAAAAAATATACAACATTCAAATATCAGGCAGATTAATCAACCCAAAGTTATGCTCCAGAGGCATTTATCCAAACATGATACCTATTTATTGTCTATTTTTTTTAGGTGATCATGGATTTCATCTATCAATCCATGATCTTCCGCACTTGTAGATTTCAGCTGCACTTAGTCACATGAATAGAACAGACTGAAATGGAAAGTGTGCAGAAGCTGAAATCTGAAACCAAAGTCTGACAGAGACGTTAAACCTGCTTCAAATCTGCTGTAACCTCACATCAGCAGGTGAAAACCAGAGAGTTTACAGGCTTATTTCTGTCTGACTGCCTGAGCAGTTAAGATCTAGATAAAAACACAGGAACTAATGAAGTCTCAAGTGGTCTGCCTTGTTTGAGCATAGGTCAGACCCAGAAGCTGGTGAGGTCCAGAGTCAAATCAGGAGAACAAAAGCTGTTCCTGGTTCTGCTCCATTTTTGATTTTTGTCAGTTTCCTCCAGAGGCATTAAATAACCTTTTATGATCATCTGAGCAGGTTTATGGTTACAGCTGTATTTAAAAAAGACTGCACCATCATCTTTTACCGTATTCACACATGAACAAGTTTTAAAGGTGGGCTGTGGTGTAATTGTGTTTTACTTTGTTCACTTCTGATGTGTACTTTTCCACTGATCTTATTGAATTTACTGTGAGTTACATTTAACTCATGGGTTGTTTTTATTTAATCAGAGCAGAGTGACATTTAGCTTGATAAGCAGGAACATGATGAACCACAAGGATCTTTTTGATCTGCCGGACAGGTCTGCTGCAGTAGATACACGCCTCAAGGTCAACATTCACACATATTTTATAGCACATTTTAGTAAGACCACAGAAACAGCGTTTGGCCTGTTTACGTCAAAGATATATAGCCAATGACACTGTGTATGAAGGGCAGTCCTAACATGGAAGATAAATATGAATCATACCCGGAAATGGGCACTCACTGTGACGGAGATCCTAAGAGCTCTGTCACTCCAAGTCCAGCACTGTATTACTTTACCTGTGAACATAACAAAAGGTTTATCTGAGACCTGAAGACTTCTCTGGTTGTCCTTGAGCAGTCAACTAAAGAACTGATTCTCACAGCTGCATGTGTGAACACAAACATGCAGACGTTTTCCCAAAAACTGCATGAAGCTGTGCACCTTGTGTTGCTCCTATGTGACCATGGAAAGAATTTCAGAGGCAGACCATCCTGAAATTTTCTGGAAATGTGCAGAAGTGTACGTGTGAAGAGTTTTAGTTTATGATTCAGTTTTCTTAAAGTATGAGGAGCTTTTACCAGTACAGACTTATATGAGTTTTAAAGGTATTAACCACATGTGTTTGTCATGTTTCAGGATACTTATCAATTGGGATTTCCTCAGTGAAGAGGCAAAAGGGCAAGTACCTGATCCCCACCCTGCGGTCTCTGTTCTCTCAGTCGTCTCCCGATGAGCGCTCCTCCATGGTGGTGGTGGTGCTGCTGGCGGACTTCGATGTGAGCTGGAGAGTTAGTACGGTGAAGGAGATCAGGACTGAGTTCAACTCTGAGCTGGATCAGGGTCAGCTGCTGGTCCTGCATGTCTCTCAGGAGTGCTATCCTCCTTTGACAGGTACATGCTGATCCTATAGTTGTTCAGATTTTTTTTCATATCTATGTTTTCCTGCTGGGCTGAAATCTGTCCCTGAACACTTTCACTTTATTTGAGTTCATGATTTTCTAGATCCTAAAACAAACAGTCTGAGGTACAAGTTGTAATGAAAATAAGGGCATGCCTGACTGCATTATGCTAGTTACACAGCACACAGTTTAGGTGTGAGTTAGGATTTATGATTTTAAGATGATTCAAAGATGTAATTTCAGGTGAATCAAACCAATGCCAGCTCTCATTCCCTTTAAGAGTCCTGGTGCACCTACAGCCAGGGGGGTCTCTATTTACACAGCAGAGTTCAGCAGTTCTGCTTAAATACACTTGGCCTGGACTGGGATGTTAAACTTATTTCTATCATTGTGCCCCTAAAATTTAGAAAACACTCACAGGTCGGTAAGAACTCGGTCATAGATCCAAAGATTTATGAGTTTGGTCTCATACTTAATGTAGGGAGATAAGGAGAGATAGGTATGCATCTACTGCATCCTCTGTGTCAATACACTGATACATCTGCTCTGCAGAAGCAGAGGAAAGCAAACTCTTGTATCCGTCTTACTGTCCCTATCCACCATCTGTATATTGACAAAGGTTCTGCATCTCTGACCTCAGACTTAAGAACATATTATTATTGGTTAAAGACACGGATACTTTCTGTTGCCTTATGGCAGCGATATGTACCTCCCTCTAAGACCAACACACCCACAGGAGCAAACATTCATGCAGGTTCACCTACAATCCAAACAGCTTTGTTTTCATTGCAAATTACATGTAAAAAATAAAATCTCCACTGGGTGTATGATAGGTGAGGAATGGGGGAGGCTTATGAAACTTCCAACAGGAAAACAACTGACCAACCATCATCATTCATTCCTGTCATATGAGATTATCCATTTATGAGAGTTCTGAGTTTTTACAGCTGAAACTGTTTGAAACAAGATGAAAAATAATAGCTTCATGTCGACTGAAAAATTGTTTAGATTCTTCAAATTCAAATTCAACTTCATTTATATGGCACTTTTCATGCATGAATGCAATTCAAAGTGCCTTACAGAGGCTAAAAAGAACAATAAAACCCAACCCTCCCACCCACACATACACCCATAAACCCACACACACACACACACACGCACACACGCACGCACGCACGCACACACACACACACACACACACACACACACACACAGCGAGCACTTAAGATATATTGCTCAAGAGACATGGCTTGACACCGAGACACTGCGTGAGGAAAGTGCTACCTTTCGGAAGCACTGGAGATAAAAAGATAAAAATGGTAAAAAGAAAGAGTAAAACCTGATGGACCAAGACAAGAAGATAATATATTATGTACAAATAATTAAAACCCCTAACCATGTAAAAGGGGTAAAAGAAGTAAAAATCTCATTGGAGGGATTTAAGAAAAAGACGAAGAACAGAGATAATTAATAAAATTATATAAAATAAACATTATGTACTTTGATAAAAGTGAACAGTAGCAATAAGAGAAATAAGACAAGGCAATCAGTGGAAATCCTGGTTAGAAAAGAATAAGAGTCTTGAGCCTCTTCTTAGAAACATCAACAGTCTCTGCAGCCCTGAGGCTCTCCGGCAGGCTGTTTTTACCCTTTCTACTCCTGAAAATGACCCATTTTGTGATTGTGGTTTTTTTTAAACCCACACAGACTCACAAAAACTTGGATTTGAAGCATCAGATGAAAAAAACATGAAATGTTTAGGAAATTAAGCGAATCCAAAAGAAGATAAGGTGTTTTGTTTCATGTTGTTTGGTGAGAAAAACATCTATTGAAGAAATCTTGAGGGTCTCAGTTAGTAGTAGAGCTACATGCTAACTGATAGTGGAACCCTCAGGCATAAGTAATTGTGGACTATGTCAAATTATTTTAATTTAACAATAAATTAATTATTTTGATTTAACATGGAGAAATGATCCAGGTCATCTTCTTCTGTTGATGCTGTGACTCTGATACTGGACTCTCTGCCCCTCCTGCAGGTTTGAAGAGGAACTTCAACGATGCCCCAGACAGGGTGTCGTTCCGCTCCAAACAGAACCTGGATTATGCCTTCCTCATGCACTACAGCGCTGCTCTGGGCAAATACTACCTCCAGCTGGAGGACGACGTCTCCTCCGCTAAGAACTTCCTGAGCACCATCAGGAAGCACGTGAACGAGCAGGAGTGGAAAAAGATCACCTGGGCCATGCTGGAGTTCTCCAGCCTCGGCTACATTGGGAAACTCTACAAATCGGCTCATCTTCCTCTCCTGGTGCGCTTCCTCTTCATCTTCTACCAGGAAATGCCTTGTGATTGGCTGATGTCTCACTTCAGGATGCTGCTGACCCAGAAACAGACGCTCCTGTTCAAACCGTCCCTCTTCCAGCACATGGGGACATTCTCCTCCTTCCAGGGGAGCTATAACAAACTGAAGGACAAAGATTTCGAGGAGGGTCTCTACAACAATCCTCCAGCTGAGGTTTTCACCGACATGTCCACCTACCAGAAAAATCTCCCCATCCTGGCCTGGGAGGCCGGTGAGGGTTTCTTCTGGGGACGCTCCCCTGAGAAAGGAAACCACCTGACTGTGGTGTTCACACAGCCCACTGTGGTGACAGGGATTTTCATAGAAACTGGCTCAGGGGGTAAAGACCTGCTGGAGTCTGCTCAGGTGGAGCTGGGCCGTGAGGTGGTGTCCACAGACAAACAGGAGAAGACCTGTAAAGAGTTCACGTCTCTGGGGACGTTTATAAATGGGAGGTTTGAGATGCAGGAGGTAAATAAGAAGTTAAGCTCCGCCTCCTCCTGTCTGAAGATCCAGGTGATGGCGGGACAGAAGGACTGGGTGGTCGTTAATAAAATCAGGGTCTGGATAAAGTCGGGCTCAACAGTGAGCGTGTCCTCCTGATGGAGCTGAGACTGGAGTGCCTTTAACATCATGGAACATGAAGCTTCTTCAAGTATGTTTGAAGACCGCGTTTGACCAAAGACTGTGAGAACTTTTCTAGTTTATGTATAAACAACGTAATTTAATTTTATGATCATTGAAGTCCTGCTGCTGTCAGAGTTACTGACTCACTGGTGGAAGGCGTGGAGACTGTCTAGATTTATTACTCACTCTTTTCTCCCGGTGTTTTCAGGGTAATTTCAGGACTTTCAGCCTCTGGTGTTCTCAGGAGCTTGTAGTTTACACATGCATCTTAAAACAGGGAATCATCTGTGTCAGGCTGCGCTCATCTCTGCTGTGTAACCGAGATCATTTTGGCAGACTCACTCCTCTCATTGTAAGATTGCACTCCTTTTGCCTCACGCTGCTGCCAAAAAGTCCATTTGATATTGCACTATTATACTAGATGCTGCACGTCTGTGTTCCTCGGCCTGCAGCACTCTGATCGGTTGTTTGGCTCTCTGATGTGTGAGTCTCTGATGGACTGTAAATCTTGGTATCTTGGACAACAGAGCACTGAGGAAATTCTAAGTGTAGCGTTGGCTAAAACCGAGCTCTCGTTGTAGTTTGTTAAAAATGATCTAAATGAAGTGGCAGAGCTGAGCTTGACTGCAGAGCCTGACCCTCTAGCTTCTGTTCTGGTTCTGCAGCCGGTTTCTAATCTAAGGGCTGAGCTGACCGGGATCCTCTGTGAGTGATACTCTTACAAGTACCTCATACAACCACACTGCAAAAAAAAAAAAAAAAAACACTGAAATATCCCTTTAAAAGCTATCACAAAGTACCCTTACAGTGTGTTGGTAATAAATGTTGTCAGGAGATTAGTCAGTAATATATGACACAATAAAGCTGATATCAGTTCGACTGTCTGCGACTCTAACATACCCGCCGTGTTTGCTGCCTTTGTTCATTCATGCTGTTTAATTGCTGAGGTGTGGACTCTGAGCTTAAAATCAGAGTCATGAGGTCTGCTGTGGTTTATTTCTTCATTGTCTGCAGACAGACTCTGTATGAAATCAGTTTACACGTGTTGTGACCCCACCCCAGTGTGCATACCTTCACCACTGATCTGTATTTTTTTTTTTTTAGCAGTGATAAAATTTCAGGAAGTGATTTTATGATTTTGTAGTTTGTGATTTCCTGCTGGAGAAGGATTTTTTTTTCAGGGCTTTCTCGCCAAAAAGTTTGCAAAGCTGTGGTTACTATCTGTCCTGAATGGAGGACGCTACCAATCTGCGTTCATTTTGTGTTTGCACAGAGGAAAGGATGACGGTTTTATCTTCAAAAATTTTAGTACAGCTGAGACTCTAAACTTTGCTGAGACCATAAACATGAAATAAGTGAGAGGGGGTAGAGTCCAAAGGGAACTTCCGCTCAGTATCTTGAAATATGTACAAAACTTTGCAATACATTAACTAAAAACTGCTGCAGATCAACACTGTGTTTTCTTTGTAAAGATCACATGAAATGAGAGCAATATTTTACAGGATTAATAAAGAAAACTGTGAGCAAATATCTCTAAATATTCCTGCCTATGTGCTGTGCTACGAAGAGACCAAACAGCTGCATCTAAATTACTTTATTCACTCAGAGTTAAATCTTAAGTTCACTGGTCTTTCTGTGCGTCTCTCTGACTCTGCTTGGAGGATGGTGCTGATCTTGCAGGGACTACTTTCTGTGCCTCATCACACCCTGGTCTCTCAGTGTCACTGTGAGCTCTGCTGCCGCTTCTCTGTGAGGCTGCCGACCTCACGGCTGGTCTCTCCTCGGCTGCAGGGCTCAGCGGTCCTTCTCTCCCTACAGCACTGTCCAAGCTAGATCTCACTGCTGTCTGACCATCCTGGGTTTTGCCGCCTCCAGAGATGGGCCGGTCCTGAGGAGCTGGTTGGACTTCAGCTGCAGAGGTCGAGGAAGCTGCTCCGTCTTTCTGTGCAACCTCATCACTCTGCAAAAAAAGGGGAACACACAAAGAGGTCGAGACCATAAGATCAAACTCGAGCAATACAACCACTGCAAACCACTCCTAAAACAATTTAACTTGGGGTTAGGGTCAGTTTACAAATAACAGACACTAAGATGGATATATTTTGATAAATATAAATATCTAGGTTTTTAAAATTTTGATAAATTGACAAATTTCTAACATTAGGACTTTTTACCATGTTACATTGAGTATTCATTATCCTTCACTGATCACTTGTTGTGATTTAGGAGAAAGACAGTCTGACTCTGCCTGCAGTAGGTTCAGTTGTGTTGCCAGTTTCAGGTTCACAGACATTGTTCATACTCTGCCATGTAGAGGGATCAGAGGGAGCTTTTTATTGTTTGTGATTTCCTGAGTAGACACAGGAGCTCAGTTAATTTCCGCCGGCTCTCCACAGGGACTCAGCCACTCTGTGGTCGCTCCAGTTACCGAGAAACACAAAAACCTTCTTCAGCTTGTTTGTTTTAGCTGCAGCTCCATCATCTTAAATACAACACAGGCTAACTGCATGGAAGAGCCCGGAAACCAGGGGTTACAGGGACTCAAGAGGGTCCACTGAGAATAAAGACTCAAGTGTTTCTTTCTGTGCGGCTGAATCAAACTTCCTCAAAAGAACAAAACAAATTACATGCATGTGACCCGTGGGAACAATACAATACTGAAAACCAAGAAAATGTATAAAACCAAATGATCAATTTATAAATATTTAAATGCAGCTAAAAACACATGAACTACTGGTATATGTATATTTTTTAACAACAAGACAGATAAACTATGTTTATGGACTATATAAACATGGTCCATAAACACCTCTTATAATTTCCATATCTGTGAAGGTTCCATTAATGCTGAACAATATGCAGGTTTAGGAGCAACATCTGCTGGCATCCAGGCAATGACGTTTTCAGGGAAGACCTTCATCTTTCAGCAAGACAATGACAAACCACATTCTGCAGGGATTACAACAGCATGGCTCTGTAGTAGAAGAGTCCTGCTTATAAACTGGTTGTCACACTGAAAACATTTGGAGCATCATGACACCAAAAATAGGACAAAAAGAGACCCTGAACTGCTGAGCAGCTGAAATCCTCTATCATACAAGAATGGGACAACATTTTACTTTAAGACTCCAGAAACTAGTCTGCTGGGTTCACTAACGTTTACAGAGGATTGGAATAGCAGAGCTGATGACACACGGTGGTTTTTCTGGAGTCCTCATTATGTAAGTGGATCTCAGCTCACCTGGATTCCACCTGAGGGCTGCTCAGAGATTTGTTTCTGAAGACCTTTATGTCCTGATCCACAATCCATCTCAACCCTCACCAGAAAGCTCAAACCGCTACTGAGATTTGTTTGGTTTAATCCGAAGTTAATCTAAGACTAGCATGTGTTTTTGACCAACAGGTAACTTAAGTTTTAGTTGCTGAAGTAACTTGAATTTATTTCTTCACTCTGTGGGGGTCTGCTTTTGTCTTTGGCCTGAAGGTTATGGTCGAACTCTTTCAATAAAAGCTCTGCTGACATTCAGCTCAAAGGTCACACCTGTCAGGCTTACCCTGGAAACAAGAAAAGAACTTGAAAAGGTAGTGTTTACTTGAAGATTAGCCAACAACCCAGAAGACCATCACACCTGCAGAAAACTAGACAGGCTACAGGAAATACAACCACTGAAGGAACGAGGAAGCTTTCAGATGTGTGTGTGTGTGTGTGTGTGTGTGTGTGTGTGTATGTGTGAAAGTCTAACCTGCTCAACAGCGTTCCTGCTGTCAAACAGTGTTCCAGGTTTTCCAGGTTTTCCAGGTGTTCTTGTGTGCTGTGGACTGAATCCCCAGGACTTAAGTCTGTTAATTCCTTCCACAGAGCGTCCTGTGGGGTTGATGTGTCGGGGAGGAATATGAGCAGGCAGATCCCAGGTCCCCTTAAAATCAGGCCAGGCACTGCCTCTCTGAAGTATCGTAAAGACACACACACACACACACACACACACACACACACACACACACACACACACACACACACACACACACACACACACACACACACACACACACACACACAGCCAATTGAAGTCATGCAAAGTATACTTAAAGACACTGAATCAGTTTTTATTTCAATGAAGACAGGGAGACGCAGAGGTTAGATGAGCTCTCACCTTGAACACACCTGGCAGCAGATGCCCTCGATCATCAGCTATGAAAGGGGTGTGACCCTCCTGTGCAGTGGGTCTCTGCACACACACACACACACACACACACACACACACACACACACACACACACACACACACACACACACACACACACACACACACACACACACTTTGTGAGTGTCTTTACAAAGACAAGGCAACTCCAACTATGGAAAAGGCTAAAGGGATTATCAGCACTATGATTGAACATCTGTTATTGTAATTATTCATATCTTTAACCGCTCTGAGGGGGTAGGTACACACAACAGTTCAGGTTTTTAAGCACTCATAGTGAGTGATACAGCTGACGATTGAAATAAATGAAGAGGTGGTTTAACAGATATGGCCAAAGCATGATTGGGACACAGTCAGTGAAGAGATGAGATGTGCATTTTTATCCCCTGGGGGCGCTATAAACTGATACAGACTAAAGACTCCTAACAGAAGTTAAAAAAAAAACAGGAGTGAAAACTCATTAGAACAAAACTGAAATAAAGACTATGACAAAAATGATGTGAAAATGTATGGCCCATAATAGCCATCATACCTATCATTTTTTAGACATCAGCACACCTGTACTGTCTGATGAAACAGGTGTGACAGGTGTGCTGCTGCACTATAAGTGGGCCTACCTGTTTGAACTGTTTGGTCTCACACCAGTTCTGCAGCCTCTGAGACCTGAACGCGTCTTCAAACTAAGAACACACAGAATAAAGGAGACAACTCAGCAGCAATAACAACGACAACAGCAACAACGATGACAACAGCAACAGCAATGTTGTTACAGTTTTGTTAAAGCTCAGGTGTTTTTCTTACCTGGTTTGCTGAGTAACTTTTCGACATCTCTGCAGCTATCCACACGCTCGGGGTTCGTGTTTGTGAACTCGTTGCTTAGCAACACGATAGACTGACCTCTGCGTTTCCAGACCTTTCCCGAACACAGCACTGATTTCCTTTTTCACTATAAAGAGAATAGGATACAACTTAAATACCTCACGACCAGACTGAGAGGAATCTGTGTGTTCCCAGTTTGAATATGAAGTTTACATTTAATATTTTTGATTGTTTGCTGTCTTTGTCGTGTAAAGTACTCCCCGTCTTGTTTATTCCACTATGACCGTTACTTTGAAGACAAATCGCCATTTTAGACTATAAAAGCATTATAATAATCCACTTTCTTAAATACGTCTGTTATACACAGTATGCATCTGAATGAGTACCAATGAGGTGTAGCCTGTCCTATTTTACCTTCATAGTTATTTTCATTAATCAAACGAGCTAGAAAAGACGTTTATTTTGGTACTCTTGACCGGAAGTTTACTTGTGCGTTTCTAATGAAACCTTTTCATCGATCAAAGTAAAATAATAATAATTATTATTATTATTAATTCGGCCCAAAATGAAAATATGACAAAACTACGAACAAATTAAGGAAAGGAAATGAAAATCCTAATGATAACAATAAAAATTATCTTCACGGTTTATAAAAATCATAAAAACTGCCCGTAGTAATATTAAAAACATACAGCAGAGGGCAGCAACACACAGTTTTAGCGCTCAGTCCGCCTACCAACGAAGAAGAAGAGGTGCTCCCCGCTCAGAGTGTAAACTTCCGTTTACTCTGCTGAGAAATAATTCAAAGTCTTCAGTGAGAGACTCTAAGTCCTCCTTCTTTATTCAGAGTTAGTTTGCTCTCAGGTAACGATTAACTCTGTAGACCGTTTTATGCTTTCGTGGAGAGGCTTTAGTGGTCCAGGAGCCGTGGAGGGTCCGGTGTGTCTCCCCGGCAGAAGAGACTCCAGCGGGGGAGCAGAGAGTGAGCAGAGCCGGGACATAAAAACACACTTCAGGGTGTGTCGATTTATCATGGAGACAGGTAAAGTGAGAAGAAGATTAGAGTCGGGATTATGGAGTGATGAGCAGCATGGCACATTTATGAAATGAATATCTGTGATTGTAATTAAAATACTGGCAAATTGCAAGATCATGACTTACCCACAATATATGAACTGATTCAAAATTGACATTGACATCAATGTATGTTGTCAGTATCACTGGGAGGAGACATAGTTCTGCAGGAATACAAATCAAACACACTTTAGTTAACCAGACTCAATGCCTGACTTACAGGTTTAGATTCTGCTGTCAGGGAGAGGGTTTAAACCAGAAACCAGTCCCTAAGTCGAACCTGCAACATATGCATATGTTAGATCTGGGTCTGCAGACTTTTAAAAACCCAGTCTCATATTTGTGAAACTTGTGTTTCACTTGTAAAATGTAATTAAAAAAAATGATTTTGCTGCTTTCCCGCTCTGAGATTACACTGGAGCAGGTCATAAGGTTTCTTGCATTTCAAAAACAGAACTTGGTATAATCGTGTCCAGATCTATCAGGTCCAGGCACAGGGGTTTAGGATTATGAGGTGGTTTTCTTAACTCTCTTCTTAACAGCAGAATGAAGAGCTATGACTCAGATGTTACCTTCAGAATCAGTGATAATCCTGAGATGATTTATTCAGTTTTTTAAAAGAGAAATCACAGAGTTGATTGACTTAAAGAATTCTTTCTTTACTTTGTTTTCGGTCAGTTTGGAATTTTTTATCCTTATAATTAAGAATTCACATTTCTGTATTTAACTTACAAATTCTGCTTCAGGACTCATCATAACGGTATAGCTTATTCTTAGCCACAGAAACAGAGAAATAAACAGGCTACATATAAAGGTATATGTAAACATAAATAGATTAAAACATTTGAAAGAATCGTTTTCTGGTGATAAAATAGCAGAGGATGTTTGTGAATTTTATTGACTCCTGTGTACTCCCTCCTGTCCAGGTGTAAAGCTGTGTATGCGCTCGGTCCCTGTGGCCACAGCATGTGTGTTGTACCACCGTTTCTTTGAGCGTGTCAGCCTGCAGGACTATGAACCTTACTTGGTGGCCATGAGCTGTCTGTACCTGGCCGGGAAAGTGGAAGAGCAGCACATTCGGACCAGAGACATCATCAATGTCAGCCACAGGTAAAATACGAGTGAACATTACCTGATTCCTTGTGGACACGTCACACTGCCGGTGCAGACAGGAGAATAAATCTGCCTTCTACATTTATGCATTATTGTTTGCAATCGTTTTCAGATAGCAATTTTAAAAAAAGAAACTAAAATAAAGCAGGGTGACTATAATTTTGTAAGAAAATACTAACTTAAGATGAACATTTCTGCCCATAGGGGGCGCCAAAGGAGCACGCAGAAATAGAGAGGCAGTGATTGTGAAACAAGGGTTGATGTGGAAGTTTAATATAAATTTGGCCAATGCTGTGAGCTGATACTGAGGTTATTCTGTGGCAGTGCTCTATTTTTTTGTGTCCGATTTTTTTAATGCTCTAAGAGATTTGAAGTATTTTGATAGTTGCGTATCCCATCTTTAAAGCCCCTCTAAAATGTCTCCAGGTCATGTCTCGAAAAGTGCATGTTACTGATTTTTCCCAGCGCCTGTGTGTAACTCCCACACTTACACACTTTCTGTCATGTTTAATTTAAATTATTAAAGTAAATCAGTCAGTCCAGCGGGGCATTTCTTCTGTTTGATGAAAACTTCTCTGAATCTGCAGTAAGGTGTGAGAGTTTTACTGATCAACATTAGTTTGCTGCAGATAAAGACAGGATACTAAAGGATACATATAAACACCAGCTCCTGACATCGGTGTATGACAGCAAGTAAAGTAATAACATCTATGTATCTCCGCTCAGAAAGTTCCCCATAGCAGCTTTAATCTTTTTCATTTGCAGGATCTACTTGATATGACTTCATTGGATGTTTTAAACCTTTCACTTGGAACTTCTGGTGATTGAAAATGATCCGATCGTGAAGTTATGATTGTTGCAGTTGCATCCCTATTTGAAACAGTTACTTCTGCAGGAGGTGTTTCTGCTCGTTGCTGTCTTAAGTGCTCACCTTGTGCCCTCTGTCCACTCTTCCCTCGCAGGTATTTTAACAGCAGCAGCGCTCCTCTTGAATGTGACAAGGAGTTCTGGGACCTGAGGGACAGTGTGGTGCAGTGTGAGCTCCTCATCCTCCGACAGCTCAACTTCCATGTCTGCTTTGAACACCCACACAAGGTATGTGGCTCTGTGTGTGTATGTCTGTGTGTAAGTGTTTAGGTTTCTGTCCTGAGGTGTTTGTATGTGCAGCTGCAAGATGGTCAGAGCTGAAGTTGTGTGTTTTTAAATATTTATAGGACATGATGGATCACTTTCTGTCCCTGATTTATTTTCTTTGTGTTTTAATCGTATTTGTGGATTTTTGCCTTTATTGTTTAGGAATTGTGAGACACTCAGGTTCAGGGGAGTCCATCAGAGTGCAACCTTTTGATTGGCTGATCAGTTCAGAGCGTCATCCTCCCTCTCTGTTTCTGTCTCTGCAGTATTTACTTCACTACCTGCTGTCTGTGAAGTCACTGGTGAACCGCCACGCTTGGTCTCGAACCCCTGTCACTGAGACTTCCTGGGCTTTGCTTAGAGACTGTTACCATGGAGCCATGTGCATCCGCCACATACCCCAACACATAGCCATAGCGACGCTGTACCTAGCTCTAAACAGCTACGGAGTGGAGCTTCCTATCGGGGAGAAAGAGTGGTGGAAGGTGTGTGAGTTGGTAATGGCAGACTGTGTGAATGTGAGAGAGTGTGAGAGGTGGCAGATCCTCTCTGTACTTAAAGGAAAGGTAACATGATGATTTAAACAGCTGCATGTTTGCACCTCCTGCATAAACGGAGCTACAAAATATTTGTTTTCCTTAAATGAGTAAATTCAGAAAGTCGCTGAAATCAAATGTAAGTTCAGTGAAGAATGAAAGTGAAGCAGATTTTACAGAGTTTGTTCATGTTTTTGTGCTCTCACTGTGGAAGAGTACGACGTCAGCAGCCAAACAGTTTTTCACAAAAGACAAATATATAGTGACAAACACAATTTTTCAATATAAAGACAAATAGTGCACCCTGTAGACAAATGATGTCCCATTTGGAGTTCTAGAAATCTGGATTCAGTACACAGAGTGACCAATCTTTGGTAATATTATTTATTAATTACTTTGAAAAAATGGGGATTTTCCCTTTTACAAAAACAACCATGCACTGCACTGTCACTGCAGCTTCATTTATGTAGACTGACTGATGGTATTATAAAGCTGCAAAACCTGCAGGCGCAAAAGCACTTAATCATGCTGAAAATCAACCTGCAGAGCAGACTCATAAAATAATCTCTGCAGACATAAAGTCTTACAGAGCGAGGCTCAAACTACTAAAGATGAAATTACTGCAACAAAAGAACTACACAGGAAAATTTTGCCCACATGCAGGGTCTAGTTTTCCAGTTTTCTGCAGATTTGTTCTTACTGATAAAATCAGCTTGGCCACATTGTTGGAAATGTGGTGTATGGCTGCAGCCTTGTGTTGAACATCTCTGCAGTGCAGAACACCTTTAGCCAGTTGTTTCATATTCCAGTCTGCTTTAAGTCTCAACATGAGACAACACATTTTCTATCTGTACCAAGTAGGAAAATCGAAACCAAATGCACATTTGGGTACGTTTTATTTATTTTTTACCAGTCACACAGTAATCAAATAATTAACATCAAATCCCTTGAAGTTAATGTTGATCTAATGCAACTTTTAAAAAAAAACCTTGATACAAACAAGATGGACTTGAGTCTGGATGGAAAAAAACTATAAATTTCTATTTTTAGATCATTTATTCAGATTAAATCCTAGAATAATCTGCACAGACCTCCCCTCAGCGTTTTTTACTTGTAGGGACCAAAGAAAAATTTTTCACATAACCTTGTCAGGATCGGTTCTCCCTGGAGTAATACAATAGGTATTAAATGGCGCTGTAACAGTCTGTAGCCTTACAGGTGATTTCTAGGGTCATACCAGCAGCATGAGTCCGGCTCTGTACCACAGTCTCACCACACTGACTCCACAGATCAGCTCTGCCCATCCTCAGAGTAATGTGTTGAGTATTAATTAAAAGCTGGCAGTGATTATAGTTCCCCATTGTCCAACACTTTTGTAAATGAGCTCTCTTTGATTTTTGTAACTCACTGTAACTGGATGCAAATGGAAAAAGTCTGGATTAGACACAGTGATCCACTTCAGTCCTCCAGGCACTGAAATCTGGGTCGACTGAAACGTGTGTGGACCTTTGAAGTCTGCTGTAGTGAGTCCAGGTGTGGCGCTAAAGTCTGTGTGTGTTCTCTCACTCTCACTCTCTCTCTCTCGCTCTCGCTCTTTCTTTCTGTGTGTGCGTGTCTATGTGTGTGTGTGTTTAGGTGCTGTGCGAGGACGTGACCAAAGAAGACATTGATGCTGTGATCTCAGATCTTCTGCAGCTCTACGACATGGAGGCCAAGTGTATCTGAAGGACTCAAACACACTTTTAAGAACTTGCGCACACACAGGAGACACAGGACAGTTGTTTTGTCTGTGTGTTTCTGCGTGTGAGGATCCAGGTGTGTGTGCGTGTGTGTTTGTTTATGTGTGTGTGTGTGTGAGACGACTGTCTGTTGGCCCAGTTAGTCTGTGAGGTGTGACAGACACTGCTGCACTCCTGATTCCTGCCGCCCCGGGGAGACATTTCTCTCTGCAGAATACTGATGAGCTCCTGAACAGCAGCAGCTCCAACGTACAGCTGCCGGAGTTTGGAGACAGAATCACTCACTTTTTACTCAGAAACATCCAATTCTCTAATAAATATCTGAAAATGCATTGATATGGTGACCTCAGCTAGCGGTTAACTACAAACTGGAATTATACTGACCTATGTGGGCATTAGGTTAGCACATGAAATTGGATATTGGTTTAATGAATTGTTAGCTGATAATGTGAATATTTCATTATTCCCTATTATTCCAACAATAAAGTTTTATTTGATTAAAAAAAAAAATTAAGTGACGAAAGTTGCTTTCATCTGAAAAGGAACAAGCCTTCACATTCTGAAACAGCAGGTGGCGATATTTGATCCGCCATCACTTACAGAGGATAAGTGACAAACTGGCATCACCAGCAAAGATGATTTTTTTACTTGTGATTCTGCAAAGGTCTTCCCTGAAGAAGTCTTTGTTTTTTTGTCAGCAGATGTTGCTCCTAAACCTGTTTATATTGTTCAGCATAAATGGAGCCTTCAAAGATGTTGAAACTACCCATGACATGGACTCTGATGATCCCCAAACCACCAAGGATGCTGGCTTTGGACTGAGAGCTGAGAGCAAGCCAGGTAGACCCTCTACTCTTAAGAGAGGAGGCTGCAGACTCTATGATTTCCAAAAAGAATGTCAGATTCTGCTCCATCAATCCACAGGTCATTTTCCCTCTTCCCCTCAGTCCACCTTAAACGGGCTCAGGTCCAGAGAAGTCTCTGGTGTTTCTGGATCATGTTTCTATCTGGTTTTCTCTTTACATGGTTCAGTTTGAACCTCATTTGTGGATGCAGTGATCAACTCTGTTCACAGACAGTGGTTTCTGGAAGTGGTTTTGAGTCCATGCAGGGATTTCCACTACAGAGTCCTGTCTGTTTTTAAGGCAGTGCTGCCTGAGGACCTGAAGATCAGGACTATCCAATCTTGGTTTTAGTCCTTGTCCCTTTTGTACAGAGATTTCTCCAGATTCTCTGAATCTTTTAATGATATTATGTTCTGTAGATGATGAAATCCACTCATTCTTTCACATTTGACACTCAGGAACATTATTCTGAAACTGTTGAACTATTAGCTCACACAGTCTCTCACAGAGTGGTAAACCTCCTCCCATCTTTCCTTCTGAGAGACTCAACCTCTCGGAATGTCCTTTTAATACCCTGTCATCTTACTAACCTGTTGGATATTAACCTCAGTAGTTGAAGATGTTTCTCCATGGACTGTATATAGAATGGACACCGTCTGCCTCCTTGCTGAGTGAAGCCTTCATGAGAACAGCACCCTCTGTTGACTGGTTGCAGTATAGGTCATAAATCCTGCCTCCTCCAGCAAACTTAACGCAGTTGTGGACAAACTTTAGAAATTTATTACACAGAATATGAATTTTTCTCTCCCTTGGTTGTGATGTTGCCATGTAGTTATTTTTTAGATTGGTGGTGCTGAGGTCCCCTTTTTTTCTGTGCTGCTCCATTTTTAAAAGTTATTAAGGGTTTATGTTTTCTATGATTGACACTTGCTACAGCCTATGGGCGTAGCTCATCTAGGGGATAGGCTGTTTGAGCAAAGCGTCATCACAGTGACTCTCCGGCTGAATGCGTTCAATGCTACTGGTGCTTCTTTTGCTCAATGCTAAATGGTGGTTCCAGGGAGTGGAGAAAATCCCGAAAATATGGAGAGCAATTTGGCTTTAAATTTGTATAATAACAGAAGGTGGAACCAGGTTGTCCATAGTATATACAGTACACGTGTTTCTCCATCAGGTTTTTTTTTTAATTTTGTATTTTAATAATTTTTAAGATTAGGGAACCAGCAGTAAATGCATATTTTTTCTACGTCCTTTTGACATGATTCATTATTTACACACACACACACACACTTAAAAAAAATATAAATATATATGTATATAAATATATAAAAACACAGCAGTTATGCAGGTTGTTTTGTTGACTCTGTAGAACATGCCTCAGGTTTGCTTGTATATAAACCTAAAATGTGGGTGCAGCATGTGAATCAGAGTGACAGCCGCGGGCTAAAAGCTCAGAAAACTGAGAGGAAAGCCGGACGCTGCAGCACGAGCGTGAACATGGAGGGGGAGTGTGAAGGTTAACTGAGGACACACCAGCCTGGTTATTTAATGTAAAGAGTCACAGACAGGAACCCCAGCACAGGTCGGAAACACAGTTAAATATGATGTTAATGTGGCGTCAGGTTCTTCCTCTCGACAAAGCTGCTCAGGTTATTTTTAGAGCAGCTGCGGTTGGCTTACTTACCTTTTTCTATCTATCTTGTAAGTCAGGTCTGTCTTTTTGTGTGTGTGTGTGTGTGTGTGTCCAGGATAAAGGAGTCACATGATCAGCTCTGACACATCCCAGTCTCTCCTCTTCGTGCGTTCTGCCTCTCTTCACGGGACGGAGACGTTGCGTGCATCCTAACAGCATCACGTGTCAAACAATATTCCTCTTCCTGACACATCCTCTCCCTCCTCGTCTGTCACTCTCCTCCAGCTCCTGTTTTCTCCCCCTCCTCCCTCATTCATGTAGCTGCTGGGGAAAAAAATCTGTCTTTCTTTAGCTGCTCCTCATTTGCTCCTTTCCTGTCATCCTCTCCCCACCTTTTTTCCTGTCCCTCTAATTCTTCAGCTTCCCTCCACTCCTCTGTCCTTCCTTCTCCTCCTCTGTGTCTCCTCCCTCTCCCCCTTTCTCCCTAATGTTGTATTAATAATGGAGAGGGTGTATGTTCAGCCAGACTTCATGAATTATCCATCAGATGGGAAGGAGCGCAGAGGGAAGGAGTCAGGAAAAAGAGAGTGACATGGATGAATGAGGAGGGAAGGATGTAGGAAGAAAGTGAGGAAGGAAGGAAGAAAGGAGGTGAGGAGTGAAAATCTTGTAAAGTGTATCTTTGGAATCAAACTTCAACACTTTGCAGGCTGCTGTGATCGCTGCTCATCTCTGCCGCCACCGCGTGCTTCTGATCTGCTTACACATCACTTCAGCCTTTTCGCTGGGCCTGAGGGGAAGTCAGAGGGTCACACACACGACCAGCTGTGTGAGTGTGTGTGTGTGCACATGTGTTTGTATCCAAATGACAGTTTGGGATGTTAATGTTGTATCAGGCCTGCAGTCTGGGAGCTGAGTGCCCTTGAACTGATAAAAGCTCTGCAGCCTCAGACCTATTAGACATCAACCTAGCATGCCTAAACACTCTAATGCCTAATGCATAGACAATAGATTTAAGTGTGTATGTGTGTGTGTGTGTGTGTGTGTGTGTGCTTGTGTGTGTGTGTGTGTGTGTGTGTGCCCTCTCTGAATACAAAAGGAAAGAAAAGCAGTCTGCATGATTCATCATCCATGTAAACAGAGAGATGAGGAGATGGACAGTCAGCGTACAGAGCAGAACATCAAAACATCAGTCATAAGTCAATCAAAAGATTTAAAGATGAACCTTTTAGAACAGAGGACATTAAAGGGATAGTTCAGAGTTTTTTCAGTATGGTTGTAAGAGGTACTCATTGACAACTCTGAACTATCCCTTTAGGAATTTGTAACTCTTTTCCACTTTAAATTGTTTCTACTGAACGGCTGATATCACTGAAGCAAGTCCCATTACTTTGTAAGGACATTGTCTTTTAAGATTTGACTCCACATGCAGCATGATCAGTGACTCTGCAGAGCTGAAATGCTAAATGTAACCTTTTTTTGGTCAATATTTGTGTATGACATACTGTATATCATATATTTCAGAACAAATATGTTAAAAGTTACATGTAATTGTGGTGAGGCTCAGATGTTTGACTCAAAGTTGGCACCCATCCAGTCGATCAAGATTTGCATCCTGGTGCATGTGCAGCAGATTTTTAAACTGGCAGGTTTGCTGCTTAAAATCTCACTAAGAGAAAAGTGTAAAGAGCAATTCTTCGTCCAGGGGGAAAATTTGTGTTTTTTCTGCCTGATGGGTGATAGACTGATAAAAACACTTGCTTTATTTTTTCTTAAGTGCTCCACAGTGAAATACCAGCCATTAGTTAAACACATCATTACTGTCTCCCAGAGTTTTATATGACTCCATCCAATATCTGTTGACATATTTTGGTCTCCAGGTGGGCTGACTTTGCCTGTCCTACAGCCACATTACTAACACGCAAACCACCTGATGATGCTAACTAATCTGATCTGATGTGATTGATGCCGGCCTGCAAACATGACCAACTCTACAACTGTCAGCACACTTTAACTCAGAAGTTTCTGAACTCTGATAAACATAATTGACATGATCTAATACCATCTGAGCAAAACTCAACAGATAAAGACACTGGAACATAAATATAATAAATGCTCTTGCTGTGGAAAAAAAAATCATGTCCTATGATGGCTCAGGCTTTTACACAGGCTGCATGTTAGCTGTGTAACGGCTGCAAGAGTTGCTCCTATCTCCTGTCTCTCTTTATTCAGCATTAATACAGATGGCGCTTATTTGTTTTATGTCAATAAACAGTCTGGCTGCACTTTGCAGGTAACAACAGGATGATTTGTTTATGCGTTTAAAGATCACACAGCAGTTATTTTTACCTGCAACCGTAGAACTGTGCAAGTAGATTTAAGAGTTCTGGTGTTGCGTGAGCAGCCAAGTACTGAAGGGAGAACAATTAGAGTTCCTAATTTAGACAGAAACATGTCAGTCAGATTATTAAAGTGTTATAAACCACTGGTCTCTGTGCTAAAACATGTTTAATCTCAATGAACAATGTGGATTAGCGTCAAATGAGGAAAATGGATAACTCTTGGATGGTTCCACTGCATTAAAACATCTTTATCTAACTTCAGCGCAGTCTAAAATCACAGTTATAAGCATTTAGAATTGGATTAGTGTCTCTGAAGCCAGCTTCATATATTTGTGACTTGTACTTGTAAGTCAGAATCCCTTATCTCAGATGATATCTTTAAAGAGCTGTTTGAACATAGAAGACGGGTGTTTTTGTGTAAATATTTACGTGGCATTAATAACACGGATCAGAGCTCATTGACATAGTGTGTGTGTGTGTGTGTGTGTGTGTGTGTGTGTGTGTGTGTGTGTGTGTGTGTGTGTGTGTGTGTGTGTGTGTGTGCGCGCACGCGTGTGTGTCCTCCTATTATGCCTCTGGGAGATGATGTGTGGATCAGATAAAGATAAGATGAGAGAAAGATCAAATCTGGATCAAAGCTTTTCATGAAATGTGTGTGTGTGTGTGTGTGTGTGGATAGCTAAGTCTGTGGTCCATCTCTCTGCAGTGTGGAGGATATCTATTAATAAGTTCATCTGATTCATCTATAAATACTTTTCTCCTCTTTCTCCTCACACCGTCGCACTGCATAACAAGCCGTAGCAGCAGTTGGGCAAGACATGCATGTAGATGGCGGTGGTATGAGTGAGTGTGTGTGTGTATGTATGTTTTTGTTTGTGATGTGATGCTAACTTGACTCTTGTTTCTGCAGCAGTAGGGTGAGCTCTGTTTCTGTTTCAGCACCGTGGACAGCTCCTCAGGCTTAGTTTGTTTGCACAGAGAAGTAGGAGGTAGAGGAGGAGGAGGAGGTCTACAGCTTTCATGAACCATGGTTTAGTCAAACGCTCCAAAAACAAGGTTCAAATAAACACTTCTGTGCCATGAGTGCAAATATCATTAACTCTTGTTTAGCTTAGTAACAGCAGAAGTCTTTTATTTCATAATATCGGTGTTGGAGCTACATGATGCAGATTGCAGTGTTTTGTGTTGCGTATCAGCTGCTGTGTTCAGAGGGGTGTGGTCAGGTAGTGGAGGAATGATGGAGAGGGTTTATATACACCTGCTCACCAATATGGCAGGAGAAGAGAGTGTGAGTAGAGAGAGTGTATTATTTTTTTTCTTTTTACTTCTCTCATTTCACCTGTATGGCTTAGCCTTGCCATTCTCAGAATACTGAAGGTTGAAGTTATTGTTGTCAAAATAAATCAGTGGAGGTAAAGCAACAGAAATGGCTCAGTCATGTGTGTGTAATGTGTCAGTGGCTCCAAGGTCCCTCACTTAGCAGTTGATTGGAGTCACGATACATTTTGTATGTTACCTTACTTTCTTCAGTTTTAAAATGACCATATAAAAAATGACAGATTAATCCCATACAGAAAGTAACATTTTTTTGTCTTTTACTTTTTTGTTAACTTTCGGAAGTTTAAATTTCCACCTTCTGATTCCTTTGTTATCGACCACAAAATATCTGCAGGTCTTTGGCGATATATGCAGCCAAAATGCTGTGATCTTGTGAGCTCTTTCTCTGTTACAGTGATGTGAGGCAGTCAGCACTTTGAGGTGGCAACTATTTTGGTCATCTTAATATTCCATTAAAAATTTCAATTCAAAGCTTTTATTGTGAAGAGCGGTAAAAGTTCACGCTACTGTTGAATGTCACTGTGCCTTTGCCTCAAATTCTCATGCATAACTGACATGCTCCCCTAAAATGCCAGTTTTGGTTTCCAGATTTACAGTGCATCCGGAAAGTATTCATATACTTTCGTATATGCAACATTTGAGTGTCTTATTTTTAATAAATTTGCAAAATGTTCTAAAAAAACGTTTTTCGCTTTGTCATTATGGGGTATTTTGTGTAGAATTTTTGAGGGAAAAAAGGAATTTAATCTATTTTGGAATAAGGCTGTCACATAACAAAATGTGGAAAAAGTGAAGTGGTATGAATACTTCCCGGATGCACTGTAGGAAGCAACTCTTTTTAGCTTTTCTGTTTACTGTCATATCCTGATGCCATCTTTGCATTTGCTGCATACTTTCAGCAGAGAAAGCAAGCATGTAAGATGTCTCTGCAATATTTATCATAGATAATAATAATTTTTAGGGTCGAAGTTTTTCTGTTGGGTCTCTTATGGGATGTGTCAAAGCAGCAAATTACTAAAATGTAAGAAAAAAAAACCCGATAATCCTATCAAATCAACCAATCGTAATTCAAAGAAACACTAACGAAACAGTCAAAATTTGGCACAATTTATCTAACACAGCTGATCTCAGAATTATAGAATCTGTAAACAGCATGGCTAACTTTAGCAGAGCTTGCACCGCCAGCCTTTAACCTTCTTATTAACCAGACACAGCCTACGAACAACTTCAGATCTAGATCAAAAGTACTGTCAAAACCTACTACTCTACCAGATCACATCTACCAGCTCAACTCAACAGATTATTTCCAATTTGGTATCAGTCAAATGTTCTCTTATTTTGGCCCTTCTATAGTAATTACATCAATAATTAGTTGAACTGATTCTGATGCCAACTAGCAATGGTTAATGTTAATCAATCAATCAATCAATCAATCAATCAATCAATCAAAGTTTATTTATATAGCACTGTTCATACAAACGAAATTGCAGCTCAAAGTGCTTTGCATCAGGACAAGAAAAAATAAAAGTTATTAAACTAGACTAAAACAGACAATAAAATATAAACTTGAATTTATTAATAAAAGAAGGTAAAAAGTGATACTAAAAAATAAATAAATTATAGTAGTAATTAAAATAATGAAGCTTTACATAAAAGCCAGGCTAAATAGATGAGTTTTTAGGTTACGTTTAAAGATTTCTATATTTGCAGCTTGTCTCAGAACCTCATGAAGTTTGTTCCACAGTTTTGGAGCGTAGCAGCTAAAAGATGCATCACCAAATTGTTTTGTTCTGCTTTGTGGAACGACTTAAAGAGAAGATTGAGAGGATCTGAGAGGCCGCCCTGGTTCATGAATTAAAATCATCTTTGAAAGGTATTCTGGTGCCAGGCCATGTAGAGCTTTATTAACTAGTAAAAGAATTTTAAAATCAATGTGAAAACTAACAGACAGCCTGTGCAAAGACTCTAAAATGGGTCCTAGTCAAAACTCCAGCAGCAGAGTTTTGGATCAGCTGTCGCTGGTTTATTGTGCTTTTTGGTAGACCAGAGAGGAGAGCATGACAGTGGTCAAGCCTGCTGGTTATAAAAGCGTGCATTAGTCTCTCTGTCTGGCTTAAATTGTGTAGTCCACTAAACAAGCATGCCCAAGAACTACAGACCCACAGTCTGCTGCATTCAGTTACCTCACTTAACTACTTACTTGTGCTCTTCATTAAGTTTTCATTCTGAACCAGCTGTAATTTTATTCTGACACGTCTGTAAAGTAAGTTTTGATAGGTCAAGTTTGAAAAATAAAAGCCTGCACAATCCTGGTGATCTGAAACTCTCCTGAGCTGGACACTCGTTGGTCAGTTTGCTCTCAGGTGTTAGTTTGATGCAGTGATTGCTGAAATCAGTCTGTTTTTTTATTAGGCAGCAGGAAGTCTTGTGTCATGCATCATCACCTGAGGTCCAGGATGTAGATACAGAGACTTTGGTTAAGTTGCTGCATCATTTCATGGTGGCAATGATAAAGGGTCTGACCTTGTGAAAAGCAGCATATATCTGCAGAGCCACCGTGTAATCAATCATGTCGGATTATTGTTAGGATTATGTTTTTTTGTGGGTATTTTAAAAGTGGTTCTAATACAAGCTGATAACAACGTACACTGCGGTGTGTCTGCTGACGTAATGACGCCGCTGAGTAGGTGGGAGGTGACGTATGAAGCCCCCACCCCCCCGTTTCTTCTCGCGGATGCTGAGACCGTTCTCCTGTGCGCGCGGGCTCTCGCAGCGGCTCAGCCCCTCCTCCTCCTCCTCCTCCTCCAAAGATGTCGCATGAGCTGCTCCTCTCGCCGCTCTCTTTCTTTTCATTTTTCTTTTCTGTTCCTCCTGCTGTCCGCAGCAGCAGTTAACCGGATTCGGTCACATTAGCAGCCAGGAACAGCCGGTCCTGGTCCTCCCCCCTCCCAACACAGCGGAGGTGTTTAAACCCTCACCCGGCGCATCCTCTCTCTCTCTCTCTCTCTCTCTCTCACTCACTCTCTCTCTCTCTCTCTCTCTCTCTCTCTCTCTCTCTCTCTCTCTCTCTCTCTCTCTCTCTCTCTCTCTCTCCTCCACCGCCGCAGAACTCCGCCGACCGACCGTCAGGTGACCGCGCGGAGCGGAATATTCATCAGCACCGTCGTCGTCTTTCATCCCTCCGCTCCTGCGGACTCCAGGAGACCGGAGCCTCCGCAGCCTGCCCCCCCCTCCCGTGTCCTCTCATCCGGTCTGGGACGTTCTCCGCTCCGCTTCCCGCAGATTAACGGGGATTCTGCCTCCCCGCCTGCGCGCTGATGCTGATGTCCTTGAGCTCGGCCTGCACGGTGAGTCGGTGAGTCCGTGCATGCCCGCGTGTGTGACTGTTATTTACCCCGGGCGCCTGAGTGCCGTTTTTATCAGGGGGAGATGCGGTGCTCGCGCTGCGGTCGGTGAGCGGCGTGTCGTGGGTTTAACGGGGTTGAGATGAGAAAGGCCCGGCGCGGCTCCGCTCTCAGGCCCAGCAGCTGATCACCGCTCATACAGTAGGACAGACCATAATACCCCGTCACATTATCACGCACTGTGTGTGTGTATATCTGTGTACGCTTGCGTGTGCGCGTGCGTGGGTCAGCGCGTATGTGGTGCGAATGATATCAATCCCTCCATCCTCCGTGTCCGGTGTGTGACGGAGGGCGGTCCTGCCCCCCGGTCTCCCCGGTTGCTCGCTGGTATCAGTTGCGTTGTTTGTGTCAGTTACGGCGCACGCACCTGCAGCGCGTAGCTCCGGGGGGGTGCGTTTCATCTGCCTATGATCTGTGGCCGGGGGGACCTTCCCGAGCCGGCCTGTGCCGCCGCTGGCTGAGAGCCGGGCGGAGCGGCCCGGGCCGGTCACCTTGCGGAGGGACACCGGGCTGCAGCTGTGAGCGTGTCCTCAGATTATCAGCAGGCCTGCGGGGACGGTCCTCAGCGCTGAGCGGGACCTGCTGCTCCACAGTGAGCGGAGGATGAGGATGATGAAGCTCAGGCACGTCTGAAGGTGACCAGGAAAGGTCGTTTTATGGGAAACACACTGTTGCATGAGGCCATTCCTGCACAGTGCACACACATGCACGGAGAGGAGTGTGTGCGCGCGTGTGTGTCAGTGTGACACTTTTGGTGGAGGAGGACAGGGGCTCATGTGGGAGGGACTTTGTTGGAGTGTGTTTCTGAATTTGTGTGTGTGTGTTTAGACATCAGAGTGGTTGGTTTTAATCGGGACTTTTTTTTAAGTCCAAACACACGCCCCCTCCCCACGCCATACATCAAGTATCATCACCCTCAGCCCCACGGTGATGCAGATGTGTGTGAGTGTGTGAGTGTGTGAGTGTGTGCGCACTGCCCACCTTTAATGACTCCATCCTCTCTCTGTGTTGATTCTAGTGCGTTGTTCCTGCTAGGTTTTACATGAGTGTGTGACTGGCACAGGTCCAGCTCCAGCAGGCAGCAGCTCAAAAACTCCCCACCCCCCCTGTCCCCACCAGAGGTGACCCTCAGTACCTGACTAGAAGTGGGACTGCAGGTGCACAGGTGGTAGGTAGACGGGACACTGACAGAGAGCAAGCTGAGTACAGGACAGACATACGTGTGTTTGATCACACGTGTGTATATGTGTGCAGTCTGGGTTGTTTGGCCCTGCTGGCCTACAGTCGGACCCTGAAGACCCTCTCTCCTGAGTGTTCCTCGTTCTGCTCTCGTCTTCATTGTGCTGTTTCTAATAATCTAGTTTCTGCGTCGCTCTGAGCGATGGAGGAGGAGGAGGAGGCGTGCAGGATGAATGGGACTGCTGAGAGTTGCGGGGACCTTTTGTCTGACTCTTTTCATGACACACACACACACACACACACAACCAGCGCCATTTAGCGTGTGCCATGGTGTATGACACATTAGCGTGTCATGGCAGAGATCATGGGGCTGATGGCTCTGGGCGTCAGTGTCTTGTGTGTGTATCAGTGATGTCTGGATGCTTGAAGTAGAAGAAGTGGACTTGACCTGTGTGTGTGTGTGTGTGTGTGTGTGTGTGTGTGTGTGTGTGTGTGTGTGCAATTACAAAGGCTTAACAAATTTGAAACAAAGTAGGAGTTTTGCGCAATTTATAAAATGCAGTCTCACGTGTACATACTTCCACATGTGCAGTGTAACATCAGAGTTCTGACACACACACACACACACACACACACACACACACACACACAGACTCAGAGTTAGCTGCAGTAGTTGGGAGGCTGAACAGAAGAGCTTTTTCTTGCGTGAGCGTTATAAAATCAGACAGAATCAGTGAGTAAGAGGCCGAGCCGGGTAGAAAACGCGCGACTGACTGAGTAAATAAATGATTGCAGTAGCAGGAAGCAGATAGACAGGGAAAGCGACAAAATGAGGGAGGAAGAGGAGGGGGAAGGAGAAGGAGGAAGGTAAAATAATAACAAGCAATGAGACGTTGGAAGACAAGAAGAAGAGAAACAGAGGAGAGGATGGAGCGTGTAGATGGAGCAGACAGAGAGATGAGAGAGCAGGCAAACAAGAAAAGATGGAGAGCGAGAGGAGGCTTCAAAGGCAGAGCAGGGTGACTCAGTCATAAACTAACACTCTCAGTCAGGATGGAGGCATGGCAGGACAGAGAGGGGGAGGAGGGAGCTGAGGGAGGGTGAAGAGTAGAGCGCAGGGATGGGGAAAAGGAATTAATGGTAAGCTTCAGTTGTGCTTCTTTCTGCTCATACTTATGTAAAACAGTCTGATAGGGAATCAGAATCTGTCGTGTCATGTGTGAGAATATTTAGTTAGCGGTGCTGCGGGCTGCTCATGTGGGGCGAAGCTTCGTTTCTGTCACTCCGGCAGATTTATTTTAATTTAATCAGTTCCAAAGATGGTTAAAATGTTAATTCAGTGATCAGGAAATAATTTTTCAGTGAATTAAACAAGAGCAGCTCACTTTAGGAAATTTCACAAGCTTTTTATCAAACAAATCAAACATAAATCAGTGAAAAAAACAACACACAGATCTTACACGCTGCTCTGTTGGTTATAAGGAAGAAGAAAAAGAAGAAACATCTATAGACAGTTTTTTCCTTTTCTTAGACACCCACTGGAAGTCAATACTGAAGAAAACCCACCTTGTGAATCAGGTGTACTGTTGGCCCAAGACTGTTGAAGAGACAGTGAGTCCTAAAATTGAGTGTTAAATGTCTTTATTGCATGTGCGACCCCGGTTCCATAACAGTTGGGTGGCTGTGTGAGATGTTAACAAAAAAATGACAACTTGATGTTTGCAAAAAAGTTCAAGTCTTTTTATACACAATTCAAGGACAATATGGACAAGATTATTTTAAATTTGATACCAATTACACTTTTGTTGTCCTACTCTTGTCTGATCGAGGATTTCACCTACTCAAGAGTTCATGATGCTCCAAACGTTTCAGTGCGACAAGTCAGGACTGCAGGAAGACCAGTTTATCAGCAGGACTCTTCTACTACAGAGCCATGCTGTTGTAATCCCTGCAGAATGTGGTTTGTCATTGTCTTGCTGAAATATGAAGGTCTTCCCTGATAAAGTCATTGACTGGATGTCAGCAGATGTTGATCCTAAACCTGTAGATATTGTTCAGCATTAATGGAGCCTTCATAGATGTGGAAGCTACCCATGACATGAACTCTGATGATCCACAAACCATCAGGGAGGCTGTCTTAGAACTGGGAGCTGAGAACAAGCCGGTGGTGGTCCCTCTACTCTTAAAAAAGGAGGATGCAGGTCAGACAACAGGATAATTTTCCTCTTCCTCTCAGTCCACCATAAACAAGTTCAGGTCCAGAGAAGTCTCTGGTGTTTCTGGATCATGTTTATCTGGTTTCCTCTTTAAATGGTTCAGTTTGAACTTCATTTGTGGATGCAGTGATCAACTATGTTCACAGACAATGATTCAAGGAAGTGGCTTGAAGAACCATCCAATCTTAGGTTTAGTCCTTGTTCCTTTTGTTCACAGATTTCTTCCTCTTCCGGTATTTTCTTCTGAGAGACTCACCCTCTCTGAATGTCCTTTTTAAACCCAGTCATGTCATTAGCATGTTGGACATTAACCCCATTCGTTGGAGATGATCCTTTAGCTGTTTTTTTTTTTGTTTTTTTTTTGGCATTACATTACTTTTTACCTGTGTGGTTGTTCCTTTAAAACATGTTGCTGCATGATATTTAAAATAACACATGATACGTTGTCTAAATTGTTTTCAATTAAATCCAAGAATTCGATATGATGCAATCCATGGAAGTGTGTTTTTATAAAAATTTTACACTGTGTACCAATGTCTTTTAAATCAGGATTGTGATGATATCAAAGTAGAATTTCTGTATGTTTAGTTTAAAAGACTTTCGTTTGAAAGAACTCAGCTGACTGTAGTTTGACATTTGAAATCGAGGCTTAGTTGAGATTGATGGACACGTGGTCCAAATTCAAGACAAAACATTTGCAGTTTGTGTTTGTGTCCTATGTAATTGCAAGCATTAGGGAGGAATGAATAACCTGAGATTTTGTGTAAGTTTCCATGCTAGTTTCTGTATGTACAATGATGACCCATGAAAATATTTTAAAAAAGGTTTAAATTGCCTCATATTCCTGTAATCAGCTGATGTCAGTCGTGCATTTTGAATGTTGAAACCCTGGTGACTCATCAGTCACCTCACATTAAAAATTCCTGTGTTTCTCACCTGAGTGTGAGGAGACATAACTACAGCTGTAGCTGGGCATTATAGTGAGCAGGAGACTGCAGCACATTGAATTCAGTGCATTCTCCCAAATTTGCGCATCGTTGGAGGAAATACTTCATCATATAGGACGTGCTTCCTTCCTTGCTACACGTGTTGCACATTGCTATGTTGTTGGTTTTAGTGACTCTTCACAACTTGTTTGACGTGCTTCATCACAAATAGCGTAATGTTTCATCAGCACAGCAGGTCCTAGCAGATAAGTTCAACATCCGTGGACTGCAAACGCCTCACTGAAGTCTAGTCCTGAAAGATCTATGTTGTTGTTAGGAACCAGAAAGTGGAACTGAAATTCACATCCCTTACTGAATCCACAAAGCTCTGAAACTGCTCTGAGAACTAGTTTGACATGGTTTTTGATACCAAGCCCACTTTTAAAGTGTGAAGAATTTTAACTGTTTACTCACCAGGTTTACTGTTACATCCATGGCTCTTACATACAGTATATGGAGGGTATGTTATCCCCCATTTCCTGAAGTTTCTGTTAACATCACCTCATCTGTGTGTGTTTCTTTTCTGAGAAAGATGGATGCTCTAATAGTAGATTTGCAGCTTTTGCATCAATTGTTCAGGTTTGACATCCGGCCTCAGCAGGCCTGATGTCTGGCTCGGAGCTGGTTTGATGTAATGATAGTGTTTGAGATCAATACAACACACTGATGAAGTTTTATCTCTCTCCCTCTCTCAGGTCCTGGTGCTGCAGCTGTAGCTACCTTTGAACTGGATCCTTTTTCCTTTTACTGGTTGATCGCCTGCCTTCGTCCCGCTTGCCCCTCTCTTCATCCGTCCATCATCCCTCCATCTCTCTGTCTGTGAGTCCATCATCCCGTCCATCAGCCTGTCCATGGACTGGCCGTGACCCTGGAGGGAGGGGGACAGAAACGAGGAAAGACCAGAGTCACAGAGGAGACGAAGAAAAAGAAAGCTGGATTCATTCAGACATCAAGCGTCTGAAGAGCTCGCTGTCCTTCATCCCCCTCACCCTCCTCCTCCTACTCCTCCTCTCCTGTAATGGAGAATTAAAGGAGCAGTGGGAGGACAGGCCCAGATAAAGAGGAGGAAATAAATAAACACCCCCACATCCCTTTGAATCAAATCAAACGGGGGTTCAGGTGTAGCATCAAAATCACACAGTGTTTCTGAGTGTTGAGCACATGATTAGCCTACAACCAACCAATCACAGGGGGAACTGAGATTAGGACAGACTACGGGGCGAACGGAGGACCAAAACAGACAAAAGCCTTTCTGACATGTCAACTACAGCCACCATGGGTGAAATGGCAAACAGCGCGGTGGAGTTTTATCCCAAAGGGACTCGAGGCAGGGGCGGAGGAGGAGGAAGGGCAGATGGCAGCAACACAGGGGGAGAATTCGGGGTGACGGTGCAGGAGCTCAGGGAGCTGATGGAGCTCAGAGGAAACGACGCTCTGCAGAAGATCCAGGACAGCTATGGAGACACAGAGGGGCTCTGCCAGAGACTACAGTCCAACATCACAGAGGGTGAGTGAGAAACAGAGGGATGAGTGTGGATGGATGGATGGATGGATTAATAATGGGGGAGTGGATGGCTATAAGGGGGATGAATGGATGTGAAGTGTAGATGTATAAATAGATGACGGAGGATTGTTTGGGTGGATGAGCAGATACATGAATGGGTCAGATAGATGGATGAGGTGGATTTGTGGAGGATGAATGAAGGTGGGTTAGCAAAAAGGATGAACTTGAGAACTGAGGTGGATGAATGAGGGAGTAGAAGGACGGATGATATTGTTCTTCGAGGTCAAGTTCAATATGAACACAATGAATGAATGTGTAGCTGCAACCTGAGGACACATTTAAGAATAAAAATAGGAATAAGAATAACCTCATTTTATCCCAGAAGGGAAATTCAATGTATTCATTTAATTTAGAAATTCATTTATTGTAAAAAGCCATGACCTGGGACTTTGACATGATGAATCCTGAGTGAACAGAGACTCTTTAGAGAAAAAAAAAAAGAAGCAAAATTATCATTGACCGTGTCAGCTCTTCTTTACCTAGCAGAAAATGTTTGTTTATTGGAAAAAGTCAGCATTACAAGGACATTTTAGTCTATTGAGAATTTAGCAATCAGTCTAATAATAGTGTTAGAAACATTACATGAAACATAATCACAGAGCAGACAGTAAATCCCATGACTGACGAGAGAATCAAAAGATTCAAAAACACGATAGGAGATGAAAAGAAAGATGATGAAATACAGAAATCATCAAACAGCAGGGGTCCAAAGAAATGCAAAAATAGTAGATGGCTGATTTTGAAATGTCAGCATGTGAAGAAAAAATCTCAGAGGAACTGAGCTGCAGCAGTGAGAGAAGCAGATATACCAGAGCATTAGCGAGCATGTGATGCTAACAGCTAGCTCTGAGGCCCAGTCTCCAGACTGAACCAGATTGTAGTCTTAAGAGAGGGACAGAAATTCAAAAAAACATTTTAAGCATTGACAAAATCAATAAAGCGACAAAGTGGAGGATGTATTCAAGAAAATTAGAAACTCTGTGATGTGTATGATTAATTTTAACCAAAGTTTAATACATGAAATAAGACACAAGGACAATGATGTTTCGTTTTCAATGATATGATGTATTTTGATGAGTGTGAAATAAATACCCTGGATATCTTTGAAAGTGCATTTAGGGTTCGAAACACCTGCTTATCCTTAATACAACAGTAAGTGTCATACCATACATACCTAGATATCCTGATTATTGTAGTCAGAGTTTTAAGTACCTGGGTAATCTGGATTGTGCAGCTAGGGTTTTGTGTACCTTGATACCCTGGACAGAGCAGGTAAGGTCAGGGTTATTAATGTTAATTGATGTTTGGGCTGTATGTACTAGTATGGTTTTCATTTTCACTGGTTTAAAAACCGAGTTTTTGACAATCCTTTAACATCAATATGATTAGCGGCAATAGTCACATACCTGTGTATTAAACATGATGCCTATCCATCTGTTGTGATTCCCCTGGTGTAACTAACTGCTTTACTTCTGTCTTTACCCTTTTATACGACTCAGGTATGCGTTGTTTTGAGATACGTTGGAGGTTTGGTATTGTGTATTTTAGCTCTGAAGTTTGGATCATTTTACAGCAACCGGGACTCTCAACCACTCTTACTGAAAGGTTGCATGCCTTTACACATAAATCTAGCACTGGATGCAGGGTTAGCTTTAGCTCTTTGTGAGTCTAAGTAAAGGTGTGGATGATGCCTGATGAGACTTTTACCTGGGTGGCTGGCTCTGCTGTTGCTATGGGAATGCAGCTGGTAGTTTGGTGGTCGTTGCTTATACTGTGCCCCTTGATAGGTGAACAGGAAAACTGATTGTATTGCGTGTATTTAACTTCACCCCTGCATTCTCAGCAAACAACCACTGACTAATCAAGGATGCTCCTGGTTTTACAAATTCCAAAAAGTGTCCACATTGCAGAGTTGACACCAGATAGCTTTATAATCTCTTATTCATCATTTCCCACTCTGCTACCAGCCATCATGGCACTGTTGGAGTATGCGTAGAGAGGTGCCAAATGACCCTGATGTACACTTCAGATTCTCTTTTCATCAAAAGGGCAAGACTACAGCCACATAACCAACATTTGACGTGCTAAATATGCAGTTTTTTGAATCATGCATCTGCAGTGAAACACATCCCTGACAGTGTAAGCTTGGGGTATAATCCTACTGGAGTTTTATGCTTAGGGAGCATGGATGGATGAATTGATTGATGAATGGATGAGGGGATTATAGTGGGTGAATGGATGGAAAGCGGATAGAGAGAATCAATAAATGGATGGAGTAAAAGTGTGCACAGATCGACCAGAATCTCTTACAGCACTACTGGAATTATTGCAGGCGCAGTGATTGTAGTATGTGCTCATACATAGACCTGCAGGTACTTCAATAAATCACAATAGGTCTGCTTTAACACATATATGCAAAAAAATGTAAACTATCTATATCAGACTAAACAGAGGATTTATTTTCAACGACGTGAAGCAAGTTTATCAATGTTGTTCACCTTAAAACTAACAGATAGTTCGTGTTGGTGCTGTTATTCTTGTTCCACAAGGTCAGTGTGAATGTGAATGCTCTGGTCTGTCCTTCAGGTGTGTTTACCTGCTAACACAGTTCACATGGTGGTGCAGTGGTGAGCAATGCTGATGTTGTTCCCTCACTGCCTGGAGGTTCCTGGTTTGAGTCCCTGTGTTCTCCCTGCGCATACCTGTAGTTATGAGTAGGTGTGAGTGTGTCTTTATACCATTTCAGCTTATTACCAGAAGTTTAACCCTTACTGCAGTGAGATCTCAGATGAATTTCATGAAGAGTATGAGAGTGAACACATCTCACAGATCCATTCAGACCCCACACAGAGGGGCTAAAGCATTTTTTTTTCAGAGGTTTATCAAGTACATTTGTTCTTAGCTCTAGTTCAGGCAGACCATACAGTCCAGCTTAGCCTGCAGTGCATCTGTTGATCTTAATGCCAACCTATATCAGGTGACAACTGATCACCCTTTGCACTTCCGGTTGGCAAAAGTCAAAACGATTGTTCTGTTAAAACAGACATTAGCCTGCCTCCTCTACCTGCTTCCTCCACAATCCACTTTGCAATCTGCCTCCATCCCAGCTCCTCCTTTTTATGCAGGTAGTCTTAGCTGTTGCTTCCTGCATTAGCCTTCCTGAATGCACATTAGAGGGGGGATGTGTGCTGTCCAAATTCTGGCTTCGGCATTCTACTCACAGTCAGAACTGAGCCGGACCACCAAATATAACTTTACTGCATGAAATAAAGATTCTCAGAGACAAAATGGATCCATACATACAGTTATCCTGTCTTGGAACGAGTGCACCTGCATCAGGGTTAATTAGAGAGTTTTGGAGAGTAAATTAAGAGAGTTGGTCTTGGTGGAGATTTGCGCTCCCTGAGAGTCGTCACTGAACAAATTAATCATCTGAGTAATTTTGTATATCGGTGTCTCTTGACAATGGGCAGACTCTTGAAGAAAATAACTAGTAAATTCATCTATGAGAATAACACATTTGAGTTCAATACAAACAAACACCATCAAAAACTGTGAAACACAAACAAACACGCATGCAAACACCTAACAGCACACACACATTTGCAGAGACACACAAAAGATCAAGGTTCTCCTGTCAGTGACAGTTTTTTAATGACCACTGGTGTTGTTTGAGTCAGTGTGCCTTTAGCATGTTTGTGCATTTGTATGTTCTTCTCACAGGGTGTGGTACCGCGCTACACCCACTCCTCCAACTAGTTTGTAGCCTAGCAACACAACAGCAGAGGAGAGAAGTTGGCTGGAAAGTCAGCAAGAGAGGAAGATGATGGAGAGCTGTGAGATGGAGATGCTGAGGGGTGAATGGAGGAAGAGGTGGGGAGAGAGAGAGAGAAAGTGTGTGTGTGTGTGTATGTGTGTATGTGTGTGTGTGTGTGTGTTTGTGATTTTCCTGTGTACGAAGAAGATGAAGAGTGAGGGAGGAAAAGTGAGAGAGTTGTGGGTGTTGAGTTTCAGTAAGTCTGTGTTGAGTGTTGCTAATTTGATACTGTGAGCTGGTCAGGAATCAGTGCCCCCCCCCCACCACCACACACACACACACACACACACACACACACACACACACACACACACGCACACACATACACAAACATAGTCATGTATCTGCAGTTGTCCCTACAAAGCACAGTTGGCAAACAACACACTCAAACACACATACTTGGATGGGCTTCTTGTGCACTCTGCTGACTTTCACAAATTACATATGGTGTCATCTGGTGTGACGAAGCAGCCAAACACAGACACATAGAAACGATCCCAGGAATCTGATGTTGTTAATCTTCATCATAGTAAATCTTAATTTACAGATTCAGTATCAAAAATGTTGAACCTGAATTCTATGGTCTGAATTTTTAGTACATGAGGTGTTTCAGTTTCTGTCTGTAGGAATAGTCAGAGTACTATAAAGTAGTACCAGCAGGCTCTGGTGTCTGCAGTAAAAACTCTGTATGGAGAGCAAAAGCAGGAGGAACACAGTCCTCCATAATGACCTCCAGCTCCCACGGTTGGTAATTTAAGGAGGATTTTTTTCTCTGTTACAATCTACATAAAGGTCAGCTAAGAAATTCTTCTGGATCAAACATTTACACTGAAACACTAATAATGCTGAGTCACTAAAGAAAGTAGGTCTCGTTCATGAAATGGGAGCAGAACTAAATTTACGGGCAAACTGGGATTCATCAATTTTTCAGTAGTCTTGATTTGTTCGTAGCTTTCAAAAAAATCTACACCTGCTCCAGACCACGCAGAGTTTTTGTAAGTGAAGGATACACAGAAATATTGCTTTTTATTATCAGAAATTTGAATCCATACTGTGATCTGTTATATCCACAATAGACCAATACCTTTGGGACACACATAAAAAATCAATACATAGCAAATGAAGCAAAATTATTTGGCAATAAGCTGATTTAAGCTTCAGATACAGTTAAAAATATGAAACAGGTTGTGTGTGTGTGTGTTTTATACGCGTTCAGTGATGATCCAAATATTGATTAATTACTCAGTGCTGTAGTTGTGTCGTCTGGTGGGGCAGCGTTACTCTGCGCACCTGCTCAGGTGGGATGGGGTTTGGATCACGGAGCAGTGAGAGCTGGCTGGTTTATCAGTAAGAGTATAACCTGTGTTCATCTTTACACGTTTACGTAGCCCTCAGGTGACAGATCAAGAAAAAAAACCCTCGTGCAGATCCATGCGTATAAATTCACAGAGATTGTTATCCATACTCAACGATTTGCATCTAATTACTTTTTCTTTATCTTGGCACCTCAGAGATCTACATGCGTTTTAACAAAAGGTCTAACCTATCCATAGTAGACAGGGTTACCTTCTGAAGCCGAGGCTTTAGACTCCTCTGACCCTCCACACACACACACACACACACAGCAGAAGCTGCCTTTATGACACCCAGTACAGACTGTCGGAGCACCAACAGTGATCTGAAGGAGAGTCTCACTCTATCACTCACAGAGAAAATGAAACGCCTTTCTCTTATTTCCACATCACACCAAAATAACTTCTTTTTCTGCATCTGAAAGTTTTTTATTCCTCCTCCTCCTCTTCTTCTCTCGCTGGTGCAGGAAGCACAGCACATGTCCACACCTCCTTATATGGTGTTGATTGGCTATTCATGGGCAGAGGATTATGCTGAGTAGTAGCAATCGGGAGCGGTCACTCTACGATCGATTGACTTTCATGGACAATCATGAACATACTCACGTGTTTTGATCAAATCAGGGGTTTCCACAGTGGTCATGAATCCAGGGTAGTTTTTTAGTACCAGTGACATTTATGCATGGATCCACACATCACATAGCACTAACACTAACGTTTCATGAATGAGAACCAATCAGTGTTCAGATTTCTTGACTTCCCTGAATTCACCAGAAATGATAGCTCTGACCTCCATTCAACAAACACTTTCAAAGTTTTTTCTCCTCTTGAGGACAGATCTGACAAAGCTGGACTTTTTGGACTTTTTACTATTCTGCATCATGATGTTGTGATTTCTGCAAACTGGAGAACTGATAATTACCAGAAAAAAAACATCCATTACAGAGAAACTGTGACTCACCACAAACAGATGAACTGGTGCTCCTCTGAGGGATGTAATGAGCCGAGAGGTGGCAGAGTTTATTCTGCAGACATACAGTATCTGGGGGGCTGTATTTCACTGGACTTTTATCTGAACACGTTTACTTCTTCAGTTGTTCATTGGACTGTAAACAATGCACCGCATGGAAAAAGAAGTCTTGACTGGAAGTCGTTTATCACTAACAGCTGACTACACTTGGGATACAGAGAAGATGGCCATTGTCCCCAGAGGAATTTATCTTTGTCAGGTTATACCGTTGGTTCAGAGATTGCATGACCATAAACTGTGTGGTGTTTTTCAGCTGCACATCTGAGTGGAGTGACAGTCCGACAAAAGCTGCTGCTCTGCTCAATAATCACAGAGATGGATGCATGAATCAGACAGAGTGCTGCAGAGAAACACACGCAGAAATACATGTTCAGTAACAGCCTGATGAACAGTGTATGACACTCCAGGCTGAATGCACATTTACATTATGATACTGGTCTGTAATATGATCCACAGAGCAGTGTGTGTGTGTGTGTGTGTGTGTGTGTGTGTGTGTGTGTGTGTGTGTGTGTGTGTGTGTGTGTGTGTGTGTGTACAGAGTCTCACACAGATATGGAAACACTAGCACTGCAGTATGAGACCATTATACCCACACTGAAGAGACAGAGAGGAGGAGGAGGAAGGAGGAGAAAGAGGGAGAGAGAGAAAGAGTGTGTGTGGTGATGGGGGAGGGAGGGAGGGTGTGAGGGGTGAGGAGGGAAAGCTAGAACAGCTTGCCGCATTGTCAAGGACACATCAAGGGGAGATTGAGAGAGGGAGGAAAAGAGAGGAGAAGAGCCAACAAGAGAAGAAGAGGTGGAGAAGGATGGAGGGATGATGATGATGATGATGATGATGATGAGGGATGGGAGGGGGATGTAGCTCACAAAGATTACTCAGCATAAGGTCACCTGTTTCTCTCCGCTTCGCCTCGCCTCGGCCTGAACCCTGTTGAACGTCATGTTTGCAACACAACTCTTCAGCAGCTTCATACCATCCCTGCTGCAAACACACATTCACACACCTGCGCACGCACACACACACACACATACACAAGCAAACACGCAAAAAGACAGTCACCGATCCCAGCCAACCACTGCGCACCAAAACTGAGCTGAGCCCCCCTCCCCGAGAGCCAATCAGAAAAAATAAAAAAATGAAAATGCTCTGCTCCAAACCTCACACACTGGTGGAGTGACATCACCTGTTGCTGGGCAGAAACCTGTTACAGACAGGAAGCCCTGGACCTGACATTCCGGTTGCCATGGAAACTGCATCACTTCGGGGAAAGGCTGAAGGGGGTAGAGGAGGGGGAAGATGGAGATGAGCGTTTGTAGGAGGGAAGTTTAGTTTTACCTGGAATATTCGAATTTCACAGATTAATTTGTTTAAAACTTTAAACAGAATTAAAAAGTTTGCAAGATTATTGGTGATGGTTTGTGCAATAATCAGTCAGTGCTTTCACAGTGCAACGCAGGATTTTGTCTACAGTTTGATGAAGAGGAATAAACCAAGAAAAAGATTTAATTGATTCTTATTTACAAAAACCTTTATCTTTTCCTTAAATTGCAACAAGTCAGTGAGCTGTGTAATATGTTGATAATAACATATTATGGTTTTCATATGATTTAAACCCTTTATTAAAAAACCTTGCAAAGACAACATATCAAATGTTGGAACTAAATGTGAATCATTTGATGACAAATATCTGCTCATTTTGATTCTGATGCAGCATCATGTTTCTAAAAAGTTGTTCAGGGAACAATCAAACAGGTAAAAAGTTGTTATAGAGAAACAATCAAACAGATTAAAAGTTGTTATAGCGAAACAATTAAACAGATTAAAAGTTGTTATAGAGAAACAATCAAACAGATTAAAAGTTGTTATAGAGAAACAATCAAACAGATTAAAAGTTGTTATAGAGAAACAATCAAACAGATTAAAAGTTGTTATAGAAAAACATTCAAACAGATGACGAGTTGTTATAGAGGAAAATTAAACAGATAAAAAGTTGTTTTAGAGAAACAGCCAAACAGGGAAAAAGTTGTGTAATGCTTAAAAAAAATCTCTGGAATAGAAATCACTTCATGGGCTCAAAACCGCTTCCAAAGACCATAGTCTGTGAACACAGTTCATCAGTTCATCCTCAAATGAGGTTTAAACTGAGCCATGTAAAGAGGAAACCAGATAGAAACAGGATCCAGAAAAACCAGAGACTTCTCTGGACCTGAACCTGTTTAAGGTGGACTGAGGGGAAGAGGAAAAAACTGTCATGTGGGCTGGTTAATCAAAATCTGACATTCTTTCTGGAAACCATGGACCACCCAGCCTGTTATCAGCTCTCAATTCAGAGCCTACTATAGGTAGCCTCCAGTTAAACAGCTGAGCAGCTGAAAACCTCTTTCAGGCCAGAATAGGACAACACTTCACTTTCAAACTCCAGAAACTGGTCTCCTGGGTTCACTAACATTTACAGAGAGTTGGTGAAAGAAGAGCTGAAGGGACATGATGAGAAACATGAACCTGGAACTACTTTTTACAAACATGCTAATGCATCAAATTTAAAATGAGCGGAGATCTTTCATTAAACAAACTATATGTAGTTCCAGCATATGATATATTGCCTTTGCACTGTTTTCAGACAAATACGTGACTCAAATCAATTAAAAGGAATTAATTTCTATTTTTCTGAAAATTTAAACTTGGGGTTTTAAATGGGAGTAACTTGCATTTTGTTTTCGCTCTTCATGGTTCAGACTGGTTCAGACTGGTTCAGACTTATTTCTGTCCCTCTGTTTCCCCCTTTCAGGTCTCAGCGGGGACCCTGCGGATCTGGAGCGTCGGGGACAAACATATGGTCAGAACTTCATCCCCCCAAAGAAACCCAAGACATTCCTGGAGCTGGTATGGGAAGCCTTACAGGACGTCACTCTTATCATCCTGGAGGCCGCTGCCATCATCTCCCTTGGCCTCTCCTTCTATCAGCCGCCTGGGAAAGAAACTGAATGTGAGGGGGGTGGAGGGGAATGGCTGGGAGGGGAGGTGTGAGAGGGTGGAAAAACACAGAGGGAGGTAGAAGTTCAATGAGCAGATCAGGAGTGACTCACTGGAAGTTCAACTGCAATAAGAGAAGAAAACACAAAATTCGAGGCAGGGCGTTCCTTGTCCTGTTTATCTGAAAGTGTTCCTCTATCACAGTGGTTCTCAAGTCCAGTCCTCGAGGCCCACTGTCCTGCATGTTTTGGATGTTTCCCTGCTCCAACACACCTGATTCAAATGATCAGCTCGTTATTAAGCCATTACAGAGCTTGATAATGAGCTGATCACTTGAATCAGGTGTGTTGGAGCAGGGAAACATCCAAAACATGCAGGACAGTGGGCCTCGAGGACTGGACTTGAGAACCACTGGTCTATCACACTGTGGAGACCTGAGACCACAGAGCTGAGGCTGGAGCTCATACCCAAATACTTATGCAAAATCAGGAAATACAATGATTAAATCAAAGAAATACATCCTGAAACAAGTCTTATTGTTATCTTGTCTTGTTAAAGTTTGTTTGTATGTTTAAAATGTAAAAGTAAAAAAATAAGGACAAAAAATACAAAGAGAGAGAAAGATGACTTAACTGGGTGTGTCAGCAACATTTGAAGGTAATACAGGTGGTAGGTGAACTCAGTGAGTGGAAAGATAAAACACAAGAGAGCTGTGGTTCAGTCTGAAACCTTATAGAGCATCACAGATGACTGCTTCACGCACAGAATATCCTCCCAGTAGTTTTATTTTTGTTTTAAATGTTATGAATATTATCTCTGATGCACTTTACAATGGTAAACTCAGACTTTTGACACAGCTGCTGCACACTTACTCCTCAACTTCTCCTCAAACCCTCAACAGAAGAGCTCAGGGTTGGTGGGTGGATGATCTGTTAATGTCTTCCTGATTTTCTGCCTTCTCTGGTAAGTTCGATCACTGATAAAGACTCCCTTTCCCATTTGTTGCAGCGTGCGGGAACGTGGCGGCGTCTGTAGAGGATGAAAGCGAAGGCGACACTGGCTGGATTGAGGGCGCAGCCATCCTACTGTCAGTCGTGTGCGTTGTCCTGGTGACGGCGTTTAATGACTGGTCCAAAGAAAAGCAGTTTCGGGGTCTGCAGAGTCGGATCGAGCAGGAGCAGAAGTTCACTGTCGTGCGGAAAGGAAATGTCATCCAGATCCCTGTGGCAGGCATGGTGGTGGGGGACATAGCGCAGGTCAAATACGGTGAGGTCACATCACACAGACAAAGACACTTCACTGGACAGTAATCTGTTTTTATACCTTTCAGTGGAGGGTCTAATACGTAAGGACTGTCTTATAGCAACGATTAACCGAAAACAAATCAACATTTGAAACAACTTTCTGCTGTCACCGAGGATCACAAAATACTAGCTGTTGCACAAGTGGTACTTATATTTTTGCTATTTTGTTTTATAAAGCCGTGGCTTTCTGCTTTCTCATGTTCCAAATAAGTGAACCTTCATAGAAAGAATAAAATATACTGCAATAAAGCTGGTGTGGTTTTAGGATATTTTGATCAGAATAAACTGCAGAAACTTCCTTAGCTGTCATAGGACCCTGTAGGAGCTCCTTCAAAGAGTGAACACAACTGAGCCTTGGTGCACACTTTGCAGGAAAAACCAACAGGTCAAAACATCTCCAGGAACTTTGTTAGTTTACTGCAAAAAGTTGTAGACACCCAGGACTCCTCAAAAACTGTATCACACTGCATTTTTGCTTGAAACGCTGATCCCTGCTACACCCGTGTTCCAGGTCAGAGATCTATGTGTAGAAATTTCTGAAAATGAAAAGTTATGAACTCTGAGGAGATTTAACAAAGGTTTGTGCTGTGTGTGTTCAGGTGACCTGCTACCTGCTGACGGGATCTTAATCCAAGGAAACGACATGAAGATCGACGAAAGTTCGCTCACAGGAGAGTCAGACCATGTACGCAAGTCTGCGGATAAAGACCCCATGCTGCTCTCGGGTACGAGTTCACCTTTTCGTACTTGAAGCTGAATTTCTTTGACATTGTTGTGTTAGTTACACCAACATTAGGGTTTGAGTTATTCTTGAAACACCAGACCTTTGCTGATCCCACAAATTATCATTGCAACTATATTTGTGTGGAATAAATGAGAAAATCATGTAAAAAAAATGCAGCAAAAGGAAACAGAGAAGCAATATCATAAGGTCCAGAAAGGCTGACGTGTGATTTATATGTTTAGGTTAAAACCTGTGCTAACTTTTTTGGCAACTGTGTTGTGTCTCACTGAGTTTGCATATACTTGCATACAAACGGGCAGTTTAAATTTTGTAATGCCAAAAGTGTAAAAGCTGCACACATGCATCTCAGGTATCAAATCGTTATGCAACAAGATATCATTAAAATGATGAATGCACTCTGGAGCCAGAGCTGCAGATATGATATATTTGATATTTGAGACACTACAAGTGTTTGCTGAGTTGGATGTGAAGGACTTGTTTCTAAAATCCTCTGAGGGTCTGTTGCAGAGCTGTGCTGGAAGCCAGAAAAACAACAATATAATGAAACATTCTGCTGGTGTTTTTTTTAATGTGCAGTAAATCCCAACACACTACACAGTGGATACAAAGGCCCATTATAAAAAAAAAAATCTTCTTGAATGACCTGTGAAAGAAAGACAGGGAGAGCAACAGGAGCTGTAAGACTGAGAAAATACTAGTGATACATAATGACACATACAGGGTTAAATTCATGGGCTGGCATCTTTAAAATGTTCTTATTAAACAGGAGGAAAAAAGACTTTTTAAAACAGTTAACCAAGAAAATAAAAACATTTACTTTTTAAGTTTTGGAAAGATTATAGTTACATAAGTGAAATATGCAACTGTCTTATAGATCAAGTGAAAGCTGTAGGATGTGAATAAAACACTAGGTAATGTCACATTAAGGGAGTGATTAAAGCAAATAAGTCATTTTTAACTTTTGGACTGAGTCTAAGATCTGTCACGATCTGTTCTAGAAACTCCTCCAGCTTCCCTTGAATATTTTAGATGATACAGCTCTCCTCAGCAGCACATTGAGCAGTATTTGTTTGTCTTTAGGTACCCATGTGATGGAGGGCTCGGGCAGGATGCTGGTGACAGCGGTGGGTGTTAACTCTCAGACTGGCATCATCTTCACCCTACTGGGTGCTGGAGAGATGGAGGAAGAAGGGAAGGAGAAGAAAGGTGAGTAAAAGAGAGGAATCCGTGGAGAGACATTAATTTGACAGAGTCAATGTTCCACACTGCACCGAGAGAAACATGGAAATGAATTGTAAAGAATTAACTGCAGCTTTGAGGTGATGTTAGAAGAAGGAGCCTCAGACTGAATATTTAATGATGACAAAGAGGCACGAATTGTTCTGTTGATTAAAGATGCAAACTAGAGGAGGAAGTTAACAAGTGTTAACAAAATATTCAGAAAAAACAGGTTTCATGCATCTTGGTTACAGTAAAGATAGGGCATTATTTTAGAGTAATATCCAGCCAGTGAACATGAACTCACAGCCATTGATTAGTGATTATGATTACAGACCTACCAGGCACCGACACCCAGAGGGTGGGGGACAACTTAATGGAAAAATCAATAAAATAAACAGAAAGAGAGACAAAGTGACCAAAAAGAGGAACAGAACAATGACAAAGAGGCACAAAACAGACACAAAAATACACAAAACAAACACAAAGAGACACATTACAGACACAGAGACACAAAACAGACATTAAAAGACACGAAACAGACACAAACAGACATCAAAACAGACACAAAACAGACACAGAGACACAAAAGAGACACTATAAGACATCAAAACAGACACAAAGAAACACAAAACAGACACAGAGACACAAAAGAGACACTATAAGACATCAAAACAGACACAAAGAAACACAAAACAGACACTATAAGACATGAAACAGACACTAAAAGAAACTAAACAGACACAAAAAGAAACCAAACAGGCACAAAAAGACACAAAGAGGCACAAAACAGACAGAAAGAAATGCAAAACAGACACTGAGAGACAAAAAACTGGCAGAGACACAAAATAAAAACAACAAGGCACAGACTGTTTCTGTAATATGCGTCCACTTGCTGGTGTCTTTTATCCACTCACTAATTCCACTGACGTAAAGGTTTTCATTAATGACAGTTGTGGTTTTCTGTGATTTGTACTCTCCATGTATGATAACTTCACAAACTCCTTGTTTGCTGCATTTATTTTGTATACACAACCGTCATCAGGTACAAACAGCCTTTAGGAGACAAAACAACAACACAAACACACAAAAACAGCCTAGAAGAGAAACAGAAACAACACAAACACAGAAACATAGAAAAACACTGTCACTGTTGTTTTGTGTCTCCTCAGTCCTGGGGTTTTGGGTCTCATAATCCACACACACACCATGGCCTCTGTGCATGCGTCTCTCTCTCTCTCTCTCTCTCTCTCTCTCTCTCTCTCTCTCTCTCTCTCTCTCTCTCTCTCTGTCGAAATAGTTGGGTGCCTAACTGATCTGAGATAAGAGCTCCGACAGGAAACACACCAGTTTAACCTCATCGATAATTTAGCCCACATCCTCCCCATCCTTCCCTCTCTCTCACCCTCTCTCCCACTTTCCCTCTCGCCCACCTCCCCCTCTCTTTCAGACTCTTCATCATCTCTCTTTCTCATGTTTACCCCTCTCCTGTGCCCTCTTTCACTTTCCTCTCTCCCTTTTCCCTCCCCCCTCATTCCTCTCCTCTTCCTCCCTTAATCTGAGCGAGAGAGTCTGAATCACACTGAATCAATTATTGAGAGAGCGGGGGAGATTCAGGGAAGAGTGTTGGTTGGTCAAAGCATTAGTGTCTGTGCTGAAATTTGTTTTGGACGCTTCCTGCAGTCAGAGCAAGCTGCAGACAACAACAGAGGCTGCACGTACTTTCAGAAGCACTTAAGGTTAATGTCATTACCGGAGCATCCATCCGTGCTTCTTCTTCTTCATCTTCTTCTTCTTCTTCTTCTCTAGCTGCAGCTTTGCCCTGCACGGGAATGTTTCAAAGATGATTTGTGCTTCTTCAAAGAGAGCAGAACATGCAGAGATGCAGCAGCTGACAGAAACAAATGGGATGATTTGATGGAGAAGGATCCGTTTTTTAAGAGCTGTTGTGGTGTGATGCAGTGGGTGCTGCAGCCTCTGTGGGCTCCATTATTCAGACAGTCATTTACTGGAGCTCATACATTATTCATACGACTTCTACAAATGCCAGAACTTGTTAGTTTTTCTGCATGTGATGTGGGTTTGCTGTGGGGCTGTTTACTTCTCTCTTTGATCTGTCTCTCTGATTTCAGTTGGAGGTTATATTTAGTTCATTTTTTTAATTTCTGTTAAAACACATTTATAACTTGCGTTTTTATACTTTGCTTTTTGCTCTCTTTTGTTCCCCCTTTTTTGACCGAATCCTCTCATGTGCCCCCCCTCCTCACACGCCCCCCCAAACAGAGGACAGTCCTCAGTGTCCCACCTCCACAGAAGCCAGTTTCAGCACAGTGACCAATGGTATGTGAGCATTGAGTTGTGTGCCCCACCCCCCGCCCCTCCCTCAGCCAATAAATAGCCTTCAGTGCTCAGTGCAGTGACCTCTGACCTCTGATGGAGTCGTAGAAATGTCTCTCAGTCTCTAACCTGGTGTATTGAGATGTGTAAACCTCCATTTCTGCTCCCTTTGGTTTGTTTTTGTGCTTTTTGTTGGTGGTTGGTCATCCCTCAGCTCACATGTGAATGCTCTGCTGACTCATGACTGTTCATCAGTCTCTGTTTAACTCCTCTTCTCTTTCTCTCAGGTAAACAGCAGACAGATGGAGCTGTGGAGAATAATCAGAACAAAGGTAAAAACTGTCAACATGTTTGTGCCTCCAGTTTGGTATGGATGTGGGATGAGCAGAGGAGTTATTTTCACAAAAAAACCAAAAAACAAGCTAAGACAATCGGGACGTTTCCATGCACGCTAAAGATGAGTAATCGTTAAACCTCGTTTAGGGGATTTAACTTGTTCACTGTCTTTGTCCAAGTCTACAAACACAAGCCAGAAAAAAACATGATCTGCTCCTGCTACAGTAGGAGGCAGTATGCTCATTAATTCTGGGCTATCTCCTAGTTGACCCAATACAACATGTACCAAAACAATTGACAAACAAATCGGCAAGTCGCTAAGAGAATGTAGGTCAAACAGTGCAAACACCAGAGCTGATACAGCGTGACACTGCAGTGCACACAGGGCTGCAGTTTCATGCCCTTATTATATGGTCAATAAAGTTGAGTACTCATAAACTTATCGGGAACATTAAGTACAAACTTCAAACATACAAGGACGTGACATCCATTCGTTTAAGACCACAGGTGCAAACTACTCTCGGGTTACGGGCAGGTTTATAAGCCTGACCCAGGCTTCTCTCAAAACCTGTCTTTACAATAAATATACATATAAAAAAGACAGTAACACTTTATATGAACCCACCTCTTAGAATGCATACAAGCACATTTATAATGCCTTACAAATGAGGCTTTATAACAACCATTATAAGTGATTATAAACATTCACAACAGCTTATAGCAATGTTAATGAAGAGTTACAAGAGTAAACATAAACAGAAGGTTTTATGGATGTGCTTAGGATGCATTATAAGAGGTGGATCATGTAACATGTTAACGAGAAAACTTCAGACAGTGATGGAGAATGAGGCCCAGTGCCTTAAAGGTGGGGTAGGCAGGATCTGAGGAAGTGCCAGTTTCGGGGAGAAATCTTGAATGTAAACACTACCCCCCTTACAACTAGTTTTCCCCTCAGCTCCTCCTCTGCCCTTCTTCTCTGCTCCAGGAAGCCCCGCCCACAAATAGATGCTTCTGCTCGCTTGTTTCATTTCAATTAAATTCAGATATAATGCAGATAAATACTTAAGATAATTACAAATGGGGCCCATTCAACGTGACAGTAAAAAGCATTGGTGCTACTGTAGATGCCAATAGACTACCAGCAAACACGTTTGCAGCACTTTTTAGCTCTTGCCCTGGTGGTCTACCTCCTTTTTAAGCAGAGGTTAAGCGGACAATTTTCTGTACTTTCTGGTTGGTTTCTACTGTCTGATATTGTAGCACACTAACTTTGTTTGGGCTTCTGAACGATACAGGTAGCAGCGTCTGCCTCACAACCAATCAGGATAGGGGAGGCGGAGAATGGCTTTGTTTACAGTCAGAAAGAGCGGAGCGCTCAAAAACTTTAAAATGTTGACTACACAGACATAACAAAACAAAGCAATATCATTGTATTACCAAATTTCATCAATAACTAAGAGCTATTGACTGATATTAAAAGCTTTTTTGTATATACACCACAAAAAAAGATCTTCTTTAATGGATTCCTGCCTACCCTACCTTTAATACAGTACTGAAACTGGTGTGGATGAGTTCACTGCAGGTGCAGAGCAGATCTGAGGTTGTTTTTTGTTTTTTTTCTTTTGTGTTTCAGCCAAGATGTCGGATGGGGGTGTTGCCATGGAGATGCAGCCTCTGAAGAGTGCAGAAGGAGGTGAGGTGGAGGACCGAGAGAAAAAGAAGACCAGCGTCCCGAAGAAAGAGAAGAGCGTGCTGCAGGGCAAACTTACCAAACTGGCTGTTCAGATCGGCAAAGCAGGTAAACCAACAGCACACCTAATCGGAACAGCTGTGGTTCAGGAACTTTCTGCACCGAAAACAAACACATCGGAAATGTGAAATTTAGCAGAAGATGTAATAAGTCTTGTGATTCTTTATCATAGCTCTTTAACAGACAAGTTTAAGGTGTGATCTTTTTGTAAATTTGGTGAAATGAGATTACACAGATGACATGGTGAAGTGATTTAAAGTCAAGATTTATCAAATGACATACTGATATCCTCTCTTTGGTCTCTTTTTCTCCCCTCAGGTTTGGTGATGTCAGCCATCACCGTCATCATTCTGGTGCTGTACTTTGTCATCAACACGTTTGTCGTTGAAGGTTTGTGTGTACACATCTGAGGAAAAAAAACACACATTAACACATACTGAAACTCCTAGCTACACCAATTGTGTGTCCTATCCATGTTCTCTGACATGAAGATTTTAATTGGGTCAAAGTCAGATTAGATTTTTTTTTTTAAATTTGATTGAATTGAAGATGTTTCAGCAAACTGATATTAGTGTAGTTTTAAAGTAGTCTAATTAAAGAATATGTTTTTCAGACAGGAGCACATTAAATTGATAATTTGAAACTTTATCCACTTTGTGAATAAATGAAGAAGTATAATTAGTATTTGCTAAATAAGTCAGCATCTGCTTTTACACTGCAGGGGATCATGTGTTACCTAAAAGAGAAGGTTTGTGTTGAAGTGAAGCTCCACTCCGATCATTTCAGGGACATTTTAAGAGGACAAAGCAGACTAATGACTCGGACAGTTAACATCGTCTTAACACACTGAATAATGTGTGGCAGGTCGCTCATGGTTGGCAGAGTGCACTCCGGTCTACATTCAGTACTTTGTCAAGTTCTTCATCATTGGGGTCACTGTGTTGGTCGTGGCCGTCCCAGAGGGCTTACCGCTCGCCGTCACCATCTCTCTGGCTTACTCTGTCAAGGTAAGAAATCTCTGAAAGCTCTCTGAACAAATTTCTTGCTTCTGTTTAATTGATATTTTCATGCGTTCATACCGAACACAAGCAGATGTAACCCCTGAATTCCTCCCAGAGTGGGATTATTAAGGTTTTTCTGGCTCTAAAGTCTGTGTTTGTTTAAAACTAATGTTTGATTTGAAGTTTGGTTCGTGCCTGACCGAAAAGCTTCTGGTGTGTACCCTGGTTTGGGAGACTCCATGTGAAAGTTTGCTTATGTACCAAACAGTTTGCCATCTCACTAACAAACAGTGAAATTTCCTTCAATTCATTTTCTCATGTTAAATGTGGAGTGAGTTTCTGTAACCACGGAGAAATTTGGTCTAGTTTAACACATTGGGATTTTTTTTTTTTTATTTATGATATATTTTGGGTTTTTTTCGGCTTTTATTCTGAAAGGACAGACAGTGGCTTGAGCAGGAAACTGTAAAAGAGAGAAGTGGGTAGGAGCCTGTGAAAGGAAGTACAGAAGTGCAAGATCCTGACCCTCCAGCTTGAGGACTGTTGCTTCTGTACATGGGTTGCCCGACTTCAGCTCTAGGCCACACTGGGGCCCCCTCTGTATTAGTTTGATATGAAGTACAGATTTATCAGTTTGTAAAGAAATGCATGCCTCTGTGTTGGACACTGGAGGTATCTGTAAGAAATGTTGTGTTGTACTGTAGTATTTTCTACCATCACTGATGTAAAATTACCCGACTTTCTTTACTTAAGTAGCCTCATAAAACATTATAAAGGCTTTTTGCAAAAATAAATTTTGGTCTCAAAACTGACCAGAGTTGTTGGGATGTCGGATATGATGGCCTTTCAGTTTTCAGAGTCTGTGTCTCGAGTTGAAAGCTAACTTTATCCTCCCTCTGTTACATCTAAATATTTTTCTTCTGATTGTTTATGTTTTCACTTTAAGCTGGTAGGTTATGTTATGATTTGTACAAGGATGCTTAACTGGATCATGTTAAAGAGAAATAGATGAGGACCCAGGATTGAGCCTTGGGGAACTCCACATATCTTGTCAGTATGCTTGGATGAATCATAAAGTGTCACAGAATTCTTCCTGTTATATGAGAGTCACACTTATACCAGCACTGATTCACTCCATCCAGGTTTAGTCTATTTTGGGTTTTACTATGTCAGAGTTTAAATTCTAAGTGGGTCTTTAAACTTTCACCTGAATCATAATCATCATACCTGAATATTTATACTTTATATTGTGCAGCTGATTTATCAATTGTGCTGTATTAGGTTGAGTAAAAGTCCAATTTAAAGCAAAATAAGTAAACCAGACCTCGGTTAATGAAATGAATTTGCCCCAGTGCGTTGTAAATCATTAATTTCCTCCTCTCAATCCATTATCATTCACTCCTGTCCCGCCCTTCCTTCCACCTCTCTGTCACATCCTGTCTGCCCTCTGTCACTCCCTCATTTGTAGAAAATGATGAAGGACAACAATCTCGTACGTCACCTGGATGCATGTGAGACAATGGGAAATGCCACGGCCATCTGCTCCGACAAGACGGGCACCCTCACCACCAACCGCATGACGGTGGTTCAAGCGTTCGTAGGTGAGCCAAAAGCAAATGACCCTGAGCAGTTAACTTGTGCTGTAAAATTCTGTAGGAGACAGGTGTCGATCCTGGGCTCTGCCATGAATCTTATATGATATCTGAAGTTGACAACTGTATAGATATTTTATTACAGCATGCTTTGTTTTTTCTTTGTCTGTGCTCCTTGTCTGGAGGTGAAGTTCTGAACAAAAAGTAGTAATGGCCTTGTAAATCTAATTGATATTTCACATTTTACCTGGAGTCAAGTACTCCCCACTGAAACTAATATAAATGAAGATAAAGCCCTTTTTCTGCCACTAGCTTGTTCCTGTTTCTGTATCACTGAATAAAATGTGCCATAGTGCCCGCATACACTGACCTCATTGACGTCTGTTCATGCATCATATCTGTGACAAAAAGCAGACGGATAATGCATGCAGGCTGAATGTAGAGAAATATAATTTATGTGCATTAAAGTCAGGTTGTTCTTGTCCAGGTGACGTTCACCATCGTGTGATCCCAGACCCTGGGCAGATCAACCCCCGGACTCTGGATCTGTTAGTCAATGCTATTGCAATCAACAGCGCCTACACCTCGAAGATCATGGTGAGTCATGCACACACACACACACACACACACACACACACACACACACACACACACACACACACACACACACACACACACACACACACACACACACACAGATGCTATTGTTTTTCAGAGGGTATCTCCTGCCTGTTCTCCATTTTTGAAAACCATTTTTTATATGGTAATTTTTGATCACCATGTCTTCTTACCTCTTACCTCCTTTACTCCCTCCCTGTCCTCTGTGATCCCCCACCTCCTCCTTTTTGTCAGCCCCCTGATGTGGAGGGGGGTCTGGCTAAGCAGGTGGGCAACAAGACAGAGTGTGGCCTGCTGGGATTTGTTTTAGACCTGCAGCAGGACTACACCCCTGTCAGAGAGCAGATCCCCGAGGAGAGACTGTACAAGGTAAAACCCCGTACCCCCACCACACACAGAGCTGTCACAGAGCATCAATTTGCCCTGTATTAAAGTTTATGTCTAGGATAGCTTTAAAAGAGTTCAAAATCATTTTTTTACTCCCGACTTCAAAATGTTATTGGCAAAACTTAAGAAGCACCACAACCACATTATAAATGAACATTTCTGGTTTTTAAAACAGCACTATCACTGAGGCTTTACACATCAGGGGTTGATATTTGGTTTCCTGGCTCTCTGTTATTGTCCACGTGACATTCACCATTGTGTGATTTGTCTATCTCTGTACCGAGGCTGAGGCATCAAAATGTCCCTGCCTATGAACTGTGTTAAACTTTACAGATTAGCTCTATGTACATTTGTTTCAGACATGCATAAAGCAGCAGTTTCAAACTCAAACTACATTTTTTTGAGTTTTGAATATTCAGTCTCCTATTGTTTTCAGGAAGATGCAATGTAGAATTTGTGTTTTCAGAGTACGGAATATAAAGATATTAAAAAAGACAAATAAAATTTAGTCTTGAAGAACAACCTATTGACATCGTAAAAACATCAGATTTTATGGAGTTTAAAAAAATAGACTAGATTCATGAAAACCAACTTTAAAAACAGAATTTCCTCCTCTGAACCATGTGTTTGTTGGATCTGCTGCATGTTAGGATTTTTATCAGCTATTACAAATTTTATTATTTAACTTTGACCAGGAGAAATATTATGCTTATACTTTACAAGAGGTTGTCTTACAGAATTTTATATTATTTAATGCAGTAACAGGTTTTCAGTCATTATCTTGTGGAAGCAAAGTCAAAGGAGTGAATGATAGATTCTGAAAAACAGCTCTGAACCCCCTCAGACTCAGACCCTCTTATATTTACATACCAGACATTATGGGAACAAACCACACTCTTTCTTTCTTTCTTTCGCTCTCAGGTTTATACATTCAACTCTGTCCGTAAATCCATGAGCACGGTGATCAAACTGCCTGACGGATCCTTCCGCCTCTACAGCAAAGGAGCCTCTGAGATCATGCTGAAGAAGTGAGTGATGGAGGAGGGTTAGGGAGGTGGAGGAGATCTGGTGTCAGATAGAACTGTCAGAAGACACCGCCCTGAAAGTTTTCATTTACAAAACAAAATCTTTTCTCTGTCCTCAGGTGCTCCTACATCATGGATGCTAACGGAGAGCCTCGCAGCTTCCGCCCCCGCGACAGAGACGAGATGGTCAAACAGGTGAGACATCTTGGTTTGAAGATTGAGCTGGAGGGCATTATTTTCTTTGAAATGATTCATATTCAACTGATATTTTTCAGTGTAAAGATACATATAGTCAAAGAAATGAAAGCAGCATGTCAACAAAAACACCCACGTAGGAGTTTCTCTATTTCTCCATCCCCTCAATCTTATGACAGTCTGAATCACTGCTTTATGTCCACAGTCTTTACCTTGTGATTGGTCACCCAGGACAGCCTATGATGAAGGAGAGAAATTATGATGAATTCCTATTATGGACTTTGTGAATTTGTTCTTAAAAGTTTCAGTTTTGTCGTGTTTCGAAGACACACAGTACCCTATCCTTGAGGTCCTGTTATGTCTCTTCCTCTGCTGTGATTTTAAAACCTGTTGTTTGTTTTAATCAAATAAGGATTTTAAAATTAAAATACAGTATATAACTTTTTTACTTCTTCAACAGTTTTCTCTTGTTTTGACCTCTCATTTTTTATTTGAACTCAGCAAAGAGTTCTTAATAGTTTATTATTTTATCCTGACAGTCCTTAGTGCAGATGGAATTGAGGCAGACTGACAAAATGTCTCCAAACCACGACAGGAGGTCCTCCTAACTGAGTCCAAATACAGTATTGATATCAGAGGTCAGATTTCTGTAGAGGACTCAGCAGAGGAGACGGTGAGGGTCGTCACTTTGTCACAAACTGGACCGAGGACGCAGGACAGCGTTTCCAGTGTGTCATTCTGATATGAATTAAAGTGGATCCTCTTGGTGGAACAGAAAACCGAGACGCTGAGTCGCGCCTAATAAACGCTGCCTAAATACTTTAACAGTGGTTTCAATGCTCAGTTTTAATGATAATAACATTATACGCTTCCTTCTAAGGAGTTAGGTGAGAGGTTTGATACCACTCCTCTGTCTGTTATCTGAGAGTCTGATTCACTAAAGCAGTGAGCAGCTCCTGCGCTGTTAAACCTGAGCTGATGGACACTGGCTAGAGTTAAATGCACTGAAGACCTCCATGTGAGGTGAAATCAGTCCCTAACTCACAAACACTGGTGCTCACAGCCACAAGCTGTTGGAGTGAAATTTTCATTGACTGCTGAGGGTTTGTGCGAACAGCAGTAGTATTTAAGATGATGTCATGCTGAAACTTTCCCATGATCAAGGCAACAATTTCACTTCTGGATGTCCCAAAAATATCACACCTGTACATAAAGTCTGTCAGTGTCAGCTTTTAGTCGGGGGGGTAAATCAATCAGAGTTTGTCCATGGCTCAGCCCACTTAGGGGCTCTCTCTCTCTACATGTGTGGTGATGGTCTGAAGCCTTTGGACAGGATCAGGACGGTCATTTAAAGCTGCTCTTGGAGAAACTTCTGACATAAACGGAGAAGCTTGAATCTCATCTCATCATGACTCATCTTCCTATAGCACTCTAAATTTTATCTTCTCTCCATCCAGCTCATCTGCTGTATGTGGATTGTTAGGAGTTTTGTCAGGATGAGAGTGCACAGTGGAGCTCTGCTTCGCAGAGAGTGTTAATGTTGATGACTCATCTTTGCAGTCAGACCCAACACAAGAGCAAACTGCACAGGGCTGCAAAACTCTGTGGATGCAGTTGCGCTTGTGTTTTCATCTGTGTAATGCCCTTTGGGAAAACGATACCAGGTGATATTTGCAACCACAATCTGTTCTTAGTGAATCTGCCCCTGAATGTAAAACTGATTATACCTGAAGCAGAGAGAAGCAAGCCCTCTCAGCAAGCCCTCTGTCCAAACTGCATGCAGCGTGTTACAGAAACTAAAACATACAGGGTCTTCAAGGGCAGACAGTCTGCAACAGCTCTGCAAATGCAGAAACAATACAACTTCAGAAGCACATACTAAAACAAATGCAACTTTATGCTGCAGAAAGCTGCTCAAAATAGCAGCTACACAGAACCTGCTTAAATCTCAAGCAGTGAAAAAAATATCATCCCTGCATTCCTCACCATGTATTCACTGTGGCTGGTGATCCAACTCAGACTCTCCTGGTTGCAGTAATCTGAATGTTACGCCCTGATGTCTTGCTTTGCGGCTTTTTCCTCCAAACAAGTTCAGTTTCTGGTCATTTACCTGATCCTTTTTAACGACAAAGCTGTGTCACTTAGCGCCAAGCCCCTCTGTTAACAAGTCTCATTTGCATCTTTTACCTTTATCTGCAGTTGTTTTCTGATTTTGTGCATCTTTGCTGGACATCATTTGTATATTTGCAGTGCATTTGCTGTTAATGCAGTCCTTCATGCTTTTTGCAGCCCCCTTTTTTTCAGTTGCAGAGCCTTTCCATCGCCGTTTTTTTTTTAACCTTTGCAGATTCTTTTAAAGATGTATTTTTCATGCATTTGCTTGTTTTTCCCCCTTATTAAAATCATTCTGGCTATTGCACACTATCTAAGCTTGTGGGTCACTATGTACATGAGCATTACAGCTCAGTGAAGCATGAGCAACAGCAGTCTTATCAGTATCGTTTTAGTTCAAACTCAAAGACCCCGATAAGATGATAAAATCCTTCTTCAAACAAACAGAGAGTCAACTGAGGATTTCTCTAGACACAGGAGAGATTTCATCGTACTGTTTGGATCAAGTAGAAAGTAGAGCAGGTGAGTTCAGTTTATTCCGAAGTCATTTGAAAGTTTTTTATTTTTTAAATTGAAGACGAGAAAAGAGGTGGAGAAGATAAAAGCATGCGTAACAGCTTCTACTTCTCCAGAATTAGAAAAAAGATCCTGTTCCTGCAGTGTTTCTGAGAGGATTAAAACATGACTGGACAAGCATGAATCCCTGTCAAACAAAACATCAAGGTTTCGTGCAGCAGGCTGGAGATGATGTGAGCCTCAAACTAAAATTTAATGAAACTATCTGAGAAGTTTGGAGGGAAAATGTCTATTTGGAAGAATTCTTAACAAGGAGCTCCAGCCAGCCTTAGGGAACAGGGAGAGAGAGAGAGAGGAAGAGAGAGAGAGAGAAAACAAGCGATATTCTGTCACAGATTGTGGATTAAAATATGAAATATTTTCTCTAATCTTGACATGCCATGTACAGTGTTTGAGTTAATATGCTGAGACAGTGTGAGCTAAAGTGTGTAATAGTCTTTAGTCAGGAAGGACAGCAGAGCGGGACAACATGCAGTAAAGGGACAATGATTGACATGGATCTGCAGTGGTGTCATAATCAGCAGACAAACAAATGTTTCAGATATTCAAAAATAACCTATCCTGCTGTACCAGTCTGGGTCTTGCTGCTGTATTTCTGCTCGTACAGTCTCTGCAGAGTGTAGTTTCACTGACTGACGGGCTGACTGACCTAAATCTGGCTCATGATGAACACAGCTTGTGCCCAGAGAAAAATAACTCAGCTCCTTACACAACTTTATTCCAGCTCGCTTGTTTCGTTTGCATTTTGGCATCTTTATGTCACCTCCTCTCTCCATCACGCTGTCTTCATTCTGCTGTCTGTGAGGGGGCCGGGGGTCTTTCCCCTCAGCCGTGTCAGAAACAACCACAAAGGTACTCGCAAGGTCAGCGCACAGAAACTTCAGACCGTGCTGCAGTTTCTCACGGTCTAATCATCATGGGACTTTTCATAAACTGAAATCTGTTTGTGGAAAAGCTCAAACCTGTGAATGATTGATTGACAGGTTATTGAGCCGATGGCGTGTGAAGGCTTGAGGACCATCTGCATTGCATTCCGTGACCTGCCATCCAATCCGGAGCCAGAATGGGACAATGAGGCAGATATTGTGACAGAGCTGACCTGCATCACTGTGGTGGGGATCGAAGATCCTGTGAGGCCCGAGGTAAAAGGACTGTCAGTGATGTTTATAATATTTCAATTAAATCTGCTTGTCAAAGTTGATCGGTGTTGTGTTCTCCCCTCTGCAGGTTCCTGACGCCATCCGTAAGTGTCAGCGCGCGGGCATCACAGTGAGAATGGTGACGGGGGACAACATCAACACAGCCAGGGCCATCGCTGCTAAATGTGGCATCATCCACCCTGGAGACGACTTCATCTGTCTGGAGGGCAAAGACTTCAACAGACGAATCAGGAATGAGAAAGGAGAGGTGAGCCCGGGTCTGAGGGGGTCAGAGCAGGTCAAAGCAGGGGACACTGACAGTTATATGAAACAATGGATGTTTGTAAAATATCTGATGTGACAGGGATGTGCTCAGTCGACAGCATTGTTTGGTCACATGGTTGATTATCATGCAGATTCTTAAAGTCACTTCTGGACTTCATTCATGAACTGTTTGTAAATCTGGGCTTAGTTCTGCAGAAAATGGCCTCCGTGTCAGAGACATTCATAAAACTTTTATTGAGTCATAGGTTTATGTGTCTTTGAATCCCAATCAGTTATAAAACGACAGTGCCCTCTTTTTGGTGAGCAATCAGCACAAATCCTCACCTGCAAATAGCCAAAGATAACCATACAAAGAAGTGATTATATGTGCTTCCTGTAGGCTGGAGAGCATGGTGCAGAGAAAAAAAACAGACAAAGCAGACAAATGCAGAGAGTGAATTTGAATAAAAGCTGAATAAAAGTAAAGAAAGATTTTGTACTCCTATCAATAGAAGGCTGTTAGTGCGCTCTGTAAGAGTCTGAGTCGCTCTGTGGGCTTCACAAAAAGATCCAAGCGATAAAACTATAGATGTATGTGGATCACACATGAACTCCCTCCTGTGAACAGTTTCCACACAACTCTGTTCAGTTGAGGTTGGATGAAGGAGACCCCTTTGGAGGAAATCTTTAATGTTTTCTGGGAGAAGGCTGCATTTTCCCATGAGCACCATCACCCAAAGACGTGTGCCTTTCCAGAGTGTGTATTTATTGTGGAAGCCAATAAGTGCAGATCTTTTTAGTGATACTTTTCTTTGTTTAGAGTAACTTGGAGTTATCAAAGAAGAGACAGGCTAACAGATTCTGTCATTTTTATAACCACCCCTCTTTCTTCTTTAATCTCTGTCTGATCAGATCGAACAGGAACGTATCGATAAAATCTGGCCCAAACTCCGTGTGCTGGCTCGATCCTCACCGACAGACAAACACACCCTTGTTAAAGGTGAGTCTAAAGTTAAAAATCATTTATTTATTTGAGTTCTTAATCATTTATTCTCTCGCACTGACGGTCTGTTTTCTCCCTACTCTCTGTTTTCAGGAATCATTGACAGTAGTGTGATAGAACAGAGGCAAGTCGTCGCAGTAACAGGTGATGGAACCAATGACGGACCAGCTTTAAAGAAGGCCGATGTGGGCTTTGCCATGGTAACCTGACACTTCATTCTTATTAATGTTAATGTGGTACTACAGGTGTTACAGCCTTATCTCACTTGAAGTCCAACACATATACTGAATGTTTTACTGTTTCTGAGTGTAAATCTAAAGGATTCCATCAGAAAAATGGCCGTGTGAAACTTTGGTCAAAAATGTGAGTGTGTTATTGTGCTGTGTACAGTGTGTGTTGATTTCGGCTGCAGGCCCTCCTCAGGCTCAGAACAGCAGTGAAACTCCAACAAGACTTCACTGCACGAATGCTCACATGATTCATGTGGCATGTGTCTTGTTTTAGGGTATCGCGGGGACGGATGTGGCGAAGGAGGCGTCTGATATTATCCTGACTGACGACAACTTCAGCAGCATCGTTAAGGCCGTGATGTGGGGACGAAACGTCTACGACAGCATCTCCAAGTTCCTGCAGTTTCAGCTGACAGTCAACGTGGTAGCTGTGATCGTGGCCTTCACTGGGGCCTGCATCACCCAGGTATAAACCCACACAAACACCTAAATACACACATCACCCAGGTACACATGCACACACACACACTTAAATACAAACATTGTACATTATAGCAGTAAACACACAAACTTACAACACAGATATTTTATGTATGTAAAGTATTCATGTTCAGGGATATCAACCTGCATGTATGTCTTTGTATCTTAATTATAAATCAATAATTTCATTAAGAAAGCAACAGAAATTTAAATATTTACAGTTGAAACTTTTCTTATATTTAAAGTCTTTTTTTTCAGGTGTTTGAGGTTAAGCAGTTAAAGTTCCTTTAGAGCAGTGGTTCTCAAGTCCAGTCCTCGAGGCCCACTGTCCTGCATGTTCCAACACACCTGATTCAAATGATCAGCTCGTTATGAAGCCATTACAGAGCTTGATAACGAGCTGATCATTTGAATCAGGTGTGTTGGAGCAGGGAAACATCCAAAACATGCAGGACAGTGGGCCTCAAGGACTGGACTTGAGAACCACTGGTCTAGAGCTTCTGACTAAATACTTAGAGAGCCATAAATAGTGATCTGAGTGGCAACTTGTGACAGAGCAATGCTAGTAAATTACAAGACAATGAAAAAAGACAAAAAAATAGACCCTGTTCAATCACTACAGTCTGAATCTGGACTCAAGTGAACCTGGTCCCAGATTAACACTCTTACACTCTGGATCTGAATCTGTGTGTGTCTTTGTGTGTGTGCAGGACTCTCCTTTGAAAGCAGTGCAGATGCTGTGGGTCAATCTGATCATGGACACCTTTGCCTCTCTCGCTCTCGCCACTGAGCCCCCAACTGAGGCGCTGTTACTACGGAAACCATATGGACGCAACAACCCACTCATCTCTCTGACCATGATGAAGAACATCCTAGGACACGGAGTGTATCAGCTTGTCATCATCTTTACCCTGCTGTTCATAGGTATACACACACCCACGCACGCACGCACGCACGCACGCACGCACGCACGCACGCACGCACGCACGCTTCTTCCTCCTCTTCTTGCTTTGACTTCTTATCTAACTCTTGTCTTACTTCTTGTCTTCCTTTTCTTCCTCTTCTCATTTTTCCTCATTCTTATCTTACTCTTTTTCCTTTTCTTTCTTGTACACCTTTTCTTCTCTCTCTCCATTCTCTTCCTCCTCTTCCTCTGATTTCTGTTCCTCCCCTTGTTTGTTTTCTCATTTTTGTCTTCCTCTTCTTTTTGATCATCCTTCTCATCTACTCCCTTTTCTTTATTATCTTCCTCCTCCTCTTCTTTCTTCTTGTATTTCTCCCTCCCTTTTCTTCCTCCTTTATTTCTTGTTTATATTTTCTCTGTTTCTTCCTCACCCCTCCCCTTATTCATTCTCTCCCTTTTCTTTTTATCTCCCTTCTATTTTGTTGTCATCTTACCTTTTTTATTCCTCATCTTTGCCTTCTCCCTCTCATCCATCTTCTTATCATCCTCTTCCTTGCCCTCCCACTCTTCCTCCTGTAGGCGAACGCATGTTTAACATCGACAGTGGCCGTAACGCTCCTCTCCACTCTCCGCCCTCTGAACACTACACCATCATCTTCAACACCTTCGTCCTTATGCAGCTCTTCAACGAGATCAACGCCCGAAAGATCCACGGTGAGAGGAACGTCTTTGACGGGATCTTTGCCAACCCCATCTTCTGCTCCATCGTTCTGGGGACCTTTGCTGTGCAGGTGAAGTTTGAAGCTTTTTTCATATCTGAAATCAAGTAGTTCAGACACAGTGAAGGAGAGAAAGATGATGATATGGCATTTAGGGAGCTCTATGTTTTTGTATGAGCTACCAGAGGTCCCTCTGAATTCTGGTTCAGACTGAGATCTCAGTCTCTGTTCATGAGACTGAGATCAGACCTGTATTCCCTGAGAAGAATGCTGTGATTTATTGAAGTGTCGGCTGAATATTTTGAGATTATTTTAGCTTTCTTACAAGTTTAGATTCCAGGTAGAAGTAATATTTTGTTATCATTTTGGCTGACAGAGCTGAAGTGAGTGAGCTGTTCGTAAATGCTGAGTTATAAGGTACCGCCAAGGCTTTGTTTGGAAGATACAACTGTAATTCACAGTATCAGTTTGATTCATCAGGGGCTCCTCCAGACCTTAAACAACCATGAAAAGACTTAAATGATTAATGAATAATGATTTTAAAGGCCTTCATTTTTACTTGGAGATTTGTAAATTTGTGGATGGTACATGGACTGAGATCTGTCCGAGTGAATACTTGATCAAATCCACTCTGTAGAAGTTACATGGTTAACTTTTGATCATCTTTGTGGAAAACTGGCTTTACACTAAATAGACTTACTGAAAAGCTCAAAAACTACGTTTCCAGAGTGTTTCTCTGTTCATCTGAACAATTACTAAGATATTTTTAGGTCACCTCTCAACTGACTGTCATTGCCACATGTCTCCTGTCTGAATCCTCTTCTCCTTTCTGCTCTGTGTGACTGTAAATGGGTCCATAATTTACAGAATAACCATCACATAGACAGTAAACTAGAGACTGAGAGCATAAACTCATTAAGAAAAGGTTTACTGATGGAGACGAAGGAGCATTTTCTCATAAACTATTATACAAACAGACTAATTTTTAGCCCTAGAGGACATCAGAAAAAAAAGCAAGTGTTGTTTGTCTCACTTTCCAGTCCCAGAGTCTGTATCCAATCTATGATTATTGTTCACTTTCTTCTTCCTGGCAGCTAAGATTATGATTTTATAAAAGTTTCTGTGATTTCAAACATCAGTCTGATCAAACTGAGGCCTACAAAGCTGCAGAGTTCTGAAGAAAAAGAGGACGAGTCCAGATTTAAGAGCCAGACTTTCTCCAACACAGCAGGGAGGACTGCGTGTTGAATCAGAAGAAATGCTTGGAGCCAGAGAGAGGGAGTAAACAGCAACACAGACGAGCAAACAAAGACGAAGAGAGAGAGAGAGATGGAGAGAGGAGAGGAAGAGGAGTCAGTGCAGCTTTAGGGAAAGAGAGAGAAGAGAGAGAGAGAGAGCTGGAGGGGGGAGGCGATGATGAGGAAGCAGTTCAGAGAGAAAGAGAGAGACAGAGAGGAGATAAGAGAGAGCTGAAGGCTGCAGACAGCTGAGAGAGGTGAAAACAGAGATAAGTGAAGAAGAAAGATGATATTACTGTATGTGATACTCTGTGTGGTACTCCCTCTGAGACTTGTGACTGTGCTGTTTGGTGTCAGGATGATAGTGTCAGGATGATAAGCCTTGTTCAGCCTGTAAATGATCATGTCGCTGTTTAAAATGCTGTCACTACATCCATCGAGCTGAGTAGATCAACAGGAAGTGTGACTGCGGTCCAAGATTAAAGATACAGGCTGGAGACAAATCACAGAGCTCATTTTATTACACGCGAACAAAATGCAGTGTAGTAGTAGGTCGTTTTTTTTTACACACAGAGACATGAGCTGCAGTTTGAACTGTATCTCTGCACAACTCCAGGCACTACATGAAAAAAAGATATGACAGGAATTATGTCTTAAATATATAGATATCTCTTCATACATATTCTACATGAAGAAAACTGTTCTGTATGTTCAGCTAAACAGTATCAGTCATTGTCATAAAAAAAGGGTTAAATGCCATCCGGTAAAAAAACAGTTTTTCCTCATATTGAGTAAATTTAAAATCTCCCGCCACAGGATGATTTCACTCAGAGGAGCAACGTTTACTTTATTAGCCATGGGGGAAAATGCTGCTCAGGACATAAAACTTCTAGAAATTCTTCCTAAATGTGTCATATTGAAGAAATAATCTGCTAGAGAACATGGACACTCTCCCTATTTAACTCTGTCCTAGTTCAGCTTGTAACAGTGGATTTAGGGCGAAGTCACTCTAAGTAATCCAGACTGTACCAGCATGTTTGACCTCTAATGACCCCTAAAGTCTAGGTTGGTTGGCCTGTATGAGCGCTCCTTACCACACTCCCTCAGCCCTGGCACGGCGCGGTTGGAGCACCTAATTTCCTTTTTGCTTCTAGTCAAACATGGTATGTCACATCCTCCCAGCAGCAGAGAGAAAACAGCAGGACCTGAATCTTGTCAGGCTGTATGTTTGAAAGACAAAGCAGCAGAAAAAAACTCTCTTACTTAGAAAAATGAGAGGACAGACTAGGGCTGGAAATTTACTGAATATTTATCGATACCGAAATTTACGACTATCACCGACCTCATTTTGCTTATATCAGTATATTCGGTGTCAAATAAATAAATAAATAAATAAAAGTTGGTTTTGGATGTGTGTAGGTAGGCTATGGTTTCATGTCCCTTTAAGACGCTGTCCTATGTCAGAGACGTGACTCCACCCACAAAGACAGGTGAGGAGATGGAGGACGGTTCAAAAGTTGTAGCGGCTGGAGCGGAGGCTAAAGTAGACAAAGCTAATGTGAGCAGCTTGTGGAGTAGTTATCGTCCATTTATCATTATCGAGATGAACTGCTCAATATATCATGATATTAATTTAAGACCATATCGCCCAGCCCTAGGACAGAGAGTGAAAAGATGACTCTCATACTGGTACTTGCTCATGCAGAGTTAAGGATCTCTCTCCTCCCCCTCTCATTGCAGCAGGAATTGCTGTCTCTCTGTGCATTCTTGTGTTGATAACTTAGAGTGTATGTCCGATAGTTGTTCTTATGAATTCTGAATTATAAGCTAACCTAACTAGGCCTAGTGTGAGTGCACCCTTAGTTACCTTCGAACTGAGCTAATTCAAACCATAAAAACAACATAAACAATGACAATGAATCAACGATTTGGATGGTGAGGCTACAGCTTAACAAGATCCACATTGTAACACTGGGAAATGTTGATATTTGTACTTACCCTGAACTCTGAGAAAAAAACAGCAAAGGCATCAAACTTGAAGTTCTGCCGGGTTTGAGTGTCAGATTTTATTTCGAGGAGCTTTCAACACAGAGAGATCATAAAGTTCTAAAGCAGTAACTCTGCAGGGACAGCTCTTACTCTTCAAACTCTCAGAAATACCTCTAGATTAACTACTGTACGTATTCATGCACAACGTGTCTGCTGTAGGGACTGGATGTCAGTGTGGGAGTGCAGCGATGAAGCCAAACCAGAGGGCGGACATGTTGACTGCTATCACGCCTCTCTGTTAGTGCTGTCTCTTTGCAGTGCAGGCTGTGGTCGCTGCAGCTGCTGCACGATGTTGCAGCACTGCGCTGTGATTTTATGTGTGAAATTAATAACCCCTCCTCCCCTCTGGTGTCTGTGCTGCAGATCGTGATCGTGCAGTGGGGAGGGAAGCCCTTCAGCTGTGCCCCTCTCAACGTGGAGCAGTGGCTCTGGTGCCTGTTCGTGGGAGTTGGAGAGCTGCTCTGGGGGCAGGTAAGCAGCTCTCTCCTGCTGACTCAGACTCTGAGCAGGTGGAGGCTGACAGGCAGGTTTACATCTATGCTCTGAGCAGGTGGAGGCTCATTTACCCAAGGTTTACCCTGCATTCACCAGCTTCTCTGATAGACCCAGATCAGGAATTTTGAGAGTTTCCAAACTTTGTCTTGTGCGTGACCTTAAAAGTCTTTAAGTGGAAACATCCTGGAGGCTAGAAAAGATGATGTGGTTTTTTTTTGCTGCTCAGAAGTCTGTAAGAAAGTAACAGTTAAAGCTTTTAACAGGTTATAGATTACAAAAAAGTGAAAAATTTATATGTTTAGAGTGAATCAGCAGAGAACTGTCCCCATGGAACTACTCAGCTGGGGTCTTTTTGTTATGAACCAACAATCTGTGGATCTTTTTGTGATTTTTTTCAAACTTAAAACTGAATTATTTCTACATCTCCAACATACAGAATAAGATCCTCGGTCAATCCGTCTTAGATTACAGGTTATTGTGTCATGAAACAGACGCTAGAAAATCCGAAAGTATCAAATCCATCAAATATGTTCAGCTTCTCAGTTTAATCTCACAGTCTCAGACGATGAGAATGTAACAAAAATGGCTTCCAGGTTATCGCCACAGTGCCGACGGATCGGCTGCCATGCCTGAAGGAAGCGGGGCTTGGCCTGGAGCCTGCAGAGGATGAAGGAGAGGAGCTAGCCGAGGACGAGGAGGAGATTGATTGCGCTGAGAGGGAGCTGCGCCGGGGACAGATCCTCTGGTTCAGAGGCCTGAACCGCATCCAGACCCAGGTACTGTCAGGCCGGACCGCCACTGCAAATCATGACCTCACTGATGTCACAGGAAGACACACACACAAATACACCTATACAGAGAAACTACAGCACGTAAACCAGGGGCTCCACAGGCTCATGAGCAGTATGTGTCACAGGCAGACGACAAATCAGGACACATATATCCCCCAAAACATAAATCTGATCATTACTGATGAATGTTTTTTTATTATTTGAGGTTTTTGAACTCCGATAAAACACACTCACAGCATCGTGTCCTGCACACACTGACAGAAGGGACTCATGGGGAGGAAGAGAGAAAGATGTATGCCTTGTTGTTATTACATCTTTGGTGAAGTTTTAACTCTGTCTGATCTGTCTTTACTCTCCTCAAGTCTCTCTGTCTCTCTCTTTCTGTCTCTGCTCATCTCTGAACTGTGCCAAACGTAATAATTCCAGTTTCCTCCTTTTAAAGCAGCAAACTGCTCTGTTCAAACCTTCAATGATGTTTGAGTTTGTTCCTTACAAAGAGGATAAATGTTGCGAATGTGTGTGTGTGCCGCTGCAGCCGCACCTCAGCGTGTGTGTGAATGTGTTTATACTGTACAGACTGATGCTAAGTAGACAGGCCTGATTGCTTTAATTGATTGATTCTGGCACTGATCGGTGTGAGGACGGACGCTAAGACGCAAAACAGCCTCAACATGAAGAACGAGCTGCTGTGAGAGAGCCAGACTCTCTGCTTAAGTGCCTGTCTCTGCCTAAAGTGCTCCCAGTTTACTCAGAGGGTTTGGTCTGAGTGTGCACGCAACAATCACTCACACACACACACTAACAAACACACACACACACACACACAGCTCCAAATACACACCTAGTTTTAATGTGTGTTACTGATGCACAACGGACAATCAAAACATTCAAATGCAGTTTTATCATTCCTGCTCAGACAGGAAATATTAACATACAGGAATTTATGAAAAATATACTTAATGGATGTTTACCTCAGACTCTGACTGATTCAATGAAGCTTTTTCTTCTTCACTGATGACAGAGAATAAACAGAGGTGCAGTCGTAGTAGGTCTTTACTGTTGGATGTAAGGATTCAACATATTTTGCCCATCCATTTATTCCAGTGTGATGTTCTGATGGTCAGTGTAAGAGCTGATCAACAGTGGCAACTTTAATTTGAACACCTGCAAGAACACAGTGTCAGATGGTGTTGTGGGCGGGGCATTAGGTTTAGAGATGAAGTGCATAAAAACAAGCCCAAAAGGAAAGATGCCCCAGCAGAGGAGCTGAAGCAGAGCACGTTTTAATGTATTAATTTTTATTGACCATCTGTAAAGTAAAAGGCTGATATGGATAATCGTCCAAATATCATCTTTGATAATCAGCCAGAGCCAGATGAGATTATTTTTGCAATCAAAAATGAACTTTTATTTGATGGGAACAAATGCTCTTAACATTGCAAAGTAGCTGCCATGCATACACTTTTCTAGCCATGGCTTATTTATAACCCTTGGCATCGGTTTGTCTTCTAAAATGAAAATGGGAATTACAGAGTATTGAGTTAAAAACATTATAACCATTGAAAACATTCAAACATAATGTAGGACTTCAACAAAGATGGAGATCAATTCAAGTACAGACTAAAACCTGTTAATCAACATGAGGCTTGAATAAATGTTTCTGTGTGATCTATGATTCAAGAGTTCACAAACTCTTTTTAGTTTCAGTCATATCTTTTAGGGAGTGTCAGTGCTAACCTAAAGGAATCACCTTCTTTGATTTAATCTATCACACTGAGCATGTTACCAACAGAAAATAGCAGATTAAGGTCTGCTTCTCCTACTTTGAACGTTTCCACATTTACAGAGAGTTTACAGAGGAGTTCACCACCGGCTCTGAGTAGGGTTGCACCGATCTGATACTTGATATCGGTATTGGTCCCGATGCTGAAGAAATTTTAGATTGGATATCATGACAATGGGCCTGATGCATAGGGGTCGATCTATTCAGTCTAACTCTATGCTATGCGCCTGAGTGGCATCCACAATTAAACACGCTAAGAGATGCCCACATTGTTTTCAAAATGGAGCGAGCAAAGGGGTCTGTTATCTTGAACTTTATTACATAAACTCAGCCTACAAGCTCGACAGCCACTTGCAATACCTGCGCAGCAAACGTTCCGAGGGGTAGTGTTAAAACTTAAGATTACAACAAAAGGTAATTTAGCGCGGTTTTTCTGTATCGGAATTGGATCGGTATTGGCCGATACTAAACTGTAGATATCTGTATCGGAGATGAAAAAAGTGGATCGGCGCATCCCTAGCACTGAGTGAGGTGTAACATTTAAAAAGTAATTTATGCTTATGTTGGAACTATCCCAGCTGGTATGTTCGTAGAGCGTCAACTCCATCCATAATTAGATATTACACTCAAACTACAACTCATGTTCAGTTTTGTTGGCACAACACAGTGCAGGTCTGTGCCAGAAGAGCAAAAATCTCAGGTTATCTTTATGAATGATTGATTATGGACAATCCCACACACACACACATCTCTACACACACTTGCACACGCTCAGACTGGCCCTTCCTGCCCTCACTGAGTGCTGCTGTTTTGTCTCTGTCCTGCAGATGGAGGTAGTGAGCACGTTCAAGCGAAGCGGTTCGTTTCAGGGAGCGGTGAGACGGCGCTCCTCCGTGCTCAGTCAGCTTCACGACGTAAACGCTATCTCTACCCCCTCTCACGTAGCTCTCTCCACCGCTACAGCCAATACCAGCCCAGCCCCCGGGAGTGAGTCCGCCGAACGCATGTACACACATGAACACACACATACACAGCACACAGGTATACCTGCACACACAAACAAACAAAAAAAAACACACACACAGCCTCTCTCTCTCACACACTCACACACACACACTGCTGCACGGCACGTGGACTGCAGTATTTGACTCTCTGGTTGTGTCCCCCTCCGGCTCGCTCGCTGCTCGTGTGTGTGTGCAATGTCTCCTCTTTCTTTTCTCTGATTCTCCCTCAAACAGCACCCAGTCCTGACCGGCTCTGTTCTGCTGGTCCGACCCGCTGGTCTGGTCTGAGCCCAGTCCCGGTCCCAGTCAGTCCAGAGTGTGTTTTATTGTTGAGTGTTGGCGGTGCGGGGGTGGCTGGCTGTTCTCTCTCTGTCTGAGGAGTCCTGACATGTGCAGCTCTGCCTAAAGACAGAGACGGTTACAGAGAGTAAAAGTTAGAGGTAAAAACAGTGGGGTTTGACCTGAGGACGGATCCTGGAGCTCAGAGAGGACACAGCAGCTCCACCTGCACCGCCTGTTACTTCTTGTTTGTGAATGAGGTCAAGCGTGGTTACTGTGGATGAAGCTGCTGTAAACATGTCAAGTTTCAAGTGTTGTTGTTTAAAGTTCAAGTGTTTTCAGTAATCCTGTGACCAAACTGTAGAGGTGATCAGATTTCACTGCCATAGACTCATTCTCATTACCAAACGGCTTCATATGGCTTCAATAAACTGTAAACCTTCGAGTATAAAAGCCCCATCACACACCGCTGCTGCTTTCAAGACTTGAGTCAAAGAAAAAGTTTCTTTTCCTCTTCCTCCTCCTCCTCCTCTCCTTTCTTCTCTGACTTTAGTCCTCTGCTGCTGTTGTTGGTTATTTCTGTGACAGTATTTCCAGCTCTGACGTCACACGTTTGGCCCCTCTGATGACAGTCCTGATTTTATTTCTGATTTTTCTCCTCTCTCTCTCTCTTTCTTTCTCTCTCTCTCTTTCTGTCTGTCACAGCTCTCTTTCTCTGACACTGATCAGATATTACAGGTTCCCTGTTTGCAGAGAGACTCTGTGAAATGTTCTTCTTACTGTTCTTCATGAGTAGACGTCTTCTTTTGTAGACGTATTTAGATTGTAGCTGATCTAAATACAGGCTCTTGTGTAGCATACGATAAGATTTCTTTAGTAGGTCATTTTTTTGTCTTTCTTTTCTCAGTTTTTTCATCCCTTTTTCTCATCCTCCCATCTCCTCAGTAGAGTAGCGTCCAACCCTCATCTTTTTCTCCTGATTTCTTTGTGTGTCAGTTCGGCGTGTGTGTTTGCGAGCGTGTGCATTTGCTCACATATCGGACAGCCGTACTTTGACTCCTGCGTGTTTGTGTCTCTGTCAGTGTGTGTGTGTGTGTGTGTGTGTGTGTGTGTGCGTGCGTGCATGTGTGTTGTCTTTATCCGTCTTCTCAGTTGCTTCTCCTTCCCTTCCTTGCTCCCTTCTGTCCATCCTTCCCTCCTTCCATTCCACGCTGCTTCCTGCCCACCTTGCTCCATCACCTGTAGGTGTAGAAACAGAGAGCGGCTCAGTGCTGCTGACGCCTCCTCAGTGTGATCATGCTGCACAGACCTGAGCTTTCTTTTAACTACTGTGGAAACATCCCTCTCTCCATCACTAAACAACATAATTTACAGTAAACCTATCGTTTTTATATTCTAGCTGCAGCAGCGGCTGCCTGATGGAAAAGCCTTGTTAACATCTGACAGATCTCATGATCTGAGGTCCCAGAATGGAGCTAGGGTTCAGACCCCATCACTGTCAGCTCATGGTTTGCTCTTTCACTTCTTTTCCTTCAGTCTGACTCACATTTATAAGACCTCCTTACCTGGTTCAGTTCCTGGTGAGAACTGAGGTGGATTTGGACGAAACAGAAAAGAAAAGAAAAGAAAAGGGGGGAACATGAGACTGAGTTTAATGAAGTCTCCTGTGTGTTGGTCAGATGAAAGATCTGATTTACTTTCAGGATTTTTTCTTGACAATTTAGGCTGCACCTCTAAAGACTTACAACCTTAGAAAAAATATCAGATTTGTTTTTGACAAGTCTGTGGTATTCTGTAGTTTTTCTTGTCGTCATCAAATCCCATAAAAAACCAACAGAGAATGTATCCCACTGGCTAGTGTTGTACTACTTTGTTTCAGAGCTTCACAAACACTAAACAACAGAAGGAATCTGCTCATCATTAACAGATGATAATAGGAAAGTTTCTCTGAAGGTATTCAATCATTTTAGAAATGACTGAAGTAGCACCGGTTATTTTTGGTGTCATGATGCTCCAAATAAGTCAGGACTGCAGGCAGACCAGTTTATCAGCAGGACTCTTCTACTACAGAGACATGCTGTTGTAATCCCTGTTGTCAGAATGGGGTTTGTCATTATCTTGCTGAAATATGAAGGTCCTCTCTGAAAAAGTCTTTGTCTAAATGGCAGCAGATGTCACTCCTAAACCCAGATGTAAATATCGGTCAGCATTAATGGAGCCTTTACAAATGTGGAAGCTACCCATGACTTGTTCCTTTAGTACAGAGATTTCTCCAGATTCTCTGAATCTTTTAATGATATTATATTCTGTAGATGATGAAATCCACTCATTCTTTCACATTTGACACTCAGGAACATTATTCTGAAATTGTTGAACAATTAGCTCACTCAGTCGCTCACAGAGTAGAGAACCTCCTCCCATCTTTCCTCCTGAGAGGCTAAGCCTCTCCGAATGTCCTTTTTATACCCAGTCATGTTACAAACCTGTTGCAGATATGAAATTTAAAATGAGCAAAAATGTTTAATTAAACAGTAACATTTTTCAGTTTCAGTTAGTTGTCTTTGCACTTTTTGTAATTGGATCTAGACTTCAGATTGTTGTAAACCGTTAAATTCTGTTTGTATCAACAGTTTAAACAGCGTCCTCTCCTTTTTGATATTGTGTTGTACATAAAACTGCATCTTCAGAGGTCACTGACGGGCTCCAGGCTGAATGCCAAAGTCAGTGTACAAAGTCTCTTGAATATTTCATGAACTAACACGCTGAAGTTTTGGTCTTGTAAAGGGGTTTGGTGACGACAGTAACACAGAGTATCAACAGTCTGCTCCAGTTTTCTCTACTGATATTTCTTAAGATTCTGATGATGGTCTGATATGAGAACACACTTCAGATGCTCACCTGTGTGTAACCTGTTCGTCTGCCCCGCTGCTCATCCTCAGTTAGCTCCAGGTCATTACTGTACTCCATTACCCAGAGTTCTTTGCACAGCAGGCCCTCAGACTTGGCGCTGTGCTGTGTTGCAGTATGATGTGCGTAAGTTCTGACGTCAGCTCCATCACCTCTCTGACTTTTACTGCTAAACCTGTGTTAAAGAAACATCTTCAGATATTAAGTGAGGAATCAAAAGTCTGTGCTTCATGCTTTTACCCACCTGAGCTGTGCTGGACCTCATGGTCCCTTTGGATCTTTAATCTGGCCTATGGATCCAGTTTGTTTTCATTTCAGACCAGTTTCATCACCCTGTAGTGAGAGTCAAACGAAGCAATGAGATGAAAGTTAACGTTGATCAGAATAGATAAAGGGTAATGATCTCTGATCCATGCTCAACTCCTCAATCCTCTGCTGAACTTCTTCATGTTTGAAAAGCAGATTTCATTTTATGGATTCCTAAACGGGTTAAAAGTGAATCAGAACTGGATTGAGGAGGGTGCCGCTGAGGCGGTGTATGGATCAGAGCCGCGTTATTCAAGGGTCGGTGCTGCTCAGAGTCAGGAGCAGTCACCACTCATGATCCTCACAGCTTCTCCCTGTTTCTGTTGCGTTTCTCCTCATCAGCAGTTGTTTTGCACACAGCAGCCTCTCTACCTTCCAGCGCCTGTTTCCTTCTTTAACCATCATCGTTTTTCCATCAAGCGCTGCTGAAAGAGCCGACAGGGAGAGAGGGAGAGAGTTGGGTGAGAGAGATGATTGACCTTCAGTGGTCACACTGTGGGCGTTATATACTCGAAAGTTTACTCAGTCCATGGAGACAAAATGAAAACAAACCGAGCGCTGAACAAGTGAGAAAGTAACTTTCTGGAACCTTCTCAGGCTGCATGAGGTGTTTTTCTGCTGTCTGACAGGCTCTTTGGAAAAACAGATAAGCACTGAACCTACTGCTTGACCGTCTGTCTGTTTGTCTGTCTGTCTGTCTGTCTGTTTGTCTGTTTGTCATGTCTATCATATATGCCAGAGTCACATATAGAGACTGGTCTCTGTTTGGCCCATTGCAGCACTGATCCTACTCAGCCGCTCATCCTCACAGTTTGGCCTCTCGGCGGTGCTGCGGTCCTCATGAAGCTTCATCTGTGAGCCAAACGGTCTCTATGTGTGGCTCTGCTGCCTGTGCCTGTCACTGAACTGTCTCTGCTCTCTGAGCTCATGCTGCTTTCTGCTTCTGTTTGGGCTGGAGGGGGGGGGTGCATGGACCAACTGCCATGGCAAAGGAATGTGACTAGGCACGCACACACCATCCACTGCATACTGCACCTTGGAGTACACTCATAGACCTCACTCTGCTGCGTGTGTGAGTGTGTGTTTGTATGAGTGTGTGTGTGTGTGTGGGACACAGAGAGTGACAGAGATCTGATTCAGCATGACCTGGCTGCCTCTGTTCGTGTGACACGCTGACGCCTGAGCATCGCTCCGGCTTTTGAACCAATCATCTTCTGTTTCCAGTGATCTAACCAATCACGTTCTGTTCTGACCTGCTGATTCTCCGTGATGTCACCTTTCTGTTCTGCAAGACTTGTTTTTTTCTTTCCTGCAGCAACTTCATCATCAGCACCATCATCATCCTTTCAATCACTCTGCTGTCCTCTGTCTCTTTCTGCTGCATGAATGCACTACACCGTGCACGTGTGCATAGACATTTGTGTATGTGTGTGATTGTGTGTGTATGATGCTGACAAATGGGCTTACATGTATGATTGTGACTTTTTTTTAACAAACAGCAGCCACGATTGACAGCTGTCTGATGCATGCAGATGTCAACCTGCACGATGTGGAAACTCAGCTGTTTATTCACTCAGCATGTATGCTTCTGTGTTGATGTGTTTGTGTTCAAATGTGTGGGTTAGGTTGTGTGTGGGTGTGTGTGTGTGTGTGTGTGTGTGTGTGTGTGAGTGTGTGTGTGGTCACTGCTTTAGGTTCTCGCCTGTTTCTTTTTTTTAACTAACTCACCATTTCTGCTTTTTCTCCATCTGTGCCCAACATCCATCCTCATTAGTGTGTGTGTGTGTGTGTGTGTGTGTGTGTGTGTGTGTGTGTGTGTGTGTGTGAGAATTTGTGTGTGTTTGTGTGTGTGCATGCATGTGCTCCAGTGTGCTTAACTGTGAGTGTTTTTCACACACACTGTGTCATCACAAACACACACACGCACACAGGTGTAAGATGTGGCGTGTGTGCAGCTTTGTGGTGGTTGTGATGGTGGCTTCTGGACGCTCTGAGGTCTGACTGCTGTGTGAGAACTGACAGAAACATTCATTAGCCAACTCATCCTGAACACTTTGGTTTATTTTTCACTTCTGTCTGTTGGGGACTCTCGGGATCAGGTGGCTGCTTTATGTTCAGGCTGATTCATTGAGGAAATGTTCCTCCAGGTTTACAGAAGTTTAAATTTATCTTGCAGTAGAACCAAACTGAACACGTGTTTGGAGATGTCACACTAAAAGGACGGAATAAAAACTACAATATTAGATATTTTAGTCTTTTTATCATGCAGCCCTTCTTTATTCAGCCCCAGCTTATGACCACTCATCAACTTTCACTACAAACTGGATCGAACCATCAGACCAGTTTCTGCTGTTGTCCCCCTCTGAAAGATGAGGAGTACTCTCCTGATGTCTGTAGCTCTGATCCTTTCCTCTCTCGCATCAGGAGGAGTCATATGTCAGTTGTTTTTCTAACTGTTAAGATAAATGCTGCAGAGTTCTGTGCAGAAGAAAAAAAATACTATTTCCAGTCGATTTTGACTTCAAATGAAGTCATCAGTCCTCTGATTGATGATAAAGATAGACAGTGAGACCAGGAGGTGGATTTTAATCCTGTCAGAATTTGGGTCAGCTTCTGCAAGTTTGGAGTTTGAAGACATCTGTGCATTCATGGCACTTTTGTTAAGAAGCTCAGAAATAGTGCACTAGTTCAGCAGGGGCCCCATGTGCAGAGCCTACATCAAATATCAACATCAAATATGTTGTGGATAAGGAGTTTAAGAATTTAGACTTCAGATGCAGATATAAATAGGTTTATCAGCTAACAGGCGTATGCCATTTTTGATCTGTGGCCTTTTTTATACAGTCAGACACTCTAAACAGCTCTTAAATACACACACCTCCTCATTATGGCATTAACAGAGCAAACCCATCTGTTGGGTAATGATCTCACTTGAACCTCCTGCTTATCAGATCTGGCAATCAAAAGTAATGACAAGACGCCCCGTATGAGTTTGAAAAAAGTCAGTAATGATCAGAAATATCCAGGGTTATTTCAGCTTCAATATTTCAGCATATTGAAGAGTCACAGCACGCTGGGTTGAGATATTCTTCTTGAAAATGAGCAGGCATTAGTGGAAGCTGCTGTCTTTCATAGATGTTTTAAAAGGTTTGGGTGTCATGAGGTTGTTATTCTGAAACCATTCAATCATCCAACTGACTAAAAGCCCACTGTTTAATACTTGTAACCCCATTGTCCTGCTGCAGCAGCAGCTCTGTAGAGGTTGTTTCTTAATTTAGCATGCACTTAGTCTGTAACTACAGTTGTGTTATTTGGTTGCACCAACTACAGACATAAAGTTCATCTTAACTAGTAGAGCTTCATACCCAGACTAACCACAATTGTTGCAGCTACTATAACAAACAACTAGTGAAAAGTTCTTTTTTTTCCAGTGACGGGTTTATTACAGTGCTGCCTCTTTTGAGTAATCCCATCCAAACAGGCTAACTGCTGAATATAATTGCTGTAAACTCCTGATACAACATCAGAAAAGTTTGTCAAATGTGAAAAAGCATCATAATGAGGTGTTGTTTAATCTAACATGCAAAATAAAAGCAGCAACACTGAGAGGTGAAACCACCAACTGCAACATGTTCATTTCGTGGTGCTAAGAAAAAACAAACACATGAGCACAGGTTACAGTCAATGTACATTTTTGATTTATATAATGTATCACAGTAAACATGTCATTGGCAAAAAACAGCTGGTAAAACCTTTTGCATCTGCCCCTCCTCCTTAAGATTATCAACAATAGACAACTGCAGTCAGTAGGTGTGGTTATCAAAATATATGATAACATGAAAATATTCAGGAGTTTACCCATGCTGGATACACAAATGTTGATTACCTCACATATAAATTACAAACAAAAAAACTATTTAGGTTAAAAACTCCTCAAATTCTCAATTCACTCTGAATTATTAAAATGTTAATGCATTAAATTTGACTAAATTAATCGAATGACTTTTATGAACACCCCAGTAACCCCCTGCAGAGATCCTGACAAACCTTCAGCTAGTCCAGTTAAAGCCACCTGGCCCAGAGTGTCTGTCTGTCTGTCTGTCTGTCTGTCTGTCTGCTGGAGGACACTCGTCTGTCTCTGGGTTTCCCTTGTCTCTGGGTTTTCATTTCTCCTTTTTGACTTTCTCTTCTCTCTGTCTTGTTGTCTCCTCGTGCTCGTTGTCCTTCCACCCTGCAGATGCGAGTGGTGAAAGCATTCCGTAGTTCGCTGTACGAGGGCCGGGAGAAACCGGAATCCCGCAACTCCATCCACAACTTCATGGCCCACCCGGAGTTCCTCATCAATGACCTCATCCACAACATCCCGCTGATCGACGACACCGACGTGGACGACGAATCAGAGCTCAGCAGATACCAGCACCTGCACCCGGCCCTCCGCAAGCCGCCGCCCCCTCCCACTCAGCCCCAGCCCCCAACCCGCAGCCGCCCCACCCGCCCCTATCGCCAGTACAGCCTCCCGGTGACCCCATGCAACAGAAACAACAACAACAACAGCAGCAGCAGCAGCAGCAGCAGCACATCTGTCTCCCACGGCAACAAAAGGAGCAGCCACGCCCTCAGCCACCGCAGCCCCCACCATCACCACCATCGCCACCATCATCACCACAACCATCATGGCAGAGACAGGCCGCTGAAACCCCCTGCCCCCCACCTGGCCCACCTGTACTGCGTGGAGACCTCATTATAACTGAACATGGTGAGAGGGGAGGAGTCTGTGGGAGGGGGAGGAGGAGAGGGCTGAGGACGTACACATGACATTTTCATCCACCCTCCCTACGCCACGCCAACAGGAGGGAGCGAGGGACGAGGGAGGAGCAGGAGGGAGCGGACACTAAGAACACTGAGACTTCCCCTCCCATTGCCCCCCATCCAGCCCTCTCAGCCTAACCCCCAGACCCATCCAACCCCCTCCCACCCACCACCCAGCCTGTCAGAGCCTGTCCATCCCAACCACCTGACCCAATGCTCATCCATTACGCATGCACAGGTCTGCTCTTGCTGCGTTGCCCTGAGCAACAGCTGAAAGGGGGAGGGAGGGGGGACAAAAAGAATCCCCCCCCTGCCCCCCCCCCCAGCAGGACTGGGACACGCCGGGCCGGACGCTTGCTCTGTTTCTATTGGTGTTCATCATCAGTGTTAATGTCCTTGACTGCACCCCATCACTTAACTGCCATGGCAACAACCCCCCCCCCCCAACCAATAATGAGGCTTCTACCTGCAGTGATTAGAGCTCAAGTCTCCTTCAAAGCTTCAACTCCAGTTCATCCTCTCATCCCTCAAACACAGAGCTGCTTCACTCGTTCACTCTTTACATCGTTTCTTTTCTTCCACTACATGTGTCCTCCCACCTCTGCCGACTAAAACAAAACTACACGAAGAGCAAACAGAGACTCTTCATTCAGTCCTGACTGTGAGTAACCACCTGGGTAAGGAGGGGGAGGGGCTTATATGAATATATATATACATGCAGGATATTTGATGTATATATATGATCTGAATGTTTGAGATACAACTACACAGAAGTCTTCATCATCGTTGTCTCTCTTCAGACTCACCTGAGTCCACATGGCTGCAGCATGTAGATGTGGGGGGAGGGTTCATCCTATGTGGACTCATGGTTGCCCCTCCCTCGACGTGAGATCGGACAGAGTGTGGGGTCTCCTTCTCTTGATGTGATTTTTTCATGTCCTCAGACACCCCATACTGGACTGACTGCCTCCTGACATGATGATGAACTGAAGTGGGAGGGTCGGTGGGGTGATTCTGCAGGTGTCTCCCCCTTCTGTCCCATCCTCCCCCCTCTGTCCTGTCGTCTTCTCTCTTGCTGTTCCTCCGTCCATTCTGTTGTGTGTGTGTGAGTGTGTGCGTGCCTGTGTTGCAGCTTTTTTTTGAAAAAAGCTGATGCTTGTGAAGCATTAACCCTTTAAATGCCATCAGACACACGATGCACAGGCGATGGCCCTTTAAGACTGACCTACACTCACCTCACACCTGCTCTTGTGCCATCAGTCGTCTCCGTCAGTATTGTGCTCACAGGTCGAATGGTTGGACTAGTTTTTTCAAAGTGTGATGTTAAAAAAATTGTCAAGCATGAGGCCATGTGTCTGACACCAGTGTTCACTTTTAGCTTTAGCTCCAAAGCTGCTCACATCTATCAGGTACGACCTCAGAGAGCTTTTAATCATGTGTCAAACACTGTGCATGCTCTCCCGTCCTATCAGGACACTTTAACAGATTCAACATTTGGGAAAAAGATGTTCATTAGCTTTATTTTGCCAAAAGTAAGTGAAGATAATCAACCCTCCGGGCTGTGCAGAGGTGGTTCTGTTTCTCTGCTCTGGGTGGAAAGAGTTTGCAGACTTTAAGGAAACTCTGACACAACAACAGCAGCTGCTCAAAGCAGCTCAGGAAAACTAGTTTAGTTGATATTGATGATGAATGATCTGAGTCTCGACTTATTCCCTCCCTACATAAACTCTTAGTTTGATGATGACCTGAGAGCGAAACTAGATTCTTTGTGGTATTAAAGATCCTGACACAACTTTTATACAGTCAACATATTCGAACTAACAGAGTGCTGGCCCCAAACTACTCCAGGTTTGTAGGTCCTGTGTCACAATGACTGGACCAATTTGTTAAAGAAAGCGTTACGACCCTCTTGGTGCAGGAACAGTTGTCTACTAATTTTCAAGAAAAACTTCAGGAAGAGACAAGAACACCAATGAAGGACAAGTCTCCAGAGTCATGCACAGGCCTGTTGATAAGTCACCTCATTTTTTACCGGACTTGAAATGTGGGGACACTTTCAATCACAGCAGGAGGAAGACAGGCTGTTGGGTTCTTAACACATTTTAATGTTAACGTAAAGAGAGTCAGAAGAGACCTGCAGCAGAGGGTCAAACCAGGGACCACTGTGATGAGGGGGTGTGCAGGCTAACTGCCGCCTGGACTGCCATCAGTTTTGAACAGAATTAACAAATTAACTGTTATTAAAGCTGATTAACAGTTACCATAGTTACCATAGTTACCATGGTTAACAATAGTGAGTATGTGATGGTAGTTTGCATGAGAGGTGGAACTAAGAGGATCTGTTATTAGCCAGGCCAACTGCGTCCCTGTTTCCTGTGCTAATGCTAAGCTAACGACAGACATGAGTGGCTAGCCATCTTTTCGATCGACCCTTGAAAAAAAAAAAAAGACCTGTTGCTTTAAGAGGCCAAATCTGTCGAACACGCAGCACGAGCTCGCCCTAACTAATAAAACATTACAAATATATTCCATATTGGGACACCGCCCGGGTGCAGCGCTTGTGACATCACATTCCGCCAACATTCCATGGAGCATTCCGACATTCCAAACTGCTGCATCACATTCCAGAGCGGCCATGATAGCGCCCTCCCGTGTCCCATAATGCACTAGGTGTGGGCGAACCAACCGCTGACTTCATGTTGCCTCGGAGCGTGGCCCCTCCCCCCCTCCCCTCCCTTCCCCCGTTGACCTCCCTGAGTTACCGTCTGGTCCGAGCGCCAGAGGAAGGCGAGGGCAGACAATATGCAACAGACTGCCATGTTCCACCTGTGAGGACAGAACACCTGAGTCCTGCTGCACCTGCTCCAGGATGCAGGGCGCAGGCCTCTCCGGGAACAGCCCTACCTGTACAGAACTCTGTCTTCTTGAATGCTCATTATCACCGCCCCCTCCCTTCCCCTCCCCCTGCCCCGCCCTGTGGGGGTGGGCGGGGTTAACATCGTATTGGTCTGTCTGTTTTGAAGCATGCATTTGGTATCATTAATGTCACTCTTTATGTGTTGGTAAATCATTTAGGCTACTGTCACTACTGTGTGCTATGACCTATCCACATCTGCTGTCCCCCTGACTCACACACACATAAACACACACAAACACACACAGTCATACCTGGTTAAGTCTAACCTGTTCTACTTAAGCACCTCTTATAACAGCGCTACGATGCTTTCTGCAGCACACACACACACACACACACACACACACACACACACTCACTCACACACACAAACACACAAACAGGCGAACAATCTCCAGTGGTGTAAATTTGACTGTCCATCTCTGTCCATCCGTCCTGCCACGTCCCATCATGATGTTGTGAGACAGTTTCACAGAAGGCAAACACAATGTGAAAAAGAATATATTATATTTATCAAAATTATAAATTGTACAACTTGCACCACTTACTGTACAGACCGCCCAAATGTGCACATGTGCATCTTTGATTTACAGGTACTATGTTCCTGTTACACTTGTTTTTTTTTTGTTTTGTTTTGTTTTTTTTATTTGGATGTTTCTTTCTTTGGATCCTTTTGCTTTTTGTAAAGAGAGGAACAACAAAAAGGAAGCGCTTGTATATTCTGATGATTATTCTGATTATTTTTGAGTTCTCCACCGGTGCTCCCACTGATGGAGGAGACAGTTGCACATTCTCCTGAGCATATTCTGAGGGCTGTGTTTTCTGTCGCTGAACAGTCCCTGACGCGTGCAGAGGTGTGGAGATGCTCCTCGTCTCTTAAGACCAGAGACGGCTCTGTAAATAGAGGACAGGAGGGACAAAGTTCCTCACTCTGATCTGAAGGACAAAGAGGAGACAGGGAGGACGGAGAGATGGATGCTGCTGCAGAGCTAGAGACTGCAGAAGTGCAGTGCGACGGTGCACTGTCAGGCTGCTCTTTTAGATCTGCCAACAGTATTTACTGCCATGTTAGGATGGGAAGAAGCTGAGGTTTTACATTATTCATTATACATACTGCTGTAAATATCATGTGTGATCGGTCCCCCTTCTTGCACATCGCAGCGCTGTTCTGCAGACAGAAAATACAGCCTTAACTGTGCTGAAGCGAAAAAAGACAAAAAAATGAACAAAAAAATCCATAAAGACTATTGAATATATTAAAGAGTTACCTGCCTGTTATTTAAGCGAATAAATATCTATATATGAGAAAGAACACACCTGTATACTGTAGACTAAATCTGTATGGAAATCTAAGAGAATTTAATGGGAATTAAGTCCAACACCTTTTGTCTGTATGAAAGAAAAAATACATCAAAGTATTCTACAATAATAACTTTGACAAAGTCTGTGTGCTCCTGTGTTGTTTGTTCACTCTAATGTGGTAGCGTGTGAAAGTTCAATCATCAGAAACATGTTCTGTTATTTTGAAAGACGCTCAGTTTCTGCTCATCTGGACGACCTTCAGGAAATACAAGGTCAAGCGGCAGTAAGAGTCTGAGGAAAACGCTGGAGTGTTTTTTTATGTAAGTATGAGCTCCAGCATCATAAAGGGACACATAATCTGGACAAATGTTCATACTCAACCCTGTATGTTGGCTCTAAACTGCTGTGAGGGACTTCGGGTGTGTGTTATTTTGATGCCCCCTAGTGGACAAAGTTATAACTCTTATCCCAGCTGTTTCATTCCTTCACGTTTTTCCACACCAAGACGAAAAAAAAACCCTTATTTATAGCCAGTTTTATTACTGTTAGTCTTTGACTAATGGAATACTGCAAGCAGGAATTTGATCATTTATTTATAAAAGATTTTAATTTCATAGTCTGAGGCTGAATGGTCACCACATCTGTATGTCATTATTCATACACATGCAGTTAGATTTTTGATATGTTATCTATTCATTGCCCTGGTATGTTTTCAATTGAAGTCTAAAAGGTTAATATACTGAGAAATCTAAATCATGTCTGATTTTATATATTGTTATCAAACATGTACAGAAGTCAGACTCAGATCATTTAAATCTGCAGGATCAGATTTACTATCACCTGTTCATGGTGTATGGTGCTTTGTGAACTTGAATTCATCAGCTGTTGGATTTTCTAAGGTGAGCTGTCACTTCCACGTGCAGAGATCTTCCAGTAGGTGGCGCCTCTGCAGGATCTTCGTAGCCATGTTCCTTTCAAGTCATCACTGAGAAGTGTAGGTATGTAAGATTATTGGGGGTTTTAGACTTTATTGGACAGGACAGCATCATTCAGAGTGAAGGTGGAGAGAGGGAACTCAATACACTAATTCAGTGCAATGAAGACTGTGGGATCTGAACCCAAGACACCTGCCTCACAACCTTAGATTTGCCTGCATCTTGGGTATGTTTTCTGGTTAGTGAATTCTCACACCTGTCTCCAGGTAGTTTGGAGGTTCAATGCCTTGCACAAGGACACTTTGGAATACGGTGACAGTTGAAATAAAACTGATGTGAATTAGAGACGGTCCGCCCTACCACAAAGCCAAAGCTGTGAATTTGAGGTCTTCCTCTCAGGAGTGTTCGGGTGTTTTGTCACTGTTGTGGTCCAGTTGAGGCTCTGATGCATGAGTATTATAAAGGTATGTGCACATGCACAGATGAACTATAATTGACTCTGTCCTCATGAATCACACACACTTAACCTGAATGTATCGTTCAGATTTTTTTTCCTTAACCTTATAAAGTGATGTGAAGAAGTGACAACATACACATTTGGACACTTTTAACATTTTAAGGACTCAGATGTTTGTCCAGAGTCAAAATCTTTTCAACTTGATTGATTTCTCTCCTATCCACATGACAATTCCAGACAATTACTACATTTTACTGTCCCAACTAAAGAAAAACTGTTACATTTAAATGCAAAAATCCCTGGTCTGCTATGACTCAGTCCAAACAGCCATTTTGAACTCAAGTTCTGCCTCTGACAAAGCAAAACTAGTCCTTGTTGTGGATTTTGGGGCTGCTAGTTGGATTTTTAGGGGGCCATGACAGCCCTGGGGTCAAGCCCCGATTCCAAAGCAGACATTTTGATTTTATGAAGACACTGTTGCACCAAAGAGTGTTTAGCTCGAGCCTGAGGCTGTCTGGATACCACACTTAATATTTAAATTCAGGCATTGAACCAGTGTTTGTTTGTTAGACAGTATGGTGAGAAGGGCTGTGGTTATATGTATTTTCAAACGGCACACATCAGTTTTTCTTTCTACAGTATGATCCTGAAGTTGTGCCAAGGTTTCTGAACCCTGAGCTGGAAAACAATGTTTTCCATAAAAGCTTTAAGTGTAAACCTATGACAGGTGAAACCCTGTCCTTAAGTTTAACACGTCCTGATTACGGTGACAGGATTTTCTAATCACTCTAGTAGAAATGTTCTCGTTTTCTTGGTGTCCCTGCTCAGTTGAATAAGTGCTGAATTTGAAAATTATGTTTTTTTTACACTCCTAACACTTAAAACACTATCAAACAATCTGTTCAGGTCCTTAAGTTTGCTATTTATCATGTTTTGGTTTTTCAATAAAAAAAAAAAGGTAACTGTCCACATAGTGGAGGTTTTATCCATAGACCGTATAAAGAATGGACGCCATCTGCCTCCTTGCTGGGTGAAGCCACTCCGAGAACAGCACCCTCTGTTGATGGGCTGCAGTATAGGTCATAAATCCCGCCTCCACCAGCAAAGCTTATGGGGCTGTGGACAAACTTTATAAATTTATTACACAGAACATACATTTTTCTCCCCCCTGCTTGCAATGTTGACATGTAGTTATTGTAAGACTGGTTTGTGCTCAAGTCCTTTTTTTTCTGCACAGCTCCGTTTTTAAAAGTTATTAGGGGGTTCATGTTTTCTATGATTGACACCTGATACAGCCTATGGGCGTTCAGGGATTGCGTAGCTCTCCTGGGGGATACGCTGTTTGCCGAATGCGTGCATCGCTACTGCCCAGCGCTGGTTTCAGGAAATAAAGAAAAATCCCGGAAATACCGAGAGCTTTCCGGCTTCAAATCCGTATACAGGCGGTAGGCGGAACAAAGTTGTCCATAATTTATACAGTCGATGGTTTTTTCTCTTACAAAATTTAAAGGAGTGAACACTGTCTATTATTACCTGAACCCAGCAGTGACGATGATACAAACCCTGCCCATTAGATAGGTGTTAAGAGTCTTCAGGATTCAGAGGATTTATTTTACAGTCAGTATGAAACCAGAGTGGCGATCGTCTTCTCAATCTGACCTGGTTTAGGTCACACATGCTGATCGGTCATGATAACTGATCTTGTTACTAATAATTTGCTGCTCCTTAATAAACTCCTTAAAACTATCATGACCCCTAAAAATTGAGATCTGAAGACATTTCGTATTTCATAAACATTTACAGACTCCCAGCTGGATAAAGGAGACAAATTAGAAATCTGTCTCACTGCTGTGGATGTTTTCATAGTTCTGAGCAGGTTTTAGCCCATTTACTTCAAACTCCCTATTGCAGGAGGCTGTTGGTCCACCTAACAGCACTGAATCCATCAAAAGATGTTATCCCGGATGTTGAATTTAATTTTAGACTTAATGCATGACATCTCTATATTATTTCACTTTCCAGTCAGCAGGATAGGTCAGCATCTAAACTCAGCAAACAGAGTCAACGACTTTATGCACTGTACTGCCTATATTACGAGTATTGGTCTTTTTAACTCTTATTCTGAATAATATAGTCCTGGTCCTTCAGCTCATTAGACAAACTCTTATGTGGTCTAATAAAACCTAAATACTCGATTCTCTGACAGGTGACTTCGTGGTCAGCTCTTTGTTTACTCTGTGCATGAACTGAAGTGTAAAGATGACATTATAATGTTACAGGGGTTTAAACGGAAAACAATTTGATCAGAGGTTTATAGTGGTCGGTTCTCTCAAGACTAGTCTTCTCAAAAGGACAGAACTACATCTCTAAACCTTGACCTCATGAAAGTACAGACCTTTGAAAACTCAGGTACACATACTTTCAACCAGGTCAGAATAATTGTCAGGAAAGCAGAACAAATATTGTTGAAATGTTACAGTAAACCTCTGAATGGTCTCAGGTCTGAGAACTGTTTTTTTCTCGGTGGGTGGTTAGTTGTGCCAAGCAAAGCCATGAGCAGCTAAAAAAGGTAATCCACCTTCACTGGAAGTGATTGTGTTTAACCTGACAACTGAGAGCAGCTACAGTGTGTTAGCTCAGGCTGAGTTCACACTTCAAGCCAAGTCCAAAATGTGGGTTGGTGCTGCAAGACAAGCCCTGGACTATTCAATATCTGTAAAAATGGCTCAATTTTTATTTGTCATGATAAGACTGTAAAATGACACCTACTCTGAACTCCAATAAGCCTGCAGTGATGGGGCAGTCTTGTGTTGTTCTGGAAATGCCAGTTGGCAGTGTGATTGTCATGTCAGTGAAGTTGCCAGTTTACAGCTCCACCACCTTTTCTGCTTGTTGACACAGGAGAGCATCTGAGAATTTTATGGTCAGGCACAAGCTGATTAATATTGAGCAGCAGTTGGTTTTGCTGCAACTGAAGAAACGTGGAGGGGATGGGATGTTCAGCTGCTGAATCAGTGCAGACGGGGATACTGGGAATGTTGGAAATGCAGGACTCCGCAGTCCAACCACAGGGCTTCTACTCTGCATGGTTTCAAAGGGAAGACACATCTTTGAGGAGGTGCAGCTAAGGTTACAGATGTAGGCCTCTGGGCAGTTTGAGGGAAACACCAATGCAGTAGATCAGACACATTTAGTATTGATCAGCCTCCAGTCCACAGACAAAAGCTAAAAACACACTCAGCACACTGTCACTAAAGGAAATATTTACAGTTTAAGTCAATAGGCTGATGAGCTGAGAGGGCATCATACTCTCTGCAGCAGGGAACTGCTACCAGATGCTGTATGGGGTGTGTGGGTTTGGGGATGGGGCCATTTGTAATCGGATCAGGACATAAACTCTTTCACAGAAACTGATATCCTTAAAAGATTTAAAATATCACCAGCAGATTTAAGTTAATCTCAATGCTGGACAGAAATCTTTCCAAAATGTCAAGAGGGAATTTTACATTCTCATTTTCGTCTAAAGTAAAAATTCATGAACAAATAAATGACCAAATTCCAGATCTGTGTCTGGTTTAGGACTCTAAGTTAAAAGTCCTAACAGAAGGCAGACCAACAGCCGTGGTGGAGGTGTGTAGTGGGGGTTGGGGGTGCTGGCCTTCGATCTCACTGTCTTGCTCTATTTTTAACACAATTTCAAGGCTTTGCATAGTACAGCTAAAACCCGGGCTTATAATTAAACATAGATAATAAAGCTCTGAAAGACTGGCTGTGAAAAGTGTGTTTAGTTCTGTTAGACTGAAGTAAGTGGGCTAAAACATGAACCTAATAAAAAAAAAACCTCATCAGTATGTGTGCTTTTAACTTCTGTTTTGTCAACCTTTACCAGACTCGACCCAAATGTTCAGGAAAAGTAAGACGTTTATCGGCAGAGAGCTTGCTGTTCAGAGAGAAAAAAAGAGAAGCATTAATATCAAAAGTACAGAACAAGACAGAGAAAAGATTTTTCTACGACATTTCAAATGAAAATATTTATTTTTTCAACATTTTTCAAAGGCCATTTACCTCAAATTCAAGTTATTTACACATTTACATATTTGTACACTTCAGAACTGGCACTTTCAACACTTAAAGCGGAAAGTTAATTTATCCATAAAGAAATGCCAGATATTCATAATCATGAGACTATTAATCCACTGTTAGCATTGGTCTGAATGGAGCAGCTGTAGAGCTACAGTGTGTTGTGGAGTATTGGTGTAAGATAATTAATGGATACCATTCGTTACCGATACTACCTTTACAAAAATACCAGGCCGTGTTGGCAGCTGCTTGTCCAGCCTCTTCCCCTCCACCAGCAGAATCCACTTTAGCATAAAGAAAGATAGGTGGCTCTAAATGAAGGTGTTCTTGTGTACACTGGTGACGGTTCACAAAGAGATTTTTTCTCCTCAAATCAAAATATATTCAGACTTTCTTTTTTGTCCTCCATGAACTTTAGTTTCCAAACAGAATATTGATTAATGCTCACTCTTTGTGGACCTTCACCTTCATCATCTTTACATTCACAATACTTTGATTTTACTCTTAGTTACATGTTAACTACAGTCAAATCAATCCCTATAACAAAAGAAATCATTTAAGTACTCAAAGCCCATAAATGGGAACAAAGTTTCTTAAAGTAGTGAGGTCGCTGCTGAACGCCTCCATCCTGTCAGAAACATCAACAACACAAGTCTTTTCTTGTCTGATCCTTACCATGGAGTCAGGCAGGTAAAGGTGTGCAGAGAGCAGCTCAGCCCGCATGGTGGATCAACCATTACCTAGAAGAAACTGTCAACAAGGTTTAGCAGTAACGTGTTAAACCATCATCACATCAACACATGCACATTCAGCAGTTCTCATTAACTGATTCAACAGTGTTCATCCAGCCTCTATAGTTCAGTCTGAATATCTGAAAACAGAGAGAAGTACTTGACCCTACATTTTCAGAGACGTGCTCGCACTCTCTGCACACTTAGTGCAGAACTCCACCGACACATGATTCTTGTCCACGTGCAGACACACGCCACCAGATGTCTCTTTCTCCTCCACTTTCACACGCTTCCTGGGTAACGCGTAGTCGTGGTCGTTTGAGTCATGCCCCTGGAAAAGCGAGGAAGATAATTTCATCCCATTCACACCGCTCAGCCTGGACAAGAGCTGGGCTAACATGCTCTCATTGGCCAGCACAGCCCTGAGGTACCTGGTCTCATCCTCCAGCTCTTCCACCCTCTTGGTCAGCTGAGTGTTTTCCTGTTTGAGCCCACTGTTTTCTGCAGACAGGGCGCCGACCTTCTTCTCCAAGCTGTTTACATACTCTTTCTTCTTTAGACGATTCAATCTAGCAGCAATGGCGTTTTTGTTGATCACACTCCTTGCCTGGTTTCGTGCGTTTTTAATCTTCAGGTTGGGGTGAATTCTGTTTGGAGAGGAGCCCACAGAAGCTTCAATCCCGGAGTCTGAATCCTTCAGACTGCACATGTCGAAATCGGCTAATTCAATGCCAAAGAGAGGAGAAGATGCATCTTTCTCAAGAGTCCATTTCAGATCCTCAATCCCAAACAGGTCCTCCAGCTCAATTCCAGCGGTGTCGATATCATCAGCCAGGAACTCTTCAGATGGACTCGGGAGATCTTCATCGGTTTCCACAGGATCCACCACTTCAACATGTAGAGGCTGCAGCTCTGTGGAGCTCACAGAGCGGCCTCTTCTTCTGGTGATCATCGTGGTGTGGCTGTAAGGCTGCAGGGACGCTGTTCAAAAGACAACTAGAGTCTCTTCTTTACCCTGTTGAGACACAAAAATATAAAGTGAGTGAGTTATCCTGCTGTAATTAAGTTGATTTTTCAAGTAGAGAGAAAATTTTCAGAGAAAAAGAGGGCTACCAACTAAGTATCAGCATGTTTTTACTGTACTACTAATTTGCATCACAGATCATGTATCAAAACTTGAACCTATCCAATGTGCATAAAATATTTTTACCTCGTACTGAGACACTCAAGTCACGGACATAATTTAACACAGAATTATACTCTGATTTATAATGAAGACTCGGGTTTTCCCTGTCAGCCTCCATTTTCCCTCTGTGTGTATGTGTGTGTGTTGCAGAAACGTTTCACCAACGTTATCTCCGCTCTGCTGCGAATAGGCCTGTTAGCATTAGCACCGTGCTATCATTCGCATTAAACGCTACTAACTATATTGTCCTTCAGTAAAAGAGCACACAGAGTAATAACACTGATCAGAGAGTCAATGTGTTTGTGTGTTTTAAAGTAGCATACGTAATTTCAGCCGTTGTCAGTCCGGGCTTCAGCCTGCTAACAAGGCCTCAATTCTGTCCACTAAACCAAAGCTGGAGGAAAATCACTTCTTTAAACAGTAGGTAAGGGGTATTTGACAAATATTATCTTCTGATATGAACTCTACGTTATCTGACCCTAAGCAGCGGTTTCTTTGACAGTTTTAAAGCGTACTCACGAACTCGGCTTAATTTTAACCATGAGGCGGAAACAGACTGAACTTAAGTATGACGCAGCAAACAAAAGATACCCCCTGTACAACAACGCATGAACTTACCGTCCCGTCAAAAAATAGTAAAAATTGAGCACTGAAGGTGACGTCCTTATTGAAATTCGTACACAGATTACAGAAAGTTTCTGGAGCCGCTGACAGACAACCGACACAAAGGACGAGAAAAGCGCGTTTCAGCTGCGAGGACAAATCCCACGAAGAAGACACTTCCGGGGATTCTCTACATAATAAAAGTCTTGCTGGATTTTTTTTTTTTAACGACTATAATTTTTCAAATGAGCACCAGAGAACCCGAAAATGTAATTACTGTCTTACCTTTGTACACAAAATATATTCTTTGCGAACAATGTATTTTGATATTTTTACGAGTTAAAAAGGAGTTGATAAACTACCCTCCTGTTACTCAGGTTCGGTGGGTCAGCTGCCCAAACCCTAATGACCCCAGTCTGTACAGTCAATTTTTATGACTCTTATATTTGACCCAAACCTTAACTTATCCAGATTTGTGAAAAAATAAATAAATAAGAAAGAAAGAAAGAACAAAAGAAAGATAGATAGAAACGTAAGATAAATCATTAACCTATGTCACAATTTTTCTCACTAACACCAGTTCGGCCCTCTTCCATATACATATAAATAAGTATTTTTCTTGTGTTTTTCAATTGCGAGTTGAATTTCTCTGGTATCATTCCACTACTGTTGTCCTTTAAATTTCAGTGTACTTTCTTGTGATATATCACTATCTAACTTCCCCACTGAGGGATAAATACAAGTTCATTTTATTTTATCTGAGACATTACTGCTCAAAGCTTGGTAGCTCATTTTTTAAACATTTTCCTCTGTTACGGCTGTGGGTGTGGGTGTGTCCTGTGTTTTCTGCTGTGTGTCTCTCTCAGGTAGGTTCCTCCCCAGGTGTGTCAAGTGAACCTGCTTGGTGTGATGAGTGGGGCGGATATAAGAAGGCACAGCTGCGCTGACTCTCTCTCTCTCAGCCCTTGTGATCGTCACTCGTGCTGCAGACCTCCCGTTTTGTTGACTGTTTCAATCTTGTGCGTTTCGGTGTTTTTGAAGACCAGGTTTTCCGGTGGCAGGAGCCTGTGGTGTTTCTTTTGTTTAAATAATTAGCAGTGGACTTTGGTTTTTGATTAACATTATTGATATTCAGCCTTGTGCTCGCCTTTAGTTGTTTAATCTTTTTATGATTTTTGATTGTAGATAAATTACCCACTCATTCTGATTTCCTGTTTCCTACACTTCATTTCGTCTCCCCTGCCCGGTTTAATTTATTGTTACTCCCCATCTTCCGGGTCATCAATCCTCCTTGTTGAAATTGTTTCTTCTAATTCTGTATGACAAACTTTCTCAACCAAAAAGCTCACTCAGCAGTTCAGTAAAGTTTCAAACTCTAGAAAAAAAACAAATTTCTTCTGTAGAAAATGTTTTAATTGAACGTAAGTGCACAAAAGAGAGTGTTATTCACAAACGCACCAAAATGTTCCTGTAACAGGATGTTTCAACTGAAGGCGTCTGATACAAAATAGTCTGAGAACAAATAATCAAACTCATTTACAGGACACCTGTAAGAAAACAACATCTTCCCACAGTTTAAAACACCATCAAAATAAATCCACATTTATTCTACATGTCATGTTCCTGCAGGACTTTGAGAGAATATTTTTTGATGGAGACAGATGAATTAGTTGGAGACATCCCTGACAAACATTGTCACATTTTAAAGCCTAACAGACAGATAAACATTTTTCTGTGTTACAGTCTATGTTTGAAGAAGTCTTAGAGTCTCTAAAGCTGAAAGATTTTATTTCACAGCTTTATAAATCCACTCAAAAGAACTGCAGTCCAGACTTCAGCTTGTTCACATCGCTGTGGCTCCACAGAAGACCTTCAGCTGTCCTCGTAGGTGCAGAGACTCCAGGCATGCTGTGTGTGGAGCTGCTCTCAAGCTCCACCGGCTGGTCAAACACGGTCATCATGGAGTGATTCTCTACCATTAGACAGGAGGGGTCATCTGACTGTCCCGGGACTTTACCCAGAGGAAAGTTCTTCCATGGGACTTTATCCACACACACCTGCCAGGGGGAACCTCGGAGCTGCTTTATCTTTTCAGCATGAGCCTCTGAGAGCTTGTGATCCTGGGAGGAGTCACTCCTCTCTGTGGAGCGGCTGAGACGTTTGGAATGCTGCAGCTTCTCATGCAGACTCTCCAGAGTGTAGATGGGCTGTCTGTGCTGCTGAGGAGGAGGCGGATCAGACTCTGAGGGAGCGGTCTGTGTGTAGATGGAGCAGAGCTGCAGTAGCTTCTGTCTGGTCTCCAAAGGAAGGGGATGCTCCATGTCATCCAGGATCAGCCGCAGGAGGTGAGGTGTGCTGCTGCAAGGAGCATCCAGACACGCAGAGAGCAGCTGCTGCCACCTCAGCTGGATCCGGTTTACAAAAATCCTGTCCTTCATCCGGGCTTTCTTCTGTGTCTTTGTCTCGAAGTGGAACTCAAACTTGTTGCTGTTGCAGATGATGAGCTCTGAGATCCAGGCTGAGATGTAGAAAGCTCTGTGGTTATTCTGCTCTGAGCCTAGCACCTTCAGCTCCACAAAGAGCTTTTCCAGCAGCAGGTGGATGAAGGACGAGAAGTTGAGCATCTTCAGGAGGGGCAACCAGAACCTGAGGAAGGTCTGAGGGAGTCTGGGTTCAGTGAGACCTGCGCCGTCCGGGAGTTCACAGCCTAAAGTCTCCAGCTGCTCTGCTGTTGGGACCAGAAACCCATCCTCTAACAGCACGTCCACCAGCATCTCACTGGACTCCAGAGCAAACTGTTTGATCTCAGCCAGGATCCAGCTCATGTCAGCCAGAGGAGCGGGCCATGAGCCCCCCATCAGGTCCCCCTGCAGCCCCTCTGACGCCTGAAACTGCTCCTTCTCAAAGGAGATCAGGAGCTCCCGAGCGTGTTTATACTCCTCCATCTCTTTCTGCCGGGCTATCAGCTCATCTTCTCGTCTTTTCAGGTCCATCTCTTCATCTTCTCCCTCTGACTGAGAGTCCCAGTCCCCGCTGCCACCCCCTCCAAGCTGCCTGGACCAGTACTCCTGCTGGAGCCAGTCCAGGACCACCTTACAGCCCTTCCTGCACCACTTCAGGGTGGGCAGTTTTCGGTGGGTGAAGTTGTGTCTCAGGTCCACCACCCACTCCGGGATGTTCAGGTTACCTGCGATAGTCCTCAGAGGCCGGGCGGTCTTTCCCTGCTGCTTCTCCGTGATCAGGTTCACGAACCGGACAAGAGCCGCCCCGTACAGCAGGACCAGGTCGTCTCCGTCCAGCTGTCTGGACCGGTCCAGCACCTGACACCGAACCAGCTCCGCGGTGCACTCCACCGCCACCGGGGTGCTGTTGGCGTAGCGGGCCTTCCAGGCGGAGATCCTCTGCAGGGCGAATCTCTGGAGCCCGGGGTCTGTGGAGTACAGGTACTCCAGCACCTGGTCCCACTCAGCTTTGTTCACCCAGGCCACCACATGGCGCCTCTTCTCCAGGTTCCTCTTCTTCATTTTAACGGCAACGGAAGAAGTCCCGTCAACACCAAGCACACATTCCGCTCTTACAGACAGAAACAATCCTCCCCCTGCTGTCAGACCGGGTCCCGAATCTGGGATTAATTCTGCTACAGATCAAAGAGAGAAAACTGGATCGTTGTGTCGCATCCTGGAAGTGACGTCTTTATCTTCTTTTACGATGTCTGCTTCTTCTACTTCTTCCACGCCGGCCCGTTTAGACATACCGCCACCTATAGGACAGGAGTGTGAGAAGACGAATGGTAGAAAAATATCTATAAATACGTATATTCATTTTATAAAACCGCAACCTAATAAATGTACGGTGGCCGAGAACTGCCCCTGCTGCAAATAAAAAAGAATGAAAAAAAAAGTCACAACGGAAATTACTGATACAAAAAAAAGGCGATGGGGAAAAAAAGTTACTTACTGCGAAAATAAAAGCATGCAAATGACAAAAGCCACAACGGAAGTGAGCTGCCGGGGACCAATAATAATGATGCACCTGTGTTTTATGATCTAGGCACAGATGATGACGGCAAGTAGTTGAGCAAAGTAGTAAGTGGAAAGGTTATTGTTTAATTTCGCTTTGTGTGCTGTTGGTTAGGCCATGTAGAGTCTAGGTCGATATGAAGTTTAACTGAAGCTAACACTACACCGGCATCCTCCAGATCAACTTCATATCAACTCAGAAGCTATATGGCCTAACCAAATGACACATTGAAAAGTTTAGAAAGCGAAATAAAACAATAACCTTTCCACAAACTTCTTTGCTCATCTTTTCGCCGTTGTCTTTTGTGCCTGGATCGTAAAATACTGGTGCATCATCATTATTGGTCCCTGGTGGGCTTCCTTTTTTTTTTTTTTGTCACAATCTTTTTTTATTTGCAGCAGTGGCGGTTCTCGGCCACCGTATCTGAATTTTTGATAGCAAGTAATGATGCTTGTTTGAGTTTCAAACAAACTTTTTCTTGTGTCAATATAAAGTAGCCTATTTACACATGTCACAAGAATGTTCACTGCCAAATCATTTGTATGTATTTCCACCAGACAGCATTCATACAATAATTGCTTCCCTTTGGTAATACTAAAAAAAATCCTTGCATTAAAAATTAAAAAATATCAATGAATTTACAGCTGCCTATTTCGAAAATAAAAATTAAAAGTAAAAAATTAGAGATTTTTTTGGTGGTTCATATTTATTAAAATTAAAATTAATCATTTATAAAAGAAAATTTAAGGTCTTGGTCTGGGGTAAAGGACCATCGAACTTTTGCTGTGGGGAGAGCGGACCTTCTTTGCTGTCCACTGGGTGGCGATATAGAGCCACCCACAGCTCTTTTGCTACCCAACATAAATACCAGAGAAAAAGAAGCAGCTCGCATTTGTTTGGAAAATGGCGGGTGTTTCGAGGGAGGAAAAAGTGGCTCGTTGTGTCTATGCGGAGTTACAGGTGAGTCCAGGTACAGGTGACAGAAGTGTTCCTCAATTGATGTCTTTAATGTGGAGGGGTTCACTTCCTGTATCATGTTTTAATTGTAGGATTTGTTCATTATTGTTTACTCAGGACACATTCACGTTTAACAGTATCTGCAGAAAAAACACAAAATAGATTTCAAGAAGTTAGGACCTGTTTGGTGATAAATTTACGTCTGCGATTCTTTCAGGTCTTCCCATTTGCAACTTAATACAAAAACATGAATATGACATTTGAAGCTTCCGTATGGGGTTTGTGTTTTTAATGATATAAAATAGCAAACAAGAAGTTTTGAATCTGAAACAGGTCGGGAACTGCTTTGTCGGTATTTTTTTAACATCTGAAACTGGTGTAAAAGTGTCAGCTGAGCAGGTGTACAGATGTAAGTTTTTATAAATAAATAATTTCAATAGATTATTCAAAAGGCCATTCAAAGTTAGCAGGATCAGATTCTTATGTCAAAGCACATCTTAAGCTTGTTGAGGACACTGATGGCTTTGTTTTCCTTTGTATGTCATAATACACAGACCTAAAAAATAGGTCTGTGTCATAAATTTCATGAAACTCCTCACAGGAGCTTTAGTAGGGTCTAGGGTCACACATACACACTTAGTCTGATTAATGACACCTCAAAATGACCAGTATCAGTCGACATCTTAACTCACAAGGCTGATAATACTTAAGGTCTGCAGACACTGCAGGCACCCTGTGTGGCTGCTGCTAAGCAGTGTTAAATACCCTCAAACTGGTGTTTTCTGAAGGACGGGATATTAAACCTACAACCCTCACTGGTTTGTAGTTCATGTACATTAAATCATAGCAATAGTTAAATGCAGTTTAACATTGACATAAATGTCAGTCATATTCTAAAATCTACAGCATACATCTATTATTTCACAAAAGAAGAATCCGTATAAAACATGACACTGGCCGATATAACCACATATATAGGAATGTTGACCATGATTATGTATGTATAAATGGTTTGTGTGTGTTTGTGTGTGAAGGCGCTAACCTGTCCCCTAGTCGAGGGTCTGTACCTGCAGGAGGCCGACAGCATGTTACAGCTGCTGTGTTCTCCCTCTCAGCACCGCACAGACATCCTGGCCTGGATCTGCAGCAGGTATAGAGAAACTACAGAGAGCATCACCTTCAGTGTAACTTATGAGAAATAATATGTATTAATATTTCTATAACCTCATTTTGTTTTACAGAATCAATCCAAACTTTGGCATCTCAAAGGCAAGGTCAGGGAGGTCCAAAGATCCAGAAGATTTAACTAAAGGTAATTTTTCTTTTAAAAGATGACTTTACTGCACAGGAGACCTTATAAAATAGTGAAATAATTTGAGTGTTATTTTTTTTGCCTTTAAGTTTAAAGTGAAATGTTCCTCTGCTATTGTTTGTTTGAACACACAGACATGGCTTTGCTGGGGCAGGAGCTGTTGCTGTGCAGAGCTGACGACCTGGATCTGATCACAGTAAGGCATTGTGTGAGACTGCTGTCAATCTGTAATTTACACAAAATGTGCTGTTTCATCAGTGCATCTTATTCCTCCAGGGTGATGCGAGTCCTCTCAGACAGCTTCAGTTTCTGGAGCAGCTTTTAACTTCAGTCCCCGGCTGCAAAAATTTTGCAGGAGAACGTACGGATGCAGAGAGCCTGCTGAACGAGCTCTTTGTAGCAGAGAATCTGCCTCTTCTCACACAGATGCTCAGACCCACATTCAACCCCTGGCCTTCACACATGAAGTATGTTGTTTTGGATTATCTTCAAACATATGAATCTGTTTTCCCCTCTTTGTTTGTTTGTTTGTGCTGTCTCCTGTGAGGGGCCAGGATGAGCCGCGTTTACCCTGATGCTGTTTTAGATTTCAAACAGTCACCTGCTTCCTCACAAATGCTCCAGCAAAGCAATGTTCATCTGCACTACACGCATGAATACTCATCAAACAACCTCCTGGGTGCAGCAGGCAGACCTGTGTTGGATTGTCTGCTCTGTGGCTGTTTGGTTGGTTGCAAAAATTTAAACCAAGGAAAATGGAAAATAAACAGCAAATATCATTAAAGTAAGACAAGAGGATAGTCAGTATGTGCTCATACCTCTGCCAGTACTGAATTTTTATTGTAAGCTTCTGTGGCATTGTTTTTCATGGTACCTGGTTCACACACAACCAAAAAGAGATTAAGAAACCGGAGTTTGTTTGAGAGATCTGAACTCTATTTGTGTCTGAAGAAGAGATGAAGTCTTAGAGGGATATGTTTGCTTTATCTTTATCTGTGTGGATGAGGCCTGACTTGTATAGGCATTGGTGTGTTTGTATCAGTCTGCTCTCTTTCTGTTCTTACCTCACAGGACTTTACAAAAAAACATCAAGTCCTCCTCTAAACCGAGCAGAGAAGAAGCTGCTGATGTCTCCGTCCTTATACAGCAGACTCAGTCCGCTCTGGAGCAGCTTCGGTCAGAGGTCAGATATTAATCAATGAGGACAAACTGCATAACAGAAAATTCACCTGATGATAGAGGACTGTGCTCGATTTGGACTTAATCCAAATACTTGACACATGCTCAAACATGTAAACAGAAATGATAAACTCAGTCTCTGTAGATTAGACCTCATGTGTATCTCTGTTTGCTTTTCTCTCCTCAGTGTGACTTCCTCAGCAATGAAGCTCAGAGTCCTGACGTCTTCTCTCCAAACTCGCTGCGTGTGGCGGCCTGTGACCTTCAGCAGCTGATGTCCACTTTCAGCCACGTTTACGAGTCAGACCTGAAATCATACTGCAGCAGAGACCCTCCCACCTTCAGCACAGAGACAGACGTCTTCCAGAGAGTCCACCAGCTACTGCTAGCCTTCACCACGGTCAGCACATGCTCACTCACATGTATAAAAGCAAAAAAAAAAGTAAATCTGACACACCTGACTATAGATATGGTCACGCTGAAACTGATTTTGGTTTTTCAGGAGCTGGAAATGATCAAAGAAGTATCAGAAGCTTCAGTGTCAGTGAAACAGGAAGTAGACACGCTGCAGACACAGCCTCGGTACTGGAGCCGTGGAGAGAAACGCACATTAGGTCTGTGAATAATCTTTCATTTTCACTGTCAATTCAGAGTAGAGAACGCACTTTCAGAGCAGCACTTTAAACCTCTTCATGTTAGTCTCCCTGAACTCAATTGAACCAGGGCAACTCTCGGTCCAGAATTAGAAGATTGACCATTTTGTGCTTTTGTTGATTCCTAGAGCACCAGCTGGAGGAGCTGAACAGGCGGATTAAAGACTTTTCCTCTCTGCTTCACACCTGAGATATTCCTGACATCATTCAGTGTTCAGACCATGGCTGCTGAAGCGATGAGGACTCTGGTCTGTGGAGGTTCAAGTGTGTTTTTAAGGCTCAGATAAACTGATGGAGGTCATTGGAGCTCCTTCAGTCTGACATGGATTCGACATGGACCTAAATAAAGTGTTTTGAACTTTGGTTCTGACCCAGCAGGTTTGGTACTGTCGGCTCCATTCAGCTTCTTTTCTCTAAATTAACCACGAATGAGAGCAATTCATTAGGGGGACAAAAACAGGAGCTCAGAGTCTGCAGGTAAAAGGGTCTACAGGGTGGGACTAACATGAGCAGAGCTAGCACTACCATCCTCAGCAGGTTAGTGTTAACATACCTGTGCTGGTTACTCACTGCAGAGTGGTTATATACCAGTATAAGAACTTCATCTCCGTTCATGGATCAAGGCAATGCTACAGGATGTTAGAGTAGAGCAGATTTACATTAGTATTAACTGAAGCCTCGACCAGCAGACCTGTAAATGAATCTCAAGAATAAAAACAAATAATAATTATACATAGGGCAGGGCAATATGGGAAAAAGTTTATCACAATATTTCTATTTTTTTTTTTTCATATCAGTCGATATTGATATATATCACAATATATAAAAATCACTTGTCAATCTTAAATGTTCCCTGTTAAATAAAATTTAACAGTGCTTACTGGTAGCATGTCTTGCAAATACAATAAGCTACTATATCTGTGAGGTCTTTGTGTGTCTTCTGCGTTTTGTCGTAAGGTGTTGCGCTAGAGAAAGTGGACTGACTGGTCTGCTGTTTGGGCTGCACAGCCGCTTGGGCTCCTTTCTCCACTCGGGGTTTGTAACCTTTTGCATTGCACGTGCTCTGATACGTGGCACTGCTTCAGGTGGTGAAAAAGATTTGAGGTATTCCCCAACTTTGCTAGAACATTTACTCGACATAATTTGCAGTGCATGTTACTCTGCTTCATGTCTGACCTCAAAAAAAAAAAAAAAAATCCCTCCACACCACTGATGTTTTCATGCCAGTGTTGTCGACAATGTCGTCATCTGTTGAGTCTTCATCTGCATTTCTGTCAGGGGTAGCACTCATTTCCTTTTTTTCTCTCCAACAGTGCTGTTGGCTTCACATGTTTAAGTGCTATGGTTGCATGTAGCTGCAGCCTGCTACTATGCAGTTTTTTGCTACTTGGTTCTAATTCAGCACATGATTGGTTCAGTGCAAAGCGGACCTGGAGCAACTCCCCTTTTCATTGGCTATTTGTATAGTCTACCTAAATATGGCAGAATTCCAACTATCAAAAAGCATTTTGACCATGTTTTATATCAATATTGAGGGAAATTAATTTTTGATATATATGTTATATAATCACCCAGCCCTTATTACACATATACCAACCATAATTATGAAAAAAGATATTTACAACTATTATATATTTTAATTTTTTTGTGGTTTGGGAATAAACACAGCATCAGAGTTCTGCTTCGATATTTAATATTTAACTTTTTACATCTAAATATGAACAAAGTCTGAAAAACAGTTCAGAGTCCGTTAGAAAGTTTTCCTGCTGCAGTAAGGTCTGAAATTCTGCAGGACCTGTGGGCGGTCCACACCTCTGCCTGTCCACACAGAGACCTGAAGGCCATCCAGTCCTCTACCTGGGTACACAGAGACCTGAGGACAGTCCAGACCTCTTTCTTCCTCTTCACAGAGAGACCTAAAGATGGTCCAATCCTCTACCTGTCCTCCTGAGGACGATCCATGGGTCCAATCAGAACCCTTTCTGGGCCAGCCACTGCTTCAGCTCCACATCGTAGTGACCTTTGACCTTCAGGGTCATGGTAACCTCATTGACCTGGGTGGGCAGCTCCTTCCCGGTCACCCCCTTTAGGAACTCCCTTACGTCCTTGTCCAGGGCCCAGATGTCCCCCTCCACCTTCCGGACCAGCGTCATCTTTCGGTTTCCGTGGGTCAGGTCTGTGTAGACCGGGATATTGTGCATGCGTGAGCGGCGGATCATGTACGGCAGAGCCGGCGGTGACTCTGCAGGAGGGATCCACCCGGACGGCGTGGGTCCAGAGTGTTGAGGCGGAGCAGGGACTCGTGAGGGAGGGATGAGCCGCTCCACGAACCTGTACTCTTCCGTGGACTCTATAATCGCCGGGTTTGTTCCTCCTGGTGCCACAGTACAGTAAGACTGCAACCCCGCAGAGGAGGTAGCGGGTCCCGTTGTCCGACCATGGAGGTTCAAAGGTCCGAGAAGAGCCCTGCGGAGAACCGCAGTTCGGAGAGTCAAGGAGGCCGCCATGTTGTGTAGAAGTATGACACGATCCTACCGGAAATAAGAAGGACTTCCGGTAACGCTCCAGTTCTGTCACAAAAGGAGAAAGACAGAATTTTGATATGAGAATATTATACTTTTTAAAACATTTGAAGAATGATTAATTTATAGTAACAGGATAAAGGACCTTTGCTCAGAATTAATTTTTTGATCGTTTTATCTTGATAAATCCCTTCGTTGAACAGTCGATGTCAATGAAAAAATTAAAATTCTGTTTTACCAACGAAGAGGACTGCCTTTACCATAACAGAGAAATCAATAAAAACAACCAAAATAAATAAATAAACAACTTAATAAAAAGGCTTAATCAACAAATTAAAAAGAAAATATTTAGAGGGTAAACTGAAAACCCACTTTTTTCTATTTCTTTTTTTTTTTTAACTCTCCTTTTAATGTAATTGTATTGTAACGTTGGTTGTAATGTCCTTTTCTATTTAATGGAGTTTTTTTTTAGTACACACAAGAATATGATTTGATTACCCTCAAACTGCCAAATCAAAGGCATATAGCAAGTAACTGCAGAAACACAATAACCACAAGCATTGTACCTGTAAGTACTGATGTGTTCAGGTGTTTCATCAATATAAAGCTTCAAGAGTGCACTGGTGCTCTATCTCAGGGTAGTAACTCACTGAAAATAGTTTATCGGGTGATATTAATGAATAGCTCCAGGTAAGACTGCTCCACATTTGAGGGATTGTGTTCTTGATTCAGATTATGCCTTGTCAACGATTCAGATTAATTCAGATGATGCCTTGTCATGGATACGTTAATAAATCAATTAATGTATGTAATACATGTAAACCTGTTGAGTATGATTTAGTTTCATAAAATCTCCTTGCAAGTGAAAACCCGGACCCTGCACACCTGCACATGTGGAATGCAGCTGATCTGTTATTAGAGTTTCTTTAGTGCTTCACCTGCTGGGACATGAAAAATATCCTCTGCTCTGTATTAGATCAAATGTCAAAAAAGTGATAACATGATTTTGAGGAGTTTAGGTCACGGCAGCTGCCAAACTGACATTTTAAAAGTGAGCAGCATGTAATATAGTGTTTTAAACATATTAATGCAAATTCAACTAAGTTACTATCACACTACAGGTGCTCAGAATTATTAAATAACAGTTATTAGTAATTTTCTTAGAATGCGATTTATTCCATGTTTATTCTAGTGGTGTACAGAGCTGTTTTACAATACAGTCACACTTCATCTCAATAAGTCCATTATGTGTCATTGTGACTGTGATTTACAAGGTGACAAAGCTTAAAAACTTAGCAGCACCTAAAAGTGGGAGACAAATCGGATATTGAAAGAAAACAGCCCCTGAGTTTGATGACTCTGAAGTTTCAGTGCTCTCTCGTCCTCCTCACCACCCTTATTAGAGTGGGGCTGTAGGGGGAGGTAGAGTGCACTCTTTTGCCTTTTAGGTGAGTCCAACAGGTTCCTGACCTTGCCTCTGTCTTTCTTGCTGTCTTTTTAACATCTTGATTCCTCTGTTTGCTTTATTTTTTGCTTTTCCTGACAACAGTGTGTAGGTAGGGGGAGGTAGGGTGCAAAGACCATGATGTAAAATGAAATACAGAAAAAGACTAGGCAAATGGTCTTTTTGTGATTTATGTGAAATTTAAACTGTGTTTCAGAATATATTTCATATTCAAAGAGAAACAACCTCTAACACAAGATAGCTGTCACTAAATAGAATTCACTGTTTGGTCTAAAGTCCCCTAAAACAGACCATCAAGGTCAAGTTTCCTCAAAGTGATCAGCTTACAAGTTTAACCTCTTCTGAATCGTAAAGCTTTTTATGTGATAGTTAAACATACCTTTTGTTCACCAAATTTACTTTCTGGATGTTAATTCGTTTTCCAGAATTATCCTGTTGACTTATCAAATTTGTTTAAAGCACAGTTGAGACAGTACATCAGGGACAGCACTGAAGTTTTTCAGTTCCACATAAGACCACATGGAGAACAATAGTTTATTCAATCCCACCACTGATAATACATCGAAAGCTTATTTATAAAGTTTTATTAATGCATTTAGGAGGGATTTAAAGTCATGCTGTTACTGTTAGTGAGACATTTTTCCATTTGCGAATCATAATTATTATAACTACTTATCAAATGCCGATTGAGTCCTCTGTAAATCTTTACAACTGAATCAAGTTGTGTAATTTACAACAAGTTATGAACTGCTTAAAACACTTCATAAAGACTGCTTTGAGTTGTTATCAATGCCTATTATCACTTGAAGAGTGATTGTTATAAAGCCTTATAAAGGCATTAAAATGTCAATATTAATGTGCCTATGATAGATAAGAATTTTGTAAGCATTGCAGCCACTTTTTAGATGAACAGACAGAATTGTCAACTTTTATATTATTAATCATAATCAGGAAATGAAACTCTAATAAGTCATACTGAAGTAGTTTGAGTTCAACACATTGTGGAAGGGGAGGATCTGAACTGTCCCTGAAACCAGAGGAGCTTGTTCATCCTGTCCACTCCCTTTCCCTCTCTCTCTCTCCCTCTCTCTCTCTTTCTCTCTCTTTGTAAAGGTCTCAGAGCTCACATTAATCTTGTTTGCAGCAGGAGGACAGTTTCCTGACAGAGACAACATGGACCCCGACTCCAAACTGAACGGTGAGGGAATAACTCTGAACAAGCTGGGAGACATTGAGGTGAGTTACTCACATACTTTTTTCTATTGTTTTTCATTCTTTTCATTTCAAAAACAGAGAGACACAGACAGGCAACACTGTCAAGGTCTGTTTCTGTTCTCGTTTGTGTCCCTGAAAACTGGAAGCCCTGAGGTGGGATTACTTCAGCGGTGAGCTGTTTGGACTGTATTATGTTCAGTTATTGTTCTTCTAACCACTGAAAAACAACAGCAAAAGGTTTTCATGAGACTAGAAGAGTAAATTACAGCCAAACATGAATAATACAGCCCACAGATGTGAAGTACACCAATGTCCTCTGCTTAATATTCTAAAAACTTTACTTTTCTGTAAAGAATGACTTTTCACAAATACTGTCTGTCAGATATACCCAGAGCAGCTTAAGTTCAGTTTAGAAGATCATCAGGTTTGATGGGATTTTTATGTTTACCCAATTTAGAAGAGTGTACAAGTCTGTGCAGATACCCTCTCTTTTAATGAACTGTATTAAGTTGTGATACTTAAAGTCTGTCACAGTAACTGTTATGTCTGTGTTCTGGTACTACTTCGGGCTTCATGTCCTTCCCAAATCTTGGCAGGACTCTGAGGTCAGAGGATTGGGTATCATGTAAACAAGCAGGTGCTGTGGGTTATATGTTGGTATAAGACTGCTGTGGTTTTGTCTTCATTATCAAATGAACTCCAATGATATGTGATGGGTGTAAAGTTGCTCAGTGCAAATGGTGAAGCTGTCATATGTAGGTTTTTAATAGCATCATCGTGTGCTTCATAATTAGCAGAAGTACTTCATCAGTGATTAAATGTTGGAGAGGTTTTAATTTACTCTGCATAACAAAAACAAAGATCTTTGTCATTCTGATCTTAAAAATGATTCATCCTCCAAATTTGCTGCAGAAGTTTGTCCCGACTCTTTAACAGCTCTGAGCTATGTTGTACAAATAAATAAATCTGAATTCAAAATGTTTGATGTCAATCCTAAACACAGGGAGAGTGTCTAACTGTGAAGTAAAGGTAAATTAGATTATTCCCAGAAGGAAACTTCAGGCTGATCTGAACAATACCTTCCAAAAGTCACAGCAGATCTGAGAGAGATCCACTCAAACCAGGACAGTTTTGATTGATCAATCTCTCTAAAACAAACAAACAAACAAACAGTGTCATCCTGCTCTGCTTTCTAAGGGTCAGGTTGGAACACTGAGTTCTAAAGTGAGAGGTTCTAGAATGCCCGGTTCTAAAAGCTTTGGTTCTGGGATATCATCTTCTGAAGTGCTGGTTTTCAGGATCTTGGGTTCCTTAAATGCCTAGTTCTGGACTGATGAATTCTGGAAAGCTGTTTACTGGTGTGCTTTGGAGTGCTTTAAAGAGACAGTAGATGTGATGAGTTGATGATGAGTTTCAGACAGAGTAGAAACACACTTTTTAACTTTATTATTTTTACATCTGGAGGCATTTTTGATCTGAGTTTGAAATCTTTACTGAACTGTAGGAGAGAGAAAGTGTCTCTTAGGACAAATTCTGTACAGATGAGAACATCAGGGACCTCTGGAAGCCAACAGATGGAGAGATTTACATAATATATTTTGGCCTGCAGTTGTTACCCTGATGAGATGTTTAACACAGAATTTTTTTTTTATCAACATACTTAAGTAAATATACAGAGTAAACAAAGGAGGGTTTTTTCTTGTTCCACCTTGAGGTGCCACGCTATTACCCCTCTAAAACAAAACACTTCCCGTCAGCAGGACCACTCAAAATCATTTCCATGTGTCCTCAAGTTTCTTTTTTTTTCCAAGTTAATGAAACTGAGTTTTTTCTTCTTGTTTTGTTTCAGTAACCCAAGACAAACACAAAACCTCTCTCATAGTCTGGGAGTTAAAAGTAAAAATCAAGGACCCCTCCTCAGGTCCTGCCTAGCTCAGGTTGGGAACCCCTGCTCTGAGTCTCTGACCTCAGCAGGGGGCAGTAACTGCTGTGACCTCTGTGTTTGCAGAGGACTGAAAGCTCTGTGACTCAGAGAGACCCTCGCTTAGGTGAGACATGTGGTCTACCTGTGTTACAGGATCAGACACAGAGTTGAGAAAATCAACAGAGCTACATTTTTCCTGTCAGAGCAGAGGAAGGAGGTTCCCTGCTCACCGCCACCTCACATAGCTGCTTCTCTTTCTTGTCATGTGAGAGAGGTGTGTGAGAGAGAACAGCCTGTGGCGAGTTCTGACATGTTTCCTCTCTCCACTTCTCCTGGTTGAGTCATCACCTGTTGCTTTGACTCTCACAGCCACACCTGTGAACAAAACACACAACACCTCAGTGTGTGGGTGTGTGTGTGAAGAGAAACGTGGTGGAGCACGCTCAGAGAACAATCACATCTTTTACATAACACCAGATCATCAAGAGAACCACAGGTTAGAAAGTTCTAGTCTGGTCCTCAGACCTCATCTGTCCTCTCCCCCCCCCACAGAACGTGATCTCCTCTTCAGGTAAAAGGCTCAGACCCATCAACATAAACCACTACGCCACCAAGAAGAGTGCGGCTCAGAGTATGCTGGATGTGGCTCTGCTGATGGCGAACTCGTCCCAGCTGAAGACGGTGCTGTACGTGGGGCCTAATTATCGCTTCTACATCCCCCTGATTGTCCTGCTGTCCTTGTCCATCACCCTGCAGGTCATAGTGGGGCTGCTGCTTGTCTTCATTGGCAAGTGACTCAAAACATATTATCACTCCTTCCTTTTCCCATTTGCCTCCTAAATGCAAAGCAGAGAGAAATAATCTGTTTTTAAAAACATGTTATCTGACCCTCCCTGTTCCCCAAGCTTTACAGAATTCCTTTCTAAGAGCTCTGTGGGACTTTCTATTGTTGCTCATAAGTCACAAAAAACTCCACTGATATAAAAAATGTCTGCATTAATCCTGAGCCTGATATAAGACAACCTCCTTTCAAGACACATTTCTACAAAAATAAAGCCAATTGGATTAAAAATAACAATCAAACAAACTCGATAAATAGAAATTGATATTATTATATTGTATTTATTTTTTTCAAATTGCCAGTTAAATGAAATAAACAGTGATCAGTGATAAATGAAGCACCAAAGATTTGAAAGCACAAAGAGCACAGATCTACTGAAGCTAGAATAAGCTGAATAAGTTGAATTCAGTCAAAGGATCATTGCTATTTCTGTACTATGAGCAGATCACTCTGTCCCTTTCAGGCGCTCAGCTTCTAACTGGACCTTAACGGCTCAAAAAGGTCACAGATACAGCCTCTGATTGGTCAATAGACCAAAACAAAGATGGCAGCCTCCATCGAGCAAAGCCAGCTAATAAACAAAGTGACTCAGTTTTACAGGAAGTAATGAATTCTTTTGATGGGATTGGATCTGTTTAGTCTCTGAAATACTTTGATCTTCTCTGTGGGACAGAAAAGTTCCTGATGTCACAAAAACACTCTGAGTTTATCACCGAAAAACTGTTCCAGATGTTGTCCCTAAACCCATTATCCTAATGTTCAGGTGTATTTCGAGGGAAATAATCTGTCAAGAAATGGTTACATTTGGGTCAATAGTGTTTTTAACAACTGTTTTGGCAGAATATTTGCATCTGCACTCCTGATTCGACAATTAGTTTTTCAACAGCTGGTTCTGATTATTAGCAGGGCAGCTGATGGCTGATTGATAACACAGTTAACATATTATTATCTTTTTATGCAAAATAAAAAAAATGATAACACTAAAATTATGAGAGAAAAAAAATGATGTGATCATTTGATGGAATGCTGATTAGTTTTAATGCCTTAAATTGTCTAATCGATGTATCTCTAATCTGCAGTACTTTGGACATTGAACACTAGACTGATCCTTTTCATCCTTTTAAACTCTCTTTTGATGATGTAATTAGCTTCAAATAATAAATGATTATTTATATTAGTTTAATATCAGTTTGTCTGTAAAAACAGGTTCCTGTTTCTTTAAAAAAGCCCCATGATTCTAATTTGTCACCACTTTTTCTCTCTATCATGCTCATCAGTTTCTCTTTGTTGCTGTTTGTTTTGTTTTGTGTGTGTGTGTGTCAGCAGTGAAGTACGATCTGAATGATGTGAGGAAACACGCAAAGCTGAACACGATGAACAACGTTGCCACGGTCTTTGTCTTCTTCACCGTCCTCATCAACATCTTCATCACTGCACTTGGATTTGAGGGACACGCTGTCAGGTAAGACCACACACACACACACACACACACACACACACACACACACACACACACACACACACACACACACACACACACACACACACACACACACAGACTCATGCCTAATGTTGTTTGTCAGCAGGTCTATGTCTATGGGAACACCTGCCATGTCGATACAGGACCCTCTTATTCCTCCTGAGGTGCCCCTTGGCCTGAACATGACTGGACAGCAGTAGACCTGGACCTGGACCTGGACCTGGACCAGACGAGTACTGGTTTACCTGAAACCTCCAAGACTCCAAATCTAAAGCTGTGCGTCAGGAACTTTCTTATTAAACTCCATGTTTAAATTTTCATCACAGCTGGGACAAACTTTCAGCTCCTGAATGAACAGAATGACCACATCAGTGATGGGGGACTTTTATGGATCCAAACAGAGACCTCAACAATCTCAGGGCTGAGTTAATCAGTCCTCAGGATCACATCTGTGTCTTCAGCTTGACCAAAGATTTAAACCAACAACCTCAGTCTGAAACAACACCACTCGCTGACCTGTGAGTGAGCTGACCCTTGACCTTTGCTGACAGATACACACGTCTACTGTGTAACTACCTGCAGCATGTAAATATAACTGCTTTATAACACTCCTGTTCATATCATTGATGGATGGTTTTAAGCATCTTTTTTACAGTTTTTGTAAATAAATAAACTGAATTACTGCTGAAGAGAATCAAACACTTTCAGTCTCTTTGTATTTCACCTTGACCTCAGATTGAAGGGGCATTCCTCTAATTTTTAACCTCCTAGTTTTCCATCCAAGTTAGCCACATTGAGTGACAAATCTTTGCAGTTTTCTCAGTTGTTGTCTCACTTAAAATCTGTTCTTTCTTCAGCGCCATCCTGTGACACAACATGATTACTGTCCCAGAAAAAAAATAAAGACTATTTTGGATTATTTCTGGTCCCCACCTTTGCTTGTGCACATTTAAGACCCTTTAAAGGCCCAAACAGTGAAAAACTGATCTTGTTTTGGCACAGCAGAACAAACAGCCAGCAAAACAGGGGTCGTTTAATTGATAACAGATGAATTTCAAGGTTTTTTTTTACATATCTTGGAAGTTGCCTCATTATTGTGTCTAGCCAACCATCCCTGAAATGTTACCTTTTCCTCATCTCCTTCTCTCCTCTGATTTGGGTATATGCCTATAACTCACCAACATTAATGCCATGAGTTATCTTATGAACAAACATTTCCATTTAACAAAATCATATATTCCTAGACAGTGCAAATAGGATTAAGTATTCAGACATGTTTCTTAGAGTCATCTAAAATCTAAGACCTCTGATATATAAAAAAGATGTTTAAGAAGTTGAAAGACCTTACATTTTGAAAATCAGCTCAAAGACTCTATGAGGATCCAAACAAATCCCGGTGGGTTGTGTGTTAGAGCCTTGTAATTATAACTATTATATAGCACTGACTATTATAACTGTAACTATTGTAAATAAAATTGATATCCTAAAATATGAGTGCAGATGAAAGAAAGAAATCACATAAACCAGGGCCCAGCAAAACAGTTTATTGAGTTCATTCAGTGAAACCTTTTTTTTTTTTTTGTCTTAACTCATAATTTTTTCTGGCTGGGTGACTCTGGCTCCACCTCCTGGAAAGGTAAAACACGTCCTTCACCTACAGCAGTCGCTTATTTAGTTTGTCTAGCTTTATCTAGTTTCAGCAGGTTCTTGCTAGGCACATATCAGTTGACTCCACCTTCACCCTCCTCTTCCATATGTCTGATATACTCAAACTGGGCTGATGCCAACCTTAAAAATGAGCTGCAAATAAACACCTGAAACTACTTCTTCAAAAACTCAACCATCAATACATTTAAAAAATAAATCACCTGAAATTAGACTTTAATGCACCAAAAACAGAGTAGGGGAGAAACACACACATATCACTGTGTTCCAGTGGTGTTCACACATATTTGCAGCAAGCTGTTTTGCATTAATTTGGGGTAAAATGAAACCCTTTCTGCATAACACAGTTCATTACATTTTTAGTGAACTGGTGACTGCAGGAGAGAATCAAAAGAAAAACTTTGCAGTGGTAATTAAAATTCCACCCCTTACTGACCTAAAAATAACATTCTTGTCCATTAAGTCTGTCATTATTACTTCGACAATACTAATATTTCAACACTCAGGGTTAAACCAGTCTGGGGTCATCTGTTGCTCAAACCCAGCACATACAGACTGTGCCACAACAGAGGGTCTGTTATAATTCAGCCTGAGCTGCTATTTACTAGCTCTCCAGAAAATAAGATGGAGGAAATCTGTAGAACTTTTCACATCAGTCACAAGTTGAATCCACAAAAAGAGAAGTGTCTTCTCCACATTCAGTTAATAGAGTTGCAGTCTGTCAGAATGAGAGCGCACAGCAGAGTTCTGAGCAGCATTGGGTGAAAACACTGACAGCTCATCCTCGTAATTCAATGCAAAATAAGAGCAAACAGGACAGAGCTGCAAAACTAAATCCACCTGTTTGCACCTTAATTATTGGCATAATTTATGGGGGTGCAACGAGCAGCCTCATTATATTTTTAGGTATTTCCTGTTGACTGAATAAGTGATTAAATGTCTTTCTGTGATCAAATGTTTTCTGCCACAACAGTTTTCCTGCAGTGCATTCTTTGCTGAAATACTACCTCAGGACTCAGTTTCTCTCTTTACCTGAAACCAAGTTCCAAAAATGTCTGAATTACTCTTCAATATTTCTCCATTTTCAGCTTCATCATTTACAAATAATTACTCTAGACATTTTTAATAAAAGTTTATTGGCACATAAAGATGACAGCTTTGGATTCTGATTGCACACAATGTAGAGAGGAGCATAAAAATGTTAAAAAAAAACAGCCTAGAGTTTGAAGTCTGTTGTGCAATATGTCACAAATAAAAACACATAATGGACAACAGCTACATAAAGAAAACAAGCTTTGCATAGCAAGGACAAAGAGTGCAACACTTCATATGAGAAAAGCAAAGAAGTAAAGGAAAGAGGAATCATTTCAGTTTTTCTTATTGTCAAAAAATCCATGAAAAGACAACACCAGGTGTTAGTCTGCACCTGAGAACTCAAACTCACTGGTTATTAGAGAAGCTGAAAGTCATTACGGCTCAAATTTTAAGAGTTTTTCTGACAGCAGTAATTAGTGCTTTTTTTGGTTGTTCGAGTGCAGACAGACTCGACACACGCAGACCATCATATTTTTGGTTCTATCATTTTAGTGGATTTAATGGCACTAAGAAATTTTTTAAAAACTTGCCATTTTAAGTTTCAGGAATGTGTTTCAACAGTAAAAAAAAAAAACCTACACCTTAACAACCACTCAGATCACTCTGGCCCTGCAGGCTCCTCCTCTGTGTTGACCATCTGGCTGTAAGCGTAGTAGGCGCCTGCTAAAACGGCTAACAGCAACAGCAGACGGAAAAACTTGCCCATGCAGCCTCCAGACTTGCTGCTGACCTTCTTGGACCGAACTGCGCTGTGATTGGCTGTCCTGTGGGTCACCTGAACAGCAGGCCTGAAGCACAGACAGTGAGGTTTAACCCAGGGGATAAACTCTTAAATTCAGGATTAATACTGCGTTCGAGTTACCTCGGAAGTCACAAGTCCGAGCTGGGAACTATGTCACACCCGAGTTATCAGCGTAAGTCGGAAAAAAGGTAAATCGGAGGAGGAAACAAGATGGCTGCATCTACTAAAGTTATTTTAGTGCTTGTCTTGCCCAAATATAAGCAAGGACAAGGCAAGCGCAAAAATAACTTTTGCAGATGTAGCCATCTTTCCCCTTCCGATTTAGCTTTTTTCCGACTTGGTAACTGAAACGCTGGTAACTTGGGTGTGACGTCATTCCCAGGTCAGACATCTGACTTCTGAGGTAACTCGAACGCAGCATCAAATTCTGCAGGACTCACTCTGATTCCTCCTCCTCCTCTTCTTCTTCCTCCTCCTCCGCTTCCTCCTCCTCCTCCTGTTCCTCTTCACCTTCTGCTTCTTCTGTGTTAGCGTTTCCTCTCCATCTCAGCCTGAACACAAAACCATGAAAAAAACACTTTGACATCTAAAACTGATGTCAGAGGAGTTTACATAGAATAAGTCCACATACTTGTACATGTAGGTGAGCCAGAACCCTGACAAATGAAAACTGCTCATATAGATGCATATTTCCTTTTAAATCAAGGTGGGTCATTTTGTTAGAAATTTGTAAATTAATCTGATTTTAAACAGTAAAAGTTTGTAGTAGGCGTCCTAATTTATACGATCAGAGATTCCCAAGTGTGCACACTCATTGGACCAACAGACACAATCTTTTCTATGTGTGATTTAAAGGGACGTGACACTGAATATTAGTGGACAGAGTCAATGTCATTTGCCTGAGCATTTCTATATCATATGTATATGTTAAAAAACTTAAAAAACTAAAAAAAAAAAAAACAGGCATCATTTTGATTCAAATGCACAAGTTTAAATTAAATGTTTAAGTGTACTCACACATCTCCAAAAGGTTCCTGTTTTACCTGTAAATGAAACAGTCAGATGATTTGATTATTTACAGTCTCACATTAGAGGAATCTGGAAAAAGAAGCAGGAAAGCTGAGCTCACCGGGCTGTGGTACGTGATGAAGGTCACTTCCTCCTCTGAAAACACAAACACAATATTCACACACTGATGAAAATATGAACGTTAAATGTTGCAGGTTTGATGAGGACAACTCTGACTGTTAAAGCTGATGTTTGATTATATTTGTAATATCTGTAATTTGAAGCTTCAGAGCAGATAGACTCACATTTTAAACTTTCACAGATAAGAAGTACACAATAAGAACATTCAGGGTCAAATTCAAATCTCAAGTTAGAGTACAACAGTGAGACATAATGGTGATTAATGACGATAAATCAAGTTGCAGACTAATTTAAAAGCTGAAAATTCCTTAGGTCAATCATAGCACAGTGTCACATCAGGTATTTTTGGATCCAATTGAAACATGGTGGTTAGTTGCAACCCTGTTCTGCAAACTAAATGATTTGGAGCTGCGTACTTATGTAATTTCTCAACAGTAAGAGACTAAACTGGTTAATCAAGCAGCCTTGATGTTTGTATGTGGTCCAGATAAACAGCTGAATGTTGTTCAGTCTGTGTAAAAAATAAAGCTGCAAACATTGTTAAGATGATGTTGGATTTTATTGAGATGAGTTACGCTTAAGTAAGGTCTATTGTTATGGTTTTAGATTTCCAGGAAAATCCTAGTAAGTATCTTCAAGACTCTGTCCAATTTCCAAGTATTGGGTCCTAAACCAGCATTACTGAATATCAGTCGGTACAGACAGGGACCAATGTAAGTCTTTCACATGCAGTCGGAGAAATAAATCCTCCATGTTTTATCTCTGCTCAGTTTTAAAAACACAACAGAGTTTTAGTTTCTAGTGTCTCTGATTGAATGGTCACAGTCTCACCTTCCTCTCTGTAGTATGTTTTATCAGATGAAGTATTCACTGCGGCGCTCTCCATCGCCTCCTCCAGCTTCTTCTCATACAGATGTCGAGTCGACTCTGAGACAAACACACAATCGCAAAGCTGTAATGTCCCAGTCACAGTGAACACAACATGCATGCATCATCCAGTGTATCTCACATCAATTCTATCTCTGTAAAATGACCAATTTAAGACTTAAAAATTAACCAATAATGAGCTACTATCACATTTTAAGCCTTTCCCACTACTTCAATGGGATTTACAGTGGATTTGATGTCTAAAATACATACACCTTATTTACTTTTAAGGTGATAAACCCTTTCAAAACAATAAGGTTAAAATCCTAATAAATCTGAATACCGTTAAAGAAGATTTTAAGGTCTCGGCAAGGAATAAGTAAAAAACATGATCACATCAAGAGCCAGAAATGCAACAAAATTAATGCATTTTTAGTCAGTTATCTGTTTGCATTTAGCCTTCACACTGTTTTTTTGTACTCTAATTTATTTGGCTTAATTATTGATGAATGGCCTATTTTCTCAAGGTCTCAAGACTTTCAAAGAAGTTAAGTTCAAGTCTGTACATTTGGGATTTGAAACTTGGTCAGTTACTGCTTTTAATGCACAGTTAGCATCAAAATGCCAGAAAAATATAATCACAGCTGAGTCAATAGTGTGGTTCAAGTGTCTTTTAATTTGGTGAATTAGCATTTCCTTCAAGTTTTCTTGTTTTCAAAGAATGACCCTTTACCTGCTGTTAGTCCTCTCTCTTATAACTTTACAGCTGTTTTTAGTCCATATACTGACATTATTAAAATAAGTTTCTCTTACCGACAATAGGTCCATGTTTGATGTCATATTGGGTCAGTAACTCTCTGATTTCCTCATCAGTCTTCTCACTCAGAGCCATCTGCACACAGGTAAATAGATATCATAATTTCTGAATGGTTAATGAATCAAATGAGATCAGCAAGAATAGCAACAAAATGGTTGCAAACGTACAACTAATTCCACTGCAATAACCACCACAAAGCAATCAGTACAAAGAAGTAAAACAGGTTAAGTGGATAGACCGGTGAGAAGAAAGAAAGACATAAGGAGAGAGAGAGGGGAAGAAATGGGGGAGGGAGAGGGTCTGGCACAGTTTTCAGCCCGCCAACACTCCAACAGTTAAACTTCATAAACAAATCCCTGAACACAAACTGTAATGTCCGACTGATGCTAAAGGCAACATTTTGTACTCGATAGACTAGCACCAATCTCCACTTTTCCTCATTTGAAAGCTTTATGTGTAAAAAGCTGTATCTACATATATCTATTCCTCGTGTTTAAGGGTGTATATGAATATATTATTCTTCGTATTGAAGCTGTATCTGTACATATTATTCCACATGCATTGCACTTAATTTTTACGACTGTTCATAAGTGCTCGGCACGGCAGAGTGACGAAATCAAACTCACTTCGCGGCTTTTTTTAGTCTCGCGTGATCAACAGATATGGCTGGTTGGTTAGAAAAAAGGTTACAGATAGCAGAGGTGTTTAGCTTACCTGTGCAGGTATAAAAATTAACTAATTAAGTTTCACTCACCTTTGAAAAAGACTAAGAAGCTCTATGTTTGAACGTGTGTGAGCAAGCCGGACAAGGAGCAGCTCTCAGTGGGAGGATCCTCTGTGCGGAATTCGGCACACCCACAAATTTTACATTAACTACAAACACCACCACAATAAAGTTTAGATATCTGTACAAGGTAACGAAGATAAAACGTCGAAATAGCCAAATGGGAAGATCATAAGTGAGACAGGATTGTGGTGAACATAAGTACTTTTATCAGTCTGTGTGTGATCCTGAATCACTTTGTGTACATTCTGTACTGTTCCTGGTTTTGTATTAATTGTGTTGTAATGCCCCACTTATGACTTATTTTCTGTTTTTAAAGACATAAAAACTTAATCAAATAATACTGAAACATAAAAATCCTGGATTAGGATGTGACAGTCTCCCTGTATGTCATACTATAAACTTGTGTACTGTATATGGAAGCCCGAAGCAGACATACTTGTTTGTCGCGTTCAAAATCACGAACTCATTCCCTGTTTCTTTACATAAGATATAGTAGACCCTACAGCGGGCTCAATTGCACCAACCAGCAATATGCTGCTCAGCTTAAAAGTTTATAAATGAATCGACAAACAAGTGAATAAATCTGACATTACTGTAACTTGTTTGCACTCGAACAGAGCAAATCAAATGTACACCATAGGCCTATGTACAGTTTTCTGAAACTGTAAAGCCCCCTCACTGTACTGTATTTAAACTTCATTTTCTATTTCTATTTTTTCACATGATTTTTTTTTTTACTGTTACAGCATCCATATTTTGATGTATTTTCAGTCACTTTTGTGCAGAAGAGCAAAAAAAAAAAGTTTCCTTTACGAAACTCTAGCTGTCTCCACTGCAACACTATATTTGATAAGAGAACATTACTATTATAATACTAAAGCACCATTTTAACCAATTCAGTAATCATTTTGTTTACATGTCAATTGACTTTTTTGCAGAAACATGGAAACACCAAGTCTAAATACTTGCATGTCTTACTGCAGATCTACGGTGTTTATTTTCCTTTCGGTAATCTCACTGATGGTTTTGCTTGATTGCATTTCTAAAACAAATACAGATCAGAAGATATTAACTCACAGCTGCAGCTCAACTCTATGAAACTTGTTTTAAATGTGTTACTGTTAAATTGTTTTTTTCTCAGTCTGAGCACTGTTAAATTTTGGGGCCACAGCTGCACTAAGCTGCCCTCTGTCTTCAGCAAAAGCTCAGCCTGCAGTTCAGAGATATCTGATTTCTTCTCCTGCGGCGACCCCTGCAGGCGCAGAAAAATCTGACCCAATAAGGAGTTTTTTTTTTTTCTTCTGGAAGGGCGTTGGCTGCAGACTGTAATGCACACATTTTCCACTCACTGGAAACCCTTGCATGCAAGCACACACGAACACACACTCTTAAATGTGATGCTTGAGCTTTCTCTGCAGGAAACACTGAGATTTGAATCTACAGTTTGAAAAAAGAAAAAAATGAACTTTTTTAGACGTAGAACTAGAAACTTCATTAACTTCCTTCTTTTGTTTATTCTCAATTCAAGCAGTACTAGTTTAACCAATATGAGGTTAGTTATCTTTATTATTTAATCCGTAATTTAACAGAGCTAAATGATTTCTATTAGGGATTGAAACATTCTGATATGATTTTAAACATCTGCTGTAAACATGTAGTTTAATGAAATGACACTTATTCCTCATTTATGCATTAACCTAGATGTTTTGCATTGTGTTATTTGCAAATATGACAAATTTTTTTGCACAATTATTATTTTTCTCATCTTTAAACTGGACAAAGTTTATAGACACAAATATTCTTTTGACAGAAAAATACTTAGACAACTTTATTGTGTATCAAAATACTGTCTTACAAACACTTTAAAGCCTTTTTATTTAAGACAAGGTTCATTTTTTTGTTCTGAAAGATAGTTCAGGCACAAAGCGAGCTGGAGGAAGGGGGAGGGGTGAAGAGGGTGCGATACAAAACAGAGAAGAAAACAAAGCAACATCAGTTCTCCTGTTTTTGGTCATCATCATCATCATCATGTTTTCAGGACGTGACAGCATCACCCTCAGCCTCTCTGACCGGAAACTTCCCTTTTTAAATTTGTTACTGACTCTTGTTGAAGGTGAGAACACACAGCGTGGCGTGTGGATGCGGATCTGAATCACACGCCGTCTGTTTCACATGTTGGATTCACACGTTAGCACACGGCAGCAGTGAAGAGATAATGTGAGGAAGCTGCTGTGAAATGTGTCGTTGTCCGTCTGCACACTCATCGTTCTGTCTCTGATTAACTAAGAACAGCAGTGTCTAAATCTGGATCACACTAGCAGCAGGTAAACTTCAGGTTATTTTCTAAAGAGCATCAGGAACACCTCACGCTGGAGCTGCTGTTAGAAGAAACAAGACAGTCACATGACAGTTAAAGGTCTCTAACATACTGACCTCCTGAACTTTTAGGCGCTTTTACGGCCGTCACCCTTTGCTTTGTATCATTTTAAACTGAATCAGAGTTATTGTTAATGTGAGAGAAGCTCCTCCAGTGTAAACAGAAACCTTCCATCAAAGCTGGGCTCAAACCTGCTGCTGCTACACTAATCTAATCTAAGCTAAGATAACAATCAACATAAATCTAAACGTCCATGACTGGAAATGAAGGCACATCTGACTGCTGACTTACAGTAATAAAAGGTGCATCTTTTTCCTCCCTAAACAAACTGACAGGTGGAGAATGAAAGGTGGAGAAATGACCGTAAAGAGAGGAATAATCAGAGTTTATCTTTGGAAGATTCTGGATTAAAGATGTCAGCTGGTTGTTGGTTAAATAAAGAAATCAGAAATCTAAATGTGTGTAATGGGAGGCTGGAGCTGTAAACAATGCTGGGTTAGACTAACAGTGGTTTAAGGCTCTGATTGTGGAGCGGGGGGAGGGGTCAGAGGGGTTCAGACGCTGATGTGGTAGGGGCTGCCGGGGATGTGTTCGTCGCCCCACTTCACCACCAGGATGTACTCTCCCTTCTCTTTCAGCTGGTAGCTCACGTTGTAGAGGCGGTTACCCAAATGTTTGACCAGGATCTCCTCACAGGGGACTTTAGGACCGTCCACCCCGACCAGGAGCATGTTACGACCTGTAGACCATAGGAGGAAATAACTTCAATACACGCCAGAACCAAGAAAAGTGACCAGATTACACCAGCTCTAGCCTCCCTAACTCACTCCCAGCATGTTTTAAAATCACAGTTTCTAGATCACGTTTATGCACTGTTTCCTTTTTACATTGTACAGTTTCATTCTGTATTTGTTGATGCGGTGATCAGCTGTGTTCACAGACAATGTTTTTTGAGTCCATGCAGGGATTTCCACTTCAGATTCCTGCCTGTTTTTTAACCATTCAGTCTTGGATTTTGTCTTTGCCCCTTTTGAACAGAGATTTCTCCAATTTCTCTGAATGTTTTTACATTTACATTGAGTAAACAGCCAAAATTATGTAAAAAAATAACTTCAGACGCAGCGATGTCGCTCTGTAGTTTCTGCAGACTTGAAACGAACCTCTGTTTCTGTCTTCTTTTCAAATTCTTGTTTTTGTGCTGTAATAAACTCTTTTCATTTAACACTCTGTCCCGTTTCTTTCATGCACACTCACCTGCTTTGCTGCAGTCGACACTGAAGCTGTTCTTCTGACCAATGAAGCCCTTCGTCAGACCCGCACCCTTCGCCACCACCTTACTGGCATCTGATTGGACAGGAGCTCCCGCCTGAGAACAGCTGATGGCGCGGGTCACTGGATCGACCATGACTGAGGAGGTTTCGTGCATACTGTGGCTGGCCACCAGCTTAGAGCCTGGAGGATGGAGGGAGGAGTTGTTATTAAGGTTTCAATCTGTTTACTGACATGATATCAGCAGAAACTCAAAGCTCTGCTCACCTGTGATTCTGGCTTTGAATGGGCTGCCCACGATGTGATAAGGACCACCATATTTGATGGAAATGAGATAGTTTCCAGGAGCCATGGGGGTGTAAGTGACCCTGTAGCCCTCAGGACACTCCACACAGTCCATCTTCACCTTTGAGGGCCCATCAATGGTCACAGCTAAGGCTCCGGGGCCGGCGTTACTCGTGTTCACCACAAACTCACATGCAGTGCCTAAAAGAGACAAAAGAGGGCAGTTTGGTGAGGAATAAAGCTAAACTGACATTCTGTTTCACTTTGTCCTGCACAGCTGAGGTGAGTGTGTCACCTGTGGTTCCTCCCTCCAGTCCTGGTCCATAGGCTGACACCATTCCGGGGTCTCCGGCCTGGCCCGTCTCTCCGACTCGGATCTTAAACGGACTACCAGGGATGTGACTGCCATTAAACTTCACATCGATCAGATAGAGTCCGTTCTCTCTGGGGATGAACCGCACGGCGTACTTATCTGTTCACACACACACACACACACGGGAGAGGAAACATCTTCATGCGTCCTCACACACTTCACACTCTTCCATACATCTCAGTCTGACTTTGTGCGGGTTTGTGCTTCGTCCTGGTGTTACCTTGGTCAATCTCGGTGACGCAGCACTCCTCCAGAGCTCCTGACGGGCTGTGCACCTTTGCGTCGATCACGCCTTTCGCTCCGTTGAGGCTGACGGCGAACGATGCCGGATGATTCACCTTTAGACCCGACTCCTGCTCGACAACACAGACTCACAAACTTAACACTGTCTCCATAATGTCACACCCCTGAGTCACTGCACAGGTTTACCAGAGCTGTCTGCAAACTCTTAAACAGCATCAAACTCAGATCACTGAGGATTTTATTCATCTTACCTGGAGGTCGCTAACAGGGCTAAAGAGGAGGGCTGTGAGCAGAGATAGCAGGTGTGTGTTTGTGAAGCTGAGGGAGAGTGTTAGAGCCGGGTTTGAAGCGCTCAGGTATGACTACAAATCTCCTGGAGCACAAGTTCAGTCAGAAGAAGCCATCCAGCGTCAAATGTCACCAAATGCTTCATCGAATTTGAACTGGGAAGATTGATTTTGTGGAATTTGCAGTGATGCAGTTTTTAAAGGTCCACTACGTAATGCAGTGATCTAGTGGGAAACTTTACACAAAGTGGTTGTATAGATAAGATGGAAAGATGCCTTTTTGTTTTCAGAGTAAAAATGACTGACTGAGAGAGGAATAAATGTTCATAACCCTGACATGTGTTAATAAGTTATACACTGCTTTTTTGTTTTAAGAATAAAATATGAGAAAGAAATGAGAGCAGGAAAATTTTAAAAAATATTAAAAAGTACCCTCTCTCATTTTCTCCTCATTTCTGGCCCTAAAACTCTCCTTTATGAACCAGAAGCTGAACAAAAGGGGGGAGAAAAAGTGATTCTCTTTGGTGAATCTGAGTGTGTGAGAGGGTCTGCAGGTGAGGAGACTCGTCTGTATGTGGATGTGTAACTACAGTGAGTCATCTTTGATTATTAGATATTATCAATAATAGTTTTTCTTTTCATGATGAGTGTTTCAGTGAGAGAGTGATCAGAGGCAGAGGAAAAACAGCCCAGGTCAGACCTCTTTAACCCTTTAGCGCCCCGTCAGACTTTAGGGAGGCTGTTGAGAGCCTTTAGCATGAGGCACGAGAAACACACACAGTCCTGGAGTATCCCAGAAGCCCTTGCACAGCCTCACAATGCAGCAGCAGCTGATTATGATCCTACACCTGTACTTTAGTGTTTTTACTGAGAATCATCCTTTTTGGTTGTTTCAATAAAATTATTCATGATAAAATTTTCAGAGAAATTTAACTTTTTGTTTAATTCTAAGAAGGTTTCAATAAACTAATAAATTCCTACACTCTGTTTTCAACCTAAAACTGAAGAGTAACCCTGACTGGAGCACATTGTTTCAGAAATATTTGATTCTGGGTAAAACTAAAAAACTTTGATAAACTTGTTCAAGCTTTCTGACTTACAGAAATAAGACTCTGATCTGCTGCTGCACTGTAGGCAGTGAACTGTGGGCTGGAGTGTGTGCACACGGATGTGTGTGTGTCTCAGAGCCTCACCTGAAGACTGGCAACAGTAAGACGGCGTGCATCATCTGACGGCGAGGCCACAGGGACAATGAAGGGGCTGTCAGGGATATGCTCTTCGTTGAAACGAATCGACACCTCGTAGTCTCCTACAGGATGAATTTAAAGTCAGAAAATCTCAGAAAGTGTCTCAGAAATACAAAAACAGACAGAGCCCCGAAACACATTTACAGACCACGTGTCCTCATAGAGATACAACAACAACAAAAAAAAACTTTGAGAGGAAAACCATAAAAAACAGGACAGATGTTAAAAAGGCTGCAGCGTGTGTTTAGTTTTCATGTTTTATCATCTGTGTGCCGCTCCTCTCACCCGGCTCCTGCACGATGTACGACACTCCACTAGAGCCATCTTTGCGGTCCTCAAAGGCGATCTCAGCCTTGCTTGGTCCCTCCACGGCGATGCTGAGACCACCGGCTCCAGCCTCTCTGGTCCAAATACTGAACTCAGCTGCACAGGGGCCACAGCAGAGTCAGTTTCACTCAGTAAAATTATATATAATCACACATTAATAATCTATTCTAGTTCACCTGGGACTCCAGCCTCAGCTCTCTCCAGACCCGGTCCTCCAGCTCGGACCTTGTGGGCCCCTCCCTCTCCCAGCGGGCCCACAGTGAACTGGAAGGGGCTGCCGGGCACATGCATGCCATTATATTTCACACACACGGTGTGCACGCCGGTCTCTGTGGGAACGAATCGGATGCAGTAGGTGTTGTTCTCTCCCTCCATGATGTCGGCTTTGTGGATCTGACCAGATGGACTTGTCACCTGAGCCGTCATGTCGGCGATGCAGATCTCTGAGGACACGGACAGAAGAATGAATCATCACAGACATACAGATACAAGACAAGACTGCAAAAGTTTTTGTGTGATGCTCAAATATTTGACACAGTTTCATAAAAATACTCTCTTCCTAATGTTTTACACCTTTAACCTAAAAACTGCTTCTAACAGTGAAAATGTTCAAAGAGCAAAACGTTTCATGAAATAAAATACGTTTAAAAAAGTGTTTTCTGAAGTGTTCTCTGGACTCTTTATCCACAATCATAAACATAGACCTTGACGGCCATCGTATGTGTTTTCAATAAAATATCAGAAAATGCAGAAGATGTTGATCAATGACATAAATGTCATAAATTGAAAATAATCAGCTCTCTAAGACAAGAGAAATAAAAAAAAATCATGTTTCAGGAGCTAAAATCTGATAATTTCATGTTCTTCTTAAAAATGAGTCAAACTTTCTTATTTTGGTTCATTTTCAGGTACAGCTCTGTTAACATGATCACTTCCTGTCCAGCTCACCTGGGATCTTCAGGCTGAGGTCACACTGACTGCCCACGTTGGCAACTGACGGTGCTCTCCTCTTCCTGGTGATGCTCTCCTTCATCCTGCCCTCACCAGTCACCTTCACAGTGAACGCACTCCCTGCATGTGCACACACACACAAACACACACACATACAGGTACATGTGATTAAAGCTCTGGTTCAGTTTCATGAACATGGTGCTGTGTTCTGTGATGACTTATTTAAGGTCACACCTGGGACGTGTTGATCAGCGAATTTGATGTTGATGATGTAGTTTCCGGGTTCGGTTGGGCAGTAGGTGACCTTACAGGTGCCGTCCTCCTGGTCTTCTGTGTTGATGTCCACCTTGCTGGGACCCTCGATGGACAGACTCAGACCTCCGTACCCTGCAAGTAAAATAAACGCAACACCGGTGTTACGACTAAAATTTGAATGGCTGTAAAGTCAAACATGACTGAGATGTGTTACTCTCACCTGCTTCACGTGTGTCGATGATGAACTCGGCAGGCTCGAAGGTCCGTGCCTCGCTCAGGCCCTTCCCACTCACACGCACACGGCTGGCATCACCGATCTCTGATTGGCTGATCATAACAGAGATGGGACTGCTGGGGATGTGGCGCCCGTTCTTCTTGATGTTCACCAGGTGCTCTCCGATTTCCTTAGGAACGAATGAGATACCTGTGACCGGCACACAGAGAGGAAGAGGTTGAGGAGAAGGTTAAAACGAGGATGATGAAGATAAAAAAGCTCAGGGTTTAGACACACACGCACCAACGAGTCCGTTACGCAGCATCTTCAGCAGGCAGGGCTCCTCGTGGCCTGATGGCGTGGTGAGGGAGGCGGTCAGCTGACTCAGGTCGAGTTCTCCGATGTCCAGAGGGATGTCTGCAGCTGAGCCCACCTTCAGGTGAGACATCCTCATCGAGTCGTCACCTGGACACAAGAGAGGGGAAATAACACACATGATGTTTCACTTTCGCTCGCCGTATTGCTTCATTATTACGTTAGAGAATATATATTACCGGTGATGCGAGCAGAGAAGGGGCTGCCGGGGATGTGTTTGTCATTGTATCTGACCAGGATGCTGTAGTCTCCAGGCAGAACAGGCAGGTAGGACACAGTGCATGTCCCATCCTGGTTGTCCAGACAGCTGATGTCTGCTTTGGAGGGACCCTCGATGGCCAGAGACAGACCACCTGAAAGAAAAGGACAGGTTTGTTCCTTCTCTGCTTTCTAGTAGTTTTTAGTAATGAGATATGTCCACCAGTAAACTTTAGCTTCTTTATGTTAAAAAGAGCTTTAATTTGTCAAATTATGCAGGAGAAAACTATTTAGTTAAAGCAGCCGTGTAGATGTTTCCTACCCTCTCCAGCATCTTTAGTGTTGACGGTGAACAAAGCTGGTTTGTTGACTGTCCCGTGAATAAGACCAGGTCCATATGCGCTGACGTTGCCACTGTTCATGTAGTCCACGAAGAACTGCAGAGGACTTCCTGTGAGCGAAAACGGAACAAGTCCACAAGTTTGAGGATTTCAATATTCATGAGAGTATTTCTGAATTTTTTAAAACCCTTCAGCATGAAACCTACCGGGGATGTGGATGCCGTCATATTTGATGTCCATCTCGTGCAGGCCGGCCTCAGTTGGAGCATATTTGACGGTCACAGTGCCGTCCTTGTTGTCTGTGATGTCGGGCTTGGCCACCTTACCTGACGGCATCCTGACCTCACCTTCAGCAGAGACAGAAACACAGTGAGGGTCTCTGAAGTCATGTCTAAAGATTCTACTTTCTTTGGCGTATCTCTCTCTTACCCGTGATCTCTCCTTTCTGGATGGTGAACGGGATGACCAAGTCGAACGGTCTCAGCCCCGCCACATCCAGACCGTTCATCCCCATTGGCCTGTCTGTCGCCTGAGAAACAGAAGTCAGAAGTTAGATAGAGTAAGAGATAGACAGTAACACAGCGAACACAGCGCAGGACAGACGAGATTAAAGCTTCCAAACACCGACAGACAACAAGAGATGAGATGATTGGATGGAGATGGAGATGAAGATGATGGTCAGGATGATGACACCGACACACACTGCGAAGAAGATGAGGACAAAAACACTGAAGGATGAAGATGGTCGCCATTTTGTAAAATGTGGAGCAGCTGATTCCCACATTGATGATCTCAAAATGGCTGCTTTTGTCTCTGAAGCGAGGTGACATGGAGCCGCCTGCACAGACGGGCTGCACAATGATTCAAAAAAGTTTGTGCTTGAAAGCTGCAGCACTTTTAGGTACTAAATTTAAGTTGAGGATATTGTGCAGCTCCGTTGCATCGCCCATGTGTCACAAAAATCACTTTTTTAAGAGCTGGAGGGAGTGAAATGAAAGAAAAGTCCCCTTAGAGATGAAAAACCTGCAATGAGATACAGCAGACATAGATGCAGGATGGAGGGCGGTCATTTTTGATGACGTGGAGGAAGAGGAGGGGGATAGAGGAAGCTGAACATGAACAGAGCAGAGGGGTTTGAGAGGCTGGAGGTTTTAGGTACCCAGGGCTGCTGAGCGTAGTACTGGGGCATTTGGCTCTGCTGCATGAGCTGGTCTGATGGAGCTCCTTCCAGTGCCTGAGGGGGGAGGAAGGGGAGGGGGAGGGAGATGTTGTCAATGGAGATGTAAGGGGGGTGGAGAGGAACACAACAGCAGTCAGAGTGATTTCAGGGATGTGTGGCGCCATCGGGATCCCGTCATGGAGCTTCAGGAGAGAAAAACTGGATCAGGATGTTTGAGCTCAGTGAGGAAAGCTTGATCGATAACGTATACTCAGTTTACTGGATTCACCGGTCAGTGCCCGCCCAGTCAGGCTTTCTTCTTAGAGCTGGTTTTAAGCAAATCAAGGAAACATTTGAGCTGTCTTTAAAATATTAGTGCTGTTAAGATAATCTACAGACCTGAACTTTCAAAATAAGGACTTTAGACATTAAGAGAGTGAGGTTAATCACTACGCTGATGATACTGTGCTGTTAGCGGTTCATTCTATTTGATGAGACAATTGATTAAAATGCTGGTCTACTATAAATATTATCAAACTCAGAGTTTAAGTTACACTGTTCCATTAGACACTAGGGCTGTCAAAAAATAAGACATAGGTTTGATCATATTCAAATATCTAGCTTACACAGCTTGCATATAACTTTGTCTCGCTCAGCATTTTTTCCATCTAAAGTGTCTGCCCAAAATCTAAAGAATTCCAAACAGAGCTTCTAAAGTTCGTTGGAGTCCAGACCACTCTCTCCGAGTTTGGCTCCAAGCATCCTGCCATCTCCCTCTGCATTTTGTGAAAGTCTCACTACAGGTGCAGCTCCTGTGACCTGTGACCTGTCCCTGACCCGTTGTTACAATGCGCTCACTTGCAAAGCAGCCCAATTTTTTTTTCTTTTTTCACATTTTTCCCTATTCAGTTTTTTCCTGCTGTTTATTTAATATTCGAATATTAATTTTCACATTCAAATCTTGTTTTTTTTAAATATTCAAATATATATCCGAATTTAAAATATTCGTTGACAGCCTGTTTTTGAGAAGTTTAGAAGAGAAAAGAGTTTAAACTTTGGTCCAGAATGAAAACTTTTACTCTGTTCAGCAATGTGCAGTTTCCATGCAGAGGAGTAGCTTTCTTGAACCGTCTGCAACCCCTACAGTAATTAAACACAGCCTAAAGTAAGACTTTCATAAGTGACGAACAGACAAACAGAGGTTTGCATGTGACAATAAAAACTCTCAAATCCTCTTTTCGAGACGCTTCAAGTAAATGTGAGCAGATCTTCGCTGTCAAAGCCAAAAACTCGTGTTTAAACGGTTTGAAGTTACATGACTCACCGTGACCTGGAAAGGGCTGTTGGGAATGTGCTCCCCTCCAAAGCGGACACAGATGACGTACTCGCCAGGCTGTGGCGCCGTGTAGAAGATATCAAATGTGCCATCTTCGTTTTCAACAACATCCACGTCAAGCTCCGCCCCCTCAGGTGTGCACACGCTGCATGTCACCTTCCCTTTCCCAGCAGCCTTGGCGTCAACAGTGATGACTGTCTGCTCTCCGATCTGGATGGTTGGGCCGACGCCAGCGCCTTCAGGAGAACGGATCAGCAGAAACATGAGCTATTATGATTTTTTATCTTCCAGAAACACAAACTTCCCCCCACCATAAAAACACTCAGCATGCACATTCCACATCCACCAGAGCAGGTTAAGGTTTCACGAGCTTCAGTCTGTTATTTCCTCCTACTGTACACTGTAACCATTACTCATGTTATCGTCAAACAGGCTCCAAATAACAGAAACAAAAGCTAGATTAGCCATGTCCACCATGCCATCCTACCTACTCTGTTAGTCCATTAGTCCGTCCAGGAAACATATAATAGGTAAACAAACAGTTAGGAGAGAGGAGATAAGGAGGAGAGGGAGCTAGGAGAGGAGGAAGGTCAAAGAAAGATATAATGGATGTCCTGCAGAGAGCTGCTGCTACTATCCTCCATGCTGACAGACAGAAAATCAAAAGTAGAGGTTTGAACTCTGCGTCAGAGTCGATCAGGAGGCTTACCTAAACCGTGACCGCCGATTGAGACTGATAAGAGGAACGGTGAGAAGCAGCGGAGCGAGGAAACAAAAAGTGACAAATAAAGACAGTCAGGTGGGGGTGGGGGAGTGTGAGGCAATAACTGTGCTCCGAACACTCGATGGAAACAAACCGTGATGGTGGAGTGTGAAGCAGGGAGGGAGGGTGTGTGTGTGTGTGTGTCTGGGTGTGGGTGTGTGTGTGCAGCAGGGGGGGGCGGTGTGTAACTGAGGAGCACAGCGTGAAGTACACAACAACACGTGAAAATTTCACAGCAGCTACATGAAAACGTCAACTTTTTCCTCATAAGACAGAAAATTATCTATGAACTTAAATTCAGTTTTAAGCTTTAAAGAAAATGTTCCTGATCACATTCAAGCTTTTTTCCTGCTGCTCAGTGGATCTCAGTCAAAATGTACACATAATCAGGGCCTTTACTCAGTATTACAGTAGATCTGATCTTGACAGACGTACTAAGAAAAAAAAAGAAAAGTACTTCTGTGTAAATCTACACATAAATTTACTGGCTCATGAATTACACCCAGGTTGTTTTTCTGTCTGTATCAGTTCAATCAGGCTTTTTTTAAAACTGAACTGGTATGAAGGCATTTGTTTAATTTGCACAGGGCTGAATTATCTTTAAATCTAACACATGTACACACCTGTGACGGTACACTTGCTGGCGTCTCCTGTGGGCAGCGCTCTGATCCTGTAGGGTGAGTACGGGATCTCGTCTCCTCCATACTTGATGAGGATGGTGTATCTGCCTGTCATGTCTGGCACATACGACACCAGGTATGTCCCGTCGTGGTTGTCTCGGATGTTTGCCTTCTTCGGCTTTCCCTCTGGATCCTGCACAGAGAAAGTTATGATTAAGAGAGAAATTGTTTAAAAAATGTTCAGTTTTTATCATTCTTATCAGATGTGAGGACGCACAGTGATCTGCACGGCCAGCAGGCCCTCGCCGGCGTCCTTGGCATCGATGGTGAACTCGACGGGCAGCGAGGCAGGGACTCCAGTGGTGTTCAGGCCGGGGCCACTGGCTTTGACTTTGCTTGCATCATGGGTGGGGAGCACCTTCACCTTGTAGGGGCTGATGGAGGGAGAGTAGAAGCGTGAGCACAAACAGGAAGTGGAAAGAGGTAATATCTAGCTGTAAGAGTTTAAGGCGAGTTACCTGCGTGGTATCTCCTCATCTGCATACAGCACATTGATGGAGTACGGTCCCTCTCTGGTGGGGACATAGTTGACTGTGTGAGTCTGGTCGCCGTTATCCACCACCTCCACCGGCTCCACCACACCTGCACACAGGGAGGAGATGATTGAATTTACAAGATAATTATTAAAAACGGTTTTAAAACTGAAAAAAAAAAATCTTTTTTTGCAAATAAGATGAAGTGCAGAGTTTTTGCTCTTCATTAAGTACCTGGAATTCTCAGGTCAATGTGTTGGGAAATGAGATATCTAGGCTGTAATAAGTCAAAATTTACTGTTTGCAGTGCATGCTCTAACCAGAATCCACCATGGTTTTTTTTTTAGTTTTTTTTTTACAAATATGTGTTTGGTTCTCATCATGTAAAGAGAAAAATCTTACCTTTGGGTCCTTGCACTCGGACCTGCAGCGGAGCGACTCCAGCTTTGGAGGCGTCCACCATGAAGGCCTGAGGGATGTTTGCCCTGACGTTGTTGCTCAGACCAGGACCCTGGCACTTGACCTTGGTGCTGTCTACAGTGTCACTGACTGGCACAGAGAATGGACTACCTGCAGGACACAGACAGAGAGTGAGACAAAAATTTAAACCACACAGCCCAGGAGATCTACACATATTCACTATTTGGAAGAATAACAAGACAATGTTTTTTAACTGAGTGAGAGACTGCATAAGATCAGGTGTTTAGTACAATGTAAGCATGTGACTTATGAGTGATGCTGCAGTTCAGTCTCTCATGCTTTTGTTGTAAAATAGTGAGAAAATTCTCTTGTCCCTCATCTGTTTAGTACAATGTACAGGGAAAGGAAGGTCAATATCATATTTTTAATGACAACAGTATGAGATAAAGTTCATCTTTTCCTCCCGGCTGCAGCTTTATTTCTGCACTGATTTTTCGCTTGTCAGATGTTATGTCTGATCAGTTTAGGAAAACTTTCACAGGATTGAAAAACCTACTCAAACAGAGAACTTGTCTTTTCTGCTCATTGAATCTTTTAAAATGCTTTTTATCTGTTACCTTTGATGGGCTGCCCTCCATAGGTGATGTTCAGGTTGTATTTGCCAGGCTCGTATGGGATGTACTCCACGCTGCAGCTGCCATCCTTGTTATCCGTGCAGGACATTTTGGCCTCTGATGGACCCTCCATGGCCAAACCGAGACCACCAGTACCAGCTCCTCTGCAGAGTCCACACCATGTAAGTTCAAAATAAAAGCAGGAAACACATCATCTCTTCATCGCACATGTTTTATTTCACTCACCGGGTCTCCACTGTGAACTTGTTGGGCTTGTTGGTGATGCCACCCTTGAGACCAGGACCATGCACTCGGACTCGAGCCGGATCACAGCCTTCAGTGACGCCAACTCGGAACGGACTCTTTGGCACCGGAGAGCCATCATAGCAAACCTCCACACTGTGAGGACCTGAGGGATAAAAACAATCAACATGAGCTTCAGACTGTCAACCCAAACCCCTCTGAGCCCCGCTCACTGTGTCTGCACTCACCCTCCTCGTAGGGAGTGTACTCCACGCTGTAGGTCCCGTCTCCGAGGTCAGTGATCAGGGCGTCCGTACGGCTGCCTGATGGGTTGCTGATGTGAGTTTTGATGTGGTCACCTCCGGCCTGATTGAGAGCACGAGCGTCCACGGTGAAGTCTGTGGTTGCCTCACGGTAAACACCTGAAACACAGGAAACACAGCTTAGTGGTCAAAAATCTGGGCACCATGCAGTTTCAGACTCTTTATATCAGGTATCTGAATTTTCTTCTTTTTACCTTTGCCCTCCACTCCAGGTCCAAACACTCTGACTCCGCTAGGGTCGACGGCAGGCTCCACGTTGAGTCGAGCAGGGAAGTTTGGCACATCCTGGCCACCATAGCGGATGGTGAGAGTGTAGGAGCCAGGGTACAGGGGGATGTAAGTGATGGTGTAGGTCCCATCCCCGTTGTCCTGGATGTGGACCTCAGCCTCTGTGCCGCTGTCAGAAATGATCTCAATAGTCAGGTCAGCCGGGCCGGCGTTGGTACAGTCCACGATGAACTCCCCCTTCTCCCCGACCTTGGCACGCTCCAGACCCGGACCTGAGCAGCGGACCTGAAAGAGGAGAGGGGAGGATGAATAAACCTTTAGAGACAAATACTTTACTTTTTTACTTTTTATCAGTGACGCAGTAAAAATGTCAGACCTTTGAGGGGTCTGAGGTGGGGTATGCTGTGGGGGTGAACGGGGATCCAGGGATCGGGACTCCATCGTAGGTGAGCTCCACCTGGTACGGTCCAGTCTCCCGAGGGATGAACTTCACCTGGCTGGTCTCTGGGCTCAGACCGGGCTCCACCTGAAGCACCAACATGTTCACAGTCATAACTCAGACCTTCTTACTGATTCAACTACATCAGAGATAAATCAGAGAAAATCTTTTGTTTGAAGAAAATGAATCAGACTCGAACCTTGCTGGTGATGGGTTTTCCTGATGGTCCGGTCACCTTGGCAGCGACTTTGCCCTGACCGCCAGCACCCTTAGATTTGACGGTAACCTCCTGGTCTCTGCCTACAGTCATCTCTACAACAAACATGAAGGACAGACGGAGTTGAGGATCTGAAATGTCTCTGGAAACAGACGAATGTAGGTATTACATGTTTAACAGCTATCTGGCCTGACTGATCAATGCTACAGGGAGGATTAGAGTTTATTTATGACTTGAAATCTCCCAATTTTCCTTCTCTTTTTGTGCATAAGTCTTTATGTGAAGTAGAGTCCTGTCTAACCATGTACACAGAATGAAACCTATTTATCAGCAGTAAAACCTCTCTCTGCTCTGTTTGTTCAGAATGAAATGATGCCTCACTCCAGGGTTTGAATGAAAGGAGGTAAAGTGATGCCGGTTGGGTACGTACTGTCTCCCAGTCCGGTGACATTTATCTTGCTGAGGTCCACTGATGGAGCCACAGCGACGTTGAATGGGCTCTTGGGGATGTTATCTCCACCGTATGTCACAGCGAGACCAAGAGGACCCTGAAGAAGAAGAAGAAGAAGAAGAAGAAGAAGAAGAAGAAGAAGAAGAAGAAGAAGAAGAAGAAGAAGTGGCGCCTTTAAATCAGCAAATATCCACCCTGACAATTTACAGCGTACTTTAAAATCACTTTAAGACAAATATTTTACACATATTTTCTTATTTTTTTAAACTTTCTTTAAAATTTTTAAATTCTTAAATACGAAAACCAGCTCACAACGCCGACACCATAAACAACTTTTAAAGACTGAGTGTTTCTGAGGCAGGCTGACAGGATACGAAAACCCTGACAGGAAAATCTCACGAAAGCAGCACAGATGTTTGGTCTGAAATCTTAAAATCTTCCTGTTATTGTGTTCCTCTTACCTGCTGCACAGGTGTGTACTTCACAGTGTGTGTGTTGTCGTGGTTGTTGATGACTTCAAAGTCTTTGACGGCTTCTCCTTTGTTCGGTCCGCTGAAGTTACAGTCCAGGTTTGCTTTTCCTGCTCCCTTGGTGTTGACCGTGAAGTGGGTCGGCTTGCTCAGCTCGACTCCTGAACCGCAGACAGAGTGAAATCACGTCAGAGTTTAAAAACATGTTAAAACAGGTTCTTCCTTCTCTAAAAGTGTAGATTTCAGAGGCTTCTCTCACCGCTGCGGCTCAGTCCTGGTCCCTCTGCTTTGACTTTGCTGGCATCATGAGAAGGATCCACTTTAATCCTGATGGGTGTCATTGGGATGGCCTGAAAGAGACCCAGAAACCTTTTACCTCTCCGTCCTCCCTCCTCCTCTTTTTGATCTTACAATCAAAGCCTTCGACTCACCTGATCAGCAAACAGCACCATGATGGTGTAGCTGCCGGCTCCAGGTGGAGTGTATTTCACCGTGAAGGTGTCATTGTCGTTTCTGATGATGTCAAAGTCGATGTCGGCCTCTGCGGGTCCCACCACACCAGGAGCACATTTAATACCTATACTGATGTCACCTGAGGACAGAAGACACACACAGGTCATCATTACAAACCACAGTGAAAGACACCTGCCACTTCAGCCAGTGAGTCCAAAGTTGGTTTCGGAAAAGCTTTGAATGATAAAGTTTCAAATTTGCAGCTTTGGATGAATTTAACATCTTCCGTTAGTGTGGATTATACACCTGACACCACATCAGTACTGTAAAAACATCTTCTGTTTTTTTACCTTGTCCAGCCTCTGCACAGTCCACAGTGAAGTACGTCGGCTCGAAGGCCTTCAGTCCGGTCTTCGCCACTCCAGGTCCAGACACCTTCACCTTGTTTGGATGACATCCTGCTCCGATATTCATCTGCATTTAGAAATACATTCACACACCTTCTGTTACCTGCTTGTATTCAGAATAAACCAATCTCTGAACACAGGTTTTTATAAATGTGTGTACTGACTCTGAATGGGCTGTCTGGGATGTTGACTCCGCCCCAGGACACCATGGCGGTGTGTTTGACAGGTTTGCGGGGCGTGTAGGTACAAGCGTAGGTGCCGTTTCCGTTATCTTTCACCTGTACGTCCACAGGTAACCCTTCACCATCCTGCAGAGAAAGAGAGAGGCTTTAACGTGGAACAGGTGTCTCAGAGTGTAAAACATGAGCTCCAGATGATCTAACACATACACACACACACACACACACACACATAGACACACACACTCATACCTGAGCCAGAATCTTCAGAGGAGCTTTTCCTCCCTGTTTGGCATCAACGGTGAACTCTGTGGGTTTTCCAACAGCCAGGCCGCTGCTCTGCAGGCCGGGACCGTACGCCTTCACCTGAGAAACACAGTCAGGAAGCGTCAGGTACACATTGTGACACCTGAGGAGCTCTGACACAAATAAACCAAGTCTTAAATGAGTCCTCTGAGAGTGTGTGCTCACCTTGTCGGGGTAGAAGTCTTTGCTCGGCGGGTTAACAATCTCAGCCATGAATGGGGAGTGCTGGATGTCCTCGTTGTTGCAGAGGACATGCACGGCATACTCCCCAGGCTCTGTGGGCCAGTAACGCACGTCACATGACCCGTCACCTTTGTCGTCACATTCAATCTTGGCCTGAGACGGACCTTCAACAGAGAAACCTGAAAACAGGAGGAGGAGAAACACGGTGAGCTCGGAGAAACCGGAGTAAACTTTGGATATTCCTCTCTAACTCCGTCCTCTGACTCACCCAGTGTGCCGACGTTGTCGCCAACAGCCTCCACCACAAAGTCTGCAGATTTACCCACGACTCCGCCCTCCAGACCTGGACCCCATGCCCTCACCTTCTGCGGACCTGCCTCTGCCCCGATCTTCACCTCAATGGGACTGAAGAGGAGCGTTACAGTCAGTCAGAGTACCAAGTCAGTGTGGGTCTGTCACAATGTGTGTGTGTGTGTGTGTGTTTGTGTGTGTGTGTGTGTGTGTGTACCTGCGGGGGATGTGCTGTCCTCCCCAGGTGATGGTGATGCTGTATGTCCCAGGTGTGGTGGGGTAATAATCAAATCCATAAACACCGTCTCCCAGATCCTTCCTCTTACACGGCTCCTCAAGTCCCTCTGCAAACAGGAGTCAGAGATTTACTAAAACTATTCAAACTTTTCATCTACAGAAAAAAATGTTTTCTTTACTTGATTTCAGGACATCACAACCTGAAGTTAATATTTAGGTTTTTTTGCTATTTGTGCACAACAAAAAAAAATCAAACTCAATATGTTTTTGAATTTTCTGCTGAACAAAATGCCTCAAGAATATGTTTTACATTTCTCCACCAGCTCCAGAGACAAGTTTTTGTGTCTTTTTCTGCTCGGCTACGGTGGCTAACAGGGACAATCATCCAGATGCTACCGAATGATTTCCTCTCAGAAAAACATGCTGCAAATTTGGAAATGAAAATTGTAATGATGGGACTGTGCAGGAAATTTAAAATAATGGATCAGAAGCAAATGTGCTGCAAAGGATAAAGCTGTTTCTGAATCACTGGTTTTACAGACTGGGACTATCAGTGCTTCTGCCTGTTAGCTTGAAAACTGGTGCACACTACTTCAGGAAAAAGACTGATAAGAGAGTGGAGAAACTTTGCATTCAGAATAAATGAGCTAAAAGAGGCTGAAACTCTCTGTAGAGGTGAGCAGAACTGCTGGATCTCTGCAGGTTAGCTCCGACAACTGTCACCCTTATCTGGGTCTTGAACATGGAGTAGATCATCAGAGTGTTATCAGTAGGAGGTGGTGAGGTGGGTCTGAGTTTTGACTCACTGGGTCCTTTGATGGAAACCTTCAGCTCTCCAGTTCCTGCTCCTTTGGTGTAAACTTTAAAATCTGCTGTCTCCTTCACCCTCAGGCCCTTTGGCTGCAGACCACGACCCTTCGCTCTGCAGAGGCTGGGGTTACAGGCTGAGGAGACACACACACACACACACACACACAAACACACAGAGAGTCAGTCAGACCACATGTGAGCTCAGAGCTGGTTTCGTTGGGAGAAGAGGAATGAGGTGCGGGCTGAATGATATGAACCCAGAACTATTTCCATCTGAGCGCTTCATCCATCATTTAAAGTCGGATTTCTCTGAGGCTGTTCCGTCTAACAGCACACCCTCCCTCCTCTGCCTCTGGTCACATATCTCTGTCTGCAGAGTGAATCCACAGAGGAGGAAGGGAGCCGTTACCCTCACACAGGACGCGAATATGTTCTTCATTTCACTGATTATTAAAGAGGAGCTGCTGAGTCACAGCATGATGCCCCTGCAGGAAGCAAAGGAAACCCCACAGGAACAGGAGCTATCAGATACTCTCCGGGAAGGAGATGACTGAGGGAACGAGTCTTTAATTACTTTATTACAACTTATTCTGTGTGAAAAGAGTGATAACTTGAAACAACTCCACCTCCAAAGAGATGTAACGCTGTGTAAATGTTGACAGAAACTGTCCTTTTTAGACCAAATCGTGTAACTAATTTATGCAAATTAACCTCATAATTAACCCTGATTACCCCAGAGCTAAATTTAGACCCAGGTTTCCTGCTGTTGAAACACACAAAGTCCCTCAAAAGGTCTCTGGTTCCCGTGGAAAGGTCTTTGCAACTAAAATCTGAGGCCCATTTTCCAAATAAACAATACCTTAAGATTTTTGAGTCTATTCAAATAAAGCACTCTGTGTCTGTAAAGCATACGCTCTGGGTTGGATTTAATCAATGAAATCTGGGGAGTAAAGTGTGGTTAAATTCATGCATCATTTATAAAACCAATCATTAGTCTTCATCTTCTATGAGGATTGCGTCAACATGCAAAAGTCATTCAAACTGCAGATTTAAGGGTGTAACTTTGATTAAATTCAGCTAAAATGTTTGTTATTCTATGTAAATTACACTTCTCTCTGAGTGAGATGAACATGAAATGGTCGGAAGTGACAAACAGCAGGACTGCAGAGGGAAATGAGGCTGAAGTAAGGACGTGCAAACATGCACATAAGCACAGAGTGAAGGATAAAGCAGTTTTATATCCGTACAGCTCGCTCATGCATGCATTTACACACACACACAAATGAAGCAGGTACCCAAGAGAGATCCCAGGAAACAGGAAATGACAGCAGAAGGAAGAGGCCAATCCAAAGAGAGGACAGATACCAGCTCGCTGCTATCAGAGGAAGAAGAAGAAGAAGAGGGGAAAAAGAGGAGATCCAGAAGAGCAGAAAAAAGACGGCAAAGCATCAGACACAGAAGAAGGAAAAAAACAGAAAATTACTGCAGCTGACAGATATCAGAGACTGAAGTGTTTACATTTAAAGAGTAAAAGTGCAGACCTGCATTCGTCTACACAATCATACACTGTAGTTTAAGATAGATATATAAACAGATTCATGTGTCTCACCTTCTCCCACGTTGACGGTGAAGGGGCTCTTGTTGATGGGCCCCCCGGCGAAGGTGACGTAGACGATGTGCTGCCCCTCCAGGGTGGGTTTGTAGGTGCAGCGGTAACTGCTGTTCCCTTTGTCCTCGATGGTGCAGGTCACTGTGTTCTTCTTACCTGTGGGGTCCATGATCACCACTTCCACCTCACCCACTCCAGCACCTGACACAGACAGGACCATCAGGCTCAGTGCAAAATATAATGTACAAACATATAATAATCAAACACATAAATTCAGAGTTTCTGAAGTGAAGACAAAAGTTCCTGGAGGTCCCTGACTTTTTCCGTTCACGCTGCACTAGGTTGAATTTTTCACCCCAAATGTATCTGAAATTTTTCATGCACACCTGAGGTAAGGAAGGTGAGAGGTCAGTGTGAGTTAAGGTATAGAATCAGCAGGTAGAAGTCTGAAAATTTCACAGAATGGGTGTGCAGGATGATGGAGTTGCCCACACTGAACAAAGTTTCTTTACTTTATCCTCTTTTCTGCTCGTCCCTTCAGTCTGAAAGATGTTCTCTACTGCTGTGTTTGGGGTTTTTCAAACATCCTTCTACATCCTTAAACAACATTAACAAACCAAAAGCAGACACTACTCAAGACTCCTCCTGCTCTTACAAACATGCACTACTCAGTCACCTCCTCACTTAAACCAAACAAAGTACTTTGAGTTGTGAGAGATCATCTGACGAGGACCTAAAGAAATCATATCCCTCAAGTTTTTCTTACCTGCTGTGTAGACGTCAAAGTAAGTGGCCTTGTTGGCGATGTTTCCTGATGGCTCCAGTCCAGGTCCTTGAGCCGTGGCCTTGCTGGAGTCGCCCTGAGCCATACCAATCTCTACCTCGAAGGGGCTCTTGGAGATGTGCTGCCCCGCAAACAGCACTGTCACCTACACAGCAGAGAGGAGGATGTTAAAAACGGGGTCTCATGATCTTCATGGACACTCTCTGTGATTCCTGCAGCTTTTTAGGATCATAAGTGTGACACAAAGCTCTCAGAAAGCTTAAAAATACTGATTCCATTGTGCAGTAAGATTTTATAACCCCCCCCAGCTGTCAGGCTGTTTTTACATGAACCTATTCACAGCAGAAGCATCAGACCAGCAGAAAACAACTATAACCACTGCAGCCAAAGATGAAAATCACATCAATCATCATTTTCAATTCAATAATCTATTTACACATTTTATCCTGCCTATGGAGGTCCAGACTGTGAGCAATTTATTTGTTTTGTGATCAGGGACTATTGTTTTAAAATGCTGAAAGTGCAGAAAAAAGAAAACAAGTTTTTTATTTAGGCTCCTCTTTGTCTAGTCCTTTTGGCTCAGTATTTGGAACATTCTTTCATGTTTAATGCAGACAAATATACCTTGTTTCCCACATATATTGCTTTTGAATGATGACACTTCTCTGAATCTAACGAAGCATAAGAAGAGAGTACTGTTTGCAGGTTTAACTGCTGCTAAAAAGACGTTGATAAAGAGATGGAAACCACCTCACGCTCTAAATGTTTATCTGTGGAAACCATCATTTTATGAAATCTTGTCACTAGAAATTCCCAGTAACCGTGTTTAAAAGGCAAAGTTAGAAGCAATACATAACCTAGAAGTGTTGCTCTGAGGCCTCTTTTTTACCTCTCCCTTTATTTTGCATTTTATTCATTTATCCCAAGATTATGTTTACTATGTACTGATGACGCTGCTGTTTATTTATTTATTTATTTTTCTTCCCTGTTATCACCCAAATTTAATGTTACCCCCAGGACAAGGGGTAGGGGCAAGGGGTGTGGATAAATGGAAATGTAATGAAATGAAAAAATAAATAAATAAAGAATTAATCACAAAAAGGACTCCTCTTTGTGCAGTTTTCTGTTAAATATCAGTTTATGAGCTCATGGAAAAATAGATTTAACAATCCTTGTGTGAAATTCTCTTTGTTAAACAAAAAGGAGATCTAGAGACTCTGTTTTAACCGTGTAAAGTTTGGGTGTCACACACATAATGAAAAAGTTATGTTCAATTTCACCACACCTTTGACCTTTTGATTCATGTCCATATGTTGGGTATGTTTGTGTCTGTTTCCTCTTTTTATTAGTACATCACTTGGGTGTGGTAGTCAAGTAAAATACTCACTTGTTTCTATATATAACTATTTCTTTGTAATATCTTTATAATAAACCTAAACTGAACTAAAACTGTTAGTTTAGGTCCTCCAGTTCAGTGTGGCGCCTGTGTCAGTCATGATTAAAATACTTACACAACATAAGTGCGTTCTTTTACAGTCTAATATCAGTAAAATAAGAAATATGAGCAAACAGGCTTTTATCTGGTTTGGTTTTATGTGTTTTAAAACATAAGGTGTCTGCTTTTGTTCTTCATTGGTTTAGTGATGTGCACTCAGATTACAAGCACATATCTTTAAACATTGACTGAATGAAAGTGTCTGCAGAGCTCTGCAATTACATTATCAGATTTTACAGACTCGAACAGTATAAGCTGATCATTTTCAGGAAATCTGCACAAAAGTTTTATTTTGTGAATGTGCTGCAGTGTCCTGGGGGCTGGTAGAGACATAAATGAATGTTTTCTGTGTAAAAGGTTTTCACATGATTGCAAAAGAAAAGGCAGAAATTGAAAGTTTGCTGCTTTAGGGAAATGAAAGTGAGAGAGGGAACGACTTTATACTGGAGGAAGAGAACTGAGACTAATCTAGTTTTCCCTGTTACTTGACAGTCGACCGTAAAAGAGAAATTATACAGAAACATGAAATCAAAGATTTCAACACAGCCGTCCAATTTAAGCTCCTAGAATTAAACTCTGACTGTCTTTAGTGTAATTAAACAGATTATAATCATCCAGCGTGACTGCAGACTGAACATTCAGAGAGTAACGTGGCATCCAGACAAACCAATCACAGGCTGAACCTGCAGAGTTTCTCCAGTTGCTGCAGGAGACTTCAAACTTGCATGAAATAAAAACACTAAAGTATCACAGGTCTTTACAGTGTTAGAATGAACTCTCGGCTCACCTTGTGCATGCCTGTGACTTTGGGGATGTAAAAGACGGAGTAGGTTCGGTTCTTGTCGTTGTTGGGCGTCACTTTAGCCTGAAGAACATTTTTGTTAAAAGGTTAAAAACACAGTAAACTGTTTGATTTTAATTTCTGAACACCTGTAAGCTCTCAGAGGCTGACCTCCTCTCTGTGTCCTGCAGGATCCTCCACATAAACCAGAACCTCTCCCATCCCTGCGCTGATGGTCTCCACTGTGAACACTGCCTTCTTCATCACCACGTTACCGACGGGCTCCACACCTGAACACAGGAGAGACCAGACGTATTTTACCTGTTAGACGCTCCATGCTCCATGAGTTTTTCTGCTCTCATTCTCTTTGTGCTGCCAGGTCATATTTAAACATCCATGTTTGACGTGTCGGCTGAGCCAAAGTCAGTAGCTGCTCAGCTGGCAGCTCCTAATGCTCCACCTCAGAGAGTGGAGGGAGAAAGTCAGGATCTTGACATGAAGCTGATTTTTTTTAGTGTTTTTATTGGATTTATTCACTGAGTCTGTTTGTTTTGGAGAAGACAGGCATCCGCAGATAATTTCTGCTCTCAGGAAAGTTAACAGCTGCTGTGTAGTAATATCAGCTGATCTGTGTGTGAAGATGCAGATTAAAAATGAAGGTGGAGCCAGTTTCTCTGCTGATTTTACTCATTCATTTTTTACAGGCAGTTTTTTACAGACTCCCCTTCTTCATTATGAGGAGTCCTGATCTCAAACAGGAAAGCTAAGTTAGATAAAGGTTTCATATTTTGCTTTTTAAGGATAGAATACTCCAAAAACCCTACAGCAGATACTTAAGAGTGAGTACAGAGAGATTGAAATGCCCCCCACCCCTCGGTGTAAACAGTCCATGCCCTGATTTAACCTCCTGGACTGATTCAAAGTTTTCTGATCGCTGTAAACATCGAAATCCTTCCTGCTCTAAACTCAACCAGCTGCTGGCTCCACACAGCTGCAACTCTGTGTGTCTGTGTGTGAATGTGTGAGTGTGTGCATGTGTGTGTACCTGGCCCATAGGCGCGGGCCTTCTTCGGGTTGAGTTTTGGCCGTAGAGGAGCTCCAGGCTTCAGCTTAGCTTTGGGGAACTGGGACAGGTAGGTCATGACTGAGTGCTCGTCCACGTTGGGGTCAACGATCTCTTCAGGTGTGATGACCTGAGAAAAGGAGAGGAGAAGGAGAGGGTTTGTAAATGACAGGGAGGATGTTTCTCCTTGTTGCATGTTCATTGATGAGAGGGACGGAGGTTGCAGCTGCACAGCCCGCAGCAGGGCCTGATTAGTTACCATGGAGATAGCTGCACACAGAAATCAACTGAGCGATGTTGTGATTTAAAGATCAGAACCACAACTAACGATTTCCTGACAGAAGAGAGCACCTGAGAGACACTCATATGCAAAATGGCAGACACACACACTCATCACACACACTCTCTGTCTGAGTTTAGGACCACAAAGATGGCAGAGAGACACACACATACACACACACACACACACACACACACACACACATTCTCTCTAACTCTCTCTCTGTCTGACGGCTCAACCACAGAGACAGCAGGGGACGGACACAGACAGTTTCTGAACCGATGGCGGAAACAGGGGCGACCACAGAGCTCAGAGTCAGCACGCGAAGCTGTGCCAACAGCAACAGGGTGCCAATCACATTGAAACCAGAGAGACACCAGAACACTCAAAAAACTCAATCTATATCTGATCATATTGAATTTCCCTTTAATGATGAATAAAGTTATTTTTGTTTTTATTCATGTCTCTATTTAATGATCAACTCTTCAGGAAAAAAGATGATGATGCTTAAAAATGATTAAGTTAATCAGTTTAAATGATTTTAATTCAACAAATAAAAGCTTAACTGGAGAATTTAGACTTAATCAGCTCCAGAGTCATCTACATTACAGGTTCTATGATAAGTATGAAGTAAAAATTTTATGTTTTGGTTTCTGTTAGTAGACCGGGCAGTGCTGACCAATCAGGAATCTGCAGTAAAACCAGTCTTCATGGAGAGCAAAAGCAGGAGGAACACAGTCCTCCACAACTGCCTCCAGCTTCTATGGTTGGTAATCTGAGGAGGATTTCTGTCTCTGTATAAACAGATATCTGCATAAAGGTCAGCTACCAATCTGTTCTGAATCAAACATTCACACACTGAGACACTAATCTGACTGATGCTAAGTCAGCATTCAGATTTCCTGACTTCCCTGAATGCTTTACAAATGATGGCTCTGACCTCCATTTAACTGAGTGACTATTTACAGAGAAACTGTGACGCACACTGAGCCAACGTCCGAGCTTGACGTTCATCACTAACTGTCGAAATGCTAGAAAAGTTCCTCATTACATATTGGGTTGATAGTGGAGTGTTATTTCTTTGTTTGTCTGTCCATAAGGTCTTTCATTTACCTGTGGGATGCCCAGCCAGTCGTCAGCTTGCTGCATGGCCTCTCGAGCGTTATCCACTGGTTTGGTCTGATCCCACTGATCCCAGTCAGGACACAGACCTGCAGGAGAGAGAAGAGAGCTGGAGTTAATATAGGCAGCAGCAGGGTGATGGGCTATCATTTACAAGTACATTTGAACACAAACTCATCCAGTAAGACAGTGAAATTATAAACATAATGAGCCTGATAGTCTAGATGTGTAATCTAAATATTTGATGAGGTTTAAACAGTTTTTGTGTTTTCCATCTGAGGGTTAAACACATCAGACTCTTTGTTTCTTTCAGCAAAGAAAAGCATCAATTTAAAGTTTAAAATGAGGGTCAAAATGGCTCCAAATTGTTGAGGACCAACATTCAATGTTTTGGTAAGTTACTAATTTGTTAGTTAGTAGCTGTTTAGACTCATTCTTTTCGAGTTACAGTAGCTTCTTAAGAGATGACTTTTAACTTTGAGACGGTGCCATAGCCACACCCTTTAAGATGTGTGCACAAAATAAGAATCATCTTATCTTAGTCTTATCTGGCAGCATGAACAATTTCACATGGACTGTATTAATGATGTCTGAAAAACGAATCAAAGTGTGAGCCCTGAAACTGAAAAAAAAAAAATCACTATTTTCAGTGTCACACTGTGGCGAGTCATCATGGCCACACTCTATATGTTCTTTTCTTGAATGGCTCTCCCAGCTCTCTAAATAACCTAAATTGGACTTGGCAGTCCTACTGGGAGGAGTTAATTTTTGGAAGGATTCCTGGAAACAGATCAAATTTAGCCTGATTTTTTACAAAAACTCAAAATAGTGGACTTTCTGTTGTTTTTACAATATAGATCCAAGAGACTTTTTGTGGGTCTAGACAGGATACGTCAGCCCAGAGGATCGCATCTTTCTAGGTTTAACATGTAACAGGGCGGCTGAATTTCTGAATACTTGTAGGGGCCACCACTGAGTAGTTAAGCCACACCCCTTTATCAAACCAACGTTAAACCTCTCAGTTCTCCACTGAGCTCATGTGCACCAAGCCTGGTGGCTCTGTGTGCATGTTCAGGACTTGAAAAAACTACATCCTGTCTGTGGAAAACAAGATGTTTCTCGTAAAACCACATTTGTTTCTTGGTATAAAAAATATCTGTCATGATAACAAAAACACTCAAACTCAAACCCACACTTAACACTGCACACTCACTGACTCTTACACAGACTGACCCTCACATTGTGGATTTTTTTACTTAATTGAATATTATTGTAAATCATTGCAGATTATGTGTGGTCTCCCTCTGTTTGTCTCACCCTTTTTGAGCCAGGTTGTGACATTAGAAAAAACTGCCACATCATTCAGATGAAGTTTGCATGTTTGGCCTTGTTTACTCACAAACACTTGATTGCTGTATTTACACATAAACACTCTAAACACTGTACTGTACACTAAGACCTCTACCCCCTACACGGCGATTATATATCAGATTTCTGATTTGTAAAATTTACAAACCAGTTCTCTGTGTTTCTTTGAGCTCCAATCAAGGAGTTTTCTGCTGGGTTTAGAGGACTTTAGAGTAAGCGTTAAAAACTCCGGGCATCAGTCTGTGAGATTGTGCTGACTCCACAGTGAGCCTCCACTACGTCCAGCTGATAACAGTAGAATTTGAAGCATGCCTGATCTCTGTGAGAGGGTGAATCTGCTGCAGTGAAGAGTCTTTGGGTTCATTTGTCTATTTTTTGTCTCCTGAATTCCTCCCTCCGATGTTCAGCCGCTCTTTTATAATCGCTCAAACTGCGTCAGAGGTTTGTTTTCTTTTTTATAACCCACTCTGACGTCTGCAGGTTTTCATTCCTGACCGTGCTGAAAATCTTTGGCTGCAGGGGGAATAAATCTTCTGTTGGATCCTTATCAGCGGCTACAGGCTGCTGGTGATCCGCAGGTATGTCAGACATCCTGAGCATGTAAACAGAAACCTCCTTCAAACTCACTTTCCCTCACCTACATCTCCCCCCTCTCCTCACGTCATGCCCTAATCCCTCTTTCCTTACTTTCCTAATTCTACAGGACCATAATGAGAAGGTGCAGGACTGTTCCTCCTTCTTTCAGCTTATCCTCCCCCTCTCCTACTTTTTAGTCCCACGCAAATGGGAGTCAAACCCTTGGTCTCTACCTGACCTGACCTTAGATCTGCAGCTGCCAATCACTGTTGTGTGCAGACACTTATGTTTAAAAGACAGACTAACATCTAAAGCCGTGTTTTCACTGCAGTAAATTTCCCCAGGACTGGAACCTTTGGGGGGATTTCCAGAGACACATAAAAGTCCCTGTTGGGCGGTGCAGTACCCTCCAGAAGTGCAGGAACCTTTAAGGTGTTGTATATAGTGTTTAGTGATGACTTTTGTTTTAGCTCCTATGAAAATCTGCCAAGCAGCAGGATTTATTTATTTTCATCTTTGAAATGCAAAAGGCCAGAAAACAACATATGAGCTGACAGTGAAGTTAAGAATCTGGTAACATTGATGCACAAAAAATGTAAAGATTAAATATAAAATCAAATATTAAAAAAAACAGCTGTTGTTTTTCCTTCATCATTGAAGGACTAAATCAGCTTTTTTTTCAGATCTTTAGTTTGCAGACAACATCAGACTGTCTCCAGGATTAATGTTAAATCTCTTCTATAGAGTCACTCAGGTTTTGGGAAACTCTGGCGGTGCATCCTAAACTTTGACATCTGCAGCAGCCATGTCTGGAAGTCTTTATTCAGCTTTTTATCTCCTTTTTATCACATTGATTTAAACAATCCTCCATGTGGTCAGATTTATTAACGCTGAGGTCCTGTTGCACCTCTGAAGATCTGCAGAGTAAACAGACCCCGATCACTCTGTTGGTGTTCATTTCAGCCACTTGCTGAGGGGGGAAACACATGCACATCACACACCAAAGCATCCTGGTCCTTATCCTCCATTAACCCGGAAACTTCCCCGCCTCCAGCACAGCCCACCTCAGAAACACCAGATCACACAGAAACCCTCACCTGGAGCGCAGCTGTCCACCAGCGCTCCCAGAGCCCGGCCTGTCTGCCAGTCTTTGCTGAAGTTGGTGATGGGTAGCTCAGGCAGCTTGTTCTGGATCCATCCCAGCAGCCTCTGTTTTGGCGTCTTCTGTCTGCCGTCATCAGCCTCCTCGTCCTCGTCCCACATGGGCATGGAGATGGAGTAGTGCAGAATCAGGGTCCAGATCAGACCCAGGATCAGCTTCAGGTTCCCATCCACGATGGCTTTGGAGTCTGTGGGCAGAGGAGGAGAGAAGAGGATTGTCAGTGTGTGGAGACAGACATTAAAGGGAGCTTTCCTACTTTCAAATATTAGGGAGACTCTGATTCAGGATTTTAAGATGCAAAACAGAATGAAATGAACATAAAGAAGGAGAGCTGACCAGGAGATCGACTTGTTCTAACTCTTTAAACTTCTTTTAAAGTATCTTCAGAGTGATAATCTGAGTTTAAACTGCACGTTTCCCTCTGGACTATCTGTGTGATCTCATGTATGGCTGTGAGTTTAAGGAGTGGGCTGCATGCCGAGGAAGCATCAAGCGTGGAATGATCTCAGGAGAGTAAACAAATGCAGGAGACTTAGGGCTTTACTAATTTAAGACCTCACCATCACTGACACTGAGGATCTGATTCACAAAATGAACCTCACAGACTCTGACCATACTAAACCTCTGCGTATGTGTCTAATTTTCAAATGGGTTTTTTAATGCACCTCAAACTGCTGCAGGAGAAATAGTGACTTGTTTGGACATATTTAAATGAGCTGCACTGTCTTATTTTGGGGTAAAAACGGCCTCTTCCTGTGCAAATGAATCTCTTTTCAAAATAAAAGCTGTAATTCACAAACATCTGCTAAAAGTTTTACTCAGCGTCCATGCTAGCTGTGTCTTAAGGGAAAAAGACTATTTTCAGTCTGATTCTGACTGATGATGACTTCAGTCTCTATACTTTTAAAAAGAAATCAATCATCCTTTTCTGTTGACTAATGTATTGATTTATTCATTTTTGACTAAATTCAGGGAAACTTATCTCCTTCCCCAAACATTTTTACCTCTTCAGTTCAAACTATTTCATCTTATTTTGTCATTCAGTTTATCCTAATGTTTCTTCTCTAAATCAGGATTTTGAAGCTGCTACTTAAACAAAATTAACTCTGCATTTAGTGGAGGGGACAGACTGTGGGGGACAGAGTGTTGTGATGATGATCCTAGTGGGGGATTTTCTGGATGAATCATTTTGCAAAAGTTACATAAATGATCGTTCATGCATGTGCCAGTGATTGTAATTTCAGGACATCTTTGTTAAACAGTTAATATTTTCCATGTTTGCAATTAACTGATGGGGTTTTTTCAGCTCTAAATTTTGCATGAACACATAAAAAGCACATCCTGCAGCATGTTAGGCTATTCCAGGTCAAAATTGATTTATTTCTCTGACAGGAACATAAGAATAAGTGATGCAATAAGAAGCTAGTCTGGGCATGAGGAAAACACACACACGCACACACACAAAACACACACGGGTTGCACAAGAGGCAGCAGATCAGCAGGATGATTGGAGGTCAAGCCTGGAGGAAAGGGTGGAGTCGTCCCTGCTGACTGATGAGGACAGAGTTAAGGAGGAGAGGTCTGATTGTGGGGAGTTGAGGTGCTGATGGAAATCAGAGGGTTCGGTCTCTAAGTTGCAGAAAGTTCAGACCCTCAAGAGTGAGTCTGAAAGTTTTTGGTCTGTGTGTCTGTCAGCAGCTGCGTCCTGTTAACAGCTTTCTTTTTCTCAGAGATGTCAGAGTTTACAGCAGCATGGAAACAGACAGAGAGGCTGAAAAACAACCTAACAAACACGTCCTGACAGCAGAGCTCCAGGCTGACCTGATCCAGCTCTGCTCACTGTGTGTGTGTCATCTCCTATTGTCATATAGGCTGGAATAATGTTGGTAGCAGCAGCTCAGAGATCTGTAATCACTCCTTTTCCTTGTCCTGTTTTTGTATCAGCGTGAGGGGGCTGCAGTCTTGGGCTCTGGCTCCTGAAAAGGCTGAATATTTAGAGGCTGCTAAGGGAGGGTCTGAAAGATGTTTGGCCAGCAGACTCCAAGAGCGGTTCGAGATGGAGGGATGGAGAGGGGTCAAAACCAGGGGGGAGCATGTAAATTCCATGCATGTTAAAAAAAGAGGATCAAAACAGCAAGCAGGTCAGGAGGGGGTGACACAGCAAACCTAACACACAGAGAGAAGCATGCATAGTCCAAAGAACGTCTCCTTCATTGTGCAGCACCTAAATTCAGACCTGCGTCCTTCTAAATTCGTCTGAATTCATGATCTGACTGAGAGATTCACTCTCAGGCTGCAGACACTGTGATACATGACATGTAAGCTGCTCCAAGTGGAAAAAAACACCATGATACATGGTGATAAAGCAGAACAGGGTCAGAACAAGGGCCTGTTTGGATGACCCATTACCATAGCAACTCTGAGTGAACCAGACTGTTATAGCAACCACTGAAGAATGATACAGAGGAAGAGGAGGAGGTTCAAGTAGAAGACGAAGTAAGGAGAGACTTTCTGAAGGAGCGACAGAAGTGTTGCCTGAAGACATAAAGTTAAAACTGCGGCTATAAATTCATCTGTCCTGATTGGAGGGTGAGAACTGAGCGTGCATGTGCGACGCAGGTTGGTGCATGCAGCAGGAATGCAGATCAGCTCAGGTAAAGGTGTGTCACATAGCGGCCTGTCAGACAGCGCAGCACCGGAGAAGAGACAGGAGGGACAGAGTGTCTCTTCAACTTCTTTGACAGAGTTCAGCTTCTTTGTTTGGACAGTATGGTAACAGAGGTGATGTGCCGCGGCATACTCTGGTGTTTTTATGTTGTTTTCAGAGCCTTTTGAGCATCAATATCAGACTACACGAGGAGAACAGTGTGTTAGAAACAAAAACATTTGTCCTGTCAGATGTTTTATATCACAAAAATTCAGAAAATTGAATGTACACTGTCAGATAAATGTTGCTGTCTGGTTGAATGCTAAAAAGGTCCTAACTTTAAACCACTGGACCAGAAAGCAAGTCTGAGTTTAAGACCCCTGACATACAGTATTTCTCACCATATAAAGGTTAAATTAACTCTGAAATTTCATTCATTTTTTAAGTCACTCGGATTTTTACAAAGATAGAGTGCAAAGATACATTAATAAGTACTTTTCACTTTTCAAGTTTTTATGACATTTATGAGTTTGTTTTACGATTTCAATCCGTAATCTGTAAAAAACTTAAGTTATAGAAGTAATCTTCTGTTTTTTAGCCGCCGCTTTAATATTCAGTTCAAGAAATAATCTGTTAATCGGGAGTTTTAATCTTCTTCAAATTGAACTGTTATAAGCAGAGACAGTAAACTGTGACCGACCAGTCCTCCTCTTCTCTTCCTCGCAGTGTTTGTTAGCAGATAAACTCATGCTCTGATAGTGTGTGTGTGTGTGTGTGTGTGTGTGTGTGTGTGTGTGTGTGTGTGTGTGTGTGTGTGTGTGTGTGTGTGTGTGTGTGTTGCTCTTTGATTCACACACACAGAAAGCCACCAAACATTAGAGGAATCTGCAAACATTCCCGTCAGACCACAGAGCAGCGAGCCTGACGGAGCCCATATACGGACACAGACCGCCGCAGACTCCCCCTCTGCTGACTCATCAACCCCCCTGATCTTTGGACAAGAGTGTGTGTGCATGAGTGTGTGACTGTGTGTTTGTCTATGTGTTTGTGTGTGTGTGTTTTCCTTAGTGTGTGTGTGCCACCGTTTGGAGTGCGTGTATGTCTGTGGTTGATGCTCATTTTGCCCCCAAAACTCCCATGAGTCATCTGTTTGGCTCGTTGCTGCAGCCCCCCCTCTGACATCGCTATGACATCATCGCACCCCCTGACCCCCTGCCTGACCTGATCCCAGCATCTCAGAGGGGAAGGGGGAGAGAGGGGGGAGGAGAGAGAGCAAAAAGAGACGACAGCAGCAGGAAAAGTTTCTGCACAACATTCAGGTCGAGCTGCAGCATCTGGAGCTGATTAATCCAGAGAAGTTGACCAATCAGAGCAGAGGAGCTGCTGCTGCTGCCCGGCGCTTTAAGAATCTGATATTTATTCATCTGTGTTACATAACAATAAAATAGGCTTTATCAAATAATCTGAATAATGCAAGAGATAAATCCTCTGAAGCTTCTCTTTACTATCTAAATTTGCCAAACAAAATCACACAAAGACTCTGCTGATATTAAAGGTTAACGGAGGTATAAATAGGGGCGTGGCCTCTTTGACTGACAGGTGGAAGCTGCTAAATATCACTTTTTCTGTTCTGTCAGTGCATGGATCATTGTTGTACTCAGCCCAAAAACTGTCTCCCACTCTTTCTACTGCGACTCCACAATAACTTGAGGGATCACCTTTAGGAACAGAAGCAGCCATAAAACTGCATTTAATCACAACAGTGTGTGTAGACATGAACATACTCACAGTGGTGGTTTTTGGGGATGCAAAGACAGCTGTCATGACTATAAATGTATTCAAAATGACCTAACTCATTTACACAGGATAACTTGTAAAAAAAAGGTCTTTTGCATCGATCCTTTACAGGGAGCAGAAATTAGGGATGAAGGTGCAGCGCATGCTGTTGCACCCTTGTAGATCTGGGCCTGATGAAGGTCAGATGCATATACAGTAGAGCTGGGGAATTAATTGGAAGTTTGATTTTTATTTAAGAGAGAGAGGAGAGCAGGAAGAGACAGAAGTGTGTACCTTTGTGTCTGAAAAGCCAAGGGACCAAATCTACTATCACCAAATTAAAACCAAATCTCTGAAAGTGTCTTTAAGGTTCCAAGATGTCCTACGTTACATTAACATGTGTGATGTAAAAGTCAAATCATGAGTAATTGTTTTTCATAATCATGTCAATATCGTTTTAAATAATCATGATTTATGCCATAATCTGGCAGCCTGCATACAAAGCCACGTGGTGGATCTGGGTGTGTTGTTCCCCAGCTGTGACAAAGGTGGGTCAGCTTCTTCCTAAGAAACAGTCTGTTAGCTAACAACCAGCTATGTCTGAATTTCTGTAAATGCTGCTTTTCCCAAAACCATCACAGTTCTCTGAAAACTCCCCGACTCTCCACAAAACATCTGTGTCTAATCTGTTCTTCAAAACCAACCATACTGAGAGAGAGAGAGAGAGAGAGAGAGAGAGAGAGAGAGAGAGAGAGAGACATTTAGACTCGACTGATCCACTCCGAGAGGACTTTTCAGGTATTTACAGGGTCAAAGTGTTCGAGATAAAGCAGTATAACAGTTTACACACAGAGACACACACACACACACACACACACACACACACACACACACACACACACACACACACACACACACACACACACACACACACACACACACACGTACGCTCAGACACACACACAAAAGTCATGCCTGGAAAACAGAGAGTCATCGATGTGATAGAAACACGGTCAGACTGAACACTGAGAGGAAATGTCAAACATTCCACAGTCATATCAAACACACACGTACACACACACACATACACACACACACACAGAGTGAGAGAGAGAGGTAGCACTCTTGCAGATCTCCTAACATTGTCTCTGCAGCGGTGACATGACTTCGGCGTGTATCCTCAAACATCCTGAACACATTTTTTGACCTGCAGCTCACTCCCTCCCCCCTTCTCCCCCCTGACTCCATGCAACAAGCCACACTGGAGCTACTACACTTCCTCCTCTTCCTTTCTACTCCTTCCAGTCATCCTCCCTCCCTCCCTGGTCTCCCCTCTTTCACTCCCTCCGCTGGAAAAAAGTTCCTCCTGGTTTTTTAGCCTTAAAAGGGCAGAAGCAAACTGGATCCTGGCAGCCCTCCCATTCCCTCAGCTCTTATTACAGACGGAGGGAGGGGGAGGAGGGAGGACAGGGGAAGAGAAGAGGGGGGAAGGAGGGCTGAGGAAGAAAAGAGAGGAGAGAACAGGCAGGGAAAAAGTGCTGTGTGGGACATTTTTAAAGCCCGCTCTGACAACAGAAGCCGCTGAGATGAGTTAATCTGAGAGAGGAGAGGAGGGAGATAAATATAAAGGACAAAGCGGTTTAAAGAGAGAGAGAGCAGGAGGAGGACGAGTGGAGATAGGCTGAGAGAGGAGGCCCAGGAGGTGAGAGGAGGACACAGGGGTGAAGTGATGAAGGAGGAGGGTTAATAAATCCCACACAGCTCTAATCCTCCGTTTGCATCAGAAAAATACCCTCAGACAGACAGAGGAGCGGGGTTTGAGTTCCTCAGACTGATTAATCGCTCTCAGCCGGGCAGGAATGATTCAAGTTGGAAAAGTCGACCCTGTCCAGACAGAGTTCTGGTTTTAGAGTTCAGAGTCCGTTAAGAGGGGAAATCTTCTAACATACAGAAATAAGAATTCAAACTGCAGCTTTCTTTCATATCTGATAAAGAGACTCATTTTCTGCAGTTAATTTGAATTGCTGACCGAGTGGCTGCAGATGTGTGTGTGGGCGTGTGTGTGTATGCGTGTGTGTCAGTGACACAGTGTGTGTTTCCATGTCCGTGTATTCGGTGTGTGAACATGAGGCTGGGGGTGACGGGGCAGGTTTCCAGCTCTGATGTAATGTAATAGTCTGAATTCCAGTGAACTGAAAGGGGAATGTTCACTGCGCTAATCCTCAGGATCCCCCCCGCTCCTGTGCTGACAGGAAGTCATGCTGATGATAATGAGCGGGCAGGAAGTGATCCATTTTGACCACACTGGGAGGAAAAACCTCTCCACTATCTCACCGTGCATTCAAACGGTCTGCTCAGCAGACACTGACTTTGTCTCTTTGATAGTGTCATCTGCAGCAAATGTATCCCTGTGGTGTTCCCCAGGGTTCACTTCTGGGTCCACCTTTTTTTTCCATTGATACATATCAAACATATTTATACATTTCATACACATGATGCTGGTTATGACTGTTATACTGATGACACATTACTTTTAACAGCTTGATTGGACAGGGTGACCAATCAAGCGCTTTCGTTTCACTAACGGTCCAGCAGAAACAAAAACCTGGATGTCAGACATGTTTTTAAAACTAGATGAAACTAAATTAGAAGTTACTGGCTCTCCAGGCAAAACTCAAGAATTTACGTTGTTTTTATTTATTAAAGAACAACCCCAGAGCGTTTCCCTGCTGTAGTTAGTCCAAACACAGTGGTGTGTACACTCTGTTCACCTGTACCTGTTCTATTTATCTATGTTAAAACAGACTCTGACAGTCTGAGCTGCCACACAACAAACATCACCTTAACAGGATTCACATTAAAAGCCAGTCTAGATTATCCTCTTCTGTATATTTACAAAAACCCAACATCAAAATGGAAAAAGATTGAGTCTAATTGTTTAAGTTCAGATCTACTCTGATCCATCTTACTCCACCTGTTGCGTTTAGTTACAGTGGGGACGACAAACTTCCTTCGACAGGCAGAACCCTTGAGCAAGACTAGACTTAAAGTAGACAGTCATCGTTTTTTATCTTAAGGCTTAAAACTGAATATTCACAATAAAGATCTACAGGAAAATGCTTTCATTTTCTTAATAACTATAAAGATTTCACAAGCCTCATTTTGGCCCTCTGTGGATCATCAAATCTAGACCTGACAAGTCTACGTGAAGTTGTTCTGGATCCTCATGCATCTATTTGTCTATGTCGTCTTATGTCTAAATTAAAACAGTTTCAGTGTCTCAGGGTCTTGAGCGAGGATAAAATGGAGTGTGGGTTTGATGGATGTGTCAGTGCAGCTGCAGCAGCACTGTGAGCGTTGTCCTGGTCCACTGCTGAGAGATGAGCCTGAAGGCCAAGCTTTGGATTCACCAGTTGTGCTACATTTCCATGTTCCTCACCTATGACCATGAGAAATGGGTTGTGACTAAAAGAGGGAGATCACAGACACAGGTGGCAGAAATGAGTTGCCTCCGAGATGTTTGGAAGGAGATGTCACTCCATATCACAGGGAGTCAGTCTGGTGTTGGGTTCATGATAAGGAAGCTTCTCAGATGCCTCCCTTTGGAGACGATTTGGGCACATCCAACTGGGATGTGTGTGTGCTATAAAGATTACGTATCCTGTCCGGCACAGGAATAAGAGCTGGGGGTGTTGTTGGGAAGAGAGAGTGACTTGACCTTCAGTGACAAATGTTAAACAGAGCTTATGAGTGCTTAAGTTGTTGATGATGTTGTCTGTCAGTTGTTAGGTCTGTACACTATGCAAACATCTGTATTAGTAAAAAGGAAAGAAAGTGAGCCACACTGACATGCCTTCTCCATGCGTCAGGAGAGTTTTTACTCCTCACTGAATCAGCTGCTGGTTCAACTCCAAGCCACAACTTTTTGCTGCATATCATCCCCACATTTACATTTCCTAACTCTCTTAAGAAATCTTTTTAATGGAGGCACTTCCAGGTACATCAGCAGGCAGATGTGGTCATTGTGAATCAGAGACATTTCAACACAGAATTCACAGTGTCAGCTCACTGAGTGAACCTGCAGGCTAAAAATCACTGCAGAGAACATAAAGTACACCTAGGATTGCTCAACAGTCACCGTCTCTTCTCTCACACAGACCAGGTGTCTCTGCACACCTTAAACCCCTCTGTTCACTCAGGTTCTGTCTGTGCAGCCCGCAGGTGAAGGTGACTAATGTGACAGGAAACTTGAGGTATTAACTTGGGAAAGAGTTATTCCTCTTGTTGCAGTTTTTACTCTTTCACAGTGAAGAGTTTCAACAAAGCACTGCTGCTCCTAACAGTCTATGCCCAATGTGTGTGGGTGGCATGGGTTTGATTTCGACCTTGATTCCAGCTCTGTTCATTGTCCTATCCTCTCTAAATCAAGGCCGAGACACTCAAACCTTATCTTGAATCCTGGGGATTCTTTTGACATCTACGTAACTGACTAAAACCCATCATGAGTCCTTTTCAAAAAAGACTATCAACAACTTTTATACCGTCCGATACTTTTTAATGCCTGTCAGTCGAGCAGCTAAAGAATCAGCTTGTTTAACAATCCTTACATAAGACATTTACAATAAATGATACAATTCAATATAAAAGGTCAGCAGGATGAGCTACTTAAGCTTGTAGAAGATGGAAGTAATGTCTGATTTATCGACAGGGGGCGGCAAAACTGACACGAACTGAAATTCCTTAGAGGAGCTTTAAAAAGAACAAAAACTTTTCTAGAAACCAGATTCTTTGAGGACCGTCTAGCATCAGTACATGTTACCTTCATGGCTGCTGCAGAAGGACAGATTTTAGGTTTTTAATCATATTTATTTTAATCCACAAGGATTCATTTTATTTCTATGGAAGTTGATGGGTAGACCACTCTTAATAAAGTAGGGTGGGTGCAGGTCTCATCCTCAGACTCAGTGTCCTAACAGGAAGAGGATCACCTCTGCAGGTTTATCACCTCCTCTCACCAACACTGAGCACATTTCATTGTTATGTAACACCGTCAGAGGAGGAGACGGATGGCTATTGCCACACAGGCGTCTGTCTCAACCTGCACGTCTGAGCTCCAGGCAGAGTGACGGATCAACAGGTACAGATACACACACTCACACACTCACACACACACTGTAGAGCTGCTGCTGCTGCATGGTGCGTTTATCATGCTACATTACCGGAGGACGACAGGACGATTGATGCGTTTCCACAGACTGCTCAGATAAAGACATGTTTTTAAAGATGCTGCTGACGACAGGCTGACACAGAACTGCACATGTACAGAGACATCACTGAACAGAGAGTGTGTGTTAGAGCCTCATCACACACACACAGACAGAAGGATGCCAGGTGAGATGATTGAGCGTGTTCAAACATGGGTGCGATGAGCAGAGTGGAAAATGTTCATCAGCTGTGGCTGCAAAAAACATACTGTCCTCACAGAGGTCGAGATGAGGAGGTGAAGATACCTGAAAACACTTCTGCAACCAGAGAGACCAGAGACTACAGATGGAGGGAGTCTGTAAAATCAGAGCTGCACTATAACGTCCCTTTGCAGACTGAACACACTCCTTTCTCTCTCTCTCTCTCTCTCTAGTTTTCTCTCTAATCATGTGTTTGCTGCCGCTGCTGCTGCCAGGTCATGTGGCTTTGGTCAGTGCAGCAGAGACAGGGGGATTACCTGTCAGGTTCAAACATCATTACTGTGAAAACTGACCTGCAGAGGGCTGGGAACAGAGTCTGTCCTCTTTGCCTCTGAGTAAACATTTATTTCATGCTGACAACTATTCGTGGAACTAAATAATAAGATTTACCTCTAAAATCCAGGGTTTAAGATCTATGTTATGGTTCAGAGTTGACTGTTGGAGATTTGTAGTCCAAGATAGTGAATACAGATTAAAATTGAACCTCCTATTTCATTTTTTTATTAATAGTTTGAAATTTATCAAAAGTGGCTGATTTGCTCTTTTGCTGATTTCAAGGCTTGATACGAAGATCTGAATTAGTGCTGCAGTAAATGGAAACTACTCAGATAAGTAATCGACTATTCTATTGATTTTTTAGGAAATTCATAGTGTTATAAAATAATAACGTTGCAAAAACAGCATTTATTTTTTTACGAACTGCATCTTTGCTTCAAAAATGCTAATTTCCTTGTTGTGGGACCTATAAAGGATTGTCATATTTCCAGGTCATATTATCGGCTGATTCATATTCACTATACACAGTTATGTTACATCTGTACACTTTAATGTTAGCTGTTTCAGTAGACAGTGGAGAAAAAGAGGATAAATGCTAATAATCTGTGTATGCACAGATGCCCTGTTTCATTGCTGGTAATGAACATAGCATTGGGCCTTTATACAGAGGAGTCACAGTTTGACCCTGAGTTTTAAAAATCAACTTAAGACATTTAAAGTCTTTTTTTAATCAGCTGAAGTCAAAATGTTGAGGTGTAACAAAGACGGTTGGAGTTTTCGCTGCAGCTTTGTGGGGGTCTGTCTCTTGGCTGGGTGTGAATAATTCCAAGAGGTCACTGAGTCTGCCTCTTTACTGACTGTACAAAAAAAAGCAACATGTTGTTTTAACATGGATTAAACCAACATGATAATCTCAGGCTCTTATTTCTGGGCAGAGAGGTGTTGATAGGAAGAAATCCTCATACCCTTGGGACTGATCCAAGCTACGTTTGTCTTTTTTCTGTCCTACATCATCTTAAGCTTTTTCACCTTCAGTTTTTGACACAAAATCTGGATATTAAAGACTTCTGATTGCAATAAATACTCCTGCAGATATTTGACTGTTAACTGACCTCTCATGAAGTGAAAAATGGTTATCATTGTCAACTCTGGTTAACTTAGCTTAGGCGGACACAGCCAAACCAGTCTGGAAAATAAACATCAGATTGACTCCTCTAGTCTTGCTGATAAGTATTTTATCGATCAGTATCTCATTTCTCTTTATCCGCACAAATATTGAGAATATAACGGAGCTGAAGTTCGCTGCTCACTGTTAAACCATGCCGTTTCACTTCCATGCTGGAGCAGCGACATTAGTTTGAAGTGTCCTGTGAGGTTGAGTACTGCAGGTAAACAAGCAGCTGCTCCGCTACCTGAACATCTGAACACAGGTGGTAGTCACAGCCATACACACACAGTGTATGTTATTTTTTAAGGTCTTGTTTTTAGTTTCTTCTTTTCATATGAATTCAGGTACTTTGACCTTTTTGATTTTGAGAGAATTATAATACAGTGATTAATTAAAAAACAGCTTTAACATTTTCCACGATGAATCTAATTTTTAACACCATCAGCTGAGAATGACGACAACAACCCTGTGCTGTAGTTCTAGGTCGTTTAGGTGCCTATGGAAAGACACTTTCTCTTACTTTGTCTCTGTTTTTTGAGCTTTTATCAGAAGATCTAATTTGACCAACTCTCCCATTTAACTCCTTTGTGACTCCATCAACATGTTGGTTCAAACCGTGAGGTGAAACAAAGACACACTGTGAGTTTATGAGGCTGCGTGGGGGACGATTTCTTGGCCGGTTGCAGAAACTTCCAGGAAGTGATTGAGGTTGGCTTGGAGCTGCCAGAGAAACCACAAATGTTATTCTTAATTGTCTTTTTGTGAGGAATAAACAAACGAGATACAACATGATGACAGAGAGTTTAAGAGCTCCTGCAGAGGTTTATTTTTTAACCCTTTCATGCATGAGGAAAAAAAATGTTTCTTTAAAAAACTTATTTTTGCTTCAATAGATGTGCGAGTGGCATTATTCTTATGTTTCAGTGCTTTTTTTTTTGCACAAGTGAGCGTTAGAGTGAATTCATGCAGCACATAATGTCTTTTTCAATGCACAGACAGAAAAATCTATATTCTTCTACATGCAGCTCTTTTTCAGTGTGTTTTATTGGGTTTGGGGTGAGGACGGGAATCAAGAACTGAATTCAACCGATTGGATTCGTGGACGTCATTTGCCTTTATGTGTAATGTTTCCTTCATCGATACCTCTCCTGGTTCTTTTGCATAACAATGACGTGAAGCATCTGGAGAGGCAGCGTGAATGACAACTGAGGAGCTGGTGAAGTAATCATGATGGACAGGAGACAGCGCTGATCCAGAGTGAGCATGGAGAAGCATACATGGAGCTCTGGACTTACATTAATTGAAACCGACTTGAATATTTGAATAAAAATGTTTTGATTTTGTTTGTTTTTTCTGCTGGCTACAGTTTAAATTAATAAATCAGGTGATTTACAGAAAAAGTTACAAAAAGTTTTTCCAAAATAGAAAAGTCTCAAATTTAACAATGGGCTAACTATCACTGAAATATTGACAGTTTATCATGATCTTTTTCTAAATGTAAAATCAGTGTTTGAGAAATTTTACTTTGCTCCCTAATATATTTTTGATGTTGTAAAAAAATACCTCCTGAATTGTCTGATTCATCATTCCAATTATTGGCCCCAATCAGTTTTATATCAGCGTCAGCCTTCACAAGATCATTATCTTTCCTAAATGGAGGCACACTTCCCTTAATCGCCAATGACAGCATATATCACCTCAAACAGCTACTGGCTATTATAAAAAATATATACATAAGCCAGTTCAGTATCAAGCCTGACTTTAATATTGACTTGATCTATAGCTACACTCAGTGGAAACCCGAGCATTTAGCAGAAAGTAGCTTTCAAACAGCAGCCCACTGTAGTGACCACAATGCCTGGAGGGGTTAATAAATTGTGGACAGTTGTTGTCACTTTGACTCTTGTATCCGGTTGTTAAGCTAAGCTAAGCTAAGATAAGTAGCTGCTGACTCACCTTTAGATTTACCTCTGTATTTCCACATTTCCAAAAATCACTCCATCAATGACATTTGTTTTCTGAATGTTCAAAATCTGAATGACAAAATCCATACTTTTAAAGGCTGAATATTTAGTCCTTTCAGAAATGTTTTTGTCACTACTCTACATAAAGGGTGGAGTGAACTACCAGCTGATCTTGAGTAACTCTGGGCGCTCTTGCATCTCAATGATTGTTACTTTTCTGCAAGAATGAAAAGAAAAAAAGGACTGGACGTGAAGATTTACAGACAGGAAATGTAAGAAGTCAACTCTGTCAGAAACGGCAGAAATATTGTGAAAGTAAAGCTTTAAATTGTTCTGGTGAAAGGAAGCAGAAAGGAGGAGGAGAGAGCTGATGGCAGTTTGGTAATTTGTGGTGAGGGTTGCTGCTGGGTGTGCCCACTTTCTGCTACGGAAAGAGGAAGTAGAAGAGGCGAGAGAACTCCCCTCTCATCTTCAGATTACATGAGTAAGAAGAGCATTCAGGGTGAGGGTGAGTCAGCTGCAGGACCAGACAGACGGACAGATGGACACACGGAGTGCTGACCAGGGCGGCTCATTGTGCACTCTGAATACCAGCCCAGCAGAGTTTGCTCTAATAATCAGCTGATATCAGAGTCAGGGAGGTGGAAAAAAAAGCATCTGTTTCATGGATGGGGTGAGAGCTTTGTATCTGACAATTAACCGCCTTATAAAAGATGTCTGAGAAAATGATTGGTGCATGCTAGGGGATGTTTTGAGAGTTTTTATTGATATAAGCTTCTGTCTCCACCTCCAGCTCACCTGTTGGCTGCAGGAACGAGTGTGTGGAAACCATGAATTGATCCAGACACACACTCACACACACCCCTCCCCTCCAGCTGGGCAGGACAGACACACTCATCAGTGACTCACACACACTCACAGGCCTCTTCCTCTCCATCAGAGCTTAGAGTCTGCTGATAAAGGCTTTTACCACAGAGGGACCGGTGTCTCACTCTAATCCAGGTGTGGGTAAAGTGACACATCTGATAGGTTCACTAATGCAACGTCAACTCTGGGTGAAGCAGGATTAGATTAACGCACATATAAGACTCCTCAGTGACCTCTACAATGTCACAAACTTTCTGAGAAGAGTTTGCATCTGAAGCTTTGCATCACCCTGAGTGTTATATTCTCCACAGCTGATCCCAAACTCACTGTGAGTCCGATAAATGCCTCAAACTGAGTGTGTTGTGAGTGTGCAGGCAGCTGCATGCAGGCAGAGCCCCGTTAAACCCAGTTTTATGTCACTGAGTGTGAGCCAAGTCCTGTCTAATGCTGCTGAGCCCCCCCGCCCCTCTGCACGACATGAGCACAGACAATAGCCCTGTGTCTCCCTCTATGTGTGTGTGTGTGTGTGTGTTTGCGTGTGTGTGTGTGCAGCCCTCCTGTCCCACTAGGCCTGAATCACATCCCGGCCCACAGAGTTTGACCAGGCCCGGCCCGGCTCAGGCAGCAGGGGAACTCAGAGAGCCGGGGGCCCCTCTGCAGGCAGACCACCTCCTCCCAAAACAAGCAAAAGGAGACAAAAGCTGTGCAACCAAGGACAGCAGGAGACGCCCGTTACTCCCTGAAACCCCTCTGCTGAGCTCTTATCTTAGAGGACTAAAGTTTCCCCTCTGAGGATCAAGCTCAACTTTATTTAACTCTGCACACATGAACACATGCACCCTCCTTTAACCCTCTAACACTGTATGTTTGTCTGACTGAACTTTTCTAAAGAGGAGGTTTAAACTTGTGCAGACTCAGAGGAGATCACCTGTCTGAAGGAGAGGACTCTGAGGACAGTTAGCTCTCATTCATTCACTCACTCACTCACTCTCTGCAGACTCTTTAGAGGGACTCACCTATAGACACCAGCTTGATGTTCTCCTTGTCCAGGAACTCAAGAGCCACCGACACGTTCTCCAGTTGCATCTGGCGGAAAGTGGGCCTCTGGTTGTACTTTCTCAACATCTTCTTCTGGGACAGGACCTCCAGGAGCCCGATGAGCCGCAGCCCGTCGCTCAGGTCCGTCTGCAGGTTCCCGATCCTCTTGTTGACGCATTTCAGGTGCTCGTTACACCAACGAGTGAACGTGTTCTGCTGGATCTTCTTCCACGGCGCGTCCTCGGCCAGGTCCTTCTCCGTAGCGGGCATTTCTGCGTCCTTGTCCGCTGAGAGAGCGTTAGAAGCGGGCGCGGCGCTCTGGTGGAGCCGGGGGTGTGATCCGCTCATTTTTATGGGCTCGGCTGTCTCTCGGTTCGCTGGCTGCGTTTCTGGGTGGAGTCTGCTCAGCTCTGCGTGGCCGCTCCCTCTTTCTCTCTCTCGCTTGTGTTAGCTGTCTGAGTCTGAGAGGAAGAGGAGAAGAAAGAAGGAGAGAACATGAGAAAGAGAGACTTATAGCCCGGAGACAGAGATTCTGCAAAGAGGAGGAGGTTGGTGCAGAAAAGGGAGTCACTGTGGATCAAACTGATGATATGTTTGCATGTGAGACACTTTTTCATGTCCAAAAAAACAATGAGTCACACTTGACTCAGAGTAAAAGATGGCAGCCATTAACTTCAGACTAACTGGAGCTGTGGGGGAGAAGCAGAGGGAGGAAAATCCTCCACACATTTTCACCCAAAGAACTGTAAAAGTGTCCAGAGTGATGCTTTTATAGCTGCGACTGTACAGCAAACTGAAATAAAAACACACTGTTTGAGTGAACGTGTGTTTCAGGGTTTCTTTCTAAGTTTAAGAAGCTGCAAATGTTAAATCTGCATCCCTCCACTTCCTCCAGCCTGTCTGCAGTGATGCTCTGACTGTTTCAGCAGATGATCAGCCTCCTTTTTAACACAGTGATCTCATCTCATGTTCATGTTTTTGCTCCCAGGAGACAGAGGATAAATATTTGATCTGTCCAGAGGGATGTGAGCCTCCTCTAAAGGTCAGTCTGTCTTGTTTGTTTGTGTGTGAGAGTCTGAGCAATGACATCAAAGAGTCTAAATCAGTGTGTTTATAAGTGTGACCTGAGTGTGTGCAATCTTATCTTCACAAAGGTGAGACATCTGTGTTTTAACGATATTCTGAGTATTTTACAGATGCAGAATGAATTTGTTTAGTATTCTAAAAAGCATCCAGTGAAGTTTTATGGATGCATCTGCTGATATTCAGCCTTAAAAGCAGCATGAAAGGGAAGAGAGAGAGAGACAGATAGGCAGTGTCAGCTGTCTGGAGAAAGTTCGCCCTTCCTTACAAGTTTTAATATTTACAGCAGAGCCTGAAAAGATGTGGAAGATTTTAAACAAATCCGACAAAGTGAAATCGAAGTCAGGTTCAGTTTTGTTTTACTCATCACAGAATGATCCTGCTGCACACAGTGTATTTCTTTAAAAGATTTTCACAACTGGCAAATATAAAAAAAGCTCAGGTATTGAAGGTATATTTATTACTTGTAGTAATAAAATTAATTCCAATTTGTTATTTGTACTGTATTTAATTATCTTTAATATGATTATTTGTAAATTTTGTGTACTGCTATTCTTGACCAGGTCTCTCTTAGAAAAGAGAGGATCTCAATGAGACTAACCTGGTTAAATAAAGGTCATAATAATAATGGTAAAGAGGAAAAGTAAGCAGCAACCTCTGGGTTAAAAATGAAGCCAAGATGGAAGTGCAAAAACTGCAGTTCCTTTCATGCCCACTAGATGCTGTCTCCTTTAGTGAGTCAGTCCCCATAGAGCCTCATGTTTAAATGTCCAACTTTACAGCAGAAGTAAGAGGTAGGTAAAAATACAGTGAGTTCTATTCAGTGATTTCCATAAATGAAAAGCAAAGGCAAAGAGAGCATCAGCAAAGACCCTGAGGTACTGATCAGAGCAGCATCAGCGAGAATCCATATAACAAATGGAGCTGGGGGAAACGGGGAGGATGAGTGAGAGGGGTCATCCAGGAAAAAGAGGCATCTGATTTAGATTTTGAATCAATTATTATTGTGTACCAGGCTGTAAATATGTGTATGTCACATTTTAACATGAAGCTTTAATGAGATTAACTCAGTCACACTGCCTCTAGTGGACATCTAAAGAACTGCAGTTATCTGCACTTTATAGGTGCCAGGTAAAAAACAACTCCTACAGTCTATAGGAAAAACTAAACACCAAAATAATATCTGAGTAATTGTAAAGTTAAAATTGTTCAAACAAACAGGAGTCTGTTTTAAGGACATTATATTTTCTAACCTGCAGCTCACATGTGGATCAGTCTGTATTCTATCAGTTTAATCACCAACATGATGAGAGATCATTAAATCAAAAGAAATGATTGAAATTATCAGTTAGAAGACAGAATAAATACAGTCATTAATGAAGTCTTCTGTTCCTGTCATGATGATAGGACTTCATTGTTTCCCTTCACTCATCTGTGTGCTCTCTGCATGTGATTCAATCAGGGGAACTCCAATAGGTCTACATTACAGTTGTTCCCCTCATTGAGGTTTGTATGGTTGCCATGGTTACGCAACTATCAACTATGGTTGAAGTATTAACAACGTCAGTATTCAAGAGTCTGCAGCACAGAGGAATCTTCAGATTTCATAAATTTATGAGAAAATGAGAATTATTGCGTTTGAAACATTGTTCAGTTAATTCTAATTGTTTTAGAGTTGAGTTGCATTATGGGAAGTGGAGGCTTTTAAAGCTTAATTTAGAGAGAGACAAAAAGTCACAATATTTCCACCTCTGCTGCTCCAAAACTAAAATAATCAGATCATTTTTTAGCTTTGTAAGAGTGTGCGCAGCTGTGACCATTAACATGACAGACTGAACATGTGAGATCACGTGTTGAGATTTTTCTTCTGCATGAATAAACCGAGTGGCATGTATGTTCATGTGCATTCTTCTTCTCTGTGAGAAAGTAACAGAGACAAGCAGAGATGTGACTCTACAGCGTTTTGACTAAATAAGGACTCAGTGCCAGGAGCCACAGAGAAAGAGTGTGCATGTGTGTGTGAGTGTGGGCGAGTGTGTGCGTGTGTGTCTGGTCAAGGGAGAATCTGAGGAATGCCCCTCACCCCCAAAACAACCCCGGAGCCCCCCCACCTTAATAACCCCTCTATAAAAGAGCCCCATTAATGCAAGATGCACACAAGCAGACACAAACACACACACACACTGGCAGCAGCTTGTTTTAACATCCACTGTGTGTTTCAAACAAAGGAACAGATTTAGGAGTGTCTGTAGGAGAATAGTTCCTATAGTTTCACAGTTTTTAATTCACCTGAAGCAGCTGATCATTTAAATATAATGAATACTCATGACTTTAGGAGGCAGGGTGGGGGAGTCTGCTGCACAGAAGGATTAAGAAACAAAAAGTAAGTCACAAAATGTTGAATTAATAGAAAAAAAAGCCTGCTAAAGAGTCTACCATGCTGTTTGTAGAATAAACGAGTTAAGTGTTAAAATGTTCCCTGAGTTTCTGTCCATTGTTTCACAGGAATTTGTCAAATAAACAGCAGACCCAGCCAGGGCGGGTCAGAGGGAGCTGAGGACACGTTACAGTGAGTCAGAGGGAGCTCTCTGCTCCTCTGGCTCTCTCTAGTGTTCTATGATGGTACTGCATCCATCAGCTTCTCCGAATGTTTCTCGGGTTTTTATGTGCTTTTATCAACACCTTATTCACACTAACTTTGTCTCAGTCTGTAAACTACCTCTGCACTTATTATCATTTTTATCATGAATCGGTTTATCCTTGAGTTTGTTAAACAGCAAAAAGTGTGGGTCATGGACACCACAGTTTCCCAAAGGCCAAAAAAATCCAGATTCAATTTCCCTCTTTTATGTTCAGAGTTTGATTTGGTGTCATAACTGTGGTTGCTGTGACTGTGTGAGCCTGCACTATACCCATCTATATTCCTCCCACCTAGCTCCATGCTCGCTCTGTGACATCTCTGTACTATCCACTGCACTGCCCTTCCTCCCCAACTACCTCCTTACCTATCCCCTAACAAAACTACCAACCCACTTACCTAGTTTTTCTGTAACCTTCTTCACCTCCTTCCCAACCTACCCACTTTCCTACCTACCTACGTGTCCATTTTAGTCCCTTATTCCCTCCCTCACCTCTATCTTACCTTCCGTCCAGCTTCAACACTTTTCCTCACAGTTCCTTTCTACTCTGCCCCTCTCCGACTAACTTCCTATATTCCTGCCTACCTACCTACCTACCTACCTACCTACCTAACTACCTACCTAACTTCCCTTATTCCAAATAACTTACCTGCTGAACTTTCTACCTGGCTAATTAACCAACCTATCAATCATCCTATCCAACCAATCTATCCTATATTCCCGACTGACCAACCGACCGACCGACCGACCGACCTACCTTCTGTTTTGATGAAGCTAACTGAAATCCCTCTTTATGGATAAAGTGCTGCAGAGACTCTGTTCTCTCAGTAGCTGTATATCCTGTTGCTCTCATAGTTTTTAATATCTGATATTTTATTGTATAAGCCTATATATATATCCTTATTGTGCTGTTAAATGTTCTGAGTAGAAAAACTTCCTCGTTTAAAGGTCTCCTCTGAGTACAGTACATCTGGGATTAAAAGGTCAGTTATGTAAGAAGGAGCGAGAACATGAGTCCAGACATTTAAAAAATATCTTTAAAAAGCATCATGTGAGCGCAGAGAGAGGACCTGAGTGCTGTTGAGGTTTATGGACTCTGGTCCAAACAGCTGGAGGACTGAGTAATAAATTTTAATCCACATCAGGACCTTCAGCCAAAACTAACAGAGAGAGAAATGGCAGAACGAGCTTCATTTCCTGGATCATCGAGCGGCTCAGTGAGACGAGGAGAGAGTTTAGAGGAGCTCATGTTTCTGCAGAGTTTGTGTGTCAGTAAAGTAATGAGAAAATAAGTCAAATCTGAGCCCCAAAAAAGATTTTAATAGACTTAAATTGAGGTTTTTATTCTCTGTTAAAGCTCCTGTAAGAAACACTCTGTCTGTGCGGATTTGGCGCCCCCAGTGGACAAACTGACACCCCTAATTCCTTAGTGATCTTCTCCTGTAAATGTATTGTATTTTTTTTTTGTTTTTTTCTGACAAAACTTTTTTTCCACTCACCAGCAAAATCAATGACCTACCCTTTATTTTATTAGCTATTTTAGGTCTGTGATTTTATTGTTTAGCTCCTGTGGGCAACTCTCAGTTTGTGTCATGTTTGGCGGCCACAGTGGAAAAAGCAATATCACTTTTCTGATTTTGGGCTATACTTGAGTCACTTGTGTCTTTTTCAAACTAAAATCTTCTTTCTCCTTCATAAAAAAGTGAAACCTATCACTGATTAAGAATCTAACCTAGGTGTTTCAGAAGTTAGTTTTGAGCAGATAGCAGTTATTTACTTTGCTGGACCTCTACCCTCTGCAGTGAGCGCAAGCATTAAAAACTGCTGTACAATGCGGAATAAAAGTTGCACCAAACTTAATTTTCCTCATAGAGACAGAGGATTTAACAGTTTCAGGTCAAACATTCAAACAGCAGCACGTCACATCTGATATTCCTTCAAATTTGATTTTGTGAAAAAATTACAGCCTCAATATTATCTAAATTTTACAGTGTAATTGAATAACCTTTATACTGATTAGGTTTATATTTTTAGTCTAGAAAGGGGCACCAGTTTCAATTTCAGTCTGTTTTATAACCAAATAAAATCACTCACAGGAGCTTTAAGTGCAGATCTGCACTTAAACAAATATCACATTTCATGACAGTGAAGCTTATCGGATTAACTCAAGAGCTTGTCACAGTAGCATTTACTAAAGTGAAGGACTGGAGCTGTGTGATAATCAGATAACTGTTGATACAGTGATGAATAGGACAGGTAAATGTTGGATTAGATTCAATTTTACACTCACTGAATAAACAGAATTATCCACCAGAGCCAACCTGAGGTACAGACAGCTCTTCATCATCACCACCACCACACCCACGGCCTCTGAGCAAGCAGAGGAAGTGTGATCAGCACTGCATGCTCACTGTTAACCACACACACACACACACACACACACACACACACACACACACACACACACACACACACACACACACACACACACTCATATAGAAACTCACACTAAAAAGCACACAATGGGCGGTATGTGGTGGAAGATAGAGTCAAATACACAGATTGCACCAAAGTTCTGGCTTCACCCTCTATTTCCGGCAGACAGCGTTTGTGTATATATGTGTGTGTGTGTGCATGTCAGTGTGTGTGTGTAGGGTGGCACTTATTGGGTAAAGCAGGCTGAGGAGTGTCAAATGAGGACAAGTTTTGGTCTGCACGCTTACATCTTCTTACACCTCAGATGTTATAACTCTGCAGAGTCAGTAAACATCAGGAGCGCACACACACACATACACACACACACACACACATTTCTCTGCTGTGTATTTAGATGAAGCAAGCGTGTGCAGGAATTTCATGACCTCAATATCCAGAAAAGGGTCAAAACATCACTGTGACTGCTCGAGTTTGAAGTCCTAAAGAATAAAAGTTTGAAAAGAGCAGAAACTTACACCTTAGCATGATTTAATTCAGGATTCACACACATTGTCGGATCTACCGGGCACACTCATAAACACCATGATATCAGCTGAACTATCAGACACTTAGAGTCTCTTTTGCAGTTTTAGTTTCTTATGGTGTGAAACATGAATCTGGAAAGTTTCTGTTGCATCCATCTGGCTGCAGATCCTGCTCCAGTCATGCATACTTATTTGCTATATTTATCTATTTCCATCTTCTTTTCCATCAGTTTAGTGTGTTATTATTTGTCTCTGATGTCTGTGAAGGTTGTGATACTGCTTCCTACAAAACAGGATGATACAGATATTCTGATTCTGATATTTGATGATGTAAAATGTTTCAGGTAAGAAAAATACAGACAAAATATAAAAAGCAAAATCAAATGTAGTTTTTTAACAAAATTTTCGAGACATAAGAACTTAATGACCTGTATGGTATGGTATGGTATGGTAAATATTTTTTTGTTTCAGCCTCATTTGAATGATTCACACTGCTGTATTTGGCACTCTTATTGTTGCTGTCTGCTCTATCTTTAATCCTGTTTCATCATCCCGGCTAAACCTCTGTAATCTTTATACTGTTGTTATTAAAACTCAGTTCTTTTATATCCTTTTCCTCTCTTTACTTTCATTTTAAACACCCTGAACTGTATCAATCTGATGTTGCAGTCGGTGTATTTGAAAGATGATTTTAACATAAAATGTCCCTGAGTCTGTTATTTTCAAGTTTTCCAACAAAAATCATCATCATCATCATTATCATCATCTGAGCTGATCAAGTTGATCTGTGGTGGACTGCCTGACAGGATTCATTTACATTAAGGTCAGACCAGCAGGTGAATCTGCGTCCATCAGGACCAGACTCTGTAGTCAGAGCACTTAAACATTCACAGGCACACAGAGTCAGTTTCACATCTTAGTTAGAGATCAACAAATATTGTTTTTAAAGGACTGATATAACACTGATTATTGATACTTTATGAGACTAATTATCTTTACTTGGACCCGACTAACATTAAAAATGAAAGTCTGTCAGAATATAGACTGACTCACCATCTAAAAAACTTTACTCTTTAATGCCTAATGTCTTTCATGAAAGTGTAAAATGCAACAAAAGCATGTTTCTTATCTCTGAGAACTGTTTACCTTTTCATGTTCTGACCTGTCGCAGTTACAGTCAGAGTGGTTGTTGGTGAAACATGATAATAGAGCCAGAGTGATGAGTAAAACAGACCATCACCCCTGTAGCAGAGACAGACCTTTCTTTAAAGGATATAGTACTGCTAATGCTTAAGTTTGGAGCCCAAACAAAATCATCCAAATGGTCATCATCATCCCCCAATAGCCAGACAGATCATTATTTGACCTCTAATTTGAGTTATCACCATATTTTAAAATCATTTCCAATATTTTGATTTCTTATATTTGTCCAGTGTCTTTCTTTAATCATCTTGTATGTTAATATATTTTGCATGTTTCTTTATGTTGTTCATTTTCTGATTGTTTTCACTCTAGAGCTCTTTGAGTTGCTCTAACAGAGCTCTATAATAAACTTGTCTTTGAGCGATTTATCATTAAACCTCTTCATCTTTTTCTACGATTCATCAGAAACACAACAGGAGGATCTGTGAGGGTCTGACAGCTTCACCTCTACATCACCTTTAGCTATGAGAGCAGGTAAAATACATCCTAACATGCTGACACTCAAACCCTGCGCTCATGAACGCAGCGGCCCTCCGGTGTGAGACTCGCTCCCGGCGGCGGAGGGCGCACGCGGCCGCCGCTCTGCCCCCCGGTGCTGAGCTCTGGTGTCCGTGTTTTACCTTATTTGGTTCGGAGCCCCTGATTGTTGCACCGAGATGCTGCTACAGCTGCAGCGCACGCGGAGCTGTAGCAGCGGAGGGGCTGTGCTCGTGCGCGTTGGCACATAAACAAAGTTAATGTGACAGAAGGAGGTGATGGACGAGCCGGACAGGTTAACATCACCTGACTGACTCACACACACTCACACACGGTGACCGGACTGACACATGAACTAGCCGTGGACTCCAAAACTCCAACACAAACTCCACAGACTGAGAGAGAGGAGAGCGCGTGAGGTGTGGCAGCAGCAAACCACCCGGGGAGAGGACCGGACTCTCCGGGACTCTCTCCACCGAGTCTGCCGCTCCTCCTCCGGTCCTAACAGAGCCCCAAACACGATCACAGTCAGAACTCTCTATTACACGCTCTCCCATCACAGTACAGAGCCGAAACTCAATCACAGACTCACAGACTCAGCAGAGGAGCTTCAGCCTCTGTCCGTACTCACATGCGCTCCGGTCCTCCGCTGCTCCGGTGACTCTGCGCTCTCTCTGCTCTCTGAGGGTGTGTTCCTGTGTGTGTGTGGGTGTGTGTGCTGCACAGAGGTCCCGGTCCTCCCGCCCCACGCGCAGTCCCGGTGGAGGGAAATGGGTGTACAAGTTTAACTGGTGACTGAAGGACAGAGAGAGAGAGATGTTCGTGCGCCGCTCCTCTCTCACTCAGAGCCTTAATTGGTCAACTGAAGAAACAAGAAGAGGAGCGGGGGTGTTTCTCTCTCTCTCTCTCTCTCTCTCTCTCTCTCTCTCTCTCTCTCTCTCTCTCTCACACACACACACACACACACACACACACACACACACACAGGGATGACGTCATGACCGCGCCTTCAGGATTTTAAAGGTATGATGTGAGCGGCTCGTGCAGTGCCCAGACACCCCCCACCCCCTTTTTCTTTATTCAACTCCAGAGATTTGTGCACATAGATCCTCCTCATCAGGTGTGTGTGTGTGTGTGTGTGTGTGTGTGTGTGTGTGTGTGTGTGTGTGTGTGTGTGTGTGTGTGTGTGTCCAGCTGAGCATTGGCTCAGGAAACAGGAATGTTCGGCCTCTACTGTGCCCTCTGCCCACAGTTCAATCGTCTGCTGGGAGGATGGAGGAGGAAAGGGGGGTGGGAGGTGGGGTTGAAGTGAGGGTGAGGTTATTTTAACCTAAAAAGAACAGTCAGACATTTAACTTTTGGTTGGATGAGACTCACTGACTGGAAGAATGACCTTACAGATACAGAGGCCCCTGGTTACTTCTAGAAGTTCCCAGCAGCTAGGGGAGACCGGGGCTTGTTGTCACACTTTCTACACTCTTATATATCACTTGGAATCAATACATCATATGTAAACAAAATGTGTATCAGATGAAAGACAAAAGTCTCAGGTATATATTTCGCATTCATGTCATTTTCATATCTTGTGTCAGTGCAGAATTATAATCAATTAAATAGAGAGTGTGAACATGTGACATGTTGCCCCACCATCGGGTAGGTTGTCTCACTATTTGGGGTAAGTTGTGTCACTACATGGGGTAAGATGCGTCACTACATGGGGTAAGATGTCACAGTGGATTTTGCAGCTTATAAAACAAGGACAAAATTATTGTTGTTCTCATATTTTACATGAAAGTGAACATCAAAGTCAGGCACAGAATTTTTTTTATCGTTGAGCTGCAAAGAGTCATTGAACATAGCCATTGAATAATTGTTAACATTAAATATTATGCAACATGCTCTGGAGTTTGAAGAGTTATCTAACTCTGTATTTCAGCTGGGGTGAATGTTTTGCAGTACCGAGCTAAGGTATCATAGTTGACATTAAAGGCCTTTATTGTACTCCAGATTGATTATTAGCTAGGGTCACCCGCCTGACTGCCCTCAGCATCATGTCAGGTTCACTGCCACGTTCTCTTTTTAATTTTAATCCCTTTTAAACATGTGACAACTAACCCCAAAATGATTGAGACACGTTGCCCCTAACTACCATGTTTGCTAATTCTAGCTCTAGCTTAAAGTTAGCTTAAAACAGAACAATGACTGAGGTATGACAGGATGTATTAATCTCTCCTCTAACAAGTCCAAATGTTTCACTGCTGGGATTTTTATCTGGAAGACGCTTATTTTAAAATACATAAGGTAATTCTTTTTACTTTTGTTTGTGCAAAGTGGTTAATTGGTGCTCATCTCAGCTCACAATTTGCTCCTCTCTCCTCAGACAGGACACGACCCCTGACTATATAAAGGAAGAAAACTAGTATTCCACTTTTTAGTTGCGCCCTCTGGTGGCAAAGATAATTGTAATATGACAACTTGCCCATGTGACAACAAGCCCCGGTCTCCCCTACTTCCCCATCTCCAGTTGTTATGCTGAGCTATAAGCTAATCACTGCCTGGTTTAAGTATAAACCATAGACTGCATATACTATGGACAACTTGGTTCCGCCGGTACACAGATTTGAAGCCAAAAAGCTCTCTGTATTTCTGCGATTTTTCTCCACTTCCTGAAACCAACATTGTGTAGTAGCGTTGTACGCACTCTACCACTTGTGCAGTAGCATTGTACACATTCAGTGGGAGAGTCGCTGTGATGACGCTGATAGGCTGTATCAAGTGTCAATCATAAAAAATATGAACCCCGCAATAACTTTTAAAAATGGAGCTGTACAGAAAAAAGAGGACTTGAGCGCAAACCAGTCTTACTGTAACTACATGTCAACATCACAAGCAGGAGGGAGAAAAATGTATATTCTTTGTAACAAATTTCTAGAGTTTGTCCACAGCTCCATAGGGATTGCTGGCGTAGGCAGGATTTATGACCTATACTGCAGCCCGTCACCAGAGGGTGCTGTTCTCGGGATGGCTTCACCCAACGAGGAGGCAGATGGCATCCATTCTATATAAAGTCGAGGGCATAAACCACTACGGCTCCCTGGGAAGTGCTCTGGTTAGGGTTAGGGTTAGGTAGTCTGAGTGGTGACTGGCTTTGTGTCTGCAGGGAAAACGGTCTGTATGGAGAGCAAAAGCAGGAGGAACACAGTCCATCATAACTGACTATTCACAGAGAAACTAAGACTCACTACAAACAGGTGAGCAGAAAACTAAGATGATGCTCTTGAATACTTTACGATAAACACTGAAAGTAGGACTCATAAGGAGAAGTCATGAGATGATGGACTTCAGATACGATCATGAGAATGGCATTAATCCTCTCCAACTCTCAACAAAAAAAGGTCAAATGAGTCAGAAGACAGGAGGAGATTTAGGCCTCAGTGGAGGAAGAGGACGAGTGATGTCATAAGAGGAAAAGATGGTGAGGAAGATTAACAAGAATAGGAAGAGGAGGAGATAATGGCGTTCGATGGAAACACTTCAAAACTTTCATATCAACTCGTCCCCCTAACCGCAATTGATTTTATACTGAGAGTCAAGCTATAAAGATGTGTGTGTGTGTGTGTGTGTGTGTGTGTTAATAAGAGCCAGATGTTTGCCGTTGTGGTGGTTAGCTCGTCCAGTCGGTCAGTGACATCATCTGTATGCAGCTTGTTAGAGTTACATCACCAGAGGGCTTTTTGAGGGGGTACACACACACACACACACACACACACACACACACACACACACACACACACACACACACACACACACACACACACACACACACACACACACACACACACACAGATAACACAGAGCAAATAAACATTACAGAGTGACAGATTGCGTGCACGCCTCTCTGATGTCGACACTCTGATTTATATTAGAAATTAAAACATCGTCTTACACAACCAGTTGCTGCAGAACAGAAATAAAGTGTTTGATGTGAAGGAACTTTCTCCAGCTGAAAAACAAAAACACTCACACGCTGATGTTCTTCTTCCTTTTACATGCAGGCAGACTCCACATGATGTTCAATCAGCTCCAAAATCACAGCCTTATGACCTGAGGATGATCCTACGGAGCCTCTGATGTCCTAGTCTTTCTCAGTATTGCTAAAGTGTTGTTCCTCAGCCTCCAGCAGAGGCCTTCATCGTCTTGATCTCCTTGTCAATGATTCGTTTTCAGGAAAGAATGAAATGCAGGGTTGTTGATGCAGGAATCGCATAAAACTTCGTCCATCAGTGCTGGTTTGCTGTCAGTGAAGCTTGGAGTCTGTTTCATGTTTAGTTTTAGATGCCATGTCAAACTGTGATAAGGAACGAAAACCATTCGGCACCAATTACTAGTGACAATTTTTACTTTCTACTTTGAAATATTCCCACACTGCTGCTGTTAGCCACAGAGTAGCCACAGGAAGTTACAATTGTGTTCTGCTTCAAATTGAACTCAGTCTATGAAAGCTGACATAAGTGATGAATGTGAAATGTTTTGCTTGAATTGCTGATCTCCAATCGGCAAAAAAAAGGCCCCGATCGGTTCTGATCAGATAGTTGAGATCAAACTGAGGTATTACCAATTGGTAAAACACAATGTTTAAGACACGCTCATTGTGACTGCCACAATTGTTTTGCTAATATGTCACTTGGCTAAAGCTGTACCTGCACAGGTACGCAGCAGCTGTCAGACAACTGTAAGGGTTAATCCTGGGCTGAAATCATATTATGTTCACATTAATGAACATAAAACTGGATCATAACCTAGATACTCAAGTTCATGTAAACACACTGAACACGGTCTTCTGTCTTTGCTGTGGGGATGGACTGACTCTTTACTTTTGCAGGACTTCACTCATCCAGTCTGCATGTGTTTTGTGGACTTGGACTTTGATGGGGCCAGTGATCCAGTCCCTCAGGGGTCTTGTGGGGAGTGCCGTGAGCAATCAGGTTCTTGTGTTCTGTATAACTGAAGTTGTTTGACCTTTGCCAACTTTGTGAAAATGCAGATACTCCAGAGGGAAGAACTTCCACACATTACTGAGGAGTCAGATGCTGAAACACTCAGGCTGCAGATGAGTGTCACACAGTTTTTATTAACTAATCTGGATCCTGATGAGTTCACATTCAGCCTCTTCTCCACCTAACCCTCTGGAATTTAGACCACAATTCAATTTATGTAATCCTGTGAAAAAATCAGCAGCTGAAGAGTCTCATATTTTGTGAGAGGATGATTGTTTCTGATGTGTCCTCTGTGAAGTTCCAATCCAATCCAATCCATTTTATTTATATAGCACGATTTAAACAACAAGGTTTCCAAAGTGCTGCACGGCAAGATAGATAAAGTTAGATAAAAACACAGTACAATCAAATAAAAAGCAAAAAAATCCATAAAAGACAATAAAATGAAATCAACCTCCTACTGAGTGTTAAAAGCCAAGGAGAAGAGGTGGGTCTTAAAATGGGATTAAAAAACAGACAGAGAGGAGGCCTGTCTGATATGCTGAGGCAGGTTATTCCAGAGTTGTCTGTATTTGTCTTGAATCAACATTTCTGACCAAAACCTGCACAAATAAAATAGAGTGACAGAAAATACTTTTATTGGTATTCAGGAAAACTGAAAGTAATGGCAATATTTCTCCACATTTGCTCTAAAACATATAAAAAGACACACACACACACAAACACAGTGTTTTTTTTCATCCCAGGAACCTCTCACAGGTTTATTTTAGAATAAACAACACAAAACAAACAGAGTCACTGCTAATGTGGACGTTTCATAAATATCTAAATGTTAAATGATCTTTTAAAAGTTAAAATTACTTCAGTCATGACAATTTACATTTACAGTAAACATTGGACACTGTACACAAGAGATTCGAAAATAAACACTTATGTTTATTTTTATCTATAATTACCATGAAAATTAACCATTTAAGATTTAGACTAAATAATATATATGCAGGCTTAATGATCTAAGTAAAACATGTATATTTTAACTTTAACATGTAAATAAAACATTACCATGTTTATAAGTATCTTGATTAAACACTGACAATTAATATTCCACATTGGGACTGCACAAATTATTTTAACGTTTAACTTTATATTTAAGATTATCATTCAACGTTAAACATCAAGATTGATTTTAGATTTAATTTTAACATTATGTTTGTGCATTTCTATATAGATAAGACATTTTACATAATTTTATATCTCTATTTATATATTTATATTTATCGAGTGGCATTTTATGTTTACATGAACTATTTATCATTGAAATTTAAACATTAAGAATTGCATTTTAATATTCACTTTATCATAAACATTTAGACTTTCATTTTTTATTTAAATTTAGCTTTTAACATTTGGATTAAAACATCTGCACTTTTTAATTATCATTAATAATTTAACAATCAGATTGATCATTAACCATTTCTATTTTTCAGTTAAGTGAAACATTTTGCTCGAGATTTATATTTTGCATTAAGATTTGACTTTTAGATTGAACCCTAACTGTCTGAGATTGAAAATAGTTTTACATTTTAAATTCAGATATTGTTTGACATTTTGTATGGAGCCTCTCTTTAGAGATCAGCGGACAGTTTTAGATAAAGTCTTTAAATCAGGAGTTTACGGCCAGGCTGACGGCCTCCTAACAAAGCATCTCTCTGTCAGCCAGTTAAAGAGCTAAACTGGGAAACTGTTTAAGTGGAAGTGATGGAGGAGGAGGCTCAAACTGCTCTCTGTTGATACCTCTGAATGTTGGTCTTTTCACACTGATTGATTTAAAGTGAATTCTGTTGCAGTGTTCACAGGAACATTTGGTCCGAGAGCCCATAAACAGAACTTTAAACTCAGCTCACAGTTATTTAAGACGCAGGTTTCTCACTCGGCTGAGTCAAAGAGCTCACATGTGCATATAAAAGAGTCTCAAACACAGCAAAGAGGAGTGAATATGGAAAAACTTCTCCCATTAAAAGGAACCGAGTCCATATTTAGACATGTGTAATATGGAGAAGTTTTTATGACCAGCTGAGAAAGAAAATCTGTAACACAGAAACTTACAGAGGAGAAACTGAAGGACGCAGACCCGAGAGGACGGCTGACCAAAATCAAGGACAATGACAAGATCCAAGAGATCTGAAACACTATCCAACAAAATCATTTTATAAAGATTGAGAAATTATCTTCACCAGGAATTTTAGGATTTTCTTGTGGTGTAACTGCCAGAAAACCCATTTGGGGAGTGAGAGAGAGAGAGAGAGAGAGAGAGAGCTGCAGACGAAGAGCCAAGAGTCATCACAGCAGCACAGACCTGCAGCTAAATGTCCCTGACCTGAACCTGCACCTGGAGCACACCTGATACCAGCTCTGACTGTAAACACTGTAAACTGCACTGTATACAGTCAGAGAGGAGGAATCACTGAGTCACTGAGCAGTCTAAGTCTGCAGGCCGATTCACACACACACACACACACACACACACACACACACACACACACACACACACACACACACACACACACACACACACACTTGTCACATCAGATCATATCTGGACTTCATGTCATAGAAAATGTTTTAATATCATTTTTAGAAGTTTTGTTGAAATCAATCTGCGTGTTTAATCTCTCTCTCTCTCTGTCTGTGTATATGTGTGTGTGTGTGAGTGTGTTTTGGTGGAAAGTTTGTGTTTTATTCTGTGTTTTCCCACACTGCACAGACTGAGAGCTACTCAGGCTAAACGTAATGTGGTCTGCTTCTTAAACCAGCCTATGATGAAATCATTGATGCATCTAATGCCAGCTGTGTGTCATAGTGTGTGAGTGTGTGAGTACATGTTCATGTGTAAGTGTGTTAAGGCTCTTGTTAAACCAGCTGTTCTGAGCTGAAGGCACAGAGGTGAAACATGGATGACTCCACCTGGTCTGAACTGTGCACACCTGCAGCCCTGATGGCCGCCTCCTCTCTGTGCTCTCTGCTATCTTCACAGTCACACTGTGTTTCTGTGTGTATTTTGGGAAAATTCGTGAATGAAAGAGGAAAAAAAATGATCCTGAATCCAGAGATGTGGTTTAGATTATTTCAGTCTGAGCCAGAGAAAAGCCAAGAGCGGGTCAGACCCACAGCCACATCAAACTGAGGCTGAAACAGCCTCCGTGTCTATTTAAAAAACACATTAAGAACATACTATTGATTTAGAAAGAGGTAAATTCATATACACCATTTATGTTTTCTGACTTCTCAGTTTTTATTTCTGTGATTTACATTTTAACTGTTTAGTTTCTTAAAGTGATTTAAGTGAAATTATCCTGAAGAAAAGATGACTTTCTGTGAGATCAGTGGTTTGAGGATTATTGTATTTTTGACTGCAACCTGCTAAGTTTTAAAAGCTGTTTTCAAACATGCATAAAAAATTCCTGAAAACTTCCTGAAATATTTGGAGAGAGCTGTAAGCTGCAAACAGCTGAATTACTCCCACACTTCTTCCAACCTGCAACCAAGGCAATTTCCTGAGTAAGAGTGTGACAGAAAAAAAAATCTGATTTTAGATAAAGAACAGATTTTAAATCTGACAATACAACACAACTTTAGGCAGTGTACACAATTCTGAATACTCACCGACATCCAGGGATCCCTTGTTGAAGCAACAGCACCTGCACTTTTCAGGAGATCCAGTTCAGTTGCTCTTTCTGTTTCATACAGTCCTTATATATGAAGTACTCTGCCCTGTGTCTGCTGGACATCAGACTCATCAAAACCCACCAGCCTGAGGACATCCAGAGTCTTCCTCAGCGTTGACCTTCCTGAAGTCAGGGTGCTCCTGTTTGGCTGCAGTTCACTTCTTAAATGTAGTTTCATCCACAGGTCTGTGGATTCTCCCTGTGCTCTATCAATCTTTGTGATCTGGTCGCCCTTGATATCAGTTTGGTTAGCTGCACCTGTATGCTTGGCTCTAATTCTAAATCCTGCAGTAGATTACTTTTGACTTATCAGCTAAGCCACCTGGGAGTTTTTCAAAAGAAGAATATGCCGACTAAAGCATGGTGGTGTTTTTATTTTCCATTACAGCAGCAGCCTGCTGGGGGAAGGTACCCCTGCATCTATTTAACAGAGTGTTCAAAAGAACACTCTGTTAACTGCATGCAATTAGGAAAAAAAAGCTTTATCAACCTTTGTCTCATCTGGATTAAAGCTGGAAAAAAATGGGGAACAGAGCTCCTAAAAAGTGCCCAGAAATTTCCAGGTGTGCATCTGTGAAAATAATGCTGAACGGTGTTGATTATTTGGTTGTCCAGTGTACCTGCATATTGATGCAAAGAGAAAACACCCAGCCCAGATATATATATGACTTTAAGGGTGGCCAACTAGATTTCAATGTAGCAGTGCCATCCCCAGACCAACCTCTGAGTATGTGACCTTAAATTTGGCATTTTAGTCACTAATATCACAGGTTTCAAATCAGACGTGACAGTATTTAAATTACAGAGTGGACACCACAGAGGCTAAGTGACAGCCTCTATACCGGTCACTCAATGAGGGCACACTTCCAATATTCCAGCCCTCAAATCCTTAATCTGATGTATACAAGTGAGTGTAACCTTTAATCTAAGGTAAACAGGTCTGTGTAATCCTTAATCTATTGTAGCAGGTGAGTGTAATCTTAAATCTAATGTAAACAGGTGAGTTAAATCCTTAATCTGATGTAAACAGATGATTCCTTTAAATTCAATTTAGTCCATACATTTGTTCTGATTAGAGAAATGAGCTTCTGTAAAGTTAAACATTTTAACATAAGGCTCTATGGGGGCCGACTTACTGCAGGACACAGCCTCTAGTGGACACTAAAGGAACTGCAGGTGTAGGTACCTCTGCAGTGGCTTAATTTCTCAGTGCAGGAGGGAGAAGAGGATGAGTGGATGTTTATTGCATTGCATACTGAATATAAACAACCCAGTAAAAACATTTAATATTGCAGGTGTCAAAAAAACAACATCAGAACAAGAGAAAACTGTGCCCTCAAATTGTCAAAAAGAGATAAAGATGTCTGCAGAACATGTTTGTTAGGACTGAAACATACAGAGGAAGTATTTGCGTGAGGAAAAATTAATTACTATTATTATTTTTTAATGGTATAAACTGCAGAAAAATGGCCTTATAACCCTTGTGCTGGTTGAGTGTTGCTGCACCTGCATGAAATACTTAATTTCTACTATCATAAAAGTTTGACCAAAGTTTTGACATCTTAACCAAACTCTCCAGCATTGGTATTAAACATGTCTTGAATCACACTGTGGATTATGGACAGAAGAGAGCAGGAACAGTAGTTAAGGTTTGGTCGTAATGTAAATAAAACTCCTGATTGTTTAAAGCTCTAAGCGTTGTCTGTGTAATCTAAGGCTGAGGACCCCGCCTGCGCAGATTAAACAAACACTTCAGATCTGCTGTGGTTTGGACGGGGAGGTGTGGACTGAAGATAGATGGACAAACGTCTCTGGTTTCATCTGTGACCTTATTAAGAAAACCTTTCAGATTGGAGGGGAGCAGGTTTACACATCCAGACTCCACACTTCCTGTTAGGTTCATAGGTGCGAGGCGTGTAATCAGCACAGAAACACTCAATCGAGTTGGTTACAGTAAAATTAGATAAGCTTTTCGTGTGAACTGGTTCGACACGGCATATTTGAGCGTTCAAATGAGACGGTGGTGATCAGTATTCACAGCCTTTAAAAGGAGACCGGACTGAACCCATGAATCAGACTGCAGGAATCCATTTCTAGTAGCTACTGGCCATTTTGGCAACACACACCACACACACTCACACACAAACACATTAACACACGCTCCTCCGTCATCATTAATACACACAGGAATGTGATGTAAGTCCAGCTCAGGGGAAGGTGGTCCCTCTCTGACGTTTCTGGTCTATAATCTCTCTCCTCCGCCCGTCTGCTCATGTATGTTTCAGACAGTAAACATGAGAACGAACATTTTACAGAGTACATTTAAACACTGACGCCCCGCTCCATCCACAAACACAGCCTTTTAAGGTAACCTCTCCCTTCCTCTCTCTCTGCCTCTCTCTGACGGTCTGTCTTTGCCTCCTCTCAACATCTCCATCTCCTCGAGGAGGCCTGCACACCCCCAAAACCTCCCCCTCACTCCCCCAGACCCTCAGTGCATTTCTACTCATCTTGTTTCGTCTTTCGCTCTCACTCTTGAGCTCTGCAGGAGTCCCTCATGACCTGCAGGCCTCTCTGGGGTCTCGAAAGTTGAGATCGGCAGTGAACCGAGCGAGGAAGTGAGCAAGGCAAACAAACAGCAGAGAGATGGAGTGGAGATATCAGAGTCTCCGTCTGCGGTGGGGGTGTTTTGGGTTCCTTTTTGCAGCTTCATTCCCTCATCAGAGTGGATTCTGGGGCGAGGAAACATCAGTTTAATGTGGGTCAGAGGCTGAAGGGACGAAGAGCTGTTTGCAGAGTGTGTGTGTGGTACACGGAGAGATGTGCTCCAGTAGTTTTGTCCATATAAGGGGGGAGGAATGTGGAGAGAGAGCTGCTATGAATGACTGATCTCCCCCCCTCCTCACCCTCCCTCTATCACCTCCTCCTCTTTCTACACTAAATCTACTTTTCTCCTGCCAACTCTTCCAGATCCCTGCTGCTGCTTTCATGAGAACACAACATGTACATCTGTCAAGTGTCTGTTAGGAGTGCAAACACACATATGCATGCAGAATTACCTGTAACACACACACACACACACGCAGGGCTCAGGGTCAGACAGAGTTGTGTTTCCGAGGTCGTCTGATCTTTATGACATCATCCTGACCCTGCACAGACTTCTCAGTAACATGTGAATGATGTGTGTGTGTGTCTGTGTGTGTGTGTGTGTGACTTCTCTTACTCATCCAGGTGAGATTTTACATTACATCACTCTGCAGGAAAACACAGGTACTCCATGAAGACATCGCACCTGTGTGACTCATACTCTTTATGAGTGTCTGAGTGAGTGCATTTCTTTGTGTGTGCATGTTCATGTGTGCGCATGTGTGTGTGTGTGTGATCACATGATGATGAGATGTGAGGTGACAGGCGTCCTCCTCACCTGCATCTGGAGTGGATTCACTGGAAACAGATGTCAGAGAAACAAATAATGATGTCATGGCAGACGGTCGGCTGAGAGTGTTTGAGGATGATGCATTCCTCGTGTGACTGTGTGCGCATGTTGCTGCAGGATGCATAGAAAAAAATGTGTGTGTAATATGTGTCTAACTTGTGGGTGAAGTGTGTGTGTTGTGTGGGGTTTTGGGGGTCGCTGAAATCAGAAACCACTGCTTGTTTTTAAAAAAGGAAAAGAGCAGGAGGTTTAAAAGGTTTCCTGTTTTCTGGTTGACCCTCTGATCCGTCTCTCTGGTTGACATCTCAACTGTGTCCTCCTTCAGCTAATTATTTCGTTTTATCTCATTACTAATCTTCTTTCCACACTGACGGCCTGGATCATCTGATCTGTCCCCCTAGGTGGTCCATCAGATGATGGTTTGAAGAGCAACTTCGGCCCAAACTGACAAAAATTAAAAAAAACCCTGATGTCAGCACAGTAACATATGACATCTCACACTGTCAAAGGACACCATAACATACTCTATCATACTTTACCATATGATACAATACCATCAAAACAATACCATACTATATACGTATGATGTCTTACATACCCATGCTGTACTATACTATTCATTATCATACAGTAGGGTGTGATACGGTGTCCGTCAATGCAATGCCATAGGATATGATACAACATCATAAAGGAAGATACAACATATTACTTTATCATATCATGGGATGTTATAAGTAGTGGAATGCCATACCATCAGATATGATCAAATAAGATGTGGTAAAATAGGATGTAAAACGATAGGTGTGAAACCATATCATTCCTAATGAAGGGCATTGCCTTATTTTAATTATCAATAGGATATGAATCCATGCAATGCAGTACAATACCACAGGAAGAAATGCAAGAGGATTAAAACAATACAATATGATGCACTACAACAGACTATAACACTATACAGCAGCCTATGAAATGACATTAAACAGTAGGAGTCAACATGATCCAATCAGCGCTATATACCAATAATATAATACAATACAGTATGATTATATAATATGACATGATGCGGTACGAATGACAACAACATACACAGGATAACGCAATACAAAAATAGAGTATGACACATACAGTTGATTAAGTATGATATGAAACAGTATGCTCTTCCTGTTCCCCAGATCACTGCTTCACCTGTGTCCCTTTTGTAGCATTTACCTGTCTATTTTCCTTAAGTGCCCCTTGTGGTGATTGTGCAAGTGACTATACAGATACAACACAAACAATACAAAAGTATTACAATACAATATGATACAATGTTATATGACACGATAAAATACAAAAGTATACAATACATTATGATACGATACAAACAGAAACAATACAATATTATACATTACAGTATGGTATGATATGATACTACACGACACAACATGATAAGATATGATACATTACACAGTACACCACATAATAGTCATTACAGTAAAATTATGATTCACTACTATAAGATATGATATAATATTAACGATACACTTGGTTATTGTACGTTGTCTACCAGGAGAAAGAAGACCTGTGTGCACTTGTGTGCTGCATGTTACAGCTGCCTGTCAGCAGGATTCGTAGAACAGCAACTTATGACTGACATGTGAATACAAGAGTTTAGTGAAGCTTAAGCTGTCAAGAGTTCATAGACTGTTGTGTAACAGACTGAAATTGATACTGATGCCTCTTCATGTCCCACAAAAGCAAATGGGACTATCAGCAACAAGGTTTAAAATCTTATATTTGGAGTTTTCATGTCTGAAACAGCAGTGAGGGGCTCAGCACGTTGAAGAAACAGCCTTTCTTAACAACTAAAAGAGCAAATACTCTCTATGGACGGGACAGTGAACTGGAAAGAATGGTGACTCTGTCAGGATGGAAACATATACCTTTGTATGTACAACACCATAAAATAAATCAATTAAGATAACAATATTCGCCCAAATGGGGACTGGTGTACAGAGTGGTTGTGTTACGCATAATAGTATAATTTATGTGGTTTACCTGTACGTAAGGTTAATGGACCGCAGACAGAGACAGAGAATACAGGCTGGAAACAAACCGTTATAGAATCACACTGGTGCTGAAAACCTTTCTTATTAGATCAACCAGAGGGACTGTTCCCTGTGAGGAAACACACACACACACACACACACACATGCGTGCGCACACACACACACACAAACGCACACGAATGCACACACAGGAAGGCTGCTCCTGCATGAACTGCATGACATCATATGATCTCATTACTGAAGCAGTCAAGTCTGACACACAGACCTGCAGAGACATGACCCACGCACACACACACACACACACACACACACACACACACACACACACACACACACACACACAAATGTGCACACACGCATTCGCGCACACACACACACAGCAGAAGCAGCAGTACCTTATTTAGTACACCGACATATCAACATACCATAAACTTTTTTTGTCTTTGGTTTCTTTGAATGAGATTTATTTATTTTATTTTATTCTCATCTGTGATTTGGCAACACCTGACAAAAAAAAAAACATGAGATAAGGAGACACGTTTGAACAGGTTCCAGGTGACATAGTCAGGTTTTCAGTCAAGTTGTTTATATTTAGACCCAAACTCTGCAGGATTTATGGGCAAATAGAAGTCGTCCCGCTTTGGGTGTTTGGATGAAGCTGAAACCTGAGGCCACTGCAGTGAGGGTTTATGCAAAACTCTTCATGGATGGAAGGAAAGAAACACAACAATGATAAGGAACAATTCACGCACAGTTGTTTGTGTTGTGCTCCGCCTTGGTCTCCATGACCACGCTTCATTTTCACTTCCTGATTGACTGTAATGGCACCACAAGCATCATCAGCAAAAATCCCCATTACACAATCAGACACCAGCAATGTGCCAACGTTCATCCTCCATATTCATATTCTACTGTATGAAAGTCTAGTACACTCTTTAAGGTCTGAAAATGTGATTAAGCATGGCTTATTCAGTGAATAAGTATTTTTAGCTCAAATGTCTCAGTTAGAGAAGACCACCCAACTGTATTCATGAGTCAAAGAGTAAAGTCATGAGGAGATTTAAACTGAGATGGATTCCTTGAAAAAAAAAAAATATATAAAATAGTGAAAGATTTGAGTTTAAATATTTACTTTCCATATATGCGCTTCACATAAAGAAACTTATTCAGATGAAAAAATACTAGACATTCATTGAAATTAGCACATCGTTGACTCTGGTCTGATCAGAAGTGTGTTGTTTGGTTACCAGGAAGCTCAAGTGTAAAGAGCGGAGACAAAAGTCAGACAGAATGACTAAAATGTAAACAGAGACTGCAAACAGCCTGAAACACAACCTCATACAGAGAACTCTTCATCTCTCTCTATCTCTATCCCATCTGTAACCTCAGTATCATCTCTATCTCAACCTACATTTCCTTCTTTATCTTGCCTTATTTCTGTTACTAGTCTCTATCTGTGTTTCTTTCTCCTGCACAGTGCCTTCTTCATCTCTATTTTCTATATCTCTATCCATTCTTATCTCCATCTGCATCTCTTCCAGATTTTTTTCTTTTGTTGCACCTCAGTTTCTATCCTCACCTGTTAGTATTTGCATCTCGCTCACTGTCTCCATTTTTCTTGCTCTTTCTCTGTCTCCATCTCTATCTCTGCTGTAGCTCCTTATTCATCTTCATCTCTTTTTTCCACCTCTATCTCTATTACTATATCAGTCTTATCTGCAGGTTCTTTTTATCTATATCTCCATAATTATCTCTTTATCTATATCCATTTCTCTGTCTATCTCCTGCCTAACTTTTTTTCCTATTTCCATCTGTATTTTGTGTGTCATCTCCATCCCCTTCCTTCTTTCTATCACTGCTCATCTCTGTCTTTGTTTTGTCTTTCTTTTCTGTCTTGACTCCACACCTAACTCTGTCACCATGGTTTCTTCACAGATGTCTCTGTAACTAGTCTTATTTCAACTCTGCTTCTCTTTCATCTCATCTTTTTCTTCTCATTGTTTCCATCTCTATCCCTCAGTCATCTGTATCTCATCTCTTTTTTGATATCTAGCTTATCCTAATATTCGTATCTGTGCATCATGGCTCCTGTTTTTTTATTTTTATTTTTTCTGTCTCATCTTCAACTTCTTTTTCCATCTCTATATATATTTCCATCTCAGTCCTTATCGTCTTTTCAGTCACAGACTTTTAATCTTTGGTTCTTTTTCTCAATCTTTATACATGCCTCTTTTCCCATTTCCATCATGTTTTTATCTCTAGCTCAGTCTTTTCCTCCCTCTTCATCTCCTTTATATTTCTATCTATTTTTGTGTCTCTATCTTCCTCTACCCCTAACACAGCTCTAGTTGGTTGTCAGCTGTCCAAAATGAAGAGCAGGTCAGATGGTTTGTTTTAAACTGACCCTGAACTTGATTAAACTCTGACATAATAAAGGCCTGAACACACACTGACAACAGACACCTCCCACTCACACTTCCCGTTCAGAGAAGTACTGGGGTGTTTGCCACCACACCCTCAGTCCCCCAGTCACTGTGGTCAGTATTTGGTAGATCTACAAGGGTGAGAGGCTGAGAGTGTGAGAGGGGTATTCATATTTCCACATTTAGGTTTAAAGACAGCAGAGGAAACCACAAACAGGTTGAGTTTTTCATCATCATGCTCACTGTCACTATACGTTGTAATTCCCCTCAGTCCTCCGCATGTTTTCACTCTTGAAAAATTCACCTGCAGACTTCTCATTCACTGAGTGGATGCATTTATCCACAGAGGTCTGAAAACTGAGAAAAAAGGAAGTTTCTCAGGAGAGCATGTCCTTCAGTCAGTGATTCAGCTTTATTTTGTGAAGTACTTGCTTCACAAAAAGTTTGATTCCTCTCTCGTGTGTGTTGTCAGATTTGATGCTATAAATAGGAGCAGCTTTTCAAGACTAAAAGAGACCACATGCATAAATCTGGCTTGTTTAACTCCTTGACAAGTTAAAAGATACGCTCCCTTTGTAAATGACTATTTTTTTCACAGAGCACCTGGTCAAGAAAATACTACATATCACCCTGACAACAACATTATAAGAAACTTTTGAACTTACAAACTTTATTAGTGTGGGAGAGTTTCCAATGTTTTAACAGAGACAGAGATTTTGTACACATTTAGTGCTTAATTTAAACTCTTTATTGATTTCATGAAGTATTCTATCATGTGTGATACTGGATTTATGCTTTCGTTAGCTGTCCAAAGACATCAACAAAAAAAGGCTAATTATATTTAATTTTACATGCCACAAATGAATATCTGAAATTCTCCCTTTGACTTATTTATGATAAAGAGATGTATATATTGAAGGATATATCATCACTTCAACCACAAAACAACAAAAGATCATGTGTGTTTAAAACGCTCTTTAATAACAATCCACCCTGTCACTGTAAATGTGTCGGAGCTCAAATTCAGGGCAAGTTCAGTAGTCTTTTATCTGGAGGCTGTTGGTGGAGATGCTGGATGTTGATTTCAGCATCGAAACACCCTGAAAGTTTGACCCACACAGCCTTTAAAGTTCTGCTGTTTGGGTTAAATCACAGCTGGGGAAGTCACAGTTTGACCCAGTGAACACAGATGTACCTGACATTTAAAATTTAAAAGGAAGAGGGGGAGGAAAAAAACACACACAAACCTCATGTTTCTAAATAAGTAAAATCATCAAGCTGCAGATGAACCCAAGTGTCTGATGTCTGATTTAAAATAAGTCATTTAGTCCTTGAAACATCTGGGTCTCTCAGACGTTGTTTCTGCTGTAATGTGTGTCTTTGTGTGTCTTTGTGTGTCTCTGTGTGTGTGTCGCTGGTCACCAGAAACAGGCACAAACTGTACGACCATTTTTGGTCCTTGTTTCTTTCCCATCGTCACGCCGTCATCGTCTCCGTTCAGCAAGACCGAGATCAGGCAACGTCTGGAGGAGGTCCAGACCAAACACAGGGATCAGGTTTACAGAGTCCGAATACAGGGACCAGGACTACAGAGTTCATACTTGGGGACCAGGTTTACAGAGTCCAAGCACATGGACCAGGTCTACAGAGTTCAAACACAGGGACCAAGACTGATAGAGTCTGAACAGAAGGACTACCAGGGATAGTAAAAGTCCCCACAGAGCTGATATCTGACCCTCACATAAAGCTGGATTCAGCCTGGGTTTGGAGGGTCCTCTGACTTAAATCTCTGTTTTATGTCACTGAGTCCCCCTGAGGAGTCCAAGCTCAGGGACCAGGGCTGATAGAGTCCAAAGACAGGGACCGGGACTACAGAGATCCTTGTTTTTTAGTCACTTAGTCACCCTGAGGAGTGGTGATCTCTCTTCCTGATCAGGGCTGTGTGTATGCAGAAGACTTTATCTTCTTTCCTGGACTTCATCCCTTTGTCTAAGTGCATTGTCAGGTCCATTTATAGCAGATGATCTCAAAGGGGTGAGATATCTGGACTTATTACGGGTGCTGCAGGGTCTCTGAGATGTTAAACAAACTGTGTTATTTATAAAAAAGGAGGTTTAGATTCCTCACATTCCTCGGCTACAGAGCAACATTTGTTCTGCATTATTAAGAGTTCAGATATGAGCTCATTGTTCTTTTTTACTGTAAGTATGAGCTAAGTGGGGCACGGAGGGCAGGGACTTTAGATTTATAGAGCAATAGTGCCCCCTGTCGGTCATTGTGGAGATTGCATTAAAAACAGCATTAAAGGAGAGCAGAGCTTTTCGACTTTTCCTCTTTTTGCAGAAGATTTTGATGCGATCTGTTTATCTGTTTCATGTACAAGATGTTTCATGATTTCACAGTCTAGATTTAGATTCAGATGAAAGTTTTTTTTGTTGTCAGTCAAAAAGCTCACTGTTAAATCAATAAATTATTGTCAACGAGAAGACACACAAGCTTGTGTGAAGCTTGTGTACTTGTGTGAAGTAATCTGAGCGTTTTCACAGCCTCCACTGAATTGTGGTTATTTGACAAAGCATCAATCTACAGTTTTGCCTCTTAAAGTATTTAAAAAGTTAAAGTCAAGTAAAGAAAAATCACACTCTCGAAAAGGGGAAAATTGGGGATGAAGAGGATACATCCTGGATTATACAAAAATACCCATTTTAATGGATATAAAACGGTCTTCTGTACACGGATTGGCTATCTCAATGAGGCCTTGTAATGCTCAGTCACAAAACTACAACTCCCAGCATACATTAGAAACTTGTGAACAGTCACTGCGTGGTTTAAAATGCGTTTTAATGTAATTCTCTCACTGTCATATCGCTGAAGTATCGTAAATAAAGTATTCTGAATAAAATAAACGCGTGAATTGTTAAAAACTATATTTCCCAGACTGCATCTGTCCTTATGACGCAGCGGAAGTCTCTTCTTCTTCCTTTCCTCCATTAGGTGAGTGCGTGGTGGGAGCGCGATCTCCTCAGCTCTCTGTAAATGAGGCAAATAAAAGCTTATTTTCACATATCGAGTCACTGATTTCAGCTTGTAACACCTTTTTATTTGTTAATTTACAGATTGCAACCATGGGCCGCCGACCAGCCCGCTGGTAAGTCCTGTTTTTATGTTTGTGATCTGAGCCGAGTCTGGGCAAAATGGCTCCGGGTTCAGAGTCACCATGTGGACGGAGCCGGCAGGCCCCTGACTGTATGTAGGGCTAACGTAGAGCAAGAAAACTGACCTTTTTGTACAGGATACAGGTGGATTAATGTTTGAATCTGCGTAAAGTATGTTAATGTGACTGCAGCAAACTCGTTGTTGAAGCTAACGTTAGCTAACATGAAGCTAACTCAGTCAGGACAGAAGTCTGAAACTTCGACAGAGTTACTTATGGGAACAGTTTGTTTCATATTATATACTTGTCATAATTCCTGTGTCAAGTGCGTTATTAATATTTTTCGGAGTTAACGTTTCAGACCTCACTGTCTCACTTGAGGACAGAGTCACAAAAAAAAAACTCTAGTCTCCTCTAAAGTCTAAATGACAACCCTGATCTCAATGAGATCTCTTAAGAGTCTAAATAACGCTGAAAGATCACCTGTATACTTACGTTGTTGCAGTTGGACTTTCAGATGGACTGTAAAGTCTTGAATCAGATCTCAGTCCTGACACATGGGCACGGTGCAGTAAAAAGCTGATGGTTTGATTCCTGCTCATTTCATTAACCTGAAAACCACTCTGCGATCTCTTCATTTACATGTCTGTGCGATCTAAAGTCTACATCCCTCAAACTCACACCTGCTGCTGAAAATCATGACAACACTGAGTGTGGATCATGACTTAAACCAGTAAACAAGCTGCTCCCTCATCATGTCAGCTTTATATTAGTTTCACCAGCTGAAGCAGAGGTCTAATGTTGAAAATGGCAGGCGATGAAGGAGCTCCCTGAATTTGTTAAATACAGACTTATAATATTGGGAGACATGATTAATTTACCTGAATGTGCATCTTAGCATGAGCTCAGCTGGAATGTTGTACTAGTTAACATGGCTGCCTTTCAGTGGATGAGCTTCCGTCTGTGTCTGAAGTGTCTTTGCTGTAGGGCGCCCATTTGGCCAGTGGAGCAGATCCCATAAGTCCAACTTCTGTGTAATGAAACTCCCAGAGACTGATGTTGCTGTTAAGATCTGAATTTCATGTACCGTATCAAATCCAGAAACCTCAGAAATGTATGACCTGTCCTAGTTGCATCAGGTTCTTGACACTCAAGCCTAGACCTGTCTCTGTATTGTATTTGTGGATAGTAAGAAGACGACAGAGTATTTCCAAAGTAAAGCAGCTGCAGTGATCAGTGACCGTTATGATTCAAATCTCATGTTTTAATTCTCTCCCACAGCTATCGCTACTGCAAGAATAAACCCTACCCCAAGTCCCGCTTCTGCAGAGGAGTGCCTGGTAAGCTGATCTTGTACTTGATTCAGCATCAGTGTTATCCTCTCAGTGATGGGAGTCTGTTGGATCTGTCAGTTTAAACCGTTCAGTTGTTACGTTATGTTAAGTTTTTTGGCTCGTGAACAGTGTGTCTAATGTAACGAGTCTTTCATTCTTGGCTCTGCAGCTTATTAAGCCGACCAGTTGTGCTTTCTGTGCGTCTCTGGTGTGCAAAGGCTGCAGACAGTGACTCTGTGGTTGTGTATGTCCTCAGCTGGGAGGTGCTGAGTGCTTTAAGGGACCGCTGAGACAGAGTTATTGGACATCATTAACAGCTCACACTTTGTATATTAGCATCAGTGTTATCACAGCACCTTTGCACCAACACACTGAACTCCACAGCAGTGTGACATTTATGTCCCAGAGTTCATGTGGTTCTGCATATCCACATTCAGACTTGCCCTTAGTTCTCTTTCATCTCTCTTGAATCAGGTTTTGCTGTAAACTTCAAGTGTCAAGTGTTTCATTTCTCCTTCCTTTTCTCCCTGAATTTAGATCCTAAGATCAGGATCTTCGACTTGGGCAGGAAGAAGGCCAAGGTAGATGAGTTCCCTCTGTGCGGCCACATGGTCTCTGACGAGTACGAGCAGCTGTCTTCAGAAGGTGAGAACACAGTGAGCTGACGGGACCCCTGCAGAGATAGTAGAAACCTTTGTCTCTTGATGCTTTCTCAAACGCTTGATAACTCTCTGAAGCTCTAACATCTTCTACGTCTCCTCCTCTATGCAGCTCTGGAAGCTGCCCGTATCTGTGCTAACAAGTACATGGTGAAGACCTGCGGAAAGGACGGTTTCCACATCCGCATGCGTCTGCATCCCTTCCACGTCATCCGCATCAACAAAATGTTATCATGCGCTGGAGCTGATAGGTGAGAATCTGAGTGGATCTGCTGCTTCATGCTCACATAGAAACTTTCAAAGTTACAGGTCAGGGACGCAAAGGTTTTAGGGGCAAATTTTTACAAGCGAGAATGTGTCTGTGGAGAATAAATAACAGTTTTTACTTAAATAACTTGTACTTTTCCTTTGGTTGTTATATGTCAGAATTCAGAGTCACCACAAGGTGCTTTGTGTTGTCATTATAAAGTATTTATATACATTAAAAATTCTAAATAAGTTCACATATTCATCATTAATTGCCCTCTGCAGGCTCCAGACTGGGATGCGTGGTGCTTTTGGCAAACCTCAGGGCACCGTGGCTCGTGTGCACATCGGTCAGGTGATCATGTCCGTTCGTACCAAGGCCCAGAACAAGGAGCATGTGGTCGAGGCTCTGCGTAGAGCCAAGTTCAAGTTCCCCGGACGCCAGAAGGTAAAAAAAAAAACACCTTATATCTGAATCTGCACTGGAATTCTGAGGTCTTTATTCTCTCTTTAGCTCTCTGAAGGATCAGGGTTTTTTTGAATGTTTAATTATGCATCTTTATCAGCGTTTTAGCGGTTAATCTCTGCAGCTTATTAAGCCGACCAGTTGTGCTTTCTGTGCGTCTCTGGTGTGCAAAGGCTGCAGACAGCGACTCTTTGGTTGTGTATGTCCTCAGCTGGGAGGTGCTGAGTGCTTTAAGGGACCACTGAGACAAACAGCGACTACCTCAGATCTGTAAATGTGTTTTTAGTACAGTTAAATGCTTCTTTAATAACCCTGACTTTATACCTCCTTCAGATCCATATTTCCAAGAAGTACGGCTTCACTAAGTTCAACGCCTGCGACTTCGATGACATGATGGCGGAGAAGCGTCTGATCCCTGACGGCTGCGGCGTTAAGTACATCCCCAGCAGAGGCCCTCTGACCCGCTGGAAGGCTCTGCACGCCAACTAAAGCTGCCGCAGGTGTTACATGACAACCAATAAAGTGGGGTTGATTACAAAAGTGATTGTAGTGATGCTGTGATTTATTTCATTTATTCAAACACTGAATCTGATTCTCTTAACAAAGACTTTCACTCCTGCTGACTGCTTCATGATTGCACAAGACTTTTAAAAAAAACCATCAGTGCACAATATGCAAGCTTCAAGCTGACAGTTTTAAGGAGTGTGATAGGAACTCTGAAGTGAGGTAACACTAATGCAAATGAAATCTAGTAGCGGAAAACAAACTCTGATTAACTTGGCCCTTAAATACATGTAGAAGGGCTGTTTGCATATGCACGTCAATATTCTGCAGAACTACAGCTCTTGTCTTTTATGGCTATAATGTTTGCCACATTTATCAAAACAGGTGTTACAAAGTGCTTCACAAACAAGAGCCTGAGATATAGTGATAATCTGATACAAAATAGAAAGATAAACCAAAATAAAAACCACATAGCTTAAAACACCATGAAATCGGTCCTCAAAGTGGTTAAAATAATGGCTAGATAAAAACAATGAAACAATAACAACAAATAAAGCGTCATGAATAAAACAAAAATCAAGAAGGCTTTCTTGATAAAACCAGGTTTTTACTGAATGTTAGTCTCCTTTAGTTTTGAATCTAAACTGGAAACATTCAGGAGGTTTTTGCTGGAGGATCTGAAGCTGTCCAAAGGTTGGACCATGAAGTATTGTAAAAATAATGCTGTTCTAATCTCTCTGTAAGTGTACAGTTATTAAAACCACAGTGATGTGCTCCCTTCTCTTAGTTTTAGTAAAATGTCTAATCGCTGAATTTTGCTCCAATATGACATTTGGACCCTTCAGATCTCACGGTAATCATCTTATGATCCTGATTTGAAGTTTTCTGCTGCAAGATGAAGAATGTCAGAGTCTACTTGTGACCTTTGGATGAATGTAACATGTTCATGGAATCGACTCTCAGTTTCGGCATTTGTATTCTTCCTGCTGCAGACACTGAAGGTTAACCTATATCTGATGGAAGGAAGGTTGATACCCAGCAGTTCAAGATAAGGCAGGACTGTGAGGAGCAGAAAAACCTTCATGCTATGAAAGAGATCCATGTGGTCTGACCTGGTTTGAAAGATCTAATCAAAGCTCGTCCCAATTACTCAGGATTTTGGATGATAACAGTGTTTTTGTTCCTTTTTTATTGAAGCAGTGATTAAACAGTATTCAAACTTTTCACAGATGATGGGAGGAAAGGAATTGATTGAGAAATGAGACCGAATGAAAATATGAAAAGGAATTTGGTTGATCACTACAGAAAAAAAAACTAGGAAAAAAAAAAGTCAGAAGAATCAGGGAGAAGTGACGAGGACAAACCATATTTATTTATTTTTTTAATGGAAACTGGTCTGATTATAAGATACCATAGACTGTATATAAGATACATTTAGACTGGGACACTGTAGGAGCTAACTGAGTCCACAAGATGGCAGCAATGTACACCAAGAAGAGAATGTAGAAGAAGAAGAAAAAGAGGAAGACAAGTGTTCTGGATCTGGGTGTCAGGAACAGAGTCCTTCATTGAAAACAGAGCTAGATTTAGGGAGGAGAGCAGAGATCTGTGTGGGCTGAGACACAATCCAGTTCAGTACCAAGTAGTTTTAAGTACAGCTAGTGTCTGAAATGTTGTCACACTCAGGATCAGGTCTCAGGTGTTGGGACAGGTGTTGGTCAGTGTGTTTCTTTCAGGTTTCACATCAGTCAGTGTTTTTCTAGATGACCTGGTTGGAAAGAAGTTGCTCCTTAGACTTTAAGGGCTCTGCAGTTCTGGTTATGATTCTGTACCACCTTCAAAACCTCCAAACCAACATGGGAACACCTGAGGCACAGCACGTGAGGTAACAGGAGCATGATGTATAAATACATGTGTGAAAGTTGTTACCTGAGCAGATGAACTGAGCTTGAAACATGTTTTATTTTAAGGATAAACGAAAGTGAGGGGAATTAAAAATACAGAGAGAACTATCTCAGAATTATGAGAATAAACATGTTCTGGCCTGTTTATCTGAATAGACCAGATAAGTATCTCCTTAATTTAGAGAAAAGAAGGACAGAAGTCTGTATTTATGAATAGTGAAAAGTTCATAAATCTGAGATAATTCACTTAATTCATAAAACCTTTTTTTCCCCTTCAAGTTCTGTAGAGTGGGGACTGTGTCGCTCTCTGCGCAACACTCAAATGTAAAAGTTATGAAATATGTGAAAAATTGAGTGCTGCTGAAATATGATTGGATTAATGATCATATTTAAACATGATGTTGAAATAATTCCTGCTATAGAAAACACATTTTCTCTCCTGATGTTGAGACTTTATATGTGGTCAATTCTGTAACTTGTTACGCAGCTGAAACCTGCTCAGATCCTCTGTTGAGTCTATCACAGGCTGTTTCTGAGAGTCTAATAAGAGGAAAACACGATTTTCACTTCTTTATATAACTTATAACTTTGGAGAAGTGCTGAAAAGTGAATCATATTCAACCTCAATTATGATCATAATATTCTAGTTAACTACAAACTGATTTTAAATTTCTCCGGCACAGGATGTGATATCATCAAAAATCTGATTCAGTTTCTCTTGTAAGAAAAAAAGGAAAACACAAGGTTATTTTTAGAGACGGTGTCCTCCCTGTTTCTCCTCTAGTAGACTCCTCCTGCTCTTTTTCTTTACGCCTACTTTTTCAAAACTGTTCAGAGGGAGGAGAGTTTAAGATCTACCTGTAAGATACTGTGGATTTACAATCTACTCCCAGGAACCACCTCTTAGCCTGCAGGTTTATCCAGACCAACCCTCATGTACGGGGGTCAAAGCCCAACCTGATCTCTGAGTTTTAGTTCCACTCAGCTGCTGGCAGTCCCTCCTACAGGAAAAACAGAGAGAGAGAGTTTCCAGTTTCACTACAGCGGAGGAGGAGACACAAGCGCAAACAACCACAGTGGGGAGACTACAGAAACTACAAGGAAACAGCAAAAAGAAGACCAAAGAGAGACCAAGGAGGGACGACAGAGAGACCAAAGAGGGACTACAGAGAGACTACAAAGAGACCAAAGAGGGACTACAGAGAGACCTAAGAGGGACTACAGGGAGACTACAGACAAGCTGTAGAGGGACTACAGGGAGACGACAGAGAGACTTCAAGGAAACAACAGAGAGATCCAAATCGGTTTGTTTCTTCATTCCCCTATAGAGTCAAAAACAGATTAGAGTGTGATGTGTAAACTGAGATCTGTGTGTGTTTGTGGTTGTGTGTCAACACTGAGGTAAACTGTGAGGTAAAGACACTGAACAAACACTCGGCTGTTGAGATCAGTTTTTCCAGAAAGAAGTCCACCAGTTTAGTTAAGTTAGGTTAGTCTAGTTAAGTTTAGGGTTTTATGTGATTAGAAACAGAAGTGTTACCAGCTGCTATGTTGTCCTGTTTGTCTCCCTCACCCTGAATAACCTGTTTGTATATGAAACCCCCTTCTTATTTGCTGTCATGTTAACATCTGCAGCAGACTGAAGGCTGCAGGTGTTTGTGTTTGTCAGTCTCAGTTGGCTTTATGAGTGTGCGTGTGGTAGCCTATCTCTATGGTGGCAACAGAGAACATTTCACTTGAGGCTAAAACGGTTAAAAATAAAGGGCAAAAATACCTCATGAAACACAACAAAGTTTTACTGAAAAAACTGTCTCTCAAGACAAAAGATGTTTCATGAAAAACAAAAACTGTGAAAGCATTTTCAAAATTTCTCATTTTACTAACAGTGAAAGCACTTATTGAACTGTATGAACGTTTCACAAACAAAATGAAGACATCGGACTGAAGAGCAAAACGTGGCGCTGTCAGACAGCTGTCTGAACCAATCACAGTCAGATTTTGTTTGATGATATCACAAGAGCCCCTTTCAGCTTATTCTTAAACAACCAAGATGGCAGCCTCTGTCGCTGAGAGGTCTGATGAATCTGTATTGATGTTTTTTTTAATAGAAAAAGACCAAAAGCTGCTAGTTTCCATCGGCCTTTTGTGTGCAACCATTGCTGCCCCTCTCTCATCATGAAAATGTTGTGAATTGATCTGAATCAAACTAATTTCTAAATGTGATGACGCCGTGCCACAAAATTCCACCAAAAATGCTAAAATTCGTCATGAAAAAATAAAACTTTTTTTTTTAACAAATGCAAAACTATATCAAATGCAGAACCAGTTACTGTTTTGTGAAACAATTTTATGAAATGCACAACTATGCACAACTAAATTAACACATTTAATAAAAAAACGAGACAACCCCCCCCCAAAAAATAAATAAATAAAATAAGATTAAATTAAATTAAATAATAAAAAAAAAAGTTTACATGTCATGAAATCTCATGTTTTGAAACCTGAAATGTTCAAGGAAAAGGATCACACTTAATCTTCTTTTTTGTATGTTTTGAATTGTTTTCTGGTGTTTGGTGAAATGTTTGTGCGGTGGACCTTCAGGGCCACCATACTCCCCTGATTGTGTCAGGTTTAACTTGAGGCCCAGTAAAAATCCTGTCCGGGACAACTCTCATTCCCTCAGAATGACTCTGGTTTCTGAATTTAGCAGACAGTTACAGCTGTGTTTGACGGTCTCCTGTCACTGACGATCACAGAGACTTTGACGTAGAGATGTAAATAAACTCAAACTACTCTGATAAGTTATTAATGTCACTTTCAGGAAACAAAATGTTGAAATTCTGTTTTCAGTACTCAGACTGTTTTAGTATGAATTGGAGGAATAAGTAAGGATATGTGTCTCTTATTTCTATGTAACCTTTTACTCATAAAGATCAGAGGCAATGTAGTCCAGTCACCAAACATCTGAGTCTTAAGAGTTTAAGTTGAGCCACCATCACCAAGGGAGGATCTGTTAGACTCACTTGTCAGGTGACATCAAGACCATAAAGTAAAATCATATCATATATACATTAAATATGATAAGCTGTTTTCCTGACAAAATATCACTTAGAGACTGTCAGCGAACTCCCTCCCACGCCTTTCAGCTTAAAGTCATTCTCAGAATTTGAGGAAATGATCTACGATCACATGAACTAAACAGGAAGTTCTTCAGAGAGAGCTGAGTCAGAAATAACGCAGTGATACCCAAGAGTGAAGAGGGCTGGGTTTTTCCTGCTGTTGATGTTTAACCCTTTAAATTACTCAGTATAGAGCTGTGGAGGTCACTTTATTGATCCCAACAAACACAAAGGACTCTTCTGACGGTGAGATTAGTTAATCAGTTGTGAAATGTAAAACAAGATCAAATCCACACTCTCAGCTTAGACAGAAATGAGTATTATACACAGCAGATACTTAAATCTGACAGTAATCAAGTAGATATAAACTCATGATATAAACTTACCAAATGTAGCAGATGCATACAAAGTGAAACACATTTACGAGCTCTAGCACTAATACCTTTGAACTATTATACTGGAAATACTTAAGTTAAGCCCCAGGACTGGGTTTTACCTCCACACTAGATCTCAGATTGGTCAAGTCAAGACCTACAAAAAGGCCATGGTGTTTGTCAGTCAGCTGTTTGAACCATTTACAGGCTCCATTCTTGAAATAGTTCCTCATCTGATATTGATCTGATCCCCCCCAAATTAAGTTAACATGTTGTAAACACACTGAACGTTAAAGTTGGTAAAAGGGCGTGATTGTGATTTAAGGCCAAAGTTTAGGACAATTTGTGAAAACAGAATTTGATGTTACTCCATGAACATCATTCAATCATCTTTAAATGTTTACATATGATAGATGTCCCAGCCTGACCACACCATGCAAATATTTGCCTACAGTCATTGTGCCCCCTCCTTTTCCTGTACCCCTCCCACCCTGTTAATGTGGATAGTAGAGCCATTAGACCCTCAAGATGCTTTACTGTGAAAACTGTGAAAGGATGCTTTTCTGGTGGTGCATTTGAGTTTGATACTTAGCCATGACACAATAGTTTGATCTAACACCTTTATACAATGTTCAGTCTGCCTCAGACAGCTTGGACACTAACTTGTGTCATTTTACCACCTCTAGTCAAAGCACCACCTGGTGGGAAGGGGCAACAATAACATAAACACAACACTTGATCATCACCAAATAGAACATAGATCATCTGACAGCCAGTGTCATGATCTCAAATATGAGAAAAATGTGTTTGTTGATGACACACTAATCATAGATATTCCTTCAGATCCTGTTTTTTTTTTTTTTTTACATTAGGTCAAAGTTTTCCTGCAGCTGTGCATCATGAGGTCTTCATCCCTCCTCCTCTTCCTCTCCTTCCTCCTTGGAGTGTGTGAAGTTCAAGGAGCTGAGAAAAAAGAAGACTTCAGGATCTGTGCATTTAACCTTCATCACTATGGAGAATCAAAGTCAAAGAAGAGCAACGTCATGCACACGCTCTCCAGGGTGAGACAGCTATGATCGCTCATTTCAAGTTCAGTTACTTTATGTTACTGTGACATTATTCAGTGTATAATGATGAATAAACATGGTGCTCTGTAAACATCTGTATCAGGACAAATACTCAGAGTCAAAATGTGTGCCTCAGAAACACCTTTTTGTTTTAGGTCACAGTTTGATGTGACACCTGAAGACAGCTGATGAAAACTAACAGTAGAAAACCACAAATTCAGTTTGTCGCAAAGTAAGAGATTTTTTCAGGATTTTCACCAACAGTTCCCACCTGAACTATACTCAGAGACTTTTCTGGATCTTCTTTGCAGAGAGAAACTTTCACAGACTGATTAATAATTGAAGAGAAAAATCATTGACCAAGTTAACTAAGGCTGGCCCTGCTGAGTCTGCTGCTTTTTCAGACCTTTTCTCTGACTGAATCATCAAGTTTGGTGAGGTTGAGAGGAGAAATCCAAACTACAGATGCTACAAGGACAGACTCTGCAGTAGAGACAGAGATGATCTGTAACACCTGCAGAAGTTTTATAAACTATAACAAGAACTCTGAGAGAGACTCTAACAAGCAGAGACACAAAAATCACCCTCATACCCAGCATGCAACTTTAATTTTTCCCTTGTTGTATCAAAATGTAAAATCAATCTTTACTGTTTCCTGTTTCAGATCATCTCTCGCTGTGACATCACTTTGCTCCAAGAAGTCAGAGACAGTAAAGAGAAAGCTATACCCGTGCTGATGGACCGACTCAACAGGTCAGAAATCACAGTCAGACACACATGAATGGGGTGCGAAAGTTAGGGCAAATTAAAGGTCTCACAGAGCTCGAAACAAGGTCAGAAAAAAAGGCGTCAGACAAACTAACACAAGATAAGCTCTGGACTAAACCACCTCAGAAAAAAACAAAAAAAAAAAAACAAAACAAAACTTGTTCTGTCACAGGCACATCTCCAGATAAGAAGGTGCAGAAAAACCAGCTTCAAACAAAACAACATCACCTGCCTCAGACATCACTCTAGACAAAACTGTTTTCTTGGATGTTAAAAAATACTGCATTAAATGAAATAACGTCAGAAATCACAGATTGGACTATTGTCTGTGCTGCTGTTGCATCCTGATGACTGTCGTAGTTTTCCTCTCTCTGCTGTGTAAAATCAATGACAGTTTATGAACCGTGGAAGATAAAATAAAACAGATAAATATGTATTTATTTTGACTCATGACTAAGGTTTTCTGATGTTTTAAATCTGAGGTCTTCCTCTTGACTCATATGAACTCTTAACAGATGTCTTTCTGTTCACCTTCATCTCCTCTCACAGATTTATTGATAGGTGTGTTTTTCTTGAAGGTATGATACGGCGCACCAGTACAGCTTTGTGGCCAGTGAGAGACTCGGCAGGTCAGAATCTTACCAGGAGCAGTATGTGTTTGTCTACAGGTGAGTTTACCTTTCTTTGTTCAGGGCTGTGTCTTTGTGTTTTTGAGGGGTGAGCCCCAGTGCTAGGATAAAATATAGACATTAGAGTCTGTTTTTATGACTATGTACAGAGCAGATGGTGAGTCTGACTCTAACTTCACACACCTTGACTGCAGCACTGAAGAAAGAACCCTGAATCCTAGGAGGAGGAGGACCTGCATGGATGCCATCAGATGCAGATCACCCCTGTTGTTAAAGTTGTTTCAGGAGCAAATATGAACCCTTCTTTAGAAGCTGCAGGAAGGACTCAGGCTGAAGGATGACAACCTGTTAAATGTGCAGGCAGAGAAAAACTTAACCTTGATTATATGGGACCTTTAAAGGAGGGCATCAGTCACTCCTGACCACCCCTTTCAGCATGCCCCTGTTTATGTCTGATTTCTACAGCTTGATAAAGTGAAATGGAGAGACAGTCATAAAATATAACCAGGCTGAATGTGTGTGTGTTTGTAGGTCTGACACAGTCTCAGTCACAGGTCAGTATCAGTATCCAGATAATCGACGTGGAAAAGAGGACGTCTTCTCCAGAGAACCTTTTGTTGTTCGTTTCAAAGCTCCAAAAACAGGTGGGTTCTCTCGTTCTGAGGGTCAGAAGCACCATAGTGATGATATAAATGATAATGTCAGCAGGATAATGTCATAAATCCTTCCCTCTCCCTTTTTTATTTTTAGAGATAAAAGAGTTTGTGCTCATACCTCAGCACACGTCTCCGGAGAACACCACCCAGGAGCTGGACGCTCTGTACGACGTCCTGCAGCAGGTGATAAGGATGTGGAGGACCGAGGTACAGACTCCCACTGCTGAGCTACAACACTTTAAAACACCTGGGTGGCCTTTAACCTCTGTTTGTGTTTGTGTGTGTGTGAGCAGAACGTGATGCTCCTCGGAGACTTCAACGCTGACTGTGGTTACCTGGCGAAGAAGAACAGGAAGCTTGTTCGTCTGATCACAGAGAAAAAACTCTACTGGCTCATTCCTGAAAAAGTCGACACCACAGTGAGAGAGTCCACGTCCTGCACCTACGACAGGTGAGCTCACACCCCTCAGAGGGTTTTTATAGTTTACTAGGTGAGTATAAAGATGGGTAACAGGTCTGCACCCCCCCAGGGTGAAGTTTGGGGGGTTACTTTCAATTTGTACAGAAAAAAAGAGTTAAAGTGACATCTGCTGGCTTGTATAACTCTCTTCAGTGATGGTCTGAGGCTCCAGTACACGTCTCTGAAAACAGCCAGAGAAGCTTGTGGGTAATAGAATAAAACCATCTGTGTATCCACCAACTCTTGCTTGGATGTATTAAATAACTGGTGCAACTTTAAATTATAATCTATGTTTAATCAGAAAGCTTTAGGATTTATTCCTTTTATTTGTAAGTGTTGAACATGAGTAAAAATGTTCGGTAGCTGGATGAACATCGTACTTGATTTCTTAATTGCACGATCAGTTTAAACACCAGACTTTAAACTGTCACGCTTAAGCTGCGGCACTTTGATTTGTGTTGATCTTGGCGCCCCCCTGTGGACAAAAATGTACATCTCTTCTTTTAGTTAATCTTGTCCTGTACATACCGAGGAAAAGACCTGATCCTGCTGTCTCTTAATTGTTAAATGCATCTGTCTACTATTGTTAATATTCACTGTTGAACGTGTTAGGAAAGACTGTTTTCTTTACAGTTGTTTCAGGCATTACTATTGGGAATGTACAACACTACTAGTTCCTGTGAAATGGTCTTGTTTGCTTTACTAAGTCATAGAAAGCATCATTCCCAGTTTCAATCTTTTTAAAACTCATACAAACTCCCCACAGATGTTTTAATGTCAGTTTTTGGGGTGATCATTGATTGGATTATGGTGTTTGAGCTCTGTCCCATCTGTTTACATGGAGGAGGCGGGCTTTCTATACTGCAGCCAGCCAGTAGGAGGAGCTCTAAACACTTTGGCATCACATTTTGGGATCTGTCATGCCATCCATATTTGATAGAGTCTGTAAACTGCACTGTTGTTTCCTCTCGGACAGCTGCAGACTGTTATTGCATCACTGATGAAATATCCACAGACGTCTGAGACTTTAAAGCAGCTGGTGCTAAACTTTTTAACATCCTCATCTTTAAATGATAAATATATGAAAATACAGTGAACTTTGTTCTGTTTGTTTTGCACTCAGGATTGTTGTGCATGGGGAGACCTTTGCCAGAGCTGTCGTGCCTCTTTCTGCCAAACCATTCAACTTCCAGAGAGAGTATCGACTCACGGAGGAGCAGGTAAAAACCTGCGCAGTGTGACTGAAATCAGATACCGAACATGCATGAAAATATCCTGCTGTGTAAGTCAGTTCAAATGTGTCATTGTGTGTCTTTGTTCAGGCTCTGGAGATCAGCGATCATTACCCGGTGCAGGTCTCGCTGAAGAGCAACAGCTCACCCCGTAGTGGAGGCATGAAGGAGAGCGTGCATCACTTATTGTCTCTGTTAGCGCTCAGCCATCTCATTTTAAACATATTAACACGGTAGTTACTGTGTCCTTTTTATAGTTTGTTTTTTTAGATAACAGTGTGAGTAAAATCTCTCTCCATAATTTAAAGACTCATCAAAACGTGGAGCCAAACTCTCCAAAAATATCAGATTATCACTCCACAGCATCAGCTCCATGTGCTGGTTTCAGGGTATGGATGTGAAATAGAGAATTTTTGATTTTTGACTTCATGTATTTATAATTTTTTTATATACATCATCCTGTGTTTGTTTGTGTCAGTCTGATTATTGTAAGTTTCAAAAGAGACTCAAAAAGTTATTAGATTTTTAAAAATGAAAGTTAAGGCCTGAGGAAACAAATGAATGTATCCAGATAGTGTTTGTTATGGCTGTGAGGAGCAAATTATTACATAATTATTCTTTGAAATGGTGCTGAAACAAAGAAGGAGAGTTTAAATGAGAAACTTTGCACTTTGTAAATACTTAATCTGACATTTAGATGGAATAATGTGTAAAATAAATTTGTCATGTAAATCCTAATCTGTCTGCTTACTGTTTCTGACAATAAGGAAGACAAACAATCTGAGAACCACGGGAGAGACATAGTTTCTCCTTTTTCTTGCACGTTCTTTATTTTGCCATCTTTCCTTCTCTTCTTAGTCTATCTCTTTGTTTTTCTCTCTGTTTCTATTTCTCCTCTGTTAACACACAGACTTTTCAAATGAACTAAACAGACCTGTTAATCTGTCAGGTCACACCTCTGTTTACTCTCAGCTGCATTTTTGTCCCATCTGTCAAATCGGTATACATGTTTGTGCATGTTTCCCCTCCCTCTAAACACTGCTGCAGACTGCACACAAACAGCTGACAAATTTATTCATACATTTACTTAAACATGAAAGTTTTTCATCATTTAGCAGATCATAAGTCCAGCATGTTCTCCTAAGTCTCGTATTTTTCTGCATTATAGAAAACGAACCCTAACCTTTGCAATGATTATATCCGTCCTCATCAGTTGTTTCATAACCTTTGGACTAACAGCATGTATTTCACAGTTGTGGCTTAATTTCCTCACAGCTCTGAGACTAAAGCCTTAGTAACTTACAGTGAGCTGATACTGTTTCTGCTTTCTGAACTTTATTTCAATAGGTAGCTAAAACCCAACACATCAACATGCTATGCCTCAGTAACATGAAATAAAGTTGTGATTCTGACCCTTTACTGCTGGATCATCATAAACTCAAACACCTTTTCGACTCTAAAATCTTTGAAACTAAAGGAAACTTTGGTAAATAATTTCATACAGACACCATTGTGTCACTCCATTCATTCAGAGTATTGCCCTGACGTTTGTTCAGTGTAATATCTTGTCCTCTTGTGCCCCCTTTAGGAGAAATATATAAAGCACATATGTAGTACCCTGCTGCTGATGTCAACATACACACACACACACACACACACACACACACACACACACACACACACACACATGAATATATATATACATTTTTTTTTACAGTTTTCCTTATTTTTCATACAGAGGTTGTTTGTTTGTTTTTTTTTTTGTTTGGGGGAGGTTGACTACAAAACATATTCCTTTTGTTATATCTCACAATTAACTGAGTAGACATTGAAAAGCATTAGAATATTGTCAATGCTTTGATTTTGTATTGGGCTCTGTGCACAGCTCCACTACTTCCTGAATTTAAGGCAGCTCTTTTATTTCCTGTCTTACATTATTGGACAAACTGATTAATCCAGGTGTGACTGATCATTGTGACTACTCAGACAGTAGTAGTATAGTATATACAGTATACTACAGTATGCAGTATACAGTAGTAGTAGTAGTAGTAGTATTATATACAGTCTATGGTCTGTAGCTGTTGGTGGATTTTCTTCCTCCTAAAACCCGTAGATGCCTGGGATTGAACCAAGGGCTTCGCACCTGGAGAGCATACGCATACACTCTCCAGGTGTGAAGCTGTAGATGCCATAATACACTTACACTTGCTTCAGGCCATTTATCCTATTTTGATCCTGTTAGATTATCCAACAAATGTATGGGTTTATTGATTACTGTAAATTCCTATCCAGTGTGTCTTGTTTTGTTTTGTTTTTTGCTCCTAAAATACCTTCATTTTTACTTAAGGTCGTAGGACACGTGACGTACACCTTCCCCTCCCCCACACCACACACAGCCTGTCCTCAATGTCAAAGGTAGGTTTTTTTTTAATTTACCCTCCACGATAGTTTAGTGACAAGGGTTTGAACTCCAGACTGGGTGTGTAATCTGTTTGCCCATGAACTAAAGCAGGAAGCAACCCAATGAGTGACTCTCATTTCATGTTCTTTCTCTGATGTGGAACTCCCAGACTCTGTGAGCTGTAGTTCCAGTTACTGTGAGAGATTTGGTTTTATTCCCGATCATCTGGTCTGAGGGAGAGAGGGGGCCTCTGATGTGGACTGAAGACACTCTCTGTGAGTATGCAGACTCTAATGTTGGACTTATTGCTCATTTCTAACTGAGGACTGAAAATGTTGGTGCTCTGAATGAACTTTTTAAGGTTTGAAAAACAAAACTGTGGCCTGAACAGGGTCAGTCTGGGCCTGATTCCAGTTCAGGACACAGGGTTAGATAAGGGTTCCTCACAGGCTGCTGCTCTGTCAGAAACACTTTCACTTTCAGATATTTAAGGGGATTTTTGCTGGACTCTGAGTCCTTTTTTAACAGATCAGAGTTTTTGTTTTGAGTCTAGAGAAAAGTTTAAATATCAGTTTTTCTTCTGGGTCAAATGACAGAAAGTCTTTGTTCATCCTCCCCGTATTTCATGTTATTATTGAAAGTCTGAACAGATACAGTAGGTCAGCTCTGAATCTGAATCTTCTGCAGAGGATCTTAAACTCTGAATTACAGTTTTTTACAATTGGCCTAACACAGACTCCAATACTTCTGAAAACATTTCCAAAACTGCTCACACACCAACACACCTACAACACACAACTGACAAACCAGCTAACTTCATTCTCAAAAGCTCTCACTATAAACTAAACACCTGCACTAGTTTTCAAAATGCAAGAATACACCAACACTATACACAAGATCAACCAAACACCAACACCAATTCTCTTCCATCAGAAACCTGTAGTCAGTCATTTACAGAAACTGCGAGATGTTTCAGAAGTCTGCCTCTGTGATACATGAATGCTGTATGTTTAGAATTATTTGTATATATTGTGTCAAGCTTTTCAAATCGTTAAGAAAACCAAAAACTTCTTAAAAGAAAGAAAAGAGCAGAAGTTCTCTTTTATCTCTGAGCTTTCCTGATCTCTGTATTTTTTCTGTTTTCCCATGCTGTCTTTGTTTTAGATTCATTTCAATATTCAGGTGATGTCTTCCCACCAAATCTCTGGTCTTGAGAAATGGGGCTCAACGCTGGACTTTGGTCACTGTGGATGGTATTCATGCATGTTTTAATTTCCTTTTCAGAAGTTCAGTGGTCTTATTATTATTCCTCCACACGATGCTGTCTTTTACTGACTGCACCATCCTCAAGAAGCAACATTGGAGTTATCTTTGGCTAACACTGAATTAATGGTTCTGAATTTGGGGAAGCTTGATACAGGATCTGCCATAGCACCTGAACATATTGAGTCAACAAATACTCCCATGAAGAGGAGGTCTAGCTCTAATTTTCATGACCACATGTTAATCATGTTTCCCCCCTACAAACCTTCTTCCAAATACTGGTCAAGGAGGTCCCCTGTAGTGCTGGGTTGATGGTGTCAGGCAGTAAAAAGAATGTGAAAACTTAGCATCATCCACTGGACTGCTTTTCCAAACAGTTAGACATAAAAAGGGAAACTTCACAGTAAATTTGTGAATATATTAAAAACCTCTTTATCACACTCACCATCACTGGAATATTTATGATGTTTCTCTCTGTCTCTTCACAGACTTGTGTGGTGCAAATATCCGCAGTTCAACCTCTCACCTGTAGCTGGACAGAGTATCAGGTTGGAAATAAATGCTGTGTCATGTGTGGTGAAGGTAAGACCTGCTATACAAAATATTGACTGACTGAAGGTTTATTCCAGCTGTTTGATCACAGTCAGTATTGTCATTGGTTGTATTTGGAAGATACTTTAATGCACTAGACCTCTTTCTGCAACAATCAGGAACTGACATTAGTGCACAATACTGATGAGTGTTGTAACAGCACAGGTAAATATATTCTTAAGTCTTTATCTTCAGTCCAAATTGACTGAGCCGCTTGAAGCACAGCGTGTGGTGAAGAAGAGGGGTGAAGGGACGTGGCTAACTTCTAAGGTTTTGAAAGAAAAAAAAACAATACATGAAATTTTCATCAAAACACTAAATGTACAGATCTCAACTGATAACTGAAGAAGCCTAGAGATTTACATTCCTTCTCTTATACTGCAGAGGGTTGTGCAGGGGCTCATCATATTATCCTTCTCTATTTTGGGTCAGTGTGTGTCTGAGAGATTCTTAATCCATTTTGTTAAGATTTTAACAGTGGGCCCAGAAATAGTGTCTTACATTTAGGACTTTGAAGCCTCCATGTTGTTTAGGTAATCATAATGTTTTCAGTCCAATCCTCAATCACCTTAGCTGCCATCTTCATTTAAAATAAGCTTTTAAATTTATCAATTTAGAATTTAGGGATGTCAGAGGGAAACATCTGATATACATATGAAGCTTAGCAAGTTTATTCATGCATACACTTTCAGTGCACCCATACAGAGTTGTCTTTTTCTCAACAGGACAGCATGTAAAGACCAACTGCAAAGAGGGCATATCTACATCCTGCAAACCGTGCACAGAGGGAACCTACATGAATAAACGCAATGGACTCAGATATTGTTTCCCATGCACTAAATGTGAAGAGGGTAAGTTTATTCCCATATTTTAAAATTCATGTTTATTTATGTTTTCTTAAACTCAAAGAAGCTCAGATTGAAGATCAGCGTGTCTCTATTATCACATTAATCAATAACACTCAACTCATTGTGTACAAATGTTTCTATGTGTTTGCAGATTCTGGTCTGAGGATAAAAAGAGCGTGCACAAGAACATCAGACTCAGTCTGTGAACCAGTGGATGGATTTTACTGTTCAGAGTCTGGAGAAAATGGCTGTCTGTTTGCACAGAAACATTCAGTCTGCAAACCAGGACACTTCATCAGTCAGAACGGTTGGTTTGATGAGCTGAAAATAAGAATATTCAGTTTACTCTTTAAATCTATACTCATGTGGACTGATGAGGAACCATATGAGCCTTTAGTGGGAAAATGGTTTGCTACTGTAGTCTGAAAAACATGGTTCAAATATCAGAGTCTGAGCCTCAGAGGACTTAAAGTATAATAAATATAGTTTCCATTAAAGATCAAGTTTGTCCCCTCAGACACCCTGTGAGGTCTGAGTTAAACCTGCACATTAAACACTGCTGTAGCTCTCAGCCTGTGAAATGATCCAAACAGAGGTGAAACTCTCCATCTGTCTCTGAACTACAGCGCTGGTTTGAGGGCTCTTTGCTCAAATAAAAGGTGACCAGGACCGAGGAGAGTCATTCATTTGGAATATTATAGACTTTGTTCTTACTGTCAATATATTTTCACATTTTAAATTTAATTAATTTTGTTACAGGAAAAAGCAATGCTGGCCTAAAAACATAAATGGTCTAAAAGATCATTTTTGACATTATTGTTAATTGGCTTTAAAACCTGCAGATGAAGTTAAGCTAAGACCATTTAGACAATTTTATTTTGTAAATGTAAATTTCATCTCTTTTCACTCTCAGAGAAGGTTAGCATTCACATTTCTGAGGCTTAAACTAAGACCACAACAAACCTCTTTGACACAAATACATGTCTCTGGATTTAGATGAAAGGGTCTACTTTAAAAACTAACCCTCCTGTCTGTGTTTGTGCAGGAAGCTCTGTGTCAGACACTGTCTGCTCTCCCTGCTCTGCTGGATCATTTTCAGACGGGATGTTTTCATCTTGTCGTCCACACACAAAGTGAGTGAAGCTTCACATCAGACATGGACACACCTGAATTCTTCTTCCTGCAGCAGAGAATTCATCAGATCCTCCAGATGTTCCTCTAAGAAATGTCCCTCTATCATTACAGATGTGAAGACCTGGACCTGCTGTTGCTGGAACCAGGTACTGAGTCAGCTGATGCTCAGTGTGGAGGACACCATTCACACAGGACTGCAGTGATGGCCAGTGGAGTTGTTGTGCTTTTTTCGGTTGTTTTATCTGCACTAGGAGGGTGGTGCTGCCGACAGAGGAGAGGGAAATACTTAAACAAAGGTAAAGTTTTAAGCTGTGACAATATAATATAAACATGAGCTTTTATTCATATTTATTCATATCTCTGAGTTTTTAATCATTACTGACCTTTAATTTCAGGAAAAAACAGAGAAGCAGAAAAAATTGAAGGATCAGAAAAAAACAGAGGAGCAGAAAAAACAGGAACAGAAAATGCAGAGGTGGTATGTTTTAAACTTTCTCTGCTGTCAGTTTATTTCATTGTTCAATAGCAAAATGAGTTTACTCACTCACAAACATTTCTTCTGAAGGTGCAAAACCATTTAAATGAAAAACTACTGCCGGATTTCAGACAGATCACAACTGCAGAAGGTGAGACAGCAATGTATTTCATTAAAATGTTGACTGACTGGGATTAACTCTGATATTTCTTCACAAATAAGTTTAAATAAGTATTTTTTATTTTTTATTTTTTTTTTGGACACTGCAGAGAAAATGTCCTCCAGGATATAGGTTCTGACCTGCTGAATTCTGCTGAACCTGATGAGAAAACCATTCAAACAGACCTCTGAAGGTGTGCTGAGGTATCTGGAACCATGATATCTGCAGGAGATCCTTTTAGTCCTGGAATTTGAGAGGTGGAGCCTCCAGGGATCATAAGTTTTTCAGCTCATCCTTTAGATGATGGACTGAAATCTAAAGGAGACCAAGTTCATGCTACCACGTTCATCCATATTACCTTCTTCCATTATTCCATTTGTTTACTTGCTGCTGAACAGATCCTGCCCACTGACTGGTGACACTGTGAGGAGATGATGTCATCCACCTCTCTTACAAGTGGGTCTAACAATATGGTTGCATCAGTCTGGGTTCACAGAGTTCTGAATGTGAGGAAATTGGAACCACATTGTAGCAGCTAAGTCTACACTGTAAGCTACTGAGATGCTTGACCCAGAGTAACCCGGCTGACGCGCCCTGCTACTGGTTTCATACACTACCATGGGTATATGATGATCAGTAATAGCCTGGATGCTGCTCCTCTAATGCAGCGAACAAGAATTTATTGTGATGAACATTGCCAGAGTCAATTAGCAATTCCCATCGAACAACACTAAGTGCACAAAGGAAAGCGCTGTCATTTAGCACCACAACGATCAAAGACCTTTCTGCCTTTCCGGGGGCAATCGCCTGCCAACAACAGTGATCTAACTACCTTTAACCTGAGCCCCAGACAACAGGACAGCGCCCCCAAGGCACAAAAGTGAACTGCAATTCATTTTTGGTTATCACAGCCACATATTTGTCTCCTACACACATTGATAGACAATATGTGGTATTAACTTTCGATTAGTGTTACAGCTGGCTCAAATACTGTACACAATAGGGGACACAACACAAAAGGTTTAAGTTTGCATTTAATTTAATTCAAGCAATAAACAGAAATGGATGCCAAACCCTCAAACAAACCAAGAAGTGCTGCTGCTGTCAGGTGGAAGGAGAAAGTGAGAAGGTTAGTGAGTCTTGCCTAAATATACTCAGCCTTTATTGATCCCCTGTGTCTCCAACTGGGAACAAGCAGGCCAGAAAACAACACAGGGAACATGCTCACTAAAACAGGAAGAAACCTTAATGTAACACTAATTTACAATATAAAAATAACCTGACAGACAGACGTTCTGCTGATCTGCTTCTTTCATAAAGTATTAAAATTTTTTTACTTAAGTAGAAATACAAATACCTCATGAATTACCAGCACTTTTAAGATTTGCATATGATTATTTGCATTTTAAAACTTCTCATCAGCCAAAGCGCCGAGCCAAAAAACATCTTAAAACAGCTTAGAATGTATGATTATGTACTGTATGTTGATGTGTGTTTGCTGTGTGTAAATATTTTCAAATAAAAGATAAAAAAGAAACTCTTCTTCTGTTTTCGCTGACTTAACACATTCAGACACTGAAATCCTCCAGACAGCTTTGGACCAAAACTGAAACAGTTTCTCAATCAAACCGAAAAGCTTTGACAATAATAAATTTTTCTGCAGGAGTTAAAGTGACTGTAATTAACTGTCTGACCACAAACTGTGAACTTCTACAACAACCAACTCTGCAACACTGAGTGATTAGATCTTCACATATTATCAGTTTAAGGTGCAGTACAGAGCAAACATGGTGACCCTGGCCTGAATGTATTAGAGGAGGAAAAACCATGAGCCCCAGAGAAGAGGAAAAAAAAGATTCATCAAAGTTTATTATCCACTCTTGAAATCACTGATCATACTGAACAAATTTTTATATGCAATAATTTAAAACCAATCACAGAGATTATTCTTATGAAACAGTTTGATAACTAGAATAACCTTCAAATGAGAGAGAAGACTGTCTGCTTCTTTTTGTGATCTGGACTAACTCCTTCTCCTCTCGATCAAACACCTAAAAAGTATTGATATCAACACTGCATATAAAAATACTAGAATAGATCAAACGTTCACGTTATCTTGCTTTTCATTCTATCTTCCACCAGGGGGCACCAAGCACCCAATCTGACAGAGTTCACGTGAGGTAACATAGACGTGTGTCAGCATGTCAGGTTATCCACCCTGAGAGAGATGCACAATTTTTTAAAATCAATGTATTTCTTCTTATGTCCAACACTTTTTGTTGCATTATCGTTGTATTAAAAGTGCTTTATAAATAATGTCTGATTGATTGATTGATTGATTGATTCTTTCCCATCAGTTCATAAAACAGACCTCATTATTCACATTTTTTTCCTCTCAAATCTGCAAAAATCATCTCTCTTATTCTGAAAAGCAGGACAGAACCTTTTTATTTACAGAAATGTTATCCTTTAATCCTGAATTATTTACCTAGTTAACTCAGAAAAAAATCCTCTTCCATATAATCGATTTTATCCAGACAGTCTGTGTTATTCACAGACACAGTGCGGTTTTCTCTTTTACTTCTGAAGTGACTCATGCCACTGTAGTTTCCTCTTTCATCACACTCACAGTTTGAAGTTTTGGCTGGAGAGCTCCACGTGTTTTCAGCGATTAGCAACGCTGTGATGGTGAGCTGCTGTTGTTACCCCAGCCCGCAAGGGGGTCCTAGAGTGATCCATCTCCCCCTCACACTGACTAATGTCTGAATGCAGCTGTTTCTTCTAAAACGTGGAGATGCCGGGGATTGAACCCGGGGCCTCATACATGCAAAGCATGCGCTCTACCACTGAGCTACATCCCCATGCCCTTGTTACTCAATCAGTTTAATAAAATCTGTACACAGACCATGCGCTGTAAGTCTTGAGTGAGTTTTTTGAGTAATAATCTCACTAGTGTGGAAATAAAAAGCAGAATGATCATCAGTTCATATTTCCACTTTTATAGCAGGGAAAACAACATCTGTCAATTTACTCAGCTGCGCCCCCACCTGTCCTCACTGAGTCTTCTTTCTCTCCAAACCAGTCCAGACAGAGCAGACAGCCCTAAAAGAATCAGATCATGTAGGACACAGAGGAACGCTGCATGATCCCCATACCCTATTTTTTGCAGACTTGATTCAATGACTTTTATTACTTTCTAAGACCCCGCAGAAACTCTTGTAAATCTCTGTTTCAGCTCAAATCACCAGAGAAGGTCGAGTCTTGCTTTAACCTCTGATAAGGTTGGTAATATTTCCCTGACAATCTATGAAGCACCCTGAGAGACAGGGTTTCGGTCTGGTAGGCCTTCATGCCTTTTGTCTCACAGTGCATTTGTTTTCTCAGCTAAACTAGAGACAGAGAAGAAGAAGAGAGAGCATTAGCAGACCTGAGGAGGAAGTTTGGTGGGTATGTGGTGGAGTTTTGTTCCCACAGCAGGGGAAGGTGCCACAATGAGCATAAACGTTCACACTTTGTTCCATCTGCAAATGTGTGTGTGTGTGTGTGTGTAGAGGTGTGATTTTGTCTCATATCGAAAGTAAGTTCGTGATGAAGTTGTCCTGAGGTGACGCAGAGTTAAGATGTAGGCACAGGTATTGTTACAGGTTTTTTCCCACAGCCTTTACAGGTCTAAAACGGTTCTCAGGCTGTGAGGAGAAAAGCTGTTGTCTCTCCTCTTTTTGTCCCCTTGCAGGAAAACTTATCTCATACCTGCAGCAGTCTGTGATTTGCATGTTTACAGAGTTTCTGTGTATAAATTGATCATCACATGCAGACTCTCTGCTCTTCAGGTGTTTCATCCTTTTCTAGAGGCTCAAAACTAAGAATGCGGAGAAAACCTGTCGGATTTGTGTCTGGCTCATTATGTTCTGTGACGTCCAGAGAAGATGAAGTCCTTCAGCACTTTGTGTTTTGTTAATTGCTGTTAGCTAAGAGTGAACAGGTAATTTCACCTGTCTGCCTTTTTGCACAGTCAGTGAACAGAGGATAACTTTATTTTCTGACACGATATGACGTTGTAAATGAGGTGTCACATTTGCTGCCATTTAATGTAATCAAAGCGAGTCTCTATGAGAAGGAAACAGGAAATCTTCAGCACATTTTACAGCAAGCAAAGCATGCAAATAAGTAAGTAGAGCGAGATGAAAACAGTTTCCTATAACTCAGCTCTGAATTCTCACACCTATGGACGAAAGTGAAAGCTGTTCCAACCTGTAGATTTAGCTAAGCTGTTTTAACCTTTCCCGAAGTTATTTTTGTCTGTCCTTTGAAAAGGTTTCAGTCAAAAATACCTGACCCCAAAGTGTTAAGGTCACTGGAACTTTATGACAAAGGTGAAGGTGGGGGTGTTGACAGTTAGAGTGAAGGGACTGACAGTTTGATCTGGGGTGCGACAATGATGCTTAAATTGATTAATGTTCATTTAATTGTGGACATCTACAGAAAGGAAACGGACCACTTTAAAAAAATAGAAATTAAAAATAAGAGCTGAATATTTTCTAAAGGTTGCTTTGTCTCTCTGAATTCTGAGTTTCAAATTAAAATTCAACGTTTTATAAGAATTCTGACTTTCAACACAGAATTTTGAGATTAAAGTCAAAATTATTTTTTATGAGAAAAAAGGCTTATAAGGCATTTCTGACCTTACTTTCCAACATTTTGTTGTGGGCCCTGTTAATCTCTATCCACAAGTTCTACAGAAAATGTTTGACTGATGATTTTCAGTCTAAGAAATGTTCTGGCTGTTTACTGAGCAGGAGAAACAGTCTGTATGGAGAGCAAAAGCAGGAGGAACACAGTCCATTATGATGACCTCCAGCTCCCATGGTTGGAAATCAAAGGAGGATTTCTGTCAACAGACATCTGCATGAAGGTTAGCTAAGACTCAAACATTTATATTGAGACACTAATGTGACTGATGCTGAGTCACTACAGGCAATCAGAGTTTAGATTTCCTGACTTCCCTGAATGCATCAGAAATGATAGATCTGACCTCCATTCAACAAACAAACTTGTTCAAAGTAGTTTTCTTCTCCTCTTAAGGACAGACCTGACAAAGCTGGACTCTGGACTTATCTTCATCATGATGATGTTATTTCATCAAACTGAAGACCTGTTAATGAGGAGAAACATCACAAGAACATCAGTTTCTGCTTCAGGCTCCTGTACTGCTGTCCAGGTGATATAATGGGCCAAAAAAACGACAGCACTGATGTTACAGATGTAATCAGAGCCCAGAAAGGGAGTCTTTAATCAGTCATATTTTTTGGCATTATGTGCCTTTATTACAGTGGACAACAACCAAAGAGAGACAGGAAATGGGAGCAGAGAGCAGGAAGAGATGTGCAACAAGCATTGTGGCAAGGGATTGGTGACAAGTACTGTTTTCTCTATACGTGGATGCTTGGACCTCTAGGACATCAGGTACGGGATTCTTCGCTGGCAATTTTGTGCAAAACTCCCGGCTTTTGCCTGATGATGACTGCTGATGGACTCTAAGATTGATGGTGAGGTCTGCTGCCCTTTTCTGGTCCCCCAGGAAAACCTCCAAAGCCCAGGAGGCCTGATCGGATACTAAAACTCCCTCAGACATCCTCAGCAAGTCCACTCCAGCCACGTCTACCTGTGGTCTCATCTTCTGTCTCTATCAGGAGCTCAGGTCAGGGTTCTAGGTAGGGAACAAACAACAGAGAGGTTTTCAAGTACTTTGCCAGATTTGTAAAGAAATAAAACCAAAAGAGAGGAAGTCTACAGTTTCTCATGATTGTCACATTCACTTTTGAAATCACAAAGAAGTGGGAGTCAACATTCAACACTTGGATAGTGTTCACAAGGAAACATCATCTTTCAGTTCAGTTCATTTAATTTCACTTCATGAAACAAGTTTATAACACCCACCAGAATAAAGTCCTGCTACCAATCAGGTATAATCTGACAACAGTTTATATTTCTATGTCCGAACAACTGCAGAAATCTGCAGAGAAATACAGTCCTGGTTTAAAACACTTGGTCTCAGTTCATTCCCCTGCATTTCTCCTCAGTAAAGAAAGTTAGGGGACTTTTCTTATGACGTAGGGAGGAAATCCTGGCCTTTGAGTGTCTGCATGAAGAATCTGGGAGGTGTTTTCATTTGACTCCGGAGGCCAATTGTTTGTCAGACACTCCCAAAATTAATATCCTGTAGGAACACACCATTACATCTGGTCAGCTTGTTTCAGAACTTATTCTAAAACAAAGATCTCAAATAGAGTCTGATCCTCTGAGGCTGCGTTTCTCAGAATATCAGGGAGAGTCTATTTGGCTAAATATCAAAGATCATGAGGTCAGGCTCAGGTGGTGAGGACAGAGGGGCGGCTTAGGGCTGTGGGCCGAATGCTTTACATTTTTGAGATATCATGAGCTCTGTTTCATTCCCCATGTGTCTCTTTGACTGAAACACCAGCTCACTGCAGCAAATGTTTTACTTCAACTGGAGGTTCATATCAAGCCCAACCCATAACTGAAAACAGACGACACGCCTCAGTTTCCTCCAAACATGGAAAAGTGAAGCTGATATACCCTCGCCATGGGTACTGACATGCTTGTTGGTGGAGAAAGGTATGCACAAAAGGCGTGAGCTGGTGGAGCTGCTGGATTGATGCCACACTCCCTACTCTGTTAGAATAAGCAAATAACTTGTGGATAAGAGGTCAAGGCTCCCCAGTCCAGCAGAACAGGCTTCTGTGTGGGTTTGAAGCAGACACTCATAGTTATGGAAAGTTTAATGGCTTTTTATCAGTGTTTTTTTTTTATCGTTTTCCTGTTTTGTCCTTGGATGAGCTCGAGTGCAACTGTTGCACTCTAACTCAGCCTGCAGAAACAGTCACACCATGTCTTGTCTTTCTGTTGCCTCTGCAAAGTAGCTGACAACGGGTTAGGGTGTCACTGCTGTTAGCAGTTTTTTTCTGCTGGTTAGATTGGGTGTGAAACTCATTTCACAAACAAGTTCACTGACAAGTCAATACATGCTCGAGGTGGATCATCATTTAGAAATCAAGCTTTCAAAACAGCATCTCAGCAGTCGTCACATGCTCCAAATTTTTAGCCAAACTTAATCTCTAGTGACTCCAGCTGCAGTCATGTTGAAATATCTGCAAAAACAGACTTATGTTGCTCACTGAGAGAAAGCGGCTCAAGGAGATACAGGCAGAGACCTACAATTTGGGAGTACACCACCCTGAACATCGGTATTCAAGGCTTCCAGACCCTTCTGAATGTGGCTCTGTGTGTGATATTAGTCACAGGCATGGAGCCAGACTGACCACGTCTTTGCTCTGCTCCTATTCAATGCCCCCTCTCTCATAGTCGCCTGACCACTCACTTCACTCGCTCCACCCCACATAGCTGTCAGCAGGTCACCAGTCTATATCCTGCAACCCCATCCACTAGAGCTCGCAACCACTGATTTAAAAAGTTGCTATTAGTCAGTTTACCTTTTTTAGACCACTCAGGGTTTTTAATTTCAGCCTGTTTCATAATCTTAAAAAGATTTGTCACAGTTTCTCTTCACGGTGATCACTTTTTCATGAGTTTAGCCAGAAAAATCATCTCATTTCACAGACAGTCAGACTGTGATGAAGTAGAGACGGTGAGGCTGATTCATACTGGATTCCTGCACTTGATGATCTGAGTCAGAAAATGTGCATTTTAAATTTCCACATCACAGTAACATGACTAATATTACAGGAATGTAATGCTAAAGTTTGGTAAAAAAGTTCAGCTTTAGTCAATAAATGTCAAAGCTCCTGTGAGCAGAGTTTTCACATCAGTGAAATAGACTGAAATTCATATTTGATGTCTTTTTAAGATGTACAAAAACAAACAAGACCATCAACAAGAGGACTGATGATTTTATATTGTGATTTCAAAGTCTGAAATCTACAGGAGGGGGTAGGTGTCAGCTGGGCAGTTGAAGAAACAGCCTGGTTTTCACATTTACCACATTTGATATTCACAATTAATGATAATTTTGTCTAATAAACAATGTAAACTGACAAGAAAGGCCAGGAATGCTTTGTCCACAGGGGTGCAGAAATCTGCAGAAACAAAAGTTCCTTACAGGAGCTTAAAGAAATCTGTTTAGTAAATTTGAGGAACACCTTTAACAATAATGTGACACCAATGTAAATCCCAGAGTTTGTGAAATAGCATAACAATAAAGTTTTTCTCCCCCCTCCAGCCTGGAAAAGGTCTGAACTTTGTCTCCTTGTAAAATTTTCTCATCTTGGCACAAAAATCAAATAGTAATAATCAAGGTTAATGATTTGTGTCAGATCACATGAAAAATGTCACTCTGAAGCACAAAAACTGATAATCAGGTGTTAGAGAATATAATCTGTGATTTTTTCCTCAGTGGATTCCTGTTAGAAAGCGACATAAATGTTGTGCTTCTTGAAAATTTGAAGTCGTTCAATCACATCACCAACATGGCACCAAAGATCAAATCCTCACCTGTTCGATTCTTGACTGTTACATGAAGTACTAATGTGGATTGTTAGAGTGTTTGCCAAATAAGGCCAAGTCCAATTGTAGTCCACGTTCAGCACTTTCAAAATGCTGTTGACCTTCTATTTTTAAGGATATGAGACTAAAACCCCCACTTTGGAAAGAGGATTTGAAAATGGGTATAGGTTCAGGATGACCTGACATGCTGACACAAGGGTCACGAGCATAGTTAATCAGGCGTCAGTCTGTGGAAGTGCTAAAAACTGCTAAAAACTGATGGCACTCACTATACAGGGAGTGAATTTCTTTAACAGGTTTATTTTGAAGATATCAAGGTTAAAGGTAGGGTAGGCAGGAATCTGTTAAATAAGAATCTTTTTTTGTGGTGTATATACAAAAAAGCTTTTAATATCAGTCAATAGCTATTAGTCATTGATGACATTTGGTAATATAACAATATCGCTGTGTTCTCTTATGTCTGTGTAGTCAACATTTTATAACTTTTGAGCGGGCCGCTCTTTCTGACTGTAAACAAAGCCGTTCTCCACCTCCCCGACCTGATTGGTTGTGAGGCAGATGCTGCTCCCTCATGTCGCATTTGTTGAACCAGGCTGTGAACGTGTTTATTTTTGTTCTTAAATTAGCTTTCTTGAATGCGTGTGTATGTGGTTTCTGTTGTGTCTTGAGTAAGCCAGTCACGTCTGACTGCAGATTTTTCTCCCTGGAGAGCTTTGAAGGAAGACAGCTGCTTCCTACTGTCACACGTGCAGCCAGGTGATGAATCAGCAAAAGAAATGTGGTAGGAGTGAGCACAACTTACATCTGGAACTGCTGACCTGCTGAAGTTAGGATGATGTTTATGCATCATGAGGTTGTCATGAGTCAGGGAAATGGCGAGTCGGCAAGTTGGGTCAAGGTGCAAAGTCAGATGCTGCAAATATACGTGGCTCTGATCAGCTATCTATCAAAGTTGGAATTTGTTGGTAGTGCTGATGTAGATTTCTCTGATGTAAGAGGAACACGCGCACGCACACACACACACACGCACGCACGCCCTCATGCACACACACACACACACACACACACACACACACACACACACACACACACACACACACACACTTTAACACTGTTCTTTCAGCTTCAGCAGCTAACTCAGTGTATTCTGATCAGGTAAGCTGATCCTGTGATCCATGGGTTGTGTTGTTATGCTGTAAAATCACTGAGACTTGAAATCTGACTCTGAAGAAGCTCTAACATTCAGCTTCTCTGCTTTTTTGACTGAACTCCTCAAAGTTGAAGAGGGTAACAAACAGCGTTTAGCATTCAGTACAGCGGGAGACTCTGGTTGATGAGGGTTGCAGACTGCAGCCTCATGTAAATTGCTGGATTTGGATTCCCAAAGATGTTGTTGGTACCAAGTTGACTTTTCCTCGGTAAATTCAGATTCATAAAGGTTACACATGTCTGCAGTAAGCAGCATGCCAGTCTGTTTAAAAAGATCTCAATTATGTGTTCAATTTGGCCTCATCTGCAGAAAACTGTAGCCAAGCTTATGTGAAGGTTCTCTCTGCTGTTTCTCATTATAGGGGCTGAACTGACCGACTCCCAGTATGGAAAATGGACCCACTGGTGACATATAACTTATTCAACCTTCAAAAACACTGATGTATACCTTTTAGAACAACCGATTAAAAAATGATCAACTTGAATCTGTAAAATTGTAAGACAGGGTGTAAAACAGTGACAGATTTGCACAGGCTGATCTCATCCCTGAACCCTCCTGGGTCTGGGTAAGTCCCGGATATTCATCCTCCCTTAATCTGCTTCAACTGGGGATTGGTTGTTTTTTGCTTCTCTCATGGTCTGCCCATTTGTCTAAATACGGTTGATTCTCACTACAAACATTGAATAAGAGGAAGAGTAAACTTGTAAATTTAAGGATTCCTGACAGTTTTCCAAGAATCAATAGCTGCAGACAAAGAGGCTGCATCTACCTCTTATTTACAACCCAGAGTTTTCACCAGCTCCTGCACAAACACACTCAGCTTAAGTGTGTCTGATAATGATTTCAGAGGGTCTGCAGGGTCAAGATAAGGCCGCACCCTCCAAAAACAGGCGGAAACAGGATACAGAGAGCAGCAGTGTGAGGGGAGCTGATGAACTGTGTGTGTGTGTCTCAGTAGTAAAAGTGAAACCCTTTATAAAACACAAACAGCGTTTTATAATGTAGCCTTGTATTTTGTGTACACCATCCTTGTCACATTTGAACCAAAAACAAAGAGGATACACCCATCAGTTTCATTGAACAACAGACAAAACAAGAAAGTCTGACAAAAACTGACTATGAAAAACTCCAACAAAAAAAATTAAACAAAACACTAGGAATTAGAAATCTCACAAGAAGGCCCTGGGAAACCATGAGGTTGAGTTGACAACCATCTGACAAACAGGGAAGGCAACACAGAGAGTAAACACACCGGGTAACGAGCAACAAGAGACTGATTAGACACTGAGACACAGGTGCAGACAATCACTAGGGAGGGAAAACAAAAAATTTAAAACTAAACTTGACACACAAGGAGAAGGAACGACAACATAAGCCAGGTAACGTTGAAAACTAAGCACAAGACCAAAAGAGAAAAACACAAGAGCAACAGGAACAATAGATAACAGAAACACAAGGAAACTACACTTAATTACAAACACGGAAACAAACTAAATCAACAAGAACATATCATAACAGTCCTGTTGAAATAAAAATGTATCATTTTGAAAGCATAAAAGGTCTAAATCCTTACCCTGAAATTCAAAGTGAATCCTATAAAGCTGATGTAGATTTATTTTCTGTCAATTTTAACAAAATTCAGAGTTTTTGTGTCTTTAAAATCTTAAATATAACACACTTCAATAAATGTGAATTTCACTAGATAGTCATGGAGTAATCATTATACCATCTCATAGTTTTTTTAAAGATCTTTTTTTAAAATTACTACTCAAAGTGTTCTCAGGGGTTTACACATTGTGATTATGAAGTTTTGTTGTTGTTGCTTTGTTTTTTGCCAAAATGACACTATCCGTGTCATTTTCAAGGGTTTTTCTTCTGCAGAGCTCCAGTAGCTCCTTAGCAATTTTCCTCTTAGTCATATGTGGTATCTGTTTATTTCTAAATTTCTATGGCCCTGACTACAAAACAGCTTACCTAGGGACCTGAGGGCTGAAACTAATCTTAATGATTTTAAACACCAACTCAGGATGTACCTCTTCAGTCTGGCCTTCAGCTAAACTTTTATCATTAACTTCATTTTGTGTAAGTGTTTTAGCTTCTGTTTCTCTCTAGATTTAATCCCAGAGGTGTCTTTTAGTATTTTATCCTATTCTCTTAATGCGTATTAGACTTATTGTATATAGTTTTACTGAGCTATTTTGGTTCGCTCTATCTTTTGTCCATTTTTTATTTCACTTAAATTTGTTATTTCTTAAATTTCATTCGATGTTACTATCTTTAGATTTTAACCCAATCTTCAGTGTTTCCTCATTTTGAATATTGACCTGCTTTTACAAGATAAACTTGATAACCAGATTTGAGTTCGTACAGCTCTCTTGTGGGACCACTCATTGGTCTTCAGAACTTCCCACTATTGTGTTAAGATTGCTGGGTTGGGATGAGGTGTTAGGGATGGGGTGAGGTAGGGTCGGGTATTCTTTCTTTCTTTTGTATTCTTCTGTGTGTAAAGCAATTTGTGCTACTCTGTTGTATGAAAATTGCTATACAAATAAAGATTGATTGATTGATTAAAAAAGCACATGTTATCACTCTTCTCTAAGATGCTAAAGTTTAAATCTTGATGAGTGTTTTTCTCTTCTGCACTAGTCCTTGTTGCTAATCTGAGCATGGATCACCTTAGAGGAACACGTTCAAACATTAAATTTGAAAATGAAAAATGGAAAAAAAAAAGCTGAAATGATTTTAACAGAGTCAAATCTGCTCACACTGACCAGTCTGAGGATGAAGGTGTTCACAGTGGGATTCAGAGTCAATCCAACAGGACTTTAAAAATAATTACACAGGAAGAGAAAACAAAGTGTGGGTTTAGAAACAAAGAGGGACAGCTGTGATCCCTTTCAAAAAGTGTTGACAAACTCACGAAATGGGGAGGGGAAAAACAACATGCCAACAATTAGATCAAGATGCAGCTGCTGCAGCAGGTGGTGGAGCAGCAGCTTCACCAGAACGAAGTATAATGCACATGAAGGAGTGGAGGTAACTGCCTCTATGATCATTTTCAATCCACTGTGAGGGGCTGTAGGTGTCAGACCAGACAAACCATGACTGGGTGAAGAAACAACCTTTTTTACATTTTCCATTGTTTAGGGTCATAGACAGTGATTTGACTATCAAAGAGAGAGAAAAAATGAGAACACGATCTGGACATATCTCAGGACATCTCAGGACAATACCAGCAGAGACATAGGGCATATTACTGTGTACACAGCAGGGACAAATTCAATTCAAGTGTAATCAGTAATACACTTACTCTTGCTTGAGGCCATTTACCTTATTTTGATCTTGTTAGGTTATCCAACAAATGTATGAGTTTATTGATTACTGTAAATTCCTAGCAGATTTTATTTTATTTGTTGCTCCTCAAATACCTTCAGTTTCAGGATGAGAACAAAGAAAGTGAAAGAAGTAGTGTTTAAATTAGGTTGGGCCTCTAGTGGTCAGACATTAGTCACCAAATATCACAGGACCATAGTTGCCAAGTCCGCTTATTGTAAGCAATTTAGGGCTTTTATTTTTTCCAGAAGTCGCTTGTAAAACTCGTGAGTCGCGGGTTGCAGTTTTTGTGGCTTGTTTTTGACTCGTAGTTGCTTATTTCGGCTTGCCCCCCCCCCCCCCCCCCCCCCCCCCCCCCCCCCCCCCCCCCCCCCCCCCCCCCCCCCCCCCCACCCCCCCCCACCACCACCACCACCACCACCACACACACACACACACACACCTACACGGCGCATCATGCTCATATAGCCCAGAGTGACAGAGAAATGAGGGAGGAGACAGGGTGAGAGTGAGAGGCAGCAAGTGGGGAAAATACGAAAAAATAAAATAAAATAAATAAACCCAAACCCTTTTCTCTTAATCAAAGTTTAAATATTTAAGTTATTCAAAATGTCTATGTTAACTGTGTTTATTATAATTTTGCCGTTTCTAATGCCAGAGATGGGAATTGTCATCTCCATGCCATGTATTTGTTCTGCTCTGTCACTGAACCAACTGCTTTCAATGAGAAGCCAGGAAGGTGAGCTCTGAGGGCACCTGGTTCAGTAACTGAGCAGAATAAATACATGGCATGGAGATGACATGGTGACTCCACAATTCCCATCTCTGGCTCATGCATAATATAATAATAAATGGGCAGGGTTTCCCTTACATGTGATTAATCGTGGTGCACAGCCACACTTTCAAACTGAGTCTTATGGGCTTGTTTTGGGCTTGTTTTCATAGAGCTGGTTACTTGTTTCTCTCACGGGATATGGCAACACTGCACAGGACCTGTGCGCAGTTTCCTGTACTCTCTCATCAATGTCGAAGGTATGTGTTTATTTTCTCTCCACATTTCTCTTAAAAACAGATCCGTAATGAAGTTTAAAGTCTTGGTAAGGACGGCTGCTGTTGTTTTAATCCGACTCTCCGCAGAATTTCCGTGTTTCCGTCATAAACTCTCCGGTCGTCGGTTAGAAACAGCTTTTCTGTTTTTCGGTCTCTCAACGCTCGCTGCAAAGTTCGCCATCTTATCTGTCAGTCATTAACCAATAGCTGCACTAGAACAGGGTTTAAACTACAGACTGTCTGGTTTTCTCTGTCCGCCCATGAGCTAAAGCGGGAAGTACCGAAGTGAGTGACTCATCTCATGATTTTTCTCTGGCGTGGAGCTCCCAGTTTGACTGTGAGTTCTAGTTCCAGTTACTGAGAGGGATGTGGTTTTATGATGTGGACTGAAGACACTCTCTGTGAGTATGCAGACTCTAATATTGGACTTATTGCTCATTTCTTATTGAGGACTGAAAATGTTTGTGCTCTGAATGAACTTTTTAAGGTTTGAAAAACAAAACTGTGGCCTGAACAGGGTCGGTCTGGACCTGATTCCAGTCCAGTCTGTTAGGACACAGGGTTAGATTAGGGGTCCTCACAGGCTGCTGCTCTGTCAGAAACACTTTCACTTTGAGATCAGATATGTAAGGGGATTTTTGCTTGACTCATTTAACATATAGTATTAGTCATGAGTCCAGAGAAAACTTCAAACATCAGTTTTTGTTCTTGGTCAAATGACAGAAAGTCCTTGTTCATCCTCCCTGCATTTATTATTAAAAGTCTGAACAGATACAGCAGGTCAGCTCTGAATCTGAATCTCCTGCAGAAGATCTTCAACTCTGAATCAACATTGAAGTCAGGTCACACCTGTGTGATAATAAAGGGGGACTTTTGAACTTCCATCCTGACCAGCCTGAACTCAAAGAATCTCATTGGTTCTGACTTTGGACAGGTCATAGAGTCGTTTACGTTGTTGTCTCTGATAATACTCTGTATCTAAAGTCCTTCAGCTCAGTCCTGGAAACAGATTATTGACTTTAGAGAAAGTCTTCCTGGACTCCTGAATCATCAGACTCAGTTCTTTGTAGCAGAAGTGAATATTTCTGAACTCTTAACAGGGTTGATGTGAAATCAGGGGATAGAAACTAGATTCATGTTTGCATTCATGTTTTGGACTTTACTGTTATTGTAGTCATCTTAAGACTTCTCTCAGAGCAGTGAAACATCACCTGCTGTTTTTTTAGTGAAGTGTGACAGTCTTCATGGTACATCTGAGGTTCCTGATTTCAGAGCCTCTACTCTGGTTCCTCACTGTCCCTCCTCTGTGAATTCTTTAGTGGATAATATTCAGCTCAGGCAGACAGTTAATAATTTACTTTATTGAAGCTTTTATCACAGCAGTTAAATCTGCTGGGCTATAAATAAGTTCCTGAATGTTCAGAGTCTAAAAGCTCTATAATAAAGGGTCAAACTGAAAGTTTCATTTCTGCAGCGATCTCTAGAATCTAAACCTGTTTTTAAAACCAGTTTCTCCAGAACAGTCTTTGTTTACCTAATCTCTCTGGATGATTATAATAAATACAAAGAAGACACATCTAAAAATGTCACTAGGCTCTATTATTTCAGATACAACAGTCAGATGATTTTTTTTAATATTAAAAAGAGGAAACTTTATTCTCAACAGATAAAGGTCTCTAAAATCTCCTGGTAGACTTTCGGCTGCATTGACTCTGGACTTGATCAAACTCAGTTGACCAACAGCAGCAGATGACAGAACCCCTCAAACTTCCTGCTGGACTTCGAGCAATTTGGATTCTGGACCTCTTTGATCTTCCTCCAGACTCTGGGACCTTGATTTCCAGGACTTTGATTTTCAAATGAGATTCAGTGAACTTTCCCTGAATCTGCCTCCATACAGCTCTCTGAGAACAGACGGCCTTTACAACAATGACCTTCTGTGAATGAACAGAGTGTTTATAGTTTTTGAATACTGATTAACTCAGAGTCAAAGACTTTGAACCATGTTGTATTTTTGTGATGCACCCACACTCCACCTGTCTGAAAGGACCTGTATTTCATTTGTCTGTGCCAGTGAACCTTTCCAAACCATAAATCAACATTTAAAAGAGAAAGTGAAAACTGAGGATGACTGCTTTCCTGAGCTGTTTGTAATTCCTATTTTTCTTTGTTTCCAGATGGTGTCGTTGTTTTGGATTTATATTTCGTCTTGTGTTAAATCTCAGTCAGAGGATGTTTTCAAACCAAAACTGTGATCCGGATGAAGAAATGATGCTCGAAACAAAACTTTGGCTCCTTTTGACGGTAAAAAAATCCCTCATGTATCATTGCTCATTTTACTGTCATGAATTTGGAAGTTTTTTGTTTTTGTCATTTCTTCCCTGGAGAGTTGGAGTATTTTTCTGGTCATGAGACTCCAGCAGCTGATCATCAGCTGCTGGAGTCTCATGACATGAGGGGGGTTTGATTGAAAAAGATCTTATAACACTCAGTATTTACAGGAATGATTCTCTGTCTTTCACAGATTTGTACGTTGAAAATCTTCACAGGTCAAACCCTCACCTGTCATCGTACAGAGTATCAGATTGGAAATGAGTGCTGTCCAATGTGTGGCATCGGTAAGACCCGTGATATGGTGGATAAATAACACCAATGAGCTTTAATAATATGAGCACCTGTCTAAATTAGATATATCGTATACCAAACCTGAGCTGGTAAGACATGCTCTTTACGTATCAGTCCTCTAACATCATGTCTCTATAGTCCCAGGAGGGACCAGAACAGTGCTTGTATCTTTTTTTTGTTGGCATGTATCAAAGAAATTCGAGGATTAGAAAAGTCTGGGACTGATAATACGAAAGAAGCAAAGAGATGTGAGTTTTGCAGACTGGTAAAGGGATTAACACTGTGTCCCTGTGTGAACTCAGCCTGTTATAGGACTGTATGCTTACACTTTAAGAGACAGATAAGATATGAAGTGGGGAAAATATGATCAACAGCAAATGTTTACCAGGTCACATAGAGCAGCTTTGTTATTTAAAAGAAAACCTGAGTCTTTGTAATCAGAGATGAGTTTTACCTCGTCTTCAGATCACTGGAGTTCAATTACAGAAAAGATGGACCTTCAAACAGTCTCTGAAAGGAGCCCTGACACAGATCACAGACACGAACTCAAACAGGCAAAGAAAACCACGTGACTCAGATTCCTGCCGACTGCCCACTGCCCAGCAACAATCACTCCTGTGTTTGCGTGCTTTTTTTCAGTACCCTTAAGTATTAAATCCAGTAACAATGCCCCTTTTCATACAGTCAGCATTCTTAATCCAAAATCACACTTAATACCGTTAAACTACCAGTAAATACCATAAAACTATACACAAGAACCACCAATAAAATAACACAGCTCTGTCTCATGCAAATCCCTTCAAAGTTGTATATCTTTCAGACTCATATAGTCTAATGTTGACATAATAGAGGCATTTTCTGTGTATTATCGGTCATTTCGCTGTTTAGATTTTAAGATGGAGAGAATGAAGCTGATGATTATTATTAGCATCAGGTCTGAAAAGTGTCTCCTGATTTCTATTTTTACTGAGTATTTGAGTGTTTTGGAGAAATTGTAAAAGGAGGCTGCATCAAGATTCAGAGTTCGCAGTTAGATTAGCTTTGAACACAAAAAACTGGAAGAGTTACAAGGGTTGTGATCATAGACTGTATATAGAATGGACAGCGTCTGCCGCCTCGCTGGGTGAAGCCACCATGAGAACAGCACCCTTTGGTGACGGGCTGTAGTATAGTCATAAATCCTGCCTCCTCCAGCAATACCTATGCAGCTGTGGACAAACTTAAGAATTTTATTACACAGAATATACATTCCCCCCCCCCCCCCGGTTGCGATGTTGACATGTAGTTACTGTTAGACTGGTTTGTGCTCAAGTCCTCTTTTTTTCTGTACAGCTCAATTTTTAAAAGTTATTAGGGGGTTCATGTTTTCTATGATTGACACTTGATACAGTCTATGGGCGTACGAAGATTGCTTAGCTCACCTGGGGGATTCGCTGTTTCAGCTGAGCATCATCACAGCGACTCTCTGCGACTCTCCTGCTGAATGCGCACAATGCTACTGCGCAAGTGGTGGAAAGCGTAGAACGGGACTGTGCAATGTTGGTTTCAGGAAATGTAGAAAAACTCGGAATTACTGAGAGGTTTTCGGTTTCAAACCCGTATACCAGCGGAAGGCAGGATCAAGTTGTTCATAGTATATACAGTCTATGGCTGTGAGCTGTTGTCGAAACTTTAAACTGATGAGATCTTTCTTTGTGAGTTTATTAATCGCCCAAAGTCAATCAGTCAGTCATACAGAGGGCTGTTCAGTCTGCAGAGGGAGAGAGAGAGAAGGACAAGATGACACAAAGCTTTCTTTTGTAGCATATACTGAGTTACTGTTTGGGGCTGAGTCAAAGTGTTGCTGGTAAACATAAAATTAAACATGGAAAACATGATCATTTAAATAGGAAGTCTCAGCAAAAGCAGAATTTAGCAAAGAGGAATAAGCTGCACAACATGTTCCCATTACAAAGCACATTTTTGCAGATGTAAAGAGTGATACTGAGGTGGTCAGCACTGCGTGATCAGACAACAGTCTGTCCTCAACTTGATACTTTTACTGAGCGAGCCAACATTGTTATTTATTCTAACATGGGGCCTTATCACTGTGAGAAACATGATTATCAGATGATTCAGGATAATATCTGTCTCCCCAGGTTCACGAGTGAAGACAGACTGTGAGGCGGACAAAAGTACATCATGCCAACCGTGCGCAGAGGGGACGTTCATGAATAAACTGAATGGATTAAAAAATTGTTTTCCTTGTTCAAATTGTGATGCAGGTACATTATTTTTATAACTTTTCATTGGTTAAAACTTTTTCTTTTTGGTGAAATGGCTGACAGTTGTCTTTCTGTTAGAAAACAGCAGCTGTTATCAGCTGAGACCACTCACTTCCTGTCGTAGTGAAAACAAACATGAGCTACAGTGAAACATGAATTTTTCTACATCCAAAAGTTAAAAGAGGACAGAGATTTGTGCAGATATTTTTTCATTAATTCAGAGGGGGTGAAGTTCAGCTTGTTGCTGTTTAATTGCATTGGTTAAAGCTGAGTATGTCTGTATCTAATCTGTCTTTGTTTGCAGGTTCTGGTTTGAGGATAAAGCGGCGATGTACAAAAACATCAGACACAGTTTGTGAACCTCTGGAAAGATTTTTCTGCACAGAGCCTGTTGAAGATGGATGTGCAGAAGCAAAGAAACACACAATCTGCAAAGCAGGATATTTCGCCAGTCAGAACGGTTGGTTTCATGAGCTGGTTTAAGAATAAAGTATTTTAAATTCAGAAACATGGACCACATGAAAACCACCCCCTCAAAGCTGCAGATGGTGAATTCTGACCTCAGGATCATGAATTAAGAAGCACCAGAGTTCACCCTTACAAAGCTTACTGCAGAGAGGTTTAAAAACAAATTTACATGATTTTGAATATCTAATTATAAAATTCCATTTATAAACACCTTTACAAGAGCTTACAAAGTGCTTCGAAATGCAAGCATGGGAAAACATGAGAACACACAGAGACCCAAAAAACACAGAAGAAATACTGAAGGTAATGTTGAAGGAGGAAGATGAGTGATGACCGCAGTGACAGAAAATGTTGATTTAAAAGATAAGAATAAAACTAGCTTACCCAGTTTTTGAGAAGCTCTATTAAGATTACATGGTCTACAGTGTCAAAGAGAAGTCTGGTGGGAGTAAATTCAAGACTGCACATATTTGGTTGCATGGAAGATAAAATGTCAGAGAGGACAAAGACACAGGCTCAAAACTACTAAAATAACTGGATTTCTCTGTAAGTCTGTAAATTGTTGTTTTGAGGGTGGAAGGGTTAAAAGATACAGATGCACAGATAAAATTTTCAAGATACCTCTTCAGAAGAGCTCTTTAGTGTATCATTCATTTAACTGTTGTCCTGCAGGGACAGTGACGACAAAGAGTTGTAGCTGCTCTCCCTGGTGAGAGGCTGACTGGAACAAGAGCAGAATGAAAGTGAGCAAATTCATGGTTAAAGCTCTAAAGATGTGAACGCACTGACCTTCCTGAGCAGCAGATAACTCTGACACTCTGAGCTGCAGCACAAAAAGGGACTGACTGTTTTCATGTGGCACACAGTCTTGGGTCTATTAACTGAGAACAATAAGAAGGGCAGAAAAGTCTGCTCTGAATGACAAATAAATCTGTCATTATACATGCTGCTTTATTATGTAGAGCAAAAAATAATAGTTAATTCTTTGTAAAACTAATGAGAGTCTGTATGTGTGCAGGAAGCGTTGTGTCAGACACTGTGTGCTCTCCCTGCTCTGCTGGATCATTTTCAGACGGGACGTTTCCATCTTGTCGTCCACACACAAAGTGAGTGAAGCTTCACATCAGACATGGACACACCTGAATTCTTCTTCCAGCAGCAGAGACTTCATCAGATCCTCCAGATGTTCCTCTCAGAAAGGTCCCTCTGTCATTACAGATGTGAAGACCTGGACCTGCTGCAGCTGGAACCAGGAACTGAGTCAGCTGATGCTCAGTGTGGACGACACAATTCAGATTGGACTGCAGTGATAGTCAGCGGAGTTGTTGTGCTTTTTTTGGTTTTGTCTGTACTTGGAGTGTGGTGCTGCCGACGGAGGATAGGGAAATATTTAATCACAGGTAAAGTTTTAAGCTGTGACAATATAAACATGGTCTTTAATTTTTTAATTGGTTGAATGTCTCTGTCATATCACTGAGTTTTAATTTTTGCTGAACTTTGATTTCAGTAAAAAACAGAGAAGCAGAAAAAAACAGAGGAACAGAAAAAAACAAAGGAGCAGAAGAAAACGAAGTGGAGGTATGTTTTTAATTCTCTGCAGTCATTTCCTTTCACTAATCAATAATAAAGTGATGTGTCTTACTTACTTATCTTTTTATTTTGTTTTAATTTTACTGTACAGCACTTTGGTCAGCGCTTTGTTGTTTTTAAATGTGCTATATAAATAAACCTGGATTGGATTGGATTATCATTATCAACTTAATTATCAACTTATATTTCTCACAAAAAAGTTTCAAAATAAATCTCTTTGTTTTTCAGGCTCTGTCAGAAACTGTCTAAGCATGCGGGTACTTTTTTGGACACTGCAGAGTGAATGTTGTCCAGGATTCAGGTTTTGTCCTGCTGGATTCTGGTGCATTATCTTTTCAGAGTTCATAAATTGCAACGATCAGCTATAATGTCATAATCAGCTGCTTACTTATATCTGGGCCCCCTCTCTATTCCTTGCATGAACAGTCCTGACCTGATGAGAAAATGACTAACAGACCTCTGAAGGTGTGCTGAGGTATCAGGAACCTTGATGTTTGCTGGAGATCCTTTAAGTCCTCAAGTTTGTGAGGTGGGGCCTCCAGGGATCATAAGTTTTTCAGCTCATCCTTAAGATGCTGGACTGAACTGAGATCTAGAGGATTTAGAGTCCAAGTTCATGCTACCATGGTCATCCAGGTTACCCTCTTCTATTATTCCACAGTCCCACTCAGGTAAACATCCTCATTGTGGGCAGTGGGCTGGGGTCAGCATGGACACCCAGAGCGTTGAGCACCAACAAAGACCCCTGCTCTACAAACTGATGCTAGGAGTCTTTTGCCCCCTTTTCTATCAGGACCAACATTCACCATCTCAGCAGTTTGAGTGACTCCTCTGTTTGGTCAGACCACATGAACCAGCCTTCACTCTACATATTCACACAGCAGTGAACCTTGACCTCTACTGACCCTGTGCCTGGTTCAGCTGTTTTCCCTCCATGTCCCACTTTTGGCAGGTACTGACCCCTGCAGACCCCTCAAGAGCTGCAGTTTGAGAGCTGCTCTAACCCAGTTATTCAGTCATCACAGTTTGGTCCCTGTTAGAGTGGCTCACAGCCTCAAGTTCTCCTGCTTCAACACATCAACGTCATGGACTGAATGTTCACCTGCTGCTGAGCAGATCCCGTCCACTGACAGGTGACACTGTGAGGAGATAATGTCATCAACCTCTTTTGTAAGTGGGTCTAACAATATGGTCGTATCAGTCTGGACTCACAGAGTTCTGCATGTGAGGGAGTTGGAACCACATCCTGAAATGTCTGATAGAAAGGCAACATGTGGTATTGACTTTGGACTTTTTTTATCCTGATGGACAGCTGTTCTGCTCATCTGCTTCTCTCCTAAAGTGTTCAGATTTTTCACTTCAGTTTAAGGACAAATACTTGAATGAAATACCAGTGCTCGTTTCTGTTCAAGTCCTGCTTTTGCTTTAGAAATATAGAAATAATCAACAAAAAATGCATAAAACTTTCCTGTGTTGAACTTCAGACTTGTTGCATTTTAAAGCCCTGTATCAGCAAAACCACAGCACTATGTCTGTTGATATGTGTTGGTTTTTTGTGAATTTTTCTAAATAAAAGAGGAAACACACTTTTCATCTGTTGTTTGTTAACTCTACACATTCAGAGACTGGAAATCCCGCAAAAAGCTTTGGATTGGCACAATCTGTGTAATCTGAAACTGGTTTTCAATGCAAACAAGAAGAAATTCTAGGAACTGTTTTGATGGTCACAATGCTGTTGTGGATATTTATCTATTTCTCTCAATTTATAAATTAGTAAATGGACTTCACACACAGGACTACATCTTGACTCATGGGACTGGGATTAGGGCATGCCCCTTTGAGCTGCGTGCCTACGTGGAAGCCATCTTAGCAGGGGCAACTTTCCCATTCAAGGCATTAGATGTACATGGGAAATAAATCATGTCTTGCTCATTTCTCAACCGCTTTTCATGCTGTTCATGTGCTATTAATACAGAGTATTTGATTAAAAAATAAAATAAAATGTTCTGTATTAATAGTTTTACGTTTTGACGTTAAAAATAAAGTGAACCACATAAGAATTGGTTGAGAAATGAGCAGGATATGATTAATTTCCCATGTACATCATTGCCTTTAATTGGAGAGTTGCCTCTGCTAAGATGGCTGCCATCTCTACATAAGCACGTGGCTTGGTGGGCTGCTACAGCACGCTGGCATACCTAGTCTTTTATATATACCTGTTGGCCAACTCATATGGCATAGGTGTGTCACTTAAACGAGTCCCTCCTTCTGCTAATCAAACCACAGTGCAACCATTGTTTTATCCATTTTAGAATTGTAAAACACAGACCTCTGTGGTTTGGTAAACTACCTGTAAAAGTAATGTTTGTCTCTTTTAAAGAGTCACTGTGATGCTGGGATGAGCCAGCTGTCATGCTGTATGGCTCTCTTCAGCAAAACCTAGTGCTCTGAAAGCAGGTTATGACTCCTAAAGTGTTTTGATGCAGTTTCTGTATTCTAGTCACTTTTTAGTGTTTGAAACCACAGACTCAACATGATATGACTCAGTCTACCACAGCTAAGTGCCACTCTGATTAAGAGTGTACACAGGAGTGGGATAAATGATCCAAACACTGAAATGAAAATAGGTCCGGAAAGTATAGCAAAACTATTGTGATTTCATTTTATTTTATCATGAAAGAACCACAGTCTGGATTTTTTCGCCTTTTTATGTTGTCCAGTAAAACCTAACTAACCTCTTTGATTTAATAAAGTTAAAGAACTCATAATAACATCATGGTGGCCACAGTAGTCCACCTTTTGAACAGGACTAGGATGTGTATTTAGGCCAATTCATGTGTGACAAATGGAGTCTTATCTGACAGAAATAAGCATTTTAACCTAATTAAAAAATATTTAAACTTTAATGTTTTTCATAAACCAGTAAGTATTAGTGAGCATTTCAGTGTGACTTTTTAACGGTGTAAGACTGTCATGTGTTCAGCATGTTTAGCATGTTAGCAGCACCACGTGTATGTGAATCAGTTGGTCAAACACTTCCTAATCCTCCCCAGTCAAATTTCATCCTACAGAACACCTATTTGACTAGAAACAATAAATGACTGTGAGGTCTTAATTTCCAATGTGTGACATGAAGTGAGAGTGTGAAAACAGAAGCCACTACATCTACATAACTTCCTCTGATCAAAGAATGAATGAAATGTATCTATAATGAAACCTGTGAAAGGATTTTAGCTCTTCTGCCTTTTTAAAGCACACTAAGTGGAAAAAAGCTTTAACAATAATTCCCAACAGCCTACAAGAAAACCATAAAAAAACGTTTCTGACCTTATTTTTCCATTAGCTCCTCTTCACCGCTTCATCGCAGTCGGTTGTTTTTGTTTTTAGAGATCACTGGAAAGCTTGACGAAGGTCTCTTTAATAGTACGTCATGAAACCAGCCTGTGGCTCTGATGACAGACTGACTCATTTGCATCTGTTATGACACACACTCAACAAGTCTTACCACAACACTATAACATAACAACCTAACAACCTGTTTTTTTTTCTTTGTTTTTCTAATTTTTACTTTGGAGTTAACCTGATTTCAGAAGAAGTTAGAATAACCAGCACAAGTCAAGTGAATTATGAATTTAAATGCATTAAAGGAAACATTATTTAGCGTGTTAGTTATGACTCAGAGTTATGAAGACATGTGAAAATTAGAATCTTGATAGGATGAGATGTAGTGGTTACCCACTAAACTAAGAAACAAATTTAAAGACATTTTATTGATTCAAAAATGACATGTACAAATAAAAAAACAAACCTTCTGATTCCTCTGTTCGTTTCATTCCCATGGCGACAGTTATAACAGTTAATATTTCGATAAGCAGTCTAGGTAAATAATTTGAATGCTTATATAAAAATCATTTAACTGAACATCCACTGAAGGTCTTGTTACACAAGAAGTGCAAGAAACATTTGTAGCTGCTTCTTTGTTTTTACTCACATTAAACTGAACACTTCCTTTGACGGTTGTGTTAGACAACATGAACAGGCCAACTGCAGTAATAAAAGACTGACTTTGGTCTTAATTCAGCTCCTCTCAGTTCACACACGAGACAGAAGATTTAACTGTTAACACTTCTGCTTGTATCACTGCCACCCATGATCTACTGATGATCATATCATCACTGGCTCGGACAAGCTCTAAGAAGAGGATCTGATATTAAAGTATCCACATTAATTAGCTGTCAAATTTACTTTTAATTGAATAAAAACACAGCTATAATGTGCCAATCTGTTTCTATCTTCTTCTGAAGACTGAATTCCATAACATACCTGCTTTAAAAAGCTGAAACTGCAACATATTTTCTGAAACAGGTAACTGAATTTCTGTTTTAACTTCTAGATAAATCTTTAGATGAGATTCTCTGTGTGAACCACCTGAAACGACACCTGTCAGAGATCTGACATCTCTCTCTAAATCAATGTGTTAATGATCATTTTAACATCTGTTTCTGTTTGTCCTGCAGGAGAGCTCAGACAGACACAGATTGTGGAGTTGTAGGTGAATATTTCCTGAAACAACTGCTAGTCAGAGGAATTACAGTCTGTTTCTATGCACACAGACTTCCTGGTTTAGACACTTGCCGGTTTGTTTAGGGACAAACATGCTTATTCTGCACGCATTAATGTAAATGTTTCTACTGCTTTTGTTTATGCAGGTTTCTAAACTTCAGTTCACACAACCCAGTTAATCTGCAGCATTCACCAAACTAGTCAACTAGTCAAAAAGGTTTAACGATTTAAACTCCAAACCCTCTCTCAGTTTCTGTCTGACTGCTGCAGGTCTGACATCTGAGAGTCAGGACCTGAGTTTTCCCAAAACACAGAGCTCTAATGTACCAAGTTTGTCAGAAAACCTTATGAAAGTTCATCTGCAACTACAAATACCTTTAATTTCTAGACTTGGACTTCAAATTGTTGCTCACAAAGAAGTTCTGTATAGTCTGAAGTCCAAAGGTACGGTTGATGAGGACAAAAAGCCCTCACTGTCATCAAATAGCATAATAGATGCTTCTATATTAGTGTGTCACATTCAGACCTGCACTCAAACACTGAGTTACACAGTGAATAATTGCACGACAGATACAGACGGTTACACTGATGTGGTGTTCAACTGTGTTGCAAACCAGTGTCGGCTCAACAGGAAGTGCTCATTTCCTGCTTTCATTCCACCCTGTTTTTTTTATAAAAGTGTGAACAGAGTTGTTTTGTTTGTTAGCCTGTAGACTAGATAACAAGTCAGTCTGACTTTAGTCTCTGAAGAGTTTGAAGACACTCCCTGTGAACACAGTTGGACAGTTTTATAAATTCCTCTCATGCCTGTAGAGTTTTCTTCTGTCACTTCCTCTTCACAGTTTATAATGTTGTGCTCTGACCACAGGGGAAGTATATTTTACTGCTGATATGAGTGAGAGAGGAGGAGAAAAGCTCTAATATTCAGTCTCTTCTCTCACAGGAAGGTTTGATCTGCAACAATTTTGTCTTGCATTGTAACATTTTTATTTCTGCACATTACAGCAGCTGTTTTTCTCTGCTTTTAGTTGTCAGTATCTCAGACACAGAAATAAAGGTAAAATAAAGGAGCTGTTCAAATCATTCAAGGCCTAAATTTAATCCAAAAATTATGCAAGGACAATATCTTGAATGTTAAAACTGAAGTATGTTTGTGAAGAATCGACTCATTTTAAATTTAACGTCATCGACATGTTTGTAAAAGTAGTTTGAAGTTCATGTTTCTCATCTAGTGTCATCAGCTCTTCTCTCCCAACCCTTTGTAAACATTAGGGAACCCGGCAGACCAGTTTCTGGAGTCTGAAAGTGAAATGTTGTCTCATTCTTGCCTGATTGAGGATTTCAGCTGCTCAACAGTTCAGGGTCTCCTTTGTCCTATTTTCAGTGTCATAATGCTTCAAATGTTTTCAATGGGGACAAGTCAGGGCTGCAGGTAGACCAGTTTATCAGCAGGACTCTTCTACTACAGAGCCATGCTGTTGTAATCCCTGCAGAATGTGGTTTGTCATTGTCTTGCTGAAACATGATAAAAAGTCATTGTCTGGATGTCAGCAGATGTTGCTCCTAAACCTGTAGATATTGTTCAGCATTAACAGAGCCCTACAGATGTAGAAGCTACCCATAACATGGACTCTGATGATCCCCATACCATCAGGGATGCTGGCTTTGAACTTTGAGCTGATAACAAGCTAGGTGGTCCCACTACTCTTCAGAGAGGAGGATGCAGGGTCCATGATTTCTAGAAAGAATGATAGATTTCGATCCATCATATAAAAGGACAGTTTTCCTCATCCTCTCAGTCTACCTTTAATGGGCTCAGGGTCAGAGTGGTGTGGTATTTCTTGATCATGTTTCTACCTGTTTTTTTCTTTGCATGGTTCAGTTTGAACCTCATTTATGGAAGCAGTGATCAACTGTGTTCACAGACCATGGATTTGGGGGGGTTATTCTGAACCCATGCAGTGATTTCTACTCCAAAGTCCTGTCTGTTTTAATGCAGTGCTGCCTGAGGACCAAAACCAGTCTTGGTTTTGGTCCTTGTTCCCTTAGAACAGAGATTTCTTCAGATTCCCTTAATCTTTTAATGATATTATGTTCTGTAGATGATGAAATCCACTCAGTCTTTCACATTTGACACTCAGGAACATTATTCTAAAACTGTTGAACTGTTAGCTCACGCAGTCTCTCACAGAGTGGTGAACGTCTTCCCAATCTTTCACTCTGAGTGACTAAATCTTAGTCTAATCACTTCAAATCATACTATGTAGATTATAATTTAACTGGCAACCAACAAAAGACTCAATCTGACTCCACAGTCACTACAAAAACAGCAACCATTTTCTTGACTTACACATTTCTCATCACAAACTCAAAGTGTAATTACCTCAGAGCAGTCAGAAAGTACAATCTGCAGCCCCACCAGGGAAAAAGAGAGAGGATGGATGGAGAGAACAAAGTCACTGATTTGATTATAATTTTGATATTATAATTAATATTCATAATATTAATTGAATGATTTATTTATAATATTTTATAAACATACATACATACATATATATGTGTACACACACACACACACACACACACACACACACACACACACACACACACACACACACATATATATATATATATATACATATATATGTATATATAGATAGATAGATAGATAGATAGATAGATATCCCTATAATATATACCCCCGTTCCTCTAACTCCAACCTCCTCTTCCCACCCTCCAGGACCAAGCACTGAACCTGAGGGGATAGAGCATTCTCCGTAGCCGCCCCCTCCCTCTGGAATTCACTTCCAGCTCATATCCAGAACTGCACAGACCTGCCCTCATTCAAATCACTTTTAAAAACTCACGCTTTTAAACAGGCTTTTAAACTGTGACTGTGCTGTTTTGTCTTTTGTGTGTGTCTGCCTGTGTCTGACTGTCTGTGATGTTTTTGCTTTTAAACTGCTTTGAATGTTTATCTATGACTGTTTTTCTCTTTGCATTGTACAGTGTCTTTGAGTTTCTGTGAAAAGCGCTACACAAATAAAATGTATTATTATTACTATTACTACTATTATTATTATCAGTAGTGGTAGTAGTAGTAGTAGTAGTATCATTATTATTAATATGTTAAGGTCCTTGCTGCCTCTGCTTGTCTTTCTCATCTAGTTTTGTTTGTAGCTTCAAAAAAATAAATTTTGGGAAGTTGTCCAAGACTAAAGAATTCACAATCCAAAATATATATTTTTTATTTTAAAGGAATAAACTGCATCATTGATTTGGCAGCAGCCTGTATTTTTAACCATGGGCTAGGGGCGCAGCCTGCTGGACAAACTCCACTATAACAACCTCTCTGAACCAATCACAAATCAAATGTAAGTACCTCGGATCGCCATGTGTTGTTCCATCAGTAAGAGTAAAGTGAAAGATAAAAAGGGAAGAGATGAGAAAAGGTAAGTAAACGAGGAAGGGAGACCGGCTGATAAAATCTTCTTCCTAACCACAGACTGCATTTGTTCTCATGACAAAACCATCAGTGCATTCAATCAGATAAGGGTGGCTCCTTACCGTTCGATGGCGCACCTTTGATTGGCCAGGTAGGTTCTCGTGACTCTCAGGGAGCGTTTCCCTCAAACGTCATCAGTCCAAAGTGTTAACGCGGGAAATGCCAAATCCGTGTACCAATGAACAAACTAAAGAAGGAGAAATGAACTATAATAAACTACATCGATAAGTCCACTGTGTTGCCGCCGTCAGAAACCGTTTAGCTCCTTCTGTGTGCAACACCTGAGCTAGTTTGTATTGCAGTAAAGTCCTCTCAGCGCCCCCCAGTGGTGACAAAGGAAACAGATATGGCCCTATACCGACCCTTCAGACGGATAGACAGTATTTAACGAAACACTGAGGAGGGAAAACTGGATCATCACTGCTGAGAGCGAACCTCGACATTCAAAAGGTTCAGAAAAATAAAATATTAAAGAGCAAAGATGGGTCTGAGAGCACAGGGTACAGAGTCAGAGTGACTCCAGCCTTGGTTTAAATACTGAGGTGAAAGCTGATTGTCATTGTTAATGACACTGGTATCTGTAATTAAATGCAGGTGCATCTCATAAGACCAGAATATCAATTCAATGCATATACATACATACATACATACATACATATATACATACATACATACATACATTCTTAGGACATAGGAGGATGTAGGTTTAGAACATATATGAAATATATGTATTGTGACATACAGTACATAAGGAAATCTTCATATAAATAACTTTTATAGGGCATTGAACATTTTTGACAAAATGTTGAAAACAGATTTATAAAAGCAAAAAACACATTTACGTTGAATTCTAATACGGTAAATGATTTGCACATATTTATTAATATAAAAATAAAATAATTCATTTAACATGACCATATACAGAACAGGCCAAAAGTTTGGACACACCTTCTCATTTAATACATTTTCTTCATTCTCATTGCTATTTAAATTGTAGATTCTCAGTGTAGGCATCAAAACTATGAATGAACACATGTGGAATCATGTGCTGAAGAAAAAAGTGTGAAATAACTGAAAACATGTTTTATATTTTAGATTCCTCAAAGTAGCCACCCTTTGCTTTTTTGAGAGCGCTGCAAACTTTTGCTGTTCTCTCAATGAGCTTCATGAGGTAGTCACCTGAAATGGTTTTTACTTCACAGGTGTGCCTTTCAGGGTTACTTTGTGAATGACAGAGTCAGTCACTAAGTACTTCTGTCATCAACAGTGAAGGGTGGCTATTTTAAAGAAACTAGAATATAAAACATGTTTTCAGTTATTTTACACTTTTTTTATAAGTACAAAATTCCACATGTGTTCATTTTTTGTTTTGATGCCTTCAGTGATAATCTACAATGTAAATAGTCACATAAAAAAATAAAGAAAAGACATTGAATGGGAAAGTGTGTCCTAACTTTTGGCCTGTATAAGTTCAAATATAGAAAAAAATGTGCATATGGGAACTTGTTCTAGTTTCTAGTGGGTTTCATATAAAGTTTGTCCATACATGTACATATATGTTTTTCTCCTCAGATGCATATATTTCATAAATGGAAATGTAATAAATGTACTCGTATGGGAAGACAGTGGCGAAATTGCCTCACATTGCTAGTCTGCTGCTTAAAAACTGTTTTGAAATGGGAAAAAAAAGGATTTAAAAATGATTATCACAACCTTTTGTTTTTTTAAAAAGTATGTGTTAGTCCCACTGGTTTACTAATCATGTTGCCCAGTTTCATATAATAATATTTGCAGTTTGATGTCTTCACCCAGTAATGAAGAATAGAAATGTGACCCATTAATCCACCAGCTGTGGTTCAGCCTCGAAAACACTCTTTTCTTTTTTAGGACATAGCTGTGGCTGTGCCAAAGAGGACACAGGGTCATGAGGAATCGAAGGTTCTGAAACATGATCCGAGGAGCCGCAGTGTGACACCTGCTGGACAGAAGCTGTAATTACAACTTTCTTAAAATAACCTGAAGCTTCATAATAACCTCATGATACACGTCTGACAAACACCTGATGCAGACTAAGGCTGTGCAGATAGAAGAGGAGTCTGAGTTTTTATTTTAATTTTTCTCTCATTTAAAAGTCTTGGTAGCTACAGGGAGTTGAGGATGATTCTTTGATTGCTGCAGACATCTGGAAATATACGCTGAAAAATATCAACCAAGAGTTCGCCCAGAGAGCTTTTTATTCGGCGGTAAGTTGTCCAAAAAATCCAAACACTTATCAAACTGCACTTTGCCATAAAAACTCATAAAAAGTCAACTTTCTCTTTGGCTGTGCGCGCTCCCGACGTACACGCGTTTCTGGTAAGTGGCGAAGGGAATTTCCGCGGAAAGGCTCCATGTTTGTGAATGCTCCGAGAGATTTGCCTTCAAAATCGAAGTTACTGGAGTCTTCTTTAGGTCTGAGCTTTATTTTGTCTTAAATCATGATAATACACGGTCAGACTATGATGTAAGTTTTATGTCCGTGTGCATGTATTTATATGTAAATTGGATCATCTTGAATCCTAAGTATAATATCAATCTAAAGACTTAAATTATGGTCGTTTTCTGTATAATATCTGTTTAGTGATGGCTGTTTTTCCCCCTGTACAATTTTGTTTTTTTAAGAGCAGCTGTTTTTGATTAGTTTTTTTTTTTTTTTAATAGAACTTTGAGATCAGAAATCAGACTTTTCCTCACAGTTCCACAAACTGTATATGACAGTTAACAATCATATACACTTAGACATAATGTAATATAATATATTATGATATAATACACAGCAGCGATCCAAGCTATGCACTCAGAGCTGAAGACCTGGTTCACTGTGGTGGACAGATCAGGCCTCCCAGGGAAGTTTAAAGCCTGGATATATCAGCATGGCATCCTGCCAAGGCTTCTGTGGCCACTACTGATGTACCAGGTCCCAGTTACAACGGTGGAGGCCTTAGAGCGAAACATCAGCCAGTTCCTGCGCAGATGGCTGGGCCTGCCGAAGAGCCTGAGCTGCATTGCACTTTATGGGCACACCAACAAACTGCAGCTCCCATTCTCAAGTCTGACAGAGGAGTTCAAAGTAACAAGAGCCAGGGAAGTGTTACTGTACAGAGACTCCTCCGACACCAGAGTCTCCTCTGCAGGCATAGAGGTCAGGACTGGAAGGAAATGGCGAGCGCAGGAGGCAGTCCAGCTGGCAGAGGCAAGGTTGCGGCATGGTGCACTAGTAGGCTCTGTGGCGGTTGGGCGAGCGGGACTCGGCTGCCATAAAACACCACACTACGACAGAGCACAGGGGAGAGACAAGCGGCAGATGATCCAGGGTGAGGTCCGAGCAGAGGTGGAGGAGGAGCGGCGCAGCAAGACTGTGGCCATGCGCCAGCAAGGAGCTTGGACCAATTGGGACCATGCACTGACTCGGAAAATCACCTGGTCAGAACTTTGGAGGTCAGAGCCAGCAAGACTCAAGTTCCTGATCCAGTCAGTGTATGATGTCCTCCCAAGTCCATCTAACCTGCACTGCTGGGGGCTGGCAGAAACACCATCATGTCCACTCTGCCCCGCAAGAGGAACGCTGGAGCACATCCTGAGCAGCTGCCCGAAAGCACTGGGAGAGGGGAGGTACAGGTGGCGCCATGACCAGGTGCTGAAGGCAGTAGCTGACACCATCTATGCTGGAATCCAGCAAAGCAAGCACCAGCCTCCAGCAAGGCATAACATCACGTTCGTCAGGGCTGGGGAGAAACCACAGTCACAGCCAAAGGTCCCAGGTGGTCTTTTATCCTCAGCGGGAGACTGGCAGTTGAAGGTGGACCTGGGGAGGCAATTGAAGTTTCCGGAGCACATCACCAGCACGACACTCAGGCCGGACATGGTCTTAACATCAGAGAGTTCGAAGCAGGTGGTGCTACTGGAACTGACAATACCCTGGGAAGACCGGATCGAGGTAGCCTATGAGAGGAAAAAGGCTAAATACCTGGAACTGGTGGAGGACTGCAGGCTTAATGGGTGGAGGGCCCGGTGTGAGCCCATTGAGGTTGGATGCAGAGGATTCCCGGGACAGAGCCTGCACCGCGCACTCAGGCTCCTTGGAATAAGGGGGGCTCAAGAGAGGAAAGCCACCAAGAACATCAGTGAGGCAGCTGAGAAAGCCTCTAGGTGGCTTTGGATTAAGAAGGGCGATAATTGGTTTAGCGCGCTGCTTGGACACAAGTCGGGGTCTGATCAGCCCCGGCTGGGTCGCCCAGGTGAGGGTGTCTGATGATCTAAGACCCGAAACACCCCGTGACCCTGGGTTCATCACTGAGGATGTGTCCAAGCTGCACCACCAAGGTGTTTGTTAAAACTATATAATATAATATAATATAAAGTTTAAAAGAAATACACATAGAAGAGAACAGAACAGCCATCATTTAACAGGTAGTGAATGGAAAAAATAAAATGATATTCAAACACATATAAAAATGTTTGCAGACATGATTTCTGATAAACTTTAATCATTGTCCGAATTTCTTTTATCTGTAGACATCATATGTTTCAACAGGCTTATTTTGTCCTGCTTTCCAGTTCACTCACTCAGACTATCTTTGATTAGTATTCATTAAATACCTGAAGATATTATCAAACACATCAGTGCATTTTGATGGAAACAGAAACTCCAACCTTAGCCAGCGTTTTATCTTATTTCTATTCAAATGTCTAATTAGGTTTGGTTTAAACCACACTCACCTGACAGGTCCAGAAAAACCATTTCACACATTAAAAATGAGACCTGTCTGTATTGAGCGGAAAAAAAATACAAATAGGATGAGAAAAGTTTTTAATATGTTTCAAGAAACTTGAGAGTATGTTTGTCCCTCCTCTGGCAGATTTTGAGTCAGTACAAGCAGTTTAGTTTTAGTTTTCAGAGTGTGACACTGTTAGAGAAGTTACTTTTGTGGACTCTTTAGTTAATTTAGTGTAAATAAAGCTTTAGTAGACATTGTTACTGTATACAAGACAAGAACACAAGATTTGAGTCATTTTGCCGTGAGCTCAGAGTAGCTTAGTACCTTATAATATCAGCTGTGACTTTGCCGTGTTCTGTGATTTCCTGTTATTTCCTGTTTTCACAGTATCATTTAAGGAGTTTCAGTGCTTTCTTTCCTGTCGCAGTCAAAACAAACTTTCACATGCAAGATGTTAAATCCCAGAGGCACTTCATAAAAACAGTTCACTCAGTGTATCAGTGCTCCAAAATGTGGTTTTATGTCTCCTCTACTGAAAATCCTTTTCTGGAAGATGGAGACGTTATTCTACAGGTAACATATCCTGTGACACAGATGTAAATGATAATATTTCCTACAAAAATAAAGTTTAACATTTAGATGTCTGCAGTGGTTTGAGCAGGCTTTTAAACGCCTCACATGTTTGCTTTAACTGGAAATGAAGGGTCTTTAGTCATCGATGAGAAGGGCGGTGAGCAGTTTGTAACCAGGAAGTTGCAAAAACCGAAGAGTCAGCTGAGAGGACCTATTTCAGTCTCCCTGTGTTTACACCCGCAGTGGGGGACTATGTTCCACCTCAGATTTAAAACAGAAAAAGCTTGGACGGCGTGCAGGACAGACGGTAAGAAATCAGAAATATACGAAGATAAGCTGTTTCAGAGCCAGACCTGAGCAGGCAAATGTCTTCATTATGTGAGCCTTAGTTAGCAGAATGGTTTGTGTATCCAAATTTAGATAAGTGCTAAATGTTATCTGAAAGTTTTTGTCCTGAGGTTTGATGTGATCGTTCAGGTGGTGGAGGAGTTAGGTAGCTGGAAAAAAAGTCTTGATGTATTTTATTTATGCAGCCTGGTGCAAATACAGTTAAAAGACTAATGTGTAACTGATATCCATCATGTGATTTTTATTTTTCTGCAATGATTTCCATCAGTTTTTGTCAAACTTAAAAAATCTCACCATCCTGTCTCTAAAAATACTTTGGCAGTAAAATAAAATCATATTTAAAAGCTCTGCACACCCTTAGTCTGCGTCAAAGTCTGATTTCTCAAGCTTCAGACAAATAATGTATGTCAGTGACACATGCTGTGAGGTCATGATGAGGACCCAAGATTTTAGGAAGTTGTATTTGCTGTTTGCTTCCAATAAGTGTTACCCTAGTGTCAGCTGCTCTGGTCCAAACGCTACATGGCATGAAATACAAATAATCTCAGAATTGTCTCCGGATAGGTTTGGGGTTTCAGATCTTAGGCTGAAAGGATTTAACATTAATTATGAAAAGTATATTAGTGATACCTTTGTTTTGTCAGAAAGTTCTCTTGATTTCAGTAAAGAAAGTTAACTCCGATTGTCTCTCTGTGACTCTTCATGGCCTCCTGAAGAGAAAAGGTTTTTGCTCTTCTGAATAGAAGTCAAATTTCTTTGACACGATTAAAAGTGCTGTTCTTTTTTATGGAGCTGGGTGTAAATGTGCAGATTTTTGGAAAACCAGGCACCATGCAGATGATGTGTACTTTATGAAATAAATGCTTCACCAGTGCAGTCTTTGCCTCAGAGAGAGGAAACAACCTTGAGGTCTTTGTGTAGTTAAATTCACAGGTTGATTTGGTTTATTTTGGCAGAACAAGACTGTGACAAATTCAGAGTACATGTACTCAGTGTCCAGAAAATATGGTGTTTAGTTATTCTGAGATCATTGTGAGTATTCACTGATGCCCAGCGAGTCCTGGTTACAGCTCAGTTGTTTTATCTGTTTCAAACACGTCCTATATGTGCATCAGCAGCCAAAATTTAAATGTTTAGTCTAATGGCCTGAGGACGTCCCTCAGACCTGAATCACCTGAGTTACTGCTGAAACGCACAGTTAAGTCTGGATACAGCTATAGCTTGTTTAAGCGATTTAATTGGACCACTGTCCTTGTTCTAGTTTGTCTGAATCCATTACTGTAGTTGGTGACAGACCGTTTTTTTCAGGTCATTACTGTTTGGCCATCACCCAATTGATCTACCATGTCACATACCAAAAACAATTAACAAGCTCATCAGGAAGAGGCTAACAGGTTATATGAAGACCAGCAGCGCTACAGCTCTGTATTCTTCTGTCCTCTGTATTCTGTCTTCTTGAAAATTAAGGAGCATGCTCAGGAAACCATTCAGTCTGATGGATATGTATACTTGGGAAAGATAAATGATACCCAAGGCCATTATCCGCTTGTGTCAACTAACGGCATGATTTTAGTTTTTAGGACACGTAAACACACTGATATGTTGGCTGGTCAGTCAGTTTCCACTTAGTTTTAGTTTTCAGAGTGTGAAAACTTCAGTTTCATCCACAGGTCACTGCAGGTTTGTGATGCGGCTGCCTGTTGACTTGTGTCTGGTTAGCTGCACCTGTATGCTCAGCTCAAAATCTGCCTGCAGTGAGACTTTGATACAGTTTGACACCAAGGGCAGATTACTGTGAGCTATCCACTGAGCCTGGATCTGAAAAAGCCAATCAAGTGATGTAAACTTCATAGTGGGGACTCACCAGCCATTCATCATGGTCATTAATGTTGTCAAGAATTTGTGTAATCTTTATTTTTTCTGTTTGTTTTCAAGGTGACCTCTTCAGACCCTAACAATGGTCCTGTTGGATAAAATGATGTTCAGGACAAGACTTTTGCCAGCTCTGCTGTTGCTGGTAAAAAATCTTATTTTTATTGAAAGTTTTTCTTCAAATTTCTCTCTTTAAAGAGGGGATAGTTTTGTGTTTTATCTGGGTCGGGTCAGGGATGCCTGTGCATAAAGGCCAGTGAGGCAGTAAATGCATCCATCAGCTCCTGGTTTGGTCAGATTGAAAAACTACCATCTGTTTAAGTTGATCACGGTGCAAAAAGATGCAGACACTCTCTCTTCTCCTCACAGGTACTTGTGTCGACTGTCCTCAGAAGTCATGCAATCGTGTGTGATCCTTTAAGGTACCCAAGAGGGTACATGTGCTGTTATAAATGTCCACCAGGTAAGTACCCTTCCTCCTCATTAATATAGAGGTATTTATCCAAAGCTCTGCCATCAATGGTCCTATTGGTTATTCAGATATTTTGTTAATTTATATTCTCTGATAGTTTTAAGTCTCTTTATTCCTCTGTTTACAGGAAGTCGAGTTGCAATTTACTGCACAGAATCCTACAGCACCCGCTGTCTGCCCTGCACAGAGGGAACCTTTATGGACCAGGAGACTGACCATAGACAGTGTTATCCCTGTACTAAGTGTGATGCAGGTACATTTCTGGAAACATCATGAAAACCTTTCTGAAAACTGACCAAAACAGGGCTGTCTGGAGTTTAAATGTGGAGATGTTGCTGTTGAGTCCATGAAACACAGTCAAAGTTTAATTGGTCTGCATATTATCCTTCTGCATGTTGACAGGTTCTGGTCTGAGGACAGAGACTTCATGTACAAACACATCAGACGCAGTCTGCCAACCTCTGGAGGGATTTTTCTGCATAGAGTCTGCAGAGGGCGGCTGTGCAGCAGCAAAGAGACACACGAGCTGCAAACCGGGAGAATACATCAGTCAGAACGGTTGGTTTTAGGAGCTGGTTATAGATTATTGGAAAAGTTTTATTCTGAGTACAAACAACAGCTTTTCAGTTAAAGGTGGGGTAGGTGAGAAGTGCCAGTTGTCGGGAGGAACCTTGAATGTAAACTCTACCCCTCCCAACCAGTTTACCCCTCAGCTTCTCCTCTCCCCTTCCTCTCTGCTCCAGCAAGCCCCGCCCACAAACAGACATTCCTGCTCGCTCATATAATTTCAGTTAAATTCAGATATAATGCAGATAAATACTTCAGATAATTACAAATGGGGTCCAGTCAACATGAAAGTAAAAAGCATTGGTGTGACTGTAGATGCCAACAGACTACCAGCAAACACGTTTGTAGGACTTCTACAACTGGGATAAAGCGACATAGTCCAGGACCCGAGGTAAACAGTTAAGCAGTGCTGCAACACGCAGCAGGTCCCGTTTAACAAGAAACACTTCTGTTACAGACACTTGGCTGGTATACCTGTCCAGCAGAAAGCTTAGAGGGTCTGTAAGATCCTGAAGCCTCCCCCATCATTTATGCTGATGTTGACCCGGCTTCTTAGCTCTTGTCCGGTCTACCTCCATTTTAAGCGCCCGTTATTCCCACCAGGGTCTCCGGTATTTACTTTGTTTTCTTGCTTGTGTTTTCCGTACTTTCTGGATGGGTTCCACTGTCTGATATTGTGGCATGCTAACTTTGTTTGGGCTCGTGAACGTTATTGGAGGATGTGGAGCGTGCCTCACAACACGAGGGAGCAGCGTCCACCTTACAACCAATTCAGGTTGGGGGAGGTGGAGAACGGCTTTGTTTACAGTCAGAAAGAGCGGGCCACTCAAAAAAAATGTTATATGTTGACTACACAGACATAAGAAAACACAGCGATATCGTTATGTTATCAAATGTCATCAATAACTAATTGCTATTGACTGATATTAAAAGCTTTTTTGTATATACACCAAAAAAAGATTCTTCTTTTATGAAATCCTGCCTACCCCACCTTTAAGCTGAAGTTGGAGATTTCTGACCTCTAGAGAGCAGGAAAAGCATCAAAGTAAATATCTATTAAAGCTTTGTGAGGAAATTAAGTTGGTATGAAAAATGAAGCTGTTAGTCTCATGGCAGATGCAAAAAGAACGAAAAACTAGATTCTGTAAATTCATGTTGGTTTTTACTTTGACTCTAATCAGCAGAAGTTCCTCCTGAGAGATGGTGAAAAAATATATTAATTGTCATCATCAAACTCTGTAACCAGTCACCCGGCTGTGATCAATACTTTATTCTGATTGGATAAAGCCACTTTATAGCCAAAAACTATAAAATATCACAGGCATCTCTAGGGATGACCTGATTACATACATCCTACATATCGAATCAGTACATGGGAAGGGACCACTGAATATCTGCAGAATCAATAAAATCAATCATCTGAGGAGAGGAAAATAGATTTTTAGTGAGATTTTTACAGGTACATGACAGCTAGGGTACGATGGAAGGCTTGAAATCAGCTCTAAACAAAATGAAGTGTAAAAAGATGTTATTTCTAAAAATAATATTAGACTTTTTAGCGCAGAATTATCATGCACATTATTATAACCGCATGTTGTTATTGCACATTGTTGTAATTGTATGATGTTTGTATAGTGTGTTATAATTGCACACTTTGTAGCACGTTCTGTAGCACGTTTCATTGTATTGTTGCACATGGTTTTAGCTGCTCATTCTTCTCAATGCAATTATTGCACATACTCTTCAATGTTGACTGTTATTATTGCAATTTTAATTCCACATTCAATTTTCATGTATAATTGATATCCAACAGTTCCTGCTTCAAAATCAGTTTTTACATTTAATATGCTTCATGTGATGTCATCTTTTGTTTTTGTCTTCAATTTGATAGCATTTCCTTAAGATGCTTTATAAATGAAGTCAATACTGATTTATTAGCATATATAAAATAATAAACCTCCTGTCTGTGTTTGTGCAGGAAGCTCTGTGTCAGACACTGTCTGCTCTCCCTGCCCTGCTGGATCATTTTCAGACTGGACATTTCCATCTTGTCGTCCACACACACAGTGAGTGAAACTTCACATCAGATTCAGACATGGACTCACCTGTATTCTTCTTCCAGCAGCAGAGACTTCATCAGATCCTCCAGATGTTCCTCTAAGAAATGTCCCTCTATCATTACAGATGTGAAGACCTGGACCTGCTACTGAGACCAGGAACTGAGTCAGCTGATGCTCAGTGTGGAAGACTGGGTTCAAACTGGCATGTTGAAATCATTGTTGTGGTTGGACTTTATTTGATCATTGCTGTTTATATTTCCTACATGGTTTTCAGAGAGAATTTCCCACCAAAGTAAGTTTTGTAGAAAGAGTTACATGTTTCCACATCTACAGGGACCAGTGAAATTTCTGACATGCAACTATGTGGCCCATGCATGAGAGAAAATGCTCAGGTGTGCATTAATTCACATGTTGTTTATTGAGTCCCATTGTGACAAAAGGAGACATTCGAGAGCCTGAGAGGGTTACCATGTAGTGTCCTGGACGACTTCCTCTGTGACCACACCTTAAAATAACCACATCAGCTAACTGAGTTGAGGCAGGTGGTGTGTGTAATGATGAAGTGTAACTAGATGTTGAGTATTTCTTGGATGTTCCAGTTTGTGCATCTTAAGCACTTGCACAGTCAGGACAGATGACAGTGTAGTAGTATCAACAGACTTAAAAAAGCAAGGAGGCTCAGGCTCCCTGCATCTTGGCAGACTAGTCCTGAGCTATTTCTGTCCCTTAGAGCTGGGCATGTGCTCCGGCAGGTGAACCATGGGGCACACTTCCAGAGGTGGTCCAAGCCTAGGGCAATAGAGGCTGCTTGGGGTTCAATTCAGAGGGTCCGCTCTGTGCAGCTCCAGAGAGGCTCTAATATCTGCAGGGTTTTGAGGGTAGGTAAATCTCTTCAGCTCTCAGGGGCATGGCCACAGTAATCAAAGCTGCCCATCGTGGTGGACACAGGCTGACCGCAGGTGACTCAGCTTTTTGTTATAGTTTCTGCAGGCGACCAGAAGCTTATGCCACACAGGAGTGTAGCTGTTCCTGAAAAGATCTAGACCTGGTGTTGACTGCTTCAAACAGAAGCCCAGGAGGTTTGTGGGGCTGCTGCAGAGGTAAGCCCGTCTACCTTTGCAGCATTCAACTGTTTTTTTTTTTAACCGTACCAGGTGCCTCTTCACAATAGAGGGTGTATTCACAGTACTGTGGTGGCAGGGGTTTGTCATGAGTCGGTTTTGTATCCTGTTCGGTTGGCGCAGCAGAGAACAGTCTGCCTGTGTGACCTTTGTTTTTTATCCTGCACCCAGTGGTGTCACCAGCTGTGACAGTTTAAGGAAGGGTTTTTTTTTACATGTGTTTGTGTATTTTTATTTCTCTTTGTCATGTTTCACAGAGGTTTACTTTAATCACTATTATTTAGATTGTTAACATTATCAATAACAAAATAATGAAAACTAAAATGTCAAACACTTTAGTTTCTGACAGAGAGATTACAGAGAGAAAGCCCGTCATTTCCCCCCTATGACACACAGAAACACCCAGAAGCAGCACCAGGACCTATATTTTAATCAAATTCTTTGAGACAATTTCTCCTTACTAGTTTTTTAAAGAGAATGCTGAAATGTTTCTCTGACACATTCAGGACATCAGAACAACATTTTGTTCCCTTTACTATTCTGACACATGTGTGTGTAAAGCAGCGGCTGCTCTTCAAATATTGGAAACAGTTCATATCTCTCTCTCTCTACTGTGAGAAAAATTACATTTACAGACTCTATATTGTGACTCAGAGAATATCCCCTCTTTAAATGATCACAATGGACTAAGGGATTTTTTACTTGTATTACTGGAGGGGCAGGTGAGGGATTAGGCCTACTGAAGGATGATCCACATTGATTAACCCTTGGTTCCTGTTAATTTTAAGCTCCATCCAGCCTACTTTAGCCATTTTGTGGTTAAAAAAACCCACAAAATCACTATATTTCCCATATAAAAGGACCATGATGAATTCGTTTTAAATAAAAAGAGTATGGGCCATGTCAATGATGAGAAGTAAAACCGATTTTGGTGCATTTAAATCCTTTTTGTATTGTCAGTTTCCATATTTTAGCTCCATCCAGCCTATTTTGTCCCCAAAACAGACATGCAGATAACGGTTAAAATAACCATAAAATAATCATTTTTTTCTTACTTTTTTCGACTCATATATTTCTTAATCAACTTTAGCCCTGATCATTAAAAAAATAATGAACAGAAAATTCGATGTATTACCCTTTTTATGCCAGTCTTTGTGCAACAGGCCATATCACTGCTATTTTTAATGGTAAAAAACAAACAAAAGATTTGCACCAGGGGCATACACGCAGGGGCACACAAACTTCTCCTTACACAAATATCCCATATAACATACTCTTAGATCCACATCTAGTGGCATGTAAAGTTTCATCCAATTTTGATGATGTTTAGTGGATGAAATAGTTCTTTAAACACGCGGTCCATGAAGACTTGCGTGCGCAGCACCAAAGGAGCTAAAATTATGTGTTGGCTCAAGCTGTTGTTTCACTGTCGGAAAGTAAAATTTAGAGCCCTGGTGATCGACTGACTGCAAAAAAAGGTTGGAATATGTTGTTATGGTGACATAAACACACGGTCAAAAAACATGTCTTTAATGGAAGTCTATTGATTTGCAGACAAAGTAGGGTGGATGGAGCTAAAATGTGGTGACATTATACTGCAAGTGACACAGTTTTTTTTAAATATGAAGAAAAATAAGAACTCTCAATTTTCTCTCTGTCAAATTTGATGCCCCAATCTTTAAAAATGTGACTGTCAGCTCAAAATAAAGTTGACAAAAATGACAAATGTCTTCAAAAAAAGACACAGGAACTGAGGTTTAACTGCAGAGAGATCAGTGCTCTACATGGACCGACGTCCTTGATGAGTTCTCTAACTTTGACCTGTGAGTTCAGTCTCTGTTGTTGACTGTAGTCTCTTTAATCTCTCTGTTCAGCATGGATACAAATGCATGATGTATGTGAGCCCTTACACCTAACCAATTCTTCCACCGTTCCACTAGCTTTATAGTTCATTTTAACAGAAGGCCTGTTTATGAGAAGATAAACCGCAAATAAGAGGATGTTTTGAGTTTGTTATTGTGGGGTATTGCCCCTGATGTATATCTCATGTTACAAAAAAATAAAACTGACTCTAAAAACAACAACAAATGTGTATGCTGTGCTTTTTAATGTCTGTAACCAGTGTGTGGGGTTGGAAGGTAAAAGTCAGCTGAGTAGCTGGAGAAACTGCCCGTTTTAACATTTTCCACAGTAAATATTCACATTTAATGTTGTGTCAAAGTAATCAGGAGGAGATTTTTTTCAAAGACACCATGTAGGCATGTAGATGACTAAATAGGCAAAGATTGATATTCACAAGGGGGCACCAAAACTGACACAAACCAGAGTTTGTCTACAGGAGCTTTAACATTCTCAAGTTGACACTTGCTTTAAAAGTCACCAGCTTCCTGAGAAAATGAACTTCCTTTTGTTTTTGTAAAGAATGTTTCTATGACATTGAAGGGGCTTTTCTGTGCCTTAAAAAAACATGTATTTACAGAAACTGTACATTAAAACAAGCATGTTTTTCATAATCCATGCCTTCATTTAAGTGAAATATTGCTGTTCTTGCTGCCTTCCCTCACTAAAATGGAATTTACCCAGAAGCTCGTCCAATCAGAGTGGTCAGCTAGTAAGCGAGGGTTTCTGGGAAATGAAGTCAAAGAAGGAAGCACCTATTTTCCCTCTTTGTTCAAAGTTTGACCTCACTTCTGCTCTCAGTTTAGAGAAAAACTACAGATAGACGGCCATGTTTGCAGGCTATCCTTTATTATAAACCGTTTATAAACATTTTTGAATTTTTTAATCTTATGGTCCAATCTTTCCAGAGCCTCATACACTGATCACTGCAGTCAGAATGAAAGAAAAGCAGTTGAGTGGGTGTTGATGTCCTCTGTTTAGAGCTGCTTTGACTCTGTGCCACATCACGCAAACTGTTGGGAATGTGTGGGCTGCACAGAGTTCATTTTTTAAGAGCTTTACATCACTCTCTACACTTAGTGTGTAGCTGTAAGAAGATGAATTAATTAAGTTAAATTCAGAAAAACATCTCATTTTTATGATGTTGCTCTGTACAGACTTGCTCAACATCAGCATTCCTGCATGCTACCACCAGAGACCATTTTTTCATACTGTTTTGGAGACGAGCCATAATAGAGGAGCACAGGAGTGATCCTGTGAAAGGAAAGTGAAAATAGAAAAGCTATTGTTCTGCTTGGAGTCAAGACACTTTTCTCTGTCTGTTTTCTGAAAACAGACGCTTTAAACAGCTGTATGAGGGCCTTCAGATTCTGCTACACTGTTCAAAATAGGTTAAACACGAGGAAAACAAGGGAAACACAAGGGAAAATGATGTGAATTGATGCAGCACGTCAAACTAACCACACAGACACAGCACTGTTTGTGTAACTGAAGAGTATGTGCAGCTGTCCTGCTCACACTCCTGGTCCTGTTCTGTATTCATTCCTGCCATACTAGCATGAACCCAAACCACACTGCAAGACCACTGCTATCTTTATACTAGTACAGATGAGACATTATTCTGAGGTCAATTAAGTTTCAACCTCCTCTTAATAATTAAAATCATGTTAGACCCACTGTGGCTCTAAAAGCTGCTGAAGAACTGTCTCTGCAGCAGGGAAATCACGGTGAGAGTGCAGAGACTAATTACCAGTGGAGGGATTTGTATTAATACTTATGATCAGCAGCTGTAATCAGGATGGTGTGTTTTAACAGCTTGTGAACCTTTGTCAAAAGTTTGTTTTCATCTGAGTTACTGTAGTTAAAAAAACTGTTAGGTCCTCTTTGTTCACACAAGTCTGACAACATGCTGAGTAGTCTGCATACCATCAGGTGACCCACCGACAGCAACGTCAGGTTTCAGCTGCATACGGGGAGCTCCACCCATAGTTTCATGCTCGAGTGAGGGACTTCCCAGACCCTGTGCAGTGTGGCGTCATAAGGCATAGGATCAGTGTGCCAGTTTTCCTCTTTCACTCTCTGGTTTAATTTAGCTACCATAAGGATGTGGGGGAGACAGGATGTGGTTGTGACACTTACTCAGAGTGAAACTATGAAATCAAAATAAATATAATATATTCTAATTGATTGCTGTTTCTGTTGTTGTGTACAAATCTTCTTTAAGACATCTGTTTAAGGGATATTCCGGCGTAAAATTAAGTTAGGGTCAAATACATCCTAAAACCGAGTTAGACACCCCATCGAGAGATGAATGTTGCCGACCGCTTGCTTCTCTAAGTATACCAACTTTAGTAACGGCCGCAGAGAACAATACAGAGACCTCCGGGTGAGTCCATCGACTGCAGCGGTGGGACGCAACTCAAGGAAGAACATTTATGATCATTAATTTATCATTTCCTTGAAGTAGTAATCATTTTGAACTGCAGATGTGGTAGTTCTTTTGCCTTAGCGTTTCAGTCTGATTGCATTTCGATGAGGAAATGCAATCAGACTGCAATCAGGATCGCTGGAATATCCCTTTAACATCTGTTGGCCCTATTATCCACCCCATTACTACACCCTGCCCTATGTAAACCATTCTTTCACTGTCATAGCAGCAAGTTCATTTTTCCCATAATTCAATTTAAAATTCAAATTTACAATTCAATTTGTCCATATCTTGCAGATTAATCTCACACACAGTGAAATGTTTCGGGTCAAATTAATCAGATCTTGAGTCACTTAAATTCTACTGTCTGTGGAAAAAAACTCCCTTTTTCAGACCGACCTTCTTAATATCCAATAGTTATTAGACAATTGTAATTATAGTTCCAGTTTTGGATATCCCCAAAATAACTGTACAAATTCGAGATATTTATGATGTTACTATTAATACTACACAAACATTTTCTACACATACAATCTCTGCATCTCCATAAAGTTTATTTTGCTTAAGAAGTCATTGTGGACACTTGAATGTAATACCTCAAAACTCATGTAAGTCAAAATAAAAGTCATTTCTTGGCGACTAAACTTTCTGAGTGGTACGTTACAGCTGTGCATGAAACGACTCCCTCACCGCATCTGATCTCAACTTGTGCTGGTTAAGGGCTGGCGTGCGTCAGTGTATAAATGCGCCACGCTCCACAGAACAGTTCTGTCTCTGCTGAAGTAAAGGATTCATGCTGGTATATCTAAATATCATTTCTTCTATCACGGTGAGGGGAACTTGGTATCTGCATGAGCTCCTGTATGTTTTCAGCGTGTTCGAAATGTTTTGCACAGCTAAACTTGCTCTGTTACCTTGTGGCTTACTTTAATTGTGGCGTGCTGAGGAAAAGTAACTTCTGGAGACCTTCCCTTTTAATGCGTGTGTTCGCGCGCGGTTTCTCTGTGTAATCTTACCGATCCAGAAAAAAAACACCTTAGAAATTACAGCCTGAATTATCAGAAATTTTGAGGACTGATATCGTTTCCAAGAGGAGAAATTTACCAAGTTTTAGTTATGACAAATAGGCGCACAAACTACGTGTTATTTCTGTGTAAAATATGATGTTCAAGGGTCTTTGTAGTCAATTTACAGACCGAAGAAGTGAGGCCAGTGTTCCAAAAAACAAAAGTGAAACTCGTTTAAAGCAGTTCTGCACAAGGACAGACAAATTTACTGTAACACAGCAGACAGTATTTCTGTATGCATGATTTCTTTCTATTTTTAGATGCTGTCCTCAGATTGAACACACCACCAACCCTGTCTGAAATATTCACCAGAAAACAGCTGTACTTCAGACGATAATGCAACCTCCCTCACTTGCATTGTTGCTGGTAAAATGTTTTAGGGTCTGTCTCTTTACTAACTGTTCAACTTTGGTCATTTGAAGTTCAGTCAAGTCCAGTAAGCTGCAGCATCCAATCAGTGAGTGATATTCCATAAGGGGGCGTTGTCTTTTGGTGATTGGAGCATTGGAGCAACATCCGAGAAGCAGCCCTTACCAAAGCCCACCCCCATCAAATATCCATCCCTGATTGGACTTCACTGAATCTTTATAAGATCACCAGAGCTGAATAACAGAAAATACTGACCTCGAAATAGTCAGTAACCTTCAAGAGGAGTCTTAAACAGACCAGTAGCTGGTGCTTCAGTTCAGCTACCCCAGATGATTAAATGTGGACATGCCCTCTTATCAGAAATGTAAACTTTGGTTTAGCTGCAAAATATACTGATCTTAATTTCTAAATGTTGTGATGTGATTGTATCCATTTGATGACCATCTGACTGTCCGTGTGTCTGCCCAGGATCTGTATAAACGATCTGTATTGCGAGTATAACTGAGATCATAAACTTTCTCTTTTTCCTCGCAGGTATTTATGATGACTGTCTTCAGAGGTCAAACTCTCACATGTGCAGCATCAGAGTATCAGTTACTAGGTAGATGCTGCCAGAAGTGTCCAGCTGGTAAGATCCACTAACTTCTGAACAGAAACAAAATGTATACATTTTAACACATCCTGCTGAACAGAAATAAAAAGGGACTATTGGACTGACAGTCAATTTTAAAGGGAGTGAATATTTGCAAAAACATGTTCTCTAATGTACTCAGCTCATCAACTTATCCTGATGTCATATTGATGGTAGAGTTTTTGTGATGCATGATTGCAGCAGGTAAATGAAAGGAGGTGTTTGTTTGTCTTTTCCTGTGTTTTGCCTGTTCTTACACGAGGGTTTCATTTTTAACAGGTACTTTTGTTGATAAAGATTGCAGACGTTTTAGAAATACCTCCTGTTTGTCCTGCTCAGAGGGAACCTTTATGGACCAGCCTACTTACCGCAGGCAGTGCTATACCTGTAGAAAGTGTGATGAAGGTAAAAATTAACTTGTTTTAATGATCTTGCAAAATAAAATGGAAACATTTTGCTAAACAGAGCCCCTTAAAGTTTTGAAAGACCCTGCCCTGAATGACCTCCAGACTGTATTTTTTCCCCATCAAAATCGACATAAAAAGTCTCTTACACTCATACCTTAAACGAAACAGGAAGTTGGCAAATTTGAGTTGAAAGTCAATGTTTTACCTTTTTTTTTTTTTTTGTGATATTCAGGGTGTCTATTTGAACAAACTCATCCCGGGGGGTTTTATCCAATAAGCTCCAAATTTGCACAGTCATGGAGAGATTAAAGATAAGAAGTTGTTCAAAGCTTTCAGCCTAACTGCTTAACTGCCATTTATGATAATAACCATGGTCCCCACCGCTCTGTCTGAGGAGGAGTTTAATGTTTCATAAATGCAACTCACTACAGTTTTTTTATATACTTTGCATAAAGGTAAAAAACGATATATGCAATGTTATCTTCATTTTAGATGTCAGAGGGATTTTGTGGCTTTTCCTTTCTGTGGGAAACTGGTCCAAATGGCTCTTTTAGTGTTTAAGGTTTAAGGTTGACCCATGGTCTAGGGAAACACTACTGACATAACAAGAAACCTGCTAATACCTGTCTTTGTCAGTGCAGCCGGTGCGATATATTTAACCCACTGCCACTGTACTGGCCCTGAGGACCTACAACCAGCCCAGCCCACTGGGGAAATTCCCCTGTTCTCCCGATTAGCCACCCTGGGCTTATTGTGACACACATGCCAGAAACTCCACAAGAGTTAGGACATTGTGTAAAATATTAAGTTTTATGATGCTCCAAATGTCAGGACTACAGGCTGGCAGACCAGTTTATCAGCATTAAGTTTGAGTAAAGTTGTGTGTTGTCTGTGTTAACAGGGTCTAGTTTGAGGATAAAGACGTCATGCACAAGAACATCAAATTCAGTCTGTGAACCTCTGGAGGGGTTTTACTGCGCCAAATCTACAGAGGACAGCTGTGATACAGCACAGAAACACAGAAGCTGCAAACCAGGACACTACATCAGACAGACAGGTTTGTTTTAAATATTATTTCACGGACAGGAGTTCACGTCTGGATTGGAAAATCTTTTTTTTCCAAAAGAGGCAGTTTGGTTTGTAGCACATATCCACATGCATGCAGGCAATTCACATAAGAAGTATTTGTGCAAATGGAACGTTTATTTCAGCTTTACCAAGAACCACATTTTAGAGAGTCCTCAGGGACTGTAGACCCACTGATTCAGGTCAGGTTTGACATTTAAGACAATCTTACATTGAAACTATGAGAATAAGATTAAGCATGAAATTATATTAACTATAGAAGTTTAACAGATAAAATCTGTGTTTGTGCAGGAAGCTCTGTGTCAGACACTGTCTGCTCTCCCTGCCCTGCTGGATCATTTTCAGACGGGACGTTTTCATCTTGTCGTCCACACACACAGTGAGTGAAGCTTCACATCAGACATGGACACACCTGAATTCTTCTTCCAGCAGCAGAGAATTCATCAGATCCTCCAGATGTTCCTGTAAGAAATGTCCCTCTATCATTACAGATGTGAAGACCTGGATCGAGAGCTGCTGAGACCAGGAACTGAGTCAGCTGATGCTCATTGTGGACCACACAGTCAAGCCATAAAAATACTTATACTGTCAGCCAGTGCTGTTGCTGGGGTTCTGTTGCTTGTTTTGTCTGTACTTGGAGTGTGGTATTTCAGCGAGATTAAAAAGTGTTTCACCGAAGGTAAGGCTTGTCCTGTGAAAATAAAACCATGACCATGTTTTTGTCACATCACTTAGTTTTAACTCGCTGCTCATGTTTCGTTTTAGGAAGAAGAAGGAGAGGCAAAACAGAAAACAGAATGGTAGTATGTTTTAACCCTTTTACTCTTATTCTTTGGTACAGCCCAATCATTAAATGATAAATTCACTTATCAACATTTTCCCCAAAGGAACAAGTGAATTGGAAAGAATCAAATCCTCTGAATCATCCGTCAGACAGTGCAGAAGAGGAGCAGCAGGTGAGACAGCTGGAAAAATGCCTCATCTTTACAAATTTATAAAATGCATCTGCTCAAAATAAATCTTTCCTTTTCTCAGGACGTGAAGGTCCAGATGACCCACACTGATCCACATGCTGGTTTTATGGTGAATTGTCTCAACAGTGTTCACCAAGACCAGGAAAAAATATTTCCCTATTTGAAGCAAACTCCTGTTTCAGACAGTGCAGAAAAGGAGCAGCAGGTGAGACAGCTGGAAAAATGCCTCATCTTTGCATTATGCATTAGTTATATTAGACTGTGTGGCTAATACACAAGGTAATAAGGTATACCGGTGTTGTCTTTCAAAAGCAACAGTATCAGTTTCAATACCATCATAGTGCCATGTTTTGTATGGCCAGAGTGTTATTACGATAACTCTATCAAAGTCAGGAAGTATCGGCAGAGCGCTACACAGCTTCTCAGTACTATAACTCCTTGGAAGTTTGCTCAATCTGAAAAACTCAAATGCTGACAGACAGCTGAGAATCTGTGCTTTTGTGTCAATATATAATGTATTGTATATATAGGGGTAATCTTGAATAGTACCACCAAAACCACAACTTTGACAGAAGACGAGGGAGAAAAGTAGAGTGAAGTAAGAGAGTGAAGTACGACAGAGCAAGCAAAATAGTGATTTTTTTAGAAATATAGTCATAAATACTTGTAAATAGCATGACGCTATTTACAAGTATTTGACGCTCCACGATGACGCTCCACTCAAAAGGTCTTATAAGACATGTGTCATATTTTACTTGTTACTAAGAGAAGGTTTGCTCCTTTTGAGATACTTGTTTTAAGTTTAAAGTCACGTTGACTTAGAAGGGGACGTTTCTTTAAAGATTGAAGATTACCCAGTGGACTCATTCATTCTCTCACTGTGGTGTGTAGCCATTGAGGTAACGATCGCGCTTGCAGATTGTTAGCACGCAATTACGTCCTGTTTTACTGTACATTTATTTGGTATCTTTTGTATAGACATATTGTATGCTAATCATGTATGTGTGTATGATTGTACATGTTTCTAGTTCGACGGTGACAAAGTGACATGACGGTGATTGGTGACAAGGTGAAGAATGGTGAATAAATGTCATCTGTATGAAGAACTTTGGTGCCTTATTTCCCGGAGAGAGTGAAAATGTGGCCTTCGGGAAAACAACAAAGTACCAAAGGGACTGTGTCCATTGGAAAACCTGCCCTGATGCAGTGACAAAATACTTGACAAAGGAAATGGTCTCTATTCACGCGTTGGAAAAGAAGCATTCTGTGCAAAACCTGTTCTGGATGGTCAAGTTAATTTAATTGTTTCATAGCTGTATTTGCACGTTTATTAAAAGCTGCTTTTTTTTTTATTCAAAGTTGCACAGGCTGTGATTTAATTGATGTGTGTGCGGTGCATTCTGTGCAAAAACGGTTCTGCATGACTATGTTAATGTAATTGTTTAACTGTTGTGCACCTTTTAAGCTGTTTCTAATAAAAATTCTTAATATTGTGCACATTATGTTGTTATTGTTTCATTATTAATGTTTGGTATTCAGTTTCTAAATGGTGTGAGCACAAGCCAACAGTTTGTTGATGCTGTCTGTCACCAAGGCAATGGTGGCTGTCAAGGACAAAAAAATGAATGACTGAAGATGGTGTCATCCACAACAGAAGCAAGCAGTTTCAAATATTTCAAGTGATTGGGTGGTAATGTTTTGAGTTATTTGATCTAAATAATTATAGTTTACGACTCAGTTCTGAGATATAGATCATGAGCTTTTAATCGTTTTGGTACCTCAAGCCAACATTAGCGAAGTGATGCCAAACAAAGCCAGTGTCTCTTACTTGAAACATGAATGACTTTAATCTTGTATCACTTAACTTTCTCTGTCTACCCTGTTACTCTCTGTAACTGATACTGGACTGGATCAATCTTTTGACCACTGTAAAGAGGAATAATGCCTTACTGTATCTGTGACGCTGGTTTAAACCAAGCCAAAGCTGCATCTCTTACTCATCATTCCCTCAGTGCTTACTGTTTTTTGATCGGTTTAACTGCAGCTTGAATATCACCGCCAAGTTTTACATCACCTGACCACCTTTGATAATGATTCCTTCACCTCTCCTCTTCTCCTTTTACACTGATATCATTAAGTGGATCATATTTATTATTTATAATATGCTGTATTCCAGTGTTTGTAGAAACCGTTGAATTTAACATGTGTACATTTGCACTTCATATTCTTGTTCTAAGAGTTCTGGCTGCTGAACACAAACTGACGTCTTCCTTTTGTTTGTTTTGTGTGTTTTTAAATGATGATTCCCAGTGATGAAGCTGGTGGCATAATCAGAGGAGCTGATTATTGTTCCTCTGTTAAATCAAATAAAGTGATGTCAAATTTAAACCCCTGTGCCACAGAGTTTTTCTTATTATAAAACACCACAGATATGATTGCCAAGACGATACTGAAAGCTTTCCCCTCCCCGGTACTCCAGATTCATACGCACCATAAGGTGCAGTTTATATTGACAGTCAGATTAAAGTGTTTATGGAAAGCCTCACAGACAGAGAACATTGGAACAGTCTAGATTTCAGACACTCTAGTCAAATATGATCTGACCTTATACAACAAATTTGTCTGAGTTTTTTTTTATTTTTTTACAAAGACTAAAAATGAGACTGAAGTGGATCAGAGAGGATGTTTCTGGACATGTGGACCTGAAGAAAGACAGTCAGAGGCTGGTCTTTTCCTGACGCCTGAGGAGTGATGGTAGATCCTCTATCTTACTGTTTTACTTTCACATTATATTTTTCAAAGAACCAGCTCAGGATGTAAAACTGTAGAGGTGTTCATGCTGATTGTCTCAGAGCTCAGCTGCTTCCTGTTTTCTGGATTATCACCTCAGGAACAAAGTTGAATAAAAAGTCACTTTTGATTTCATTATCAGTTCAACATTTCAAGGATCAACATGTAAATATGTAAATTTTCGGACCTGTATGATCTTTTTTGTGTATGTTACAGAAACGAATGAAAAAGCTTCTTTGTAAAAAGTAAAACAGATATTGTGTTCTTCATGAGTTGTCATCATTTATTGATTTGTGGGCAATAAGAAGTCCCTGGAAGTTGAATGTGATTGTAGATTAGTTTGCAGTTTGGGATCAGATGGACTGCAGTGTCCTGGCTGTTTTGGCCTTTAAAGCATCTCTGGAGTTTTATTTATCCCTTATTGTCTTATCAAGTTCAGTGTGACTGCCATAAGAAAGAAATGTTTGTTTTTTGGGATGCAGTATCAGATGTCAGTCTGATTTATGGAGGACTTTCACACAAGGCTGTTTCTTTTTTGTGATCAACTTTTATTTTCTTTTTTAGAGAAAAAAAAGGCACAAAATATTTATTACAAAAGAATAAAAAGCTTCTGTTCCTTAAATTACTTTTTCTTCTTCCTTCTCTCCACAGTTTCAGGTATTAGTCAGCAACAAAGCTTGATGTACTGAGGAAGTTAACATTAAACTTAATTTTCTGACTTCCTGGTTTCAGTTCTGCTGGTGTCTGGGATTATTCTGACTAGACTCTAAATTTTTCAGGATAGTTAAGAGACTCTAGTGCCTGCAGAGCCAAAAACTACTGTTTCTGAGTGATTACATGCTCCTCTCTAGATTTACTTCTTTATCTCCAGCTTTGAGCCTACCTCATCAAAGTCCAGGAGAAGAGCAGGATCATCTGCAGCATTTCTGGTGGGTTTACCTGTTAAAAGCATGTTTTGATGCCCTGCAGTTGTCACACAATATCTCTGCAGCTTTTCCTCATATTGCTCAGATGATGCAGTAACCAGGATTTTTGTAGCATTTGGGTCTTTCTGAAAACTGCATCTGACACCCGTAATTCAGTGATATAACTTTCTCTAAGTCAAATTCACTAATGAAGATGTGTTTATGCAAAAAAAATAATAATAACCTGAGGACTAAAGAGAGGATTGGCTGCTTAATTATTCTCCCTTTGTTGATGTTTTTCAGCTTAATTAAAACATCAATACAGTTGACCGACTTCTTAGACTGTTATATTATTTATGAGAAGTTAGACTTTGTCAGATGTTTTTCTTTGCTTTTAACAAACCTCTGAGAAAATGAGTCCCTCAAAGATCACCAAAAATTCAATTGGTCTTTAGATGAATCTGTAGATTTCAGCTAGTTTTAAATGATGGGATTTTGGAGCCAAATATTTCATCGAAAGTAGCTGAAATCAGTGGAGGAACAGTCACTGAGGAAAACATGTTGAAAATTAGCAAAGTCAGGCTGCTGTCAAACAGATCTGGGTCAAAAAGATTACCACTGGTTTCAACTTCAGTTGAGGACTGTAAAACATGGTTAATGCTTAGCTGGCCTAAAATGAAGTTCAAATGCCAGCTTCTTTTTTTCTTCACCCTTGTTTTTCTCTTTCCCTAAAGTTGTCTCTTTGATTTCAGTGAGATTTCATCTTCATCCAGAGGAAACTGTGAACCTGCACATTAAAGATGAGAGTCAAACCTGGATCAGCTGCAGCAGTGCTGGTAAAATATCTTCTTACAGAAATCTTTAAATATCTTTGCAACAGTTTGGATATCAAACTTCATGAGCTCTTCACTGAGACCTAAACCTGTGTCCCTGTTTCCTCAGATACTCCTGCTGAATGTCCTCTGTGGTCAGACTCTCCCATGTGGTCCAAGACAGTATCAGATCGGATCCAGATGCTGTCCCATGTGTCCACCAGGTGAGATCTACCTGATCAGTTAAAGGGGAAGTTAAATTCAGGGTTAAACTGACAGAGGATATGTTTCAGTCTTTGAGCTCATGTTGGAAAGTCTTCTTTGAGTCCTCATCATGAACGTCTGTCTCTCTGAGGTCTTTGTTTCTGTGTTGGTCGGTTCAGTCTGTAGTTTTAATGTTCAGATTCATGTCAAAAGGTCAATCCTTCAATCATCCCTTCATCACTGACTTCCACTGAGGATTACTGTTCATTACAGGTTCAGATCTCAGTCCTCCTGCTCACTTCAGACTTTATCAAAAACTGGCCCTAAGAGCAAAGTCTGAAAAACCTCCAAAACCTGGACTTTTAGATTGAGCATCAAGTTTCATCTGTTCTGTTGATCATTTCTATAATTTGTGGTCCTATAACAGTTTTCAGGTTTTGATTGATCCCTGTGTCGTGACAGAAACTATCACAGATTTTTATCCTAAAATGTTTTTAATTGAAACTGAAAACAATAAAAGTTGTTGTAGCTGTTGCAGAAAGGTGTGTTTCTGTTTTCATATTATAACAGAAAAAGTTTATGTTACAATGTGTACAATTTGATGGTGAGTTACTGATAACTACTGGTGAAAATTGTGTATTGGATTAGATACTAAGCACGCAGCAGCCACATGACCAATTAAGAATATACTGTATGTAATGTCAGAGTATACTGGCATTTTCATTTGCATGTAATTAAAGTTTGAAGATAATTTGATGCTGAGCAATTCTTGTTTCTGTGTTTCATTTGGTTTTTCACGGTGTTTGCTGTTGAAGAGAAGAAAATAAATTAAGTCATTCATCAGTTGGAGTGTGGCTTTTCTGTACCAGAAGAAAACCTTTGGGAGCTGTTATAGGCTTCACTTTCATCATAGCTCTGACTTTATTTGGTGTTTTTTTGAAACAGGAGGTCGAGTTCATGAAGACTGCACACAGTCCAGAAGTACTCAATGTCTGCCCTGCACTGAGGGAACTTTTATGGACAAACCAACAGACAGTTCTCAGTGCCACAGCTGTAACCGCTGTGATTCAGGTACATTACTGACACTATACAATTTGATTCTGTATCGACTTATAAATGATCTAGAAATATGAACCTTTGGTGAGTCTCCAATAACCTGATCAGACCTTAAACACAGAGGAGACTTCAGCAGATCATCATGAGTCTCTTTGAACACAAAGAAAAGTCTTTGTACATCCAGCTGAAGCTGAGTGGGTCCATGAATAACTTCTGTTTGCATTAACAGGTTCTGGACTACAGACTAAGAGATCATGTACGATAGTATCAGACACAGTCTGTGAACCTCTGGAGGGATTTTACTGTACGAGGTCTGAAAAGGACAGCTGTGAAGCTGCACAGAAACACAAAACCTGCAAACCAGGAGAATACATCAGTCAGAACGGTTGGTTATTAACATGAACATGGTTTCTGCAGATTCACAGTGATCTAGATCATGTTGAGACTGTCTGTGTCCTCCTGCAGCTCTGTACTCTGACAGAAAGAAAATACACAAACTTTCCACAAAGAGCTTTTTTTCTGTTTGCTGATCTGTAAAACTTTGAACAGTGTTTAATAAATCTGAGTGAATCATAGCTGTAGTGAGTTTGTAACACCTGAACAGGATGGTGGAAGTGTGACTGAAACAGGAGAAGTTGATCAGTCAGTGTTCAGCAGAAAGTGAAAGATCAGCTGATGTTTTTCAGATTCATACAGACTTGACAGTCTAATGTGTTTGTGCAGGAAGCTCTGTGTCAGACACTGTCTGCTCTCCCTGCTCTGATGGATCATTTTCAGATGGGACGTTTTCATCTTGTCGTCCACACACACAGTGAGTGAAGCTTCACATCAGACATGGACACAACTGAATTCTTCTTTCTGCAGCAGAGAATTCATCAGATCCTCCAGATGTTCCTCTAAGAAATGTCCCTCTATCATTACAGATGTGAAGACCTGGATCGAGAGCTGCTGAGACCAGGAACTGAGTCAGCTGATGCTCAGTGTGGAACACTCCGCTTATATCAGATAGCACTGATATTTTTTGGTTTTTGTGTTGTTTTTGGTGTTTGTTATGTCCAGTGTTGTGTTACTGATGTTGCTGATGCTTCATGCAGTGTTTGTTTCACTGTTGTTGTTGGTTCTTTGCTTTGTCTCATTTTTATTTTCTCTTTCAGTTTTGCTGTTGGTACTAGTGCTTTTTTTGGTCACTTTGTTGTTTTTTATGTAATTTATGTTGCAGTTTTTTGTTATCATAGAAAGAAAAATACAGGATTATAAATGTAAGATTTTTCATTCAGACTCACAAACCAAAGTGTCTGTTACATCATGAACTTCACTGATTGAACTGTTTTTCTCTTTTTTCACAATACATGAAATAGAAAAAACTCCAGCAGTTATGCTTTTTATCGTTATTACTGTTTGTTTATTAGACTGTGTATAAAATGGACATTGACAACAATAATGAAACAATCTCATTGACATATCAATGTTCCCCTCAAAGATTTTGAGTATAAATAAACACCGTCTGAAGAGGAGCAGCAGGTCCGACAGTACTTCATTTAAAAGTCCACTGACTGAGATCAACTCTATCATGTTTTTACAAATGTGCAAAATGTTTCTGTTATAAACTGATCTTTATTTTCTCAGGTGTGATGATGGTTAATATTGAACAGACTGAATGTCCTCCAAGATCTTGATCTAGCTGTGATCCAGTATGTTATTCCTTTAGCTTTGTGTTTGTTCCAATAAATGTGTTACAGCATAAAGATCTCTGTGTCGCAGTGATTTTTTATTTATTTATTTTTTTGTCTTTTAACAACACCACACTAATATTAACCAATGACATATTTCTTGTCAGTCATTTTCCCCTCTCAGAAATATCTCTCAGTGTCACCACTCTGACACCAGCCGTTGTTTTTGGACCTTTTAAAAACTTGTTCATGTTTGTTTTTTTCCACTGTTGACTGAGTTTAGATGAGAGGATGGTCAAAGTTAAGGAAGATAGTTTTGGAAAAAGGGTGGTTACCTTATCACTTCAAAGATTTCTCTTACGTCTAATTTCCCAAACACAATAAAAAAGATGCCAACTGATATTAAGTCTCTGACTCCAATCCCTTAATTACCTCTCACCCTTTCCCAGCGTGGTTGTTGATGGGAAGAAGAGAAGATGAGGATTCAGAAGAGTTCTTAGTTGAAGCTCTATTTATTAATTACACATGAGTCAAGAAATATGCAACAGAGATCTCTGGGTTCAAAATTTGCTCATTCTACCGAACAGACAGCTTAGAGGTCTGAGCGCTTCAAAACCCCTATGAACTTTCCCTCGAACACTTCATAGTCGAGGATCCGCCTATCTAGACAAAGGGTTTCCTATACTTGATGTTGTCTTCACATGGAGGCTGGTTCATGTCTTTTCTTCACCTCTCACATCGATGGGTCCAGGTGTTTACCTAATAAGGAGTTTTGTTTTGCATTCAACACTCATCTCTAACTCACACACATTCAATCATACAGTTTGCTGTCGCTGGGCAGATGTTTTAAGTAAGCTTAAAGGCAAGTATCATAGACAAAAATAACGATCACCCCCTTGAGATCCATAACCTTTCTTTTGAAGAAGTTCAAACCGCAGAGCATCCTCTGCACACTTCCTTTTTATATGCCTGAGTACAAACTCCTCTAAAAAACAGCACACGAACATCTTTATTCAGTACAAGATACCCTACTTACCAACGATCAAGAAAAGCCAAAGCTAAAACCTTTATACAATGGAAACTGTTCTTTTCCTCCATATAGGGTGATCTATATCATCTTGGAGCTTTTATCCTTCTACCAGATAAGTGCTTTCGGAGAGTTGTCCACAGCGCCCCCCCAGGTGAAAAAAGAAGACATTATTCCAACACCTGGCATTCAGAGAGATAGACACTCAAACTGAAGAGGGAAAACTGATCATCACAGCAGAAAGTGACTCTCGACATTTAAAAGGTCCAGAAAAATAAAATATCTAGTCCACAGGAAAGATGGATCTGAGAGCACAGGGAGCAGAGAAAGAGTCAGGGTGACTCCAGACAGAATCTGAGACTCTGGTTCACAGTCACAGTGCAACTAGTTTGTGTCAGTTTTTGAAGAGAGTTAAAAGTTTACATATTCAAGACTCACTTCACACTAAAATATTCAGAGTGTTTTTCTATCTTCTTTTTAATAACTATGGCCTCAAACTCAGGAAATGTAGAAATATCTTAAATCATCACAGTTCACTAAATCAGTCCTTCACCTGGACCTGAGGAGGTGAGAGCGTACAGAGAGTTATATAGTAGAATAGAGGATCCTTCATTGTAAACTCTTTGGATCAGCCCTTTATTTCCTGTAGTCTGATGTGTTTCATGAGTCCATGATCCAGACTGAGGACCTGCAGCTCAGCAGTTCAGCTCACACTCATGTTTTATATGAACTCTGCAAAGATAATGTGCCAGAATCCAGCAGGATTAGAACTGGATCCTGGAGGACATTTACCTCACAGTGTACTCAGAAAATGTCAACATGCTCATGAATTGATCATCAAAACCTGAAGAGAGAGGAGATCAAATTTAAAGAGAAACTTTTTATCCATCATTATAGACACACAAGAGTTTATCAGCCGTCTCACCTGCTCCTCCTCTTCAGCTCTGTGAGAAATCTGTCTCAACAGAGGTCTTATTTTGAACCCACAGCATCATTTTTTTTTTGATCATCTGCTGGTTTTCTTAATTGAAATAAAACTAAGAACACTGATGCATTTCATCATGAAAGTTTTATTAATTAAAAAAAAAAATTATTGGTGTTCACTCCTCAATTGGACTGGATATTGTCCTGTGATGGATGAAATAGATCCATGACCTAGAAACGAAACTGAATACCAATTGAGACAAAGATAAACACAGATTTAAAAAATGCAAGGCTCCACGGGGACATGAAATCACGTGTCTTACCACATCTCTGATCATAAAAGCTGGATGATAAGACTGGAGCAGGTGGTTCACCTATTTAGGAGAAGCTGCACGTTTAATTTCAGCGCTGTTTTAACTAAACACTTTTGCTGTTTTAGGGGAAGAGATGAAAATCCTTAAGAAAAGTTGAAGCTTCAAACAACAGTCATGTTTTCTTTCCCCAGTCTGGAGAAAAAGTTTCTGTGTAAACTGGAAAATAACTAATAAATAAACTTAAGTCAAAATATTCCTGCATGAGCTCATGCTGCTGATATTGATGTGGATACAGTCAGCACAAACTAAAGCACTGATACAGTCATTAATATGACAGTATCAGTTTGTCTTTGCAACTCACCTGAGGGAAAAAGTTACCTTTTAACAGTTTCAACTGATGGTTAAGCCAGTGTTCAATACTTTATTCAGACTCCAGTCTTTGGAAAGTTGTGTTTAATAAACTCTTATCTGTGGTATTAGATTCCTCTAAAAATGTAATGTAATGTAATGCATTTCTTGATAAAAATTAGTTGAAAATTTGCATGTATTCTTGTTTGGTATCTGTATGTATATAATCTATAATGTGTTCCTATTTAAATTATGTTAGTTAATTCATGCAGATATACTTCTGTACTCATGATTTGGACTTCTGTTTTTCAGATCCTTCATAAGATCCTGTTCATTTTATTTTATTTTATGACTCCACGATTACAGAGAAAGTAAAGTTTTTGTTTGACCTCAATCCTCTATCAGACAGAGAGACTGTCCAAAGAAACAAAGATTGGAAACCTCCTTGACCTCCTTAAAAACTGGTTTATAGTGACAGAGTTATTAGACACAAACATCAAACTCTCCTCTATCAGCACATATCATTGGTTCATCACTGCAGTGAAAGGTTTTTATGATGTTATGATAAAATCTCTCTCATAAAATCAAAGTCCAACTTTTTCACTCTATATCAACAACACCTCAGCCTCTTCGTTTCACTTTTGTAGCAGGTCTCTGTGTGAAAACTTTACACCAGGTTTAAAATCCGATTTTTTTGTCAAACTTTATCAAATCTCTGGTGACTGAAATCAAACTGTTTTCTGAATGAGTTTTTTTCCTTGGATTTAACTGTCCTGTCATCCTGTGATCCCCTCGTCAACGTTGAGAAGAAGACCAGATCATAATGTTTTAAGGAGTCAAAGTCCAACTTTTTCACTCCTGATCAACAACACCTCAGACGTGTCCATGTAGATTCTCATTCATCCAGGTCATGGTTATCTTGAAGACTTAAAAACAGGCAACTGGACTGTGTAGAGTTAAGAAGACGTTTCGCCTCTTATCCAAGAAGCTTCTTCAGTTCTAAAAGTGCTAGTGTCAGCAGCAGATATTTATCTTACTGGAGAAGGGGGACAGTTAACGACTGGCTGGAGTTGAAAAGAATGGGTCGTAGAAACCCATCTCTCGGTGTGTCCCCCCCAAGTCGTTATCCTGAAGGGGTCGTTAGCGACTCCTATCATGTGACCACATGACTCATGCCACCTGAGTCATGTGGTTCCAGGTGTGAATGTTTGTGGAGCTTTCTGGGGAGAGAGCTGAGAACGGCATTGTAAGTGCCAGAGAGATTGTGCCTGAGTCCACCCCCTCTGTTCAGAGAAGGTTTCTCCAGCCTGGTAAAGATGGCTTCTTTAACTCCTCTTTCAAACCATCTGTCTTCTCGAGCCAACACCTGTACATTGCTGTCCTCAAAAGAGTGACCTGTATCCTTCAAGTGAAGGTGGACAGCTGAGTCCTGACCTGAGGAAGTGGCTCTCCTGTGTTGAGCCATGCGCTTGTGAAGCGGTTGTTTAGTTTCCCCAATGTACAGGTCTGAGCATTCCTCGCTGCACTAGACAGCATATACCACATTACTCTGTTTATGTCTCTGTGTTTTGTCCTTGGGATGGACTAGCCTCTGCCTTAGTGTGTTACCAGGCTTGAAATGAACAGGAATGCGGTGTTTGCCAAAGATCTTCTTGAGTTTCTCAGACAGGCCTGCAACGTAAGGGATTACAGTGCTCTTGCGTCTCTCCTCCCTTTCCTGTTCAGTGTTATTTCTCTTTCTGTTCTTTACAAAGGCCCACTTAGGGTATCCACAGGTTGTCAGGGCATTTTTGATGTGCTTTTGTTCCTTTTCCTTACCTTCTTTCTTCGTGGGAATGTTCTTGGCCCGGTGGTTGAGTGTTCTGATGACACCCAGTTTGTGCTGCAGAGGATGGTGGGAATCAAAAAGTAGATATTGATCCGTGTGTGTTGGTTTCCTGTACACTTCAACGTTGAGACACCCATCTGCCTCCAAGTGTACAGCACAGTCCAAAAAGGCCAACACTTTGTCCTTGACATCTTCACGGGTGAACTTGATGTTGCTGTCCACTGTGTTGATATGGTCAGTGAAGGCCTCTACTTCATGTGTTTTGATCTTAACCCAGGTGTCATCCACATATCTGAACCAGTGGCTAGGAGCAGCTCCCTTGAAAGAGGTTAGAGCCTTCCTCTCTACCTCTTCCATGTACAGGTTTGTCACTATAGGAGAAACCGGGGAGCCCATCGCGCATCCGTGTTTCTGTCTGTAATGGCGCTCTCTGAACTGGAAATAGGTGGTGCTGAGGCAGATGTCCAATAAGGAGCAGATGTGGTCCGGAGTTAAGTTGGTTCTGACTTCCAGTGTGCTGTCCTGTGAGAGGCGTTGTCTTACTACTTGGACTGCCTCTGTTGTTGGAATACTTGTGAAAAGTGATGTGACATCATAGGAAACCATGGTTTCATCTGGGTCCAACCTGTCTACACAGTCCAGTTGCCTGTTTTTAAGTCTTCAAGACCTCAGACGTGATGTTTCACTTTTGTAGCAGGTCTCTGTGTAAAAACTTTACACCAAGTTTAAAATCCCATTCTTTGTAAAACTTTAAACTGACATAAACTGATGGTTCAGTCAGAGTTTTCTGCTTTTATTAGACTTCTGTCTTTAGAAAATTGTGTTGAATAAACTCATCTGTGGTGTTAGATTCCTCTGGAAAATAAAAGAAGCATTTATTGATATAACTGGTTGTAAATTTGCATGTATTCTTGTTTGGTCTCTATAATCTATAATGTGTTCTTATTTAAATGATGTGAGTTAATTCATGCAGATACACATCTGTACTATTGATTTGGATTATTGGAACTACAGTTCCTTATTAAGATCCTGTTTATTTGATTTTTTTTTTTTATTGATATGACTCCATGATTACAGGGAAGAAAGTGTTTTTGTTTGACCTCAATCCTCCATCAGACAGAGACACTGTCCACTACCAGAAACAGAGATAAGAAGCCTCTGTGACCTGTTTATAAATGGGTTTATAGTGACAGAGTTATCAGACACACATCACAAACTCTCCTCTGTCCTCACGTTTCATTGGTCTATCATTATAATCATGTGTTTTTTTCATGATGTTGTGATAAAATCTTATTTATAATGTTGTAAATAGTCAAAGTCCAACTTTCTTACTCCTTATATACAACACTTCAGCCTCTTCATTTCACTTTTGTCAAACTTTATCAAATCCCTGGTGACTGAAATCAAACTGTTTTCTGAGTGAGTAAAGAGTTTAAAAACTCTTTTTTCTTTTTCCTTGGATTTAACTCTCCTTTCATCCTGTGATCCTCTCATCGACGTTGAGAAGAAGACCAGGTCACTGGTAAGATGACTGATTATAACAACAAAGTTTCAGTTTGCTCTGCAGAAATTCAGACATCCTGTTTCTCTTCTGGTCCGTGTATGTGCATGTATGTTAGTGTCTGAGGAGTGAGAGGAGGTTTGGCTGCTCTCTGATCCAGCTGTCTCTTTGTTAAAGTCAAAGTGTGTTAGACGGTGAAGTGCTGACTTTATCAACTCCACATTGGACCTCTTTAAAAGGACTCAAAGTAAAGAGGTTTTTGTGATCCTGCTTAAACTCTTGGACCTGATCTGATGTCTGTGGTGGTTGTTTTTTTTCATCAGAGTTATTCTTCCTTTGTTAGATTTAATTAATATACAGAGTAGTTTTGTGTAACCTCTGCATGGATATTTGCTCTTTTTTCTCTCCAGATGAAGTTGTCAGTTTGATCTCAGTGAGATTTCATCTTCATCCAGAGGAAACTGTGAACCTGCACATTAAAGATGAGAGTCAAACCTGGATCAGCTGCAGCAGTGCTGGTAAAATATCTTCTTACAGAAATCTTTAAATATCTTTGCAACAGTTTGGACATCAAACTTCGTGAGATCTTCACTGAGACCTAAACCTGTGTCCCTGTCTCCTCAGATACTCCTGCTTGAAGGTCCTCTGTGGTCAGACTCTCCCATGTGGTCCGAGACAGTATCAGGTTGGATCCAGATGCTGTCCTATGTGTCCACCAGGTGAGATCTACCTGATCAGTTAAAGGGGAAGTTAAATTCAGGGTTAAACTGACAGAGGAAATGTTTCAGTCTTTGAGCTCATCTTGGAAAGTCTTCTTTGAGTCCTCATCATGAACAACAACAAACCTGGACTTTTAGATTCAGCATCAAGTTTAATCTGTTCTGTTCTTGATTTCTAAAATGTGTGGTCCTGCAAAAGTTTTCAGGTTTTTATTGATCCCTGTGTCAGGACAGAAACTATCACAGATTTTTATCCTTAAAGGTTTTTAATTGATGCTGAAAACACTGAAATTCTGCCAAAGTCATTGTAGCTGTCGCAGAAAGATGTTGGCATTTTCATTTTCTTTCAGTTTGAGGATTATTTAATGCTTAGCAATTTTTGTTTCTGTGTGTTTTATTTGGTTTTCCAGTGTTTGCCACTGAAAAGAAGAAAATAAATAACTGTCATACATCAGTTGGAGTGGGACTTTTCTGTCCCAGAAGAAAACCTTTGGGAGCTGTTATAGTTTCACTTTCACCATTGCCCTGACTTTATTTCTTTTTGTTTGGTTGTGTTTTTTTTTTTATAAACAGGAGGTCGAGTTCATCATTACTGCACAGAGTCCAGAAGAACTCTCTGTCTGCCCTGCACTGAGGGAACTTTTATGGACAAACCAACATACTTTACTCGGTGCTACAGCTGTAACCCCTGTGATTCAGGTACATTAGTCATATTATTTTTATCTGTATCGATTCATAGCTGATCTAAAAATATGAACCTTTGGTGAGTTAGTTTAAGTTCCAGTAACCTGATCAGACCTTAAACACAGAGGAGACTTCAGCAGATCATCATGAGTCTCTTTGAACACAAAGAAAAGTCTTTTTTCATCCAGCTGAAGCTGAGTGGGTCCATGAATAACTTCTGTTTGCATTAACAGGTTCTGGACTGCAGACTAAGACATCATGTACAAACACATCAGACACAGACTGTGAACCTCTGGATGGATTTTACTGTACGAGGTCTGAAAAGGACAGCTGTGAAGCTGCACAGAGACACAAAACCTGCAGACCAGGAGAATACATCAGTCAGAACGGTTGGTTATTAACATGAACATGGTCTCTGCAGATTCACAGTGATCTAGATCATGTTGAGACTGTCTGTCTAACTGTGTTCTTCCTGCAGCTCTGTACTCTGACAGAAAGAAAATACACAAACTTTCCACAAAGAACTTTTTTTCACTTTGCTGAACTGTAAACTGTAAACACTTTGAACAGTGTTTAATAAATCTGAGTGAATCATAGCTGTAGTGAGTTTGTAACACCTGAACAGGATGGTGGAAGTGTGACTGAAACAGGAGAAGTTGAACAGTCAGTGTTCAGCAGAAAGTGAAAGATCAGCTGATGTTTTTCAGATTCATACAGACTTGACAGTCTAATGTGTTTGTGCAGGAACCTCTGTGTCAGACACTGTCTGCTCTCCCTGCTCTAATGGATCATTTTCAGACGGGACGTTTTCATCTTGTCGTCCACACACACAGTGAGTGAAGCTTCACATCAGACATGGACACACCTGAATTCTTCTTCCAGCAGCAGAGAATTCATCAGATCCTCCAGATGTTCCTCTAAGAAATGTTTCTCTGTCATTACAGATGTGAAAATCAGGTTCGAGAGCTGCTGAGACGAGGAACTGAGTCAGCTGATGCTGAGTGTGGAAGACTAAAACTCTATGCAGTGATAGGACTGACAATTTTCAGTATTGCTGTTGTTGTTGGTGTTGGTGTTGGTGGTAAAGTTGGTGTTGGTGTTGGTGTTGGTGTTAGCAATTGTATTAATGATCGTTTTGGGGTTGGTATTATTGTTGGTGTTGTTGTTGGATTTGCTGTCTGAGCTGTTGTTGCTTTTGTTTATTTTTTTGGTGTTTTTGCTTTTTTTTGGGGTGCTGCTGCTGGATATCATATTGGAGTTAATGTTTCTTCCGCTTTTGGTGGTGGTGTTGTTGGTGGTATAGTTGGTTTTGCTGCTGTTGTTGCTTTTTGGTGTTTTTGTTATTGGTTATGGGAATGTATCCGTCGTTGCCTTTGCTGCTGCTGTATATCAGAGGTAAGATTTTTCATTCAGACTCACAAACTTGTTCACATTTTAAACAGATAATAAAGAGTCTGTTACATCATGAACTTCACTGATTGAACTGTTTTCCTCTTTTTTCCCAATACATAAAATGAAAAATAAAAAACTCCAACAGGTATGTTTTTTATTGTTATTACTGTTTGTTTACGAGACTGTTTATGAAATGGAGAGTGACAACAATCATGAAACAATCTCATTGACATATTGATATTCTCCTCAAGGACATGTCTGCACAGGAAAACGTCATCTGAAGAGGAGCAGCAGGTCAGACAGTTCTTCATTTAAAAGTCCACTGTCTGAGAGCAACTCTATCATGTTTTTACAAATGTGCACAATGTTTCTGTTTAAAACTGATCTTTATTTCCTCAGGTGTGATGATGGTTAAAATTGGACAGACCTGAACTACCCCCAGGACTCAGATGCAGCTGCGATCCAGTTGATTTAAAAAAAAAAAAAACAGTCCCAAAATGATCAAACTCAGTCTGGATCATGCCCCTTGTGATCTATAATGTCTCTGCATGGATACTGAAGTCAGCCTTGAACAAAAACAGTGAACTGCAGCAGGTATCTGAGTGAGCTCTCAGCTGGATGTGAACTCAAATCTGTTACCTACTGGAACAAAGAGTTGGATCAGGGGACACATTTCTGGATTTGTAACCTATTGCTTGCTTTAACAGTATGAGCTGTTGTTTGTTTTTCAGAATATTGAATGAAATTAATGCGCTTACTGAATTTGTTACTGAATGCAGTGAGGATGTTTTTCTTTTAACTTCTCAGTTTACATCTATAAATATTCTGTGTGAACGTATTCTCAGTTTTTTATTTCTCCAAACAATCAATCTTACAAAATAAAACAAAATGACGATAAATTTTAATGAAATAGGTCACATTATTTTCATCAGGGCATGTTCATATTTTCAGGGGATTGACTGCTAAAACTAAAATTTACATCTTTATCAGTTTCAAATCTTTTTTTACAGTGCAGTGTATAACTATAATCAATCAGAGAGAAAAGTTGTCTCTACAGGGTTTATTCTTGGCACCAACCATAAAGCAAGATTTATTCCTAAAATCAAACCTGACCTTTACCTTGAGTTTTTTTTAATTGTATTAGTAGTAGAAACATTAAATAAGAGTTTGTTGCTCATCCAAATGCCTGTGTCATGATATGTTCTGTTGATTTAGTTTTTCCCTGGTTTTGTGATTTGAGTGTATTTTCTTTGTGTTTTTCCCAAGTGTTCCTGTTCCCCTGTAGTCCTGTCTTGTGAGTTTTTAGTCTTCATTTGACCCTGGTTCCCTCATGTTCTCAGTATTTTATTCTCTATATCATTTTTCAGTGTTTCCTGTTGTATTTCGTAGTAGTTTATTCCCTGTGTTTCTAGTCTTTTTCTCCTCCCTTAGTTTCACAGTACACCTGTGTCTTAGTGTCTCACCTGCCTCTCATTGCTCATTTCCCTATGTGTATATATAGTCCTTGTCTTCCCCTGTTTCTTTTTTGGTTCATTGTGTGTTGTTGGCTAATGTCTTTGTGTTTATCCCAGTGTCTCATTGTGATTTTTTTCCTCCTAGTGTCTTTTGTTGGATTTTGTTTTTTTGTTTGTTTTGGATTTTGCCTCTTGTGTTTTTTGCCTTTGGAAATTTTTTTGTTGGACATTTAAAGTAAGTTTTTGTTGCTTTGTATTTAGTTTATTTTGAATAAATCATTTCTGTCCTACATTTGGGCTCTTTCCTTTTTGTTTACCCAAAACCATGACAGCCTGTGTACAGGTCACATTTTCAGTGGGTTTCTCTTCAGATGTAAAAATGTCAAATTCATCTGGTTGTTGTTTCTGACTTTAGAGAAGACCAAAAACTTTTGTGCCTAGATTTAAACTTAGCAGAGCCGTTTGTAAAGTGTGAAACTCTGTATTAAGATCCTGCACTGCTTTTGTAACAGAGAGAGCATGGAATTATCATCAGCATGTCCTTTAAGGTCTTTTAAGCAAGAAAGAAATTGGTGAGTGAAAATCTTATGAACAAAATTATTTAAAAAAATATTTTTATGGTCTGACCTACTAGGTCACCTAAGAATAAATGATCTAAGCTTGGAGCTGGGAAGATTCAAACAGTAGGATTAAGGATCACCTGGCCAGCTGTTGTCTGGGACTTGATGGTGAAGGACAGCAGAATCACTGTCTTACTGTCTTTATAGGGATCCTTATTAATAACCACAAACCTTTTTAAACTTTTGATTGTTCGATCCAAGGTGGACATCTTTTTGAATATCTAGATCAAATCTACATGTTGCTTTTTCCAGAGGTTTATGCAGCCTGTGTCTGTAGGTTACATATTAATTGGCTCTCTGCACAAATCTACTGCTAAACTCCAGGAGCAGAATGGTAAGACTGTGAGAAAATAACGTAAAACCATTAGCTTATCAACAACACCGAGTATCTTATAGAAGAAACCAGTTTTCAGTAGAATGCAGCTCACCACTTTATACTCTGACCTCCATGATAAACTTGTATTTCTGTGTGAACATTTCAACAGAAATGTGTAAACCTCTAATGATCTTTATATAAAGACCAGATGAGCTTACCAAGCTAGGTAAAGGTGTGTAAATGATTCAGACACCTTATACCGAGAATTACAGATTAACATGTGGAGATTTTGAATAAATGATGGTGTCCTGTTTATTAATACTGCAAGAACATTTCTACTTTTGTTTTATTTTGAAGGTCTACGCTGCCACCATCTTTGTTTATCCGGTCTTGGCCAGTGTCAGGAGTTGGAGAAGTCACCACCGAGGCTCGTTTAAAAGAAACAACAATGCAAACTTTATTGAAATTAGAAAAATAAAACAGACCTACTCCCACACACAAACTATGAATGCAATAAACCTTAACCAAAAATTGTAAATTTACAATCAAACCATAGATAACTTTTCAAAGAACTTATCTCGCCCGGCTGACGACGAGACCTCAAACATAAAAAAAACACAAGTTTAAATCCATCAATAAAATGTTTGGTTGAGGGATTGTCCTGACAGAGTTTGTAGAGTAACTTCACCTTTAGTAACAGTCTTACTTTACTTTCATCTATCCCCTTTTTTCTACAAGCTTCCTCTTGGTTTATAGATTTAACATTATATCAAAGTATCTGCAGAGGTAATCGTCACCACTACACGGATTTCCCACAAGAGTCAGTAGAATCCGGGTGGGTGGTGGCCTGTAATGCTGCTGGTTTCGATCCTGGAAGCTTTTATTTTGAAAGGCTGAAAGGGAAACTGGCTACAGTAGCGGCTCCAAACAAACTCATGTCTGACTGTCTAAAGTTTCGGAATTAAATCCCAAAAAGACGTCGTCTTCGTTTGATACCACCAAAGTGAGGAAGAAGTAAACTACAGCAGGAGATACAAAGGAGAAAAATAAGGAGGAGGAGAAAGAGGAGAAGGAGGAGGACGAGTGCTCGGCCCAGACTCCTGCTGTACCGTCAGCCGCCCTTTAAATCTCCCAAAGGTACGGAACTGTTCATTTCTCTATCTGTGTTTTGTTTAACAGAGATACGGTCAAAGTTTAAAGATGTTAATGTAAAGTTTACATTAACCGGCGAGTTGTATACCATAGTATGGTGGTTTTGTGTCAACTCGCCGGTCTATTTTAAATGAAATTCTTATATTCAGGGTGGAGTCCCCCTCAAGACACGAAAAATCCTTGGTAGGCTGCGCAATAATCAAACTGGGATAACTCTGGATGCTTTAGGAACACCTCTTTCTCAGAAAGGTGAAATATTCGGTCTTTATCAAGATGAGCCCAGTATAGGCCTACACTACAGAGGCTCCTCTTAGAAAGTGCACACATTTTATTTATTTATTTATTCATTCATCTTGAGATTTCTGGGTGTTATAAGTTTTTGTGTTACATGTTGGCTCAATTAATAGTTGATAATAACTTATCGACTTGTTAAATAATAGTTATTCGACGTCCAACAGCGAAGATGAGTTTCAGTTTTGGTTTGCTGAGAGTCAACAAACTTTAAAACGGAACTCGTGTTGCATCGCAGAGGGCGCGGCCTAAACAAGCAGCAGGGGCGTACTAAGGCTGTTTGAGGGGCATGGGGCAAAAATGTTAAAAAGGGCACCAGCACTCATATGTTCTGCTTAGTGAAGATCGATATCTAACTGTACAGTGGCCGAGAACTGCCACTGCTGCAAATAAAAAAGAGTGCTAAAAAGAAGAAGCTACAATGGAAGTTACCGATGGGGGAAAAAAAAAGCCCGCTGCAAATAAGAAAAGAAACAGTGCAGATTTATTTAAAAAGCGACAGTGGAAGTTAACTACGCAGTAAAAAGTGGTGATGCAAAAAAAAAAAAAAAAAGAAGAAGAGGAAGAAGTTACTTACTGCGAAGATAAAAGGATGCAAAAAATATATATTATAAAGCCACAACGGAAGTGAGCTGCCGGGGACTAATAATAAAAAAAGAGAGGGGTCTGCGTACTTATTCTCCTCTCGTCGGTGGTCTTTCGGGCCATAGTGGGTTTACCGCGTTAGTCGAAGCTAACGCTACACAGGGATCCTCCAGTTCAACTTCATATTGACTCAGGCGCAAAATGGCCTAACCAAATGACACACTGAAAAACACAAGAAGCGAAATTAAACAATAATCTGTCCATCATTTTCTTTGCTCGTCTTCTCGCCGTTGTCTTCTGTAAAACACCGGTGCATCACCTTTATTGGTCCCCAGCAGCTCACTTCTGTTGTGGCTTTTTTTCATTTGCATCCTTTTATTTTCACAGCAAGTAACTGTTTTTTTTTTTTCTTCTTGTTTTTTTGCATTCTTTTTTATTTGCAGCAGTGGCGGTTCTCAGCCACCATATAACTGCATTTTAAAGACTATTTTGAAATGAAAAGCTCCACAAATTTAGGGAATTTTTTTATTTTCAGAAAATTCTGAGCTAACTCTGAGCGAAATTTTTTAAAAATCCCACAAATTTTTTCATCTAGGCTTAATTACTAAAGGGGCATTTATCACATTTGATGTTACTGTTTGTAACAGAATGGAGGAGGAATACACTTCATTACTTTATTCTGGTCTGTCAAAATGGGAAAAAAAAGTATAGCTCTTCATAAATAAGTTGATCTTGGACTTAAAATTACATCCTAGTTATCACATAAACACTGACAGAGAGATGCCTCCTTCATAGAAATATCTTGAAGTAAGATTAAGTGTTTTAAACTGAACAAAGTTTGAATGACCAGCCTTAAGATTGTCTCTAATAGAGGAAATCTTTATAATGTTAGTTTGTATGATCTGTATCTGTGTGTTTGTTTCCAGATGTTGTTGCTCTCATCACTTTCTGCGATGACGTGACATCTTCAGACCAAAACTGTGATCCTATTGGATGAAATGATGTTTAGGGGAAGCCCTTGGTCAGCTGTGTCACTGCTGGTAAAGTATTTTTTACAGAAATCCAGAAATCGTTCCTTCTGCACAACTCCAGTTTTTGTTTTAAACATCTCAGTTCAAAGAGCAGAATGATTGCTATCTGAGTCCTCCACATGGATGAATTTGTTCTCACTGGAACAAACATTTTTTCTTACAGATACTCACAGTGACTGTCCACAGAGGTGAAGCCATCAGATGCCATCCATCAGATTATCCAGTCGGACACATTTGCTGTCCTAAGTGTCCATCAGGCAAGAACCACTGAGTATAATATTAAAGTATTTGTAGTCTGATGTTGATTTTTAAAAATATTTCATATCTACCACATCTCCTCCTTTCAACCCCGTTGTCTGATTTTACCAGTGCCATATGGATTATCATTGATTCCTGCTTTCCTCTCCTCCCTGGGGTTCTTTGCTGCTGCTCTCCTTGCCTCCACTTCAGCTCTTTTTACGCAGTGTTTGGTTGCTCTAGTGTCAAATGGATTGTCACTGATGCCTGCTTTGTTCTGTCCCCCCATCTGCTGCTCAGCCTGCTTTGCATATGAAACAGAGAGGAGGTGTGCTCTACCTGCCACTGGCGTTCTACACATGCACATGTATGGGCAGAGAGCACTAGAAAAAGAGCCATACCACCAAGTGTACCCTACTGCATAAAACTAACACTAATATCTTTGCCACAGTGTCAACAGGCAGAGGGGAAACGTCCTGGACTCTTTGTACTGAAAAGTTGAAAAGATGGAGATGAGAAGCTAATTAAAGCAGATACTGATGAACAGATACTGTGACTATCCTGTTCTAACTTGTTTTATTTCTCTCCGTACAGGAAGTCGAATTGCAGTACACTGCACAGAGTCCTACAGTACCCGCTGTCTGCCCTGCACTAAGGGAACCTTTATGAACCAGGAGACTGATCTCACAGAGTGTTTCACCTGTAGAAAGTGTGACGCAGGTAAACCTCTAAGAATATCTAAGAACATCTTGGAAAACGGACTGAAACCAAAACAGGGCTGTCTCGATTTTAAATGTTGAGCTGTCCAGAGTTCTTTAGATGTCCGTGTTCTCAAATCAAGCTAGTGTTCAGACTTAAGACAGACTGATTTTTTTATTATTATTCTGAGTTTCACATCATGTCCTGCCTTCTTAGGCTCCCTCTCACTCTCTGTTATTCACAAAAGTGATTCACCCTGTGAGGGAGACATGTCTTCAGCAGTTCTGGATTATGTTATTGGTAAGCTGTCCTGGTATTTCCACAAATTTCAGGACACACTTTTTCCTGTGTTTCACAGATTCTGGTCTGAGGATAAAAACTCCATGCACAGAGAGATCAGATGCAGTCTGTGAACCTCTGGAGGGATTTTTCTGCATAGAGTCTGCAGGGGAAGGATGTTCAGCAGCAAAGAGACACACTAGATGCAAACCAGGACAACACATCAGTCAGAACGGTTGGTTTCAAAAGCTGGTTAAAGTTTATTGGTGAAGTTTGAATGAAAAACTTTTCCTTCTAGAAAGCCAAAAAATCAAAATGAAATAAAACAGATGCTTTAACTGCTATAATTAATTTCTAAGAGTCTGCTTTTCAGATTTTGACGGTCAGAGAGCAATTTGAAAAGTCATTAAATGAAAACTAACCCTCCCGTCTGTGTTTGTGCAGGAAGCTCTGTGTCAGACACTGTGTGCGCTCCCTGCTCTTATGGATCATTTTCAGACGGGACGTTTCCATCTTGTCGTTCACACACACAGTGAGTGAAGCTTTGTTTATGTAAATGAGACAATGTACAGTTCACACTGTGGTGCGACAGAAAGACTGCAAAATATAAAACTATAAAATCTATAAAAACCTCCCTTAAAAACATCCCTTTACAATCACTTGATACTCTGAGTGAGGTCAACAGTGCCAGGATTTCACAAAAAACAGGTCTAAAGAGCCTGGCCCTCTTGGTGCTGAACTTTCCTAATATTTAGAGGTCACATTCATGAGACAGTAAGGTGGCTTTGAGTGTCAGCGCTCACACTCACAAGGAAAGTTTTTTTTTTTTCCTGAAATGCTGGAATTAAGTGTTTAATGGGACTCAATCCAGCCCTCTGCTCCTTCGATTAGCATCCAGACGATGTTCTGCTCAACTGGATTCACTTTACACAGTGCATGTTGGACTATTTAAACAGGGCCCTCAGTATTTCAATGTGTGATTAGTGTCCATATGATGCTGTCATACATTTCCGAGTGACGGGGGAAGGGTTACAGTCTAAGATCCTGATTGCCCAAGGTAAAAACTGTTCTGCATCATGCTGGATTTTGCAGAAATGATCTGAAACCATTTACCTGATGGCTGCAGTGGCAACAGTGAGACGGGTGGTAGGGCCCCTTGGTGATGCTGGAGGCCCCCGTATGCACAACGCTGATGGTATGTCTCCAGGAGTGAGGGGAGAGGGGCATCAAGGATTCTTCTGGCCACCTCCATAATCCTCTTGAGCTGATGTTTTTCCTTTGCTTTGCAGTGAGCGGGACAGAGAGAGGTGGAGTGTTTTGAGTATTGCATGTTTTGAGGTTTGATTTGCTTTTTATGTAAACTGCAGGGGATCTAGGTCCTACTGATGACAAATCACACAAAACCCTTCATATCTACAGGAGTGAGGACCACAGACCAGCAGAGAATTCATCAGATGTTCCTGTAATAAATGCCCCTCTATCATTACAGATGTGAATCAAAGAGTCTTCAGCAGCTGGTACAAGGAACTGAATCATCTGATGCTCAGTGTGGAGAAAGAGATCCAGATTGGACCGGGGTGATAGTCTGTGGATTGGTTTTCTGGATTTGCTATTTGGTGATTCCTCTGGTTTTTTGTTTCACATTTGTCGGTAATGAGGTTCCCAAATATAAACGTAGCTGACAAATCATGGTAAAATCATTTATTTTTCAACATACCTCACAAAAATATCAGGAGAACCGTCACAAGTTTATAAATGTTGTAGCAGCAGGCTGCCAGCAGAGGTTTTAGGTAAAATGTTCTCCAGCTGAGATACACTCTGATGCTCCAGCCTAAATCCGTGAGCTGCAGACTCTCTGTGATTCTGAACCTGGCCTGAGGTCTCCCAGCAGGGTCTTGTGTAGTTCTATGTAAATGGGAGCATTATTCTCAAAGCAAAGTGTCTCTTACACAGAAGCTTCTTGAAGAGATTTATCCTCTCAAGACTTGGAAAGTGCAACCCATGTTATGGCAAAAATCATAACGGCTATTATGATGCATATCATTACTATTTTAAAAAGATAACTCATGACTGGACATCTGCATCACACACATCTCTGCAACTTAAAATGTATACACTCTTAATTCTTGGAAAAACACATTAAGTAGGAATATACAACTGAGCCTATCTTTTTAATACTAAAGCCTGTCCGTCTGTCTGTCTACCTGGATGATATTAAGGATTCTTTATAAAGTCAGATGTACGACTGCTGAAGGGGACCATGAATCACCCTGATGTTTGCTTCCCTCTGTTGACTCCCTGATTTTAAAATTTTACTGATCACTTTTAAAGTACAAATGGGTCCAGCTCACAGTTAGATATCAGAATATCAGAACTGTTTACTCTGTATGAGCCAGCTGGTAGCCTTAGCTCCTCAGGTGAGGACTTCCTGGTTGCTCCGAGGTCGGGACTTGAATCTAAAGGTGATAGTTTGCCATCAGGGCCCCTTGACTTTCAATCAATCCTCCCTAAGGAAGTTATGCCAGCAGAATCAGTCCCATCTTTAAAATGACCTCTTAAAACTCACTTTTATCAGCTTTGATGTGATATTGACCTCTTATTGCATGTTTCAACTTTTGCTTATAATCAATCTTATTCCCTCTCATGTTCATCTCAAATGACTGAATATTATAGAGCGATCATTTTCTCCAAAGCTGCAAACTCCCTCCCGGATAGATAAAGAAACTCTTGTATATCTCTTCTGAAAACTCACGCATGTCCTCTAGCTTTTCCTCGCTGTTGGTTTTTGCCTTTAAAATGTGGTTATCTTTCTTGTCAGTGGGATTTCTATTGTTTGTAAAGCACTTTTTTACTTGTTTTCAAGTAGTAGTGTGTAGATAAAGCTATTATTTCTGAAATCCAGCTGGAATCTGGTACTTTATCTGTGAAGTGTTATTTCAACTTATCAGTCCATGAATGTTACTTTGTTTCTCTGAAAATCCTTAAGTGAAGTGAAGACACAAACATATTGAACATACAGAAAATCACAATGCAACAGTCATGGCCTCTTCTAACTGTTTTCTTATAAATGAAAGTGTTTAATAAAGTCCTGAGGGCTCAAACTCAGACATCTATTAGATCTCTTTTTGCACAATGTTCCCTCTTTGAGATCTCAGGACCTGTAGCAGCCACATCACTTTTAAATTGTCATCCCCTTTCTATCTGTGATTTGTAATGTCTTCCTTTATTTACTCTCTCTTTATGGACTTTTAAAAACCCTCTCTTTGTTGTAAATACTACGTTTTTATTGTCAAAGCACCTAAAGTGACAGAAGTTGTGATAAGGATTTACTCAGAAAAAGATTATAAGTCAATTAAACACTTTGATTTCTGCAAATAAAGCTGTGAAAGAGGAAACAGAGTGTGGATTTGGTTTAATTCTGATTGTGTTTTTTTTTAAATCAAACAGGGAGCTGAGACATGAGGGAGAATAAGAGCTGAAATTTACCTTTCAGACAGCTATCATGTAATAGCTTTGCAGAGTGGGAAGGAGACCTTTAATATTTTATGAGTGATACATCACTGTACATACTGCCAATGTCATTCTTATGGACTTTATTTATGAGAAAAATTCAATATTTTATAAGAAAATACAAACTCATGATCTTAGAATAAATGATTGCATCACCAAAACAAACTATTCTCAAAAATGTGTTATTTAAAACAGAAGACAAGCCATTTTTAATATGGTGAAAATAAACTTTATAATAAATACAAAGCTTTAAGTCCAAAAGTCAGAGTCCAACATGGCAACACTGGTCAGAAACTGTAGTTGATCCCCAAAGCCAGTCAGGATTTCAGCTGCTAGACAAGTCAGGGTCTCTTTTGGGGTACTTTGTGACATGATGACATGATGTGCCCCCTGTATCGGTTTTCCATTCGAGTTGAACTGGGAGGAGACCTAGAGCTCAGTGGTAGGGCGACACAGTCCGTTCAGCCTGGGAAGAACCAGGGGTGCTCCGGGAGAGAGGACATGGAAACTGCTGTTGGGGAGTGGGTATCTGAGGGACTTGCCTCCATGCAGCCTCCATGACCCTGCCTCAGATATGCAGGAAATAAGGATGGATGGGTGGATGTGTAGGGGAATTCTGAAGATGTGCATCATGTCTATTATTGAAAGTCTAAAAACGCAGGACATGAAAATCCGCAGAGCTCTCTATGGTGTGTGTATATAGAAAAACGGTTCCTGTAGGCTCATTTGCAAACATTCATACATCAACCTGACGTCAGTGTGTATCTGAGGATATGAGAGGAAACTATTTTCTCCTCCTGTAACTTCTGGGAAAGTCAGCAGAGGAGAAAAACACCAGAGCGCTCACAGTTTGATGAGGTATGTGGCTCTTTTTCCTAAAAGAAAGAAGAGATATGAGATATGTATCTGACCGCTGGACTGACTCAGTGAGGAAACCGTTTGACAGCCTGCTGCTAGATCGAGTCTGCTGCTGAAGGTAAAAACAAAAAAAAATGTGTAATCATCTTTAAATATGTGTCATGTCACTGTTGAAAGTCGCCTTATAACCCCAGTGCTTTAGAAACACAGATCCGTCTGCTAGAAGTCTGGAAATCTGAAACTACTCAGTCCTTTAGTCGGGCGTACCCGCGTGGAGGCTCGTTGAAGATGCGGGAGCGCGCACAGCTAAATCTGATAAAAACAAACAAATGCTGAAGTTTTGGAGGCTGGGTGGAAAGCAAAAACCTAGCATAAAAGTCCACCATTTTAGTTTAGAGGACTAATAAAGTCATCATAGTAGTTCTGGGGTAAGTTGAGCCAGTGGTTCAACGTAAAAAGTAAAGGAGTCTGATGAGAGGACCAGAGTTTCAGTTCAGATTGTTGAAATGTTTTTACTTTTTCTTTTCAAAAATTCAGCTGTGAATGTTCTGAATCACTTAAAATCATTCTCATGTGAAAAGCTGCCCTCTGGATGCCCTTCCAATAAGTATAATGTATCAAAGTGCCACACGACTTTTTAACCTAGAAAATGTCCCCCTGGATGTCTTTTGAAAAGGACCACTTTTAAGGGTATTAAATTAAAAAAAGTGCCCCCTCAATATTCTGCCATTTATTATATCTAAGAAAGTGCCCTATGACCTCTTTACTAAGAATTAAATGTGAAAAAGTGCCTCTAAATGCCCTTCTAGCAGTAAAGAAACCCCCCAAAGTCTACCTGGATGTCTCTCCAGTGATAAGATTGGAACTTTTAAGTTCATGTAGCGATTTGAATTTATTATTAATGTCTGAAGATTAATAATCTCAAATTATGACATTTATGCACTTGTTGAAAAGGGCACCACCCACCCTTAATGGTGGGAAAATGAAGAAAAATTAACGTTTAATTGAGAAATCAAACATACATAGTCAATTAATTTAACTCTTAAAAGTTCATGAAACAGTCTGAAAAGCTGTTGGTCTAAAGAAACTAAAGAATAAGGATTTATATCCTGTGTCCAGGGACCAGATAAGAAAACTTTCCTGCAAGGAATGTGTGAGTCTCACACTCAGGGTTGTCTTGATTGCTACATTCATGAAATATGTCTACATGCATAGAAAAAACCTAAGTTTTTTGATGGGTAAAAAATGAAAGCTAATCTATGATCAAATATTTAATGTTGATCTAAACAGCTCAAGAAAATCTGGCTTTGGTGGATTGGCAGTTGTGACAAGGAGCACAAATTAAGATTTTACCTAAGGCAGGTGACATCAAAAACATGTTTACGAGGTAAAGAAGGTCTGAGCTGATGTCAGGGTCAAATGCAAAAAGGACACCTTACACTGGTTCAGTAAGAATAAGATAAACAACAGGTGTAATCTCAGCAGGAATGATTTTGATTTTACTTCTTTTTTGCAGACAGTGTCCTCCCATAGCTGTAAAGACCACACCCTCGGCTCAGTGAAACTGGAAATCTGATGTGTTTAAGATGAGGGAGAAACTTGCATCAGCTGCAGCAGTGCTGGTAAAACACTCTGACACGGGCTTTGAGCACATTAGCAGCAGTTTGGAACCATCATCAAACTTCTCTTTTTCCATATTTCTCTCAGTAAATGCTGGAGCTCCTCCTGCCAAATTGAGATGATGAGTTGTAATTCTCTCCCTCCTTGTTTTTGAGTCTCAGCAGAGACCAATACCTTTCTCTTTGTCGTCACAGATGCTCCTGCTGGTTTCCCTCTGTGGTCAGACTCTCTCGTGTGACCCAAATGCATATTTGGCAAATGGTGTATGCTGCCTCAAGTGTCCACCAGGTGAGTCCACCTCAATGTTTAACAGAAAAGTGAATTTAGGGCTAAATTAGCAGAAAAAAGGTTGAAGTTATGGAAACCGAAAGACTTGCAGCAAGTGCAGAATGAAATTCAGTCTCATTATAGATGTTCATTAAAGATCCAGGAATATATTTGAGCTTATGCAAAGAAATCTGAATTCTACAAAAAGGAATGCCACATAATAGTGTACAAGCAAGAAGGTCAAGGAAAATGTATTAGTTATAAAACCCAAGAAGAAATAGGCCATCACTCAGCTCCTAATACTGTTCACAATACTGTCTCTAAACAGAATTTTTTTTTCACCCTTTATTTCTTGTTTTTTACAATTGAAAATGTAACACTGTACATACAAAAATGTGAGAACAATATTTGTTGTTCACATCCTGCTGAAATTATTATAAGGATGTTGCAAATCCAGTCTAATCTTTTCTAGTTTGAGGAGTTGTCGTGTATCTCTTACCCAATGTTTGCAAGAAGGCGGGGCAGCCTGTTTCCAATTAAGTAAAATTATTTTTCTTGCTAAGAGGGTGACAAAAGCAATGCAATTAGATTGTTCTCTAGGAAGATGATCTTTGAAATATCTTGGATAGGGAATCAAATATAGACCAATAACCTGAGAGCCTCGGACAAAACCAGAATGTATGAGCTAATGCTGCAAGTGAAAAATTGCTTCTATTATCCAGCATTATCCATTGCTGGATACATCTTTGCTATTCTGGCTTTGGGCAAATCCAGTCTGTGTGCTACTTTAAATTGAAGAAGGTTATGTCAGGCACACATTGATGAGGAGTGTATTTTTGAAATATGTCTGCCTGATTTGTAATTTGTAAACTTAGATCAGCCTGCCATGCTTCTTTCACTTTGTTAATGAAACAACCTTTTTTCATGAGCATGTGCAAAACTTCCCGATTAAAAATGATAAATTATTATAAATCAAAGCAGGTTCTGGATTTAAAAGTCTGCCCACCATTGTAAAAATCCCTCTGGGGTTATTTTGGTTTTCTCAAGTAGTCTCTGAGAAGCAGTAGTGTTATAAGTGGACTTCTTCTGACCAAACTTGAATTTTCCAGGCTTTCCAGCCTACAGATATCCCCCTCCCCTGATTAGAAGCAACTATTACTTCACATTTCCTGCCAGCCGTCAGAGGAAACTTCTGGAACATTCACTTCAGAAATAATGTGCATATTTCAAGGAAATAAGCTGAGATATATTTTGAACATGGACATTTTACATTATTGTCTTAGAGCAGATGTAACTATTCAATTGGCCTGAACACAGTCATGAGTAATTTGTAAGATCTCTGGCTAACTTTAGCCTGAGAAGAAAGCAAGCATTATTGGCTGGTTACTGCAGCTCTTACGTAAGCATATCCCACCTCTTTGTCCTCATTTAGCTCCTCACAGTCCCTGAAAAAAATGCAGCTAGTGTAATATGAGACTGTACTGCAAATGTCTAACTCCTACTCCAGACATCTAGGTTTTTTTAACATTACAAATCTTTTTACCCATTTGTTTGGTCTTCTAGAACAACTTTTTACCAGATTTGCTGTTCCTCAAAAACAACTTTTTACCGGTTTAGTTATCCGGTAAAAGTTATTACGTGATAAAAACTTTCACCACACACAACTCAGGGCCTCACCCAGATTTAAACCTACAGTAAGCTATAGAGACACAGTGACTCCCACAGTCAGTGCAGAGAATTACAGTTTGACCATTGTACAGGAAGAAAACTTGCATGGCTTTTTGTTATGTTTGTGCTGAAGTACACTGACATATAAATCAAAAGTACAAATATATGTACTTCTTGTTTTTGTTTTGAGCAGGACATCGAGTTTTATCAGACTGTGACTTAGTCACAAGACGGCGCTGTGTGCCCTGCCTTAACGGAGCCTTTATGGACCAGCTGAATGGCTTTTCAAGGTGCAACCTCTGCAAGAGCTGTGACCCAGGTACATTTCTATAAAAAAAGTATATATATATAAAATAGAAGCTTTTCTGAAAGACTTAATCAAGTAAGATCAGAATAAGCCTGTCATAGTTTAAGAAAGACCTCAACCACCTTGAAACACCTCAGTGAGTTAGTCTTAGTCACTGTAACCACAAATGACCCACCAGAGAATCAGCATCATTTCCCAAATGATAAAATGTCATTTGGCAGATGTCTCATTAACCTATTTCTAGCCTTTCTGTGTGTCCACAGCCTCTGGTCTCAGAGTGAAATCATTTTGTACAAGAGTATCCAACACATTCTGTGAGCCATTGAAGACGTTTGTCTGTACGAAGGCTGTAGGGGACGACTGTGTAACAGCAGAGAGGCGTGGACCCTGCAGACCAGGACAATACATCAAACAGAAAGGTTGGTTTTTAATGCACAAGTGTCACATTTATTAGGCCCTGATCTGTCAGTAAAAGACGGTTCCTCTTGCATTATTATCAACTTAAGTTCAATGCCACAACCATCAGGTGGACTGTCACATTAAAACATATTTAAACTGGTTAAAATATTAGCCATTGAAACATCATTTCACATTTACTGGAAATGTTTGAATGTATATAGTCTGTGTTTGTGTGCAGCAACAGGCTTTGACTGCTCTCCCTGCCCTGCTGGAACATTTTCAGACGGGTCGTTTTCAGCCTGTCGTCTACATACACGGTAAGGGAAGTTTCACATCAGACTTGGACACATCTGGATTTACTTTATGTTCAAGTTCTGCTATAGCTGTCAAATTTATCTGGTGCTTTTTTGATTCTGCATGCTTGAAATGATCTAGTATCCTTCATTGTCATTGGTTTTGTAAAAGAACTTTTAAAAATGGCTCCAAAGCACCCCCTCCAGTTTTCAATTTTGAAACATCCAGCCCCACCTTACATGTGTGATTTTCGCTGGGTGTATTTATCCTCTTGCACCCAGACTCGGAACCAAACAGGATGTCCATCATTTTGATTTGAACTCTTGGTCTCCCAGTTTTCAGGGTGCATACTTTGACAAACTTGTTCTAAAGCTATCGTACAATCAAGAATGCTTGAAAAGAGTCAGTTCTTCTCATACTATCTAAATATCTCTGTCATTGCAGATGTATACGATTAAATTTACCGCTGCTGAGGCGAGGAACTAATTCATCTGATGCCTTTTGTGGAGATCCACCACAAAAACGAAGAGACTGGACTCATGCACTCATCTGGGGAGTTGTTAGCATTGTTGTGGCTCTTATATCTGCAGTGTCAGGTTATCTGATTTACAGGAACAGAGGATTTGGTTCCTATGGTGAGTCTGCTGCAGGTAAGATTTTACAGTCAGACATTACAAATGTTCACGTATTTAACATATTATATTAACCAGCTTCCTTACAGCTTTGGTAGAAAGTTGACTCTGATTGGTCAGAAGCACTAAGCGATGGTTTTAAGCTGAGGAAAAGCAATATGGTGAATAGAGGTACATTACATTTAACGAATGGTGTATGATTAAATCTGTTCGTGCTGATATATTATAAAAATAAATTGATTATAAATCTATAAAATCCCCTTTAGATCAGCCCTTAGCGTGAGCTTTTTTGTATATTTATTCGGTAGTTGAGTAATAAGCAGGGTAATGTATTGTGGTCCAGTGGATAAGATCCCTCTGTTTTATGTCACATTACCTGCCGACTATAAATTATTCCTCACACGGTGTTTGTGACATGATAAAGTTGTTAATTCAGGTTGTTTTTTTTTCTCTTAGGAAACACTCTTGAGCTGGTATGCTTTTTATTCTCATTATCATTTATCTAGTAGACAGTGTGTGCATTTGTTAGTGACTATAGTCTCATAACAACTTCTCCTTCTCTTTCTCTCATAGCAAAGACAAAACTGATGTGTTTTCAGATGAAACAGGTGTAGCAGGTGAGAGAGCTGAGCTTTTTTTTTCAATGACCCCTGACTGACTGACTGAGATCGACTCTGTGACGTCTTAATCAATATCAGCCTGTTTTGACTAAACCTCTGGTCTCCTCAGAATGAAGCAGTCCAGTCATGATCAGCCTGCATCAGACATCACATGAAGTACAAAGTATTTTTTGCTCATTTTTTATGAGAAAATTAAATGCACAGACTTTCCACATTGCTCATCGATGTGCTTGGTAACTGTAACAAACACTGTTTGTGACTGCAACCTTATTTGCATCAGTGCAAAGATTACCTTCATTATAAAAACCTCTGCAGGCTTCCCAGAACCTGTGCTGACTGTAATATTATGTGCTACCTGTACATAAGCACTCTGTATGAATGTTTTCAAAGTTACAAAACCATCCTTTTCATATCTGTTATGTTACTGGGTGCATTTCCATGGACACAACTTTTTATTTCCTGTTTGGTTGTTTCTCAACAAGTTTCTTGCATCAGATTTTAAAAAGAGGGCTTTTATCATTTGTATCAAACGATAAATTTGCACATTTATATTTTTATGTGTTGTTTTTGCTTTATTGCCACTTGAGTATTGACTTGAAATGATTTACAAGCCATTACAACCTATTTTTATCAACACTTCGCACAGGGTCCAAATTCATTTTGAATTGAGATTCATATTTTTTTGTCTCATAATCCTGTGAGTCATCTAGGTGAACTGTGATTTTTTTTAAATGTGCCTTTAAACTTTGACTTCCATTTGCATCTATAGTTGAATTTGCCGGGAGCCAGGTACACCCCACGCGCTGTTTTTTGCTACCTTTTTTTCACTATTATTTCTTGTTATCCTATACCTTGGACCATAACAAGTGCATACTGACCGCCCCCAACTCGGCCCCGTTTGGCCCCAGGGGCCAAAAAACCTTATTTTTGGGAAAAGCTTCTGGTGAAATGATGTAATTGCAAATATTAGGGTGCTGCAACTGCATAAATGGTCAAATAAGTCTGAAACACATATTAATATACCCAGCCTACATGGCCCATGAGAGTTCACACAATCTAGGGTCAGAGCAAATAACAAGTCAATCTCATAAAACAGAAGAAAATAAAACAACATGCACACTCATGTATAAACATCCGATAAAGAGGCTATCATATCTTTCATATCTAGAAGTCCAATGAATCCAAAGTTACAATGACTCACTCTCCTGCAGCACCATCTTGTGGAGAAATTTCAAAAGTGTATCAACAACTCACACTGCCACAGTGAAAACCATTTTAGAAATGGTAAATATTACTCGAAAACCTCAATTAGATCCATTTATTTTGGTCAAAAAGTTTAGACTATATTTGGGGCTGACACCTGGTCAGGGACTGGGGAGATTCCCATCATGGTCTTGGCTGTGTTTGGAATGTAATAGGCTAAAAATTAATGAATAAATCAATAATCAATAAAGCCAACCAGACATCCATCTCTGTAATCCTCATCTAAGATTGACTACAAGACAGTAAGTGCAGTGTTTCCTCAGGTCAGATATCATTCTCATTCACATGAAGAATAAATTCACCGTCCTGTAGACATCTCTGTGCATGTTAAATACCAGATTTATAGAGGCTGCTTGTACCTCTGAACCAGGTACAAGCAGGCTCTAACTCATCAGGTTTGAGTAAAATTGACGCTGAAGAAGAAATTCAAGAGCAAATGGTCGAACGTCTAATAAATCCCACTTATAAGAAATATTATGTCATGAATACAACAAAATAAAAGTACTCTAAACACATCATTTTACACATTTAAATATATGTAACATTAGCTTCTTAAAAGGAAAGACTATGGACATAAAAACCAACAATTTCAGCGACTTTTCTGTAAAAACCGAGAACTTGTTGACCTTGAAAGATGTTCGTTTTCGTAAACAGAAGAAGATTTACATTGTTTAAAACAATAAGTTTAGAATGAATTTGTGAAAATATAAACATGAACAGTGGGTGGTGTAAAAACCAAGCTCCACGAGTTTGTATTGTACAGTTTAATAACGATCTCCGTTACCATAGTGAGACACACGAAACCAAAAAATGAGACACATTATACCTCATACCGGGGAGAGGTTTATTTCAAAATAAAAGTCCCCGTGATGTTATCACACTACACCTACTGAATGTATGAATTTATACCTCCATAAAAAGAAAATAGCACATAGGCTATCAAAATAACAAGGAACCACATGAGCACAGATAGACCCACACACTTACACCACTTGATATAAAAACACACAACCAATAACCTCAAACTTTATTCAAAAAAATAAAATAAAATAAAATAAAATAAAACAAAATAAAAATAAAATAAATAAATAAATAATTATTTTTTTTAACAGTTTTAATAATATAGCATGCATGTATTATTTATTAATTTATTATTTTCCTGCAAATGATTGATCCCCCCAGTGCCCCTGAACACCCCAAATTTGCATATTTTGGTCTTTGGTCTATATGTATATATATAAATATGTGTGTGTGTGTGTGTGTGTCGTGTTTATTAACAGTAGACTAAAGATACAAATATTTAATCTCAATAAATAAATAAATAAAAAGCAAGTATATAGTGAATAAAATAATAACAATATTATATATAAAGAGTCCAAATACATGTTTTGACTTTTTCCTCTTTTTTTTTCTCTTAAAATTTTGTGGCATTTGTGTTACATGGGGAAAAACAGGTCAACATTTTCCCCGTACAAAAAATACTCAATGCAAGTTTTACTGTTAAGTATTTTATTTCCCTTTAAATATTGCAGGGCGTTTAGAAATATTTTTAATTTCACCGCCTAACAAAAGAAAAAAAAAACCAATTAACCCGTCAATTCCAACTGTCTTATTTTGGTAAGTAAAACCGGATATCAGAATATCTCGTGAGTTAACTTAACCCTCCTTCTCCCGGGGAGCTCTTGATGTTGTCCAAACTAAGGAAACTTTTAAGTTGTTCGACGGGCTGTCTTTCCAGAGACTTCCTCGGCTCTTTGCAGTAAGTCCTGACCGTGTTATGAGCTCTTAACGTGACCCGGTGACACCGAGAGTCCGGGCCTGTCCGGTTATCGTTAGGAGGTAACACCAAACTGTTGCTATGCACATGCTGGCGTCAAACGGATCCGTAATGGACCTGGAGTCGGACTGGGTGAAAATTAAAACGCACTACGGAGGGTAAGTAGGTTAAAACCGTTTAAACTTGAGGTTAGCAGAGAGAACATAGTGGGCAGAGCGAGGACAGGTGGGTTGGTGAGGGTGTGGGGGGACACCTGTGGGAGAGCTGCCGGGAATGTGGGGGTGTGACGGGTCAGTAAGGTCTTCCACCTTGGGTCATGCTTGGCCAGGCAGTGACGCTGTCCTCTAGTGACGTGATGACATCATCTTTAATTAACGGTTGGCCCTGATTATCATAATACGGCGCACATTTTCCCCAGTCAACAGCTCCATGTGTTGAATATCTTTGAGAGAGACTGAAATAATCCACCATGCTGATGGCAAGTTTTATTTATTCATGTAGAAGAAAGGAAAGAATTAAAACAACTTCGACTTTTTTAAGCACGTCATGTGGCTAAGACTTTTAATGGTCTTAATTTTAAATTAAAAGAATGCTAAATTCTGCTGCTCTATGGCCCCAATGAAGCTTATCTGTGACTTCCCTCTTCAGATAATGTTAAATATCATTAAATCTACATCACCAATATTCAGAACTGTCAAACCATTACTTTCAAAGGATCATTGCTATGGCATTTTATTCCTGTACTTACAATTCCATTATTTTGCATTTTAAAGCAGTTTAAAGTCAATAACAAAGTAAAGCAAACTAGTGTGTTGAGTTGTTATGGTTTTGACTTTTAGATTTACTGCTCAAATACATGCTGCACTACTAAAACAGCACAGTCTGAAACCATAATTTAGATGCTGAAGAACAAAATGTTAATTCTGTCAAATTAAGAGTTCATCATTTTAAAGGACAGCACGGTTACAATATAGAGAAATATATGCAGGTATGCTTTTCAAAATTTCAAGTCTGTGTCAGTATGCTATGCAGTTATTGTTGGATTAATCACTGACATTCATGATCCCCTTTTTCCACTTTCAGGAGTTCCACTTTGGTTGCTCTCTGTTTCATACAGGCCTTGAATGTGTGAAACTGTTGACATTATGACATAACTGGCTACAAATGTTGAACAAAAGTCAGCATTAGTGAAATGTGCTCTATCAATACAGTTGCTATTGTTGTATGTTGTGTATATCACACGGCCTAAAAATATTATAATATCAGTCATACATAAGATATTACTGGCTGTACTTGAGTTTATGACAAAATAGTCTTATTGTAAATGGAAAGTAACATTTACTCCTTAATTTAAGTTTTCAGATATTATTATCTCACCATAATTTACCTGACACTAGCTATTTTTGGGCTAAAGTTGTTTTTTTAACCTTCACATTGAACTGCATCCTGACCAGCTGAATTCTCGACACAGGGTAAAATGTTCATGTCAGGCTTTTTGATGCACACATTCTTTCTGTTCAGACCTCAGCTGTACATCTAAAGACTGAGTGAAATGTGTAAGTCAAGCTGTGCAGCTTTAGGATTCCTTCTCCGAGGAGTAAATAAGACTTATCTGACTTTGCAGGTGTTTCTTTTACCTGATACTGACTCTGTCAGCTGAGGCTGATACAGTCAGTATCAGGTGCAGTAGTAGGTGTAACCAGCACACAGGACCTGCTGCAGACTATTTTGAGCTCAATGAGGGAGAAATATTCTGATTAGAGGATTCAAAGGTCAACATGTTGACAGGTAGGTTTATGCTCAGACCAATCCCTCAGTGTGTAGCGTACTCTGAAGTATGTGCACTCTGCAGATGGATCAAAGGTCGGTCTGCTGTAAGAAGCAGAAAGCTTGAAATGGGTATTTGACTCCCACAGGCTTCGGTTTTAAAAGCCAGCAGAGTAGAAAGTGTTATCATAAAGCTGCTTCATGCATAGGAGAGCTGTTAGTTAAAGACTCTAATGAATTGTGGAAGATTTTGATGATTAAATATCCCGAAACTTGAGAAAAGTACTCTTCAGAACTTTCCAGAGTCCTCTGGGGCGTCTCACAAATACTTCATCTGTGAAACTGAAAGCCAAAGACCACAAAAACAAGAGGTTAATCTTTATCATGAAGAGGATTAAATAAACAGATGTCTGACACTTCTGTCCAAAATCATGAATAAAGTGATTGATCAGTATTATCAATGCAGCTCTAATGCATGTTTGTAAGTTTGTATTAATGAAATATCTAGAAGTATTTAGAAGTGTGCTACACCAAATGCAACCAAATTTCATACAGTGAAAGTCAAGTCATGCGATATCGTGTACCCAACCAGACTTATCTTCTTGGGTTTTCGCAAAATAAATACTAGCTCAATGTAAGGCTGTACTGGCCTGTATCTGTGTGTGTTACTGTGTGTGAGTGTGTTTTCCTGCACTCTGACAAGGTGGAGCACAGACAGCTTGCTTCCCAGCAGGCTTTGCTCCA